CTGCCCACCTTCTATTAGTATCACTCGCTCGCGGGCTAGCCCGCATCGCATCAATCTTCCTTCTATGTAGGCTTCTCTATTCTCTGCTCTGCATCACTTTCACCACCGCTTATCACCACTGTGCCTTCCCATCTCCCTCCCATCTCCCTCCCACCACTCACTCGTATTCTTGCCGCGCCGCAGGAAGCGGATACCTCCCCACCTCAGCAAGGATCTGCCCGCCCCGGCGCAGCTTCGCCAGCGCAGCCTCCCCGCACCACTGCGGTGCCAGCCCCGCCAGCGCCCGCTCGATCTCCCTCACCTCCCCGTCGCTCACAAGCCACGTCTGTCCGCCTCAGTGCTGGTGCTGATCCCGCATGCAAATCTAATTCACCGTTGAGGCCGCCCTGGAGAAACCTTTTTCTGTTAGCAGCCGGTTTCCGAAACCGCCCAGCTCTGGGTATCATATCTAACTGACAGTACTTGAAATCTCTTGCAGAGTGACGCAAAAATCTACACAGCTCAAATCGGAGATAAACTGAGAATTCGTACATTGTTGCACCGGCTCCTAGGGCTTCCTCGAGATCAGTGTGTCTCTTCCCTCTGCAGCTGTCAGCGTTTTTACTGGCGACAGTGGACCAAAAGCGGCTAATCACTGCTTGTTTATAAACTCCTCGATGATCTCCGTTGGAGTAGTTTTGCGTGTTTATACCCTTTATCATTCCGTGTTAGGTACATAGTTGTGCATAAAGAAAACAAGATCGGTTTGCATTTGGACAGCAATTAGATGTCTTTTCTTTTTAGAACGTTGAGAGAGATGAATAGAACCAGGAAAATATGGATTAGCTATTTCTGTACTCAGGATTGCAAAAGTAGTTTTTTCCAACTTTTCCACTCGCGTGTGTGATGCGGAGACACCGTAAAATACTTCTCTTTTTAGAAAATTACCTAATTTGTACTCATTACCAATATATCTTGAATTCCCAAAGAATTTCTGGTCTCCCAAAGAAGTCATTCTCAAGAACATCCAAAGATGAGGTATACTATTTAAAAGTAGCTCATTACGGCAGCTAGTCTTGCCACAATGTCTCCAAACAAAAAGCCGATCGAATCTTTGAAGCTCAACAACGGACTTTCTATCCCTAATGTTGCCTTAGGTACCTGGAAAGCCAGCCCCGATGATTGCTATAATTCGGTCATGACTGCGCTGAAAAGTGGGTACACACATATTGATACCGCAAGAATTTACAGAAATGAAGTGTCTGTTGGTCGGGCGGTGAATGACTTTCTCAAACAGTCTCACTTGAAGAGAGAGGACCTTTTCATCACAACCAAAATTTCGCCCTTTGAGTTCCAGGACCCAGAAAATGCAATTCTCGATTCGCTGGAAAGACTGCAGCTAGATTATGTTGATCTTTATTTAATGCATCACTGTGTGGCAGAAGTCACTGGCGAAGGTATCACCCCTCGTGATGAAAACGGGTTTAGAAAGCACATATCCCCAGAAGTATTCAGCTATGTTGATGCTTACAGACTGTTACAAAATCTAGTCGCTAAAGGTTACACCAAGTCAATTGGTATCTGCAATATCAATTCGCCAAAAATTCAACGACTTTTGGAAACAAAAGACCTGATTCCTCCCGCTGTTGTTCAATGCGAGATCCATCCGTATCTTCCACAACATGAGCTGGTTGAATTCTGCAAGGCCAATAATATTGTTGTGGAGTCATACTCTCCACTTGGATCAACCGGTGCTCCCTTGCTCCAGGATTCGGTAATCGTTGAAATTGCCCAAAAGTATGGCGTTACTCCAGCATGCGTTGCTATTAGCTGGGCCGTTGCAAGAGGGACTGTGGTTCTTCCAAAATCAACAACGGCTCAAAGAATTAAGGAGAACATGTTCCTCATTGAGCTTGACGAGGAAGACGTCAATTTGATTGGTAGTATTTACAAGCGTATGACCAAACGATACCTTGAGCCAAAGTGGAAAATCAATGTTTACGACAGCGACGCTGATTTTAATCCGCTTACATAGATCCGTATTTAGTCAAATTGACGTACTTCTCAGTCAACCATACGGTTTTTGTATCTAAAAATTATATCGCTCGACAAGAAATCCATTTGATCAGTTCAGATGAGTTTTGCCAAGACTTGCTTGACGATTTAGGAAATTGGCCCAATTTTTGCAAAAGGGCTGTTGGACTGGGGTACTTTAATCGTATGTCTCTTATCAAATGAAAAATTTCCTAATCCGTATTTGGATGCGGTTCTCAATTTGGAATAGCCCATTCGATATTACAAGAGGAGAGCATATATAAAAGATTCGCACGTATTGTGAGTGTCGTGACGATTATGAGTCAACAAGCATTGAAGTTCGAAGAAGTCCTTGAAAATTCCAAATGTATGGTCGCATCTTACCGGACACCTTCGGTGGTGATGGTCAAAGGTGAAGGATCATATTTATGGGACATGGACAATCAGAAATATATTGATTTTTTTGCGGGAATTGCTGTGAATTCTCTTGGACATTGTGATCCAGAAGTGACACAGATTATCCATGAGCAATCCAGTCTTCTTCTACATTCTTCTTTTGCCTGTCCAACGGAATGGCCATATGCTCTTGCTGCCAAATTGGTCGAAAAAACTAAAGAGTCTGGAGGAATGTATAACGCATCTAGCGTTTTCTTTAGCAATTCTGGTGCGGAAGCTAATGAAGCAGCTTTGAAATTTGCTCGAAGATGGGGAAAATCAATTGCAGAAGATAAGCACGAAATCATCTGTTTCAGTACATCTTTCCATGGACGGACCTTTGGTGCCTTGAGTGTCACCTCCAAGCTGAAGTACCAGGAACCATTTACGCCTCTAGTCCCTGGAGTCAAGCAAGCACAAGTTGGAGACATTGAATCTGTTAAGAAGCTTATTTCCGAAAAGACTTGTGCGGTAATCATTGAACCGGTGCAGGGAGAAGGAGGAGTTCGTCCTGTCGATGAAGACTTCCTTATCGAACTCAAAAAGCTGTGCACAAAATACCAAGCCGCTCTCATTTATGACGAGGTCCAGGTGGGTGTGGGACGGTCCGGTACACTTTGGGCGCATTCAAAGCTTCCGAAAGAGGGGCATCCAGATATTTTTACTTCTGCTAAAGCTTTAGCTAACGGTTGTCCCATTGGTGCAACTATAATCTCTCCCGAAATCAACGAGGTGCTACAACCTGCAGATCATGGCTCCACATTTGGTGGTAATCCTATATCTACTCGTGTTGCATGTAATGTTCTGGACAGGATTTCCAACAAACAATTTCTGGAAGACGTTCAGCGGAAAGCAAAACTTCTTCAGTCCGGACTTTCTCAACTGCAGACCAAGTATCCAGGTATAGTCGAGGATGTCAGAGGTTCTGGCTTGATGATGGGGATGGAGCTCACTGTCGAAGCAAAACCAGTGGTTGCAAAAGCTAGGGAATTTGGACTCGTTACCACAGTTGTGGGTGACAACATCGTCAGACTTCTACCTGCACTGAACATTCCAGATGATGTACTTTTGGAAGGTGTGTCTATTTTGGAAAGGACCCTTGATGCACTTTTTGGAACTAAATAGGTCAAAACTAATTAACTATAATACATCATTAGTATCTGACCGCTCCTCGAGCCTCTTCAGGTTATTTCACTTATAACTAGTCTACATTTGCTGTTCAACTACAAACTGGACAAATTGGTCATCTATCTTACCAATTATCACTACAGGAAGGAAATGTCCAATATTTATTTAAATTGAGCAATTAGTTCATATATAAAATAGGTACTCACAATCTTAGGTGGAATAGTGGAAAAGGGGATTTTCCTTATCAGTTAAGTCAGCGAACTCAATGTTCTGAACCATTCGTGCTTTCTCTTCAATTTCCGGGTGTTCTCTCAAATGTTTGGCATTCTCGCGGTTTCTACGGTCGTATTCCCACCAGATAAGCAGTAAGAAAATTAAACTTGTCGCATAAGAAACCACAATTGCGATCTTTCCACCAATGTAATCAGGCGCTTGCGACTCAATGAATGTTTGTGGGCCAACGACCATACCAATACAATAACCAATCAAGAAGATAGCATCCATGACTGCTTTTTTTGTAGTACCACCAGTGTTACTTGAGAAACAGGATAAACACTGAATCATACTGATTGGGTTAAGTTCTTGCAAGTAGTATCCTGCCAGACCGACTTTGTTGTTCCCGTTGGGCCATGCAAGCATACAAGCTGCAACGATACAAATAATGGTCGAGAAGACGGAGACAAACATCCGTGATTTCCAAATTTTCAGGCATGCCCACACAAACAGCGGGTTTCCGGGAAAAATGATAGCTCCCGTAGGCATTTTCATCAGCATAGACTTCTTTGTTGAGAACTTGAAGTCATCATTCAAAAGAATAGATCCGAAAGAGCCAATAGCTCCCGATGGAATATCGGACGAAACGCCGTACCAGAAGTAGTACCAAGTGACCACATCGGTAAGTGCTTCTTTGATCTGGTTTTTCTTAATGCGCTTCGAGCCAAATCCTTGTTGGTTTCCTCTTAAGCGCTGAACTAGTCTTTTCTTGTCTTCGTCGTTAAGGAATCTGGCCTTCGAAGGTTCATCTGGAAGATAAGCTAGCGCAAAGAAGCCGATACCCAAACTGACTGCACCAATAATGTAAAGGTTGAGTCTCCACGGCTCAACAGAGTATGACTCCTCGTATTGAACCATAGCATATCCTATGCAGTTGTTCAGAATAGTTGCTATACCACTGCAGCAGAACCAGACTGATGTTCTCAAGAATTGTTCATCAACTTTGTAGTATTGACTGGTTATCAACATTAATCCAGGATTGATTGAGGACTCTAGCATACCCAAGATAACACGAAGGGCCATTAAACCAGCGTAAGATTTGACAGCCCCGTGAAGAATGAGGATCATAGACCACAGAATGACAAAGCATGACAATGTTTTCGCCAAAGGAAATCTCTGCAAGAGGAAACTGGCAGGTAACTCAAACACTAAGTATCCCAGGTAGAACGCAGAAGAGGTCCAAGAGTACATATCACCTTTCATATCAAGAGACTGCTTGATACCAAGAATGGCAGAGGTACTGAGAGCAGACTTATCCATATAAAGGGCTGTGATCAAAAGCATAAGAGCGGGCATCAAGAATAAGTCAATTTTCCAACGCAAAGCCTTGTCTTTCTTTTCGTCGTAGTCGACGTCACCCTCAAGGGCCAGCTTCATAGCCATATCAACATCATTAGTCACCTTGACCTGGCCTCCGTTGGCACTGGTGATAGTTGTAACCAGGTTATGAGTATTCAGCTCATCACTCGAGAATACTGTGACTCTACTGGTGACAGCATTCATCAATTTTTTTTCAGAACTCATTGTTGAAGTGACCATCATGATGGATGACTAGGCTTTATATATTGTGAATCGTACGACGCGGCTTATCTTGATGGAAGCCGCAGCTCGCAAATTTTCAGATGGTCAGATATGTTTCCAGGTAATCGTGATGTGAGATTCTTATCTTCATCGCCCAAAGATAAACTGTTCGAAAAATTCCTGATAAATCGTTTCCGGATGAGTCGGATTCGTAACCGAGTGACTAGTTTATAAACCGGAAATGCGTACCAGCTTGAGTTGGAATTTTTAGTGCAACATGCTCCACCATGAGAGAGGAGCAGCCTCATCACCAGCAACAACATTACTTTGGGATGTCATCTGTTACCAGTGGCTAAACTTGCTTCCATGTTGTTTAGTCGAGTAATCTCAATGATTGAGTTAATGCTTTTGGTGACCGGAAACCGTTAATTAGGAAATTTTCCGAATTTGGTATGTATGAAGATAAACCTCGGACTCGAAACTATCGCAATAAATGTGTCAGATTGAGGGTAACAAACCAATTCTGATAATGGAATATTTCCGTTTCAAGTCAGCAGGTCTAAAAATCAAATTGATCTCGGGATGATGGCCCTTCCCTGTAACGGGATCAAAAAGTCGATGCCTCAATGTAGAACCAGATTAAAATAACACTGCTGTCGTAAATGACTCTATTTAAAAACGGCACAACTACTATATGTGCCAAAAGGTTTCTACAAATTGGCGAACTTTGAAAGACATCTTGAAATAGCAGAGTTCGAAACTTTTGAAAACTAATGGTATCGAAAATTGCAGAAACGGAGACGTACACCGACGTCGAGCAGGATAGTGTCGATTCACGTATCAGTGTTTCTCATAGAAAGCTACTTTCTCCATTTCTGTTGGACAAACGAGTTCCACATATTCCTATCGATGCAGAAAGGAAAGAGCTCCCATATGGTACCACAAATATCTTCTCTGAAGCGTTCTTTAGCTGGTGTGATCCGATACTGAAAGTTGGGTATCGGAGAATTCTGGTACCTGAAGATATATTTAAAATTTCCCCTGGTTCGCGCTATGACGTTGGCGAGATGGCTGCTAGATTTGAAGTTGCACTTCAACGGCGAATAGACAAGAGCCAGCAACAAACTACCGAGAGTGCGAGACCTTCGAAATCTGAAAAAGTGGGAAGTAATCCTGTGTACTCCCGATTCATTGTTGCTCTTGCTTTGCTCGACGTTTTCAAGAAACAAATCTTATTTTGCGTCTTGATAAGAGCATGTGGAGATGTCTCTTCTGGGATGAATGCTTTGCAAGTGCGAAAAATTGTCGAAATGGTTTCAAAATCTTCAGATACAAGTCCACATCCTTCTGGCTACGGCTATGCGGTCGGCATTGCGTGTCTTGTTTTGTTTCAGGGTCTTGCATATTCACATTATATGATAGCGGCGCAATACTGTGGAGCACAAATGAGAAGTGTCTTAAGTCATGCAATTCTTCAAAAGTCCATGCACATTAATAGGGAAGGGAAAATCCTTTATCCTTCCTCAAAAATTACTTCGTTTCTTTCGAACGACATCTCTAAAGTAGAGCTATCAATTTGGTACTTTGGGTTCATATTAAGTCTTCCGACAGGTTTGACAATCACAATAATTCTTCTTGTCGTCAATCTTGGGGCAGCCTCCCTAGCTGGCATTGCCTACTTCTTACTCATTACCCTCGTATCGAGCATTTTGATCAGACATTTTATGAAACTAAGGGTTGCTTCAAATAAAGGAACCGACCAGCGAATCAAGTGTCTCAAAGACGTTCTGTCAAGCATGAAGATCATAAAATACTACTCATGGGAACTCCCATATTTGAAGCTTTTAACAAATTACCGAGCAATGGAGATGGCAAACATTTTAAGATTACAAGTGATTAGAAATCTAATAACCGCCACCATTGTCACACTACCGAATGTATCCTCCATGGTCAGTTTTCTTGTTGTCTTTGCAGCAAATAATGGAAAACTTTCATCTGCCTCCAACGTGTTTTCTTCCGTTTCTTTGTTCAACATTATGATCGGTTACGTCTCCCAGTTCCCAACAGCGCTAAACACTTTGAGTGATGCACACATTGCGATTGGAAGATTGCAGACATTCTTGTTGCATCCAAATGAGGTTGCAGATCCGCTTCGTTTGATTATCGAAAAGGAAAGCTCGGAAATGGCCCTCAGTATCAAACAAGGATGGTTTAGTTGGATGCCATCGGGTGAGATATCATCGTCCACAACAGCTACAGGTCTGGTGACTTTGGAAAAAGATGATTGTTCTTCTCAGAATAGCACCCAGGTTTCTGAAATGGTTGACTCTTTTCAAGGTCTGAAAAATGTAAACCTTTCCATTTTTCATGGCGAGCTAATCATCGTGACTGGACCAATTGGCTCAGGAAAAAGCTCTCTTCTAGCGGCTATGAGCGGACTCATGCCACATATTGATGGATCTGTATCCATTGCGGGTTCGGTGACTTATTGTGGAGCATCATGGATGCAAAACGCATCTGTCAAGGAAAACATCATTTTTGGAGAAGATCTCAATCTTGAAAAATATCAGCAGGTAGTGGAGGCATGTTCTTTGGTTACAGATTTTGCGGTACTACCAGCTGGTGACAAAACAGAAATTGGCGAACGTGGAGTGAATCTCTCGGGGGGACAAAAGGCAAGGATAAATCTTGCTAGAGCCGTGTACCATGTCTATGGAAAGCAGGAGAGAAACATTATACTCCTAGACGATATCTTGAGCGCTGTTGATGCAAAAGTTGGTGAACATATCATGACACAATGTGTTAGTGGAATTCTTCAAGACAAAACACGAATTCTTGCTACTCATCAACTTTCTCTAATTGATTTGGCTGACCGACTGATTTTCATTAACTCCAATGGAAGCATCGACCTTGCTACCAAAGAAGAGCTAATAAAAACCAATCAAGAATTTGCTTCTTTGATGGAGTATCAATCCTCAAAGTCTTCTCAAAGTGATGACGTGCAGTTGTCGAAAATGGATGTATCTTCCAATCTAAAGAGGACATTTTCGCTCAACACAAAGTCTGCAGAGTTGAACAACGTCGAAAATGAATCAAAATTTCATCTATCTAGCGAAGATGGAAAGCTGATTTCTGAGGAAACCCGGAATATAAACAGTATTCCTATATCAACAATCATCCAGTATTTGAGGGAAGGATGTGGACGCTGGGGTATGGTTGTGATTATACCATGTTTCCTAATTTCGATCATTCTCACTACAGTGTGCATGTTATTACAAAATGTGTGGCTAAACTATTGGGCATCAAATCATTTTGAAGGTCGTTCAGGTTCATTCTACATTGGGATTTACGTTCTAGTTACTGTTCTCTATATGACTTGTGCAGGCTGGCAATTTTCGACAGTGGCTTACATTTGCAACAATTCCTCCAAGAATCTTAACATTAAGGCTATGCGTCGCTTGATGCATGCTACAATGTCCTTCTTCGACACAACACCTATGGGTAGAATTCTGAACAGATTCAGTAAAGACACAGAGACACTTGATAACGCAATAGTGGAGCAAGCTCGTCTATTTTGTTTTGGAATTTCTAACATGTGTGGAATTTTGGTGATTTCATGCGTTTATCTTCCATGGTTTGCAATAGCAGTGCCATTTGTCCTTTTTATTGCGCATTGCTTTTATTCCTACTATCAGGCTTCTGGTCAAGAATTGAATCGTATTGAAGCCACCCAGAGATCTCTTACCTATTCCTGCTTTGAAGAAGTTTTGAGCGGATTAGACATCATCAAACACCACAACGTGGCTACCAAGTTCACTCAAAGATTCCTTGGATACATCAATTTGCAAAATGAGGCATACTTTTCACTTCTTGGGGCGCAAAGATGGTTAGTGGTTCGGCTGGTTGTCTGTTCTGCGTTGTTCAACTTCATCATTGAAGCACTTTGTGTGAGTAAGGTGGTGGCGATCAATGATGGTGACACTGGGTTATTAGTTTCATACATGGTTTCGTTTTCCACTCAGTTAATTTCCACATCTCGGTCCATGGGTCAGCTGGAGCAATTCCTTTCATCTGTTGAAAGAATGGTGGAATATGCTAATAAATTGCCCCAAGAGGCCAGTTATTACTCCAAACCTGAATCTAAACCGTCTGAATCGTGGCCTAGGAGAGGAGAAATAGAATTTAAAAATGTGAGCATGAGCTATAGGCCGGGTTTACCTCTTGCTCTCCGCAACCTTAACGTTCACATTAGAGCTGGGGAGAAGGTCGGAATTTGTGGTCGGACTGGATCAGGAAAGTCCACTATAATGACCGCACTATATCGTCTCTGTGAGCCAGGAGACGGAGAAATTATGATTGATGGCGTTGACACCCTTTCTATTGGTCTTTATGACCTACGCTCTAAGTTGTCAATTATTCCTCAGGAGTCAGTTTTATTCAGAGGTACTCTGCGACAAAATCTTGATCCATTTGGTGATCTGGATGATGATTCATTGTACGGCTATTTGATCGAGGCTGGGTGTATCAATCCAAGCAGACTGTCAGGAATTAGACAGCAAGACCCCAATAGCGGAGAGCAGTTACATCCATTCCATTTAGATGTTGCAGTCGATGAGGGCGGGTCCAACTACTCCCTCGGGGAGAGGCAAGTTCTTTCACTCTGTCGAGCATTGATCAGAAAATCCAAAATACTTATCCTTGATGAAGCAACGTCAAGTGTGGACTATGAAACAGATGCACGCATTCAAAATACAGTGAGACTAAAATTTGCAGATTGTACTGTTCTCACTATCGCTCATAGACTCAAAACGATTCTAGACTATGACAAAATTCTGGTCATGGATAAAGGACGCTGTCTGGAATTTGACACTCCATGGAATCTTTTCCAGTCAGAAGGTAGTAGCTTCCGTGCAATGTGCTTGATCTCGGGTATTCAAGAGACCGATTTTGCAAAATAATTATGGATAGCTATGTTAAATAGACAAAATGCATTGTTACTTAAAAGATAACATCTCTTGCATAATCAAGGTAGCTATACACCATTTTGTTCTTTTGAGAGCTGAAGCAAAGCTTGCCCATGAGTGTTTTAGGTTTAGCTTTCAAAAGGCTATTAACTAGTATCTAATTTAGAGATTGCTGTTGGAGAGTTGGAAGAGGTTTGCCCTTCTGAACCATAGTTGTTATCAGTTCGTAGACAACTTGGGAAGCAGCAGTAGCTGTGATTTCAGCATTATCATAAGCCGGGCTGACCTCGACAACATCACCTCCCACAAGATTGAAATCAAGACCACGCAAAAGGTAAAGGACTTCCCTTGGAGTCATTCCACCTGGTTCGATCGTTCCTGTTCCTGGAGCAAATCCAGGGTCCATGCAATCAACATCAAGGGAAATGTAGACAGGATATTTCTCAGGAATTCTCTTCTTGATCTGAGCTATGATTTTGTCCATGGAGCTTGTACCCTGGAACCAAACGTCATCGGTACTGAATCTTTGCCAGCCCTGACTGGTATCCTCAGTATAGTCTTCCTCGCTCTTTCCGGCAATTCTAGCACGCAAACCAACGTGGACGTTGTAGTCCTCACTAATTAGTCCCTCATGAGAAGCCATCCAGAGCATAGAGCCGTGGGTAAATCTAGTTTTCTCCGAGTCCCAATACCCAGTTCTTTTGGAAGAATTCCATGTATCCAGATGAGCATCAAAGTGAATAACGGCAACCCGTCCGTAAACTTTGTGGAGTGCTCTTAGGTGAGGCAGAATGATTGAATGGTCTCCACCAAGAGCAATGTACCGAGGAGGATGGTTTGGATCTGCTTCAGACTGGCGACGCAACAAAAGCTCCTCAAATGCAGCTGTCATTTGCTCAAGAGCAACCTCGTTAGACACAGGGGTAACAGGAATATCACCACAATCCATCATGGTGGCCCATTCCTTGTACGGGTTGTAACCGGCTCTCAGATTGTAACCACGCTTCTCGCTTTGACGTTGAGAACCTTGACGAATTGCACTTGGACCAAACCGTGCACCAGGACGATAACTGGTGGCGGTGTCGAATGGCACACCAATGATTCCAATATCAAACCTTTTTTCTGGCTCAAGTAGTGCTGGGTGGTGGTCAAAATGGGCAAAAGTGACAATTCCAGCGAAGCCTGGGCCATTACCCCATTTCTCCTGTAAAGTTGCTTCCGGTTTCTCTTGAGAAATAGTCATAATTAGTGTCAACGATAGAGCGAATTATGGATAGTAAACTATGAAGAAGCTTGTGCTTATTATACACTTCTGCAAATCGAGAGGGAGCTGATAACGGAAGTTGCATATTTGCTAAAATAAGCATGCTGTATATTGAGTATCGATCTTCCCTCATTAGGGTTGGAACATGGTGAGCTCACAATGATTTCCGATACCCGAGACGCTACCGGTATTTGTTTTCTTCCTGGATCCATCAAAACGGGAAGATCAACTAATTCTGTTTTGGGAATGAAGGGAGTTTCCGTATTTAGTAATTTTAATGCAAGCAGATATGGATTTTGTAGTAGGCGATAAAGTTCAAACGATCCTGGGGAGCCTGAATCGTGATTGATGTAGCTAAAGGACAAGGGTATTTGGGAGTCATGTAGGCTGGGAAGTTATAAAAGACACAATTTTCAACGACCCCTCGTAATCGCCAAGACGTCTAGTTGGCTGTCGGATTCCATCTGTTTGATGATGTGCAGATTTTCGAGACCAATCGTAAGAGAGAGCGTATTGCCGCATTTTTTTTTATCTTGACTACTTATTAATCGAAGACCTTTGTAACGGAAACCGTTCAACTGGCACAGTTGGATGTAAAGATTTGAGCGTTCGTTCATATGGCCCAAGAAGCAAAGCGCAGAAAGTCAGGTCATGGAGGAATCAAGTTTATTGATCAGACAATAGAAACTGCTCGATTGGTCGAGAAGGGACGGCCTAAACTGCCTGGCACTTCTATAATCAATTTTGAGCAAGGAGGGAGTAGATTGGAAGCTAATGATAATCAATCCATGGAGTCTGATATTGCTAATATTCCAATGATTTTCAACCAGGAAATGGTTGGTCTCTTTTTCTCTCCCGAAGGATACGGTCTGCAAGATCTCCAGGATCCGCCGCATCCTATCCCCGACTTTGTGGAGAGTATCAATAGTTCTGAGCCAGAAAATTACAGTCACGACAGAAAGAGCGTAACGGAAGATGCACAGCATCATCAAATTTCCCGGATAAGTTCCCATTCTCATCAATCACAGCTTGTGGCGCCATACAATGCCCAGAATGAAATAGGACTAATAATGTTCTACACGCAAGAAGTTTGTCAATTTTACACAATGAAATCACCCAACTGGAATTTATATGCCTATATGGGAAGCAGGTTGGCGTGCCAATACGTTCCACTTAAGTATTCTATTTTGGCCTTATCAGCACTACATATGTCAATCAGAGATGCTACGCCCATGGATCTTGCAAAAAAGTATTATGATGAAGCACTAGGTGCTGTTATGCAAGAGAACTTTAATGGTGGTAAAGTTTCCGTTGAGCTTCTTCTGACCACATGTTTTTTCCTGCTCCTCTTTGACATCACTAGGGGTACTAAACATGCAAAACAAATCCTTCGAAAAGTCTGGTTCAAATTGCAAATAGGGAGATTTTTTGAGCAAAATGATAGCCCTGCTTCTCAAAATTTGAGCCCATATAGCTACCAAATTCTTTGTTATTTACTCCAAATGGATATCAGATCAGCTTTGTTTTCAGGGAATATCAGTTTTCCAGATTACGTTACTCTATCTAAAGAGAAGAAGAATCCCAATATAGAGTATTTGAAAAAGTCCAAGTCTTACGATAATCAGGCATCCGATATTGCAAGGCTGACACAAGGTGTCTCTGGAAACATTTACGGAGACTCGTATCCCAATGACTTCTCCGAAGATGACTCGCTTATTGACTTAATCGTTGTTATAAACATGCGAAACATCATGACTTTAGGACGTATTGTTAGGTTACGCAATTGGCTCAACCAGTGTGGAAATTCTACGGAGTTTGACTCAAGCTCTTTCGAAAAAGAAATCGACGACCTAGTCTTGGAGAACCGCAAATTGGTGAACCTGAAAACTGATCGTGATTTGGGTCCAAATGTGCGGTTCTCGATTTTAATTTGTTATGCGCTTGGATATTGTGCTGTGATTCTCTATGATCGGGTCTGCCGACCATCCATAAGAACAAATGACCGATGTCAAAGTGCTGCCACTGAAATCATGAAAATCACAATTGAACTAGCTAGTCTTCGAAATTCTCGATATCCAAAATCTCAACTCTGGCCTTTTCCACTTTTGATTGCAGGAATCGAGACAACAGATCCAATTTACCAAAGATGGGTTTTAGATCGGTTTGTCGAGTACGAGAAGCAAGGTTGGGGTGTGCATATGACGAAAGCAATCTCTCTTCTAAAAGAGTGTTTCCGTAGGCAAGCATCTTCAGATTCTCGTGTTGATCTTGGAGAAGTGATGGATACAACGACGGGCACTTTTGTTCTGTGATCTGGGGAACTCGCCAGATGCAGTATCTGCAGAATCAATTCCAGAGACATACGCTTTCTTTGGATAATGTCTTCGGACTCAGGCTAGGCTTGTTTAAATTTCTCACCGATTCAGATTCCAAAGAAACCATTCAACAATACGGTTGTACACCCCTTGATTAGCATGCTTTAATAGATACCTCTTTGTATAGTAATAAGATTAGAAAGGCTAAATATGAGCGTGTCATCAGAAATTTAAAATAGTATCTTCTTAAATTCTAACAAGAAACGATACTTTATAGCTACATTTCTGGCTGGGTATATCAAAGAGCTCGCATTTCTTATTATTCCATGGTTTGTAGGGATACCAGAGTACATTATTCATGAGAATACAATCCAGACACTAGAAATTGATTATGTGCTGTACTACTCTATCAATTTCTCTGCTTACATCTGCTTCCCACGGAGATAAGTCCTCAAAAACAGCTTTGAGCTGCGCACGAAATCACCGATCTGACTTCAGGAACACCGACGATTTATCCCTGCCAAGCACTGCCAAGACGGAGATACTCATACTCACCTAACTCCGGGAGCTACCTTTGCTTCTAGGTATATATAGAGTTATTCAGTACTTTCTTCAAGCATGATGTCCCCAATCGCAGACGCTCTTTACCGCTTTGGCCTTGCCTACGACACTGCAGATTTCTCGCTGCTAGAGTCTGCTCTTACCGACGACGCCATATTTTCAATCAACGACACAAAGCTCCACGGTTTACAAGAAATTCGCACTCAATCGTTTGAAAAGGTGGCCAAACTTGATACCACCCATTTATTCAGCAGCATTCGCACTCAACAAGACGGCAGTAAAGCAACGCTAACAGCTACAGCGCTCGCTAATCATTATCCACAGGGCAAGGGACTTGCTGGTGAGAACCGTTTCCTTCTTGGCGGTTCATTGTATACTGGGGAACTCGTTTTCCAAGACGGCCTCTGGAAATTTTCTAAAGTCCACCTCCAGCTTGTCTGGGTCAATGGTGACATGTCAGTCTTGCAATAGGTTACACTGATAGGTGTTGCTGGCCTCTAGTGAAAACTGTCTTTTGACACTGTGCAATGTTGACAGATCACGATGTATTGCTATATGGACTGCAAAGTCTAGCACATTTGTTGGCCATAGTCATGAAGATTGCTGGCTCTAGCAAAATTCGCAAGACAATCTATAGTTTCAGAACCCCATCTTTAATACTTGAGATCTTCCCATATTCAAGAGGCTTGCTTCAATGTCCTACTTTGCCGAAGAAGATGGACTCCACAATATCAACCTATTAATTACTACTTAAACTTTGCTACCAAATCTGAGTATAAGCGATTAGCTAATCACCAACTTCAAATTTCTTTAGTAGACCGTCTATTCACACCGTTTACTTGGTTCATGGCAGCTCACGCTTGCGAAGAGTGCGGCAAGACGTACTCGAGGCCCTGCCTACTACGTCAGCATTTACGATCTCATAAGAATGAACGCCCGTTTGTGTGCCCTGTGTGTGGCAATGCATTTTTTCGTCAATCGCATCTCGACGCCCACGTTTGGACACACTCTACCAGCAAACCATTTAATTGCGAGGAATGCGGTCGCGGATTTGCGACTGCACAGCAGTTGCGCCGTCATAAGCATCGTACGGTGATATGTCCGTACGAATGTGGACTGTTTTTCCCCACAAATGCTCTCCTCACTCAGCATGTCCTAGCTAGCCACATCCTCTCCGATGTAGAGCTTTCAGACAAAAATTTCTCAGATCTTCATTGTAAGCAGCCGGAATGCGAGGGTTTTCCCGTGTATGCTTCATCCGCAGATCTTCTCGAGCATTACGACGACCTCCACGAATTTGTCCCTAGCTCTCTACTAGATTTGCTCGAGGACGAGTAGTGTAATTCGTCTTTCAGACCTGGCAGTGCAATGCCTCTGTCATGCGGGGAAGTTGACTCGCAGGAAGTCGCAATTTGCTATTATATTCATGAAATACATTAGATCTTGGCTTCCACTTCTGAAGAATGCCGTTCGATTGTACACAACTGTGGCTGTCAAGTGACGAAAAAAAAAAACCGTTGAGCCTAAGCGTGGCGTCTTAAATAAGGCCCCGAGCCCTCAAAAGATGTCCTCGGGAAACCATGTCTGATAAAGGGAAAGAAGAGCAACTTTTTTCAACTGTACCCTCTGATTCTCAGAGCAGGAGTTCTCAGCTGGATTCTGATGAAAAAATCGAGAATGTGGTTCTTAACAAGGATTTCAAGTACAGACATGTCAACATGTTAGCTATCGCTGGTGCTATTGGAACGGGATTGATCATCGGATCGGGGACCGCACTGAAAAGAGGTGGGCCCGGTTCATTGTTCATTGCTTACGTGTTCACTGGCTTTCTGCTCTTGATCGTTCTTATGTCTCTAGGAGAGATGGCAGCGTACTCACCAATGGATAAAGCTTTCTCGGGATATGCTACGCGCTATGTGGATCCTGCTTTGGGATTTGCCGCTGGTTGGAATTATTTTTTCAAGTACGCTATTGTGCTCTCTGCTAACTTAAGTGCTTTGGGGATAATTATTCAATACTGGAGGAAGGATCTCAATGTTGGAATATTCATTGCCGTATTTTTGGTTGCAATCATATTTATCAACTGGTTTAATGTGAAGTACTACGGGGAGCTCGAGTTCTGGTGTGCTCTGGCAAAACTTTTGGTCCTAGCACTCTGTTTTCTTGTTTGCTTAGTGATCACTTGTGGTGGTTCTCCGACCGGAAAAACTATAGGCTTTCAGTACTGGAGAGAGGAGGCATTTACAGAATATCTTGTGAAAGGGTCCACTGGCCGGTTCTTAGGATTCTGGGCGTGCTGCATTCAGTCATGCTTTGCTTTTGTGGGGAGTGAAGCAATTGGTGTGGTTTTTGGTGAGACTCCAAACCCCAAAAAGAACATCCCACGAGCTTCTTTGCAAATTCTGTTCAGAATTGGTTTCTTTTACGTGCTTGGTGTGTTTTTGCTTGGACTGGTCATTTCTCCGAAAAACAAACTGCTTGCAACTGCATCTGGAAGCAACGCGTCTGCATCTCCATATGTGATTGCATTCGAGGTTGCACACATCAAAGTGCTTCCATCATTTATCAATGCTGCTTTGATCATTTTCGTTGGCTCTGCAGCCAATACCGATGTTTATTTAGCATCCAGAGCTTTATACGGACTAGCTAAGGATGGTCAGGCACCGAAAATATTTTTGACGTTGAACAGACATGGAATCCCATACAACGCATGCTTGTTCACATCCATGTGGGGACTTCTGGCATTTATGAATTGTTCTGAGTCTTCGGCTACCGTGTTTGGTTATTTCTCAAGTGCTGTCACAGTCTTTGGAATCCTGAACTGGTTGAACATTCTTTTGGCTTACAACGGCTATTTCCGGGCAATCAAGGCACAGAATGTTCCTAGAGAGGAAGTTGTTTTTAGAATGTGGGGCCAGCCTTATATGTCATATTTTGCAACCTTCATGATTTCAGTCATTACATTTTTCAACGGCTACAATGCCTTCATTGGCAAGTTTGATTATAAGCAATTCATAACCACTTACGTTGGTATCGTTGCTTATCTTGTCATGATTTTTGGATACAAATTTTGGCACAAAACGAAACGTGTTGATCCAAAAACTGCTGTTCTTGATCGTTCCTACAAGGAATTATATGGAGAATGAAGATACAATCAAATCTCAAAGTTCAGCTATTAAGAAAGTTAAAACTGCGCGCGATAGTGATTTTTGTATATATGAGAAACATACCATATCTAAATCACAATTCGATCTTTTCTGGATCCGTCCGGAAAGAATTCAGACAAAGATTCAAATAATTTATCACTTTCAAGGTCGTAGAATTGTCTGAATCCGTTTTGGAAGACTTCTTGAGAAAACCATTCATTCCACTCAAACTGCTCATGGTGATTACTTTGAGGAGTATCCATTATCCGTCTTTGCTTTGTAACAGGCTCTGAATCCAGAAATTCAATTATTCCCGTTGACACTGCTTCGTACAGATTCTTGAACCTCATGTACTTCTCGTAGTACTTGCATGCTTCGAGCATGACTGTCTTTATATCCGCAGAAAATGCCTGAATCTCTTCCGAGTTTTCATCCAGCCGCCAGCAACAATAAACCATTGTCAAACCTGTTGCTAACGTATCATGGAGACAGGTGGGAGTCACCTTCCAGTCGCGATTGATCAAATCTTTGTATGCACTTATGCAACTAATGCAATGAGACTTGCACAATGCTATTGTCGACGCATCCGGGACCAGGAACGATGGAGATGGTCTGTTTAATACCACAGAAACAACACTGTACCTGGCTTTCAGCTCTAGATAACACGTTAGATGATGCGGTATTTCGTTTTCAACTTGTCCCATCCAGGAATCTAGTTTCTTCTGAAGGTCCTCTCTAGTTTTCTGCACTTTGTCATCTTTCAAGAGTGGTGTTTCGCCAATGGCGCGTGATATATAAACACTCTCCAACATGTCTCCGCATATTTCACAAATCCTGATTAACATGATACACGGCAAAAACTGAATTTGCCGGTAAGAAGAGACTTCAGGTGTACTGTCGTCTACCGAGAGTTTAGGCAGTGGCGTATCGATTGCCTGCTTTCGTAAAGAAAGCCCTCTCCCAAACTTCATAGCAACAGTTCTATCGACTATGTAAGTGCACCAGAACAGCCTATTTCGTAGCTCTGAGCGCGCTTCACCAAAGTTCCAAACCGGAAGAAACCTGTGGACACCGAGCTCCATTGCTAACGACATACAAAATCGACTCAGGTGCCATAGATCGCCATTATCATCTTCAAGGGCATTAGATTCCATTTTCCAAATGATCAGCAAGAGTAGTGCTTGAAGAGATTTCTCTGATCGATTTGATAGAATGTTTTCCAGGTATCTAGAAGCTGTGTTGAAGTACTCCCCAGAAATAAACGGATTGTGGATAGAAGCTCTGTTTGTTAGCTTGCTTGACGCAATTGCTAAGATCATGAACAGTGTATACTTGTCATTGTGAGAAAGTTTGTTTGGGTGCGCATACACGTTAGCCAGCAATGTGTGTAGGTATGGAATGCTGTAAAGTGGGAAATAAATTTGAACAGAGTCGATGTATTTCGACAACAGAAAAGTGGCAATCTTCTTAGATGGTAAAGCAGCGCACGATTCTAACACATCAGAATCAAACCTTTGCAATTCCGATGTTTCAGCATCCTTGAGTTTGTTTTGCAAGTCGATCTGTTTCAGGAACAACCTAGCAAAGTTCAATCCTGTGGCTGCACCAATGTATTTTCCTCCACTCTTACCGTTAGTCACGATCAGACTTCCGACTTCATTCGATATGTTCTCTATGATCTTGTCTTTGTTCGTTTTGTCTGTCTGGTCCAGAAGGAGTTGAACGGTCTTGTAGCTATACCCTATCTCGTCCTCGATGTTGCATTCCACGTTTGCTTTTTCGCATCTGCTACATCTGGGTAGTTCTCCTGGACACTTTAGTTAGCAATCATTAATCCTAGTAACCTACTTTGACCTTTTTGCTCTTACAGTAGCCACATGGCCTCTCAAAATCAGGCTTCGGGAGATTCACCATTATTTGTGAAAATTCATATCAAGTTTTTATAAAGATGGAGAGGTTTCTTGATTAGGAAAGTAAATTTCGATAACTAGTGTCGGTGATCCCGAGAAAAAGATGATACAAATATCGTGAGATTCCACACTAAAATTATGCAAACTGTGACCACCATCGAGTCACATACCTGTGGCGAGCCCTTCAGGATTGTTGTTGATGGTATTCCTGAGCTCAAAGGAGATACTTTATTACAGAAACGAAACTTTCTGGAACAGCACCATGATTACATCAGACTCGCTTTAATGAGAGAACCACGAGGTCACTACGACATGTTTGGGGGAATTATTCTCGAGGCAATGACCGGAGGAGATGCGGCCGCACTATTCATGAATCCAAGCGGATATACCGACCAATGCGGACATGGGATGATCGCGATTATTACAATGCTTATCCAGCTGAAAAAGCTTCCTGAAGAGAGGTACAAACTTAAACCAGACTTGATGTCTGTTTCTCTTGAAACGACCGTTGGAACAATCCAAGCAAAGGCATGTTGGAACGGTAAGCGAGTTGAATTTGTGAGTTTCCACAACACCCCAGTGTGGATACTCGAACGAGACTTGAAGGTCAAGTCTTCTATTGGTGAGATCACCGGTGACATTGTATTCAACGGTGCATTCAATTATTTTGTTGAAGTCGACCCCAAAGTCTTAACAGTGAAGCCTGAAAATACGGCCGCGATTGTGTCATTGGGTGAAGAAATCAAGAGAGAAATTATTAGCATGGGAGTCAAATTCGTCAACAAGGACTTTCCGCAGATAAATCAGCTACATGGTGTCGATTTAATTAATTACCACGGCAAAGAAACCAACGACGAGACGCTCCCTGACCAAAGGTCGGCTCTGGTTTTCGGTCATAAACAGATCGACCGATCTCCATGTGGGTCTGGAACCGCTGGAAGAACAGGCTTACTTTATCTGAAAAACCGAATCTCCATCGACCATAAGTTTGTTAACGAATCATTAATAGGGGGCAGATTCAAGGCTCAGATAGTGGATGATCAGATTATGGCTGACTGTGGCTCTAAACCTGCATGTGTGGTTCAAATAGAGGGACAAGCGAATTTGCTTGGCACCAGCAGCTGGTGGCTCGATGAAGAAGATCACATTGGGTACAACGGATTCATAATTAGTAGATAGAATAAGCGGACAATAGACTTGTCGTGTACTATTCAAGCTTCATAAAAATTTAGTTCGGGGGCCCCGAGGAAAAAAACTGAGGAGTTCAGATTGCATGGCAGTATCTAAGATAGAAAAAAGTTTAAAATCAGGTCGGACCCCCGACTTTGTGCTCTGATAGACCGAGATGAGCAAAGAATTGAGCCCCAAGGAGTCTATCTCTAATGTGCAAATGGATATCGAAGATTCTGCAGAGGCCTTGGCAGCTGAACTACGACTTAACAAGCGCGTTGTTATGAAGATCGATCTAGTGATTCTTCCGTTTCTTGTCTGTACCGTGTTTCTACAGCTACTGGACAAAAATTGCTTGTCGTATGCTGCACTGTATGGATTAAAGACCGACAACAACTTGAAAGGACAGGAATACAGTTGGCTTGCTACCATCTTCTACATTGGATATTTATTTGCGGAAATTCCAGTGTTTTTCTTGCTGCCAAAGATCAAAAATCTTTGCAGATGGATGTGTGCGTTACTGGTTATTTGGGGAGCATTGCTTATGTGCATGGCCGGATGTCATAACTTTGCAGGCTTAGCAACCGTCAGATTGTTCCTTGGTATTTTTGAGGCAGCAATTCAACCTGCGTGTATCATCCTCTCTACAACGTGGTACACCAAGTCTGAACAACCTATTAGAATGGCCTTATGGTCTAACACGTTTGCCGGTGTCTTCAATGGTATCTTTGGTTACGGAATTGGGCATTGGACTGGATCGCTGTCGACGTGGAAATATTTCTTTCTTGTTTACGGGGCTGTGACCATTGCTTTTGGAATTGTGTGCTCGTTCTTGCTACCAAACAGTATCGAAACTGCATGGTTCCTAAATGCAGAGGAGAAAAAATGTGCCATTGCCAGGACCGCAACCAACCAAACCGGAATTCATCTCGGAGCGAAGGATATCAAATGGAAACAGATTCTTGAGGCTGTGACAGACCCAAAGTACTGGTTGCTTGTCGTCTTTATCATTGTTCAAAACTTCATCAATGCTGGAATCACAAACTTTAACACCTTCATCATCAAAGGATTTGGATACTCCAATTATAGAACCATGTTGTTGGCCACCCCTCAGGCAGCGGTGGCCATGGGAGCGTGTATCTCAGTGGCATTTATATGTTACTTTGTGAAAAACATTAGATACATTCTCATATGTTTAACAACATGTGTCACCATGGCCGGTATCATAATGTTGTGGAAAGTCTCTCCAACTCTGCACAGAAACACATGTCTTGCTGCTGTGTATATTTGCGGATTTTACAACGCTCCATATGTGCTTACGCTGTCCTTGATTGCCTCCAATAATAGTGGATCAACAAAAAAGGCCTTCAATTCCATCAGTGTTGGGTTGTTCTACGCTCTAGGAAACTTGATTGGTCCTCAGTTTTTCCTCAATTCTGAATCTCCGACTTATCCAACCGGTATCAAGGCCATGCTTGCAGCTTGCGTGATCATGTTGTTTTGTGTTTCTGTTTACGCGCTCCTCTGCTTTGTGGAAAACAGAAGAAGGGATAAAACTCAGCTGGTCAAAAATGGAGAGCTGGATCTGGAAGAAATTATTAGAATCGGAAAAGAGGTCGACAGAGATGACCTTACAGACGTCCAAAATAAATATTTCCGCTATAGCTTTTAAAATATTACAATCAAGAAGCATATTTCGAATAAACGTCATCAAGTTCATCCAGAAACTTGCGTTTGAACTCAATATCGCTGGTCCAAGCCATTCTGATTGCATTTTTCTCAAAATTGTAAAGATCTTTAGCAGTCAGTTTGCAACCATCTGCAACTCCGAGTAATGTTCCCGTTTTTGAATACACCAGGTATGCAGGGTCATCACTATTTAGGGTAACAGGTATTCCGTAATTGTAAATTTTGGTCACTTTAGGGAAAACATTATGTGGGCCCAGGTGCTTTTGATACCCCATCGGACATAGTGTAAGGCCGAGATTGGCTGCCTTGACTAGATCCAGCAGCTCTGTGGTGTCAGCAGTGTTCATACCATGATCAATTCTGTCAGCACCGGTAGTAAACTTTGGTAGCAAGTACAAGTCTGGGTTATCCAGCTCATGTTTTTTAAACTCTGGCCTGGAACCAGCCAATTCCTTAACCACATATTTAATGTGCTCGTGCGTATTTTTCTGATCAACATCACAATGGGCTGTAATTTTCCAACCGTATGACCGTGCAAGCAAAAACGCGTCTTGGAATTTACTTGGTGGGTTGTCGTGTTCGTCAGAGTCCAATCCCAAAGCAATGATCTTGTCCTTGTAAGGCTCTGCCTGCTTAACAATATCAAGACCGCTTTCCGCAGACATATCCCTAACAATGCACAAGACCCAATGCAATTGAACATTGTAGTCGGCTGCTTCTTTCTGTGCTTTAAGCAGTCCTTCCATAACGGTTTCGAATTTCACACCCCGTGAGGTGTGCGCTTGGGGATCAAAGAATGCTTCCAGATAACGGATATTTTGGGATTGAGCAACCTTAATGTAGTCCAATGCCATATTGTAGAAGTCGTCTTCGGTCAGAAGAACGTTCATCGAGGCATAGTAAACTTCCAAGAACTCCTGGAGGTACTTCGTGGCATCCTGGCCTTCCTCGTAGAGATACTCAGTCAAATACTGCTTCTTCAAGTCCTCTAGCGAATTGCACCCCGGTAATTCAATTTTATTCGCATGTGCACATTTCCAACGCCGTTCAGCCGTCAATGTGCCTTCAATATGGAGGTGCTGTTCGCATTTGGGCAGTTGTGCGACAAAACTGGACAAACTCATTCGATTATTCAATGGATTAAATTATCAACAACCAATGAAAAAATCTCGGGGCACAAAACCTGCTTATCTCGACCAACGAAAAACTTTTTCACCGTCTTATCTTGGGCTTGATAACATTTTTAAGCGGCCATACAATTGTGGGAAACAATAAAGAATTCCATTTCTGTATAGAAAAACACGCGGCCACAGCTGTTCTATTGTTCTGTTTTCTCGCCTTATTCTCGCCGGGATTTAGGACCGCAGAAATTCATCACGGCGCCATTTCAACTGCCGCAAGAGTCATGATTCCAAACATATTTTTTAGTGCTGCCAAGCGAACTATATTCCACCTGAGGCAAAACGCCTACTGAAAATTTTTTAGCCGCATAATCTAGATAAACCTTTGATGCATTGAACCGCAGGGACCAGTACAAACATCATCAAAACTTTTGAAAGATTTTTTTGACACCTTTCATTATAAAAAGCATTCGTTTCTCAACTCAATTCAGCATCAATTGTCATCATGGTCACTGAAATTCCATTACCTCAAGGTGCTGGTTACGCCGTTGTCGTTGGACTTGGTTTTGTCTTTTCTCTTGGTATGATTTTGACAACCTTTGTCCTGCGTCGGTACCAGAAAGAAATCATTACTGCTGAAGAGTTCGTCGCAGCAGGTCGGTCTGTTAAGACCGGTCTGATTGCTGCTGCTGTCGTCAGTTCTTGGACTTGGGCTGCAACCCTGCTTCAATCCTGTACTCAAGTTTACAAGAATGGTGTTTCTGGAGGTAAGTCTATTCAATTCCATTCCATTCCAACTAACACATTTAGGTTTCTACTATGCCTCAGGTGCTACTGTCCAAGTTATTTTATTCGCGTTCATTGCCATTAAAGCTAAGCAAAGGGCCCCAGAAGCCCACACTTATCTCGAAATTATCAAAGCCAGATACGGCACGGTTGCACACAGTGTCTACCTGTTCTTTGCCATTGCAACCAACATCTTGGTCACTGCCATGTTGCTAACCGGTGGCTCTGCCGTCATCAGTGATCTCACTGGTATGAATACTGTTGCTGCTTGTTATCTTCTCCCAGTTGGTGTGGTTGTCTACACTTTGTTTGGTGGTATTAAGGCAACTTTCCTGACCGATTACGCACACACCATTGCCATCATTGTCATCATCTTGACCTTCGCCTTCACTACCTACGCTACCAGTGACCTTTTGGGATCTCCAAGCAAAGTCTGGGATTTGGTTATGGCTGCAGGAGAGAAGAACCCTATTGACGGAAATGCCGACGGTTCTTACCTCACCATGAATTCTCGTTCCGGAGGTATTTTCTTCGTTATCAACATTGTCGGTAACTTCGGTACCGTTTTCCTTGATAACGGATATTGGAACAAGGCTATTGCCTCCAGTCCAGCTGCTGCTCTCCCAGGTTACATTTTTGGTGGTCTCGCTTGGTTTGCTGTTCCATGGTTGGTTTCTACTACCATGGGATTGGCCTGTGTTGCCCTGGAAAACAACCCAGCTTTCCCAACCTATCCAAACCCTCTTACATCAGAACAGGTGTCTGCTGGTTTGGTTCTCCCAAGTGCTGCCGTTGCCATGATGGGCAAGGGTGGTGCTGTTGCCGCTTTGATCATGGTTTTCATGGCCGTCACTTCTGCTTCTTCTGCCGAATTCATCGCCGTGTCTTCCATCTTCTCCTACGATATCTACAAGGGATACATCAACCCAAATGCTTCCGGTAAGAAGATCATCATGACTTCGCACATCTCGGTGATCATCTTCTCGCTTGTTATGTCGAGTTTTGCAACTGGTTTGTACTACGCAGGAATCTCCATGGGTTACCTTTACGAACTTATGGGTATTATCATTTCTGGTGCCGTTTTCCCAGCTACTATGACCTTACTTTCAAGCAAGCAAAACGTCCATGCAGCCATTTGGTCTCCAATTCTTGCAACCGGATTTGCTATCATGAGTTGGTTGATCTGTACCAAAAAGCAGTTCGGTGCAATCTCTGTCGACTCTACTTTTGAGGACAACGCCATGCTTACCGGAAATGTTGTTGCTTTGCTTTCGCCACTTATTTTTGTTCCTGTGTTGACCTTTGCTTTCGGCCCACAAAACTTTGACTGGGACATTTTGAAGAACATCAAGAGAGTTGATGAAACCGAAGAGATCATAGAGGCTACCGAGGAGCCAGTCAAGGATTCCGAATTCCAGCCTATCAAGTCTCATGTTACTGCTATTGCTCATGATATCTACGAGGAAAAAAGAATCACTGCTGCTAAACAAGAGGAGGAATTGCTCGGAAGAGCTTCCAAAATTGCTGGATACACTTGTCTGTTCATGGCCATTTCCCTTTTGGTCGTTTGGCCAATGCCAATGTACGGAAGCAAGTATGTTTTTTCCAAGAAGTTCTTCACTGGTTGGGTTGTTGTCGGCATCATCTGGATGTTCATCTCGGCTTTCATTGTTATCATCTATCCACTTTGGGAAGGTAGACACGGTATTTACGTCTCTATGAGAGGTATCTACTGGGATCTTTCTGGCCAAACCTGGAAACTTAGACAATGGCAGAACGAGCACCCTGAGGAGCTTCACGTTGTTCAGAGTCAAGTTTCTGCTGAGATTGCAGATGAGAGACTCGAAGGTATTGAGCAAGCTATTGAGAGCGAGTCAAAGAAAGAGTAATTTTTATAAGTTTTTATATTTTTGAGTGTTAAGGTCTTTTTTTTAAACATCTCGAAGTATTAGAGATCTAGGGTGCTCCTTCGGTGCCAAATTTTGCTTCCAAAACTGTTGCCATAATTTTGCAACCCTTATCACACAAGACTCCTCGCACCAAATTTATCAACACATGAGATAATTTTAGCGGTTTCATTTTTCACCACGTAGATGGCTAACAAGCAGTTTGAGTGCCAGGTATGTCACAAGGTGTTTTCAAGGGTCGACTACTTGAATAGGCACCAGGTGAACCATGATGCAATTAAACCATATCCTTGCCCGCAGTGCAACATCGGGTTTGCTCGACGAGACTTACGAGACAAACATTTTAAATCCAAGATCCACAAGCGTCGAATTGATCTTCTAAGAAGGCATGAATCTGTGGCTACTGTTGAAAAGCCTCCAACCGTAGTACCAAAGGAAGAAGCTCCGATGGATAACTACGGTTGGTTGTTTGGAAGCTACTCAAACCCGGGATCTAATACTCCTCCCTTAGACGAGCCATTTTTTTTAAACACAGTCAGCCCGGAGCCAAATGTTAATATCAGGGACCATTCTGATTCATACACACCTCAGATGTTTGAGGATCACACAATCGGCATGTTGTTGGAGATTCTCAGCATGCCCGAGTTGAATGAGATCTTCCATCCAGTCAATCTCTCATACTTTGTTGATCTGTTCTGGAAGAACTTTGATGTCAACTATCCGATAATCCATCGCCCGATTAACAGCAATCATCCGTTTCTTCTAATATCAGTGATCTCTTACGGAATGGTTTACTCAAACTCCCCTGTGAACATATCTTTAGCTTGTCAGATCCAACGCCGCTTGATGAAGCTTCAGATGGACGAAATCTGTGACTCCGAAGGTGTCAGTTTGGAATCGCTTCAGTCATTGCTACTGAGCAGCCATTTTTGCTCAAACATTGGCGACTCCAGTCTCCACCGACAAGCGAAACTATTCCATGGAACTATTATGGGTGTTGTTGACCTGCCGAGCCTAGTTCAGCAATTACACGAGCCAATTATCGCAAAACCCGAATCGGCCACTAAAGAAGAGCTCACACGGTTCTGGACAGATTGGATTCGATACGAGTCGTACAAGAGGGTTGCATTTTTTGCCTACGTGTGCGATTCGCAACATGCGTATTTGAACCAGGGCCATACCATGATCTCTGTGTTCGATCTCCAGCTTGATTTACCTTATACGGATGCTGTGTGGATGGCATCCGATCCAAACGTGTTTTTGCAAGAATATCTGAAGCAGCCCAGAGAGTTGACGCCTAGACGCAAGGAAACCGAGAGACGGCCTCCAGAAACGTCAAACTGGATTAACATCATGCCTCATATCAAGGAAGAAGGAAAATGGCCAAACTTCTTATTCTCCCTGCGAAGATTAATGCAGCCGTATAAGGAGCACCAAAAAGAGTACAATTTGAACTGTTTCAATCAATTTTCAAGACTCATTATTCTACAGGGACTCATTAGCATCACCTGGAATCTGAAATGGAAAGGGTTGCAGGATTTGGGAATTGCTTCCAAGAAGAAACTCGAAAGTCTTACCATTAAGTTGCAAGACGCTTTTGATCGATGGAGAGATTACTTTGATTACCAGATCCATACAACGAACACTGCGGTCATGAAACGCAATCCACCGGAGAACAAGGATCTCACTTACTTGAATAGGTACGACACCTCACCAATTTTCTGGAATAACTTGACTCAGCATCAATTTGGACTGTTACTTCTCTATGTTGATACCCATGCACTTCAGAACCTTGCTGTGCAGTATGCTGCAACCGCTTCCAGTTCCAACCCTTATCCTCGACTTGACTCTTCGATCAACATACAGGCCTGGATCAGAAACACAAACTCGCAACGAACTTTGGTCAACGCTTGTAAACTTTTGCGCACGGTATTCTTCAACACAGAGATCATATCATGTATTCCCCACTTGGTCAAGTACGTGGGGTCTGCGTGTCTGGCGCTCTGGTGCTTTGAAACTTACAGAGAAGATCTGCCCAGTGACCTGGAAGAGTCGTCTGTTGCAAACCCCATGCGTTACATTTGCAACGGTCAAATACACGAGCCTTCGGCGAAGGAAGACTCATTCAACTACCTGAACATGATCATCGATGACGATGAAAATATCGATGCGAAGACAGAATTCGTTTTACGGCAGCAGCAGGTGCTTGGAATTTTATGCTATTGCAGTCTTCTTTTTGAATCAAATGAGTGGAAAAGTCTCAATGTGACTGGCCTACTTCTACGGCAACTGGTCTTCAAGAGACATCAAAATTTCGAATAAATTAGAGCACATATTAAACAGAGCTGGAGCCATCCTTTTCTGTCACCTCAGTGATAAACCCCGACTTCTCGCTAACATAGACTTCGGTTTGATCGTCAATTTCTGCGAATGGCGCCTCGAGTCCCAGACCCGGAGGTGGAAAGACGTAACAAATTAGTGAATGAGCAAAGAAACTAATAAATAGTCCAACCAGGTAATTCAGATTGTAGAACCTTTCGTAGCCGGGTGACATGTAATAGTTTCCTGCAGTGCAGGCGAGACCAGCAATGGTTGGCGCAAATCCAAGGGTGAATGATAGAAGTCCACGCCAGTTGAGCCCCCATTTAGTCCAGTAAATGGAGGGCTCTGTTCTGTAAAGATCGCAGAGCTTATATTTCATTCTTCTCACCACAAAGAAGTCGGCAAGTGCTCCTCCCACCAGGGGACCAACAAAGACAGCAAATCCACTGAGAACTGTCAAGAACGTATTGGACGTTGCCAAAAGTTTCCATGGCTGGCAGCAAAGGCCAATAACGGTCATCACATAACTCCCGCGACGGATGTTGATGTATCTTGGAGCGAAACCCGAAATATCCATACCAGTACTGCAGGCTGTTAAAAGGACAGCTTGCCAGAGCTGTCCGGACACAATTCCAAACGAGGCAAAGAAAACACCTGCACGGACTGCAGGACTAAAGTCGTAAAACGTTAGCAGCTTAGGCAACAGAGTCAGCGGGTTCCAGTAAATAGCCCCCAGAACTGGCTCCATGGCGGCGGAAGCAAAGATTCCCATGGCAGCAGTCAAGAACATAGTCACCGGCGCAGTGATGATCTGACTGAAGTTTGGAGCAAACTTGGTCTTGGCGTATCTGGTCCAATCACTCTGCCCCAGGACTCCAGAACTGGAGCCACACATATTGCTGATCATGTAGAACGCGGCCCAGGTGGGATTCACGTCTTGGCTGCCACTTTCGCTCCACAGAGGACCCAGTTTTCCATGATTTGCGTGAATGGCCCAGCCCATCATTCCGAAGAAGGAGCCTGTTTGAAGCACGAAAGAAATGTGGACCATTGGTTGCATTTTCTCTGGTGGAATCAGCATGGTGACAGAAAAAAGAATGATTGCCAGGAAAACACCAACCAACTCGTTCTTAGTTAGAGGACTCCAGCTTGAGAAGGGTTCTCCCATACTTCCTGTAATAAAAACAGGCGACAGAGCACCCAGCGTACCCACAAAACCTTGACCCATGTAATAAAAGTGCAATCCTTGCCAAATACAGGCGATAAAGGACTTGATTGCAATCGGCAGGAAACAGCCGTAGAAACCAAAAATAGCACGCGACGAGACAGTGTAGCCGATCCTGCATCTTTGCCCAATGACACCGATCAACACTGCAATAAGACCAACGATCATCGAACCACCTGCAATTGCTCCCAGAGCTTGTTTACAGTTGAGTCCGTATGCCAAAGCAGAGGCACCCATCGACCATCCTGGAATACCCATTCCTGCAACAGCCCAATACCCAAAATATGACAAAGACGTCCAAGTTTGTCTGTCTTTTGGAATCGGAATCAGGTCTCTGTTTGTCCATCTATCGTTCTCGTACTCTGAGTCCTCGTCTTTTGGAACCGCTAAAAGTTCCGACATTGGAAGGTGTTCCGGATTTCTAATCACTCTGACAATCCATGGATCGTTGAAAGGGTTGGGAATACCCAAGTCGTGTAGCTTCCAGTCTTGAGACATTGATACTGTTCATGCAGGGAGATTGTTCCTATTTTATACTTCTTTTATCACCAATCCAATCCTGATTTGAGGGACCTCTTATCGTCGACGCAGCATTTCTGCGAGGGTGGGCGCAAACTTTCGGGCAGTGCTTTTTGGTGGAGAGTGCTTTCAATCTCAGTATGTAGGATTCATTCTCTGTTCTATATACTGTTGTGCGTTGATTGAGTCATATACTTTGGGTTCTCCAGGAGACCAGCATCCCGGAAGACAGCTGATTGCCACATCTCGGTTGGGATTGACAAAATAGGGTATTGAATATCTGGCTTTGGAGATTCCAGATTGAGCCGTACCCGGTGGAGCACGAACTCTATGTAGTGTACTTTTCAGACGATTGTTGGACCATCTCATGAGTAAGTCGCCGATATTGACCACTACCGTTCCTGGAATTGGATGTCCTGGCACAAACCTGTCTTTCGAGTGAGGGTCTTCAATTTCTAGACCGCCTGTAGAGTCCTGAAACAGCATGGTCAGTGTGCCAAAGTCTGTATGTGCTCCGATCCGTTCCTTTTCGCCGGTTTCAAGCTCCACCTGTTTTGTTGGTGGATAGTGCAATAAACGTAGCTGATTGATACCGTCGGAATGGTATTTTACCAGATAGTCTTCCTCAAGCCCCATTCCAAGCGCAATAGCTTCTAGAATGTGCTTGCTGGTGGTTTCGCATGTTTTCCAAAACTCCACCATAAATTCCCTGAATCCTGGAATGTCGCTCTCCTCCGGCCAGAAATTGTAGTATAGGGTGTCTTTCTCGTTGTTCATCTCGAATGACTCCTTGACGTCTGGGTGTTTACGGGCATTGACCACGAGATCCCGCTCTGGCTCCAGTCCTAGTTGTGAGACTTTTTCCTGTCCAACATTCGAATACCCGGTATGGTGGCACGGGGATGGTGGATGTGGGCATTTCATTTTATTCTGCAAAGGCAATGTCAAAGAACCGCTTGCTCCAGACAAATGACTGGTCAACCAAGTTCTGGGGAACTCCATGATTTTGGAGATAGAAAAATCCGACTTTCCGAACCGATTCAAAGATCTCCGTAGCCACACGTTTTCTGTCCGTCGGGGTACCTTTCAGGAACAGCCCAAAATCGAATATGGGTATACTTGCCCGATCGGACATGGCAATTGAATCAGGCATACGTGATCTAGCTTGATGGCTGTTTGTGCTCGAAGGAATGCTTAGACGATATAAATTCTTATCGCTGTTGAAGTGCCCACCAAAAAAATCTATAAAATCACGTGCACGCGCTCTCTCTGCGTTATCTAGCATATTTGATTACAAATTGTGGAGGATCCGTGTATGAGAGAGCTGTTGAGCGAGGAACTCGCTTTCCGCAGGCAGGAGTCTTACCCGCTCGAGAATTTACCGGGGTGTATCGGAAGTCTGCTGGATGTAGTTTTTTCTATTTAAGGATTATTTTCTAGCCACTAATATGGTGGAGAACTTGTGAAAGATATAAGTATGGCTTTGGAGCCGCTGAAGATTCATCGACCGACGAAGGTGGCAATCTTTGAAATTCTCAACTATCTCCACCAAACCATAAAAACAGCTCTATCCAAGTAGTGGACGTTCTTCTCTATTCGAGAAGGTTCTTGTTCTGCCAGAGCCCTCATCGACACACAACACACACACACTCCCCTCGTAGCTGTTCTGGCCAGTTGTCCCAAGTAAATATTCCACCTGCGTAAATGGGAGTGGTGGGCCAAAAAATATCGGTGAGATCCCAATCTGGAAACTATTTTTTTGATAAGCGAGAGCCAATAAATATCGAGAGTTCCCGAGCTTTTCAAAACTTAGTTTAACATGTTAATTGGAGTGGACGTTGGAGGAACCAACACTGACTCAGTGCTTATTGATCCGACCAAGATTGGATTGGAATCCCATGGTGTGCTAGCGTGGAATAAGATGGTCACCTCGGTTGAGGTCTCAGATAGCATTGAGAAAGGTATATCTAAGCTATTTGAAGAGTGTAAAGACGTTAATAAGAAAGACGTGGCCTCGGTGACTATTGGAACCACCCATTTCATTAATGCAGTTGTGGAGCAGGACCGAGCTCGTCTAGATAGAGTCGCAGTCCTCAGACTTTGTGGACCGTACTCGAGACACGTCTATCCGTTCTCGGACTTTCCTCCTGGACTGACCTCGGTGATCAGAGGCTATATTGGATATCTTAATGGTGGATTCCACGTTGATGGAAACGAAATCCAGCCCGTCAGCGAAAAGGAAGTGCTTGAACACGTCCGTAAGGCCAAGGATCTGGGTATCACGTCTTTTGCAGTGATTGGGATCTTTTCCCATATGAAGCCAGAGCACGAGGATTTCGTCAGAGACATCATTCTCAAAGAGATTCCAAGTGCCAAGGTGAGTGTTTCTCACCGTGTTTCAGGAATCGGGTTCCTCGAAAGAGAGAACGCTACGATTCTGAATGCTTCCATTCTGCATTTCGCAGAAAAGATCATTTCTTCCTTTGCCAATGCTATCAAACGGCTTGGTCTCAGCTGTCCTGTTTTTCTTACTCAGAACGATGGAACGGTTCTTTCTGCAGCTGAGGCTCTGAGCTTGCCCATTCGGACCTTTTCGTCTGGTGCAACCAACTCCATGAGAGGTGCTTCGTTCTTGGCCAACACTCACGGTAAAAGCGCAATTGTTCTGGACGTGGGTGGAACCACCACGGATGTTGGTCTGCTACTGTCCACTGGGTTCCCACGCCAATCGTCCTCGTACTCGATTGTTGGTGGTGTGAAGATGAACTTCTCCATGCCTCACGTGGAGAGTATTGGACTCGGCGGAGGCTCTTTGGTGAGAGGAGAAGGCGAAGAGATGACCATCGGACCGGACTCCACTGGATCGGAGATCGTCAAAAGAGCACTGGTGTTTGGAGGCTCTGAGGTCACTGCTACCGACTGTTCTGTGGCAGCGGACCAGCAGCTTGGCGGCGACTTGGTGATCGGTAATGCTCTTGCTGTTAAGGATAAGTTCAGTGCAGAATATTTGGCCAGCTTCAAGAAGAGAACCAAGATCATGATGGAGAAGGTGATTGACAGAATGAAGACCAGCTCAGACGACATTATGGTTCTGGCTGTGGGTGGTGGATCGTTCATTGTTCCAGAACATCTTGACGGTGCTTCTGAGGTGATCAGACCGCCATTCCACAGCGTTGCCAACGCAATTGGAGCTGCAATGGGTAAGGTTTCTGCCGAGATTGGTGAGATCAAGCATCTGGCTCCTGGAACTACCACCAAGGAACAGGTGCTCAAGGAACTGGAGGAAAAGGTTGTCAGCCAGATCATGGAAAAGGGTGCTCTGGAAGGAACCATCGAGACTGTGTTTGTGTCCACAGACGCTGTTCCGTATGTTCCAAACACGTACGAGTTTGTGATCAAGATTGTTGCCGACGTGGACTACTCCAAGGTTCAGAAGTTTACGTTCGAGGCAAAGGATTTTGAGTCTGGAACCAAGGATATTGTCAAGAAGTCTCTTTTCGAGGAAACGGAGACCAAGATCCCTGAAGACGTGGACTTCACTACGTACAAGCCAACCATCAACAAGCAGAGAGAATGGCTCCTGAATGAGACAGACGTTGAGTTCATCTCCATCGGAGCCTACATTTTGGGCTGTGGTGGTGGAGGTAACCCTTACTCCTACATGCTGGAGGTGAAGAACTACTTGAGAGAAGGAGATACCATTAAGGTTATTGATCTCGAAGATGCTCACAAGTACGTGGCCGCCGAGGGCAGTGTTGTTGCCGTCTGCTACGCGGGATCGCCAACGGTTTCTCACGAGCAGCTTCTTGGAGACGCTCTTATCGAGGCGTACGAGATTATGGCCAAGTACACCAACAAGAAGCCGGAGCTGCTGTTCCCAATTGAGATCGGTGGAGGCAATGGATTGTGTGCTTTCCAGATCTCCACCTCCTCGAGACTGAATCTGCCTGTGGTTGATTGTGACACTATGGGCAGAGCTTATCCGACCCATTGGCAAACGACTCCTGTGGTGTACACTCCAGAAGGCCAGTCGTTTTATGCTCCAATGGTGTTCAGTAACGGAAACGGAAACTCGGTGATCATGTCGTCGTCCAGATCGGACTTGTTGCTTGAAAAGGTGATGAGAGCTTCTCTGGCAGAGCTAGGATCCAAGGTCGGAACCGTCAACCCACCAATGACCATCAAGGACGTCGAGGAAAAGACCATTCACGGGTCTTTGTCTCTGGCTTGGAGAATCGGCAGAGCCGTCAAGATTGCTCGCCAAAAAGCAGAGATCGACAAGCTGCCTCAGAGAATTCTCGAGTCCGTCAACAACAGCGGAAAGTACCTGTTTGCGGGCAAGATCATCGATGTTGAGCGGAAACTGTTCAAGGGCCATGCTTGGGGAGAAGTAGTTATCCAGGAAACTGAGGAACCAAGACGAAAGATGACCATTCCGTTCAAGAACGAGAATATCTACTGCAAAGTGTCCAACGCGGATGGAACAGCAGAGGAGATTGTCTGCTCTGTTCCCGACCTGATTGCCGTTGTGGATGCTTCCACCGGTGACGCTGTGGGAACCAGTGACTACCGCTACGGACTGTTGGTGTTTGTTCTGGGAATTGCTCCAAGTAACAAATGGACAGACACAGAGAAAGGTATCCGGATCGGAGGTCCTGCTGGGTTCGATCTCGACTTCGAGTACAAGCCAATCAGCAAGTACGAGAAGCCGCTTTCTGTGATTGGAGAATACGCCGTCTAGATAGAGTAATTTTGTTGTTCGGTATTCAAGTGTATGTAGCGTTGAGTCTCATAGCCAGATAGTCACCGGAGGTGATTGGCGGATATTTCTTTGGGTTCTCTTCGGTGAATGTTCCTGGAAGAGCGTCCACAAGCTCGTCTCTGTCTGCGGCAACAAAGTACGGAATCGAGTACCTGACCTTGGACATGCCTGTTTGCGAGTCGATAGGCGGAGCTGTGACTCGGTGGAGAGTCGACTTGAGCTTGTCGTTGGACCATCTCATGAGGAAATCGCCCGTGTTGATCACCAGGGAGCCAGGAATACATGGTGCCGAGATGAAGTGGCCCTTGTCGTGGGGCGATTCCACCTGGAGACCGCCGCACTGGTCCTGCAAAAGCATGGTGAAGGTGCCGAAATCAGTGTGTGCAGCAATCCGCTCGCTCTTCCCGGTCTTGAGGTCTGCAGTGGAGGTGGGCGGATAGTGCAGCAGTCTGAGCTGGTTGTTAGACTTCGTGTGGTACGAAGTTAGAAACTCCTCGTCAAGACCCATACCCAAAGCAATTGCACGCAGCACTTTTTTGGATAGCACGGTGCACAGCTTGTAGTAGTACAAACAGTACTCCTTGAAAGCAGGAATGTCATCCTGGTCGGGCCAGAAGTTGGCCAACTCTTTGTTCTCCTCGTTTCCCATATCAAAGGACTCTTTCACGTCTGGTTTCTTGCGCAGCTCCTCGATCTGACTCTTATCAAACACCATCTGGACCACCTTCTCTCTTCCCACATGCGACCAGCCGCGATGGTGGGCCCCGTTCTCGGGATGGCTACACTTGGACTTCTGCTCTTCAGAGAGCTTGAAGAACGTCTCGCTCCATTGGAACATGCGCTCCTGGTCCTGCTGGGAGATCCCGTGGTTGATGATGTACAGAAACCCAACGTGGGTCATGGCATCCACCACCTGCTTGCCGATCCGGCGACGCTCCTCCACGCTGCCGTCGTCGAACTTGGCGAAATCAATAAGAGGGACAGTGTCGGAAGTCATTGCAAGTAATTGGGGCAGTCGAATGTCTATTTATCTCTCGATTATGTACATCGCCCACCGGTTTTTGGCCCAGTCCGTTATCCTCCACCATGTGCGGCGGTGCGGCTCGGAATGCCATGTTGTTTTGCCGACGTGCATATCAGGCCTTTTTACCAGGACACTCCAGATCACTGTAGTACCAAGCACCAACAAAGGGACCGAAGTCGGAGTATCTTTTACTGAATCCCAGGTCGGAGATTGCGGCGTAGTCCTCATCCGACAGCTTCACAGTCTCTCCACCGAGGTTCTCGTCGATTCTCTTGGGCGTCACAGATTTAGGAAGCACCGAGGTTTCTCTATGGATAGCCCATGCAACCAGCACCTGAGCCGGGGTTTTTCCGAGCTTTTCGGCCACAGTAACCACCTTAGGATGCTCCAGAATTTTTGGCTCGCCAGACGTCTCGTACGAGGAGTTCTGGTTGCCGAACGCAGAGTACGCAGTCACGTGAATGCCGTTATCCTTGTGGAACTTTAAAAACTCGTTCTGCTTCAAGTACGGGTGCATTTCCATCTGGTGGACCTGTGGCTTGATAGTACATGTTTCCAGCAGGCGTTTGGTCTCGCTGAGACAGAAGTTGGAGATTCCAATGGCACGGACTTTGCCGGTGTCCAACAGCTTCTCCATGGCTTTCCAGGTGTCGACATAGTCGATATCTGCTGGCTTGGACGCAGACGACTCCAAAAAGGCAGTCTTGTCGCAGGCAAACGGATAATGCATCAGATACAGGTCAACGTAATCCAATTGGAGCTTTTTCAGGCTCTCCTCCAAAGCAGGCAGCACATCCTCTGGAGCGTGGTGGGAATTCCACAGCTTCGTGGTGACAAAGATATCTTTACGGTCGACGCCGCTGTTCTTGATTCCATCGCCCACCTCGGCCTCATTGCCGTAGATGGCGGCAGTGTCGATGTGCTTGTAGCCGTTTTTCAGGGCGTGCTCGACAGCAAGAGCCACCTCGTTGGGCTGGGACTGCCAGGTTCCTAGGCCCACCAGGGGCATCACGACGCCGTTGTTCAGGGTTGCTGTGGGAAAAGACATGTTGGTACTGCGGTCAACAGATTCCGGCGTCGCTTTTATTTCAAGTCCGCCCACCCACTTTTCTAAACACACCCTCTCCACCAAGATAAGATAAGACGCAATTTCTGTCCGGATTTTAGAGGTTACTACTCTCTCACTAAAAAATCCGATCCTCGGTACGTGGTGCACGGGAGTTCGAATCGAATATTAATTTCCACAATTATTTAATTGTCTTGTTACATGTCATTGGCAATTGTGCACCCGTTGCTGCTGCTCCACGTGACCGACCACCAGACCCGCGCGGGGCAGGACGTTCGTGGCGGCGTGCTGGGCGTCTATGACAAAGAGACTGACACTTACTCGCTGTTTCTCGGGTTCGAAATAGACACCATAGAGGGCTTGCAAGATAGATTGCAGCTGTTGCGGCAGATCTACCCGCACCTGTCGCTGCTGGGCACGTACCGGGCGGGCGAGACGCCCGAATTGGACCTCCCCACAGTGACCAGCCCTGTGCGACTGCAGCTGTTGCGCGATAGTCAGCTGGCCGTCGACGTGGACGGTAAGAGCCTCCCTTTTGAGATCAAAGCTACATCGTTCGAACAAACCGCGCTGGACACTGTTTCTGCGGCCCAGGTGTCACAGCACTCGGCCGCAGAGATCGCAGCCGAAACGAAGACCGACATCGACGCCGTGCACGCACGAATCAGGAGCGTTCTATCGTTCCTGAGAACGCTGCAGTCGCGCGCACCGTCGCCAGAAGAGTACGCAAAGCTCCGCCAGGTCAACCAGCTGTGCATCCAGATGGCCCTGCTCCAGAACACCCCAGACCAGCCGTCGCTGTCGCCCACCGTCATCAACCTGTCGCTGCTGTTCGACGCCGTGCGCAAGCTCGACAAGCTCGATTACGTAACCCAGCACATTTAGAGAGAAAAATCAACGTTTAGTAATTCAGACATACCATGTTTAGGAAGAAGCGCGTCTTGGAGGTGTTGGTTGCGACGCTGGTGCTGTGGCTTTTGAGTTTGCATCCGGCCGCTTCGCCGCCCAGTTCGCGTCGTCAGGCCGCGTTCTACACCTATGTTCCCAACGTGGACTCTCCACGTCAGCTGCTCCGGACGGTTTACTCTGTCGAAGCGGCTTTCAACAAACGGTACCAGTACGACTGGGTTTTTGCATACTATGCGGATCACGAGATGCCTGCGGTGGTGAAATCGCGGCTGGAGAAGCTGTGTTCTGGCCGGGCGATCTTCGAGCGGATCGAGTCTCCAGACTACAGTCTGCCCGAGTCGGTCGACCCCAAGGGTCTGAAAGATTCGCTCAGACACTCTGCCCTGCAGTCGCCATTTTCCAAGTTTCTACAGTACAAGCTGAAGAACAGGTTCAACACGTACGGGTTCCAGTTTCTTCCGTCTCTACTCAACTATCGGTACTATTGCAACGTTGAGGTTGGCACAGAGCTGGCCTGTGACATCCCCTACGATTTTTTCAAACATATACAGTCGCAGCGGCAGATCTACGGGTTCGCGAATGCGCCGGTCGACTCCAACACGATCACCAAGAAGCTGGCTCCTTTGGTGCAGCAGTTCGCCGAGTCTGCCAACGACACGTTGCTGATGCGGTATGTCTTCGAGGACGGCTACACTGGGTGCAGTTTTGATTCGAATTTCGAGGTGGCTGATCTGGACTTTTTCCGGTCGAAAGAGTACGCTGCTGTGTTTCGTCAGGTGGACGAGACCAACGGGTTCTTTGTGGATCGCTGGACAGACTATCACGTCAAGACTCTTGCTATCTCGCTGCTTGTGCCGCCCAACAAGCTGTTTTGGCTCGACAAGACCGGGTTTTCAGGGCTTCTGGGCCGCACCACGTGTCCGTTGGAGGAAGAAGTGCGCACAGAGAACCATTGCGCTTGTGACCCGGCCAACGACTACGCTTTCTCCAGCAACAGCGGGCTGCGCCGGCTGTTCCATCTGCTGGACTGGCCATTGCCGCAGTCGGTGCCCCCAACCGAAGAAACCCAGCTGCTGCCCAAATACCGCAACAAGCTCAAGTCCCGCACGGACGCGTACCCACTCACGGTGGAGTACCAGACAAAAGACCCGTGGTTCAAGGAGGTGTTCATGGCGATACCAGCGCATAGAAAAGACACCACATCATGACGAAGCTGGCCAGGTACCGGCCCGGCTCGGCGAAAAACACTTCCTGCAGCGGGCTCTCGAAGAATTGCTTAGCGTCTCGCTTGGGCCCGCTCACAAACAGTCCGTAAAACAGACCACTTGTTAATAGATTCGTCGCGACGAAAAACGCCACCCCGTAGAACGCCTGAAGCCGCAAAATCCCGGCACACGCGCCAAACGCCAGCGACGTGACGTCCTTCAGCTTGGCCACCACCTTTCTGTTGTGGGCGATGTTTGGTTCGTACTTGAGCATAATTTTTCAGTGTAAGGATTTTCCGTGGGCAAAAAAACAATTTATCCAAATAATGTCCACGGTCAAGTCTGAAGGAAGCCCCCGGTACGAGTACTTCCCGCTGCGTGCGTTCTCCGAGGAGGAGATCGAAGACACCCGGTACCATATTTTGAAGTTCCACACGGTGAAGAAGATCAATCCACCGAAGGACTTTGAGGAGCCGGCCAGACTGCACAGAAAGGATCCCAAGAACCTGCAATTCCAGCTGTCTTTGAAGGAGCTGGAGCAGAGACGTTTGCAGGAGCGCAAGGATGAGCTGTTGAAGGAGCAGAAGAAGCGGGAACTGCTTGCGGAGCAGGGCATATTGACCGACAGACTGCCGCGCACGGCGTACGAGGACGACGACGTTGATCTCAGCAAGCTGCCTCTGGAGGAGCGCAGACAGCGCGAGGAGGACCGGCAGCGGCGGGAGAACGAGGCCGCGCGGGAAGCCAGGCGCGAGCTGGATATGTCCATTGTGGCGCCCGACGGAGGTGCTCGTAAAAGCAGACGGCCGTTTTTCAAGCGCAAAACCAGACAGGTGAAGGTTTTCGACGACAACAAGCGGAAACTCCGGTACGAGGAGTACTACCCGTGGGTGATGGAGGACTACGACTCGAAGCAGGCGTGGGTGGGCAACTACGAGGCCGGAAACACAGACAACTACTGTCTTTTGATGCTGGACAATCAGAACAAATGCTTCAAGATGATTCCTGTGGAGAAGTTTTACAAGTTCACGCCGCGGAACAAGTATGCGACGCTGACGCTCGAGGAGGCTGAGGCCAAGATGAAGGAGAATAACCAGACTTCGAGATGGCTGATGAGAAAGATGCAGGAGGAGGTGTCGAGAGGAGAGCGAGTGGATTCGCGGTACAGAAAGATGAAGGGCACGTCGCAGCGGATGGAGGACACGAAGCGGTCGGACGACGAGACGCTGGACTTTGACGACGAGTTCCAGGACGACGAGGAGGCTCCGATTCTGGAAGGAAACGAGGAGGAGAGCAAGATGGTGGAGAAGAAGATGAAGAGCGAGATGCTGCGTGCGAACAACCTGATCGAGAAGGACGAGAACGAGGACGACTTGGACGATTTGTTTGAGACGCGCAAGATCGACAAGGAGGGCAAGAAGCTGCGGAAAGCGCTGGCCAAGAACGCCATGAACGAGGTGTACGACACCGACGACGAGGAAGACCCATATCTTTCAGAGAGCGAGATGGAGGATGTGGAGACCGAGAAGACGGACGAGACGAAGGTGAAGGAGGAGGAGAGCACCGAGATTCCTGTTGCTGTTCGGCGGAGTTCTCCAGAGATTCGGGTCAAGTCTCACAGAGACGGGTTTGTGGTTCTAAAGGCCGCTCCTGCTGTGTTGCGGGAGTTCCCTGCAGGCGAGTGGAACCCCAAGACGGCCATCAAGAGACAGGTTTCGGAAGAGCCTGCTGCCAAACGGCCCAAGATCAAGCTGGAGGGCGACCAGGGCCCGATCAGCAGAGCAGACGTGGACGCTTTGCTTGTGGACGGGCCGATCGCGCTGGCCAGTCTGGTGAAACAGCTCAAGCACAAAGTCAGTCTGAGTCCGAACTACAAGGAGGACCTCAAGCGGATTTTGAAGGAGCACTTCATTGTGAGAGACAAGATGGTGATGAAGAGAGGATGATGAAAATTTCCTTATGCAGGGAGGAAAAAAAATATTTGAAAAAAATTACTGAAAAACTGTATAGCTTACAAAGCATGGTTACTGAGCTCGAAGAAGTAGGTATTAGCGAACTGGCCGACTAACCGCAGCTTGTTGAGTTTCTACACTCGCCGCAGTTCAAGATCCGCGAGATCGCGCTGGAGAACTTGGTGCAATTTTCGCCGTCCTCGCAGAATCCGCAACTGTTCAAGCACAACAACTCCGAGTCTATCGGCGACCTCAAGGCGTTGACCAAGGAGAAGGCGCCGCAGGTGGTTCTGAACGCGCTCACCATACTGGCCAACCTGTGTGACGATCTCGAGTTCCGTAAACTCATTGTTCAGGACAAGGAGTACCTGCAGTTTCTGTTGCAGCAGCTGGTGGACCTCAAGAACACCAACGCAGACCTCATGTGCATTCTGCTGGCCAATCTGGCCAAGAGCGACGAAATTGTGCAGATCTTTGACCTCCAGGTGGACCTTTCGAAAACAGACACACAGATATTCAAGAGCAACCAGTCCATGGACTGTCTGATGGACCTTTTCGTCAAGGGCGCCGACAGAAAGCTCAACAGATACGCAACGTACGACTACTTGTCGTACTTCTTCTCGGACATCTCGCGGCTGCCGCAGGGCAGAGAGTACTTTGTCGCAGAGCAAGCGTACGACCAGGTGGTACCTATCTCGAAGTTGCTGGTGTTCACGGACAAGTACGACTCCAAGACCAGACGCGAGGGCGTAGTGTACACGATCAAGAACTCGCTGTTTGACACAAACCGCCACATGACGCTGCTCCAGGACGAGAAGATCAACCTGCTCCCGTACGTTATTGGCCCGTTTGCGTTGGCAGAAAACCGGGGCCTCAAGGACGACGAGATCTTTGAGTTGCCGGACGAATTGCAGCTGCTGGACGCCGACAAACAGATCGAGCCGCTCGCAGACCTGCTCAAGACCCATCTGGAGAGCGTTCTGTTGCTCTGCGTGACCCGCGAGGGCAGAGAGTACCTGCGTGGGAAGAGCGTGTATCCACTGATCAGAGAGCTGCACAAGGTTGCTCAGGACGAAAAAGTGCAAGAGCTGTGCGACAAGGTGGTGCAGATGCTCATGAGAGACGAGCCTACAGAGGACAATGTTGAGGAAATGGACCAGGACTCGTCGTCGGATGATGACCAAATTACAGAGATTATCTAGCGTGTTCACAAAGATGTGTTTGATTTCATTCTTATGACCTTGTTCTATGTAGCTGTACACTCGTTGTTGACCTTTACTCGTCGTCGTCGTCGTCACCGTCGTCGTCTCCTCCGCCGAGAGTGAGCTTGACATCTTTCCAGAGTTTACCCTTGTTTCTGTTTTCGTACCAGTTGGTCACCGCAAGGTCGAAGTAGGCCTGGAACACGAACGCTCCGGTGAACACAGTGGCCACCATGGCCGCGTTTCTCTTGAAGAAGACGTTGAAAATTGAAGAGTACATGTTGACAAAGATGAAAGAGTAATGGTTAATTCAAAAAAATTTTATTGGCCAACCGAACCACGCCTACACAGCCCGGAACTGGTTGGTTGAAAAATTAAAACATGTCTACAGAAACTCGTAGTATCCCTGCCGCATCAGCAAATTCGTGAGGTACTCTTCCGGATCCATCGCCTCTGCGTCGTCGTCGTCGTCCTCGCTCATTTCCTCGTCCTCCGACAGTCGCGTCTGGTTCTGTGTTGGGATGCCAAACTGGAACGGTTGCACGCGTCGCCGACTCAGAATCGACGCATGCAGGTCTCTGTAAATAGTGGATATCAGGTACTGGTTCAGCCAGATCTTGTTGATGTAGTTGTACCGTGGCAGGTGCAGCGTCCCGCTCTCGCCCGCGCCCAGCAGCCCACCCGCCGGCTCGCCGTGCCGGTTGAAGTACGGCGACCCAACGCTCACCGACGCCCCGTTCGGTATCTGAATGTCAAAGAAGATGTTGTTCTTCGTGGCCGTCAGCTCAAACTCCAGCTTGTTGTTGAACGGCGAGAAAAACAACGAGTAGCTCGAGTCGTTCAGCTTGCAGTTCGACAAGTGTTGCAGCTTCTTCACCAAAGACCCGCAAAACAGGCACAGGTACTTGCGGTCGGCGGCCTTCTCTTTGCCAATTGAGTCGTACTTGAGGAAATCCGTCAGCTTTTCTGGCAGCTCGCACAGATGGACCTTACCAGGGAAGTCCAGCACCAGAGAGTTCGTCGAGCTCAGGTAGTTCGACATCGATGTGGCAACTTGGATCGAAACAGAGTACTCTAGACTCTTTGTGTCCTGCAAGTTGCCCAACAGCTCTTGGTACGTTGGGAACTCCCCACCGCCTAGATTGAACGTCTGTTTCACAAGCATCAGCTGCCGATAGTAGCAGTCAAAGATGTTCACCATGATTGTGTTGAGCTTTGTGATTAGCTCGTCGTTGTAGTAGGCAGGCCCGATCTCGCTAATGAACTTGCGAAACAGGTTCGCGGCACACTTCTTTGTTAATAGCACAAAAGTCTCCTTGAGTGGGCCTTCCAGTGGCTCAACAGGCTTCAAGACACTGTCGACGTTCAAGTTGCCCGGGTTCAGACTGTATCTGGAAATCAGTGAAAACAAAGCCTTCACCATCCACTTGGTTAGCTCTAGTCTCATCAGAATATCAAACGACTCGTTACCTTCCATGTACAAAAGCAACATCTCTGTTGTAGAGCCAAAGTTGTCTGATCTGACCAGAGACTTGTACTCGGCAAATCTGCTATAGTCGTTAGGAGGATCTGGAGGCAGGTAATTGAGCAGAACACGGAACTGAACCAAAGAGCGCAACAATGTCATGTCTTTGGAACTCAGGTCTTCCTCATCCGGCTTGAGTTTCGTCCTGGAAGATATTTCATACATCTCCAAGGTGTTTCCCAACAAGATTGGCAGCGAAAACTTCAACGACAGTTGCTGGGAAGACGATTTGACCACTTTGCGCATGATTCTATTCTCCTTCATCAAGGTTCTCAACTGCCTCATGATCGTTCTATATTCGGGCAGTTCCGAGTGCGACAACACACGGAACATCTTCTTGTCAAACACGTAGCCACTCAGCTCTGAACAATTGTCGCCCTGGTTCTCGTTGTAAATATTCTGCCAGGTCTTGGACTTGAGCTCAGACGCAATCTCCAGCTCAAAGTCAGGGAACCGAGACGTTGGAATGAACGAATTGCAGTAAGATTGGCATAATGGACAGGTGTACTGAGAAACGTCGGCATGGTTCTCTTTCAAGTAGTCGTGGAAACAGCTGTAATGCATTCCATGGAGACATCCGGTGATGACGTACTTGGACCGTGTGCACTTTGTTCCAAAACAAGAGATATTCTCCACCAGGTCCTGCCACTTACGTTTTCTAGAGTTGGCATTGTTCGTGGGGAAACCGGGAATCATCAAGGAAGGAGCATCCATGTCAACAATTGGAACGTTCCAGAACACAGACGAATGAGATATCAGTGTTGGCATACCAAACAACTCCTTGTAGTTTTCAGGGTTCCGACAATAAATGCAGGTCCGCAGCTCTGTTTCCAACTTATCGGCCTCGGGTTTCTCAACTGGGGCGGGCTCATCAAAGAAGACCTTGTTGTTCTCCACAAACGCAGCCTGCTGTTTTGTCAGCTTCTTCATGATCTTTTGTTGTCTCTTCAAGGCCAACCTCTTTGCTCTCTCCTTCTTGGTCTCCAGAACCTTTCCACGAGCGGTTTTCTTGAATTCATCAATGTGAGCTTGGCCGAAACAGTCAATTAGAGACTGCAGGACACTTTCGTCTTTGGTCAAGAGAAGATCCAAAATGTAGGAAGCCTTCTTAGCGACAAACTTGGAAACGTCCTCCTTCTCAATCAAAGTCAACAATAAGTTGCTGACTGGGATATCAATAAACGCTTGAAGACTCTGATCATTCTCGGAATTATAAAGACCATCGTCAACAATGATAGCATGCACTAAATGTAGCAAGTGAGGAACAAAATTGTCATTCTCCGAAGAAATTGCAAACGATAGCGCTTTGTAGATGAACTTGACAAATAGCGGGCTTCTAAAGGCGGCGCCTATTTTGGCAAACTTCTGTAAATCGTCTCCCTTCAATGGATAAATCTGTGGATGAATCACAACCTCTTCCACCTTCTTCTTTTTGTTGGCAGCAATATTGTTGAACAAAGCCATCTCAAGATCATCTTGCGAATTACTCTTGTTGAAATAGCTCAAGTGGTCCAACTCGGAATACAGCTCCGGTTTCAAAGAATAGTGTCCATAGTCGTTAATACCTGTTGGCGGATTGAACACGCTAACTTCTTTTAACAAGCGGTCAAAATCAGCCGAGCTATCCACAGCTCTCTTCAAATCAGTATATTGAACAGGCCCCAGACTCAGTTTGTAGCAAATTGCGTACTTAGTTTTCAGGTAGTCAATTTCACTAGCAGAGATGGTCTTGTCAAAGAAAACGCGATACGTGAGAAGTCTGTAAAAGAAATGGACCATTTCACCAATAATCGACGTGCCTCGCTCTTCGTATATCGTCTTGTCAAACTGCTGATTGCCATTGATGCATTTAAGAAGCTCATACCTGTCAAAGATATTCAAAAGTGACCTCTTGATTGAAGGTTCAAACAAAACACTCAATTGGTTCAAATAAAGGTCTCCTTCAGGGTTGAAGATGAAACGGTAAGAAAGCTCTTGGAACATTGCTTCCTGACCATTTCTAACCCAGAAACCCGACAGGATTTGAGCAGAAAGCACTTGGCTGCGTAAAGACTGATCGGCGATGGCGAAAAGATTGATCTCGTCTTGGGTGGTTTCAGGATCCCAGGTGTCACCACTTGGTAAGCCTGACTTGTTGCGCTCCAACATTGTCAAATCAAAGAATTTGTAGTTCCGACAAACTTCAGCCAGAAGAGAATGGACAGGGTTGATAAACGAAGTCTTTTCCTTGGACACTTCGTACTTGATGATATCCAGATCATTATCGTAGATCGCCGACGAATTCGTCAGATACATACCAATGATTGCAATAGCTTCCTCAACAACAGAGCTCTTGGTATCTAGACCGGCAATTATCTTACCAACATTCTTTGTCAAGTTGTACGCCTGGTGAGCTCTGATAAAGTATAGTTTGCTCTCTTGGCTTTCTATCTCCACATGAACGTCTCTTTTTCGTTTGAGAGACCACGATTGATCAAACATCCGCAGTGTCAGAATCAAGTAACAAAGAAGTCTGTTTCCCAAAATATCCTCGTACCCAGGCTTGATGTAATTAGTCAACGTTTCAAGTCCTCTGAGACAGGCTGACTCCGCATTCAACAGTCGCTGCACCTTCCAATCAGTCACATTCTGTTCTGGAGAGTACTTGTCGGTTCCAGGAAGAACGTTTTCCTTGAATATCTGTATCGTGCTTTGGAAAACCGAGCACAGTTTGCCTGTTGTAAGCAGATGAGTGCCGATTTTAGGATCAAGATATATCTGAAGACGGAAGTGGTCCATCAGCGAGAGATTCCATTCGCGGTCATGCTTGGCTTGAATCAATTCCAACAGGGGAAGAATTTCGACTATCTGGTCAGCTAGGATCTCTCTGTACTGATAGGACGTGGTCAACGTCGGCAAAAGCAAGCTCCGAAGCGTCTTTCTGAGCTTTTTCCATAACCGCATTTCCATAAAGAAGAACATCTGAATTCTCGTAGTGGTGGCCTCAGCATACTCCTCAGGCTCTAAATGCTCACTGGCCAATGCAAGTCCGATGTGTTTCAACATGGATATGTTCACGTCTTTCTTCAAAACGCTTCCTGGTAGTTGTGGGATCTTGAAATTAGGGAGCAAGTTGCCAACATTGTCGGGATTTGAGAAAGAGAAATACTTGCCAACAGTCTTCTCCTCTTCATGCACGGTATTGTATTGTTCAAACATCGCATTGGCAATAGATATCTTCACACACTCGGAAATTTTGGAATTCGGGTGCGATGTCATCTTGACCAGCCAATTAATGATATTCTCGCAAAGGAAGTCTCTGGTTGCATCTCTCGCTGACACGATGGTGGCAGTCAATCCGTGTGTCTGAACTTTGTAATACTGTTTCATGAGGACGTCTATGTTCTTGCTGGTGGATATGATGCTTTTGCCCTCTCTATCTATTTCCTGTGTAAGCTGTTGGTTCTTCTTGTGATCCGATGCAGTAGTTGGCAATGCCATGGCGATGCTCTGTTTGGAGATTGTCCAGTCGTGGAACTCGTCGTTCCATACAATCAGACAGTACACATCTGAGTTTGTATCTTCTGAGCCGTATTTGTCTTTGGAAAGTTGCGCAGTTTCCGAGTAAAGCTTAAATAAGTCAGGATTCTTCTCGGCATATAGGTATCTCTGGGTTCCCGGGACAGTATGTGTATTCAAAGCTTGAACGTCCAGAAAGTAGTCAAAGACAGTACGAATGACCTCATTGATGATCTCGACAAGCTCCGTCGGCAAATCATCGGGCTCGGACTCCACCATACTATTAGCGACGCACTTGAGATCACACTTCCAAGACTCGTGGTCTCCGCAATCACAAATAGCATCTCCATTGGAGATATGGGTCCCCACGTCGTGATCAGAGTGCTGCTCTTTGTTGAAACAGTCGTCACACAGACAACATGTTTCATCTATACCACAATCGTAGCAGTTGTACACCACTTGATCCTTTTCGATCTTCTGTGCGCAGATCCTGCCATGATGAGCTTTACTAGTGCTCTGTTTCTGACGATCGTAAAAACGACCCTTGGTGATCAACCCGTGATAGTCATGGACAATAGTGGACTCCCAATTGGAGGGGAACTCCTCGTTGATCATTAAGTCCGGGAACAGGAGCTCATAGTACTTGGAGTCTCCCGACAACGCATAATATAGCACTCTTATCAGGCTCGTCTCCAAATCCGGCGTCAATGAGTAGTCAAATAAGCGCGGAAGTTGAACCAAAATATTGTTCAACTTGGAAGAGATCGACATGACAAGAGAATTAACTTATTTGTAATCGGCTCCAATATTTTTGTGGCGAAAAAAAAAAGACGTTATTTTGACTCTCCCTCGATCTTTACGAAATGGCCCAACCAGACGGGGCCCAAACTTTTCGTCGGTTCCTTGCTGGCCTGCCGAGGGCCAGTGATTTTAAGTTTACCAATGAGGTGCGCTCTTTGCTTCGTCAGACATTGAACGAAATGGCGGGCCTTAGCGAAGAAGAGCTGAAAATTGATCCCGAAATACACAACCATTTCGATAGACCGTGCGGCCGCAAGTTCCAGCGTGGTGAAGCGTGCTACAGATGTCTTACGTGTGGGTTTGATGAGACCTGCGCTCTGTGCTCGTACTGTTTCCAGCCGCAATTCCACAAAGATCACCAAGTCCACAAGGGAATTATTCAGAGGGAGTCGAACGGCTGTTGCGACTGCGGAGACCCAGAGGCGTACGGAAACGTCCATTGCAATTACTTTACCACGCAATTGATGGCTCAGACACCCTCGCCTCCCGAGTTTGGAAACACCATCAACGTGGCTCTGGATTATATCTTGGACGTCATGATCCACTCCTATCCATGTATCCTGCCTCCAAAAACAAGATTGGACATTCTACACTGGTCCGAGCTGTCTGAACTCGACCCACAATTGTACGGCGTCAAGGATGAAAACTCATACAAGTTTGCCTTGGTGCTGTACAACGACCAGGTCCACCAATATAGAGACGCTGTCCAACGAGTCAGGTTTGCCACAGGAAAGGTTACAGAATTTGCAAACATGATTGTGGCCAAATGCAACTCGTTTGGAAAGGCAATCGTGATGGTTTCGAATGACATTGACTTTCTGCTCAAGAAACAATCGCTACTTACCTCAACAGGGCTAACAGCATGCATCCGCAGCTGTAGGGACGTTTTCAAGGAGAACGTCTGCGACGAAATGATTCTCTGGATCTCAGACCTAACGAACTCTATGGTGGTCAAAAACAACAAAAATTACCAAGGGACAATATGCCAGGCTTTCCTAAGCAGATACAACAGAGGGTATAAAGATTTACCCATACTTGTCCACGACTTGAAGAATAGCGAATATAGCCACAACCGTGAAAATTACGACGTTGCGCTACCAAGAGAAACACTCCTGTATTACAAGTACCAGATCAACTTCAACCCGGTGAAATACGAATGGGACATATCACCCGATTTACTGAAACAATGTCAGTACTCAAACCTCTCGCTTCTGGGAAGCGGGAACAAGTACGTTCATTTCGAAGGCTCACGCTTCCAGTATTTGGCGTACTTTGATATTCGGTTCTGCAAGACAATCAGAACTAAATTGCACGATGTTTACGTTTCTGTCATTCTTAACGACCTGAAATTCAAGCCTCTGCTCACCGCACAATATGTCGACATCTACATCGACCTAACAACAATGTTCCTGACTCTTGACAGAGAACCAGAATCTTCCCTGGTTCCTGTGATATCAACACAGGTGTACACGAATCCGTCCAGCTGCACCGCCATCGTGGAGCATGGAGATATGTGCAAAATGCTGGAAATGATGGACTATTACCTAAGAACAGGATTTACAAGAGACGTTGCATCACCATACTCCTCTAACAAACACGGTTTGCTATACTTTTCATTAAAGAATCGAAAATGGGGTCACATATTCCTCGATATGACCTACATCATCAGCAGAAATCAGATAAATGACAACTTGTTCTACTACTTGCCATACTTTAGCAAGATTTTGGATGTGCTGGACATTTTCCAAGGTAAACCAACAATAAAACGAGAAGCAACAACACACGTGGAATACGAATTAACAGACTATGGGCTGTACTTCAATGGAATGTCGGTGATTTCCCATTTTCTGGAAAACATCTCCAAATCTATCAGCAAAGCACAATCCAGCCAGATTTGCTCTCAGTTAGTTAGACTTACAATCAACAAGCTGATCCAGTCTGTGTTTATGCCTTCGCGATCTTTTGTTGACGCCGACTCAGGGCCAAATAAGGTGGTGGAGAACCAGGAACCGCCAATTGAGTTCCAAACACTTGAACTCAACAACATCTCCACAAGAATCGTCAAGTTCGATGTTCTCAGCGAGAAAGTTAGTTTCTTGCACCCTCTACACTCGTTCTTGTCTTGGTGTATTGAGATGAGTCCTGCTACAGCAACGGAGGATTTGTTACGCTATCTCGTTGAGTGTGTCGACGAAATACCGTTTTCTTTCGCAGACGGTTCGTCAAACGTCTTGATGAAAGGAGACTATGTGAAGGGAATTTTTGACATTCCCATCCGAACTTTCGTTTTACTGTCTCAGATTAAGACCGGTCTTTGGGTAAGAAACGGTCTCAGCATCAGAAACCAAATGTACATATACAAAAACTCCGGAATCAGAGAGTTTGGATATTTCCGAGACCTATTTCTTGTCCAACTATTCTGCTCTCTGGAAACAACAGACGTGAGCGTCCCCACACTTATTGACAGATGGAATCTTGTCGATTGGTGCCAAGGGGTCTATACCAGCTCACCATACACAGCAACGCATTTACATGAAATGGCAGAGGAGTTCATTTTGTTCTTGATCAACATACTGACAGAAGATCTCCATCTTCACAACAAGAGCGCTACTGAGATCCCTGATCTCAGAATCAGAAAAGAAATCATCCAGACTTTATGTTTCAAGCCGGTGAGTTACAGCAAGATTACATCCGAAATCTCTGAGCACATCACATCGGAAAAACGGTTCTTCTTGGTGTTCAACCAGTGTGTGGACGAAATTCCACGCAAGAAGGTTTCAAATATCATGAAGGAGGCAAAGACATACAAACTAAAAGAAGAGTTGTATGACGAAGTGGATCCCTACTATCTTCATTACACATCCAACAAACGTGAAGACTGTCTTAAAGTGCTGAAGGAGAGAATCCACAACATTACCAAAGTTCCGTTGAGTGACGTTTGCGTGCCTCCAAAAAACATCAATTGGGACGACGGGAAGTTCAAATTTTTGACAAAAATAACCTGTTGCACCCACTTCATCTCCATTTTGGAAAGCTCGCTTCTTTACTGCCACGAGTCAGTGGCCAAGGGCGAAAATTCTGTTGACACATTGCTAGACTTTACATTGCATTTGATCCATGTTGCTGTCAAGCTTCCAAACGGACCGGAATTCATTTCTTTCTACTTACGGAACTCTCAGGTTTCCAATCTCATCTACGCTTTCCTGCTTAAGGAACCGTTCAGAGGTTTTTACGCCAAGGCGAGAGCCATTTTGAAGATCATATGCGATCACTTCGACAACAACGAGCAAGTGCTTTCCGAGTTGATGGATAACTTTGACTCGTCTCGGATCCAGCCTTCTCCGCCATTGGACGAGATGGCCTCTGACAAGAAGAAGAGATTAGGCAAGAAGAAGAGGAGCCAAATTTTGGCGAAGTTCAAGAAACAACAGCAGAAGTTTGCCGAAAACTACAACTTTGACGCCGTGGACATGATGGACATTGACGAGTACGATTCCAATGAAGAAGACAACAGCTGGCAGTATCCGCACGAACGATGTATTCTTTGCCAGATGAACGCCAACTACGAAAACGAGCCATTTGGAATCATCAGTTATGTTTCGCAGAGCAACGAGTTCAGATCTGTCCCATTCCAGAACAAGTATTGGTTCTACAAAGCTTTCTCTGGGAATGCCAATCTGGATGAGGCTGAGATTGAAAAAAAATCTGCTCTTGCTGCGTACTTGCGCAACGTTGAAGAGGAGGTTGTTTATGGTCCAGGGTTCCCAAGCAACGAGGAGGCTTGTAACGAGAACCATGCTGTTTTCAACAGTTGTTGTCATGGAATGCACTTTTCTTGTTACCTGAACTTCCTCAAGTCTGTCAAGACTCGCCAGGTTTCCCAGATTACCAGAACTGTTCCCGAAGACATTTCTCGTCAAGAGTTTTTGTGCCCGCTTTGCAAAGCTGTGAATAACATCTTCATTCCAATCTACTACACTTCCAACAAAGAAGACCTGAACGACAAGCTCAAATCACACGCCAAGTCTATACTTGATCCAAACCTTTCAAATGATTTGAAGGCTAGCGAGGGAAGACTAGCAGAAATCAAGACGTCGTTGATCAGCCGTGTGAAGGCAAACGTCAAACCAGAGTACTGGTTTGTCAACGACGAGGACATGTCTGTGCAGGCCAACTCCAAGTCATTTTTGGCCTTGAACCACACTCTTACAGGGTTTGCTGTGCTGACTTCGCCATTTGATGGGGTGAGTGCCATTTTGACCAAAACCATCGAGTCGATTGAGGTTTCGCTCAGGGGCGTTTACTACGACCCGGGAGCGTTGCAACTACTCATTTACGAGATACCCAACCAGGCTCTGACGTCGCTTCGTGTGTGGAACCAGTTTCGTGACTTGATCAGAAACGCAGAAACGTCGACATCCACAGCGACTCATTACCGCAGCTTTGTGTCGTACCCAGAACGGCTGATTGGTCTTTGGCGCAACATTGAGCGTGACGACGATTTGCTCTACGAAGGAGAAGACTACTTCAAGCTACTGGTTGGCGCCGAGGAGGTGCCAAGTATTGGAATGGACTTTAGCAAACTGCTGCATCTGTGTTATTTGAAACATATCAAGCAGAGTCTGTTGATTTTGCTCAGCAAGCTAGAGAACGCTACTTGTAGCGACAACAGCCTGATTGTGGATCTGGCCGATCTTCCGTACGACTCGCCCAAGCTTGACGAGATAGTACGGGCGTTCTCTGCGTCGAGGCCAGCCCAAGTCGGCAAACTTATCTACTCGATGCTGGTCAGACTCGTGACGCCTTTCTTGCGGAAATCGCTGATCTATGCATTTGTGCGGTTCTCTGTTGTCACTCCAGGAAGACTGCCCGATCTGACGCAGTTCTCTCTGGAATGCGACAAGCTTTGTGCTGTGATGAATCTGCCCACACTGTACGACGTTCTTGAGGCCATGCCGTTGAACGAGTTCCGTGTGAGCCCAGAGGCAAAGGCCATGATGTTCCAGGCTAGAGTGCCATTTCCGTCGCAGGTGAAGCTGATCTCGCTCCCGCTGCGACTCAACAAGTTCTTCAGCCTGTACTACAACAAACTGGCCGTGAAGCCAGCCGATCCGGCCATCTGTCTCTTCTGTGCCAAATCGGTGAACTTACAGCTGCAGAACTATGGCGACCAATTGGGATCGTGCAATATCCATGTGAAGTGGGAGTGCATCAACGCCGAGTTCGGCATCTTCTTCATCCCCAAGAGCAACTGCATTTTGCTCCTGAACAAGGGCAAGGGCTCTTTCTTTGAGAGCCCGTACCTGGACGACTACGGAGAAGCGGACGAGGACTCGAAGAAGGGCCACGACCTGACGCTGTGCAAGGAGAAGTACGACGAATTTATCCGGACCGTGTGGCTGCAACACAACATCCCGAACCAAATAGCGCGGAAGCTGGAGGGCCAGATCGATTGCGGGGGCTGGGAGACACTATGAGGCCGTGCAAGTCTGACCTTCTTAGGCACTGTGGACGTGAAATTTGATAGAGGGTGGGGCTATGGCTCAATGGTAGAGCTTTCGACTCCAGATCGAAGGGTTGCAGGTTCGATTCCTGTTGGCCTCAATCTTCAATTTTTTTTTTGAAATTTTTTTGGTTATGAAATTGGAAAGATTTGCAGAATGCAAGCGGTACGTGATTTACAGCCTTGTGCACGCGGATCAACGTAGCCAACGCCCTGGAAATTGTATAAATCGCTCTTAAACCGGTACGTACGAGACAACTATGGAAATCAGAAATGCTGCTGCTTGCTATACCTATTTTGGTCTGCAAACGGGTTCGCGTTCTGCTGATAGTACATGTTTGGATTCGTGTATGCGTTGCCCTGCGACGAAGGAGGTGGAGCCTCTTTGTAAACCACTTTTTCCTTTCTTCTTCCACAGCAACAGCAGCAGCACAGGGCCTCAATACACTTTGCTCCACAACAGATCAGCTGGAAGATTGTAGACAGCACCCAGAGAACGAACAAACCGCCCACGACAATGCACACAATCACAACAATCTTGCACCATCTCTTGTCCATACACTTATTCCATCCGCTCTTGGTATCGTTCCAGGCCTTGTCCAGATCTCTAGGGTGTAGCGTGTTTCCCACGAGCTCTGAGGGACAGATATCTGGCGCGGCCATCAGGGCCTGTATGTTTTCGAGCAAAAATTCTGGGATGATCATGATATGTTGATGTAAACTTTGATTTGGATAGATCAGTGGCTGGTAAGTTAAAGTATACAATATATATATAACACCTAAGTCCCCCTGGAAACAGCCTCCTTTTGAGGCCTGCACGACTGGAACCGCTAAAAATAGCAGACCGTTGAGCCGCACATCTCATCGAAAAGAAACACAGCCGAGTTTTAAGCTTTCAGTCAAATGTAATCTTTTTAGCCTTTTTGGTCATGTCGACGTCCTTGAAGAACGCCCCATAAGCCCCGTGCGTTTTCTTCTTTGTGTGCGAGCCGTACTTGAGCAATTCTTCAGGCACCGGTTGATCTGCACCCCGTAAAATGTTCATGAGTGCGCCCGCCAGGTGCTTCTCGTGCTCCGTGAACAGCGTGTGAGACACGCCTGTCTGGCCCGCACGGCCCGTACGCCCAATCCGGTGCACGTAGTCCTCGATCGTTAGCGGGAACGTCAGGTTGATCACCACCTTCACGTTCGGGATGTCCAAGCCACGCGCAGCCACGTCTGTGGCAAGTAAAATACTATTTTTACCAGACTTGAAGTCCTGCAGAGCCTGTGTTCTCTGCGCCTGGTTGAGGTCACCGTGCAGTGCTGCGACGCTGAAGCCCTTGTAGTTGAGCGAGCTCTCCACTCTGGAGGCTTCCTTTTTGTACAGCGCGAAAATCAGAATCTTGTCGTTCTTTTTTGATCCAGACTGGTACTTGCGGAGCAGCTGCACCAGCTTGGTTTCCTTTTCGCGGGGGTCCACCACCTCGACGATCTGTTGGATACGTTTGTTGGCAGACAGCTCCTCTCTTTGGCCAATCGACACCTTGACTGGCTCGTCCATGAAGTTGGAGGCCAGTTCTCTCACCTCCTTGGGCCAGGTAGCTGTGAACATGAGTGTTTGTCTGTTGCCTGTGGTGAGCTTCATGATCTTCTTGATGTCCTCCTCAAATCCCTTTTCCAGCATACGATCGGCCTCGTCCAGAACGAGATAGTCGATAGCCTTGAGACTGATGCTACCGTCATCGATGAGATCGATAAGACGGCCAGGCGTGGCAATCACGCACTGTGACCGTTTAACAGCGCTTCTTTGCTCGTCTTTGGACACTCCACCGTACACACAGACGCACTCGAGCCCCACCTTGGCGGTCAGTTCATTCAGGTTGTCGTAGATCTGCGTAGCCAGCTCTCTGGTTGGAGAAACAATCAGCACTTGCAGCGACTTGGACCCGGAATCCAGCAGATGCTGCACAGCAGGAACACCGAAAGCCATCGTTTTTCCAGACCCGGTCTCGGCCACACCGATCATGTCGCGGCCCTTCAAAAGGTACGGCCAAACAACAGCCTGGATAGGAGTAGGTCTAGGGAACTTGGCCAGATGGCTACCAATTCTGGTATCAACACCAGACAAATCGGCAAACTCCACAGCTGGAGCCACATCAGCAGACTTTGGGTCGTGGATCTCGACCTCGTTGGTCTTGAGAAACTCCTCCACAGCAACGGGATCTGTCTTGACGTCGCTCTGGCTCCTCTGCGTAGCCTCTGGCTCGGCCTTGTGTTTCTTCTCCTTCTTTTCTTTTTTCTCCTTCTTTTCCTTCTTCTCCTTCTTGTGCTTCTTTTCCTTCTTCTCCTTCTTCAGACGCTTCTTGCTCTCCGCGGACTCGACGTCCTCGCTGGGTCTTTTATCCTTAGCCATTATAAAAATTTTAAATGCAAAAAAAATATTTATGCGGTGTACAGATGCTAAATCAAGGTGAGTGCAACCAACCCGGCAGAGACGAACGACGCAAACAGGTTCAGGAGTCCGACGGTGTGCTGAGTGCCGGCGCCACTAGAGGCGGACGCAGTGTACGAAGACGAGGCCGCCGACGTAGACAACGACGAGGCAGAGTTGACCGTCTTGAGCGTGGTAGCCGCGCTGCTGGCCTGTGTGTCAGATGTGATCGACCGCTTGCTACTAGGAATCGACCCGCTGGCAACGGAGCTGACCGACGCAAAGTGCGAGCCGTCCTCGGAAGCAGACGCGCTCGAGTCTGTGCGGCTCAAAGAGCCGCCAGATAACGTCGTGCTGTCGTCCTCGTCTTCGTCGTCCACAGAGTCGCCAGACACCAAGGCCTCGAACTCCGCGTCGGCCTTTTCCTGGCGTCCGTTCACCTCGCCGTCGACCGCGTCGACCGACGTCCACGAGCCAGAGGTGTCGCCGTAGCGGTACTCAGAGCCAGTGGAGTAGTCCACCACAACCAGGTTCTTGATGTACATGGAGAACGGCGCGTCGTCGTAGTTGGTCGAGCCACCCGCCCATTCGATCGTTCCCTGGCTGTTGCTGCTGTCTCCACCCGCCCAAATGCCCATCATCAGGTACATTGGGCTCTGAGGATAGCCCTGGGACGAGTCGTTGGTGAGTGTTCTAATGGCCTGGCCGTCAACGTACCAGGTGAGCGCCTCGGACGTCCAGTCGATAGTGTAGTTGTGGTAGTCGGATCTTGGGTCGTCCATCTTGTGATATCCGCCTCTATCGTAAGTAGCTGTGTTTCCTTTGGAGAAGTAGTTTGTCTGCACCTCGTAGCCGTCTCCGCCAAACCATTCGAGGTCGACCTCGTCCAGGTCGTCAGATTGCAGGTAGAACGACGAGATCACGCCTGTTCCGTTGGCCGCCTTGAGCAGCACCTCGATCTTACCGAACATGATGTAGAAGTTGGATCTGAGCGACGGGTTGTCGAACCGCTTGGCGAGCGTGAGCTTGAGACCTTCGTCGGTGTAGAAGATCTGATCTGGAGTAGAGTAGACCGAGAAATGGTCGCTTTGGGACTTGAAGTCCTCCACCACGGAGCTGGCGAGAGCTGGATCGGCGGGACAGCCTGTGGACTTGAGAGGATTGCATGTGGCAGTTGCGAGCGAGACGCTGCTGGAGGCTGTGGCCGACGCCAAGCCGGCAACCAGACCGCCTAGGAGCGCGTTGGTGAAGAGTTGAGGTCTCATAGGATACTGATCCAAATCGGTGCGCCCCGAGGAGACTTTATAGGGCTATATATAGCACCTGCACAAACCGGAGAGACGAACGCCAGGTTCCCAAAAGGGTAAATTACATACAGAATTCCAGATCGCGAGCTTGCCGCCGACTGGGCCCAAGTGGGGCAGAAACAAGCCGGAAAAGCGCATGCGGATGTTGGAAGGTGCCTACTTTGCTACTGACCGCGTTGAGGCGCTCTAATAGCTCTGTTGGCTCAGCTATGCTCTTCATTCCGACACGCTCTATTATTTACTTTTTACCGAATCAGGCAATAAAGTGGCTGGTCTATTTAAAAATAAAGTCTGGGGGTGAAACTAAAATTTTTATCTCACCACGGCTATCAATCGTGCAACCTTGGTCAAACACCCTCAGACCAAGTATCTCCAGCTTCTCCTTCTCGATCTCGCTGTACCCATAAGAGTCCTTGGGGATCCAGATCACCTGCTTGCACGGATCAAACCGCAAGCATGGATGACAAAATAACGAGGCTGTGTCTATGTCGTGCTGCGCTTTCGATGCGCAGTCCAGCTCCTGAAACATTTCTAACGGCAGCACGTCCAGGCATTTATCGTATTGCTGGTTTAGCGTCACGTGTGCCCAAATCGTGATCACCAGTACAATCACCATCATCACGCCAAGCATGAAACATGTGTTTTCGCCGTTGTCGTCCTTGACTATGAAAAACAGCCCGATCAGAAACACTTCCAGACTGTATATACCCGCGTACAACTGTCGTAGTGCAATCGTGTATATCTTACCTCCCGTCTCAGAGTCGTTCTTGCACCGAAACACGTAAAGTAAACAGAACTTGTACGACAGTAGATCCAAAAGGAAGTTGATGCAGCAAAACACCAATATAAGCGGCGAGATCACCGAGTACACCAGTCCAATGGACCCATACACCGAGTATGTCGGGTATGTCAGGCCCCAGCTGACACTGGGAATATTCATCCGCCGCATCAACTGTTGTCTAGGGGTTTTATCAAACAGACTCCCCACACAAACGTCATTTAAAAACCTGCCAAACTGTAGCAGACTATTGCCAAAGCAAGTCAGTCCCTTCAGTATGAAGAAGGAAAAGAAAAAGTTGGACGCCTTGGGGAAGTCCTGTGCCACCATCGCTGGGATCGCACTCGGGTTGATCAAGAACCGTTCCAACACCACAATGATCCCAGAGGAAATCGTAATCACAATAAACAGATGAAAAAACAAGAACACAAATACCCAATTCTGTAAGCTCAATTGCAGCGATGGTCTCAACAGTTGCCCTCTCTTATGGCCCACAATCTCGAAAATGTACATGGCTACCGATGTTAAAAAGGTGAGCACAATAGTGGGGAGGATTCCAGCAATGAAGGCTGTTATGAACTCTGGCAGTCCATTCAACCAGCTGATGGTAGGAATCAGAGCCGTCAAGTACGGCAGCTGAGAGATAGAACCGACAAATGCAACAGGCACAACCCAACATATAATGATCAGAATGGATACAAAGAACATGGCCGCATTCCAGATTGTTTTAGGGATCGGCTGGTCAGAGTCCACAAGGTTTTGCCAGATGATATTATCCGGGTCAATCTCAATCGAAGAGCACGTCATATTTCCCGGAGACCCTGTGAGAAGTATTTGTCGTGCAAGATATGCCGAGCTGACCTGATTGAACTGCACAAAAACCTTGCTCAGCTTGGACTCACTAATTTTAGTTCTGCGGAGCTCGTGCTGTTTTTCAATGATATGCTCCCCAAGCAACAGCATCTGTCCAGCAGTATGATCATAGGCATCCACCACTTTGCATAGCCCTGGAATGGTCCACTGAATTCCGCAAAACTGTATGGGCTCGTAGAAGTTTTTCCGTGCATACTTTGGCCGTTTTATTGTCTTGTCCCTGATGATATTGATTTCGAGTTCTTCCAGAAGCGTTCTATACTTTTCATACTGGACCACCAATTTTTCAAGCTCCCTGTAGTCTAAAACAGGCCAAATTTTCTTGACACCACCGGGGATGGCCTCAAATAGAGCTGACAAAGCTTCTTCATTTTTCAGTTCATTGGGGACATTCTCCAGAAGAATTGTAGCCATTGCTTCTCTTTTGGCATCAACCTTTGCTGATAGAAGCAAATTCCTTTGTTTCTCCTTAACACAGTCTTTCAGTTCGTACACCAGAACGTAATGGAACCACAAAATCACAAACAACGCCAGTCCAAAATGGAACATGTACTTGTTGGTGTTGTGAGCCGAAATATTAGACGTTGAGATCTTATCCAGCCCACGAACTGTTCCCTTGGTCAGCTCATCCCCGCCCAGAAAATTCACCGGAATCAAGATCGGAATGTTCAAGCATGCCAACCCAACAAACAAAATGAGCAACGTGTACATGAATCGCAGAAAGTAGTACGAGTCCAGCCCCAGCTTGTAGAAGCTTCCGATTGGTTGGTGGACAATTGGGTTTGCCCATGCAAACAAATCGTCGCTCAGCGGTTCTGTACGTAGCTCTTCGGGCATGCAGTAGCACAGCGGTTGGTAGAACTCCTTATATCTGGTTCTTAGATATGTAAATATAAGAACTTGCAGGGAACAATAAATAAGCGAGAAGATAAGCGACGAAAGGAAAGACTCGAACGAGATCCCCACCGAGCTATGCGCCGAACCCGTTTGCGTAGTGTTGAGAAAATCCAGGAATTCTGGGTTGTCTATCGGGCCGTCGATCATGATGGGGGAGACTGTAGGGAACAAGGATTTTTCCGCAAGGGGTTGCCCTTTTCTCTAGCGTTTCACTAGCCACGTTTGATTTGCCACAGGCGAAAAAAAGGTCTCCCAGTAATTATTTAATTTGTTATGCCCCGTTTTAAGATTAAGTCGGTTTTCAACAGTCCAAGGACGTCTCCGCCGCCAGATCAGCAGCCAAGTACTGTGGAAGACGATGATCCACCACTGACGCCGCTTCAATTGCTTGGATACAAATCTACTACCCACCATAAACTCCTCCACTCTGAGCTTGCTGAAGAGCTCCGTCTCCATATTCCGCCAATTCTCCAGATCTCCCACTCGTGGTCGCTGCTTTACTCGCTGGAGCAGGACGGCACCTCGCTGAACACGCTGTACAGCCGGGTGCAGCCTGCGGTTGGTGAATCGACCACAAGAAGAAAGGGATATCTCCTGGTGGTAATGGACACCCAACACCGCATTTTCGGGGCATACATGAACGAATATCTTAGACCTTTGGATAAAAAACATTACTACGGAAACGGAGACTGTTTCTTGTGGAAAGCCGAGCGCGACACAATCAGGAACATCAGCACGCTGGAAACGTCTGGCGAACAGCTCAGACTGAAAGTGTTCCCATACACGTCTGTTAACGATTACATCATCTACTCGAACCACGATTTCATCAGCATCGGGTCGGGAAACGGCAGGTTTGGGCTTTACATTGGCGGGAACTTCGAGTCGGGCGCCACAGACAGTGTCGAAACTTTTGGAAACGAACCTCTGACCACCGAACGCTTCAATATCCTGGGTTTGGAAATCTGGAAAATTAACTAAATTTCACTATACCTGGTCAAGAGCCGCGTCTTGGAGCTCCTTCAACAGCTCTTGGCCCAAAACATTGTTTTCCTTAGGCTCGTCCTCACCTTTGGCAGCAATGTCTTCAAGACTAATTTCAGAGTCGTCCGCATACGAAGACAACTTAGATGCGTCGAGCTTATTGCCCGATCCAAATCCAAATGCGTTCCAAAACTCGTTCAAGTTCTTTCCTGCTTTGGTCAGCGAGCTGGCCTCGTCGGCTTTCTCTCGGGAAGCCTCGTCGTCCATCACAATTGCGTCATAATCATCGGTCTCTTTGAATCCCTTGCTCACTCCAGAGCTTGCGCTTTCGAAATAATCTGCATCACTGAACTGTGCTCCTGTTTTCTTTGCATCTGTACCAGCAGCCTTCTTCGGTTTACCAGCCGAGACAGGCGCGTCATTTTCGTACTCCTCGTAGTCCAATGCGTCTTTAGACTCTTCGCCCTTTGTTGGCTTCTTAATCTTGAGCCCATTGCCTTTTTCCTGCTTGTCGGCAGCAGGCTTTGCATTCTTACTGGACTTGCTGGCACCGCCAAACGAGCCACTAGACGAGGCAAATCCTCCCTTGGAATGAGAGTTTCCGGTATCATACTCTTCTTCGTCGGCTTTGTCGAGTCCAAGCTCGTCATACGCATCATCTTCAACGTATCCCATATCGGTCTTGGTTCCCTTACCGGCCATCTTGAAGTAGTTAACCCAGATGGTTCCCAAATTGTCCCATTTTTCTGTGTCCTGGGCGTTGAAAGAAACAATTTGTCCCTTTGGAATCAGCTCGTTGGTTCCACCACCGATCACATCGTAAGCGCACCAAAGGTAGTTTTCACATTGTGCAGTCATCACCCATCCTCTGGATGGCTCGCTTCCGTCAACCTCCAAACTGAACTCGGCAGGTGGAGGAATCAGCGCCTTGGTGATGTGCAGCGGAGAGGCATACTCCTTCTTCAGCTGAAGCAGATCCTTACCCTCGTTTCTCTCGAAATTCACATCTTTATAATAGGACTCTGGACGCTTACAGGTAAGGAAACCTGAGTTAAACCACAGTAGGTTCTTTCCATCGTCGGAAATGTGACCCGGATGGGTAGAACAAAGCTCATTAGCAACAGATTCTCCCTTTCTCTCTGTCAGTTCACCAACTGCCACTGCTGGGTGCGTGTTGAATCTATAAGTCTGGCCCATGAACTCCTGTCCCAGCCAGATGAATTCTTTTTCTCCGTGGACCGAGTTGGAAATCAACTTAAAAAATGGGAGTGCAACAGCCATAACAACACCGTCAAACTTGGCCTTTTTGTCAATGGCAAATAATCCCGCCTCCATGTAGTGTCTGGCCATTTCGCCAAAGAATCTGTTTTTAGTGATGCCCTCGCTAGGGGTTTTCAGTTGGAGATAGTTGCGATCGTCATCGTTATTGAGATATTGTCTGAAGAATTTCATGATTCCCTCGTAAAGGAACGAGTTGGCTTCTCTGTCTCTGAAGAAGAGCGTCTTTGTGTCTCTGTAAGCAGGCAATTGGAAGTATTGTTCAATGTTAAGCAATGGAATAGTATCGGTATCAAGAACAATGATCTCTTCGTACGAACTGAACAAGTAGGCCAGCAGCTTCATATACCATCTTTGGAAGTAGTGCTTGTAACGGAAGATGATTGTTTTGGAGACGTCCACAAACGTGAGGTCAAGAGTTGGGGTCTTGGTAAACTTAGTTCCCTTAGGAAGTCTCATCACTGGGTCTGTAGCAACCTCAACAAGTTTCTTAATCGAGTTCAGGCTCAAGTCATTGTTGTGGAAAATCTGTAATGGGAGCTGGTTTCCAGAAACTCTCAGCAAAGCTAGTAATGCGCTCAGTTCTGGAACTTGTCCATCCGAAGCGGTGATCACAATTCCACGACCAGATAGGTGGTTCTGAATGTTCTTCAAAATACACCCGTTGGAGGATCCTTCGTCGCCCAATGGGAATTGTTCTGACTTCTCCAATCTCTTGTTGTATTTGGTAAAGGTTGGCAGGTAGCCAGAGAGCCATGGGTAGACGACCTTCATTGCTTCGGGACACAATCCTTCAAGCTCAGTGTCTTCGAAAGGCTGGTCATTCTTGAAAAGGAATGAGTTGACAAACTTCATGTGGTCGAGCGAGTTGAGGATCTCCTTGGACGAGTTTTCGTTGACCTTGAGTTTCCGTTCCTTAATTTTCAGCAGGTTCTCCTTGAACACCTCATCTGTGAGTTCGAGGTGGTGCATTTCTTCTTGAGTAAGCACCTCTTTCAGTCTCAGCCATTTGGAGAGTCTTGTTTCGAGATATTTTTTAGGATTGTAGATATCTCTGTAGATAGCTTCCTGGATAGGTCTGAACTGGAACCCTGTGGCTGGGAGGATATCTTTGAAGTAGATCTTTGCCTTTTCTGTGGTTCCCAGGTTAGCATAATCCTCGCTGTTTGGATACTTTTCCTTGAGTACGTCATAAGGATTTTTCGTTTCGTTGAACGAGACGGTCTCAATTGGCTCATTGACAAGGTCGTCAAGCTGGCCCATCACGGACATTTTTTGGTAGAACTCGTCGGTGTACAGCTGGTCTCTGGATGTGATGGTCTTGAGGTATTTTTCCTTGAAGGTTCCGGCGTACTCGTCATCGAGCTCGATGATCACACCGTTTGATCTCTTGAGGTTGTACAAGAGATTCATCGCAAACAGCGTCATGAGCAAAAGCAGCAGTCTGCGATTGGTCTTGACAAACCGTTTAAGGCGCATCAAACTCCGTTTCTGATCCGCCATGGTGTCTAGGAGGGAGAAAACAAAGTAATTTTAAAAATTACGAAATCGCCTCGAACTCAAAGGGGCACGCGAATCCGGGGCTTGAAATAAAACGAGCTTAGTCTGTGGAATAAACTGGTGGGGAGGAGTGGGGCCCAGTGCACAAATAAAGTTGCCAGGTTCTGTTAGAAGCTTCTCACTAATAAACTCGCGCGAAACTTTACACTTGCCGCAACAGTATCTACAGTAAATTCTGCCACCTCGCGTGATGCGCTGTGCTGTCTTTGGAGTAAATTAAATTTTTCCTTGTCTGGCTGTGCTTTACTAGCGCACGTGCGGATAAGCTCTGGCAGGTTTAATATAATAATTTTTTGCTGCTGTGTGTCTGCCTACTTTCTTCACTATGAAGTTCGGAGAGACTTTGAAGTTCTCACTTATCAAGGAGTATGCTTACTATTACATTCAGTATGACGACTTGAAATATGCGATCAGCAAAGGCTTGAGCAAAAACGGCAACAAGTGGAACAATTCACTGGAGGAGGACTTCCTCAACAAGATGGAGAGTGAGCTCGACAAGGTCTACAACTTTGTGATTCTCAAGCACAAGGAGGTTCTACGAAGAATGAAGGAGATGGAGACGCTGGTCAACAACACCGTGAAGAACTCGAAAAATGCCACCGAGGAAGAGGCCGAGTTCTACGAGCAGGATTTCCAGGACTTGGAAGAAGAGCTTAGTGATATCATTGCCGATGTGCACGATCTCAACAAGTTCACCAGACTCAATTACATTGGGTTTCAGAAGATTTTGAAGAAGCACGATAAACTCACCAAGTTCATCCTCAAGCCGATTTTCCAAGCCAGACTCAACGCAAAAGCATTCTACAAGGACAACTACGACTCGCTGATTGTGAATTTGTCCAAGCTGTACGATCTCGTCAGGACCAGAGGTAACCCGGTCAAGGGAGATTCTTCTGCCGGTGGGTCGATGCAGAACTTTGTCAGACAAACAACCAAGTACTGGGTGCATCCAGATAATATTACCGAGCTGAAATTGATCATTCTGAAGCATCTTCCGGTGCTTGTTTTCAACTCGAACAAGGAGTTTGAAGCCGAGGACTCCGCAATCACCTCCATCTACTATGACAATCCAGACATGGACCTCTATTACGGCAGACTGCTAAAGACCGAGGGGGCTGAAGCAATTAGAATCAGATGGTACGGAGGTATGGGCGCAGAGACCGTTTTCGTGGAGAGAAAGACCCACAGAGAGGACTGGACTGGCGAGAAGAGTGTCAAAGCGAGATTCCCGCTCAAGGAGAAGAACGTGAACGATTTCATGAAGGGAGAGTACACTGTTGCACAGGCTTTTGAAAAGATGCGCAAAGACGGTAAGAAGAGCGTGCAAGAGATTGAAAACCTCGAGAGATTGGCCCAGGAGGTTCAATACAGAGTCATCAAGGACAAGTTCAGACCTGTGATGAGATCGTTCTACAACAGAACAGCTTTCCAGCTTCCCGGGGATGCCAGAGTGAGAATTTCTCTCGATACGGAGCTCACGATGGTGCGCGAGGACAATTTCGACGGTATCGACAGAACTCATGGCAACTGGAGAAGAATGGACATTGGTGTGAACTATCCGTTCCCAAGTCTGCCACCCAAGGATGTGGAACGGTTCCCATATGCTGTTTTGGAGGTCAAGTTGCAGACCCAGCTCGGACAGGAGCCTCCGCAGTGGGTGAAGGAAATGGTTTCATCGCATCTTGTGGAAGCTGTTCCTAAGTTTTCCAAGTTTATTCATGGATGTGCCACCCTGCTGCCGGAAAGAGTCGACCTTATTCCGTTCTGGCTACCTCAGATGGATGTTGACATCAAGAAACCAAAAAAGAACGAGAACTACGGTATTGTGAGACAGAGACAGCTTGACTCCGGAACTGGAGAGTTTGATGAGGAAGAGCTGATCGGCTCGAGCCTAACCTCTGGCTCCACCGGTGTGAACTACGGCGCGGTTTCGTTCAACGAGAACGACAACAGAATCGAAGAGCTTTCTGAGCCAGAAGACACAACTCTGTACGGAAAGGTTGTTTCGTGGTACAAGAACTTCACCAAGCCAGACAACTCGTTCAACAAAGTTCCTGAAGGAACCGTTTTCGACACCAAGTTCACTGCTCCGCCAGGTAAGAAGATATCTGTTGTCGTGAGAGTGGAGCCAAAGGTGTACTTCGCCACTGAAAGAACGTATTTGTCGTGGCTGTCGATTGCTCTGATTTTTGGAGCCACTGCCCACACTCTTCTCAATTACGGAGACTTTGTGTCCTTGGTGACCTCGACGGGATTCTACCTTACCGCGATTCTGACCATTGTCTACTCCACCTACGTGTACATTTTCCGCGTGATCAACATCCGGAACAAACGTGCCGTGCGGTACGACGACCAACTCGGTCCGAAACTCATTTGTGGGGCGCTCGCACTTTCGGTGGGGGTGAATTTCCTCTTCAGGTTTCTGGAGTAGATGAATAAATAATAGACAAGAAAAAAACTTAATTGGAATATTTATTTATGAGTAACCATCCCTCCGACTACATAGAGACGTCGCTGTCTCCAGAAGAGTCGCTTTCACGGGCCATTGCGCGGGAATTGGGCTCCTTCTCGGGAAAGGGCTCGTTCGCGCTGCCGGCTTCGCAATCAACTTGGACATTTACCCAGGGTCTGATCATCGGACAGGCTTCTGTGATTGTGTTGCTTGTTATGTTTATTAGATTCTTTGTGTTCAGCGAGAGCGCCCCCACCATGCCTGGGAACTCGAAAAAAGTCAAGGTTCCTGTTTTGAACACCCCAACAGCAGCTCAGGAAAACGAGGAGTCCACAATAGACGCAATTTTAGAGAAAACGTATTACGACGTGCGAAGCCATCAGCCAGAATCGTTGGATTGGTTCAACGTTCTTGTGGCGCAACTTATTTCGCAGTTCAGAAACGAGGCTCTTAATAACAACAATATACACCAGTCCCTGAACGAGATCTTCAGCTCAAGTCTGATCCCAGACTTTTTGGACAAAATCGTCATCACGGAGATCAGCATTGGGAACGACTTCCCGATCTTCAGCAACTGTCGCATCAAAAATACAGACGGCCGTCTGGAGGGTAAAATCGACGTGGACGTTGCAGATACGCTCACCTTGGGAGTGGAGACCAAACTGCTGATCAACCAGCCCAAACCGCTAGCGGCCTCTCTGCCAATCAAGCTGTCTGTGTCGATCGTGCGGTTCTCGGGCTGTTTAACGGTCTCACTGATCAGCAGCGCAGACGAGTCCGACGCAACAGATAACTCCGTCGGCCTGATGTTTTCGTTCAGTCCCGACTTCAGGCTCGAGTTCGAGATCGAATCGCTGATCGGCTCGCGCACAAAGCTCGATAACGTCCCGCGCGTGAGTTCCATCATTGAAAATACGCTGCGGAACTGGTTCATCGAGCGCTGCATCGAGCCCCGCTTCCAGTTCATCAAACTTCCTAGTCTGTGGCCCCGCAAAAAGACCACCAGACAAACAACCACCGCCGATGACGAAGAAACCTTATAGATACTCAATGGACAGTCCAGTTCAAAATGGATCCTCGTACGGATCGTCCTCGTCGTAATCGTCGTCTTTCTCGAACTCGTAAACGATCGCTCCTCCAACAGCTCCCAGAGACTCCTGTGCCTCCAGGAACGGCAGGTCGACCTTTTCCCTTTCCAGTTTCTGCTTATGTGTGGTTGTGAGATTGAACGTGGTGAGATTCTCCAAGAGCTCTTCCTCGTTGGGCTGCTCTGTGGACTCCTGTTTGACTGTGTATTCGTGTGTAAGGGTGTCGATCTCAAAGACATGCTCGAGCGACCGGCCAGACTTGCGTCTGTACACCATGCGTGCCTCAAACTTGGGTCTATTAGCGACACCGACAGGGAACTCGAGTCTGTGCGAGGCAACCTCGAGCTCCTCGTCGCTCAGAGTACTTAGAGGTCGCAGCTCGAATATGGTGGTAGCCATGAACATGAGCGTCTGCAACGCGGAGGCCATATTTTGGTAACCTGCTGGCTTTTCTGCTGGAACGGATGTGTGGTAGTCAGCACACACCACCGTTGTTGGAGAGATGAGGCTGCGCAAAAGGCTGTTGAGTTGATTTATTGGAACATAGTTGATGGAGTCAATGATTATGAGGGTCTTCGGACCGTGTTTGATTCCCTTGCTAATCTGCTCAACAGAAAGCTCGGAGCACTGGATAAACTCGTCGACTTCGGGTCGATTCAGGGTCTCAAAGGATAGATACACCGTATGGATATTCTGGCTCTTTGCCTTGTGCAGAAGTTCTTTCTGAAGATAAGATCCCGTCTGGAGCACTGTATCAAGCACCAAAATCAAAGGGGATGACTCTTTCAGCGAGATCACCCTGTTCAAAAGAACAGTCGCAGAGTTCTGGGAATTCATTGTACGGAATAATTTTTCAATATTTTTTAAGCTTATTAACATCGACATTTAACTCTGTATAGAAAAGTTTCCGTACCAGCGGCTAGTGGGGGGGTAATCAGTAAATGCCTTCGTGGTAATTCAGGTCTCCATCGTTTGTGTCGTACGAGTACTCGCCACCTAGGTGCGCTTCTTCGAATTCTTCTCCGCGATTGATCTCTTCTGTCGGGTCATTGTAGTAAGATTTGTTAACTAGGAACGTGATCAACCGAGACTGGAACTCAATGATATCCTGCCGACTGGCGAACTCAACTTCAGATTCTTCCGGGGTCGACGCGGTCGACAATTCCACCACGGGGGGGTAGCACTCGTTGTACCAGGTCTCTTTGCTCTGGTTGGGATAGGCAGGAACATTGACTATCCATTTATCTACTTTCTCCTTGTGGGGCATGTTTGCAGCCTGTCTAGGATTGAACTCGGAAGGAAACCGTTGCATTTCTGAATATGACATTATATCTCTCTCGTGCTCGTTCGGGAGGATGAAAATCGGCTGTATTGGTGGAGACAGTGGGGAATGATCCTGTGGTCGCTGTTTGCTAGGCGAGGTGGTGCTCATCTGTCTCGGAGGCTGGTTGGACACCAGAAACGGCGTGAGCTGGCCGATTGGAATCGGTGATCCCGAAACCGCTAGATCTCCATTTGTTTCAGGAACATCCTGCAGTTCCTTGAAGAGGTTGTAGCAGGTCTTCTGGTCTGTGTTGCCGAACTTGGGCACAAACTTGTTTTGCGACCTTGACTGGCTGGCCAGGTTCGGCATCGAATGCGGGTGGTCGGGCGTGTATGCCATCATAAATTCCTGGGCCGGCTTTCTTTTACTGGCAATTGGCGTGTGTAGCTAGGGTGTTAGATCTGGCGCGGGGGGGTGTTTGGGCTCAACATACTTTGAAGTCTGCCATGAGTCAAATATCCGGTGGCTATACACAAATTGACGGTCGAGTTCGTTATCGCCCAAAGAAAAAGGGATGATATAAATATCCTTGATCCAGAAATATTTGGGCCCCGGGCCCCGCGCCAAGTCGATCGACCCCTAATTTTTTTATTTCATAATCTATTCACTAGTCTGGCAGATGGGTGTTCACGGACTCTGGGACATTGTGGGACCGACCGCGCGGCCGGTCCGTCTGGAGGCCATGTCGAAGAAGCGTCTTGCCGTTGACGCTTCTATTTGGATCTACCAGTTTCTCAAGGCCGTGCGAGACAAGCAGGGCAATCAACTGATCAATTCGCACATAGTTGGGTTTTTCCGCCGTATTTGCAAACTGCTGTATTTTGGCATACGTCCGGTGTTTGTGTTTGATGGTGGGGCACCGATCCTCAAGCGCCAGACGATTGTGCGTCGTCGTGAAAAAAGAGAAGGCAATAAACAGACCGCAGAGCAGATGGCGAAAAACCTGCTTGCGAGACAACTTCAGAACCGCGCAGAGCAACGTCTAAGCAGCCCGCCAAAGTCAAAGCCGAAGGCAACGTTCAAAGAGGTGTCGACGGATAAGTTACAAGGAGGACAGTATTATGAGGATAACAACTATTTCGACACCAGAGAAAAGCCCAAAGAGCCTGCCAAAAAAGATGGCAAGATGTTCAGGAGACAGGACGAGTATGATCTGCCACAACTGGACAGTTTCAAAGTGGAGAAGAACGACCAACGGATGATCACGGACTACGAGTACGAACGACTAACCTCTGATCTCCAGGACGAGCTGGGAGGTATTGACTTGGAGACGATCGACCCCAAGTCTGCAGACTTTGCTAGGCTCCCACTGTCGACCCAATATATCGTTTTGTCTCATTTGCGCTTGAGGTCTCGACTCAGAATGGGCTACACAAAACAACAGCTGGAGACTCTATTCCCAGATAGTATGGATTTTTCCAAGTTCCAGATCCAAATGGTCCAAAAACGGAACTTTCTCACACAAAGACTAATGAATGTTGCTGGAATGGACGACATCGATCCCGAAGTCCAATCAAGGCGGATTGCGAGCGACAGGGACAGAATGTACGAATTGAAGAGAAACGAAAATGGATATACTTTGTCGATTGACGACAATGGACAGTCTGCAGACCAGGCCATTGATCTGGATAGTGATAATGATGATGAGGATCTGGAGGATGTTCTTGAGGACGTGACAGATATAACTCCGTCTGGGCCTCCACTCGTCAAGGCACAGGTCTCAAAACCTGTGAGAACTGTTTCCGAGTCTGTTTCCAACCCTATCTTTGTTGGTGAGGTCGAAACCGAGGAAAAGGACGAAGACCAGACAATGGCCATGATTCAGTCTCTGTACGATTATGCCAACACTAACAACGCTGGAGTGAAACAGGCAAAAGAGATGTCTGAAGAGGATCAGCTCCGTGAGGCGATTGAAAGATCCAAGCAGGATTACTATAATATGGTTGAGCAGGAGGAAAACGAAGAGCAAAAAGATCCATTTGATTTTGGACCTGCTCCTCCGCTTATTCTGTCTGAACAGTCTTTGGGAACTAACATGGATAAGGTGACCAACAAGAATGTTGATATTCCAAAGTTTGATTTCAAGAACAGTTTGTTTGCAAGTGATTCAAAGAAGCAAGAAAAACAGGAAACACCGATTTGGTTCCAGCAGAAGTTGCCGGAGAGAATCCACGACGATGTTTCTCAGAAGACGCAAGCACCAGAGCAGACTGAAGACGAGAAGGCGGGGCTGTACCATTATGACGATATCGAAAACTATCTGGAGCCGGAGATCGAGTCTGAGGATGAGGAGGTTGACCTGGCCAAGAGCTCCAGTCCTGAGGCAGAGATTGAGGATCTCACATCCAAAGGAGATGAAGAGGATCCAATTGATCTGGATTTGGAGGACGTGATTGAAGAGAGGCATGTACAGGTGGATCAGGAAGCCGCACAAAAGAAGCGAGTTGATGTGGACTTGGAAGAAGTTGCGGAAAAAAAGCCGATAGACATTCAGGATTTAGAGCCGTCAGCCCGGTCAGAGACTCCAGAAGTCTCTAAAGAACCCGAATCGGCTAGGTTTGAGTCTCCAGAAGAATCCAATGAGGTTCCTTCTGTCGAATCTGAGGAGCCTGTGTCTGAGTCTTCTAAACAAGAAAATCAGCCAGAGATCCTGGATTATGTCTTTTCCGACGAAGAGGAATTGGAACAGAACTTGGAAAACGAGGAGGCAGCGTACGAGAAGTTTGTTGGCGACGTGAAGTCCACCAGACCTGTCAAGTCAAGCGGATCTTTCTGGTCGATGGACGACGAGGTGAAGCTACAAGAAAATCTCAAGAAGCAGAAAAGAGACGCTGATGAGGTGACTGTGAAGATGGTTTTGGACGTCCAGGACCTGCTTTCGCGGTTTGGACTGCCCTACATCACTGCGCCGATGGAGGCAGAGGCTCAATGCGCTGAGCTGCTCCGACTAAACCTGGTGGATGGAATCATCACCGACGACTCGGATTGTTTCCTGTTTGGCGGCGACCGGGTCTACAAAAACATGTTCAACGAGAAGAACTTTGTGGAGTGCTACCAGATGGAAGATTTGGAAAGAGACATGGGACTGAACCGACAAATACTGATAGAAATTGCTCTTCTTTTGGGAAGTGACTATACAGACGGAATAAAGGGTGTGGGCAAGGTTGCAGCGATGGAAATTCTTGCCGAGTTCAAGAGTCTTGAGAACTTCAAGCAATGGTGGCTGAAATATCAAGATGGACACATTGACGAGTCCACAGAAACCTCTATTAAACGAAAGCTGCGCAAGACCTTAAAAAAAACAGGTCTCTTCTTGACGCCGGAGTTTCCTGATAAGCGGGTGATAGATGCGTATTTGCATCCGGAGGTGGACCATGATAAGACAGAGTTCAAGTGGGGGTATCCGAATCTGGACAAACTCCGCGCGTTCCTTATGTACAATGTCGGATGGAACGACGAGAAAGTGGACAGCATTCTTTTGCCGATCATCCAGAACATGAACAAGCCCCAGACCAGCATCGAGGAGTTTTTCCCCGTTGAGATGGTGAGGCGGCGGAGAGAGCTGGCCATTGGCCAGCGGCTGAAAAATGCAACGTCTCGGTTACGGAACGGAGATGATTCGGAGCCACCCGAGATGGAGCAGCAGCCAGCGCAGCCCAAAAAACGGCGGAAACGCGCCTGATTCACGACCAGATTGTCGGATCGTATCCTTCTGTGACCTCCTGGTCGTTGCCGTACAGCTGTTGCCAATTGACAAAGCCACCTCTAAGCACATAGACATTGACATCTGGGACAGGGTCCTGGTCAGATAAGAACCGCAAGAATCTCATGGCAGCAGATGGACCACGCTGTTGGGATAATGCACAGTGGAAAACAACGCTATCTGCCTTGGTGTCCTTCATTTGCTGCAAAATGGCGCTACAATTGGCACCGACCCGAGAACTGGGGACGTGGAGCCCAGACCGAATGTGGCCGCCAATATAGTCGGAGTCTCTCACATCCACAACAAGAAATTGAGAACCCTGGTTAGTAGACTTCTGCGAAAACCACTGCCGCAGCGTCACCGGCTCCAGGTACTTAACGTTGGCAATAGAAACCATTAGATATATTTATTTGGAATAATTTTTTTCTACCTAAGATTGCCCTATTTTGGCTTTTTGGATCGCCGGCCTCTTTTCGTCACCACCGGCTTGTCTTCTTCTTCGCTTTCAAATTCCGAATGGCTATCCATTCCGACCCAATCCTTGAAGTTATCAATGAGACTCCGCCTTGAAGATGAGCTTTCTAGGCCGTTTGCATTGTACCTGGATGCAAAAGAATCTGCAGGCGAATCTGCAGGCGAGTTTTCGTTCTTCCTATTTTTCAGAAATTCTCGAACCTCGGTATACAGATCACGTGAAGCGTTGTTGAGACTGTCGTTTGTCTTCTTCCAGTAAGACCGGAAGTCGTTGATTTGCTTTTTCAAGTCCAGCTCGTTCTTCTTGAGCCATGAAACATTCAGCTCTTTTCTGGTGGCTCCCCTGGCAAAGTTCCGCATGAGGTATTTGTCGTAGTCGCGGATGATCTTGGTGATGATATCACTGGTGCTGATTCCTTCGGTTCTCTGGGTGGCCAGAAACATGCCTGCCTGCTTCATCGGCTTGTAGATGTCGTCGATCCCCTGTGCTTCGTACGGAAGATCATCGTGCGCACAGAAATCGATCTTGTGTTTTCTCAGAAAATCAATCGTCAGGATCCACGGTGCGTCCTCGATCACCTCATCCACCCACTTGCAGTGTCTCAACGTCTCGTACCGCTGCTTGTCGCTTAGAACTGTGAGTCCCTTGCGTTTGTGCGTTTCAACATCGTTTGGAATGCCAACCACCAGTGTCACGCTCGGGAACGCCTTCTTGCATTGCTCCAGCTGTCTCATGTGACCCAGATGGAACAGATCAAACACTCCGTCTGCATAGATGCGAATTGGACGGTCCTCAGGAGGTGGGTTGAGCTTGAACCCCTTTGGACGATACTTTCTGTACTCGGGCGATAACAGCTCGTCGTACTCCTTTTCGCGCTTGCGGAACGCCTCCTCTTCCTTGGTGGACCGTGTCTTGGGCTTCTTCACCACCTGGATCTCCTGCGCGTCCTCAGCGTCTTCCTGTTCAGAATCTTCCGATCTTGCTCTCTTGTTTGATTTTTTAAATAGCTTGGTGAACGAGTCCGTCTTGATCAAACTGTTCATAGATAGCGTCCGCGCGAGCACATTGTTCCCGTTAAATGGGTCGGGGCTCGCCGATTCCTGCTTGGGTTCCATAATTGAAAATCCTTCTTTGGTAATGCCAATATTAAATGAAAGAAAACTCCAGACACCACCTGTTTTCAAAAAGTTCAAAAACGTCTTGTGTTAGCTCCTATGGCTGAACTCGGGAAGAACATCTCCGTTTTGCTGGAAAACGCCACCAAAAACCTGTCGACGACGGTGAACGAGGCCATCAACCACAAGAACGTCAAGTTGCCTCCCGCTCTTAACTTGTTCTTGTCGAATGGTTTCTCTCACAACCAGGAGCTTAGCTCATCGCAAATCGTCGAGGGCCTCAATTCGTCCATTTCGCGAGAAATTTACGTCTCCTTGGAGTACCTTGCGCGGCTGATGACCCACCAGAACGCAGATTCCGAGGTGGTCCAATTCTTTCCCCACGTCATCAAAAATATAACCTCGCCAGATCTCAAAGTTAAACGACTCGTGTACACAATTCTTCTCCGCTACAACCATGTGCAGCAGGACATCGCACTGCTCTCCATCAATGCCATCCAGAAATCCCTCACCGATAAGAATTGTATCAATCGAGCCCTAGCCATCAGAACGTTGAGTGGTATAAGAATCCCAGCTATACTGCCTATCCTAATTCTGTCCATGAAAAAGACAGTTTCGGACTCATCGCCGCTGGTTCGTTCGGCGACGGCTATTGCCATCACGAAATGTTTTCTGCTCGACGATAGTCTGAACAAGAATCGCGATTTGTCGGCCGCCTTGACTGACGAGTCCTCAATCCCTGCTCAGCTATACCAGTTGTTAGAAACTTTGCTCAGCGATACAGATCCAAAAGTCTTGAGTTCAGCTCTGGGAACATTTTATACTATCTTCCCCGGATATATGGATCTAATTCACCCAAGGTTCACCCATTTGGTTTCAAGACTGAACTTCTTGGAAGACTCGGCCAAAACTGTGTTGATTGATCTGGCAACAGACTATTCCAAACTCTACTTGCCTCAGCCAACAGAATCCTCCCTATGTGTGGAGCTTGTTCTCCTGGACTCCAAACTAAAACCGTTCATCTACTCTTCCTCTGCAAACGTCGTGTTAAGTATGATCCGTTTCTACTACAACGTGCTGCCGTTCAAACTGAATGAGATTCCGCTTTCCAAGGTTCTGATCAAATTCCTCGGGAACGATGAGTCAAGCATATACATCTTGAGCGAGATTCTGTACCTGTTGGATCGTGGCGTTCTGAGTTTCACTGGATCCCAACTGACAAACTTCCTTCCACTGCCAAACGAGATCCAGAAAGTGAGCGATTTGAAACTTTCGATTCTTGTCCGTTTGATCAACCCACAGACCTTTGATATGATATTCGACGAGCTCGTGTTTCTGGTTGATACAAGTAACCGATTCCTGAAGTTGACTGTTATCAAATTGTTGAACCAGTTGCATGCTACCACTCCCGAGCAACATCAGAAAATTGGCCAGCTATTCTTGAACAAGCTAGGATCTGAGAAAGACGAGCTTCTGGTGGCAGAGTACGTTACAGGATTAAGAATGATTGTTCAGACCGATCTGCAGCACAATATTGACATTTTGATCAAGTTGACAGGAAAATTAGTCAACGATAGCGATTTGTCGTCTTTGGCAAAGGCCTCGATCATCTGGCTGATTGGTGAGTTCTCGTATAGTCAGTTTGACGAGCCGAAGTGCATAGCTTTTCACGACTACCTACCGGACCTGATGAGAATTCTGGTGCAGAGTTTCAGAGACGAAGAATACCTGGTCAAGCTTGAGATTTTAACTGCTCTGACAAAAATCATTTCAAAGGAAATGTATACATCCAAGCAGCAAGGAGAGACCTACAATTTCGACAATATGGTTTGGAAGATGTTTAATCTGGTGCTTCAGTTCACGAAATATGACACTAGTTTGGACCTGAAGGACAGATCGCGGTTGATCGGTTCTTTATTGCCCAATGTTGTATACACTGACCCAGACGTCAACGCAAACACCGCTCTGGATTTCCGCGCCTATTACAATGAAAAAAGCCACATTATAGAACAGTGCTACGAGAAGCTGAACGAGGTTGATTTTTCAGTCTTACTGTTCCACACGTCCAAGTACTCTCCAGTTTCTTCTGCCACCATTGACGAAGACAACAGCATCAGCACATACAACAAAGTGACTCCTGATAAACTGAATCCTGAGTTGTTGGAGTACTACAACGAACTCCGTGCCCAAGAGTTCCAGCTGAAAGACTACGGACATTTCAAGTCGGTGTCACAATCAAGCGTGAGACAGCCGGTTGTGGTGAACTCTCCAGTACCCGTCACCGCAGAAACCAAGTCGGCAGCCAAGAAGTACAAGTTGCAAACTCTGGACGACTTCCTGAAGGAAAAGGGCAAGTCGGGCGTCTTTGGTGGCAGTGACGACGAACAATCTGAAGACGAAAGCGATGAGGAGTCGGAAAATGCTAGTCAAATATGATTATACGTGCATTTAACAATTTTTATTTTTCAAACTCCAATGTCGTCGTTCCTCGGTCTGGGAGGATCCAAAACCAACGCCAACAGCGGCTCGTCGCTGGGCTCCGCGCAAGCACAACAGATCAAAGAACAAGTGAAAACGTCCATTGCCACGGAAATGGCCACCGCATACGCCACCTCTCTGGTCAACTCGTTGACTGAAAACTGTTTCGACAAGTGTATTCTCCAGCCATCATCGAGCCTCTCTTCTGTGGAAGAGCACTGTATCAACGACTGTGCGTCGAAGTTCATGAGATCTTGGAATTTGATTTCCAAGTCTTACATCTCCAGAATCAACAACAGCTCGCAATAGGGTGCTTCTAGATAGATCTACGACCAAAGTTTCTGTATGTATTGTATCAACATGTTGTTGTGTCAAATTGGGCTCTGGGCTCGTTTAACCTCTGCATATCTGTGCATAACCGGTTATGTAGTCTGAGAAGGTCAGAATAGGCCAGGAACCACCATGGTGAGCTGCACAAGGGCCGGGGCGGAAGTGGGAAGACACCCGTACACCAGACCGTGTGAAAGAAAAAAATATCTGGAAAATAGTAGTGAAGGATGAGTGTGCTTGTTCCGCGGATTGGTTTGCGGGCTACGGCGCTATTTGGAGGCCGCCATGTGGCTGGATCCTACAGATTTTATTCTGTGAAGGGAAAACTGGACGATGACGATGATTTGAATTTTGACGCAGTTGACGTTTTGAAAAAACCGGCTCCAGGAGAACAGTCTGATTCTGAATTGCGGTCGTTTGACTGGTACAGTCGGTTCCAAAAGGCACCACCAAAGGGAAAGAAGACTGTTTCGAAAAGAGTGAAGAATCTGCAAAACGAGCTCAACAAATATACCACTATGGAGACGATTGAAAAGCTTGCTCCCGATTTCCTGGCAGCTTTCAACAACAGTTTAATTGATTTCGGTGATAACTTTCTGGGAGATGCTGTGGAGGAGGAGGATACGCTCAGGGCGATCGCCGAGACCGAGGGAAAGGAGGTTGCGTACTACCAGGCGGCTGTTGGGCTGTTGAAGGGTCAAACTGATATTGAGATTTTGAATTCGCGGCTTGAGACTCCCAGAGAGGAGTTTGACGACGAGATTTACAGCCGGTTTGTCGATGAGCTGAACAAGGACGAAGAGTCGTTCAATATTCAGTCTTTGTTGCAAGAGTATGCGAAACTCCCTGTTCCTCGTGCCAAACATATCCAGCCAGAGGATCTGGAGTTGTTTCTGGAACAGTTCAAGTTATATGCCTTTTATTTGAACGTTGAGCTTGTTGATCTTGTTTTCCAGGATGTCATTGACGCTGGGATGATGATCACTCAAGAAGAGCTCCATAGAAGCTTGAGCTGTCAGCTTGCTACCGGCAAGGTGTTTGGCCAGGAAGCGTATCAGGAGTTTTCTAAGGTGATTACTGAAACCGGTTTTGCGTTGAACATTGACAGTTACAACATGTTCCTCACTGCCTGTGTTGTTTCCAAGAACACTGACTTGTTTGGGCAAATTTTGAATGATATTAACGAGGCAGGGTTGCAACCATCCAGAACAACTTTCCAGCTAATGGCTGTTTACTCCGGTCTATCCAAGGACATTAACAAGCTTCTGAACCTGCTGGAAATCCGTCTGGTGACCATTCCGCTACTGCTCGATGCTTCAGATATTTCGAGCTTCGCGGGAGCACTGATGGACGTTGGCCAGCCACAGCTTGCTAACGACCTGATCAACATCCCGCTACTGATGAGAGATATGTGTCTACACCACCATGAGCTGGATTTGGCCGAGTACCAGGAGAGAAGCTTGGAAAACGAGCTGAAACTGATTCCATATCACTCTCCGCTGGAAATGTTTGATTTCCTAACCAGGAACATGACGCTGTTTCCGTTCTACCCTGACGTTCCGGAATGGACGTTCGATGTTTACGCCGAGCGCTGTGAAACATTCCAAGACATCCGTGGCATCGTGGAAAACGTGGTGTCTAACAACATTGGGGTGTCAATTCCTGTGGCTGTGAAGTATATGGAGCTATTCTACAAGGAAAGAGAGAGCCTCAAGAGAGACGAGTTGCTTGCTGTCACGACAGAACTTTTAAGCTCCACAGAAGATAAGGCGCTATTTCTACTTACAAACCCTGCCATGATTCAGTTGGTGGTGGACCTTGCCCAGCATTTCGTGAAAACCGGTGAACTGTCAAACAATAGCGTGACCACACGAGCTTTGCAAGATTTACAACACGAGTTGCAATCAGGCGCCGAGTTGTCAACAGAGGACGCGTTCCATCGGAGATTACGCAATGTGTCAAGTCTCCTTAGTCACCCGTTACAGGAAGAGCCTTAGTGACTAATATCGGAGAAGTGTGGAACTTTTCTGTGTTATCGGAGTAAAAGTGTGGCTGGTGGTTTTAAAACTTGCTCATACTTTTTCCTCGCAATTTTTTTTCATGTACCTGCACATATTGAAAAACACCCTGGCGGCTTGCAAATCATTGACACAATGCGCGTGACTCGATGTTTATGACTCCACCAAGGTGTAATCTACTACGGAAAATTTTTTTTTAGTGGTGTCCCTGTGGCTTCATGTGGCTAATGTGCCTCGATTTTGTGTAGTTTATATAAATGTGGGAGAGTACCTCAAGTTTTCCTATAGATCTTCATCATGATGTTCCTCCACGATCAATTCTGCATCGTTGACAACAAAGAATTGGACCAATTCTCAAACAGCATCTACTGCTCTGAGGAATGCCAAGCAAAGGATTCTCTTTACGATTCTTCCGTCAAAGTTCTACCTAATACCAGCAAGTTGGTCACTTACTCCACAACAAACTTTAAAACCCCTTTCCAGGACACTACAGAGGAATACGACGGCGACTTTTTCGCACTAGAGGATGTCCACACAAACTCATACACAACAGCTTCTGAAACATCGTCGCGTCGATCGACGCACTCGGGATCGCTCCCCTCGTTGCTGGACGACACGCCCGCATTGGATTTGTACGATGCTGACGAAACCGTGGAAGTGCATCATTGTGACCTGCAGGACTGGACACAGCCAGGACTTGTGGACTTTGGCGATAGATGGCTTTACGAGGCACCAAAGCTCCAGGACGATTCCTGGGGACGCAAACTTACCCGCCAACCATCCCCTTCTGCCACACGTCCTTCAGCTGACTCCGCTTCGCACAACTACCAGCTGTGGCTCTCTCGCGTGAAATGAACCTCACACTATGTACTATGTACCCGCATTGGAATTTAATGATCCCCCACCCGTATTAAGAAAAAAAATGTTGGTGTAGAGTTGTTGATGTGGCATTTTTTCCTCAGTTTCGCGTTCTCGTTTAGCATGTCGGTGGAGGAAAAAAAGATATATCAGTTCCCCTATTTAAATTGAAGTGCAACCCTCTTTATTAATTCATATATTTCACCTATAATCATCATGACGCGTCCTCAAAATGTCGGTATCAAGGCCTTGGAGATCTATATTCCAGGTCAATACGTGAGCCAGACCGAGCTCGAAGCCTTTGATGGTGTTTCTGCTGGAAAGTACACCATCGGTCTAGGACAAACCAAGATGGCGTTTGTCAACGACAGAGAAGACATCTACTCGATGGCCTTGACTGTCTGCAACAACTTGTTGAAGAACTACAAGATCGACCCTAACTCTATCGGTAGATTAGAGGTGGGAACAGAGACTTTGCTCGACAAGAGTAAGAGTGCCAAGTCTGTCTTGATGCAGCTGTTTGGTGAGAACACCGACATCGAAGGTATTGACACCTTGAACGCTTGTTACGGTGGTACCAACGCCGTGTTTAATGCCATTAACTGGGTGGAATCGTCCGCTTGGGATGGAAGAGACGCGATCGTCGTTTGTGGAGACATTGCCATTTACGAGAAAGGTGCTGCCAGACCAACCGGTGGTGCAGGTACTGTTGCTATGTTGATTGGTCCTGATGCTCCAATCACTTTCGAGCCAATCAGAGGTACTTTCATGCAACACGCATACGACTTCTACAAGCCAAACTTCGTCTCTGAGTACCCTGTTGTGGACGGTCACTTCTCCCAAACTTGTTACATTAAAGCTGTTGATGAATGTTATGCCAGCTACTCCAAGAAGGCTGCTGCCAAGGGTCTTTCCAAGACCAAGACTGTTGGCGTGAAGTTCTTTGACTACAACTGTTTCCACGTTCCAAACTGTAAGCTTGTGGCCAAGTCTTACGGAAGAATGTTGTACAACGACTTTAGAGAGGACCCATCCATCCTACCAGATGTTGACGCTCAGTTGGCTACCCAAGAATATGAGAGCTCTTTGACTGACAAGGCTTTGGAGAAGACTTTCGTCACCGCTGCCAAGGGTCTCCACAAGGAGAGAGTTGGTGCTTCTTTGGAAGTTGGAACCAACGTTGGAAACATGTACACTGGTTCCGTTTACGGTTCTTTGGCCTCCCTGCTGTTCTACGTCGGAAACGACGCTTTGCAGGGTAAGAGAATTGGTTTGTTTTCTTACGGTTCTGGTCTGGCTGCCTCTCTCTTCTCTGCCAAGGTTACTGGCGACATCTCGCACATTGTCAAAGTTCTAGACATCCAAAACAAGCTTGACAGCAGAAAGCACAGAACTCCTGAGGAGTACGAGGCTGGCTTGAGCCTCAGAGAGAAGATCCACTTGCAGAAGTCTTTCAAGCCAACTGGTGACATCGACTACATTCCAAAGGGATCTTTCTACCTCACCGAGATTGATGACAAGTTCAGAAGAGTTTACGAGGTGAAAAAATAAATTTGCTTACTCCAATACAATACATATTCTCATTGCTGGATATTTCATCCTCTCCAAACCATCAATCCTCCCACAAGGATCATTGCTATTGACACATACCATAACAGGTCATAATCATACTTGTGTTTCCTCACAGCATTAGTTTTGTATCTATTTTCTAAAGATCTCTTAACCTTTTTAGATAAAGCTGTGGAAGAAGCTGCTGCGGTACTGCCTGAATCAGTTGAGTTTGCTGTGGGATTCATGGTGATGGTTGGTAACATTTGCGGTGGTCTGTAAGCCAAGTAAAGAGGTTGCATTGGAGAACCGTCACTTTCGTACAGCTGCAACTTGTATCTGCCGTGGTAGGAGTCCAAGCTGACTGCATAGGATTTGAAAATCTCTTTCTGTGAATATCTGCTGTAAACTGAGACGCCGTTGTCGTTGCATGGGTCACTCAATAACTGTCTACCGTCCACCGCAAATGGTGTAAGGATGATGGAGCCGCTGGAATTGACTTCGTAGGTACCGTGTTGGAAAATCAATGCGGCGACAGCACACGAGTGGTTCTTTGGGTTCGGAGTCACCTGATAAATGGCCTCCTCAAAGTATCCATCGTCGTGGAACGAGTAGCTGATTCCTGGCAACGCAGGCTCGATTAGAAGCTCGTCTATAGGATCGTAGAAGCCAGGTCCAGTGAACACCGTGTTCGACTTGGATGACCAGGTACCGTTGAGACTTGTGCTCGAGTCATCTGCAGCTCCGATAGAGGAGTATATTGCGAAAAACGCCAGTAATTTCAACCAACTCATAATACAAGAATGCTTTTCCAAATATGTTTTCAATATTTTTGTGAATTTCTCCTTTAAAATTCTGTTTTACTATAATTATCACAGCCTTTGCTCAGCCACTGTGGCAAAGCATTCTGGTCCTAAACAAGAGAACGAAAAAAATTATATTAGATAATCCATCATGTCCAACAGAGTGATCCAGTACGAGGATCGTAAAGTTGACGGCGGACACACAACCAAACTCACTGGTGGGTATTCGATTCCGCAACAGTTTCGGCAAGAATTGAGCGATGAGGCCGAGACTTATGAAGACCCTTTAACAAGAAAGGCTAATCAAAAGGCAATTTCCGCTAGAGAGAACTCCTATCAACAGCGCAAATATGACTCTATGCACAGGTTGGAAGATGAGTCGCAGTCTGAGGGATACAGGAAGACTATGGAACAACGATTTAAGGGAAAAAAAGATCAAGAACAGGAAGATAATACACAAAATGATAATCAGGTGCAAAAAAGAGATCGCACTCCTCCTCGTCGTGAGCGAAAACGACGGTGGGATGTGGGCGCCTCCGAGGAACCGGAGGTCTCCGAAGAACCAAAACGTAAATCCAGATGGGAAGAGGAACCTGCTGTGCAAACTTCCCAAATTCCCGTTGTTGATGGCATTCCGTTGACAGAGGAAAACCTTAACATCCTTCTCCCCAGTGGATTCCGCAAGATTCCAGCGCCCCTTGATTATAAGCCAGACGATTCTATTCCTCCAGATTTGACTTCTTTCAATTCTCTGACAAATGTCGATCAATACGTGATTCCTGAAGAAAGTACTCTTGTTCAAGAGTTCAAGTATCACAACCCCCAATTAATTCACGATGTTCCTGGTCTGAAAGAAATCCAGTTTTTCAAGGAGGCTGATATGAAGGTGTTTGGTAAGCTCATCACCACAAAAGACGTCAACGTGGAGACTCTCAGTAATGACCAGAAGAAAGAGATCCAGTGTATGAAATTAATCTTGATGATCAAGAACGGTTCTCCTCAAGTCAGAAAAGTCTCCTTACGACAGCTGCAAGAAAATGCACGTTATTTTGGTGCCGATCATATATTCAACGTCATTTTGCCACTATTGATGAGCAAGTCGTTGGAAGACCAGGAACGCCATTTACTGGTTAAAGTTGTCGGAAGAGTTCTTTTTAGACTTGAAGAACTCATCAGGCCGTACGCACATAAAATCCTTGTCGTCATTATGCCGCTTCTGATTGATGAAGACATGGTCACACGACTGGAAGGCCGGGAAATTATTTCTAATCTTTCCAAGGCTGCTGGCCTGGCACATATGATTTCTGTCCTTCGTCCAGACATTGACCATTCCGATGACTATGTTCGGAACACTGTCGCCAGAACCTTTGCAGTTGTTGCATCATCTCTTGGAATCCAGTCGCTACTACCATTTTTGCGTGCTGTTTGTGGCTCCAAGAAAAGCTGGCTCGCAAGACACACTGGAGTGAAAATTGTCCAGCAGATTGCAATTCTTATGGGTTCAAGTATATTACCATATTTGAACGGACTCGTTGGCTGCATTGGGAGGTTAATTTCGGACGAAAACTTGAATGTTCGAACTATGGCCGCTATGGCCATCAGCAACCTGGCTGAATCTTCTGCTCCTTATGGTTTTGATGCTTTTGAAAAGATTCTTGATCCATTGTGGCAAGGCTTGCGTCGTCATAGAGGAAGAGGTCTTGCAGCTTTTTTGCGTGCCCTGGGCTACATCATTCCACTCATGGATGAGGAGTACAGCAATTACTACACTAGAGAAGTTTTCAGAGTGCTGACAAGGGAATTTTCATCACCTGAAGATGAAATGAAACGTACAGTTTTGAGGATCATCAACCAATGTTGTTCCATTGAAGTTGTGGATGGACGTGTATTCAAAGAAGGCAAACTCGTTCAAGAGTTTTTCCAGAACTTTTGGAACAGAAGAACTGCTCTTGATTCCAGAATATCGCGGATGTGTGTGGACGCATCTGTCTCTCTGTCCAACAAGATTGGCCCAAATGCGGTGATTGGCCAGATGTTGGTTCCTATGAAGGACGAGTCTGAGACTTTCCGTCGGATGGCCGTCGAAACGTCGAGCAGGATTGTTCAACAGCATGGGTCGTTCGACCTCGATGACAGAACTGTCGAGAGGTTGTTGGATGCACTGCTATTTTCGTTCCAACACCAAACACTCGATGATTCCGTTGTGTTGAATGGATTTGGTAACATCTTGGTGTCGCTCGGCGTGAGAATCAAACCGCATCTCATGAGTATTATGAGTGCTGTGTTGTACCGACTAAAGAACAAGACTCCAGAAGTCCGACAACAAGCTGCTGACTTAATTGCACGCACCAGTGTTGTTTTGAAGATATGCGACCAGGAAGACATGTTGGTTCGATTAAGCTCTATTCTTTATGAGTCGCTAGGAGAAGTGTACCCCGACGTTTTGGGCTCGATTTTGAATGCTATGCGCAGCGTGATACAAAATCTTGGAGTCGAGCTAGTGAACCCTCCTATTGCCCAAATTCTAGCAACTTTGACCCCAATTTTGAGGAACAGACATGAAAAGGTTCAAGAGACCACTATCAATCTTATTGGAGACATTGCTGATAAGGGTAAAGAGTACATCAACCACCGTGAGTGGATGAGAATCAGTTTCGAGCTGTTGGAAATGCTCAAGGCTCGCAAGAAGCAAATTCGTAAGAGCGCAAATACCACCTTTGGACTAATTGCTCGTGCGATCGGGCCTGCGGATGTCTTGGTGACTCTACTGAACAATCTGCGAGTGCAAGAGCGGCAACTGCGTGTTTGCACGGCTGTGGCAATCGGTATTGTTGCAGACACCTGTTCTCCATACACTGTTCTGCCGGCCTTGATGAACGAGTACCGGTTTTTTGACCGAAACGTGCAGAACGGAGTGCTCAAGTCGCTGTCGTTTATGTTTGAGTACATTGGCGACATGGGCGGAGATTATGTGTATGCCGTTTTGACGCTTTTGCAGGATGCCTTCACAGACCGCGATCTGGTCCACCGACAAACGGCATCGACTGTGGTTAAACACATGGCTTTGGGCTGTGCAGGCCTTGGCTACGAGGATGCGTTTCTGCATTACTTGAACCTGATCTGGCCCAACGTGATGGAGTCGTCGCCCCACGTGATCGTACGGATCTTGGAGAGCGTGGAGGCCATACGGGTCGCCGTTGGATACGGCATTGTTATGAATTACGCAATTAGTGGGCTGTACCACCCGGCTAGCAAAGTGCGGCATGCATATTGGCAGATCCACAATAGCATGTATTTGAACAACAGCGATGCCTTGGTTCCGTACCATCCACGACTTGAGGCTATTGGTGAGGAGTTGAAGCCGACTCCACCTCAAGTTTGTTTTGATACAACCGACTACAGCGTCCAGGAGCTAGATATGTGGATTTAATCCTAATATAGATTGCTAGTTAAAAATCTTATTGTTGCCGAGTAAAATCTGAAACATGGGGCTGTGCAGTGAAAAGGTAGCAGGAGACAACGAAATGTTGATAGGAAACCGAAAAATATGGATGGTGGTACGGGTGGCATGTACGCGCGTCAGCTGGAGCTGAGCAACGTCCTGAGTACTCAGATTCGCAACGTCCAAGGCGAGTCGAAGCAATTGGTCCACCACCTGGCCAAAGTGAAGCAGCAGGTGAAAGATGCAACCTTGGAAAGTATGAGTGGCAATTGCACCAGGATTGGACCAGTGCGGTTACAGAACCATCGAACGCTACGGGGCCATTTCAACAAGGTGCTAACTGTGAGTTGGCATCCCGACAACAGGCATTTGGCCACGGCAGCCCAGGACGGGTTTCTCCTGTTCTGGGACTCCACCTCGGGCCTGAAAAAGAACCTGATAAGACTGGATGACCCGTACATCATTTGCAGCGATATTTCACCAAACGGACACATGGTGGCCACTGGAGGGCTGGAGAATGCCTGCATTATTTACAAACTACACTCATCACCAGATTCCGAAACGTCTCCGAAAAACTCTATAGTGTCCATCTTCAAGGGTCACAGGGAATACATCAGCGATCTGAGCTTTGTTGGTAACTCGCAAGTTCTCACCAGCTCGGGGGATAAATCTATTGTGCTATGGGACATGGAGAAAGGTACCCGTTGCAACAGCTTTAATGGCCATCTTGGTGACGTTTTGGGATTATCAGTGAATCCAAGAGACCCAAATATGTTTGTTTCGTGTTCTTCCGATCGGTTCTCGAACCTGTGGGATGTTCGAAGTCCACTCAACAGACGACAATTTCAAACTTCGCAAACGCATGACTCGTCGGCCGTTAAATTCTTCCCCGACGGCTATTCTTTTGCATGCGGGACGGACGACGGAGAAGTGAAGCTTTTCGATATTCGATCGGACTGCGAGCTCTCGAACTATCCTGTGAGACAAGTTCATCAGCACTTTCGCTCATACAAGCCAGAAGAGCAGGTGGTGGAAGACTCTGCTTCGTCAATGAAACTGAGCACGAAATCATCGATGGTGGCAGCTTTGGATAATCCAGGAGTGCTCTCTATCGACTTTTCAAAGTCGGGAAGATTGCTATTTGCATCATATGCAGAATATTCGTCGGTGGTGGTCTGGGACTGCGTCATGGGGACTATCATAGGAACGCTCGATGGACACCGAGACTCTGTCAGTAAAATCAAGATATCCCCAGACGGACTGGGAATAGCCACTGCCTCACGAGACCATACTACAAGAATCTGGTCTGTATAGGAGATAAAATTGACTAGGCGCATGTATTGTATACACTTTTAACGTACATCTACATTTATTCCACCCGCTTCTTGACGTAGTCCCACAAACTTTTCAGCAATGTGTCTGGCAAGGTGTACAGGTCCATGGTGAACTCGCCGTTCTCCACGTCATTTTTCACGCTCATTTCTGGGGTCTTGTTGTCGTTGATCATCTGCACCACGCCCAAAAGATCGTCCTCGGACAGTTTTGTGAGATGCTCGGCCAATTGCTCCAGATCGATGCCTCCCTTCACGGCAGCACCCTTGAGCTTCTTTGTAGTTCTCGAATCGGTCACAGGGGCCTTTCTTTTAACTGCGGCGGCCGGGCCGGACGATAGACCTGGGGTTGGTGTTCCGCTCGTAATTCCAGCGCCTGGTGTGGCAGAGGCTTCGCCTGAGCTTGGAATAGGCCCGGTCTTGGCCAATTCTGCAAGAAGTGCTGGCTTGGTTGTGTTGACGGTAATTGGGGTGTCGATAACATATTTGTCCTTCATAAAATTAAGATCGTGATTGATCTTTCTGTCGCCACCTTTCTCCAGCAAAGTGAGCGTGATTGGGATGTCGAATCCTCCCCATCCCTGTTCCTGAATTCTGAAGGGCGGTTTCTTGAAAGACCGCACAGGGTTAGCAAACGTAGGATGTAAGTGGTACGTGACCTTGTCGAATAAGGTCGCCGGCTGCTCGATGCCCTTGTCGTCTACGAGCGAGATTTGGATGGCCCACTCCCGCATTGGGAATCCTTCTTGCACGGGAGGGATGTCTTTGAGAATTTGCTGCGTAGTTGTCACTCTGACCGTTCTCTTCACTTCAACCATGGCAATTGCGACAACAAAATTTTTTCAAAACGTGAACTCGAATATTGTGGTGCAAGAAGGGGGAAGTCCTGGTGGGGAGAAGTATACGGTGGGGGAGAGATGAATAACAGAGTGTGACTACTGGCGGTTATAAAACGCCGGTTGAACCAAAAACTACACGTTAGGCTTTACATCTTTTGGAGAACCCCCTGTCGTTTAGAACCCAACGCCTCGGGTTTCATCTGAAACGAGTTGATAGCATCAGTGAGGGAACTTGATAGGCTTTAGCGTTGTAGGTTTATAGATCCGCTTCTATGCGACAGTCTTGTATCTATATTTGTTTTACAACACCCTGTCTTCTTATACTGACTAAAATGTTTCGCCCCGCCCCGCGACGCAGCATGCAGAAGATTACAGAGCCAATTTGTAGAAATGGTAGCAAAGCGATTTTAGCACCATTTATCAAATCTTCGATGCAGGATCACAATATTGGGTTTTATATCTCTACTGAACCAGCACAAATCAAGTCCGTAGCACCAACTGCCTATTTATTTATTCCTCGTGGTTTAGATACTCAGCCGCGATTATTGGTTGCAGTGAAAGTTTTTTCCTTGTGCATTTTTGTAACCTGAAAACAACCCCCCCTTCTTTCTATGTCCGCTGTTACAACAGGTGTTTCCGTGGATTCGACCAGAGTGTCGAAAACCAAGAACCTGGGAACTCTCACCGAGAACCCAGATGTCAAAACTGCTATCAACACCAACGGAGACGTGTTCACCGCTCCGGACTACAGTTTCAAGCAGATCCTGGACGCTATTCCAAAGCACTGCTTTGAAAGATCCCTTCCTTGGTCTCTGCACTACGTGTTCAGAGATATCGCCGCCATGTTTGTTATTGGATACGTTGGAACCACCTATATTCCTTACGTGGAATCTAAATTTTTGAGATTTGTCCTTTACAACGTCCAATCTTTCTGTATCAGTTTGTTCGGGTTCGGTCTTTGGATTTTGGCTCACGAGTGTGGCCACGGTGCTTTCAGTAAGTATCAAAATGTGAACGATTTTGTTGGCTGGGTGCTCCACTCCTACGTCGGTGTTCCTTACTTCTCGTGGAAGTACTCCCACGCCAAACACCACCAACAAACTGGTAACATGCAGAAGGATACCGTTTTTATTCCATGGAAAAAAGAGGAACTGTTGAAGAATTCTGAGCATGACGATATCTACGAAATCATTCACGATACACCTATTTATGCCGTGGTGAAGTTGATCGGCCAACAAATTGGCGGCCTTCAACTTTACCTCTCAACAAATGCTACCGGTCAACCATACCCTGGTTGGTCCAAGATTGGCAAGAGTCACTTCAATCCATCCTCTCCATTGTTCACTAACGAGCAATATTGGTACATTCTCATCTCTGATCTCGGGCTCGGGCTCGTGGTCTTGGGAGTGTACTTCTGGTACAAGCAGCTTGGTGGGCTTAACATGGTGGTCAACTGGTTTGTGCCTTACCTGTGGATCAATCACTGGCTTGTTTTCGTGACTTTCTTACAACACACCGACCCTACCTTGCCTCACTACGATGACTCGGAATGGTCTTTTGCCAAGGGAGCTGCTGCCACCATCGATAGAGACTTTGGTTTTATCGGTCGTCACATCTTCCACGGTATTATCGACACCCACGTGTTGCACCACTACGTTTCCCGCATTCCATTCTACAACGCTGAGGAAGCTACCGATGCCATCAAGAAGGTTATGGGTCAACACTACAGATCCACCGACGAGAACATGTGGAAGTCGTTGTGGAAATGTTTGAGATCCTGTCAATTTGTTGATGGAAACAACGGTATTTATATGTATAGAAACACCAACGGTATTGGTGTTGCCCCATAGATTGTTAAGTGCTGTTTACTTTATATTTTCAGTCTTTTTATCGTTTTAGAGACTACAGATTAATAAACTCCATTTTTAAAAAATAAAGATCGTTCAGATTACGATCACTCCGAAAATGAAAAGTGTGGCAACCATTCCAATAATAACACTCTTAGCGTCCAGTCTTGAAGAGCCATTACTGAAGTCCACATCAGCGTTCGATAAAGGAAGATCCTTGTATGGGTTGAAACCATCAAGGACACTTTCAAATTCCTCGTCCTCGAACAGATCCTTAGTAGAGTTCTTGGTCGAGTTGATTGGCAAGGCACCGTTCTTGCCAGAAGTGGAGGAATTGCTTTTGGTTGAGGATTTCGGCGAGCTCTGAGGCAAGCTAGTGGAACTTGCAACAGAGATAAGTGTAGATTTGTAGGTGGAAGTTGGATGCAGAGGTTCAGTAGTTGGTGGAGGTGAAAAGACAGAAGAAACAAATTGAACAAGCTCCTCGTAATAGGACACAGTTTCCTCACTGCTTGTAGTGATTGCTTTGTCCTTGCCAATAACAAAGTCCAATTTGCCGCTGGTGGTGGGCACAGCAAAAACGTCGTCTGTGGAGGAGGGAGCAGAGGTGATGGAAGCCACAGGAGTGCTGCTGACAACGGGCGATAGACTTGACAAAGGCAAGGAGGCAACAGTGGTTGTCGTACGATTGAGGAAAATCGTTGAAAGTTCTAAAGTAGGCGTCTCCTCCAATTCTGGAGTGACAGTGGTGGTCGCTGTGGTGACAACCTGGTGAAGAGTTCTAGTGACGGTCACGTAAACCGTTGATGGCTCGAGTGTGATGTAAACCACATTCACAAGCTGATCCAAATCAACGTTCTCTAATGGGTTTTTAGCTTCTTGGGCGACAACAGGATTAGCGGCCTGTTCTTCCAAGACGTCAAAGTTGAACACTTTAGCCTTTTCAGCACTAACAGAATGCGGAAGCCAGCATAGAGCGGCTGGTAAGTAAATTAACTGAGAAAGCTTCATTGAATGTCTGATAAAGTGCCCTTGAGTTGATTCAAGAGATTAAGTGGGGGCGAAAAGGGATTTATAGAAAAAAAGGGCAGCGTTTCCTGAATTTTTTTGAGACCACTCAGTTTAGACGCCAGAAGAGATTACCTAATACAAAACAAATTTATGATGAAAAGTTACTATTCACTCATATTAACCTGGTACTTACTCCTCCTTGACGAGACCCTCTCTCTTCTCAGAGATTCTTTGCTGTCTTCTCTCTCTAGCGGCTCTGTTTCTCAATCTTCTAGCCTCGGCCTCCTCCTTCAAAGCCTTCTCTCTGGCAGCCTCAGCCTTAGCCTGGATGATGTGCTCGACCAAAGCTCTCTTGTGTTTGAAAGTGTTACCCTTGGCAGACTTGTACAAGGAGTGGTAAAGATGTCTGTCAATCTTTCCAGAAGCTCTGTATTTAGCAAGAAGACGTCTCAGGACTCTCAATCTTCTCATCCACAGAACCTCAGATGGCATTCTAGCCTCAGCAGTACCCTTTCTCTTACCGTAACCCATGTGTCTTCCACCTCTTCTGGACTCAGCCAAAGCTCTGGCGTGGGATCTGGAGTGGACGGTAACTGGCTTCTTGACAATTGTACCATTTCTGAACAATTTTCTGATGGCCTGTCTAGAGTTGGCTTGGGCGATCTCGGTGGTCTCGTTAGGGTCCAACCAGACCTTTCTCTTACCACAGCTCAACACAGATGCTGCGAGTCTCTTTTGAGTACGTAGGTTAGCCCTATAATGTTAGTTTAATGGTGGATCTGTTGTTGGTACTTACATTTTGTTGATACCCAAGTTTGTCTGAATAAGTTAATATAAAATTTTCAAAATTTGTCCAGCAAACCGGTCTGCGTGTAAAGCCCTGGTGAATTGTCACGTGACGAGACAAAAAAATTATTTCTACAAAATAAAAAAAGAGGAATTGGGCAATGGTGAAATTTCGCGACGCCCAAAAGTGGAGGATGGCCGACGGTTGCCAAAATGTTTTACTTCAAATTAAGGTTTAATGCGGCTGGCATCCCGCCTCGCACCAATGAAATTTTGTCAGGTGAGATTTTTACTTTTTTAATATTTATTCCGAATCGTTAAACAGAATGGCACATTCTGCAAGATCCAAGTCTAAACTCAAGGCGAAAAAGGAAAAGGTGTCTGCAAAGGACTCTGATTATTACAAACTTGTCGAGCGGCGCACGGAGCGGTTGGCAAAGAAACTGCAGGAAAAAGTGAGCAGCGAAGACAAAAAGAATATTTCCGAAGAACCGACGATGGAAGTGGATACGAAGGTGAGTACCTCAGGCTGGAGGTCATCTCGAAACAATCGTTACAAGAAAAATCACTCAAGCAAGCGCAATAAATCCATCAAGTTTTGACGTAGTGCATAGATAACGCCCAACTAAATATCGAATTTTAATGTACTAAGTGTGAAGGAGGAGAAAACTCTTCTGCTTGCCTATCGTGGCCTGCGCTTATCACTGTAATTATCCCCCACGTATAGAAAGCCGAGAGACTTCGAGTGATTAAGTTTGTCGTGCTACAATGAAAGTTGCCGTTTCTTCTATGCAAGACAGCCCTTTAACTTTCAATAGGCCTATTGTTTCGGGAGAAAATAATTCCATATGGCCTATTCATTTGTGGCGTCTGCATATCTGGTATTATCAGGTGCCGTGTCACTTTTGTTTTCTGATAACACCGTACGGCCACTGGGCATCGTCGTCTAGTCGTTGGGTTGGTATAAATTTCCATCACATCCTAGTCCTGTAGTTGTTATCCTCAGTCCTTTCAAAATGCCAATTCAAGGACAATATGGATATGTTGGTCTAGAGAATGACGTGAGATCTATTCCCTCTAATGTTACCGTCACCAGGGAGAAATCCCTGGAAAAAGCAGACGAGATCGCTTACCAAACTCAGGACCTGCAGGAGGTCGATATCAAGTTTGGTGAAGACGTTTTTGACGGCTTACAATTTAAAAATAACAGAGACATTGTCGAGAAGGTTGTCGACTCCTCTGACGATCCAACCATGAAGGTTTGGACTGTTCGTTCTGTTGTTATCGGTGCCGGCCTGGCTATTTTCGGTGGTGTCTTGCAATGTATGTTCTACTTCAAGCCGCAAACTATTGTTGTCAGTGGTGTCTTCTTGATGCTTATCGCTCACGTTATCGGTGAGTTTTGGGCTAAGGTCTTGCCAACCAAGGGTTACTTTAGATACATCAACCCTGGTCCATGGAACAAAAAGGAACTTACTTTTTCAACCATCATGGCCGGTTCTGCTTCCTCGTGTGCTTTGGCTATCGAAGTTCTTGCTGTGCAAAAGCTTTGGTACAACTCCAGTTTGAATGCCGGTCTCGGTATTTTCCTCACCTTCTCATCTCAATTGATTGGTTATGCGCTTGTCGGTATGGGTCTTAAGAAGGCTCTGCTTTACCCATCCGAAATGTTCTACCCTAACAGTATCCCAATGGTGGCTACTATCCACACCTTGCATAACAACAAGGAAAAGACTAAGAAACAGTTGAGATACTTCTACTACTTCTTCTTGGCCACCTTCTTGTTCGAGATCTTTCCAGAATGGGTGTTCCCATGGTTGATTGGTTTCTCCATCCCATGTCTCGCTAATCCACATTCCGCCAACGTTTCCAGAATCTTTGGTGGTACCAACGGTAACGAAGGATTGGGCTTCTTGTCCATCTGTTTCGACTGGAACTACGTTGCCGGTACTGGTTCTCCATTGACCATTCCTCTGGATGCTACCGTCAACAACTTGTTCGGTTACTTCCTCTGTATCGCCGTCTTCTCTGGTGTTTACTGGGGTAATGTGTGGAAATCTAAGAACTTCCCATTCTTGTCTCAATCGCTTTATTACGAAGAGTCCGAGCCTGGTAACTACTTGGTTTACAACCAAACTGCCATTCTCACTAACAACATCTTCGACCCTGAAAAATTCGCCGAACAGGGTACCCCTTACATGACCGGTACCTACGTTGTTTACTTGATCGCTACCAACCTGTCTGTCGGTGCCACTTTCACCCACATGCTCTTATTCCATCGTAAGGAGCTCGGCCCAGCTTTCTACTGGATTAAGTCCATTAAGGACAAACTCCTCAACTTCAAGGAACTCTTCACCGTTGAGAACCTCAAGTTCTGGAAACTTGCAAACAGAGACCCAAGATTGAACTCCGACGGCACTTTGCCAGAAGTCTTTAATGATTCTCACATGAGAGCCATGCTCAGATATAAGGAAGTTCCAACCTGGTGGTACGCCCTCCTGTTCGTTCTTGCCTTCATGGTGGCTCTTATCTGCCTGTACAAAGCTGACTCTGGATTGCCATGGTACATGTTGATCTTCGCTCTCGCTCTCGCGTACCCAATGACTCTCTTTTTGGGATCTTTGGTTGGTATCTTTGGTTTCGGTGGTACTCAGATGCAAACCGTTATTCAAATGATTGGTGGTTTCTCCATGCCAAAACAGTCTCCATTGGCTAACATGTACTTCACATTGTACGGTTACAACTCTGTTGGTCAAGCCTTTAGTCTTTTGAGTGACTTGAAGATGGGCCACTACGTTAAGCTTCCTCCTAAGGACACTTTTGCTGCTCAGTTGATCGGTACCGTTATTGGTTCCATCTTCAACTACATCATGATGAACCAGATTGTCGACGAGCAATTCGACCTCCTTAAGGACATTCAGTCCACCTCTGCTATCTGGTCTGGTCAGAATGTCCAACAATACAACACTCAAGGTATTGCTTGGGGTGCTCTGGCTAAAGAACTCTTTGTTATTGGAAAGACCTACTACATCGTTCCATTGTCGCTTGTCATTGGTTTCGGATTGCCTTTGCCTTTCTACCTTGCTCACCGGTTGAGACCTACTTGGAGATTCGACACTATCAAGACTCCAGTGCTTGTGTGGTACGTTGGTTGGTTGTGTGTTGGTGTTAACTCTTCTATCACCACATACTTCATCGCTGCTTTTATTTCTCAGTTCTACTTCAAGAAGTACAGACCAAACTACTTTAGAAAGTACAACTACATTGTTGCTGCTGCACTGATTGGAGGTGCTCAGGTTGCTGTCTTTGTTATTTCCTTTGCTGTTGGTGGTGCCGGTGGTCCAAACAGTAACCACTCGTTCCCAAGATGGTGGGGTAATTTGAACGGTGCTACTGGTATTGATGAGAACTACGACCACTGCAAGTTCACCAACTACGGTTGATCCTTGTATGCTAGTGCCAATAGTATAATTAAATTAAACTTGTTTTCAAAAACTCGTAAACTTCATAACTGCAGTTGGTATGTTTCGTTCGTCACCATAATAAGCTCTTCTTCGCTCTTAGTCGAGCTGAACTTGACGCTCCCGTTAAACCTTCCAAACTTGAGGTCCTCATGTTCCATCACCACGCTCCCAAACACATCCAGCCGAACGTCGTTGGCCGGGTCTTTGAACCGCGCAAACTGCACCCGTCGGTTGTTGTACATGTATGCGTAAGGCTTGCAGGTTTCCACCTCCATCAATGAGACAGGATCTGAAGAAGTTACTGTCTCCAAGCTGGCAGCGATTGTAGATGACGTCTGACCGCCAGCCGTGCCACTTCCGATCGGTTGAAAACTCACTTTCCAGTTGATCGCACCGGTGGCTAAGTCCACCACCGCCACATCTCCGGTAGCAGTCAGGGCAACCAGCTCGTTTGTGTACGTCCAATGGGCCTGGTTGACGGATTGTTTGATCAGACCTATCTTCTTGAACCCAAAATTCGACAAACACCAGTTGTAGGGGCTTTTCAGCGGCCCGAGCTCGTCTGACGACTGGCTCGACGATCGCGTCTGCGAAAGCCCGCAAAGACTCTCGTTGGCGAACGAGTGGATAGACCCATTGAGCTTGCTCAAGAGCACGAGGCTGCGATCGTCGTTGCTCCAAAACAGATCCGTCACAATAGCAGAGGTCTTGCCCCGTTTGTGCTTATCGATCAGAGTTATCTCCTTATCGTACTTTGTGTAATCCCAGACGTAAATATCGTCACCCCTGGTTGTCACCGTGGCGACGGTGAGATCGAAGGGCGACATCTTGATTGCAGAGCAGCCGTCCGGGGGAGAAAAGCAGAACTGGATTTGGCTGGCATCGAGATCCACCACCACGACGTAGCTGGAGTTTGCACTCAACGTGTTTAGGATGGTAACAAGCATTTCGCGGAACTTCTTGCTCCGGAGCATCTCGTCGTCGCCGGAGCCAACGGCAGAGGTCGCATCTCCGAGCCCGTCCAGTTTCTCTGCGGAAAACATCTTTTTGACCTTAGATTGGGAAATCTCGGAAAGCATCACCATCGAGTCCAGCACTGTTTTCGAGAAACTCTGCCAAATCTTGTTCAGAACAGAGATCTGGTGAGCAAGCCTCAATGGGGTGGGTGCCTGTGTTTTCAGCCACGAGGTGATACGTGGGTCCCCGGACGCGGCGTAGTAGATCAGGTGAGAGCCCACGATATCGAAGACGGGCTGGTTATTCACTGTAGTGCAGTCGAACGTAGAGACAAGTTTGCGATCGGACGTCGAGTACACGGACAGTTTACCCGAAGGCGACGCGACGCCAAAATAGTTCCCATTGGAGGGGCACACTGAGATGTTGAGCTCGTGTTGATCAATCTTGGATTGGATTACCGTCTTATCAAGTGTTTTCATATCCAACACGATCAACTCGTACTCTTTGTAAACATTCTTTACCAAAACCAATGTCTGACAAGATGCAGCTGTTTTATATGATGTGAGCGGGTATATCCCCAAAATGGTAGTCTCTTTAGCCAAGGAAAAACGATAAAGTAGACACAGAGCCCGCTTCTCGGGAGCTTGAGACAAGAGATCCCAGTCCCACAGCTCCAGCACGTTCTGCGACCCAAGATAGACCTCTCCATCCGGACCAATCTGCTTGAGCGTGCCGTTTGCCCTAGTCTGGTCAATTTTGCTGTTACCGTTTCCCTCCACATGTTTCTTCATTTTCGTCCACAAGAACGCTCCCCGGTACCCCGACGACGGCGTGCTCCCCGTGACGGGGGTTCTTTCTAATCGTGTGCTCTTCGGTTGCGGGACGGGCACAGTAGGAAACACCATAAATTTGTATCCTGATAGATTATCAAGTGTTTCTGTTTCCCTTATCACGCTGCCAGACTCCGGCACGTGTCAACAACAGAGACGGTGGTCGAAGTTTTAAAAAAATTGCAAACACGAAAAACAAAGTCGTTGACCATGTCTTCTGCAATTCAGCTATTAAATCCCAAGGCCGAGTCGATCCGCAGACAGCAGGCGCTGCAGGTGAACATTTCTGCGGCCCAGGGCTTGCAAGACGTGTTGAGTTCCAATTTGGGGCCAAAGGGCACTTTGAAAATGCTCGTGGACGGTGCTGGAAGTATCAAGATCACCAAGGACGGAAAGGTTCTGTTGAACGAGATGCAGATCCAGTCGCCTACTGCAGTGATGATTGCCCGTGCTGCTTCGGCGCAGGACGAGATCACTGGTGACGGAACCACCACCGTTGTTCTGCTTGTTGGAGAGCTTCTCAGACAGGCTGAGCGGTTCTTGAACGAGGGCATCCATCCTCGTGTTTTGACCGACGGTTTCGAGGCTGCCAGAGAGGAGACATTGCAGTTTCTGAACACGTTTGTGAAAAAGCCAGAGATCGACAGAGAGCTGCTCTTGCAGGTGGCAAGATCCTCGTTGGCCACCAAGGTCAACCCAGAACTGACCGACGTGTTGACGCCGATTGTGACCGACGCTGTGTTGAGTGTCAAGGATAACGAAAGTCTGGACTTACACATGATCGAGATCATGGCCATGATGCACGAGACGGCCAAAGATACACAGTTCATCAAGGGATTGGTTCTTGACCACGGAGCCAGACACCCAGACATGCCAAAGAGACTGGAAAATGCATACATTTTGATTCTGAACGTGTCACTTGAGTACGAAAAGACCGAGGTGAACTCGGGCTTCTACTACTCGTCGGCCGATCAAAGAGAGAAGCTTGTTGCCAGTGAGAGAAAATTCGTTGACGACAAACTCAAAAAGATTGTGGAGCTAAAGAAAGAGGTGTGCGGAAACGATCCTACCAAGAGTTTTGTTGTGATCAACCAGAAAGGTATTGATCCAATGTCCTTGGACGTTTTGGCAAAGAACAACATCCTGGCTTTGAGAAGAGCTAAGAGAAGAAACATGGAGAGATTGCAGTTGGTTTGCGGAGGAGAGGCCCAGAACTCTGTTGAGGACCTCAGTCCATCAATTCTGGGACACTCTGGTTTGGTTTACGAACAGACCATCGGCGAGGAGAAGTTTACGTTTGTGACAGAAAACACAGATCCAAAGGCTTGCACCATTTTGATCAAGGGAGCACACAACCATATTATTCAGCAGACCAAGGACGCGATTAGAGACGGGTTGCGTGCTGTTGCCAACGTGATCAGAGATCAGATGCTTGTTCCTGGTGCTGGAGCGTTCTATCTTTCTGCCTCCAAACACATTCTCGAAACCAAATCCAACAAGGGTAAGCTTAAACCAGGACTCAAGGCATTTTCGGACTCATTGCTCGTGATACCCAAGACGCTTGCCAAGAACTCTGGACTGGACTCCTTGGAGGCCATCTCTGCTTGCCAGGACGAGATCGAGGAAGGACAGGTTGTTGGAATCGATCTCAACTCTGGAGAGCCTACGGATCCAACAATCGACGGTATCTGGGACTCGTTCCGGGTGATCAGAAACGCAATTTCGTCAGCCACCGGAATCGCTTCGAATTTGTTGCTGTGTGACGAGCTTCTCAAGGCTGGCCGGTCCTCGTTGAAAGATCAGCAGCAGTAATGACAGGAAACGTAATACATAACGTAATCATAAATCAAAGGGATAAGTGCACAGATGGAAAATTTTGCTTACATTAATGCAGCTTTTCATTGGACGATGGAGCCGTTTCCAATATAAAACTAGTGCACGGCTCTATTATATTACCGGTTCGAGCCAAATAAGGAATAATAAAAAAACCTGTGTACCAATCATGCTGAAGGATTTGATCTTGAAGATCAGTTTTCCGAGAGGCAAATTTGTCATCCTTCTTGCTACTTCGAAATGAGCACCAATATCTGTGCGAACTGTCGTACCACGAAGACGCCGTTGTGGCGACGAATTCCAGATGGCTCCCTTACCTGCAACGCCTGTGGACTCTACTACAAGGCGAATAATGCGCATCGGCCTATAGACATGAAAAAACCACCGAGTTTAATACCTTTGGCACCCAACGCAGCAGAAGAGGGCTCGTGCAAAGGAGACGGCCACTGTAACGGTACCGGGGGTTCGGGATCTTGTCAGAACTGTCCCTCGTTCAACAACCGAATACTCTTCTCCAAGGATGAGGATAGACAGAAACAGCACGTGACCAAGCTGGAGCAAGACAGCCCATTTTTAGTGGCCTGCACGAACTGTGGTACCACGGTGACGCCGCTCTGGCGCCGTGACGAGGCCGGCAACACTATATGCAATGCATGTGGACTGTACTACAAGCTGCATGGAGCCCATCGGCCTGTCAAACTTAAAAAAAGCACCATACGGCGTCGCAAAAAGACGGCCACAACTATGGCGTCGCCATATCCACAGCGCTCGAACGGCACCAGATCGGAGAGCCCACCGCCCAGCAGCTCTGCTTCGAGGCCTATTGCGATCAATTTTACCGCCAGCTTTGCTCGCCCAAAATCAACCCCAACCTCCATGAGCATCACTTCGCTGCTTACTGAGGATAAGCCTATAAACTAGGCCTGTTTCATAGAGACTATCGACGCGCGTCGATTAATGCAAAAAAAAATTATATCCCCTGTTCGTTTACTATAGTAATTAGTGGTGGCATGGCCAATGAAGTCCGCAGACTGGGTTTCCAAGGATGCACAGTCGACTCCGCGACGCAATGACTTGCGACGAATTAAGCTGAGCCGTTTTGACGGCTCGTTCGATCCGGCCTTTCATCGGATACCGGTGACAGAAGAAAAGACAACCACCATCAACTCTGTTGAGAGACGCGAAAAGTTCAAGATTGACCTGGGGAAGCCTCTGCCGCTGGAGTACGACACGCATCCGTCAACGTCGCGACGTAAACCTCGGCTGATCGCAAAAAACGACGCGTCCATGTCCAACATACACACCCAAACTCCTCCGCCACGAACGCTCCAGACACGCCTCACCACACGCGCCGGACACCGCGAGCCGGCTGCGAGACATACAGAGCAGACAGTACTGCCCATACGCAACAGAGAAGAGCGCTTACGGCGTTTACGGACAATTCTTCTCGGGAACAACCACATTTCTAGCACACCCATTGATGGTCAAGACACCCTTGAACCAGTTATTTTGGCTGCGACTAGTACAGAGTCGGACTCTGCTGCGAACGAGCCAAAGCCCGTGGAGATTGTGCCAATCGCCGAGCCAGCAGCCGAGTCAGCACACAAACCAGCCAGCAAGTCAAAGCTGCTAGTAACCCTGGTGGTTCTGCTCATCCTGTTGGCACTTTCGTATTTCGTTTCCGACTAGCCATTGTATACTAGAGCTATGTACCAAACCACCCATAGACGATCGACGCGTCGACATGTTAATTTGTTTCTCTAAATAATTAGGCTGTCATCTGCAGCGCGTGTCACTCTTATCGTGTGTCACAATTAATTTGCCCTTATCGAAGGGAAAACAAAGTTCCTTTCTTTGCAATCTAAACCAAGTGTAAACAAACTAGAAAGTACCCAGATTATAGCGTATTAGGCGGCAATTACAAGGACAGCATGAGATCGCAATTTAAAGACGAGCATCCGTTCGGTAAGTATTACTGGCGCATTACCGCTTCTAACAATTATTAGAACGCAGAAAGGCTGAGGCCTCCAGAATTAGAGGCAAGTTCCTGGACAGAATCCCTGTTATCTGCGAGAAGGTTGAGGAGAGTGATATTCCGGAGATCGACAAGCGCAAATACCTGGTTCCTTCGGATTTGACGGTGGGACAGTTTGTTTACGTGATCCGTAAAAGAATTATGTTACCATCAGAGAAGGCTATTTTCATTTTTGTGAACGATATACTCCCTCCAACCGCCTCGCTCATGAGCACGATCTACGAGCAATACAAGGATGAAGACGGGTTCCTCTACATCCTTTACAGTGGAGAAAACACGTTTGGACAATTGGAGGGGGTCGAAGAGGTGCTTTAGCGGGACTAACAGGGTTACGTTTTGGTGATGCATCGCAATTGGGTTCTATTGATTTTTATGTTTTGATAATATTGGCAATATTCACAAGTTTAGCAGCCGTTCTTTCAGTTTTTCCTCTATCAGCTTGGGTTCGAATTTCCCCTCCGTGGCTCTCATGGTTAGGCCCAGCAGGTATTTGAGTTTATTGGTTTTCCCGGACACAATTTGTGCCACCACAGGTGCGTTTTCAGAAAGCACCTGGTCCAGCACCGGGTCCAGGGTTTCTGTGTGGTTTGTTTTCGAGAGGTCAAAGTCGTTGATAAGTTGCGCGATGGGGATGTTTTGGTCTTGAGGGTTATTTACCAGATGCATCAACAACAGTTTTGCGTTGTTCTTTGTTACCTGCTGCTTCTTCAAGGCCACCATCAGTTCGACAAACTTGTCCACATCCATCACAGATGGTTCAAAGTCCATATTTGACTTGCTCAGGCACCCCAGGAGCTCGTGTGTTAGCCAGTTTATAGGATTTTCCACCCCTGATTGAGAACACTTATTGTACAATTGTTTGTAGTAGTCCATCAGTTTATGGTTTCCCATCAGGATGTTTGCGTCTCGTAGCTTGATCTTGTAGTCGTTGAGTATTTGATCGAGCTTCTGGTCCACAGATGGTGGCAGAATAGCTTGAATTTTGGGCACGATATCGTTCAAGTCGAGTTTGATCTCCGGGAGCTCAGGATCAGGCATGTATCTGTAGTCTATTGCGTTCTCCTTGGATCTGAGTTTGTATGTCTTTTTCCCCGACCATCCTCGTGTTTCCACCTCGGTGATGGCACCTCCGGTTTTAATGATATTGCATTGTCTTTGGTACTCGTATTTGATCGCCGACACTATGGCCGACGTTGTGGGCAAATTCTTGATTTCGATCCGGCTGTGGTCGTCGACCGAGAGGTTGACGTCGACTCTGATAGCTCCGGTTTCCAGTTCTCCCGTGCAAACGTCCAGATTGACGAGAGTTTGTTGTAGTTTTTTAATGAAAGCCCGCACTTCTTCCACGGAGGAAAAGTCTGGCTTGGTGACCATCTCGATCAACGGGATGTTGGATCTATTGAAGTCGACGTTACTCTCGTTGTCCAGCTTATACAATGTTCTTCCGGTATCCTGTTCAATTTGTAACTGCTCGATTCGGATGGTTTTTTCTTCAGGCAGGTCGTACTTTGTCAAGCGTAGATATCCATCCTTCGCGATGGGATGGTAATGCTGGGTTATTTGGTACCCGAGCGGCTGATCTCCGTAGAAATAGTGTTTTCTGTCAAACTGGGACGTTTCTTTCACTGTACAGTTGAGTGCTAGGGCCGTTTTCAAAGCATACATCAAGGGCTCCTTGTTGAGCTTGGGTTGGGTTCCCGGCAAACTCACGTCGAAAAACGAGGTGGTGGTGTTTGGCCGCACATCCAGCAACGACGTGGTGTTTTTGGACAGTGCAAACAGCTTCCGGTTGGTCTTTAATTGCGTGTGAATCTCCAACCCAACCTTGAGCATGATAAAAGGTAAGATTTAATATTTTTTTCCCTTTGTTTTATTTCTATACGTTATATGTCATGGATAGGAAGTATATTTGCGTTTCCGAAACAGCTACCAGACGGATTGGAGGTAGGAATTGACTTCTTTTTCTTCAAAAGCTCGAGCGAGTCGAGTTTCCGCGGAATCAAGCAGATCTCGGAAGGTGTTCATCTGATCCATCTGACCAACCAGCTTAGTAACACCAGAACGGCTCGGTTTGTGCGTTGCAAAGAGCAACAGGTTGTTCTTCTTGCTGTTATTGATGGTGAGCTCGAAGTTGAGAGCGTTTTTGTTGGAAATGAGCTGGTTCACGGAAAGGGCCAGAACCCCATGTTGGAACACATGCTACCGTTCATGGTGAACTACTCGTCGTTCGAAAACAACCAGTGGCCAGCGATCGGCTTGAACATAGACTACGGGAAATTTGTTTCTGTGCAGAACGGGTGGTTTAGCGACCTGATCACCTCGTCAGATACTTCCACCACAGAACTATTGGAGCTGCAAAAAGTCATTCAGTTTGATATGAACCAGCAAAACGGAGAGCTAAAACTCACGCAGACGAACCCGAAAGCTGTTCTCAAACATACCAAGCTGGACCTGACAACATTTTCGGTTGATAAATCCCAATTCTTTGCGCATCTATTCACTATGGACAGTTTTATGAACGAACACAATTTCTCCTTCATTGGACTCCTCACACTCAACAATTGGTCTTGTTTGGAACAATGGTACAATCTCACTAACCTTGTGCTGGAATGTGTGCAATTAGTGCTTGATAACGGTCCGTTCTACCAGCGGTTCCTGGACCTATTGCAAAAACAACTGGACCTGGCCAAGTCTATCACTGAAGAGTTTATCAAGGTCCACCGGCTCGTGCCGAGTCTCAAAGTGTTTCTAGTCAACATGGAAAGCTTCCCGTACGCGGTCCAGTTTCAGTTTGGGTCGTTTATGCGGTTCTTGGACCAAAATTATGATATCTCGTTGACTTACAAATTAGACGAAATCAGCGAAAGCGAGGACGAGTGATTCTTCGGTCTGGTTTCAAACTCTAACTTAAAGTGCCCGCCAATTGTCGGGTAGCAGAGAAATTGCGATTTCTCGTACACTGCCGGCACCCCGTTAGGCTCTACCTGGAGCCTGTACTGTCCTGGCTGGCCTCTTGCACGGATCCAGAGTCTATTATCGAACAGTTGCCAGTCTGACCACTCGTTACTAATCTCCATACGCGACCTAACAACATGCTTGTACTTCTCGGCAGCTCGTGTCACCAACAGATGCGTGTCCTGGGCAGTGTGGACTACCCGGAAGAGACATTTGAGCATGTTGAATTTCTCGGGGCATGACTTGTCCTGCAACGTCTCGGCGAGCGAGAAGTCGCTGCTGAACACTGTGGCGTTCTTCGAGTCGATGGTGGTGTATCTGTGGTGGTAATTTGATGCTGGCGATACTTGGTACAGCTGGTCGTACAGGTATCTATCGATGCTCATGGCGGAGAACTGTGAGAACGCTTTGCGTGGGATGCGAATAGTCATTCTGAGCGTTTTGTCGCAGAATCGTGCGCTTGCCATCTGGCTGAGTTGGCTGGTTTCTGCTTCGACCTGTTCAACGGCCGACTCCACGTCGTGGAGCAACGTCTCGACATGCTGTTTATCCAGCTTATTATCGCGCAGCCATTTCCTAATGCGATTGCGCAACGTGACGGGTTGCGAGTTCGTTGCGTCCTCAAACCAAACCAGGTTCTGTTCCTTGGCGTACTGGTACAGCTCCGACTTGTGAAACGACAGCAGCGGCCGAATCAACTGTTTGGTAGTCAATGGGTGCTCTATCGGGAACCGCGCGCGTGTGTGCATTCCAGCGAGACCGAACAGCGTCGAGTTCTTGGCCAGTCGCATCAAAAACGTTTCCAGCTGGTCGTCGCGGTGGTGTGCAACCAGCACACTCTGAATGTCCAAGCGGTCCATCGTCTGAGAGATCAGCGAGTACCGCCAGTCCCTGGCCCATTTTTCGAACTTTTCGGGCGCGTCAGGCGTGGGTATCTTGACGATATGGTGCTCGACACCCATATCTGTTGCAATTCGGTGCACCTGAGCCGCCTCGTGCGCACTCTGGTCCCGTAACCCATGATCGATGGTGATTGCGTGGACGTCGATTCCGGTCTTTTTTAGCAAATCAAGCAGCACCATGGAGTCGACGCCACCAGAAACAGCCACAAGGGCCCGTTTCGGGAGAATCCCAGCCACAGAACTATTAAACCGTGATACCAAAGACATTCATATTGAGTCTAAAAAAAATATATGAGAAAAAAATATTGCAATCATGCCAAGGCACCGAGCGGATCATAATATGGCAGAACCTTGAAGTCTTTGCCCTTCCACAGGTCTGCGAGCTTGGCAGAGGTGAACTTTTCGCTGGTGACGACCTGGAAAACGTACTCGTCGAACCATCTGTCGCTCATAACGAAGTACCCCTTGTGGCTACCATACTCGCCCCAGGAGTTCTCCACCTTCCATCTGACAGGCTTGCCGTCAACGATGTGGACGCCCACCAGCACCATGGCGTGGGTCATTTGCGATGAGCCAGTCATCAGCCGGTGCTTCTTGTTGAGGTTCACGTCGACGCCAAAGCCCAGCTTGTAGTCCCAGGAGTCCACGTCCAGCAGGCCGAGCTGGGTGTTTCCGAACTTGCCCACGTCACAGCCAAAGAACACCGGGTGGTTGGCCTTGAGCATGGCGATGGCTGCCTGTTTCAGATTGTCCACGGCGGTGTTGACATACTCAATCGGCTTGCCACCTTCGATGTTGCCGAGCTTGTCCACTGTGTAGAGACCCTCAGTGTTTCTTGGGTCGTGGATCAGAGAGAAGTAGGAGGCAGCGTCGAACTTGAGAATGTCTTTGTAGAAGCCCTTTGGAGTGGTCTTGACGGAGTGGTAGTTGCCAAAGGTGTCCTTGTACTCCCAGACGATCTCGTCGTCGGGCTTTGGAGGAATACCCAAGGTGAGGGCCAGGATATTGTAGATATCGCGCAGCATGGCCTCCTTGGCACCGTCGATGTCGGCGGCCTTCTCGCTGGTGCTAAGTTTCCGCAGAACCAGCGCAAACTCACGCAGCTTGTTCTCGACAAGACTGTTCAAAGCCCCGGAGTTAATGGACGAGGCAGAGTCCGTGAACACGGTCTTTGGGACCAGGCCGTACGTGTTGACAAGATTGACCACCATGTCCCACTGACCACCGTCGTTCTCGGGCAGACCCATGAGGAATTGGACCAGTCTCGAGTCGATGTCCTCGTCGGCACTGTCAACGATACGGTTGAGGAACCAGTTGCACTTTTCGAGCTTGTCGTAGAAAAACAGGTAGTTCTGCGACAGCTCGAATGACTCCAAATGGTACTTGGACTTGATGAACTCCTTGAACACGTTGGTGGAGGCAAACAGCCAGCATCTTCCTGAAGACTTCTGGTTGGTGATAGGACCGCCCTGGAACTCGATGTTGACGTTGAACAGGTCCTGGTTGTCCAGGTTGATCCTAGCGGTGTTGGCAATGATGTCGGAGATGTTGTTACCGGTGAAACAGTTCAAAGCGAGCTGGTTCTTTGGGTCTGATAACAGGCTGGTTTCCCACTTTGTGAGGTTGGTCAGACTGAGTGGGGCCTCGGTTTCTGAGTCCTGTTTGCCCAGCTTGGTCTGCAACTTCATCAACAACTCGTCGTCGTCCTGAATGCTTCTCACTGGCGTGTATTTTGGTTGTGCTGGCTTGGAAGATTGATTACCCATAATAAGATAGATAAGATTAAGAGGCAAAACTATTTCCTTAGAAAATTACCATAATGGTACATTTACCGATAAACAGGAAAATAAAAAGCCACACATTTGTGGTGGCCTGGCACGGCAACCTTTAACAATTACAATTCGTAGATACAACAAGAACAGTAGTTGTGGGTAGTGTTGAGATTTCATGTTCTGATGATTATTAAAAATACGGTAATTTAAATATCCCACTATATTACACTAATTACCATGCTTCTTGCTGAACTCCTTGCTTCTTCTGGCAGCCCTTCCATCTGGGTTTCTAGGCTTCTTCTTACCTCCCGCACTTTTCAGTCCCTTAACACGCGACCCCTTCTTGGCTCTCTCTCCTTCAAGAACCACTTTTCCTGACCTCACAGCTGCTCCGTATTTTTTATCCTTAACAGGACCAGCCATCTGGGTCTTGCACCGGGTGATTCTGAGCTCTCTTGGTTTTTTCGACGTTGTCAGAAGCTGTTTGTTCAGTAACAATGCCTTGGAAACGTAGTTGGTGTCGGTGAACTGAACAATTGCAAACCCTTTGCCGTAGTTGGTCTTGGAGTCTCTCACCAGACGAACATTGGCTACCACGTTTGTTCCGTCCGGAGAACACTTTTCATTGAAGAATTTCCACAGAGACTGCTCGGTCTCCTCAAAATCCAGGTTGCCCACAAACACAGAAAGCTTGTTTTCCTGCTTCAGCGGCTGCGTCACATGGTCAACGCGGATGTAGTGGTCCAAGAAAATGGTTCCGTTCAGCTCCACAGCCTTGAGCGAGTCCTCCTCATTCTTGAACACCATGTAGCAGTTCGTGGAGTCGTCCTCTTTCACGTCCTTTAAGATGTATGCGGCTTTACGGGGGATGTTAGACTGGACAGCAAAAGATCTGAATCTGAGCGACTCGATGCTTCCAAACTTGGAAAATGCAGCTTTCAGCGACTTTGTGGCCTTTTTCGACGACAAAACAGATGTTGGCAGGTTTCCGATGAACACTGTGCGCTTGTTCTTCTCCTTTTCCTGCTCCGGGTCATATTTGGGCTCGGACTTGGTGCCAGAGCTGGACTCTTTGCGAGCTTTAGCAAAATCTGCAGCTCTTTTCGCTCTTTTGGAAGGGCCCTTCTCGGAGTCCAGAGCGGCCTGTTCTTCCTCAGATTTTGGAACGTCCACCAACGTTCTCTTACGAGCAACAAGCTCCTTGTTGTCGATCCTGGACGGCTGTGCAAACAGCGTTGCTAACGAATCAGACATTTCAGCTTTAAAGGAAGAAATTTTTTAGATATCTAATTACTTGTGCACTACCTTAATTAATTTTAATCTTTAGTGTGTGTTTCTATGGGGGAAGCTTTGGAAACAACCGAGAGCACAAAAACTAGACTCAACGACAGAAAGAACTTGTCCAGTGACGTTAGCGAGATTAATTCGTCCGAAGCAGAAACAGACAGAATGGAAAGCGTGGAGGATCACGAGACGGGCAAAGTTGCTGAGCCAAACAAACAGGACACCAATGGCAAGTTGAGCGGCGAAGAGGAGGACGAAGGAGAACAGGCGGAAGAAGAATCGGATATGGACGAGGACCAGGAAGGTGAAGCAGAGGAGGAACAGGACCGACACAAGAACGAACAAGATGAAGAGAAGGAACGGCTTCGATTGGCCGCGTTAGAACAAATGAAGAGCATAGAGATCGACTTTGCGCTTTTGAAGGATAAACTGTACGAGACACAGATGAACAAGCTGATGTTTGAGTTGGAGCTATGCAACAGCAACAAGCATCCGGATTACCTGAATTACCAAAACATGATAGAGAACAACTTTCAGGCAAAAGTGTCGCGGTTTGTCAATTTGCAGAAGTACAAGCTTAAGTGTCTAGACACCCAGACCAGAGCCACGAGAGTGGCCATCCATCAGCAATTCGCAAAACTGTGTCAGGATTTAAAGAGCGAGGAAATCATGCAAATCACGTCGGATTGGTACGAAATCAACAACGAGCGCCGGGCGATGGACAACATCACATTGAACCTGCCCGACTACTACCAGTACAACAGCGGGATTACGGCGCAAACGGTCAACTCGCAGAGCTCCATTAACCAGCTGGTGGTTCAACGGAACGCGCTATACAACGAGCTCAGCAGTTTGAAAGGCATAGAAAGATACACAGGAGGCTTCCCAAGCTCGTTGAACGACTTGAAAAGCTGCACGAACGAGGAGATCCAGATGGACCTCAAGGAAATGAACTTGGTGTGAATAAAATAGGTACTTATTGTATTTCATTAGTTGTTCTAATAAAGCTTCAACTTAGAACCAGAGGATGCTTTTCCGTGCTGGACAGGGTTGTAGGTAATGGAGAACTCTCCAAGGTAGTGGCCAACCATCTCTGGCTTAACCTCGATGGTGTTGAACACCTTACCGTTGTAGATTCCAATAAGGGAGCCAATCATTTCTGGCAAGACAATCATGTTTCTGAGGTGGGTCTTGACAAGAGCTGGCTTCTCGTTTGGACCAGCAGCAAGTCTAGCGGCTCTCAACTTCTTGATCAAACCGTTTGGCTTGGTACCGAAACCTCTGGAGAATCTTCTTCTAACTCTGGCATGGCACAATTTAGCGAAATCTGCGTTGGACAACTCCAAGAGGTCAGCAAGGTCGACACCCTTGTATGAGAAAGTCTTGAAGGTTCTCTTCTTCTTTTGGTCAACAGCTCCAGACATGTTGTAATGTTGAATAGTTAGATTTGTAAAAGTGTTTGAAAAATCTTTGCAATTTGCGGCCAGGGCTCGCCAATTCTCTACACCCGACACCAGAAAATTATACTGGTGAGCGCAAAAATTGTGACTGCGTCGTGCGCGGCTCCTGAAAATTTTCGTGTGCGGTGCAAGGTGTCAACCACAAATATTCGAAAAATTCATATATTCAACATAGCATAGAAAGTGAGTATCGCCGTCAGGACTGGTGTGGAAACGGACGTTCGTGCTGTGATTTGCACAGGACACGTTCTTGCCGTTGCAACAACCCCAGCCATGCCCTTTGAAAACTAACATTCAGTGAAATACATCGCTGCTTACCTCTTGCTCGTTCAGGCTGGAAACTCCTCGCCTTCTGCTGCCGACGTCACCAAGGTGCTCCAATCCGTTGGTGTCGAAGTCGAGTCCGAAAAATTAGACAAGCTCATTGCTGAAGTCGAGGGCAAGTCCGTTGAGGAGCTCATCGCTGAAGGTACCGAGAAGATGTCCAGTGTTCCTGCTGGTGCTCCTGCTGCTGCCGGTGCCGGTGCTGCTGCCGCTGGTTCTACTGAGGCTGCTGCTGAGGAAGAAGCCGCTGAAGAGGAGGAAGAAGAAGACGACGACATGGGATTCGGTCTCTTCGACTAGACTAATTCATAGCTGCTTACATAATCGGTAAAATCGACGGGGAAACCTTGACAAAATATTCCTAAACCCTGATTTTTTAAAAAAGGGCAATATCCTTACCGCCAATTGGAAGCCTTTAACAATGTCGTCCATGACCGATGCAATTTCCGCCCGGCTGCAGATGGAGATTCTGCGGCCATTCACCGTCGCCCGGGGCATTATCCAGTCCGGCGCAGCCCAATTCCCCATCCAGGGAGTGATCTACTTCTTTCAGAACCCTCAGCTGTGGCCGTTGTATCTCCGGATGGTTCCCCCAATTTTGATTGTGCATGTTTCCGTGTTTTTGAGTGTTTTCAGCACGCTGTTTCTGCTGAACGTGTCGGCGGCAATGTGCTGTTGTGGGCCGTTTGGACTGCTGGTGGGGGCAGGAATCACGGCACAAGAAGCCAATTTCATCACCAGCTACATTTTGGACAATTACTTGATTCCACGTCCAATGGATTCGCTTTTCGACACTGTTTTGTGTCAAGAAGGAATGGAGTCGGTGGTGATTCCAGGAAAGCTGAAAAGAGTGGTTGGTCCTTCGTTTGGAGATAGACTGTGGGAAACGTCGCTTTGGACCACAGTCACGTTTCCATCGGATATATACTCAACTCTGAGACCAGTTGGACTCAGTTTCATCCCAGTATTTGGACCAATGGCTCTGAGCTTCAATGGAGCGGTCGCAAAGGGAAACTCCTTTGAGAAACGGTTCTACAGACTCAGCAGACTGAGAGGACGCCAGGTGAAGTATCTCATCAAGGAAAGAGAAGGCGACTACTGGAGTTTCGGGTTTGTTGCCAATATTTTGGAAAGTGTTCCATTACTTGGCACATTTTTCTACTTCACTAACCAGATCGGAGGTGCTCTCCTGGCAGTCAAGTACTACCAAGAAGGAAGGACCCAGTTCTAACCAAAACATACAAATAACTGCCCACAAACACACAACTTAGCATATACCAATTTCGCTTGAACACAAAGAGCAAATCTGTTATCGAAGACAGAAATTTTAAGACTGCTTGGCAGATTTTCCAACGGTTGTACATCAAATTTTAGCGTTATCAAAAAAAAAAAAAAAACTACGGCAAGATTTCTCATATCTATCTCTATCATGTCCACCGAAATCAGCCCTGAAATGCATGCATTCTTGCACGAGCTTCCAAAGTGTGAACACCATGTGCATCTGGAAGGTACTCTTGGTCCTGAACTGCTGTTCCCTCTGGCCAAAAGAAACAATATCGAGCTACCAAAAGATTTTCCAACGACCGTTGAGGAGCTGCAGTACAAGTACGACAACTTCAAAGACCTGCAGGACTTCTTGGACTTGTACTATGTTGGAATGGGTGTCCTGATCACTGAGGAGGACTTCTACGAGCTTGCCTGGGCATACTTCACCAAAGCTCATGCCGATGGTTTGCACCATGCAGAGACCTTTTTCGATCCCCAAGGCCATTTGGAGAGAGGTATTAGCATGGAGACTGTTGTTAATGGGTTCAAGAAGGCTTGCGATCAGGCTGAAAAGGAGCTCGGCATTACTACCAAATTAATCATGTGTCTGTTGAGACACCTGCCTGCCAAGGATGGACTTGACACGATCCAGCTTGCTAAGCCATACTATCAAAAAGGGTGGATCCACGGATTGGGTCTTGACTCTTCGGAGAAGCCGTTCCCTCCTGAGCTTTTTGAGGAGTGCTATGCACACATGGCGGAGCACCATCCGGAGGTGCTTCTGACTGCCCATGCTGGAGAGGAAGGCGGTCCCGAGTTCATTCACAAGTCGCTGGACCTGTTGAACGTGACGCGGATTGACCACGGAGTGAACTCGATCAAGGACCCGTTGCTGATCAAGAAGCTTGCAGAGCAGCAGACGATGCTGTCGCTGTGTCCGATGTCGAACCTGAAGCTGCGTGTTGTTGAAGACATCGGTGATCTGCCGATCAGAGAGTGGATTGCAGCCGGTGTTCCGTTCTCGATCAACTCGGACGACCCTGCGTATTTCGGAGGATACATTCTGGACAACTACCTGGCCGTCCAGGACAAGTTTGGGTTTGACATTCCTACGTGGAAGCTGATTGCGCAGAACGGAGTGAATGGCTCGTTTGTGGCCAAGGCTCGGAAGGACGAGCTACTCCGGCTGATCGATGAGGTCTGTGCCAAACACCAATGAGGATAGAAACATATTACAGAGGAATGACCAGGCGCACTGACGGGGCCTGAAACGCGTTAAATAAATTAGCTGTAAAAAACCCAGCTAAAAATTATACAGTATATAAACAGGCCATGACTTCTCTTGCCCTGAAAGTATTAGCGACCCGTCAGAGCTGCCAGATGGATTCCGGGCTGGATCTTGTCAACCCGGAGAAGCTTGCGAGCCAATTACGCGAATACAAGGAGCCTGACAGGGACACACAGCGGAATGTTTTGAATCAACGATTGAACGAGCTGGTGAGCGATCCCACGTCGCGGTGGTTCAAATTCCAGCACGAGCCAGAGGAGCTTGACTCTGTGGCGCTGAACATTCTGATTGAGCGTACTTTGGCCGATGTCCATGAGAGCCAGCACGAGAAGGAGATCATGACTGTTCAGGAGGTGCGACTGGTGAAGGAGCAGATCGCAAGACTTACTGGGGAGAAGGCCGAGGTTTTGGCCGAGCTGGGTCAGAATTTGCAGCCTGATATGGTTAGCCGGTTGCAGACGGTCGACCAAGAGCTCACCTCTTTGCAAAACAGACTCAACACCCACCAGCTGTTGGTTTTGCAGCTGGGATACGTCCAGGACATGTCGTTTGAGGTGCCAATTGGCCGCGGCGACGTGGAGCGGTCGCTGGAAGGACTGGTGTCGAAGGTTGTGTCGCTGTCTGCGCAACACCAAGTGGAGCTGCCGGAGCCGGAGATCGAGAAGATGAGAACTGTGGGGGGAAGAATTGGGTGGGTTTCCGAGTGTGTGTCCACTTTGGTGGGGGGAACCCAAACGGTGGGGTCGCCAACCAGTAAAGCGCGGCAGCTGACCCAGCAGGCAGACGTGTCGAGCGTCGATGAGCTCAAGACCGCTCTGACCGACCTGCAGTTTGCACACAACTACCTGACGCGCAAGTTCGAGGACGAGCGCGACCTACACAGCAAGATCCTCAACGACCTGCGCCACAAGCTGAGCCAGTCGCAGGAGCTGCTGAACCACTCGAACGCAGAGCTGTCGAAACAAACGTCCCAGATATTAAAGCTGGAGTTACAAAACAGCGACTTACAAACACATCTAGACACCAAGCACCGCGAGACCATCAGCCAGGCCAAAGAGCTCAACATCTTGAAAGTGGACCATCTGGGCGACAGTGCGGTGGAAAGACCGCGGTCGATGTACTCGGGCAGCCAGAACACCCAGGCGTCGAACCCGTCCACGCCGTTGACGTCGTTCCACGAGGAGCAGTCGTTTGCGGCCACCTCGTCGCCAACAAGAAACAACGTGAGCGCGTCGATTTTGCGGCTGGAGTTCAAACGGCTGGTGGCAGAAATGAACGAGCGGTTTGAGCAGGAGCTGGACGCAGAGAAGGTGGAAAACCAACGGCTGAGAGATCTATTGAAGATATATGAGTCCAAACAGCACCAGACCTAGAGGTCGATCAAGCTGGCCCCGTTGGCGTTGGAGTTGGCTTTTTGAGGCTGCTGGTTGCCAAACCCGTACCCTGTATATGCTGGAGTGATGCCAGTGGACGGGATCCCTGTATATTGAGTGTCGAAGAAAGGATTGGCCGAAGGGGTGCCTGTTTCTTGCTTGAACCCTGTTCCGTAGGAGTTGACAAAAGTGCCCGTTTTTGTATGTTGGGCCGGGATTCTGGTTTCTCCAACGTTTCCGAAGGTGTCGATGCCTGTTCCGGTAGCAAGTAGATTGTTGAGTTTCGAGTACTGTTCGTTCATCTTTTGGATTCCCGTAGGAGTCTGTCTGAGCGGCTCCTGCGGTTTAGGTGGCTCCGCAGCAGCAGCCGGGGCAGCCTGCGCGGACGAGGACTGCTGGACGTGGGCAAACGGATTGTTGGAGCCTGTTTTGAGCGGCACCTGCTGTTGCTGTTGGGCGAGCTGTTGCTGCTGCTGTTGCAAAAGAAGCTGCTGCTGATAAGCGGCCTGAGCCTGTTGTTGGGCCTGGGCCTGCTGCTGCTGAGCAAGTTGCTGCTGATAGAGCTGCTGTTGGTACAATTGCTGCTGCATGGCCATGTCCTGGTAGGCGTTCTGCAAATAACCGGTGTTCATCTGCTGGTTGGCATACACAGGGTTGCCGTACATGTCGTAGCCGACGATCTGGCCCATGTCCTGGCCCTGCGGATAGTATCCGTACATGGTTGGGGGCTGGGCGGAGGAGTCATCGTCCAAGTCCAGCAAGTTGTTGTTGCGTTTGCGCATCTCTTCCTCTTCGAGGCTGAGTTGGATGGCCCTGTCCAGACTGTCGTCGCTCTGGTTTCTGCGTCTGCGTTCCTCTTCCTCGGCGGTCATTCTGCTCTCTTCAAGAGCCTTCTGCAACGCCTCGTCGTACTCGTCCTCGTCCGGCGACAACCGGTTGTTCTTCCTGGACCGTCTATCGATCATCTTTTGCCGAGCAAGCTCTCTTTCCTGGTTCAGTCTTTCATCGTCGCGCAACAAAGAAGTCAGTTCCTTGGCCTTGACCCGGATAATGGCTCCCTGGTCGGTTCCGGTCAAATCGTTCACCTGGAACTCTCTCAGGGTCTTGATGATGTAGAGGTTCTCCTTTGCCCATAACACAACGTCCTCCGATCCAAACCGCACAAGATAGTCCAACAGCGTCAGCGACTTGGCCACGTGCCGCCAGTTCTTGCCCTTGTCATTGAGCCGGCGGTCCACCATGTCCATCACCTCCAGGAACTCTCCGCTCTCGTACGTGTGGTTGGCAACGTCTGCCATCTGGGCCGTGGTGGGGCCTGTCGGGTCATTGCTGGTGGCGTTTCTCACCATCACCTGGACCGACGAGTACCCGTTGGCCACGTTCTTGATGGATCTTATCACAGACTTGGTGGTCGACATGTGCAAAACCTAATTTACTCTAGAATATCAATTTAGGTGTACGTTTTTGCTGATAGAATCCTCAAATGGTTACGAGCACACGGTTTGAAATATTTACAGCTTCCTGCTATCGGCCTCGCAGCCGGGGCAGTTGTGCAGCGCGTCGTGGATGAACACGTCGCAGTCGATGCAGAAGTCTTGGCCGCAGTCCTGGCAATGGTACCGCGAGCTGGTTTGGTACTCGCGCACGTTCGTGTTGCTGTCCCCTTTGGCTCCCTTGGGGAACTGCGTTTGGCAGCCAAAGCAGTGTGTAGATGTGTACGTTTCGCTCACGGGCACCTCTTTGAACAGCTTGAGCGGGAACAGATGGTGGTACGACCGTGCCAGGTGTGTTGACAAGATCAGCATCAAGTCGCAGCACGGACAAACCGTTGGTAGCACGCACACTTTGCTCTTGCAATTCGGACAGATGTAGCCACCGTAGACGGCCTTGGAATGGCACGAGCAGAACGTGGGCTGGTTGTCGCTCACACGCGACGGGAACCCCATCTTGACCAAGGTGAACCCGTCTGTTTTCTGGGACTCCACTTTGGTCACGGCCAATGGAGTCACGGCGTCCATAAACAGGTCTTTGAAGTGCTGCTCGTACAGCACCACGTGATACGAGTTTTTAAGGTCGCCGTAGTTGGTCAATCGGCACAGTTCCTGGCAGATGGCCACCTGTGCAGTGAGTCCGATCACCCTCACGGTGATTTTCTCCTTGACCAGGTCCTGGATCGTTTTATGGATGTTGCCCGGGTCTGACGTGAACAGGGCGCCGAACACGACCAGCACCTCGCGCGTGCAATGCGACGCCACGTGAAGTAGAAGTCCGCGGCACATCTCCAAGGCGTTCTGCAGCGACGGGTTGCCCTGGGGCTCTAGTTTGCGGATGCCCTTCAAGGCCTCGATATGGTCGTGCGGGTTGCCGCTCACCTCAGACACCAGCTGGGCGATTCCGTTGCGCATGATCACCACGCTGAGCTGAGAGATCGGGTTCTGGTCGAAGAACTCGCCCACAAACTCGATCGCGTTCTGAATCATCACCGAGGCCCTGTTGGGTCTAAAGTCTTTTTCCATCATCACGTTGGACATATCCAGCACCAGCACCATCGTCCGGATGATTCCTCGCTGGAACGGCGTGATGTTCTTCAAGTACCGTTTTTTCTGCGACTCCATGAGCCCGGACACGATCGACTCGATGCTGCCGCTCTCGTCCTCCTGGACAATGTCCCAGGAGCGTCGGTACTCGTCTTCCCACGCGTAGCCGCCATTCGCGCCCTTCAATGGGTCCGACGGCTTCTTGCCGTCCTCGTGGTCGCTTTCGGGCGAGTGTTCGGGCGAAGGCGAAAATTCAGGGTCGATATCCATCAAACAGAGACTGGAGCCAAGATAATAAAGATTTTTTGCTGTGCTTACGAAAGAAATAAAAAAATCTAAAAAATTTGAAAAATTTAGATCGCATGGGTAAACCAAGAGGAAGACGTGAGAAGCGCCACGAGGAGCGGCACGAGCCCGTTGTGGAGCCGGAGCCGCAGGAGGTGACGCCATTCTTTGGGCTGCTCGACTCGACCGAGCTCGAGTACTTCAAACAGGCCGAGTCCACGCTGAACGTGAACGCTTTCAGTAGCAGCGAGGAAAGAGAAGCGTTTGTGGCGAGTGTTTTCGAGGAAGCCAAGGGCAAGGAACTGAAACTGGTGACGAACCAGATTTGCTCGAAGCTGGTAGAACGGCTGATTCTGGTGGCCACGGAAAAACAGATGAAACAGCTGTCCAGCGCATTCAACGGCCATTTTGTCGCTCTGTGCAACCAAAAGTACTCCTCGCACGTGGTGGAGACGTATTTGGTGCGCATGGCCATGTACGTGGAGAAACAGATGACGGGGGCGCCGGAGGAGCTGGACGAGGACGAGGAGTACGTTTCCATGGAGAACATGTTTCTGTTTTTCCTTGGCGAGATCAAACCGCAGCTCGACAGACTTGTGGTGCACCGGTACGCGTCGCACGTGATCCGCATCACGCTGCTGATCCTGGGAGCCAAGAAGCTGCCGTCGTCGGTGGAGTCGAATTCTGTGCTGCGGTCGAAAAAGTCCAAGATTGCGCGTAAAATGATAGAGATCAAGGACAACGAAGACTACGAGCGGTCGTTCATGACTCCGTCGTCGTTCAAAGAGCAATTGGCAGACGTTCTGGCGCTTGTGAACCAGCACCACGACACCAAGTCGCTCCGCGAGCTCGCCATCGACAAGATCGGGTCGCCTGTGATACAGCTGCTGGTGCAGTTGGAAGGTATTGTTGATAAGGAGCGCACACTATGGTGCAAAATTTTTGCCGAGCCGGATAAACCAGCCGAGCCCCAAGAGGAAGCGTTTGTGGAGTATCTGCTTTCTGACGCGGTGGGGTCGCATTTTTTGGAAACGGTGATAACTACACAGCGTCTGAAAAACGTGGAGCGTATTTTCCAGCTCTACATGAAGGACCGGGTGTTGAAGCTGGCAAAGAGAGAAACAACAGGAGCTTACATTATCCGGGGATTGCTGAAGAAACTCAAGGCCGTGGACCAGAAGCGACTGCTGGACGAGCTTGTTCCAAACTTAAACGAGCTGATTGTGAACGGGTTCGATTTCGGAGAGAGTGTGATGACGTGCTCGCAAGAACGTGGAGACTACTTGAAGCCTGAGATTGTGGCCAAGTTCACAGGGTTTTTCCGCCTTGAGAACAATGGGGATATTCTGGAGAGCGTGTTGAGATTATCGAATTCCACTCTAGGAAACACACGGGGGGATTGGCCTACGGCAGATGAAAGACGCCGTTCATTGTTCTTGGAGAAATTGGTTGCGTATGATAAGGCATTTCTAAAAGATTGCGTGGAAGGATTAATTGGGTTGGAGTCCGACAGATTGCAGGAGATGTGCAAGCACGGTGTATTTTCACATGTTGTGGAGACGTGCCTGAACAGACAAGTCGAGATTATCAGCCGCAAAAAATTATTGAACCAGTTGATCCCTGGTGTGGGGGTGCTTGCATGCCATGCAACAGGGTCCCATGTTGTCGATCGTCTTTGGGATTTCACCTTTGGCCTGAATATGTACAAGGACCGTATTGCCAAGCTGCTCTCTGAAAATAGAGACGTGCTTAAAAATAGTGGATACGGTCGCCAAGTGTGGAAAAACTGGCACATGGAACTCTACAGCAGGCGGTATGCGGATTGGAAGCGGGTCATCAAAGACGAACAAGATAGAGAAAAAGAGCTTGACCAGGACAAAGAACATAAAAAGCACTAGCCTGTATATTTGACAGTACGGGATCTTCATTACTGGGTGTAATACTTTTTAAAAACGCGATTTATAATTACAACAGTTGCTGTTTCACAATTAAAGTTGTGTATCCTTATGTACGGGCGGGAATTCTGTTTACCGACAATCGCAGTGAAATATTCCTGAATAGGATTAATGATTTGAATACAGTATCTCCAGGCACGGCCACAATGCACCATAAGCACACATGACAGCACTTTGGCAGTACACCATAAAGGCGCTCGCCCTTTTTGGATACGACGGGATGAAAAGTGTTTCCGGATTGAGACACTTTTACGATCCCGCAAGATCGGACTTCCCGCCCAACTTACATGGACCTTAACTCCAGGCACAACATGTTTCAGTTTGGACCCAGCTAATCTGTAAGTGTATCAAACTTGTCCCAAGTGTTTGCGTCATGCTACCACAAAATAATAGCAACTTCCTCCACACTGCAAACGTTTATATTTTTCAATTGTTTATTCTGCATTATCATTTTCCCACCGGACAGAAACTTGGTCTGTCATAGAACCCATAGGACCAATAACCACCCACTTCTTGAAACAACCATATAAGTATTTGAGACATCCGGATGGAACATTTCACGTAACGCTAAACACTTTCACTATCATTTTGACGTTCTGCAACACGTTGGTCTGCTCAGACCCAGTTTTGGAATCACAACACTAAATCACATTCACTGGACATGGCAGAGACGGGGAATGAGGTCGTTTTAGATGAAGTGCCCTCGTCATACAAGTCAAACAACCCTTCAGACCAAACAGTGAACTCCGTTGAGGCGTCATTGAGATTAATCGATGATCTTAAGTTCTTCTTAGCCACGGCACCTGTCAATTGGCATGAGAACCAGGTCATCAGAAGATACTTTCTCAACAAGGAAGAGGGGTTCGTGTCTTGTGTGTACTGGAACAACTTGTACTTCATCACGGGAACCGACATCGTGCGCTGTATCGCATACAAAATCCACCATTTTGGTCGAACCATAATTGATCGCAAGAAGTTCGAGGAAGGAATCTTCAGTGACTTGCGTGCTCTCAAGTGCGGCACCGACGCCATCCTGGAAAACCCAAGGTCACCTTTTTTGAAGTTCCTCCACAAGAACCAATGCTTACGGACTCAGAAGAAACAAAAAGTCTTCTTTTGGTTCAGCGTACCCCATGATAAGCTCTTTGCAGAGGCTCTCGAGAGAGACCTCAAAAAGGAGTATGGAAACCAGCCGGCCACCACTAAAGCCGTTTGTGAGCCATCTCTATCAATGACATTTGATCATTCCATCCCTCTAACAGATCAGATTATGAAACATATCGAGAAAGACGGAGGTGCCCGTAGAAACGATGTCTATGATGCCGATGCAGACACAAAGACTGAACAGGTGGTCAGAACTCCGGTCAGCGACCAGAAGCCAGTCGGGAAGTTCCAACCAATTAAGGAGGAACAAACAAACAACATCTCCACGGACGATGAAGACTTCCCACTAGACTTCTTGCCAGCTGAATCATCCGGCCGCGACCATTATCAATACGGTACAACACCTGATGGCACATGCATCAGCTACGGCCACCATCCATCTTTTTACATGGACCCTTCCCTCTATGCTCCGTCTCCTGGGAAGTACTATTTTATGGACGATTACCTATTGGACCAAGCCACACCGGTCGTTCCAGTTATGGTTGGATCTCAGCAACATAGATATCAATCTGGAGGTCCACCATCGGCAACGAACCCGCTGAATTTGCGCATGACCCCAAGGGTTGCAAGTGCCTCTTTGCGCGCTGCAACCCCAAAGAGTGCTACATTTTCGCACGCCGCCCACGCGGCCGCCTACGCTCACGCTTATTCCCAGCAACAGACTCTCCAGTTAGTTCCATCGCCAACATCGTTGGTCAATGGAAACAATCCAGCCGCAGAATCTAGGTCTCAGTCGCGTTCAGGTAACAGCGACAAAGAAGATTCCAAGTCTGCTCCGCAGGTGCTTTTAAGCTACCCATCGTATCCAACAAGCAGCAGTGCTTTGCTTGACATGGAGACCGATCCGTTCCAGCACCAGGCAATGCTGCAATTGTCGTCTGCCGGACACTTTCCGTATGGGTTGTACGGACCATCGCCATACTATTCCGAATTCCCATCCGTTCCGTACGCGCAACCAATGTCAGCAGCTATTTTCCAATCTCCGGTTCTTCAGTATTTTGGATCGTCGAAAGGATACGCCACAATGGACACATCTAATCAGTCGCACCAATACTCTTCCAATGGTAGGTTGAAAGAGAGAACCACTCCAACGAGTGCTTTATCTAACGTTCAAACTACCAGGAACGGAAAGGCGTTGCCCAAAGGTATTCTTGTCCGCGACAAAGTGCCTACAGTAAACGGGGGCCGTGTTACAAAGAACGTGAAGGTTAGGGGTAAGCAAAAGCTGATGAATCCGTCGTTGCAACATCTTGATCTGGACAGCCTTTACGACGAGAACGGAGAGGCGTACAGCGATGCGAGCGACGAGGCGGAAAACAGGGTTTTTGTAAAACATGAGCACGAAACCATGGACGACGAGAGCTGGAGAACGAGAAACGAACAAAATCCTGCATCGTTGACCCCGAAGGGACTAGTTGATGCTAGTGTGAGCATGTCTAATTCCGACACCGGGTCAAGAAGCTCGCCTGAAGAAGATGGCTCTATGGGGCTTGATCCTTCCAAGAGTGAGAATGATGATTGATATATGAACCATATAGGACTTTTTGCTAACCAAGGTGAAAACTGCTTTTGATTGCTTTACGTAATTAGTGTGTTTTGCTTTAAGAAACATTTAAAACTACAGACATTCCCAATTAGGCAAATTGTGGATTTGGTCTGGGCTTTTTTTAAGCTTTTTTCTGGTGCAAAGATGCGCCCTCTGCGAAATCCCGATTCCCCAGTTAAAAACAGAGGATTCCATGAGATTCCAATTTTAAACAAATCGGTAGCTTGTTCCCTTATGAAAACCAAATTAATAGTGTGACAAATAGACAGTTACGAGCGGCATCAGTTATTATTGTTTGTGAGCACTGTGATTGCAAAGGAATATCCAAACAAGGACTTTGAGTTTCTGGGAATATAGAGGCGTTCAGAGAGGGACGTTAATTTGCATTACAACCACTCTGGGCGAAGCCTCTTGAACCACGCTACATCGACAAGGACGATATTTCACGTCTTTATCGTTAACGATATACAATAATTGCATTTGATTGGTTACGGATTATTGGGGAAACAGGGTATAATACAAATGGGTATGGATTATAAGGATTATGTTGACGGCAAGTTGCTGAACGGTCGGTACTTGAAAGTGAACGATATCAGCGAGGGGTCGTTTGGTATTGTTTCACTTGCCAAGGATGTGAAGAACAACGATCGGTTGGTGGCACTGAAGTACAACTCCACCAACATCAGCGACTTCACCACGTTTTCGCACCAGGAAGAACAGACAATCAGCAAATCGGTTGTTTTGAGAGAGACTCAGCGGGAAATCGACATGTTGAAACGGGTTTCCAAGCATCCCAATATCACCGATCTGCTGGATTGCTTCGATAGTTATCTTGTTCTGGAGTACGCCTCACGTGGCGATCTCCATGATTCGATCGAGATGGGCGTTGCTCCGGCATCGACCCCCGACGTTGTTGATGTTTTCATGCAACTGCTAAGCGCTGTCGAGTACTGCCACAGCATGGGTGTCTACCACAGAGATATCAAGCCCGAGAACATTTTGATCTGCGAGGATTGGTCTATTAAATTGACCGATTTCGGATTGGCCACAGATAAGAAGTATTGCACCGATTTCGACGTTGGGTCCGAGCGCTACATGGCTCCCGAGCTATTGGACCACAAGGACATCGACACGTACAGCGCCGACAAGGTGGACATCTGGTCTCTTGGGATTTGTCTGTTGAACATTGTTTTCGGAAAGTCGCCATTCAACTCGGCCAGTTCCAGCGACAGGCTGTTTTTGCATTTTGCTGCCAACAGAGAGACTCTGTTTGACATTTTCCCGTCCATGAGTTTCGACTTGTTTTCGGTTTTGAGATCTAGTTTGACCATCGACCCAAACAACAGGGATTTGGAGTCTATGAAGAACTCTTTGCTGAAGGTGGAGCATTTGACTTGCGATTTCGAGTTCGAGGAGGACGAACCAGCCGCCATCGAGGAGAAACCAACAGAGGAAGAGAGCCTTTCCAACAGAGGTTCCGACAAGGAGAACGAGAAGGAGCCTGTCAAGTTGGAGAAAGAGCTATCGTTGCCTAGACCAAAGCACAAGCTTGGACAGCCACGCAAGCCTATTAGGATTCCTAGTCTGCGCAACATGGCAACCAGGTCCCACAATGGTAGAATCAACAAACGGGTCACCATTCAATCGAACGCTAACGGTAACGGTACCGACGACTCGTTCAAACGGGCAGACTTTTTCACTCCCAAAACTGTCTTTAACCATTATATGGAGCGTGCACAGAAACCAAAGCAGCATGCAAAGGAGTTTGGTTCCGAAGCTAACCGCTTCTACCGCCATAACCCGAACAAGAAGAACAGGGCATGGAAGAAGAGAAAGCCAAGAAACTATGGAAAGGATAACCATAGGTCCAGAAGAGCGCCTTACAAGTCGAGAGGTGGCTCCAACAACACTCGCAAGGGTAACAAGTCCATTGGCAAGACTCCTGTTACTCCGTCAAGTCACGGAGACAATTTCGGCAGTTCTGTTCATTCCAGTGGTGGTGTTCGTCCACGGAGTTTTGTGAGCAATTCAGGAAAGTACATTCCTCCGAACTTACGTCCATCTCCTAAGGTTGAATTGGAGGAGAGAGTGTTTGAGTCTGAAGACGAGAAAAACAGCGGCGACGACGACCTGTTCCTCTTTGAGGATGTGGAGCAGAAGAGCAAGAAGGTGGGCGGAGGCGTTTTGAGATACGCGGAGGCCAAGAAGGAGATGAACACGACGTATCCGTCTCTGTTAAACGGCCAGGTGAATGCTCTTTCCAGACAACTGGGAGACATGTCGTTTGGCGAGAGTGCTGAGTACCAGAACTCAAGAGACACCTCGATCACAACCACCTTCTCGAGCAACTTTTCGTCGTTTGGATCGAACCTGACAAGCACCACAACCTACGATAAGTACGTGCCACCGCATCACCGCCGCAACTCGCACTCGTCTGTGATGCAGACCGGGCCTCCTTCGAAAAAACCCGAGAATAGCAAGTACATTCACACGCATTCTGCCGGAAGCAAGCCGATCAGAGTGATGACTCCGATCATATCCACGTCAGTTCCTACCAAGAAGACCAATTGGTTCCAGAACCATCATAACTTTGAGTCCAAGGGAAATTTCTACAACATGGAGAATGAGAATGAGATTCAGTTTCTATTTGAGGACCAGGACACCGACTACGATTTCGGTAGCATTGGATTTGCACGGGGCACCGGGTTGAAGACCGACGGCCACGTCGAGGTCTACGAGATCAATGACGCGTCCCAACCTACGTCATGAAACATAAATTATTTAGCCCTTTTCATCACTGCTTTTGCGCCAGCAGCCACGTTGGGGCAGTAATGGGATTCCAGCAGCACGTTTTCCCACAGCACGGCTACGTCTGCGTTGGCCAGCTCCATGTTGTCCATCTCTGGACGGTACACTCCGTTTTGGATGCGGTCTTCGGTGGTGTACAGGCCCTTGATGTCTTCGTATCTGGCCATCAGTTTGTCTAGGAACTTAAGACCTGCAATGCTGGATTTTTCTGGTGTTTGGAGTATAGCAGAGTAGAGCCTTTTGGTGAACACGAGGGATCTTTTCCCCGAGCCCGATCTCGAGTTGAAGAAAATGTAGTCTAGACACCGTAGCAAGAGCTCTGCTTTGGTGGCTATGTTGACGTTTGGCCGGTACTGTGCTGTTGTTTGGAGCGGGTCGATCAATCTAAGAGTTTTGTGAGAAAACTCGATGTCTGGGTCTAATGCCAAAGATGGTAGCAGCGAATACAGATACTGGACAAACTTGTTGAGGTCCACGGAGATCCGTTTTGTAGGCAGATTTGCGGTCAGCGAGAACGACGTGACGATCGCCAGCAGGATCTGGCGCAGACTTGTGCTCACGATGGTTCCCTCGTTGATGGTCTCAAGCATGTTTTCGCAGATCTCACGCAAGACTTGCAAAAAGTCTCCGATCAGGTCCACGTTGACCTGGTGGCCGTATTTGGCGAGTCCCTCGAGCACGGGGGCCATCAGCTTCTCTGGTCTGGCTCTCAGGATCTCCAGGTATAGCGTGACAAGGATCTTGAGCACCTGGGCCTGATTGCGCTCGCGTTCCTCGGCGGTGACGGCCTGCTCTGCTGCTAAAAGCTCTTTCTCGATCAGTTTGCGCTCTTTGCGTTGCTTGCGTTCTTTCTTCGACAGGTGCACGCGCTCCTTCTTCTTCAACTTGAGCGGCTCCTCGTGCTCCTTTGCGTTCGGGTTATAGTCATCCAAGACGCTCAGGGCCAGAAACACGTTCACCACGCTCTCGTCCACCTTGAACTCTCTCGTGCGGATCGCGCGACCGAGTAGAGTGGCCAGCTCCAGAGAGATGTCTCCGCGGTCCGCGTCCTCCTTGAACAGCTCCTCGATCGTCTGGATGCTCTTCTCGTACACCTTGAATTCCTGCTCTGTGGCCGGCTTTCTGATAGCACGTCTCACAACAATCTGGAGCAGGTCTTTTCTGTAGTTGAAGAACCGCAGAGCTAGCGCCAGCTCGCACGCGGCGTTGTTTGCAAGCACTCCGAGCTGGATATCCAGCTCGCTTGCTTTGGGTGTCGTGGCAACCACCCGCGACTTGGTGCTCAGCAGATCAACGTACTGCTTGTACTCGAACACGAGCGTTTCCTCGAAAAACCGCAGCTTTGCCACGTCGCGGCCCACTTTCTGTTTCTTCTCAATCTCCGAGAGCGGTCTGATGCGGTATGCTGGTGCAATGCTCTTGAAGATCGGAACCGCAGCAAGAAGCGACAGTTTCGATGTGTTTGGGTTGCGGGACTTGGCCATGCGCCGCAGCCGCGACAGCTGCTTAACGTGCTCCTCTGGGTCCTCCATGATGCTTTCGGCAATGGCCGCGATCTCCTCTTTGGTCTTGATCAGCTTCTCCTGCGGCGACAGGTCGTTGTCAGACTCTGGCTCAGACTCAGACTCAGGTTCAGGTTCAGGCTCCTGTTCCGGCTCGTCGTCCTCTTGCTCCTCGACAGGCTTCTCCTGTTTCGCCTTCATCACACGTTGGAACGAACCGTCCAACGTTTTGATCGGCAGGGCTTCCTCCACGTCCTGCTGCTGCTTAAACTGTCTGGGACGAAGCTCGTAGTCCTGTTCCTCGTCCTCGTCAAACGACACATCGCTCTGCACGTCACTTCCTCTATCGTACTCATTGAACAGACCCGTCGAAAGCTGCGCGTCGGCCTCCTTCTGGCGCTTGAGCTGTCTCTGCTCGACAGACCGCTTCACCTTTCTCTTGCCCATGCTCTTAGAAATTTTTTCAAAATATTTTTCTTGGCTGTGTTGGGTTTCTGTCGACGGGACGAGTCGTCGCAGACGGGTTTTTCATGCCCGGGCCAAACCTATCGACTGATAATTAACGTTTGGCATTTCGAATTGTTTGCAAATCATGCTGAGAGGGCTGAAAGTAATTGGGCGCCAAGTGCGCGTTTCCCGCGCCAACGCCAAAGGTAAGTGGCACTATTTGCAGGTTTCTGACTCAGCAGCTTTCCATACCACAGCACTCAAGCTGAAAGCTACCCCATTTGGGATGCCAGCCATGTCCCCCACCATGGAGGAAGGTGGCATTGTTTCGTGGAAAGTGAAGGAGGGCGATAAGTTCAGCTCGGGCGACGTGCTGCTGGAGGTTGAAACAGATAAGGCCACCATCGACGTGGAGGCCCAGGACGACGGTATTGTTGCGAAACTGCTCAAGCACGACGGGGACAAAGAAATCAAGGTGGGAACGCCAATTGCGTTTCTGGCGGATCCCGAGGACGACCTGGCCACGCTGAAGCTGCCGGAGATCGAGGCCGAGTCCAAGCCAGAGCCAAAACAGACAGAAAAGCCTGCCCCTCCACCAGAACCAAAAGCGCAACCACAGTCTAAACCCGCACAATCCACGTCTTCGGCCACGAAGACCGACCCGAACCAGGTCTTGTTCCCTTCAGTGGAGCTGCTTCTGCACCTCAAGGGCATTTCCAAGGAAGAGGCCCTGGCCAAGATCCCAGCAACCGGACCTAAAGGACGTATCTTGAAAGGAGACGTGCTCGCGTACCTTGGAGAGATAGACGCCTCGAGCAACTCAAAGATCGCCTCGTACATCGAGTCCAAGTCCCATCTGGACCTGTCGAACATCGAGCTGCGTGCTCCTATTGCACAGGACAAAAAGCCCGTCAAGACTGAAAAGCCTAAGAAAGAGCCGGTTGTGGTCACCTACAATTACAACGTCTTGGAAGACATCACTGTGGGCGATGTTCGGGAAATGTTGCAAAAGGCCGAGCAGTATGCGTACAGAAAGAGCGTTTCGCCGCCATCCGATTTGACAGACCCGTTATTTGAGGACCTGGTTGCTCCTCCAAGAAACGCAGAGAGATTCACTATCTCCACCAGCGTTGACGAACTGCTGAAGCGCAACGACGCAGAGACAGACTTCGAAGACGTCGACGACCTCGAGGTTAAGCTCACTCTCACAGACGTGGTAGATGCCAAAGACCGGGCAGAGCTGTTCAACGAGGAGCTCAACAGGCTACTTTTTTACGTGGAAGTATAAAAAATCTTAGATAGCTGATAAATGAACTATTTCACCGAAAACGGCCGTTTCCACGACGCGCACTGCCATTTGTCGCCGAGCGTGACGCCAGAACGCGCGCGCCAGCTGACCACCGTGCTGCAATCGGCCTTACACCAGGTACACTTGCCCCTGTTCAACATCATGTCCACCAACCATATAGACTTCCACTTGGTGCACGAGCTAGCAACACAAGTTCCGGCCGTGTTCCCGTCCTATGGGATCCACCCGTGGTACACCCATCTGTTCTCGACCGACCGTGTCGTTGATGAGTTTGGGAAACGACGCCATTACCAAACAGTGCTCCATCCCGCTCCGTCTGAAATATTACTAACCAACCTGCCAATGCCCATCTTTCTCAACGACCACATCGCCACCATCGAGAGGTACTTGCAAGAGGGAGGCGCTATTGGTGAAATCGGGCTCGACAAGTCGTTTCGTGTGCCGAACTCGGGGTTTTTCGGACCGTTCGAGAACCAGGGCCTTAGTTCGTCTCGGGTCACTATTTCTCACCAATTAACAATTCTCAACATGTTCCTGGAACTGGCCGAGAAACTACAGAGACCAATCAGCGTGCACTGTGTCGGATGCCATGGTAAGCTGCTCGACCAGATCAGACAATCAATAACTAGTCCAAACTTGATCAGTCTCCACAGCTTTAGCGGATCGCTTGACCAGATCAAGCTCTGGAAAAAATACTACCCTGAAATTAGGTTCAGTATCAGCAAAGTTCTAAACATCGAAAAATACAAACCAACGCTCGACAAGAGTCTCGCCGTTTTGAATGAATCAAATCTCATGCTCGAAACAGACCTGTCGCTGGACAGTCTGTTTTTAAATAATACATCTTCTCATTTGGAGTTGCTAGAGGAAACGTTCGAGCAGCTCCGAGAAGTTTCACCGACCTTGTCGCTGGAAACAATGACAGCCACGTTCGAGAAATGCCTGGGGCCTCAGTGAGCGCTCCGAAGCCCCCGCATGCACCGAATCGTGTACACCAGCTCTTTATACTGTTCAACATCTTTGCGCAACGATTGGCTGGTCGCCTGCTTCTTGGCACTCACCACGCGCTCGTCTTCCCAGTCGGACGCCCCCGTAGACTCCAACTGTAACGGCTGCGAAAACAAAGACACATCGTCGCCCTCCATGCTGTCGACGCTGATAGTGGAGGAGAAACCGGTGCTCACGGTTGCAGACCTGTGCGACCGGTTCCGTCTTCTGCGCGGAACCGAGTGGTCCAGCGGCATCTCTGTGCGCAGATCCAGGTCCAGGGACAGTTCTCGGGCAATGTTGAGCTTGTAGTACAGCTCCACAAACACCCCGGAGTTGTACGAGGTGATCAAGAACTGGTCCTGGGGAAACTGGATCCGCAGCGTGAACGGCTTGTATGGGAAGTCTGCCGCGTTGCCAAAGTTGACCAGCTCCTGCAGCGAAAACGAGTGGATCCGCGATCCCTTGATGCGGTTCAAAGACTCGTCCATATCGTGCGACTCCGCAGTAGTCACTTTGCGCAAGTCTGGCCGATACAACAGCAGTTCGTGCACCATGGTACAGTTGTGCGAAGCAAGCTTGGCCTTGCTCAGACACTTACCGTCGTCCTCTTTCATGTGCAGAAGACTCTTTGTGAGTCTCGTTGCCCAGTTGTGCTGAGCTCTTTCGTTGGCCTTCATCCAGTCCTCGAACTGGTAACAGGTTATACGTCCAGACTTGATATTCAGCTCTGGGTCGATGTACTCAGGCCGAAGGTTGTGGAAGTAGAACTTGGCAAACTTGCGTGCGTACGGCTTTATCTCGTATATGTTGACCTGGGTGGAGTTAATTTCAAACAACACCGGCTCAAAGCCATTTCTCCTGCGTGCAGGCCGTGTAGAGGACTCGTGGTAGAGGAAGTTCAACGAGATGTGCTCGATCGAGGGGGTATATGTTGGAGGAAGCTGGGCGGTTGCCGCCTGGAGGCTCGAATATTGCGGCAAAGGGTCCATTGTGCCGGATGTGTTTGTTCACAAAATCTGAGATACAACAAATCAGGTTCGTTTCAATCTGGCGTCTAGCAGAGATCTGACGGTTGCTGGCGTTTAATTTGGCTTAACGTGGAAACAGGAACCAGTGTGGTCAACAGCTCTGATGGACACTTCCAACAACAACAAACTAGCTTGAGAATACGAAAAGTCGTTCTTTGTTTGCCGGTTCGCCAAAATAGTGGAGATACAGATGACTATTACGTAAGAAGGGCCGCAATGCATTGTTCCCCAGACTGGGGATCGACGAATAACGCCGGCTGGGAAAAAATCTTTTTTTTGTGTTTTCCCGCATACATCACACGATCGTATACGAGTGGGCTACTTCTTTAATCGTTCCAGGTTCCTTGGCCCAGTTGGTTAAGGCATCGTGCTAATAACGCGGGGATCAGCAGTTCGATCCTGCTAGGAACCATTTTTTTTGATAAAAATTTAAATTTTTCCTGCACCATCTTTTTTTTAATACATGTCACTTGAAATCTCAAGGGAACCCATCGATATCGGGGTGGCTTTGAACTCGGCATACACGTTGTTGAACGTGGCACTGCTGTTGTTTTTAATATTAGGGATCTCGTTTTTTTACTCGGGTTTGACCCAGCGAAAGGCCGCTTTTCAGCAGCTAAGCTTCCCGTTGGTTGTGACAATCGAGATTCTTCTGCTATGGCTGTGTTTCGGCTACTCTCTGTCCTTTTCGCAGACAGGAAGGTCCGGCTATCTCGGGAACTTTGAGCATGTTGGTTTGAAAGAGCTCAGCAGCATGGTGATATATCCTAACCAAAGATTTGACGATGTCTCCACTGGTGTTGTTGAGCAAGTTTACAGTGTCTACAGCGGACTGTTTGCCTGTATTTCTGCCGTGATAGCAATGGGATGCCTATGTGAGCGAGGGAAGTTGAAACCAGCAATGATATTCTTGGTAGCATGGATGTTTCTGGTGTACTGTCCTGTTGCTTACTGGATCTGGAACTCCAACGGTTGGATGCACAAGAAGTTTGAAGTGCTCGACTTTGCCGGCGGCCATGCTGTGCACATTGTTTCTGGAACAACCGCATTGATGTACTCGTGGTTCCTCGGGTACCGCAACGAAAACAGTTTGACCGACTACCGTTCCAGCAACCTGGGACTGGTGGTTTGCGGGACCATGTTCATGGCGATTGGGTGGCTCGGGTTCAACTGTGGCTCGCTTTACACGGTCAATAAGCTCTCGGGGATCATTCTGTGCAACACGTTGACGTCGATGATGGTTGCGGGACTCAGCTGGATGGGACTGGACTATCTGTACTCGAGGAACGGACGGATCTCAATCGTGGGGCTGTGTTCTGGCTGCGTTGCCGGACTCACGGCCATCACGCCATGCACCGCGTACATCAGTTTCTGGTCGAGTTTCGTGGTGGGGCTTTTAAGCGGAGTGCTATGCAATCTGGGCACCCGGCTGAAATACTGGCTCAAGATAGACGACTCCCTGGACGTGGGGATCCATCTGATAGGAGGCCTGGTTGGCAACCTGTTGGCCGGAGTGTTTGGCGACAAGTCCGTGGCCGCGCTGGGCGGACTGTCAGTTCACGGCGGATGGATAAACAGACATTTCATCCAGCTGCTGTACCAATTTTTGAGCTCCTTGATTACCACGATCTACGTTGCCGGAGTGTGCTTCATCATCCTGTTTGTGCTTGTGAGAATACCCGGCTGTCATCTGCGGATGGACAGCGAGTCGGAGATGGAGGGCTCCGACAGCGCCGTGTTCAACTCGGAGTACATGTCCGATTACGTGGAGTTTGTGCGGCAGCTAAATCCGGACGACTATAAAGAAGAGTAGTAATGTTATGAGGACCATATAGTGTCAATTGAATGTGTTATGTCATGAATTTCTTGCGCCCGCCTGTGTCCAGCTTTCTGGTGCATTCTTTGGTCTCCACATGGGTGGTGAGCCATTCCTGCACGTTGTTGAAGTACATGCCGCATTCGCGGCAGCTGCCACTCACCTTGGACCGGTCGCTCTTGGGCGTGTTTGGCGGGTACTTGAAATGGATGGCCTTGAGATGGTTCTTGTAGGTGTCGCATCTGGTGAACTGGCCCGAGTGGTGGCAGTTCTCGCTGCGTCCTGCCGGGTCGTTGATGAAAAATGGGCACCGGAACTCCCACTCTCCGAGCTTGGACAGGTGGCATTTTTCATGTCTCATGAGGTCATTGAGTCGTTTGAACGAGCGCGAGCATGTCTGGCAGGTGAATGGCCGAGAATCTTGGATGTGTGTTGCGCGATGAGTTGTCAGATTACTGAAGTAGTTGTGGCAGATCGGACATTCTCTCTTCTTGCGGGGATGCGACGGAGTTGACGACGATGTGCGCTTTCTATGCGGTTTTGGCGGCGAGCTTGGCGGGGACTGTTTCAGGACTGGCTCCGACGCTGCCGGAGGGTATGAATAAGCCACAGATCCAGGAGATGGACGGGCACCGGACTGGGAGTCAAACACTAGCTTTCCCAGTGGCGGCAGAGAGTGGTCCTGCGGTGCCATGCTGTAAGGGTATCTGGTCAAGGGCGGCAACGCCACCAGTGGAGGTGGTGGCACCGACTGTGCATGGGAGTTTCTGTTTGGGAAGATCAGCGAAGAAGCTGGAGGTAATATTGGTGGTGCGTTCATATTTCGTGGGTCGCCCATATACTCATATGCTTCCTATCACTATGTGCACGAGAGAACTGCCTTGATCAATCTTTCCAAGAGCAAAAGCCGGACCGCTTGTATATATGTATTTCTAATACCGGCTGATTTTCTGCTGCAGCCGAAAACGACATGGGAAGGAATCCACACGGTGCGGCGCGGAAACACCGTTTTATTTTTTTTTACCTCAGCCAACAGCTCAGCCGAGCTGTGCACTGTTGCTACGTGTACGGAGGCCATATACCGAGGCCAAGGAACGGCAAACCAGCCTTGTTCGATCCATTTTCTCCGGATTTTCAGTATCAGCTCTTTTCCGGCCCCGATTCCAAGAACATTAGCTCATCTGTGCAAGCCGCGCTCTTATTTGAGGCAATTTACTGTTAAGCCGTACCGAGCCTGCGCGGGGCCAGCCAATGCCGAATTTCCCGACTGCCGAGAATCTGACAAATTTCAGACGTCGAATTTTTTTTCTCCGTGCTAAGGATCCACGTGAACTTGTTCACATGCGGGGCCTGTTTTAGGTCCGCAAGATTTCACCAGTAGAAAAAAAAAACACCCAAAAAAACAACTATTCAACAAATAAGGGTCCTATTTTATCAAAGAGCATGGAACTTCCATTTGAGTTGCCCTCCTACATTAATTACGCTGAGCCTACCATCGCCAGACCGTTCGGTGTCTACCTGTGGCCGATCTTCGACCACTTCTTCACCCAGGTTACCGGCTATGCCGCAGACGAGTTCAGATTCGTGAAGGACGTGACTTTTATGTCAAACTGGATCCACGCCATTTCCGTGATCGCCGTCTACTACGTGATCATCTTTGGCGGCCAGGCCATCATGAATAAGCTCGACGCCAGACCGATCAAGCTCAACTGGTTGTTCCAGATCCATAATGTTCTGTTGACTGCTATTTCATTTGTCCTCCTTGTTGTTCTTCTGGAACAACTTATCCCAATGGTGTACTACCACGGCCTCTTCTGGTCGATTTGTGACAAAGGTGCTTTCACCAACAAACTTGTCACCTTGTACTACCTCAACTACCTTACCAAGTACTTGGAGTTGTTCGACACTGTGTTTTTGGTGCTGAGAAGAAAACCTTTGAGATTCCTCCACACTTACCACCATGGTGCTACCGCTCTGCTGTGCTACACCCAGCTCGTTGGCCACACCGCTGTCGAGTGGGTTCCTATCTCGTTGAACCTTGCCGTTCACGTTCTCATGTACTGGTACTACTTCCTTGCTGCTCGTGGTATCAGAGTTTGGTGGAAAGAATGGGTCACCAGATTCCAAATCATCCAGTTCTTAGTTGATCTGGTGTTTGTGTACTTTGCCACATACTCCTTCTATGCATTCCACTACTTCGATGGCTTTTTCCCTTCGATGGGTGACTGCTACGGTACTCAAACCGCTGCTGCTTGCGGATACTTGCTCTTGACTTCTTACCTCTTCTTGTTCATCAGTTTCTACATCCAGGTCTACAGATCCGGCAACAAGAAGAAGGCACAGGCTGCTAAGGAGGCCAAAGCCAAGAAGCTGGCCGACGCCGAGCCAGTCAAGCCAAAGTCCAGAAAAGCGTAAATAGAGAGAATATTCAAAACATTGTAAAAATATTTCAAATTTCAACTTTTCGTGTTCGCGTTTCTACAGCTTATGGATTTATATTCGGTTATTGGTCCAACACCGCAAATCACGCCGTCCTCGTCATTGCGATTGGTCGAACTGGGGCCAGAAGTGCTACAGGCCATTGAAAACAAGTCCGAGTTGTACCTTAAATCGGCCGGATCTGACGATTATCCAGTGTTGGTGACTCCGTCCAAGACGTTCAAGATACGGCAAAAGAGTCACTCCAACTGCGTGCTTTTGATCCAGAACCAGGGCGAGACCGGATTCGCGTACTCGCAATTTAACAACGAGCTCCTTTTGTCCTCCATAGAGCCCAGTGTCAATATCAAGGGAGTGTCTGTTCTAAAACATCTTTCACAGAAACCAGAGCAAAAGCCAATCAGTCTTGAGACCATATATGAAAACTCGCCGATCTCGAAAAACGAGTTCGAACAACTGCGGCCCGAGCTCAACCTCGTGGACTTGGAGGGGTCCTGCTACATCATGCACGACGAGCTGGTGTGCGATTGTCTGAGCACGATTCTGCGATCTACGATCGAGGAGCTTGTTGATTCAGGCGATGAGATGCACATAATGACCAGACTCCAGTCGATCGACGCCGACTGGGTGATCCAGGCGGTCCAGAAACACCAGGAAGAACAGTTCCCGCGAGAGATTCGGGATACGGTGCTCGCAAAATACACAACCCGGACCGGCAGCAGTCTTAGCTTCCGAAACGAAAAGATCGTGCGACTGTACGGCGTGCTGCTTTTGAAAAACAGTCCTGCAGACACCAAGCTGGACGACTTCACGCTCAACCTAAGGCTGAACATGCCATCGAACTACCATCCTGATATTAAGCTGGAATACCTGAACGGCAACTACATCGAGGAGAATGGGTGTATTCGGTACTTTGCAGAGACGGACTTGAGCCCAATTCCGGCAGAACGTATTTCGGAGCTGTTCAAGCTCAAGAAAGAATGGAAACTCGGCGAAATAGAGCCATTTGTCCAGCGCATTAATACCAAGAACCTTAAAACCGAGAAATTCCTAATCAAGTTCGCTAAAGTGCGACGCTCGGGGAAAAATATTATAGTTACTGGTAGATAAAAATTATATGACACGGAGTTAAGTATTAAACAATTACACAACAGCCAGACTTTTCGGTTTTGGCTGGAGGTGGAGCGTTCTTGACTTCTGTTTCTGCGGTTTTCTTGACGTCAGAAGCTTCTTGGGTGGTCTCAGCAGCAGGTTGCTCTGCAACTGGTTCGGACTTGGCAGTAGCAGGAGCAGCCAACTTGGATGCAACCTTGGCAAACTCAGATCCCTGAATGTAAGCCGTTTTCAATTCGGACTCGGTGGGACTTCTAGATCCATCAGAGCCAGCAATTGTGCCAACTCCCCAAGGCGAGCTACCATGGACAGCAGAGACATTGGTAAGTTTGTCAAACACTTTGCCGTAGCCCAATGGGATGTAGATTAAACCGTGGTGAGCAACAAAACTGAGCGTGCTTCTCACAGTGGTCTCCTTACCTCCACCAGAGCCGGTCGACACGAAGAAAGACACGGGTTTCTGGTACAAACCACCAGTAGCCCAAAGTCCACCTGTGGAGTCGAAAAAGGCCGAAATCTGTGCAGGAATGTTTCCGAATCTGGTTGGGAAACCGAAAATGTAGCCATCGTATTCCACGAGATCCTCAGGCTTAATCACTGGGATATCGGCTGGTTTCTCTGGAGCATGGAGTTTCTCGAGCACTTCTTGCGGCAAAGTCTCTGGGACTCTGAAAACGTGTGCTTTAGCCCCCTCGGACTCGACACCCTTGGCAATCTCCTGCGCAAGAGCGGTCACGTGTCCGTACGTGGAATAGGTGATCACAGCGAACTTGGCCATTGAATTAAACAAGCAACAAAAACAGTGGTTCTAATATCTTCGAAAACAGGGCACAAGCTCAACTATAAGGACCTTATGCGGCTGACTAAAAAACATTCTTCGCCGTGCTTCGAATTCTATTTTCAAGTGTAGTAATCATTAGTAATTTGCACGACATACTATAGAAACTTTTAGATATCTGCAGCATTTTTTAGTAATGCTTATTCAATGCGGCGCCACGATTAAGAAAATAAAGTGGAAATTCGTTGTTAATAGAAAAACGGTATAAAAACGTCAGTTTGGCCCACCTCAATTTAATCCAAATTCATCAACATGGCTAAAATCGCAATTGTCATCTACTCTCTGTACCACCACGTCGCCACTTTGGCCAAGGAAGTCGCCAAGGGTGTTGAAGCTGCGGGATCTACCGTTGAGATCTTCCAGGTTCCAGAAACCCTTACCGAGGACGTTTTGCAGAAACTCCACGCTCCACCTAGACCAGAGTTCCCAATCGCTACCCCAGAAACTCTGACCAAGTATGACGGTATCCTGTTTGGTTTCCCAACCAGATTCGGTAACGTTCCTGCCCAAATCAAGGCCTTCTTCGACGCTACTGGAGGTCTCTGGGCCACTGGTGGCCTTTACCACAAGACTGCCGGTGTCTTCATTTCCACCGGATCTGGTGGTGGTAACGAGATTACCATTGTCAACACCTTGTCTTTCTTCTCCCATCAAGGTTTGATCTACATCCCATTGGGATACGCCAAGGCCTTTGCTGACCTCACCAACCTCAACGAGGTTCACGGTGGCTCTCCATGGGGTGCCGGTACCATCGCTGGTTCCGACGGCTCTAGACAACCAACCGAGCTTGAGCTCAAGGTCGCCCGTATCCAGGGTGAAGAGTTCGCTACTGCTACTGCCAAGCTCGCCAAATAGATAACGTTTTTTAGATTAAGGTGCCAATCTTGAAATTTCCCATGTAGCTTCCGGAGACTCTCTAGTGTAAGTCAATCTATCGTGAAGCCGGCTCTTTCTGCCCTGCCAAAACTCAATTTCCAAAGGAACAATCCGGATACCACCCCACTTCTCAGGACATGGGATCTCCTCGTCTTTCTTGTCGGCAAACTTGTCCTCGGTAGCCTTATACAGATCGTCTATGTGATGTCTGTCCTTCAACACACTCGATTGTGGAGAAGCGTGTGCTCCGATCTTGGATCCCCGAGGACGGGTATTGAAATACCGCGACGAGGTGTCGTAGTCCACAAACTCGACAATTCCCTCCACACGGACCTGTTTCTGCAGGTCTTTCCAGAAGAAGTTGAGCGCGGCGTGCGGGTTGCTTCTGATGTCTCTGTTCTTCTTGGAGGTGTCGAAGTTCGAGTAGATGATAAATCCTCTGTGGTCAAGCTCCTTGAACAAAACCACCCGCGACGAAACTCTTCCGGAAGGAAGCTGGGCAGTGGATAAGACCACAGACTCGGGGATCGGGTCGGTGGACTCGTTGGTGGCCAGCTCGAACCAGTTGGTGAATTGGGCAATCGGATCCTTTTCCAAATCGCTCACATCCAGCTGGCCCTTCTCGTACTGATACGTCTTTGGGGCAACTAATCATTAGCATACATCAGATGTCACTACTTACAGATGATAGGGCTCTTTTCGCCAGGCTCTTCTTTCAGGTCTAAATTCATAACTGATTTTATAAGGCCATCTTTTTCTTCACCTTTCTAAATAGATATCGGATCCTCACATAGACCCGTCGATCGGCTATTCCCAAATTTATTTATCTGATATTCCGTAACTTCCTAAATACTCCTGGCTATGGTGATCACCAAGCTTCTTCAGGAATATAGGCGATCCAAGGAGTCCGGGAACACTCTCCCGTTGCTGAACACGCAATGGAACCCGCTGACCACCTTGCGGAGTCTTGATTTCCGTGAGATACGCCTTTCTCAGTATATTCACTACACCATCGTGGCTATATTCTTTGCATTCGAGCTCTACATCATGGAAATACCCGTTTTGGCCAAACCGTTGATTGCGCTGACCCTAATAGTATTGGTGACCGTGCCCATCACGTCCCAATTTTTCAACTACGCTCTTCCGGTGCTTGCCTGGGTGTTTCTTTTCTTCTCCTCGAAATACATCCCGCTTCAAATGCGGCCGCCGATCACCGTCAAGGTTCTTCCCGGAATGGAAACCATTCTCTACGGCGATAACCTGTCGCAGCTGCTGGCGTCCTACACATCAACTCCATTAGACATAATAGCATGGATTCCCTATGGAATATTACATTTTTCATTACCATTTGTGGTTGCCGCGTTGGTTTTCATCTTTGGCCCCCCTAAAACACTGCGAGTGTTCTCGTTCACCTTCGGATACATGAATCTCGTGGGCGTTGTGATCCAGAACCTGCTTTTCGCCTGTGCTCCGCCGTGGTACAAAGTGTTGCACGGCCTTGAAAAAGCAAACTACTCCATGAAGGGAAGCCCTGGCGGGTTGGCCAGAATCGACCAGATCCTCGGCATAGATATGTACACGACCGCATTCACGAACTCGCCACTAATTTTCGGTGCTCTGCCCTCTTTGCATTCTGCCTGTGCGAGTCTGGATGCCATTTGGTTGTCGTACCTGTTCCCCAAGTTTACTCCGTTGTGGTGTGTCTATGTTTCGTGGCTGTGGTTCAGCACAATGTATCTGACACACCATTATTTTTTCGACTTGACGTTCGGGTGCTCGCTGGCCATTGCCTCGTTCTATTCGGCCAAACTGGTCGGAAAACTCGCCGTTAACGACAAATTTTGCAGGTGGTCCTACGACATGCTGAATCTGCACGATCCCCAAGTCGAAGATCCGCTCGCAACAGACACAAGTTTCCTGATAGAAGACGACCTAGACTTGGAGGACGACGGCTTTTTCGATGACACCAGCATCGAAATGAGAGATATCAGTACTGCATAGTTTCATGAAGTTTTAGCCAACGATTGTTTGATTTTTTCGTAGTGTTGCAGGTCCCGCTCGCTGAATCGCACCGCCTGTGCGTACTCACCGAGAATCCGGTTCGCCTGCATGAACTTGACCACACACCGGTCCGTACAAGAAGACTCACCTTTATTCAGCTCGCCTTCTCCATACTCGTCCGGAACACACTTGATCATGCACTGTTTTTTGATGGTGTTCAAGGTCGAGTTCATGGCCTCGAAGTGGATCTCTGCCAGCTGCATTCGCTGCGGGTCCACGTCGAGACCGCTCAATTGGGGTTGATTCAGGAAAAACGACATACTAGTAAAAATATTTTTCGGTCGTCGCGTCGAATATTATACTGTCCATCAGGTGGCTGTTCCCGGAAACCGGTTGTTTCCAGACGTGATCAGTGTCTGTAGTGGCATCGGTAGGAGTGTTTGCCCGTTGCTCGCTACACATATTCCGCATCTTGTAGCTGCTCCCGCTTCCGTGTTCTAATTGGTGTAGAGGTGTCTTTTCTCTGATCAATAAAATCCATGTGTCTGCCAATTTCGTTGACTCTAAACTTGTTTGTCTGAAGAATACGGGACAGTCCCGATATGTTTTAACGGTACGTGCTATGCTGAACGCGTCTAACATCCAGTTCTCTACCGCAGTGAAAGTCGCTGACCAGGACCGGCGGTCAAACTCCCCGGAGCCTGGTCTTTCTAGCCAAGGGACATTACAGTTCCCCAAGAAATTTGTGAACTCGTTATCGAGTATGAGCAAAAAAGAGCTCGAGAAGCGTGATATCTACGGCAGAACGCTCCTTCACACAGTTTGCTTGGTGAACAAGCGGTATTTGTTGGATAAGTTGCTAAAGAACCCGAATTTGAACATTGCCATCACTGACCTCGAAAACCACTGGAACTGTCTTCACTACGCCATCTTTTACAAGAACTTTATCATTGCGCAGATGCTGATTTCCAAGTGCCATTTGCTGCTCCAAGGAAAGGACCGCGAAGGATTCACTCCGTTAGATTTGATGAGCAGTGAAATAGACATCTGGAGACTCAAATGGATTCCGGAGAGCGTCGGTCGACTTGAAAGACCGCGCAAGAAGAAACAGATCGAGGCCAGAAAGTACGGAGTCGACGAGATCAATCTTCAGAAGCGGTTCAGCGAAGATCAGTCCGTGTTCCAAGCCATCAGGACACCCAAGTGGTTTGATATTAATAGAGGCGGATCTAATCTGGTGATGACGGGGTCCGTTAAGGAGGTCAGTCACGGTCCAGACCATTTGGTGAACGTGGATATGCGGAAACTGAAACACAAGTACGCCGATACAGAGACATACCCAAAACTGTCGGAAAGAATCTCGTATTCTCGGATCCGGGACGTCAAGATGTCTCGTAATCATACGATAGTGCTCACCTCTGAGCCTCGCGCAAACATGTTTGTGAGTGGTCTTGGCACAAGGGGCCGGCTAGGTTCGGGCAATGGACAGCCGCAAGACTCTTTCGCTGGTGTTCCAGCGTTCGAACACGAGCGCGTTCTCTTTGTCGATGTGAGCAACGACCATTCTATCTGTGTTACTGCAGATGCAAAGGTCTACACATGGGGATTGAACTCGTACGGCCAGTTGGGATACCAAGTGGACATCGCTCCACACCAGACAGAAGCGTGTGTTTCCACTCCCAGAGTTGTTAACACCGGAGATTTGAGAAAGTATACTCAGAACAGTTTCCTCGGTGCTAGCTGCTCCAAGTTTCATTCTTTGGTGTACACTAAGAGTGAAATCTTCGTCTGGGGATTGAATATTGGACAGTTTGGATTCAATCCGTCTGGCAGCTCTGCAAAGATTCCTGGTAAGGATGGCATGGGACTCGTGCAAACGACACCGTGCCGCACACTGTTCTCTTACGGTAATATCAGAACTGTATTCGCAACAGATACCTTCACACTGGTTCTTTCCGACTTGGACGAGTTACACTTTTATCTGAAAGGTTTCCACTCTAAAGTGTGTCCGCCTTTGCTAAAGAAGATCGACTCCAAGGCGTTCAATTCGTTCCAGCCGCGAGTTTTATCGCAGAAGAAATCCATCCACAAGGTTATTGTGCAAAAAGGTTGTGACGTTTGTCTTCTTTTGTTAGACAATGGTGACATTTTGCAATTGAGTATGGACTCAAGAAGTATAGACAATGCCGCCTTCCAACGCAGTTTGAAGTTCACAACAGTTTGGAAAGCGTCCAAGGAACATCTTAGATGTACTGACGTTGATATGAGCAATGACGGGTCTGTGATTATATGTGTTCAAGACGGATCCGCGTACAAACGTATCAAACGTACTATTCTCAAAGACTCGATCTCTTCACATGAATACATATCGAGGAAGTTTAAGTTCTCCAAGATTTCAGGTTTGAACAAAGTGGTGAAGGTTGTTTCTGATCCGCTCTTCTCCAAATTCGCGTTTGTGAGAGACGATATTGACCTAATTCCGCACCGATTATCCAAATCGTCCATCCTGAGCGACTTTAGTCGTTTATCACCGCTCCATGAAATCCAGGACGATTTGCAAGTGCAACGTCAAACTATCACAAACAGAGAAAACGAGGTGTTCATGACACACGATGACAGCTACCAGACAGACTTTATTTATAAAATCGAGCATCAAACGGCAGACGATGATGAGGCCCTTTGGCTGGAGGAAACTGAAATGCCAAGCTCTACTTCAGATAACCTCGACAAGGTGCTACACGATAGATGGACTCAGCCGTACAAGGCTGTTCCGGCTCTGGCTGCTCTTCCCCAAGATGAGAGTCTGCGGGAAATGCTCAAGTCCGAAGAACTCGACTACTGGATTGCAATGAAAGACCTCAGTCGGAACAAGCACTACAACATGAAAGTTGTTGTGTCCAATGTCGAGGTGGAAGTCCATCGCGAGGTTTTAGAGCTAAGAAGTGCTCCTTTGGGCAAATTAATACATCAAGGGGGTAAACTGGAACTTGGAGACGTGAAAATATCATATCAGGCTGGTGAGCTTGAGTTTTCGGGTGTCACGGTCTCTGCAGTGCTGATAGTCTTGCACCTGATTTACACCGACCAATTCCTAGACATATGGACAGACTATCCTTTGGGAAAAGTTCCTCCGCGGATCCAGAAAACCAAGACTGCCTTTGAACATCTGGCAAAACTTGTCCGTCTTGTTGACCCAATGGGACGCGTCAAATGCGAGCATCCGTTGATTGACGATCTAAGAAACCTGCACGGAAGTTGCTCTGTGAAGCTAGCAGATGGGTCGGTTCAAGTATTCGAGCCTTTGCTGATTGTCAGGAGTGCTTATTTCGAAACGTTGTTTTCGCGCCGTTGGGGAGTGGAGTCCATTTCTCTTCCGGAGGTGTCCCACACTGTTTTCGAGATTGTTCTGAAGCATTTGTATGGTGTTCAGTATGATGCGTTGTTCGACAACATTGACAAGATCACGGATGTCTCCTCGTTTTTGAACTGCAACCTGGACGTTATCGAGGTAGCTGAGGAGCTCATGCTGGACGAGCTGAGTGATGTGTGTCAGTTACTGATGAAAGACTTCATTGCGTTGGACAACGTTTACACGCTTCTCAGACACTCGTATCACATGAAAGCATACAAGCTTTTTGGCAACTGTCTGTGGTTTATCTACAACAACTTGGACGTTCTTTTATTGGACCCTAGTTTTGGCGACTTGATTGATGAAGAAGACAACCAGTTCCTGAATATTGTCAATGATGCGATGAAGTGGTTTGCAAACTTGAAGTACTACCATCGGGACCAGAAACCGCTTTTCCTTCAGGACAATTCTGGTTTGTTGAAAGAGTTCGTTCAAGATATGGATTCCTTCAACAGCCACTGGATTCATCCATTGCTATGGGACGTTGCCAAGCCTATTTTTGAGGAGCCAACTACTCCATCGAAGACGAGCGTGAGTGAACGCAGAAGACGGTCTTCTGCAAGAAGAATTGAGGAGATCAAGACTACCGTGCCAGGAGCTGCCGAAAAGCCACGTTCCTTATCGAAAGTGTTGTATTCACAGCAGCTGGCTATGGGAAGTACCGAGGAGGTTAACGAGAGTGCCATTGCGGACGACGAGGTCGAACCAGACTTTGTTGTGGTCAGTGGTAAGCGCAGACCATCGTCAAAGAGCAGCCTCTCTGCTGCCACTGGAACGCCAATCGTGCGTAGTGATTCTGTGACTCTTCCGCAAAGGAAGACTTCTCCCACGCCTGTTACCACGCCAAGGCCGTCGCGGCCTTCTTCGGTCACTGTTCACCACGAGAGTCCAAACACGAGTGTTGGTAGTCTGCCTACTCTTTCTGAGTCCTATGGAGCCACCAACACAGGCACGCAGTCTCCAAGCTCTGCTTCGCCGGTGGTGAAAGCCACCTCCAAGGGAATGCCTCGACTGTCTCAGAGAGAAAGAATCAAGCGGGAAAAACAACCGGTTGTGATACCTACAGGCTCCAGCGCCTGGAATACTACAAATGCCTGGGGATCTTCAGCTCCAAGCACGCCGTCCAAGCCATACAGCCTTGTGAGCACCAGCGGCCCTCCGGCATCTGTTCCATCGTTTGAGAGCATTCTTTTGGAGGAGAAGCTCAAACAGGAGAAAAAGGCCCCACTGCCTGTTCGGTCCTTTGAAGACATTCTGATTGAGGAGGAGTTTGAGATGTGGTGGGCCCAGGAAAGCGCTCGGGTCCAGGAAGATCTTCAGCGTAGCCAGCAGCACTCAAAGCCAAAGAACAATCGCAGAAACAGAAAGTCGTCCAGCTCCAAAGAGAACCAACGAACCGGATCCGGCTCTTCAGGCAAAATGCCAGCCAGAAAGAACTATCAACGTCGCGTTGATGTTTAATGACCATAATTTATAGTGTGTTAAAATGATTTGTACAAAGGTTAATCGTCCTCCTCGCTCCCGTCCTCAGTATCGCTCGGATCCTCGAACCAGCCGTACTGGTTCAGGTCTATGAAATATTCACCACCTCTTTGGTGGACTTCAACTCCTTCCCGCTGGAGCAGCTCGGCCTGCGTAACCACCGATTCTGCGCGTTCTCGCTTGGATATCACGCCCTGAGAATTGACCACCCTCCACCAGGGAAGATTGGCAAACTCGGGATCATCGAAAAAACGCGTGTAGGTGTCCATGTTCTTGAGCGACATGCCGACCTGTCTGGCATTCTGGGGCCGGTAAATTCGCCTAGCAATCTGGCCATACGATGTGGCGTGCCCAAAGGGTATACGGCTTGTTTCTGTGAACACCGCGTGGTGAAAAGCCAACTGCTCCCCCGATGGCTGTCTCATTGGTAAAAACTGACTGCACAGCCGTAAAGCAAATAAATATGGTGAAAAGTCTTGTTGTTATTTGCAGGCAAATAATTATACGATGCCAGACAAGACGGAGACGCTCCAGCAACGCAAAAAGAGATTCTTTCTCCAGTCCGATGCGAAAACAGAGCGTCTGAAGGATGTTGAGGACAGCACCAAGCGGTTCAAGTATCTTCTGAACCTGACGCATCTGTTCCGGCACTTTATCGATTTGAACGCGTCCAAGGATAAGAAGCTGATGAATCTGATTCGCCAGATTGATTCGCAGAACAGCAGCGGCAAGAAGGCGAAGAAGAGCGGCTCGGGCCGTAGACGGAAGTCAGAGAAGGAGGAAGATGCGGAGTTGATCCACGACGAAGAGTTTGAGGAGGATACAACGGTTCTTACAGAGTCTCCTTCCTACATCCAAGGTAAGCTCAGAGACTATCAGATTCAGGGACTCAACTGGCTCATTTCATTGTATGAGAACCGTTTGTCCGGAATTCTCGCTGACGAGATGGGTTTGGGTAAAACGCTGCAGACAATATCTTTTCTCGGGTTTTTGCGCTACTACAAGGGAATCGATGGACCGTTCATCGTGGTTGTTCCGAAATCGACGTTGGACAACTGGAGAAGAGAGTTTGCCAAGTGGACGCCGGACGTGAACGTTCTGGTGCTGCAAGGTAACAAGGAGGAGCGGGCCGAGCTATTGAATGATAGATTAATGGAGGCTGATTTTGATGTGTGCATCACCTCGTTCGAAATGGTGATCCGCGAGAAATCGAAGCTCGGAAAGGTCAGATGGGAGTACATCATCATCGACGAAGCGCACAGAATCAAAAACGAGGAGAGCGCGTTGTCGCAAATCATCCGGTTGTTCTACTCCAAACACAGACTTCTAATTACAGGAACTCCTCTTCAGAACAATTTGCATGAGCTTTGGGCTCTTTTGAATTTCATTTTACCAGATGTTTTTGGCGATGACGAGGTATTCAACGAATGGTTTGAAGGCCAAGGAGAAGAAGACCAGGACCAGGTTGTCAAAAAGTTGCACAAGGTGTTGTCACCTTTCCTTTTGAGAAGAGTCAAAAGCGATGTCGAGAAATCGTTGCTTCCAAAAGTTGAAATTAATGTTTACGTTGGTATGACAGATATGCAAGTCAAGTGGTATAGAAATCTTCTGGAGAAAGACATCGACGCTGTCAACGGAGCTGTTGGTAAGAGAGAGGGAAAGACCAGATTACTGAACATTGTGATGCAGTTGCGAAAATGTTGCAACCACCCTTATTTGTTCGAAGGAGCAGAGCCAGGACCTCCATTTACAACAGACGAGCACCTTGTGTACAACTGCGGCAAGATGATCGTTTTGGACAAACTATTGAAAAAGCTTCAAAGCGAAGGTTCCAGAGTGCTTATTTTCTCCCAGATGAGCAGACTGTTAGACATTTTGGAAGATTACTGCTATTTCAGAGGATACGAGTATTGTCGTATTGACGGATCCACTGCCCATGAAGACCGTATTCAGTCCATTGATGACTTCAACAAGCCCAACTCTGACAAATTCATTTTCCTGCTTACCACAAGAGCAGGTGGATTGGGTATCAATTTGACCACTGCCGACGCGGTCGTTTTGTATGACTCCGACTGGAATCCGCAGGCAGACTTGCAAGCCATGGATCGTGCTCACAGAATTGGACAGAAAAAGCAGGTCAAGGTCTATAGATTCGTCACTGAGAACGCTATTGAGGAGAAAGTTTTAGAAAGAGCTGCACAGAAACTGCGTTTGGACCAACTTGTTATTCAACAAGGCCGTACGAATAACAAGGCTACCTCGCAGAGCATTGGAAACACCAAGGATGATTTATTGGGAATGATTCAGCACGGTGCACAGGATGTCTTCAACAACAAGTCCTCGAACGCCGAGTTGGACACAGACATTGAGGCCATTTTGAACAAGGGTAAGGAAAAGACGGATTCCTTGAATGTGAAGTACGCCAAGCTGGGTCTGGACGATTTGCAAAACTTCACGTCGGACTCGTCTGCTTACGAGTGGAACGGACAGAACTTTGCCAAACGGGAGAACTCAACTCTTGATTTGTGGGTCAACCCGTCCAGAAGACACAGAAAGGAGCATCAGTACTCCGTGGACAATTATTACAAAGACGTGTTACAGAACGGTCGCCCTTCGCCATATAAAGGGCCTAAGCAGTACCACATCCAGGATTTCCAGTTCTATCCTCCGCAACTGAAAGGACTGTTGGAGAAGGAGCAATTAGCATACAAGAAAAAGATTGGTTTCCAGGCACCGTTGCTGGACGGACTGGACAGCGAAGATGAGTTTGTTGCGAGCGACGACGAGACCAAGGCGGATCGTGGCGAAAGAATGGAGCGGAGCAAACAGCAGCAACGCGATGAGCAGGAGAAAATAGACAACGCCGAAGAACTTACAGAGGAGGAGCAGACTCTCAAAGACGAGCTTTTAACCCAGGGATTCGACAACTGGAATAAGCGTGACTTTTTGTCGTTTGTTCACAGCTGTGCAAGACACGGGTCCAAGAGCTACACGGCGATAGCCACTGATTTGAGAACAAAGTCTGTTGAAGATGTTGCCAAGTACAGTGAGGTGTTCTGGCAAAGGTACCGAGAGATCGATGGCTGGGAGAAGTATGTTAACCAGATTGAGCAGGGAGAGAAGAAGATCCAGAAGATTTTGTTACAACAGGAAATTCTTTGGGATAAAGTTCGCCAATACGAAGCTCCATTGCAGGACCTAAACATCATCTATCCGCCAAACAACTCAAAGAGACTGTATACAGAGGTTGAAGACCGGTTCTTGTTGCTTAAGGTGAACGAGTACGGACTCAGCAGGAAGAATCTGTACGACTTGATCAAGGCAGACATAATGAAGGAGGACGAGTTCAGATGTGCGTTCTACTTCAAGTCCAGATCGAGCATTGAGCTGAGCAGAAGAGTGGCTACATTGCTGCTGGCTTTGACGAGAGAGGTCGAGAACCCGGCTTCGTTGAAACGGAAGCCAAAGAAGCCAAAAGGAGTCGAAAACGAAAGTCGTCAGGATAGCGCAGAGCCGATCGACCTTGCATCGGACGACCGTGAGGTCAAGAGGCCCAAGAAATGAGATGTAGAGTAAGTTACCGGTTAATATTATTCTGATTGCGTTCTATTAGTCCAGGAAAGCGTGGCACTGATTCAAAACGCCCAGGTGTTCCAGCACAAAGTTCGCGCACTGGTTCCTTGACTTCTTTTTACTCGTTCCAACAGAGGAGCAGATGTCCACGTCGTTGATCGTGAGCATTGTTGTAAACTGCGTTCCCTTGCCAGTGGTTTTGTACACCGGCAAAATTTTGTTCTTAGACAGCAGCGAATACAGCTTGTCGGAAGAGTTCACGTTCACGTCTGAGGCTTCCACACGCACAGGTAGTACCAATTGTTCGTCTTGCGGGTTGATTTCGGGTAGAGGTTCCTGCTTTCGAGTGGTTTCGGGTATTTTGGTAGCAACCACCGAGACTTCCCTTGGTGTCTCTTCTCTTAGTTTCATGTACTTCTCAATAACGTCGTGTTTGCCCAATGCGTTTTCGGCAGCATACAAACCTGCTTCCTTTTGGTTGTGGCCTTCTCCTGTACCTATCACCTCATCCCCCATCATGCAATCCACCATAAATGAAACGTCCAAGCCGTTACCGACTCTAGTGGTGACGTATTTCGGCGGATTGGCAGCAGACCCAATCAGACTGTACAGTTTTCCCTTAGAATTCAGATCGACCGAATCCTCATACAAGCTTCCTGTGAGGCCCGACAAGCGAGGTCGAATTAGTAGGTAAAGCCAATGTTTGATTTCGTCGAGATTGTTGTATCCTGAGTCCACATACAAACCACCGACGTAAGCCTCAAAAACGTCGGAATACAGTTTGTGCTTTCCCTGGCTAAATGCAGCGTCTTTGGCAAAATTCACCAACAGTTTGTCGGGAAAGCCATACATTCGAGAAAACTCGCCCAACGAGTTGTTATTCACTATTTGGGCTCGCAAAATGGACAGTTTTCCTTCGTTGTAGTTTGGATACATCTGAAACAATAGCTGAGTCACTAAACTGTTGATCACGGAGTCTCCAAGGAACTCTAGTCGCTCGTTGTTGGAGTTAAGGAGCTCCGTCTTGGACAAATACTTGGTGTTTCCAACTGCAGACTTGTGCGTAAACACGGTCGCCTCGATGGTAGGATCATTAATCTTAGGAAGGGGAGGGATTCCAGGAACTATGTGGTCGTCGTTATTGCACTCGTATTTGTCTTTTTTAATTCGAAGCTTGGAGTTTCCTGTTCCTTTCAGTTTTGTATGCTCATCAAAGGCCACGATCTGCTCAAATAGCTTCAAATCACCTTCCTCGTATAAACTCTTTAGCGTGGCAGCCAAGTAAAGTTTTTGGTTCCTTGTAGCAGTAATAAGAACCTCTTTGGAGTCGCTCTGCTCGTGCACATGCTTCAAAGCCTTGCGTAGCTGCTTCAAATTTGGAGACTCTGCCAAAATCTCCCGTATGCTCTGCTGTAACTGTGTCACAGCATACTCAATTTTTGTTGTCATCACAGACGTGAGTTTTAGAGGACTAGACATCTTCGACTTGATTCTCTTCGCGCCCTCGTCGCCGCTCTCGTGCGCAGACCTCTTCCTCTCCATATAGGTAAAAAATTTGAGAAAATTAAATGCACAGCCTTGGCTTTATTATACTATACACATCGCTAGAATCTGAACTTTTCCTGTGTTGTCTTGACGGGAGGTTGCGTTTTCAACCTCTTTGGCTCCTGTTCGGGCTTCGCATCGGCCTCGGATGGCCCCCGTTTTAAATCGTATGCCAAACTCTCGGTGCCGTAGATACTGTCTGTCTGGCCCCCTTTTTTTTCTTTCAGCACAGTGTACAGATGTTTAGGCCCCTCATCGGTAGTGTCTGGTTGTTGGACAGGCTGTGACTTCAACTGGATTGGCGTCTTAGTCTCCTGTATCGAGTCGATCATTATGTCCTCGTTAGAGGGGACGTATTCGTTAGGTTTCTCCTCGGTATCGCTTTCTTCTTCCTCCTCTTCGCTCTCGGACTCGCTCTCTTCCTCCAACTGACCCCATCTTGTACGATCAACGGGCTCTCCTCGACTTACTATCGTTCTCTGATCGTTGTCAAACGATACCGTGCCGTCACTTCGTATGCGCATGTAGGGGTAGCTTGGAGGCGGGCCCAGTTTTTGAAACTTCTCGTACCATGGAGGCAGCCGCGACTTGCCACCAACCATACCCAAGGCCTCGCGCAACCGCGGAGTCATCACACCTGGTCTATACTTGCCCACCTTAAACGGTCCCAAAAGCTCTATACTCTCCAAACCTTCAAAATACACTTCTCCAAAGCGCAGCATGTCCGGTTTCGTCTGGTTCTTGAAAAACGCATCGTAGAGCTTATTAAAGTCGATGTCCAGCTGGCCCATTCGAGGTTGCACACGCTCCCGCATCCGCTGTTTCAGTGTGGACTCGTTATCGTTCATTGAGCTTCTCATCTGGATGATGCCTGTATCGGCGATAAATTTCGGCAGTTGGTACGGAGGCCTGTCGTAGTTTCTTCTCCCCATTAGAAACCCTTTGGCAGCAGCCCAATGCTGCGGCACAAGAATGGCGTTGTGCTGGCTCTTGAGGTATGCCAAAAGACGTGGGTCAGGTGAGTCTGCGTCGGCCATCTCCAGAAGCTCCGGTTTGTCTGATTCGGCCTTCAGATAGGCCAGTGGTATTTTGTACTTTTTCTTGAACTGACGTTTGGACAGCTGTTCGGGCAAATCGTCCCCTTCCAGGCCTTCAAAAGACTGTATCTGGTTGTTTTCTGTGTTTTCTGGTTGCTCTTCCTGAGTTTGATCCTCGTCGTTGCGTGACTGGAACTTGTCAAACACTGCTTTGAACTCTTCGTATTCACCAAGAGGCGCCTCTTCCACGACCACGTCCAGCGGCGAGTCGGGCACTTCTGGCTCCACAGACTCTTTTTTCAACTCAGGTTTTACATCCCCGTTGGCTAACGAAAGCTCCCTTTTCTGCTTCGCCCGCTCCCGTCGAAGCTGGTTCTTTGTTTTGCGAGCCATTACTTAAAAATATTTTTCGGCTGTGCATTTTAAACATGTCTGAAACCAGCGACAATAGCAGTGCTCCAGCTATTAAAGAACCAGTTTCCAGTGAACCCGGCCTACGTTTGGAAATCGACCAGCCACCCAAGACACAGCTCTCTGTCTCTGAGATATCCGAAAAGATCACCACAGAACTAAACGACGCGCTTGACCATCTCGCCAAAACAGACAGAGACTTGTCACGTACTTTTGACCGGATCGAACGTAAATTGACACAACTGACACAGCAGTGAGAAATGGGTGCACATACAGCCAAGTCACTGTGGTTGGTACGATCGCTGGCTGTCAGAGCGTACTCTACAAGGGTATTTTCGTCGCCAAAGTTCAACTCGTTTGAGTCGTACTTGAGCCACGCCAAAGTCGCTGGCACGTCGCCGCGGTCGACGGTATTCACCGGATCAGCGTACGAAATATCGTTCGCCGACTTCCTCTCGCAGACACTAGCGCCAAGCCGGGTGATCCACCAAGGCGGTGCCCATGACGGAGGAGTCGATCTGCAAGCAACACTGGACCTCAATTCTGTGACGGTTTCGCCAGGCGACGCCTCACCGCCAAATTTCCCCGCTTCGGGCTCGACAGTGCGACTCTTGGTGCAGTGCAAGTGCTGGGAACGGGCTAAGATGGACGTCAAGACGGTCCGCGAGCTCAATGGCACTTATGCTAACTATATCCGACAGAACCAGAATAAGACACAGGCTATTTTGATGTTTGTCACACCAACAGGGTTCACGCGAGGAGGGCTGGCCATGTTCGACAGCAGTCCCGTGCCGATGATCTTTGCCAAATTTGCCAAACCTCAGCTGCGGTCGCCGTCGCTGGACCCGTTCAAAGTGGAGAACTACGAGAAAGGGAAGGTGGAAAGTTTCTATTGCAATATCGCAGCACAACAATTGCTTGACGGAACTCAATGGAAGCAATACTTAAGCATAGCTATACGTAACCAATAGCCGATCAAGCAGGGATCTGGCTTCCACGCTTGACGGCGTCAATCTCACCAATGTCCTTGAGCCACTGACTCAATCTTGGGAACTGCTCCAGCTCCTCTAATCTTGGTCTGTTGACCCATGGCCAGGAAACAAGGTCGGCAATGGACAAATGGTCGCCCACCAGGTACCCGGTCTTGTTACGGGTGAGTCTCTCCTCCAACACGGAAAACAGTCTCACGGTTTCCTTGCGGTATCTGTCAATACCATATGGCACTTTTTCAGGAGCATAGAAAGCAAAGTGGTGGAACTGTCCCTTCATTGGTCCCAATCCAGCCATCTGGAAAAACACCCATTCCAACTGCTCATAATACAAGTCTGTGCCGTATTCGAAGCTGTACTTTCTGTCCTTGTCGTATTTGTCACACAGATACATCATGATGGCAGCACTTTCATTAATGTGGGTGACTTTACCCTTGGCGTCCACATCAGTGAGGGATGGGATTCTGCCGTTTGGATTGAATTGCAAGTACCAGTCCTCTTTGCATTCGCCTCTGGAAATGTCGATTTTCCGCACATGATAGTCCAGCCCGAGAAGTTCCAAAAGAATTGAGACTTTCTGCCCGTTCGGAGTAGCAAGCGAGTACAGCTTTATGTATGGGGCCTCCAATCCAGATTCCTTGGGATCGCTTTCGTCGATAATGTAGTGGACCATATTTGAGTGGGTGATTGAAAGATAAGACGGATAAATTTGTCAGCAACTCCACAGGCTACCTCAAATCTTTTATATGCAGCTATTGTTGCTAATTCTTAGTGACTGTGGCTGATGGGTCGATTGGCGTAGCGATTTTTTTTATCGTCCCAAACAAGCTTGATATGGATATATCCCTATCTGTGCAGGAAACCAACAAGCTTCGGGCCCAGCTGGGACTTTCTCTGATTCCTGTTCCTGGCGAGAATGGCGGAATGGCTTCTGGTGCCCGCTCGGAGACGAAACCGGACAAGGAGTACGAGAACTTTCTCGAGGCTGAAAAGAAGAGCAAAAAGGAACAGACCTCGCACGATCTGCAAGATCGCATTACACAGACCAAGAGCGACCTGAAACGACGCCAGTTGGAGTCGGGGGAAACGCTTATTTCGCAATTGGACAAGGAGGATGTTGCTGACGACGACTGGTTGGCCAGTCTCGGAGCCCCAAAAAAGAGGAGTACTAAAAAGAAGGCGATGGTTCGAACACAGGAAGATACGCTCGAAGGTGTTGCCGTGGCACACGATAAAGAAGAGTATGGGCAATTTATAAATGAGAACGACGAAACCGTGTTCACATTGAAGGATAAGGGTGTGTTAGACGACGGAGAGGACGAGCTGGAGAGCTCCGAACTGAACGAGCGATTAAAGGTTAAAAGAGTTCTGGACGCCAAGTCGAAGAAGAAGGACGTCGAGGAGGAGCAAGTGGACGGGTTCAGAATAGGAGAGGTTGTTCCCAAGCCGAAACAGACGAAGAAACCGCCTGTTTCTTTGCTGTTGGATCTTGACGATGAAGCTCCTGTGGTTTCTGACTATGTTGCTCCTGTGATGAAAAAGTTGAAGAAAAAGGTGCAGAACAAACGGAAGAACTCGAACGAGGACCTGAAAGAGGCCGATTTCAAAAAGGTGAAGCTGATCAATGAGGATCTCGAGAAAGACGACGAGATCGAGATGAATAATTTCCTAGCTGCTTCCAGAAGAAGACGACAGGAGAAGAAACTGGTTGTGGCGCATGAGCAACCTACAGTTGGAGACGGCCAGACCGTGCTTGACGAAGATGCAGAGTTTCTGGAAAACCTCAAGCCTGTTGCTGAAGACGCAGTTCCCGAAGTGGAAGCAGATAGCGTGCCAGCACAGCCAAAGGTCGATTTGGAGTCGATCTCCGCAAAACTTGATGTTCTCCACGACAAGGTGGACGATAACATGGGCATTGGCAGCGCTTTGAAGCTGCTTCGTGAGACTCCTTACGAGAAGTCCAACACTTCCCAGATTAATCTTGTTTATACTGACGACGACGGAAAGGTGCTCACCACAAAAGAGGCGTACAAGTACCTTTCGCACAAGTTCCACGGGCACAGGAAATAGATACATGTATATTGAGCATAGCAAAGACGATCTTCGCTTACGATTGAGTTGGTGAGTAGAGACGGTTGGAAAAAGAAAGCTCCAAAACTTGGAGCTGCAAAAAAATGGTTCCTAGCAGGATCGAACTGCTGATCCCCGCGTTATTAGCACGATGCCTTAACCAACTGGGCCAAGGAACCTGGAACGATAAACTTTGTAGTGTGCCGACTATGGCTTGCCAGACCACTCCGAAATGCACGCGAAAACGCGAGCAGATATATTACTTCGCGTTTTATGACTACTGATCAACATCTTGACAAGAAGCAAAAACTAGAACCAACGATGCAACCGCTAAAAGTTTTCCTGCGCTCCTCGAAGGCCAAGGCTCCAACCAGAGGGTCTGCACTGGCTGCGGGCTACGATCTGTATGCCAGCGAGAAAGCTGTGATTCCAGGCCATGGCCAAGGACTCGTGGCCACTGATTTGAGCATCATTGTGCCAGAAGGCACTTATGGTCGTGTGGCACCACGTTCTGGACTTGCTGTGAAGCACGGGATTTCCACTGGTGCCGGTGTTGTTGACGCAGACTACCGTGGAGAGGTGAAGGTGGTTCTCTTCAACCACTCTAGCAAAGACTTTGAAGTTAATGAAGGTGACAGAATCGCACAATTGGTGTTGGAGAAAATTGTCCAGGCAGAGGTGAGCGAGCTTACTGCCGAGCAATGGGAAGCAGAGACCACCGACAGAGGAGAAGGTGGATTTGGATCTACTGGAGGATTCGGAAAGAAATAATAAATAAGACTTGGATGCTGCGCTATAGAAATATAAATTTCAGTAGTTTGACCACAATGATGAAAACGTACTTGATTAGTCGCCAGAATTCGACAAAGATCCAGACGATCCATAAAGCCATGACGATCAGGTTTTCCAGACAGGAGTATATTAAGTGGAAGAACCATTCGTCGTTTGTGTTTGTGAGATGGTCTTTTTGTTCCTGGATGTTGCGGATTCTCAGTGTAATGGAGGTGTTAATTTCACCGTTGGTTCTGTCACAGTAGCCGAGCAGCTCTTCGATTTTCACAGACTTGACGTTGTTGAATTGGTCGAACCTATCAAGTGTGGCGTCCACCTTGGATATGACCTCTTGGAGCGGGCCAGAGACCTCCTGTATATGCGTTTGGTGGAGATCGAACTGCTGGAGCTTGGCCTCGATTTCCTGCTCCTTGATCCTCAACGCATCCTCCAGATGGAGCTCGTTTGTGCGCATCCGCAGCTCTGCCATCACAAGACTACTGCGCAGGTTTTTAACGTACTTCATCTGCTCCACCATCTCGCTGGTGCAGCTGAGATCGTCGTCAAAGTGCGACATGGCAAACGAGTCTGCAGACTTGCCCGTATGCGACATCGCCGTGAGCTTATCGATGCTGGAATTTCTGGAGTTCGGCACATCCAGCTCTTCGTCGCTCCGGAACGATCGTGTAGGTCCTGGCGTGCGTTTGAGACTGTTGAACCGGTAATGCTCCTGTCTGGCAAGAGAGGCTGAGCTTTCGTTGTTGCGTGGCAGCGAGTTGAGTCGAGGATCGTCGCCAGTGTCGTCGTCTTCCTTGTTGTACTCGCCATCAAACCCAACAAAAAGCTGCTCGTGGAGCCGTTTCAGTTTCCGCGACTTGGGAGGAGTCTGTTTCGTGCCGTCTACTAACGGATAGTACAGCTCTCCACGCGGGTTTTTCAGCTCATGCCAATGGCCCTCTCGCCAGATAATGTCGTTGTAGTATTCGTTCAAGTTGACCTGCCAGATGAGATGCTGGGTCCGGTATTTGCTGAACACCCGCGACGGCGGCTTGTAATCACCGAGGGGTGAAATCAAGAACTTGTCGTTGTACTTCTTTCTTATTCGTCTGTTTCTTATTATTTGCAAAGGATTGAACACTCCTTCGACTTCGGGAAATAGCGGGGTCTGATGGTCGGATTCATCAACATGGATGATTTTTTGGCTTCGTTCTATGCAATCGTAGTAGCTCTGGATTATGGTTCGGACTTTTTCTGCTCGTTTCCTAGAGATTTGGAGACTTTTGTTGTGGTGGTCCAGAACGCCTTCTTTCTGGAGCACGTTGAGCTTTGGTTTTGGATCGTTTATTTGGTCCGTATCGAGCTTCAATTCCTGGATCAGGCTCTTCCGGGTATTAAGTAACTCCTGGGTATCTTCTATTAACACCTCATATCCGCTTGAATCGTTGGTCAAAGTGGTGCTCATGAGACTGTTCTGCGATCGGATCTCATTCAGCCCGTTGTCGGACTCAAGCGGCCGATATTTTTTCAGCTTGACCGGCGTATCCAGAACAGATGTCATTGCATTTTATTACTAAACAGGCTTAATCGTCTTATTTTCTAGAAGTCCCACCCACGCACCAGAACTTGAATTAATTGTCTGTTGATACTTTTCATGTCGTACTACTTTGCCATCATTGGCACGAACGATAGCCCGCTTTACGAGCTGGAAATCGGTACTTACAAACAGTCCGGCGACGGGAAACCAAAGTTCCCTTTGGAAATCAAAGAATTACAGCAATTCATCGTTAACTCCTCTCTAGACATCTTGGAAGATCAACAGTTCAAAAACAACCAAATCTTCACCAAAAACCTCGACTCCTTTTACGGATACCAAATATACAGCTATCTCACTCAGGGAAACATCAAATTCCTGATCTCCACTAACACAAAAAACCAGGACGAGAGTATCCGCCAATTTTTGATTGAAGTCAACGAATTGTACGTGAAAAACCTCCTCAGCCCCTTCTACAACGTCAATGACCCGATCCGCAGCATCGGGTTCGACTCCAGAGTCTGCTCGCTCGCCAGAAAATACCTATAATACATTATAGTCCACACGTCTAATATACATTTACCCCAGCTCCGAAAACCCTTTTAAGAGATCCACAGACGAGAACTTGTGGCCCTCGTCGTCGTGCTCGATCAGCTGTGTCATCTTGGCGGAGATCTCCCGGATCTTCTTTTCTGTCAGCTCGTTCACAGCATTCTTTGACTGCTTCAGCTTGTGCACCATTAGCTTGATGTTCTCCAAAACACGCACCAGTCGTAATCTATCCAGCTGTTTCTGGTACGTCTCCAACACCTGTAGTTGGTCCGCGATCTCGCCCAACTTCCCGTCCACCAACGCCTGCGAGTCATTTTTCTCGGGTAACTCGATTTTCACTGGCAATGCCAGCCGACCTAATTCTCTCCACTGATCCTCCTCCTTATTAAGCTCTTCCAACTTCTTTTCGAACGTTTCCAGTGTCTGCAAGTTCTCCTGGTTGGCCCGGTTTGGTCGCACGATAATTGGTTTATTCAGGTCTGCATTGCTCCGCTGGTCGGTTTCCGAATCGTCGTTATCTGCCACCCACCAGCTCGTGCTAATCTTGCCGTCTGCAAGATCCCTGATGATCTCATCCTTGATCACGTTCGCAATGTTCTTCGCAGTGCTGTTCTTTTTCTTCGAAGTCTCTTTGGCCGCCCGCTTGGCACACCAAACCAGTAACTGTCTCATCTTGTGCGGATCAGGAAGGTCCTGAGAAATATGCTTGTAAAGCTCCTCGTCAGGGATCTCGGGGTGCGGCTCGGCCACAAATCCGTTGCCGACTGAAGAAAGTCGTTTTCCTCGGTTGCTCAACGATGACCGGCGCTTGCTTGTGTTTGCCGTATTGGAATCGACCGGTTTGGTTCGTGTTTGCGATAGCCATTGAGATAATGCGGACTTCTTTGGCTGGACTGACTTTGTAGGCTCAACAGTCTCCTCAACGATCTCCTCTTCTTGCTCCACAACAGGAGCTTCCTCCACAGCTGGCTTCGCTTTAGGTTTCCTCCCTCGTTTGGGCTTCTCCACGGGTTGTGCAGCTTTGGGTTTGGCTCTAGGTTTTGGTTTTGGTTTTGGCTTTGGCTTTGGGATAGTCTCCAGAGAAAAAATCTTATCATCTTCCTCGTCTGACCCTTCAATGGGATCTTCTTCTAGCTCGTCAAGTAGGGATGTCTTTGTGCGTTTGGTTGTTGGGGCAGTCACGCTTGGTTTTTGTCGTTTAGAGGTCTGCTTCTCTACCAACGCTTTTGGTTTGTTCTTAGAGCCTGGAGGCCTGCCCCGTTTACCTGGAGCTTTCTTGGGTGCTTGTGGTTGTGAACCTCTTTTAAAAACAAACCCGTCATCTTCTTCTTCAAAATCGTCATTTGTATGTGGCAGAGAAGATCTTTCGGCAGACTCCTGCGATAACAACTTTCCCAGTCGACCAGATCCAGTCTTCTCGAGCACAGAAGACGAATTCAGTTGTCCCTGAGATAAATCCTCACCTTTAGGTCGCTGTCTTCCAGACATTTGTAGATCAATATATTATATAAACAAATCGCGGTCCCCTAAAAAACGTGTAATGGTGCGTTTTCCTTCGCTAGAAAACCTGAAATTTGCTTTAAGTGGGTGACAATATTCAATTGGTCATGTATTGGAACCACCAATTGCCAATACGTTCGTGTTCAAGTATGTCTGTGTATGTTTTTACTTGTCTACTTAATTTTTAGCTATGGGCCCTAATATTTCTTATTGACACTATATGGTAAGTGACAGATAAATATACTCAATCTTATGCTTCAGCTTAGAAGTAGCCGTCTGGAGACGATGGTTTAGGAGACTTCAGCGGATCAGACGAAGACGAAACTGATCTTGAAGGTGTGTCGCTTCCTGGGAAAACATCCCCGATGGAGTTGGATGGTAAAATACCCGGGGTTTGTGGTAATCCAGATGGTGTTGGAAGCTTTAAGCTATTTGAGGACCCCATGGACGAGCTGCCGAACTCCAAAATAGCACCGTTGAGATTGGTTTGGTTGCTGTTGGAAGCGGCTTTCTTCAATTGCGCTTGGAGCTTCTCCCGCCCTCTAACAAGTCCTGTCTTTGACGGAACAGAAAGAGAAGATGCAGATTTCATGGATGTAAGTGAATTGATCGGAGAAAGCTGGGAAGCCGAAGCAGAATGGTGACCTCCCAAAAAGCTTGGCACGTTCGGTTTATTGAGCATGTTTGGCGATGTTGCTCGTTGAGCAGGTGGTTGTCTGGCTTGGGAAAGATGGGATGGGGATGATGGACGCAGGATCTGGGATCCTTGGGGCTGGCCCGGTGGAGTACTCTTTCCGCTCGAGACACGCTTGGCGACTCTTGGGCGCGGAGCGGTATAGTTGAAGTAGTCTCCAGGTTCTTCGGTAGCTCCTGTCTCGGAGTTGATCACAATCTTAGCAACACCATTGGACGCGTTTGGAGGCGACGTAGGAGTTGTTGAATGGATCGAGAGCCCTTCCGAGGCCTGGGACGTGGAACTTCCGGAAGAATGGTGTCGATGCAAGGCTGGGAAACTGGTGGAGGATGCAGGAATCGAAGATGTGCTTCCGCCTCTGCGATGGTGAGCAGCTGGGGCGGGTGTCTCCTGAGGAGATCCCTTCTTAACCGATTGGAAAGTCGGAAGATGCAATGACGAGGAGGAAATATTGTTGTTCTCCAGTTGAGCTTTCAGGTTGCTCGACGACTCGCCAGAAATCGAGCCACTGTCCTCTCTGAAAGAAGATGCTGCGTCACCGGCGGTGCTCATGTTCAACACAGATGGGGTGTACGAAGGAGCAATTGCAGCGGTGTTTGCCGGACTGTTTCTCTCGAGCGGGCTCTGTAGAGAACACAAGTCTGAGAGATGGTCGAGCCACATTGCAGTGATCTCCGGAGAAGGAGACTTGAACGTAAATTTGGTTTTGAAATCCGTGGACCGGTTCGAAGAAATTCTGATGACAAACTTGCGCGCGTCATCAGGAGATGCACTGACTTTCATGTCGTTCAAACTGTAGGAGTTGAGAGGATGTCTCTCTTTCTTCCGGTCTTCAGTTTTGAACTCATGAATGAAGTTGAACGTGAGCACGTAAAAGAACTTGGAGTAGTTCTTAAGATACTTGGACTTCTTTTCGAGGAAGCCGGAAAGCAAGCATGAACTAATGCGTTCTTTTTGGTAAGGGTATTGGACGTCTGATTTTTTTCGGATCTGCTTCACTTTCATTATGGAATCTTTGGCATTAACCTTCAAAAGGTTCTTTGCGTTGTCGTTGAGAATGAAGTAGTCCCAGTCGATACCGAAATCGTTTTTGAGGAACCCGTTCATGAACTCGCTAACCATGTTATCCTTGACAGCATCGAGTTCAGTGTTGATCAAATTGACGAAATTCTTCACACAGTTCTGGACCTCAGTGTACAGGATGTTCTCTAACTGAACTCCTTTATGCTGAATATCGTAATAGCTTTCCTTCAGCTGGGCCTCGGTGTACAGCTGGTCTTTCAATTGGAGGTCCAATTTCAACCGCAACAAATAAGGGTCCTTCTTTGGCTCCAATTTAGTAAACTTGAGATGGGTTCCAAGACACGTTGTTGTTTCGCCCTTTGTAAGCAATTCCACAGATGTGATGTAGTCTGCAAGAACGGCACCTGTCTTTGCGATTTCGTATTTGAGATCCGACGTCTTAAAATCATCCGAACCTTTCAAAGAAGCAATCTGTTTGATGGTTTCGTTGAGACTCTCCTTCAAGTTTTCCAAACGGGGGATGATCTTGAGGGTTAATTGGTTGTGGGTGATTAGTTCCTTCTCTGCGAGCGAACTATGGTAGTTCGAAAGGGTGGTGGAGATGGATAACACAGACAGATCACCAACGGGCAAGAACGATGTCTGGACAAACTTGTTCAGCATTGACTCCTGTTGGGCATTCTGTTGATCAGACTGAGCCATACTATTGTTGCTTAGTGATCCTCTGAGAGCCTTTGAAGCCGAGCCTTTGAACTTAAGCTTGCCGTTTGTTTGCTTTTTCAACAGCTCCAGATTCTCCAACATTGCCTTGTTTCCAAGATATGTTTGTTTTTTGAAGATACTGATCTCTTTGAAGTAGAAGATCAGCTGCTTGATGATCATCTTCCAGATCGAAAACCGGTTGATCAGCTTGTCGATTGGTTTTGGCTCACTCGTATTGGTCAATGGACTATAGTACGGAGAGTTGTAATTATCAGCCGGCAAGATCTTGGTGTGGAACGCAAGAAGCTTGTTGGAGACATCGACGAAGTCAGCCTGCCCAAAGTAGGTGCTTTGGGACTCGATGGAACCATCGTACAAGCTCTGAGACGCGCTGTCTGAGATGCTTGCCTCGCTTGTCATGTTTTGCCCACGGACTCTCGGCTCTAAATGACGAGAGATCTTCTGTATTCACTAACCAACCAGACGTATCAATAATGATGATACGGTTGAAGGGCGCAAATTGAACGAATTCACTAGAAAATGCCTAGTTTTATTGTACTGCAAAATATCGCTCCCTAAATTCCGATCTAGAATATATCCATCCGCCTGCATATTCAAAACTGGGGAGGGAAGGAAGGAAAAAAAAGCCCTTACACCGTAAAGCGTGAGTAAAGATTAATTACATAGTAAAGCTGTTCCAGAGCTTGGTGAAGCCAACGTTGGGGAACATCTCCACGTTGAATATCGTGATTGTACCTTGGTATCCATCCTCCTTGTCTTGCATCAACTCTGACGTTTCATCCGGTGGCTTTGGAGGTTCTATTTTTTTCTGCCAGAATATGAGGCTGTACATGATATATTGGCCTAAAAGTACCGCACAATCCAAAATCAAGAGACCTAGCCGACCCGTGGGTTGCGCTTCTCCGATGAGATTGATTAGCACTGAGTAGTATTGGAACGTCTGTTTCGATTGGTAGTATTCAATTGCATTTTTTGTATGAGAATTAAGATATGATGTCATCGATTCGAACGAGATGTGAGGCAACTGAGCGTAATTGCGGAAAATGAACAAGTGATCCAAAAACGCGAGGCCATTGATCACAAAGATTTCTACCAGAATCGTGGTCTTGAAGTATTTGTACTGGGTGCGAATGGTCTCCTCTGAGACCGGTTGATTCATAGATAGGAGGTTATACTCTATCCATTGGCGTAATGTGTGAATGTTTATGCTTGAGAGGAACAATTGTAGCGAGATTCTCACCACCAGCCTGAAAAACGATCGGTCGGCTAGATAGATGGCGATTAGTTCAAGTAAGATAAGGTTGTTTAGCGTATCTTTGTACTCGAGCTTCAGGTTGTTTCGAAGCTTAATCAGTTGCGGTAGCCCAGGATCCGGACTTCCCTGTTCATCAACAGCGTTATAAATGGCAGGAAACGATCCAGGAACACTGGAACTCATGATGTTTGGGGCAAAGAGAATATAATTTACTGTGATTCTGTCACTTCCTTGCACCAGGGAGATTTGATTGACAGAGCACCCCCCGTGCTTAAGGCCCGACTCGATAGTGTTGAACAACGGTTGGTGGGCATCGCTCTTTGCTGTTTCGATCGTGTCTTTTTGGTTATTCCCAAGAAATTCCGGCCAATTTTGTCAACTCCAAGTAAAGCCGTGTCCGGCAAAGCGTCAAGATGATCTCGACAAGGAGTAGAAAAAAATATATCTAATCTACTCTTTAATTATTTATTATGTTCAGGATTGGGAGACCACTTGGGCTGCAAACTATGCGGACAGTGAGTCCGCTGGTGATAGCAAATAGAACTCAAATATATCGTTCGATTCGGCTGTACAGCTCGAGCGAAAAGGACTCTGGAAAGAAGGAAGTTGTCAAATCTGATGGCCCGCCACCAGCGTTGACATTGAGACAGAAAATCATGAAGGAGGTCCAGCACTACTGGCATGGAACCAAGCTTCTAGGATACGAGGTGAAGGTGTCGTCTAAATTATTGATTAAGATGTTGGCTGGACATGAGTTGACCAGAAGAGAAACCAATCAGTTGACAAGAACCACCACGGACATCTTGCGACTTGTCCCTTTCTCGGTGTTCATTCTTGTTCCATTTGCCGAGATCTTGCTACCAGTGGCATTGAAGCTATTCCCAAACATGCTTCCGTCCACTTACGAATCTGAAAAAGACCGTAAGAGAAAGACCTCGAATCTTGCAAATACAAGGCAGAAGGCCTCGAATTTCATCCAGAAGACTTTCCGTGAAAGCGGATTGATTTTGCCAACCAAGATAGACGACGCTGACAAGGAGCTGTTTGTCAAATTCTTCAAAACCCTGAACAAAGGACTCAAACCGAGTCACGAAGAGTTGACGAAAATTGCCAGATGTTTCAAAAACGACCAGGTTCTTGACAATCTTTCCCGTCCCCAGCTTGTGGCTATGTCGAGGTACATGGGTATTTCTCCATATGGAACAGATGAGATCTTGAGATACCAGATCAGACACAAATTAATGAGAATCATCAAGGACGACCGTGCCATTGACTACGAGGGAGTCGAGAGTCTGAGTGTGCCTGAACTGAAAGTTGCGTGTGCCTCGCGTGGTATCAAGACCATTGGAGCTTCTCCAGCCCGGTTGAGAGACGACCTCAAAATTTGGCTGGACCTGCGACTGAGGCAGAAGATCCCTTCGTCTTTGCTGATTTTGTCGTCGGCGTTCACATACGGAGAGCATGCGGATGACTTTGAGAGTTACTACGATGCGCTACTGAGTGTTCTGACGTCGATTCCAGATGAGCTGTATAACGTTGCCAAATTGGAGATGTTCCAAGACGATGACGCTCTGAAGCTGAGTATTCTGAAAGAACAGGACGAGCTGATCAAGGAGGAGAACGAGCGGAGCAAGGACGTCAAGACAGGTCTCAAAGACGACCTGAAACTTGACGAGCTAGAGGACAAAAAGGACGAAACAAAATAAATAACATACCAACCTTGTGCATGCTTGGGTCTTACACAAGTTATATAAAATCACATGTAAAAGGCGCAAACCTGAAAGTTCAAGTCTTATTAGTTCAGTCGAACAGGTCGCTAATGCTGGAAGGCATCTCAACGATTTGAGTGGAGTAGAACTTCTCGATTTCTCTGAGCATTTCGGTGTCCTCTCTGGTGACCAAGTTGATGGCCACACCCTTTCTACCAAATCTACCACCTCTACCGATTCTGTGGATGTAGTTTTCTTTGTTGGATGGCAAGTCGTAGTTGATAACCAACGAAACCTGTTGGACATCGATACCTCTGGCCAACAAGTCGGTGGAGATCAAGATTCTGGAAGAACCGGTTCTGAACTCGTTCATAATGGTGTCTCTGTCCTGTTGACTCAAGTCGGAGTGGATAGCAGACACAGTGAAGTTGTTTTCGGTCAACTGTTGAGTCAAGATCTCAACCTTTCTTCTGGTGTTACAGAAGATGACGGCTTGGGTGACGGAGATAGAGTCGTACAGGTCACACAGACAGTCGAATTTGTATTGCTCTTCATCAACATCGATGAAGAACTGCTTGATACCTTCCAAAGTCAACTCGTCCTTCTTGACGAGGATTCTGACAGGGTTTCTCATGAACATGGAGGTAACTTCCAAAACATCTTGAGGCATAGTAGCAGAGAGCAACACAACTTGGGTGCTGGTTGGCAAGAAACGGAAGATGTTGTAGATTTGCTCTTTGAAACCGGTGGACAACATCTCATCAGCCTCATCCATGATGAACATCTTGATGGCATCAGTCTTGAAATAACCTCTCTCGATCATGTCGTGAACTCTACCTGGGGTACCAACAACGATCTGGGCACCGTTTCTCAAAGCTTCGATATCCTCTTGGACAGCCTTACCACCAATAGAAGCGTGGACAGTCAGGTCTAAGTGCATACCAATGGCCAAAACAACCTTTTGGATTTGGAGGGCCAATTCTCTGGTTGGGGCAAGAATCAATGCCTGTGTTTTCTTCAGCTTCTCATCGATTCTTTGCAATGCGGAAATGGTGAAGGTAGCAGTCTTACCGGTACCGGACTGGGCTTGTGCGAGAACGTCTCTTCCTTCAGTGATTGGCAAGATAGCTCTTTGCTGGATAGCAGAAGGCTGTTCGTAACCGTAAGCGAAAATACCTCTGATGATCTCTGGCTTCAGATTCAGCTCATCAAAGGTGTAAACCACGTTATCGTAGTTAGATTGGATCAAATTGGAGTCAACTTCCTGGATACTGTCGGAGGCCATGTTGTACAGTAAAAGTATTTGAAGGAGTAAATTTTTTTCAGATTATATGTACTAGATCCGTTCGGTGGATGGAAAATTTTTTAGGTAGGGTAACTGGAAAATGCCCAACTAGCAAAACCTTGCAACGAGCAGATGTTCTCCGTTACAAAAGCCCAGCAATGGTCTACTTACAAACAGTCTTACTACCAGGATCCACACAGTACACGTGTAGTAACCTCTCATCTTCCTATCTGTTTCTTATTAGTTTATACATTCTGCTTAACGGGAGTAAGACCAGACGTTCTTGAGCAAACCATCTTGTTGAGCAAGTCTGTTCAAGGAGTCATCAGCCTCACCTCTTCCTCTGATGTATCCACACAAAGCGTAGGTGGTGTAAGAGCCTGGGATAGCTCTTCCTTCCTCGTCAACATTGGCAACGTTGATCTGGACAGAAGCGTGGTCCTTGGATTTGATGATTCTGTTAGTGGCAGAGCACTTTCTTGGAATGTACAATTCAACCTGGTATGTTAGAATTCAAGCAAACGAGTCCGACATGGGCTTGGGCACAAAAAACAGCATTTTGCTTCACAGTATGTTGTTCAACAAACCGGTCATAAAACCGAGGAAGATTCCTTTGGAATCCGTTCTTTTGTTGTTGATATTGTTGCTGTCCGAATGTGCTGGCCCCGTCGTCTCTCATCTCTCAACACTTACGAGTTCTCCTTTGTCGTTTTCCATTTTGCTGTTGTATGAATATGTTTAAAGGTTTAGTTTTCTCTAAAAATTTCCGCACCAGCCAGGTGAAAAATTACGCCGCACTTTTCTGAAAAATCCACCAGGTGGGAATACGGGGAGGTGCGAGGTGTGGACTTTTGACAGTCACATCGAGTTTGGCAAGTATGGTAGCCAGCATTACAACAGATACAATGTGGTAGTGATACAACAGATGTCTATATTCAACAGTCAGTCCAATGCTAGTCCTAGATACGAAAACACCACGCCCATAGACACAGCCAGAGCTGCTATGCCGGTGTAAACACAGACCCTCACAATGAGATTCAGGTTGTAGCGAGGTTGCAAAGCAGCACAATCAGACATCTTTCTCAATTTGTCTGCCTGGCCCGCAAAGACACGGGCGTGGATTGGTTTCAGAAGTTTATAAATCAATGGCTTGGAAAACGCCTTCCAAAATGCCAGCAATCCGATACCAACCGCCAATCTCAGGCCGGTTTTGAAGTAGCCGAGTTTTGCGAGCTCGAACTTGCTGCAACCGGTGTACTCCAAGCGAGGGTCACGGAACGAGGAGATTGAGAGTCCCCAGTAGGCCAGATCAAGCCCGATCAGCACTCCGATGAATGCAACGCTGTCTTCGAAGCATGGACAGTGGTCTATTGGCAAAGGGTGGTAGTAGATCAACGAGTACATTATCGCAATCACACTGATCGGTGCCAGCATCGATCCGTTTGCCAGGAAAGTGTCCCACTTGGTCTTTGTTGCCCAACGGAACAGCACAACCAGACCTCCGATAGTTGAGCCGACCACGATGTCAACTATGCCATGCATTCCGCAATAAACGCGGCCAAAAACCATTGAAAACAAGTAAACAAAAAGCACAAGCAAAAGGATCATAGCTGTATGGGTGTTGATATGGTCCAGATTGGTAATTATGGCGTGGGAGAGCAACAAGAACACACCAAATGCGTTAGCCGAGTGGCTGGAAGGACATCCGTATTCCTCTGCGGTATAATGACTCATGGTCTTCCGCACTAGCGGCGGAGATCTGGGTCTTGGGAGACACAGGTAGTCCTTCACTGCACCGGACAGAAAGATGCCCAATCCTAGTACATAGACCAGGTCTCGGTATGGCAATTCGAACCACAACGGGACCGGAAGACACAGAACATAGAAAGTATGCGATCCCAAGTTGGCCGAATAAGTGAAGTAGATATCCAGCCATTTGTTAGCAAACGTCCGTTGAGCCTTTGCAAGTCGGGGTGTTTCTTCCTGGACAAATTTCAGAAGTCTGGACCGGATTCTGAACCGATAAGGATCCATTCTCGTGGTATAAAAGGACTCTGGCTGGAGCCCAGAGTCATTTTTGAACGTACTTGTTAGATCCTCAGTTGCCATAACAGAAGACTCTGAGCATTGCATCGAATAAATCAGACCAAGATTTTTTGCAAGAGAACGGTTGTTTTTGCAGTAAACACGCGCAGGGTTTTTGCCAAAATAATTAATCGTGATTACATAATGTCGATAAAGCTATTAAGATCTTACACTATGGTACAACATGAATCGTCACGAGAGTCCTTGGAAGACATGGAGGGTGCTGCGTGAACCGCGCTAGCGCCTCTGAAATGGCCCTTGCTGAATCGCTTGGAGTCTCTTGCAGTTTCTCTGGACGCGGCTTGGTGTTTGTTGTACACAACGTTGACACACGAGTTGAACAGTTGGTCCACGTTGTACATCTGTTTGGCCGAGCACTCAATGTGTGCGACAGCACCAATGCTTTTAGCAACGTTGTACGCCTCTGCTGGGGTAACCTGTTTTTTAGCGACGTCCGATTTGAGGCCTACAAGCACAATTGGGGTCTTGTCGCAGAACCCAAGGATCTCAGGAGCCCACACCTCTGGGATGTTCAAAAGCGAGTCCTTTGCGGCTAAAGAATACGCCAAAATGATCAAATTAGAGTCCTGGTAGCTCAATCTTCTGAGTCTCTCATAGTCCTCCTGACCAGCCGTATCCCAGAGATCCACCGTGAGTATGTGTTGTTTTGTGCTGTCCTGTAGAAATGCACGGTGGTTCTCGAAGATGGTTGGTTCATACTCTGTTGGAAAACTGCCTCGGATATACGACGACAACAACGAAGTCTTTCCGCAGCCAGAGTCACCCACAATGACTATTTTGAACTGAAGATCCGGGTCGGGGGTAGGCAGATCCGACTGCTCTAGCAAACGGAACTTTCCTCCGCTCGCTATGGGGTCCACATAGAACTTATCCATTTAATACCTTATGTTTATCTTGGTGAAATTTATGTTTATGCTTCCAATTTTAGAGAAAATGGTCGTGTGTATCTTGAAATCGCGAGATTTGGTACGAGTGGATTAAAAAGGGGTCAATGCAACCAAAGAATAGGACCTGAGCAAATCACTCAATAGAGTAAGAAACGATGCATGACGACATGGGCATTGTGAGCCGTGATACGGCGGACAATTGCACGATGCTGTTCAGCGAATGTCTGACATCTAGACCACGGCCAAAAATGGTGGTGCACGGATGCGGCTTGGCTGGTAGCATTTTTCTTAACTGACCTGGCACATTAAACATTTCGGTAAAAATATATATACTGCCCTGAGGACACGAGAAACTAATTCATTTGCACGACAGATTCCCATGTCCGCTTCAGATTATAAGCTCCCTGCCAACTTGGAGTCCTTTTCTCAAACTGAGGGTTCTCAGACCGGGGTGAAAGAAATTAAAATCGTGGTCATTGGAGATTCTGGATGTGGTAAAACCTCGTTGTTGATCAACTACAAGGACGGCAAGCCCGCCAACCATAAGGACTACGTTCCGACGATTTTCGAAACTTATAACTGTCTGATTTCCAGCGGTTCGTCCACGTTCAAGCTCTCGTTGCATGATACGGCCGGCCAAGAAGATTTCGAGGGCTTAAGAACGCCCATTTACTCCGACGTCGACGTGGTAGTTGCATGTTACTCCGTGGACTCGCAGCCGTCGCTTGCTAATATCATAGAGACGTGGGTCCCCGAGGTCCAGAATTACCAGCCTGATGTGCCTATAATTTTAGTCGGGACCAAATGCGACCTGAAAGCCGAGCTTAGCCACGACCAGCTCGTCACAAAGGAAGAGGAGCTCGAGGTGAGTTCCCAGATCGGCAAAACCGTGTTTGGCCACCTGCAAGCCTCTGCCATCACTGGCGAGAACGTGAAAAAAGTGTTTGATGTCTGTGCCAGCGTCATGGCCGGCAAGGCTCCGCCTGCTGCTCCCGCTACCGACAGGCCGACTGCCTCCAAAACTGCTCCTGCTACCGGAACAAAAGCATCGACCGAGGAAAAGGGCGGTTGCTGCGTGATTGTTTGAAAAATGACATAGCACCACTCTGTCCGCCGCGGAGAATCACAAACAGTAACACTGTGTGAAGTGAGTTCCGCCACTATGTAAGCAATACGTTAATTGTACTTTTCTGATTTGAACTCGTTATGATTGCAATCTCTCGTGCTGTAGTTGGTTGATAAAGGACTACACAGCCCGGATGTGTTTACAAAAAAATTTTATGCCAGTTGGACTAGTCCGTATACCTTTAAAAAGAGTTCTTATGCCGACCAAAGTTGTTCCTACTGTTGCTCAGAGTGGGCCTCGAAAGGTGAAAAGACACCGGGCCAAGAAACAGAACCCAGAGCCTACTTCTCCGCTTGGAGTGTTGCTGAATCATGAAATCCCCCAGATCTGCAAAGAGCACAACCTGACCCTTGAGCAGGTTTCAAACCCACTCAACAAGGTGCTGAACGATTCCGAGCTGCGCAAGAAGTACAACAGAGTGGTTGAGTCTGTGGAGATCCTCAAATACTCCTCCAACGGCGAGGGTCTTGCGTTGCTACCGCATCCAGAGATTCCAGGCGGAAAGCAGATCGCTGTTGTTCCGTTCGGCATGCCGGGCGACGTGGTGACTCTGCGCGTGTTTATGACGAAACACACGCATGTTGACACCGACTTGCTGAGTATCGACAAGTCGTCGGACTTGAGAAAACAGGACCTCATCAGATGTCGCTATTTTGGAGCCTGTTCCGGCTGCCAGTACCAGCCGATCGAGTACGAACAGCAGCTCGAGTTTAAACGCAACACCATTGTCAACGCATACAAGTATTTCGCTCCTCGGCTGGGTGTTTTGGGTAAACTGCCGGAAGTTGGTAAAACTGTTGCAAGTCCTTTGAAGTACGGGTACCGTACCAAGCTCACGCCGCACTATCAGCTGAGTCGCCACGAGGACGCGAAAACAAGACCCAACTTTGGATTTGGGTCCAAGGGCCGTCCATCCTGGCGCGAAGTTCCTCTCAGAGAGTATCCTGGAGAGGTGATGGATATCGAGGACTGTATCATTGGAACAGAGATCGTGAGACAGGGAATGAAGAATGAGCGTGCTCGTTTGGAGTCGCAAGCTGCAAAGGGCGAGATAAAGCACAAGGGTGCTACCGTCCTGCTCAGAGAGGACACTAGACGCAACAAGGACGAAGTGAAGGGATCCACAGACGAAATGGGTAAGCTTTCAATTTTGGAGCAGGACGACAAGTTCAAGACCTGTGTTACGGACAACAACGCGATTGTGAGCGAGTACGTGAACGGTCTGCGGTTTGATTTCGTTGCAAACGAGTTCTTCCAGAACAACAACTCGATTCTTCCGAAAGTGATCGACTACGTCAAGTCGAACCTGGCACTGGACAAATCCGGCGACGACTACCTCGTGGACGCATACTGTGGGTCCGGATTGTTCAGTATTTCGTGTGCGTCGTCGGTGCGCAAGTCTCTCGGAGTGGAGATCTCTGCTCACTCTATCGCTTTTGCCAAGAAAAACGTGGAGCTTAACAATATCGACAACTGCGAGTTTATCGAGGGTAAAGCCGAGAAACTGTTTGAGAAGATCGACTTCCCGAAGGACAAGACGTCGGTGATTTTGGATCCACCAAGAAAGGGCTGTGACGAGGTGTTTTTGAAACAACTGGCCGAGTTTTACCCAAAGAGAATCGTCTATGTCTCGTGTAACGTCCACTCGCAAGCAAGAGACGTGGAATACTTCCTCACGGAAACAGAAAAGGGAAAGGACTACACCCTCGAAAGCATTATCGGGTTCGACTTCTTCCCGCAAACCCATCACGTGGAAGGAGTTGCGGTGCTGAGCCGTAAATGTTGAATGCGTTGGAAAGTAAATTAATGTATAAACTCAGAACGCAGACTTTAAAACAGAAAAAACAAATCCAAAACAACATGCCCGGACGTTCATCCAAGCTCAATAAACCTCCCAAAGCCATCGCATCAACGGAACTAGTATACAGCTGATAATAGCACATAAGGAAAACCTTACAAGATCTAGGCTTGAGTCTTGGCATACTCGCTCTTTTCGAGCTCGTATCTCTTCTTGTCAGCCTCAGCCTTGGCTTCGTAAGGAGCTTTTCCGGCCTCATCAAGAGCCTTCCACTTCTCACCAAGCAGTTTTCCAATTTGTCCGAAAGCGATACCTGGGTTCTCAGCTCTCACAATGTCTCTTTGCTCATTGGCAAAGAACATGTAAGCAGAGAGAGATCTCTTTGGGGCGTTTGGGTCCTTCTTCTTTCTAGCGGTTTTCTTAGCAGCCATTTTCTGTGTTTGTTAGTATTGTTGACTGGTCACCCACATATAAATAAACACGCGCACATATACCAGCTGCTGCTACCGCGTTTCTGTCAGGCTGGGGTATGTGCCATTTGGATTATTTTTCCCTCCACACCCAAAAGGCGCAGGCCGGGTCACCTTGTTGGGAAGAGCTTTGCACAGCCCGAAACTTCCCTAACAAGCTAGTTTGGCCCCCTCCTTCGACGGCGAGTAAACAGCAATGGCGGGGCGATCACGAGCCATTTGGGTGCTGAAGAGGCCAGGAATTCGTCACAGAGACGTAATAATCGCACCTCCCCTATTTGTCGCCCTGTGAATCCCTGCCCCCCACGCTACTCTGCCCTCGAGCGAATAGCCATTGCGGTGTGGCGGACGGTGAAACAGCAATCGAACCACCACCAATAGCCAATTGGCCTCCTAACAGAACCATCGTCGCGGATTCATCATAATGGTGTGCCATAATATTATTACTTACTATTGTTCGCTCCCAATTCAGTTAGCAGAGAAACAGTGCACTAATAATTTTGTAAGGAGGAAAAATAAATACAGTTTATAGGGGGAATTGTCCTCTAGTAAAAATTGCTTGCAAAAATTGTGAGAGACTTTTATTATAGGATAGTGGAGAAAATCGGAAATTTTACCCGGCCCTCTGTATTTTAATAAAAATGCATCTCTACACCAGCGAGATATTCACCTATAAAGTGCTCATCAGAACCAGCCCTTGGAATTGTTGCTGTAGTCGGCAGCTCCTGGGTACTGGTATTGGTTCTGGTAGTATGGGTAGGCCTGGGCGTTGGCAATGCCTGGCGTGGTGTTTCCAGCGGCCACACCGCCAATCTGGGAGCCAGCCAAGCCTGGTGCAGCAGCAGCCTGCGAGCCGCTAGCCTGTTGTTGGTATTGGGCATACTGTTGTTGCATCAGCATGGCTGGGTTGACCTGCTGTTGGCCAGCTTGAGCGCCAGCTGCAGCTTTGGCGGCCTCGTCGTCACCGCCGTTAGCAGTTGCCTGCGGGTTGCCGTAGATCTTGTTCTGGAATGAGTTTCCAAAGCTGTTTTGCTGCTGAGGAGCAGCCTGCGATGGAGACTGTTGAGATTGGTAGTTCATGTAGAATTGGTTGGCAGCAGGGTTTGGTTGGGAGTAGAATGGCAAGTAGTAGTTGAAGTATGGGTAGTACGATGCTGGCATGCCCATCATTGGGTTATTGATTCCAGGAGCAACCTGTCCGGTAGCACCACCTTGCACCTGAGAAGCCTGAGGGTTGATGGTGTTAGGCACAGGGGATTGCGAGTTGATCTCGTGAGTGTTGGATCCGGCAAAGGCCTGTTGCTGTTGCAAAAGCTGTTGTTGCTGGTTGAACAATTGCTGGTACTGTTGCTGGTCGTAAGACTGGCCATTGGCAGCAGCTGGCGACCGAAGGTAGTTGTTGAGATCGGAGAGACCGCCGTAGTAGTTCGACTGATCGTATGCCTTTGGTTGTGGTTGTTGCTGCTGTTGGGGTTGTTGTTGCTGGAAGTTGGTGTTGTTGTTTCTGTACTCCTTATTATATTCAGGTTGAGCAGGTTGCGACTCTGGCACTTTGGTCTCTTCCTTATCGTTCAAGGACATGGAACCGAACGAAATTCCGTCAACGGAACCAACCTGGCTGGTGGACGATGGAAGCACCACAGGAGCGGTCTGGGCAGCCTGGGCAGCCTTCTTGGAAGATCTTGATGCCGCTGGCTCTTTTGGTGGCTCGGCGACAACTGGCTTTTGTTCCGCCACGGTCTCTGGTTCAGGAACAACTGGCTCTTCTTTCTTTGGTTCTTGAGCCGGTCTTTTCGCAATCTTTGGCTTTGGTGCCACGGCAGCTGCCCAACTGAGCGGCTTGGAGTTCGGAGCAGAAGCTGGTGCAGAAGCAGCCACAGGCTCCTTCTTCTTGGATGATTCTTTAGTAGATGCCTTGGTTTCGACAGGTTTCTGTTCAATTGGAGCCTCAACAGCGACCTCTTCTTCCTTCGGAGCCACTTTGGTAGCCTTGGCAGGCTTCTGGGCTAGCGCACTGGCCCACGAAGAGCCATCAGAAGGTAGAGAGGAGGCGGGTTGAGGAGCATGAGCGGAAGCAGTGGTCGTAGCAGACGGAGCAGCCTGTTTAGACACCTTGGATGCGGAGGGTGTCGTATCTTTCTGTCTATGAACTTGTCTTGGCTTCGGGCCGGTGAATCTAGCCTGCTGGTGAGCTTTCTTCCCAGGTTGCACTTGGAACGAAGCTGTGGAATCCTCGTGCTCTTCGGCTTGCACAGCTTTCTTCTTTTCCTCTTTCTTGACAACTTGGTCCCATTTCTGTATCTTTCCCGTTAGTATACCTTCCGAGATCTCGGTTATGTCCACGTTAGCAATCTCTTCTTGAATTGTAACGAAATCTTGAAACGACCAATCTGGGAAAAACTCAGTCAAAGTCTGAAACTTCTGCTTCAACTCTGTTGATAGTCCGTTACTGCTCGAACTGTGGCTATTCTTCTTTGAACCGCCTCTGTATTTCGGATTGTTTCCTCGTTTGGATGTGTGTTCGGAGGAGGTGTCCTGCTGTTCCGACATGTTTATATATGATTATACAATGGACTTGTGATGACTGAACAAAAAAAAAGTATCTTCAGACTAGTATAATCTGTTAACGGCTTGGAAAGGCTCTCTCTTGTTCCCGGTAATTGTTATCACAAAGTCACGTCAAATAAATGGTAATTGCCATCATCTTTTTGAAAAATTCGACGAAAATCAGGTTGGGTCGCGCACGACCTCCTTTGGTGTTTGAACAAACAAAACACAACCGAAAAACAGCCAGCTTATTTTTTACACATCCTTACACCGGAAACTGGACAAATATTCTGCATCACTGGTCTTTCAGAAACGAGTTAACAGTAACCTATAAACTATAGTTGGTTTTCGGTGTGGAAGAACTCCAATGCCTCGGTAACACGCTTGGTCATGGTCTTCTCTCCCTCTCTGACCCACACTCTTGGGTCGAAGTACTTCTTGTTTGGCTTGTCGGCACCGTCTGGGTTTCCAACCATCGACATCAAGTAGTCCTTCTTGTTCAACACGTAGTCTCTAATACCAGTCAAGTAAGCATATTGACAGTCGGTGTCGAGGTTGACCTTCACCACACCATTCTTGATGGCAGTGTCGAACTCGTGGTGAGAAGATCCAGAACCACCGTGGAAGACCAAGAACAATGGGTGCTTGGTCTTTGCACCGATTTGCTTGACGGCATACTCTTGGTGCTCTCCCAAGATTTCTGGTCTCAAGACAACGTTACCTGGCTTGTAGACACCGTGCACGTTACCGAAAGCGGCAGCAATGGAGAAGTTTGGAGAAATTGGAGCAAGGGCTTTGTACACGGCAAACACAGTCTCTGGCTGGGTGTACAGCAAGTCCTTGTCTGCGCTCTCGTTGTTGACACCGTCCTCCTCACCACCGGTGATACCGATCTCCATCTCGAGCCATTGGTCCAGCTTGGCCATTCTGGTGAAGTATTTCACACACGTGGAGATGTTTTCGTCATCGTTCTCCTCAGATAAATCGAGCATGTGAGACGAGAACAATGGCTCACCGTGGATCTTGTAGTAGGCCTCGTCGGCCTCTAACATGCCGTCGAACCATGGCAACAGCTTCTTAGCACAGTGGTCTGTGTGCAAGATGACTGGGATGCCGTAAACAGGAGCAACCGATCTGATGTAGTGAGCGGCAGCAATGGCACCGGCAATGGAAGCCTTCTGTCCGTCGTTCTTCACACCCTTACCGGCGAAGTAAGCGGCACCACCGTTAGAAGTTTGCAAGATGATTGGGGAGTTTGCGTCTCTGGCCGCCTCCAAAGCAGCAACCACGGTAGACGAAGAGGTCACGTTGATGGCAGGAATGGCAAAGCCTTTCTCCTGGGCGTACAGAAACAAGTTTCTGACATCGTCACCGACGATAACACCTGTCTTTCTTTTCAAAAAATCCAATCCCATTGTGTAGTTTTAATATACTTGTTAGAAATAATTTGCAATCCCCTTGGTCTTTATAGTTCCACCTTTTGACCAGCTGGAAATTTCGATTTAAGTGGGTGACCTGACGAGAAAAAACTCCGGGGTACTGTCAGGCATGGCAGAAAAAAAACCGTACGTTTGCTAGCAATTTTCGCTGGAGGCTGGGTGGGTGCGGGCCGCTGCTCGACCCGCACTGAAAAATAGACTATTTACCCTGACCCGGAATTTTTTTGACTACTTAAGTGTTTATGTAAACATCTCGTGATCAGCGATTGGCCCACACAATCCTGCTGATCATCTGGTTTGCCAGCAAGAATGCATCAAAGTTGTTGTTGTGCGGCTCATCGTTGCGCAGAAGTTTTTGGCGCAGATTGCTAAACTGCTCTTCTTCGTATTGTTCGTGTAGCACCGAGCTGATTTGCTCCACTTGCGTGTTTTGCGGCAAGTACACGTCTCCGGAGTCGATCATGAACCCTATCAGTTTGGAGTAGCACTTTGGGTTTTTGATCAGACTCGTGACAAGCTCGCATTTGGTGTTGTAATTGTCGCTGTTGAGCTTCCCAATGTCCACCACAATCTTAAGCTGTCCATGGAGCTTGGTGTTCGTGTCGAGATTGTGGAACGCGTTGAGCACCTCGTTGTTGTTATCGCAGTCGCTGGTCCTTATTACCAAAAACGTATCGCGATTGCCGGTGGTCTCGACCTGTGCAACCGAGCCGTTTTTTGTGATGGTGAGAAAACTGTGGGGAAAGCTTGACGCAAAAATCGCCTCCTTCCCCTTCGAAACATGGTACTCGCTGCTGCTCGGGACCTCAAACCCGCACGGATAAGACACCCCAGACACAATTTCCCGGTGCAACTGGCTCTCCAGCAAAGTAGAGTCCACCAGCCCCAAACAGCACAGATCTGAATAATACTGGGGAGAAATGGTGTTGGACAGACTCACCGTTAATGGACAGTACTTGGCCAGCTCGTGCATGAGAGTTCTGCACAGAGGTAGTCCGAGCTTCACTTCTTTGGTTTCTCTGAGAGGATCTTGTGATTCCTCGTATGCTGTGTAGTTGGCTCTCATGGATAGCATGATGGAGTCCGGGGACAGATCGTTCTCGTAGATATGCTTGAGCTCTGCTCCCAGCTCTGCGGGTAGCTTGTTCTTTGCCTCAAAACTGACCTTGTACGATCTCTTGCCGGAAAGCTTGGAGATCCACTGGGCGCAGTGTTTGGACTGTAAAGGGTTATTCAACGTGGACGGCCCGGTGATGATCAGAAGCTTGTGTCTGTTCACGCGACGAAAGTCCTCCATCAGCTCGTTGACAGCGTCTCTGTATGCGAGGATCTTGGACGTGAGCTGATCGCTGATGGGAAACAGGTAGTTCTGGATCACCTCTGGCTGTGCCACCGCCATGATTCCGTGTTCTGTTGGGTTAGACTGAAGTCAGAAACACATACCTTTCAGCATCAGCCCTGAAGACGAGCTGGAGGGTGGTCGTTTGTCTTTCGAATAGGTTCCGTAGTCCCACTGGGGTAGTTCTGAGGAGCCCATGTTGAAATAGGGAGACAACAGATAAATTTAAAACGCCAGGGATTTAAATACGGACAAATTTAATTGACTCAGCGGATGTACTAATATTTACCACCAGAACATGTTCCTGAACCAAAGAATATCGTTCTAGCACGCAACTTCATCGACAGCTCTTTGGCAAACAGTTAACTTGCAACCCTGCCCCTAGCTCCTCGCTACCATTATTTGCACAGCCATCTTCAAAAATATTTCGCCAATTACATTATGTCCAGGAGATTCACGTCTCTGCTCACGCGCGTGAACAACAACGTGGAACTTGTTCTGCAGAAGTTCCACGACATTGTTGAGCTATCGTCGATTGAGGACAAGTCGCAGGAAACACAGGCAATCGAGGCTCTTCAAATAGAATCCAACGCAGCCACTGTGGTCAGACTCACCGAAGAACTACTGGCCATCACCAGACAGCTGAAAGAGGCATGGATTCTGGGACAGGTGCCCAACTCCATCGAGTCACAGCAGGACGAGCGACTGCTCCAGGCGAAAATGAACCAATTACTCGAAGTCGTTAGCACTTTAAAATAGTCTATTAATATTCATTCAATCATATCATAGAAATCGCATTCAAATTCAAGAACTATCAGGACATCCCCTTCATAATCCTATCTGCTCTCCCCGTTATTACTCAGTTTATTTGGAGGTGTCAAGAACGTATCTGCCGGCAATCTTTCCTTGCTCCATCAGCTCAAACACCTTTGGCAACTCAGACAGACCAACAATCTTGATTGGAGCCTTGACCTTTCCTCTGACAAAGAAGTCGACGGCCTCGGCAGTATCCTGTCTGTTTCCGACGTAGGAACCACGAATTTGGATCGATTTCACCACATGCTGGAAAACAGGAGACTTGCAAACAGCTCCGGCTGGCAGTCCAACAAGAACAACCACGCCCAATGTTCTCACATAGTCGCACGACTGGGCAATGGCTGCCTCAGAAACAGACACGTTGATCACACCATGAGGACCTCCGTTGGTTGCCTTTTGCACAGCAGCCACGATGTCCTTCTCCTTGGTGAAGTCGATAAACACCTCACCTCCTAATGACTTGACAAGATCACCTTTCTCGTCTCCTCCGTCGATACCCAGAACTCTCAGCCCCATGGCAGTAGCGTACTGGATAGCCAGAGCACCAAGTCCTCCACCTGCGCCTGAAATGGCCACCCATTGACCAGGACGCAACTCGGCAGTTTTTAGGGCCTTGTAAACGGTGACACCAGCACACAGGATTGGAGCCACCTCTGCAAGATCAGTTCCCTTTGGGATCTTGGCGGCCTGCACAGCGTCTCCGGTGGCATACTGCTGGAACGAACCGTCGTGGGTGTATCCGGACAAATCGGCCTCGGGACAGTTTGGCTCTGCTCCCTGTTGGCAGAACTCGCACCCCATGCACGAGCCATTGAGCCACTTGATACCGGCCAAGTCGCCGACCTCAAAGTTGGTGACGTTGGAACCTTTGGCCACCACCACACCGGCACCCTCGTGACCGCCAACAAGTGGGAGCTTTGTATCCAACGGCCAATCGCCCTTCCAGGCATGCAGGTCAGTATGACAAACACCTGAATATTTCACATTCACCAAGATCTCGTTCGGTTTTGGTGTTGGGACAGGGATGTCTTTGTATTCTAGAGGACCCTTGCTCTTTTCGAAAACAACGGCCTTTTGTGTCTTTGGGATTGTACTCATAATTGCAATTGGAAGCTGAAGAGTGGAAAATTAGATCTATTTATATTATTTGGAAGATCGGCTAAAATGACGTTTCTATTGAAGAAAAAATATAATCACCAGTTGCTTCTACTCCGAGCACAGATAGCTAAAATTGCGGGAAAACGCTGAAATTTTCCTGTTTTTCGTGCGAGGCGGGGGAGCAATGATGGAGTTGCCATATTATGTGGAGAGAGTATATGTTACAGTCGAGTAGCGCCCCAAACCGTAGACTACGCTTACCGCTCTCTATCACGGAAAAATGGCTCCCCAATGGGTTCCCAATACGGAATGCTGCACCACACCACTTGCTAATTACAAATGACCTGCAATCGATGCACGAGGCACTTTTCAGATAAATTCAGTTCCGTAATTTTGCGTCCATGTAACGTCACTACTCAATAATAGAGCTCAGTGCGAATGATGCATTTTTCGTCTCGATAATCATGCGACCGGCCGAAAAAAAACGGGTTCACTGCCGTTAATTCCCGTGCAAAGGTGTGGGTGTGATGTTTTTCCGTTGATAACAAATCTTTATCTATGGATTCGGAAGAGGTGTCGGGGGTTGACGTGACAAAGCTGCGTCGTACCACGCGGATCTCCAAAACGTGTCTGAGTTGCAAGCGGCGCAAGGTCAAGTGTAACTACGAGGTCCCGTGCGACAAGTGCATTGCGCGCAACAGGGGCCATTTGTGCAGTAGGGAGCCGATAATCGTGGACGGAATGGTGATCAATGGCGGCAACGACGCTCTCAAGGAGATGAAGTACTCGCAGGAGAACGAGGTGCTCAAGAGGAAAATCAAAGATCTCGAAAAAACAGTGTTTACACTGAGATCAGGCGATCCTGCATTTCAGACGTTGCAGAACGGCTCGTTCCGTGCAAATCTGTCGATATCCACGCTCGACAATGCTCTGGCGCCGGACTCCGCAGAACTATCCCGGAAGTGGGACAGCTATAGCGTGGTGATCAGCTTGCTCAACAAGGGCCTCGCCGACGGACTCCAGGACGACGATGATCAGAACTTTGACGCAAACACCGAGGAATGGTCCCGGATCACTAACAAGGAGCTCATGAGCAAGATCCGTCGGTCGGACGACAAGTCCGACGTTTGGAATTACCAGTTACAGATCATCGGACAGCTCACCAAACCGCAATCGGACCTGATTCTCCAGACAGCTCTCAAATTCACGTTTCTCCATAACGTCGTTGACAACTCCAAGTTTGTGCGCGAGTACGAGGAGTACTGGAACGACGACTCGATTGTCGAGAAGCATATCACTCCGTACTACTCCAAACATAGCAAGGAGTACCTCTTTCTGGCTCAGTACTACATGCTACTGTGCATCGGAGTGTACTACTCGGATGACACTTTGCAACCGAAACTCGGGTTCTCTGACGATCAATGGGACATCTACGCACGGGCGTTCTTTGCGTGCGGACTGGAGTGTCTTTTCCGCGGACGGTTCATGACATTCCCCAACATAAAGTCGATCCAGTTCTTCTCTCTGCTCAAGCTCTGCGCACACCCGCTTGGTGGCATCCATCTCCAGAACTGCCTCATCGGGACGATGTGCTACAACGCGCGCAAGCTTAACCTCGATAACGTCGAGGACAACCCGGACGACCCCGAGTCGCAATTCAAGTACCGGTGCTGGTGGTCGCTGGTCAACGTGGACTGGTACGAGGATCAGTTCCGGTACTCCTTGATCGAACCGGGAACGTTCTCAACCCCCAGACCGCGCCAGTGGCTTGTCCCGGACGCAGTTCTCGACTGGAACAACTACTACCAGCGGTTTGTCACAGACGTTGCAACGATCAAGAGAAACTACTATTTTGACGATACGGTCTTGAAGAGTGAGCTGACGTTGGAATCGCTGAAAAAAGCAGACATCGAGCTCCGCGTCTTGGAGATCACCGTCAAGAAAGACTTTGAGAACTACATGGACAACACAAGGCTGAACCAGGACGCAGACTTCTCCACCACTGTGGAGTTTCTTAAGTTTTTAACCGATTACATTATCCTGCAGGAACGGCTCGACGTCAACAGCAAGCTGTCGCGGTTCATGACGTACGACGAGTGGACAGACCAGTGTTACGAGCTGTGCTGCAATTGTGCCAAGTCGATCATCTCGCAGTATGCAGACCCAGAGGTCCCGCAACTGTTTAAGAAACCGTGGTTTGTATGCGAACTTGCAGTCTCGGCAGCAGTGTTTCTATTGGTGGACGCACTGCTCAACAAACAGTCTGCAGGACAGCAGAAGACGGTTGTTCTTCTTGTCCAGAAAGTCCTGCCCATTCTCAGCTCCAACAAGCTGATTGTGCGTCCTGCTATCCGTGGAATCTACGTCATCCAGAAACTCATCAACCTGATGGTTGGCAACCACAAGTCTGCCAACGGGTTCTCGCTCAGCGAGATCACCAAGACAAACTCCAGCAGATTGTCCCAGTCGTCAGCACCGCCTGTAACCCGCGCACCGGCAAGAAGGTCCTCAAAGTTCCAGAAAACGGCCCGCAAGCAGCTCACCTTTATTAATTTCTCTTCTGAGCCGTTTGTGCCAGAAAAACAGCCGGCACAAAACGTTCCCGAACGTCCATACGCCGCTCCAGCCATGCCAGCACCCCAGACAAACACCCCGGCCGACCAGGTCCCGCAGTTGCACGAGGCCATTCTCGACATCCTTGGAGACCATGGCTGGGATCAGTTTCTGGGGTCGATAGACGACTTTGCCATGTCTCTGGACGTTTAACTTGTACATTTTAGCAAAAAAATGGTTCCTAGCAGGATCGAACTGCTGATCCCCGCGTTATTAGCACGATGCCTTAACCAACTGGGCCAAGGAACCTACAACCGGCCAAATTTCCAAACGCGGCCTTACCACAACTAAAAATCCGTACTCATCATCGTTATAATAATTCTTTATACAAGTCGTTTCTGTAAAGCCATCACGTCTTCGATCTTGGTCAATGCCAGGTCGAGCAGGTCCTTTCTCTCTTGCAGCTCAATGTGCTTCTTAATCTTTGGATCCTCCTTGGCAAACTGCTCGATCTGCTCCGAAGTCAAGCTCTGACCCAGCTTCTTTTCCAGCTCCCGTGGGAAGCTGTAGTAAAAGTCGCTCAACAGCTCAACGTTCAGGAACAAAACTGCCGTCTGTGTCAGCTTCTCGGCAACAAGGTCCAAAAATACTTCGGGACATTTGTATTTGTTATCCTTGGACTTGCAACCAGAAGACTGTAAAAATTTCAGTCTCATATTCAACAAGTTAGACCGCTCTTTAAGAAACAGTGCCTCCTTTCCACGAAGCAAAAGACCGGGACTGAATCCAAGATTTTCCCTCGCAATGTTCTCGCCAACCTTATTGTTCTCGTTCTCAAGATAGGTGGTGATCTGCTTCAACTTGTTACCACCTAGCGTCTTCTTCAGCTCCTTGTATGCCTCGTTACACTGCTTCAGCTCCTCCTTGAGCAACATCGTAGCATGCTGTCTGCTTAACATCCATTCTCTGTCGTCAACCTCAATCTCGTACTTGTATGGCTTGATACAATTTTCAACCTGTTCGGCAGTGGAGTTGTACCGGGACGTTAAAACGGAAACAGCAGCGTCCTTGATCGCATTCTTGATCATTGGATGGGATCTTACATCGGTGTTATCAACAAGAACCTCAATCTCGGTGAGAATGGCGTCGGAAATGAGCGTGGTTGCAAGCCGACCAACTCCAAGCTTGGTCAGACTGGCTGTGGCAATTCCGAGCTTGCGGTGCCAGTAAGTATCGTTTGGCGGGGCACTTGCTAATTCTTCCAAAGGCGGCTCACTCTCCGTTTCCTTGCTCTTGTTTGGAGCTGGAGGCTTGTTCCAGTATCTCAACGCAATGGAATCCAGAACTTTCTGGTCAAGCTCGCTTCTCAACAAGGACCGAAGCTCCGGGCGTCCAAACCGTTCACTGAACTCCTTGATTGCCAACTTCAGGTTGTCGATTGTCTGTGCCATGTATTTTTCGCTGGTCAGATCTCGATCATTAAACTCAACTTTGTACCGGTAGCTGGCCTCCTCCAGCTCGTTCGAAACAATCACATGCATTGGCTTCAGACAACTTGCCATGGTTCTCTCCAGAACTCTCATAAGTTTCTTCTTCAACATTCTGGTTGTCACGGTTGTACCCACAAACGAGTCTTTGTTTTCTTTAAAATATGCTCTTTCAAAATTCTGCTGTGCAATGAACGCCTGGGATCCGCTTTGGCGACGGAACAGGGAAGTCGATGGAGGAGTACGTGTGATCACACCAACATAGCCCATCTTCAAAGGATATTTCTTGTTTGTGAGCATCTTTCGAGCAGTTTCACAGTCCACAAGATCCAGCTTGGTGATCACACCAATAGTTCTTTCTCCCTTCGGATCTGCTCTCTTGGCAGCTCTCAGGGCAGAAGAGTTTGCGAGATCCACATCGGCGGCACTAATGGCAAGAATCACGTTTGGCTCCTCAAGGTATCTATCGCACAACTCGCGAATCTTGGTCTTGAGAGTTGTTGGCTGGTCTGCAGCCTCGATCTGAATGTATCCTGGTAAGTCAACCAGAGACAGATCGGGAACTCTTGGAGACTTGATTGTGAGTTGGATAGGATCGCTGGAAACAGCGTCTGCGTCAGGAACAGCCATGTTGAGCTCAAAGAGCACTTTCTGGACCTGTTGGAAGTCGGTCAGGTTGAACATTCTGAGCGCTGGGAACTCAGCAGTTTCGGCCGCCAACGAGTTGTCATTCACCAAAGTCAGCTCAATCGGACGTCTGGTGACCATATTAGATCCCTTGGGCAGGAATTCTCTTCCCACAATCGATTCCAGCACGGAAGACTTACCACTGCTCTGCGACCCTATCACCACGATAGACGGCAATCTGAGCGCGTTGGATCCACCAATATTGAGCAAAATGCTTCGTATCTCAATCATCTGTCGAGTAAGGTTGAGCATAGCATCATCTGTGTTGTCCTGGACGTTTTCGTCGTCCTCGTCCTCATCTTCGTCGTCTTGAAGTTCTTCCTCGTCTGCGTCCTGGGATAACCCTATGGCAGCGGCAGCTCCAGATCCTCCAACAGTCAAACCCGTGTCCCCACCATCTTCGCCACCAGAAGATCCATCGGAGCCAGGAAACATGCCGTTGAAGAACCCTCCCACATTATCTGCCAGGTTACCAGCAAAATCCTTTGCGGCCTCCAATTGCGACTGTGTAAAAGTGGCGGCTTCGTCCACCTTGTACGCGACATAAGAGCCCGCAGCAGCAAGCCCGCCACCTAAGTAAGCTGGCACACGTAGAACCTTAGTGGCAGCCTTGCCCAGGCCAAACATGGAGAAATTTCTGGCATGACTAGACGTGACAAGATATGCGGCTTTTTGGTTCGCGCGATGAACCACAGAAAGATGTCTCAGAATCTGCGCCGTGCCGATTCTGGGACGCACCGGTCTGATAGGCGCCAGACCAACGGTTATTCTAAACATGGTTCTACCTTTTTAATCTTTTCCTTCAAAAAAATTATTTAAAAGCACATATTTTGCCCTCTATGGACGATCGGCGCGTCGGTGAGATCTGGATCACTGAGTTGCAAGCCAATCCAAATGCTCCTTGAAACGGCCTTCGCAGAACTTGGTACGCTGGGCAGGATCGTTCAGCTGCTCTCTGCTCTTCGTGTAGGCCAATTCGATGCGATCAACGCAAAGATAATCGTACATGACTTTCCAGAACTGATGCTCGTAGTTTCCTGGGATCTGGCCAGAACCAAGCATCTTGATATGTTCGTTACTATCGCGCACAACAAAATCGTGTAGCAGCTCATCGGGGAACAGTTTCGGGAAATTGCAGTGTGCAAACATGACGCTGTTTCTTTCGTCCGGGTTAAGGAAGTTGTCAATGTTACCTGCCTCAAACTCCTCATCAGAGTGCTTGTGACTGTCAATGAATTCCATGTAGTTCTCGTAGTCTCTGATTGGGTCATATTGGAGCATTCCGACTCCACGGTAGTCGCCGTTACGCCAAAACCCGTTGACTCCAACGTTTTTCTTGAGCTGGTAGAACTCTTTACCCAGCACGGTAGCAGCTGCTGGGAACGTGTCCTTATCGCCTTCTCCGGCAACACCCTGCGACAGGAGCGAGTAGTAGCCGTCTGGGCCGTAGGCATTGTAGTACAGCGAGAGCAGAACCACGTCTGCGTGATGCTTCTTGGAAATAAGTAACTGTCCCGATTCCGTGCTCTTGTCGGGAATAGCACCTTTGCGGTCATGGAATGGGATCAACGACCGTGCGTCCTTCGGACGGAGCGTGGACCATTGCGAAGGTGGATAATTGACTTGACAATCGCGGATTCTGATATTCTCAACAGGACAGTTGGCAATCTTGTAAAAAGTGGGACTGGTCGATCTCTTCCAGAAATCAGGCCAAAACACCATACCGTACTCGGTGAATGGAGCCGTTTCAAACAAACGACTCGTCACTGGAGCAACTGGAATGTCGTCACTATCCAACAACAGCAGGTTCTCAAACGACGAGGCAAGCAGAGCAATACCTTTGTACTGATACTTGTTAATCTCAATCTCTGACTCAAAATTTTCACCCAGCAGATCGGTCAGAAACACACACTTGGCGTTCAGCGCAGGAAGATACTTGCCGCAGAAGTCTGGCTCCGAGTCGTCGCGTCTTGGGATGATCACCTCAACAGGCAAGTCACCACCGTTCTTGCGCATGAGATCGATTGCAAGCAGAGTGAGCCACGAGTAGTTGTCACCACCAATCATCACCACACCGTTACCTTTGTAAAGACCGTCGGGGAATTTGATATCCCGGATGCGCTGTAACGCCTCGGCGTGACTTTGGGAAAATGCGTCCACGAATTCTGCGGGGAACTGGAAGAACTCTGCGAGGATGTCTTCTGTAAGCAGACTGTGAGACAGCGGAGAATCATCGCCTCTGTTGGAACGTCTATCGTTGTACTTTTCTGTAGGACGAACAGACGAAATAAGCTTAAAGATAGCTTTTATCACCTGGGCACGGCTCTTCTCGTATTCCTCCAACGTAACAGCGGGCTTTTTCTTCTTCGGTTTGTCCTTGGGCTTGGTGTCGACCCCTGTAGCCTGTGGCCCTGACAAGTTTGTGGCCACAGCAGCATGGGTGGTCGAAGAACTCTCAGGCGGGCCTCTTTGAATATTATCCAGAATTTTTTCCGGCTCCATATCAAGGGTCTGATTGGCACTTCTTAAAATATCCTTGATACGCGCATTTTCGTCGACAGGTGGCTCTCTTACACTGACCGAGTATACCAACACCGTGAGGACCAAAAAAATCAGAACGAGCACATACACCCGACGGATTCTTAGCCCCACAATTTGCATCGTGTTTCTTAATGACAAAGTGTTCAAAGAAATAAATATTTACAGCACGGCTTCATGTGCCGATCTATATTTACTATGCGGCTCTCCCTGAAAAACTCGTATTACGGACATTTAAATTTTGGGCTTGTAAGAAACGTGTAAGAAACGTGGGTTCCAACGGAAATCGCGTTGCAACACTCTTATTCAACCAGATCTAAATACATTCCAAAAACATACGCCACCCATATGATAATATACATTTTAAGCCCCAGGGCCCCAATTTGCCAAGGGAGCTTTTACAAAGCCAGAAAAAAAATAACTCGCACTGCCGCTGACCAAGCATTTACGTAACACGGCAGGAGTCTCAATTCATATCCTCATCGCTTTCAAACTCGTCGTCGTCGAAATAGTACTGCAGCCGGCTGGCAGAGCTACCTCCGTCGTCGTAGTAGCTGGTGTTTGCAGTAACGTCGCCGCCAGAAGTCCCGCTCCCGTTGTATCCGTTCCGCATGTAGTTTTCGGTCTCGTTCGATGGAGAGTTGTCTATCTGGACCGCTGGCGCGTCGTTGCTCTCTCCCAGGTACAGTTTGTACCCGTCTATGCCGTGAGAGAGGTTATTGAGGTCGAACGACGAGTTTTTCTCGATGCTTTTGTGCACAACGTTGTTGTCCCCCATCCATGTTCTAATGTTCCCGATTGGCGTGAACTGGATAAACCCTCCTTCAGGATGGTGGAATTTCGCATACTCGTTCAAATTTATGTTTTCTAGTGTTAATTTTTCACGAGGAATCGGACTCGAGGAGGATAACGACCCTTGCTTGACTTTTTTAAAATTGTCCTCGTAGTCAGAGTTGCGTCTCTTGGATCGACTCGGGGTCGACGACGCGCTGTACGAGTGGAACGTGTTGTTGGGGCTCGAGCCCTGGTTGTGATCGTTGTAATTTATTGTGTAGTGGGACAACATCGATGGATACATCATGACGCGTAACAATTTGGAAGCAGACGTGGACGCTCTCTGTCAGATCCAACAACAAACCCGTACCTCAGCAAGCTTGATGCAATAATTATTTAAAAACCTGAGGCGCGGTGCTTTTGCTCACTTCTCTTCCTTCACACGATCTCTCGTGCAATTTATACCCACGCTAAAAAGAGTTCGTGTCTGACACAGTCCGGGCAAAAGTTTCACCAACTATGGCAACTTTGAAATTTTTTTTTTCCTCTTTTCCTTCGGCACACCCGTACACGGTACGGCTGTGTGAGTTCTGGACCACATTTGCAAATTGCGGCAGTTTTTTTCCTCTGTAAAAACTCTCGTCATTATAAAGCGGTACTAATGGATCTTTCTAATTTATCCTCCAATCTGCCACTTTCGCACCCGCTCGATGACGAGTCGATCGACCAGATCAACAGAGACCTGTCCAACGAGTTCAAGCTCGGAGCCCGCTCCATTGCCGCCCTGTACAGACTGTCTAATGCGAAGAACTCTTTGTTCAAGGCAAACGGGTATTTGAGCTGTTTGAACGATATTTTGGACGTGATCGACCACGATTCCTCTGTTACGACTCTGGACGAGCTCCGATCTGTTCTGGTGGCCAAAAAGACAGAACTCACCGGTAAACAGGAACAAGACCGAAAACAAGACCAGCAGCCAACACCCACTGTTGAACAACCACAAGAGATCCCGCAAGACTACAAGTTCCAATTCGCCTCAGATACCCCTTCGCCGCGGTTCCCGCCCAGCAAACTGCCCCTGTCCATCCAGCACACTAATACCAAACATATCCATAGCCATAGCTCGCCGCAGCAGCTGTCCGATAGGGTGAACAAGCTTAAGGAAACGTTCAAGAAAGCTACAGGCGAGCTGAACGACGACGATTCCGACGATACAGAACACAACGAGTCCGACGAGTCCATGAGCGTGGACGATGGGCTGAAACGTCGACTGGCCGATACCCGCTCTACTAAGAAACTCAAATCCGATCACGACTAGCATATAGCATCTTAATTTATTCATGACTGTAGCCTGCTTCCAACTTTTTGATACAATCCGCGTATCTCTTGCTTGCACTGTAAGACCCTGTGCTTCGACTGGACATGGATCTGTCCATACTTTCGCTGAACACCAGTCTCACCAAGTTCTTGCGTTCCTCAAGGTTGAACAGTCCCTTGGAGCCCTGCTGGATCTTCTCCAAGATCCCTTGCTCCGTGCTGTTGAACATCTCGTAGTATGTGGTGCTGCGCCTGAAGTCCACCAGCTTTGGGTCCTCCATCACGTTTCTCAACATCTGCTGCACAACACGGATGTCCAGGAACATCTGTCGAACACCAAACTGGTTCATCTTGATGATTCTATTTGACTGCGACACCAGCAGATGATCGATCAACGATGGTATGCCGCACAGGATCTGCTGTTTCTGGTCTGGACCCAAAATCGAGTCCAGCACGTTGCTCGTGGCAGCAACCTTTTTGTTCAGACTGGTGAGCTCAATGTCAATCTCGTCTGCCTCGGACTGCGGCATCCAGATGTTCTTGCTCAACATCGAAGTGATATGCCAAAAAGCAGTGCCCTGGACGCTATATCGAATAAAGAGCTTGATTTTCGTGGTGATGTCGCTCAGGTTTTTCACAATCTCGTCAAACTTGGCAACAGAGTCTCCGCTCAGCGCAAGGAACAGAGCCGAGGACGGTCCGTCGATCGTCGACATGGTGTTCTTATCCATGAACTGCCAGTTGGCCTTCAATGCCGTCATGTTGGAGTCGCCAACATCCAGCGGCTCCACCTCGCGCTTGACCTTTGGAAGCCACTCCAGAGTCAGCTCCAGGCTCGCAAGCAAATTCGCTATAGGCTCGAACCGCGTGTTTGGCTGCGATAATGCTAATTTGAACAGTTTGCTGCCATCTTTCAGCTGCTCGGCGATCTCCTCTGGAATCAGCTCCAACTCTCCTTTCAGAATACTCGAAGAAATCTTGCCAAGTGAAGCATCACTCAGCCAGTGCGACACCAAAGAAGTGTGAGATCCAGTAAGCTCAGATGGAGCACACTCCTCAAACACCGATTGGTACTTGTTCACCATCTTGTTCATCATGCGCAGGATCACGTGCACATACGGTCTTCTATAATACATGGATGTGCTGAAAATCTGGAACAGGTGGTTGAAAAACTGCTGGAACGAGGACCCAGACACCGCAATGTGGTCAAACTGGTAAACCAGTGTGTTTTCGAGCTGGGTCATGAAAATGACGTCCATAAACCGGTTGAAGAACTTGAGCAGGCTCTTGTCGTCGTCTTGTGGGAAGGCGTGGCTGGCTCCACCGACAAAGAACAAAAGCTCTTCGATTATGACACTCATGTTGAAAATGTTTGGAGTGACAAGAACGTCTCTTTTCGAGTTTCTTTCGTCCTCAATGAAAAAGGAGCCCTTCTCGCTCTTCACCGAGTCCAATTGTCCTGGGAAAAGATCCTCCAAAACGTGTTGAACATCGCCGGCTGCAAGTAGCTTGTCGTCGAGCCGCAACTTGGCAAATTGGATAATTGGCTGGGATCCGCTAACAACAAAGTCTTTTGGAAGTCTCGAATATGGATGCGATTCGTCAAATTTGGCTGCATTCTCGACATTATCCAGCAAGCTCTCGTCAACCAAGTATGCGACCAAGATGGAACTTAGTTGTTTTTCCAAAGCAAGCCAAACTTGGTCAAAATCGTAATTGTGGCCGTTCACTTTGGAGATCTCTAAGATGGCCCGGTGGCTCTGCAACAGAGAAAGACATCTCTTGAACAGCATCGAAAACAATTCCTGCAAAATTGAACCACTCATGTTGTTGAAGAGAGAGAAATCGAAGATGTCAAACTCGGTTGTTTTGGACAGCTCCATTTGCTCTGGATACTTGATGCGCACTTCCTCTGACGACCGGTTGATCATCTGTCGCACCTCGTCCAACGCTCTTTCGGAAAGTATATGTAGACACTCGTCGAGTCTTCCCAGGTCGTTTATGATCACCAGGTACTCTTTAATGAGCTGGAAAGTTAGAATGTCTTTGCCTGGAGAAGCACCTTCGTCGATGTTGCCGTTGATCTCCGTGATGAACTGGTACAACGGGTCGTTGATCGCTCGAGAAACATCATCGATATCTGTGGTGCTCATTTTCAAAAGACGTGTATTGACGTGTTCGTCGTAAACAGTACGTCTTGTTCCGTCGATCTTGAAGTAGATGAGGCCGTTGATCTCTTCCAAAATGGCCTCGAATAAGGTCTGCGACTGCGACTCAAGGGTCTGCTGCAAAGAATGCAGCGACTCGATTTGCCACAGACCCGACTGCTCGGCCTGCTTCGAAGCCGAGCTTACCAAGTCCTGTGCCTTTTTGAAATTCTTTTCGGCAATATAGCTGTCGATCTCGTCCACTTGCTCTGTGACCTCGGTGATCTGCTCCAGCACGTCAATCACGTCCCCGTTCTGTTTCTGGCGGTGATTCAACTCTCGAAGAACCTCTGACGGCGAACTCATCAGCGCCGACGCGGCAGCCAGCTCTGTCCGGACCCGTTCCAGGTTCGACTGCGACTCCAGAATCGTCTCGACGGTGATCCCGTACGATCCGATACTGTCGTTGAACGCCTCGAAATGCTCGTTGACGGCGTGTTTCAGGATCTTGTTGAACCGATCCTTCAGCTCTAGAAATTGGGGTTGTTTATAAGCCATTCCAACAGACGAGCTGTCCAAAAGAGGCATCACCACCTCGAGCGGATTGCAGCCCTCTCTGGCCAATTCGGGCCATTCCTGCTGGATGTGCTGTAAACACTCCTCAAGCTCGCTTAAACTCGCGTCCATCAACAGCGGTAGATCTCTTGGTGTACGTTTATTTATTTTCTCTACTTTTTCGTAACTGTTAAAATACCACATCCTTGCACCTTACAACTTGGCAAGGACGGCCTCGTACCCACTGTACTTGACCTCCTTGGCCCGCTCAACACCAACATAGGTGACAATGCCATCCTTCACGATCAATGCATACCGCTGGGTTTGGTAGCGGTAAAATGGAGAGCCGTCTTTGACCAGACCGAGCTTTTCACTGAACTGGCCGGCCGGATCTCCACAGAATTTGATATCGCCTTTGGTGTTACCTAGGGCCTTACCCCATGCGGCCTGGACAAACGCGTCGTTAGTGGTCACCACCAAAACTTCGTCCACGCCCTTCTGTCTCAGATCCTGGACGTGTTTGACAAACCCTGGGATGTGGAGCTCGGTACACGTTGGAGTGAAGGCGCCGGGAGCAGCCACAATCACCACGGTCTTACCAGCACAAACTTTGGCCAGATCCAGCTCTGTTGGCCGCGCAATTGAGCAGATGTTCTCGTTTTCCGGCGAGTATGGCACGTAAGCAAGCTTAACGTCGGTTGGCAGTTTGTCAGAAACCTTGATTTCGCTCATTGTATAAAGAAAATTAGTACTCCTGGTAAAGTCGAACTAATTGCGTGCTAAATATTCTTGGTTAGATGCACTACTTTTTGAAGAGTCCTTTATATACGATAATCTTCCAGTCTGTCCAAAGCGGTTTTGGTTTTCATGGAGACTCTTGTACTGAGCTCATAGTCGTCTCCTCCGTATGCCTGGGACTTTTTGAGCCAGTTTTTCGACTCCTCTAATCCGTCAACTCCTTGGACCTTCCAACAGAAAAGAGCTTTTTCATATAATGCTGTTGGATAGAGCCATGGGTTCTCGGTCAACTTCAGCAGCTTCTGGTCAACATCGACCACTCCTGTCTCTGTAATATGGGTCATGACTAGCTTGTTCAAAACTTCAACTCCCTTCTTGATCTCGCCAAGCCGTCTTAGCGCAATCGCCTGCAGAGTGTATCTGATCATGGCTTCCTCGGTGGACTCGTTAATCTTGCTGTAAGGCTTGTTAGTTTCCGGGTTCTCCAGATCGAGCTCCGGGTCCTGAATTGTATCGGCCGAGTAACCAAGTAGTTTGATCGACAACTTCAGATGCTCTTCGGTCATTCTGTTGTAACCGTTCCAGAAATAAACCAGTTCGTGGATCAAAGATGTTCCAATACAGTCCAAAAAATGTAGACCAGTTCCTTGCTGTGTCTTCTCGATCTGTTTCATCTTTCTCGAAATGAACTTCTCAAAAGGCGGAATTTTGGATTGGAACTTCTTCTTTCCAATCAACGAGGGAGCAGCTTTCAAATGTTTCTCTGCCTGTTCTTTGTAATAGTCCTTCTTTGTTAAGTCGACCTTGTCCTTCACGTCACCTTCGATGTTGTACCCGGTGATGCACATCCGGTAGCACTCCAGATAGCAAGCACCAGCGAAATAAGTGTAGAGACAGTGCGAGTAGGAATTGATGTTGACCAGCTCCAGAAATTCCTTCGCGGCACGCTCGAACTTGTGCATGTAAGCCAAAATCAAAGCGCGATCATACCCAAGAAGCGCGTCCACTTGCTTCATCTCTGACTTTTTGGCGCTGTCCATGAGCTCAACAGCCTCTTCTAATTTTCCCCGACTGGCAAGCATCCGCGACTCCTGGAGTAGCCACAAGTTTCCATGCGGGAAAAGAGCACGCGCGTGCAGCAGGATTGAAACCAGTTTCGGTCCCGGGTGCAACAAGGTTGGCTCGCCGTCTCCAATGCTGGCCAGTTTCTCCAGCTCCATTTTTTGCTGAATCTTTTCCTTCTTGCTGCTCTGCACCTTGACAAGAACTGACGGGCTCGTCTGGGACTCGAGCTTGTGTAGCTCCACGGTCGACGGAAGATCGAAGTCAACGTCTGTGAACTGGAAAGGTCCGTCGTAGAAGACTAGCAACGCCAGCAGACCAAGCCCTCCGTGGATATTTCTTTCCTTGGCAGCCTTCCAAACCATACGGAGGCCGTGTTCTCTTGATCCTTTGAAACCAACCACAGATAAGACTCTTCCGATAGCTGGTGGAATCAGAGAGAGAACCACTTGCAATATACCAAAGCACAAGTTCACTCCGGAATGGATGAACTCGTCGATCGTGGGAACGTCTGAGTTTCCGTACTCGATGGTGATTCCCTTGGTGTCGCTACTTTCTCCGTTCTCTGACTGTTTGTATCCCAAATTGTGTCTTAATGACTCGGCAACCGGAGGATTTCCAATATGTTCGCCATCAATTCTCGCTTTTCTGATCTGGTAGAGTTTCTCGAGCTTGTTGATCACCTCGTCGTCCTTGAGCGACTGGTCGCTGGCCAACGATGGCGCGTCGGCAAACTTCTGCGACGACGCCACGCTTGTGGCAGACGAGTCGCTATTCAGAGACATGTTGCTCATTCCGGGAACGTTTGCGTTGCGCTCCATTGCTTTGCTGACCTCGTCCAGCGTGTGATAAGCGCGTCTTAACTTCAACAGGGCCTTAGCACTCTCAACAACACTCTCACTAAGAAGCATGAGCAGCGCACTGAGCAAGTTTGCCTCCGCATAAGTCACTGCCCATTCGGTGCCAGGCGGATAGATTGCTGAGGTCTGAATCTTGTTCTTTTCTGCAAACGTCTTCTCCTTCCACGACATGCTCTCTGCCTGGACCAGAGCATCATTGGCCTTCTTCATGGTTTGCGCCTCAAATCCCAAAGTTGCCTCGATAAATTGAATAACACCAAAGGCCAGCTGTGTCACTGGAGACTCGTCGTGGTTCTGTAACAACTTCAAACCCTCGCTGGACCGATCGTCCAAACAATAGTCCATCGCCTTGAGCGCATTCTCGTACTGGAGTGCCTGCGAAATGACCCGCGAAACCTTCTGGTCCTCAGTCAGTTTGCCTGAAGATCTGAGCCCTAAAACCTGTAGCATTGTATGTTGATCCGTTTGGCTCCGGAAAAACGCCGCGTTGAGTAATGTCCTTGCAAATGATCCCTGGAGGTCTTTGGATCACTGTGACGTGTATATATCCACTACCGAATGAGTTCCAAAAATTGGCGCAGGTGTACAAAAAGATATTCTATCTGCACTGTCCTCACGACCGTGGGATTTGATTAGTGATGTGTGCTTATGTAAGCGGAAACGAGGAGACGAAACCACGGGCCAAGACTTATTAATAGATACCTTGGAAAAGCACAGCCTTCCTGGGAGGGAGGGGTGGAGAACAATTAGTCTTACATACACGGTCACTGGAACGTTGTGGCGTATTCAAGGTCGTCGGCATTCAAGAAATCCGAGCCGGCGTCCAGAATCTGTCTCCACACGTTTGTCTGCTTGGCAACGGGCCACCACGGAGTATCCCAGATTCGGGTGTAGATTCCCTTGCTGTGTGCCTGGTCGATTGCCTGTGTAAGGAGTTGAGTCTGGTTCGAGCTGAGGCCGTCCACGCTGTCGACCTCGCCAACGAGCGACTCCAACGAGCCCGAGGCGATTGGCGAGATGGTAGCACTGAACGAGTCATTCAGTCCGCCGAGAACTCCGTCAAAAAACACGTCTCTGGTGGTTGCGTTCTGGACGTACTCGAACGGTGTGTTCCCCGTGCCAATCACCGTAACCGGACCTTTGGTCAGGGTGTTGTTTGCGGCGTTGTAGGAGGTCAAGTAGTTCTTTTCTCTCAATGGCTCCAGAGCCTCATACACGAACGGATACGTTTCCGTTCCCTCCGTCTTCATGTCCACAAACAGATACAGCGTTGCAGACGAGTCGGTGTCAAAAACTCCGTTCACCGAACTGCTCAGCTCTGTGTGTGCATTTTCCGGGTTAAAAGCCTCGATCAACGACAAAATAGGGTTCACATACAAGTCCGCAAACGTTCTGTCGGCGGTCAACGAGGCTAAGTTGTGTCCCACATAGATAGTGGAGTCGTTAAGCTCGGGGAAAACCCAAACGTCTGCCTCGATGGATTGAACTCCAAGCGTAACAGCACTTAAAAACGGATACTCTCTCCAGTAATCGTTGTGAGAATGGATCTTCTTAACGAACACATCCTTAGTGAGCTCGGTCGACAACGTCGGTCTCACCAACGGAAGCTGTTTGACCGGGGCACATGTAGCAAGGCTTGCTAAAACCAGTGTGAAAAATGTAAATTGCATAGTGGTAATAGTTTAATGAAAACGAAGGTAATTGATGCTCTTTTATAACGGACAATGCGGATCTCTAGTACCTCAATGTTCCCACGTGGTTTGTATTCAGAATCACTTTCCCATTACAAATAATCTACAGTATTCTATTCGGCTCAATCTCTATTATGCGCTGACGTAATCTGTGGGGACAGGGACACAATCACTTTACCGTAAGAAGTAATTGTATTTTCCAACCTGCTGACGAGAATCGTAATCTCCGGAAGCTTTGAAATCCCACGTGAGCTCGATGTCGAGCTCTCTGTTGTTGGTCTCGTTCGGTCTGGAAGCCAGCGAGCCCTCCACGGTTTCGCCTTTCTTCAAGTCTAAGACTTGATCAAGATAAAAAATGGTCTGCTGCCAATGGGTGTAATTGACATGTGGGCCGGTGGAAAAACACACCTTATTCTGTGGCTCGTCGCTCGGAAATTCAATGTCGAACCATGCAACCAAAGCGTGGGCAGAGTCGTCTCTAGTGGCTTTCAACCGGAATTGCTCGTGGAAAGCCAGGTCTTCGATGGTAACGGTATTAAGGTCGAACTCGATGAGCTTGTAGTGGTTTGTCACCACAGCCTTGTTTTCCACGGTCTCGATTAATGGCTGGGACATCACAAGCGGAATGAACTGGGAATAGTCGAATCCGTAAACGTTTTCCCAGTAGAATATTTTTTCATCCTTGTAGCTACCGTCTTCAATAAGAGCCACTTGGATGTTGGCCTTATCTGGGAAAATGAGTCCGTCTGGCTTCAAGTATCTGTCTCTAGCAACCAGAACAGTGTCCAGCATGGATTCGTACAACAAGAAGTAACCCATCCACTCGGAAATGATTATATCCACCTTATCGTATGGCATCTCAACGTCCTCCAATTTTCCTCTGAGCAGTGTGATCTTGTCGGAGAATCCATTAACATCGACGATTTTCTGGGCCATATCGATGATATTGGACATGTCCACAGCAATGACGTGCTTGGCTCCGGCTCTGGCCGCAAACATGGACAAAATACCTGTTCCACAGCCCACATCAAGAACGATCTTGTCCTTGAACAAATTTCTGTTCTTCATGATTGCATTCCGGTACGAGAGCGTACGGACGGTGTCTTTCAGCATCTCCTCATGGATCCCGAAATGGTCATAAGAAGAGAAATAGTGCTGCTCGGAGAACGGCAGAGCCTTTTTGTCGGTTGCAAAGGTGCCAATCGTCATTAATCAAGAAAATTACTTTTTTAGAAAATTTTTGCCTGGCTGTGGAGTTGACACGGTAAATAAGGAATGGTGTTTAGTAGCAGTGCAGCAACCCAGTTGAATTACGTGTGCTGGGGTTTGGCTCTATTCCGATTACAGTTTTGCTTCAAAGAACAGTTGGGTTAACGAGCGCACCGTTTCTGTTCAAAGTACCTTTGCACCCTGTGCTCCTGTCACAGATCCAATTCTCGGTTACATAATCAGGATATTTTTAAACTAAATTCTCAGCCTGCAAACAGACAAAACACTAGATTCAAATTTAGCCCGTCACTATGAGCACAGATTCCTCTATAGCTGCACGGGCAGCCGTCAGAAGACAGTCCGCGCAGCCCGCGTCGGTGAGTGAGATTGCTGCGCAGGCCGCAAGCCGTACTTTCCTCAAATCCAGCTCTCAGACTGCTCCACGAAGCTCTGCGAGCAGTGTTGTATCTGTGCGAACCAAACCTCCGTCGGGCTCAGGCGCGCCTCCCCGCGCTCCCTCGTCCGCGGAAGTAGTCAAGAGACCTTCAACGCCAAAGAAACACGATTCTCATTTGACATGGGACTCCGTCAACAATTCCAGCTCTTCGGCAGCTCTGGCCGCTGCATCCCTCGTTGCCAAGTCCAAACCGGCATTAATGGTTTCCACAAGCTCCACAAGCGCAACCGGACACCCCGATAACTCGCTCGCCTCCGCAAAACAGCAATCTTCTGCCGCCCCCTCCCCTACGATTCAGCCGTTGCGATCTCCAAATTTCGCCGCACAGGCCCCGACAGCGCTGTCCGCAGACCTCCATCTGGACCCCCTGTCCCGCAGTCCGTACAACTCGTCGCCTAACCGGTCTGCAAGATCCTCCGTGCATAGTCTAAACTCTTCTTTGAAAGAGGAGCTCAAGCTGCTCTCTCCTCCGAAAATTGCCAATGGCGGATCCATCAGCAATTCCAACTCGTACTCGTCTCTGTCGCTGCCAATGATTTCCGAGGATGAGGACACAATGTACATGTCGGGCACGGACGGCCAGCAGTCCAGCATCGACGAACCGCAGGACACTTCCCGGCACGTTTACTACCAGCTGGCTGGATCGTCCACGGCGGGGTCGCTGGACGTCGATCCCAACGAGTCCAGGAACAAGCTCGCACGTAAGCCACCGCCGAAACTCGATACGACCATGGAGCCGGCCTCTGCGGTGGAATACCAAGCAAACACTCCAGTTAGTGCAGAGCAGTTGGAGGACGACCAGACGCTGCCCCAGTACCCTGTTTCGCCCATTGTGGAAAACCGGATGCCGCACACACACCACGGGCCACTCCGTGGTGCGCACGGCAAGAAATTCCAGCGGATGCTGGGACTGCAACGGCTGGACTCGAGCCAGAGCGTGCTGACCACCTCGGACACCGACCAGCAGCTGCGTTTCAAGACGACTCTGCGGAAGGAGAAAAACTCCAAGAAGGACTTTGACGAGGCCAAGCCGTGGAAACACCACAACGACGCCAACATCGTGAGCGAGGAGGAGAAGAAGCGGTACGAAGGTGTTTGGGCAGCCAACAAGGGAGACTACATCGACAACGACGAGGAGAGCGTTGTTGTTGTTGACCCGAGCCAGCAGGCGTCGCTCAAGATATCTGGACTGGTTGTTCGGGAGCTCTGGCGGCGGTCGCGACTTAGTGACGAAGTGCTGGAAAGAATATGGAACCTTCTGATCGACCGCCGCAGACGCGAGTTTTTCGGCCAGAAAGAAGGAATAAGCGAACTGAAGGACGAGCTCGAGTTCGACGACGGAACGTTGACCAAGGAGGAGTTCATTCTGGGCACCTGGCTGGTGGATCAGTGTCTGTACGGAAGAAAGCTACCGTCGAGCATCAACAGCGATCTGTGGGCGAGCGTGGAAACGCGCGCAGGCATTATTGTGAGCCCCAAGCGACGCAAGAACAGACGCAAGACAGGAAAGATGCTGAAAAAAGTCGGAATCGTCTAAGTGCCGGATACGGTTCTCGAAATTTCCAAGGTGGAAATAATTTATTGTTTGAGTGTGGAGGTGGAAAGTTGAGAAACCAACGTTTTTTTCCTTTTGATAGCCAATGTCCAGCATTCTCAAGCTCAACAGTATCAAGCCGCTGTTTGACCGGATTCTTGTGCAGAGAGCCAAGGCCGCCTCAAAGACAGCTACCGGTATCTACATTCCGGAGAAGAACCAGGCCAAGCTTTCGTTCGGCACTGTTATTGCAAACGGACCGGGCGTGGTGAACGAGAAGGGCGACCTGGTCCCCACCACGGTGAAACAGGGAGACAAGGTGTTGCTGCCTAGCTTTGGTGGCTCTCCTGTCAAGGTGGAAGGAGAGGAATACCTGTTGTTTTCCGACAGAGAGATCCTGGCCAAGATCGACGAGTAGGCTGTTGGAGCGCCCCTGGACTGTATATAGCCGCTGCTAAATGCCGAGGCCGCTGGCTGGTGTTATGTATGTAAGTTTAAATTGTGCAACATCAAGGCTGTGTTTGCTCAGCTTTTTAAAATTCTCTATATTTATCTCCCTTATCTTCTTTGCGAGCATTGCTTGACCCATGTCGTCCAGCACATCCACGCAAAGCGCCGCGCCGGCCATGCGGTTCGCCCAGTTCAAGCTCGTTTTGCTAGGTAAGTTGTTTGTCTTAAACGGGTTGTTTGCCACTAACAAATAGGCGAGTCTGCGGTGGGCAAGTCGTCCATAGTACACCGATTCGTGAAGGACTCGTTCACCGACATGCGCGAGTCCACCATCGGAGCCGCGTTTCTTACACAAACGATCCAGATCGACCCAGCAACCACAGTCAAGTTCGAGATCTGGGACACTGCCGGACAGGAAAGATACAGGTCGCTCGCGTCGATGTACTACAGAAACGCACAGGCCGCACTGGTGGTGTTCGACATCACACAGGAGTCGTCGCTCGACAAGGCCAAGTACTGGGTCAAGGAGCTGCAGAAACAGGCCAGCTCCAACATCGTGATTGCGCTTGTTGGCAACAAGCTGGACCTGGAACAGGACAGGAAAATCAGCAGAGACGAGGCCCAATCGTTTGCAAACGAGCTCGGGCTCATGTACGCAGAGGTGAGTGCGAAAATAGGCGACCACGTCAAGGACTGTTTCCGGCAAATTGCTCTAAGCCTACCATTGGAGGAAAAACTCAGCCAGCAGACCCAGCGCAGAAAACGCACCATCGACCTCAACCAGAGACCCAGCACCAACGAGCAGCAGTGCGCCTGCTAGTTCCGCGCCTGTAATGTCATTCTTGCTTCCTTAACCCTGATTACGTAACCAGTAGCGGAAATTCGCCAATCATACTTCGCGAGAATAAAATTTATAATTTTCTCTTTCAACAAACAACCATGGCTTCCGTTACCAGCATCAAAAAAGCCGCCGATTTCGTTCTCGCCAACCCGGCATTGAAGCGTATTGCTCTGCCAGCCGCCAAGGCCTTCACATATCTCTCTGGATACAGAGAAGTTGGATTGAGGTAAGTTTACAACAGAGTGTTGTTACTAACGTTTTAGACTGGACGACCTGATCATTGAGGAGAACCCACTTATGCAGACCGTTTTGTCCAGATTGCCAGCCGAGGAGTCGTATGCCAGAAACTTCAGAATCATCACTGCTCATCAGCTCACCTTGTCCGCCAAGGTGTTGCCTCCTTCCAAGGTGTTGAAGCCAGAGGAGGACATCCGGTACCTGCTCCCATACATCCTCGAGGCCGAAGCTGAGGCTGCCGAGAAGGAGGAGTTGAACAACATCGCCAAGGCTTGAATATATAGAGTCAGAATACATTATTGACAAACTACATCACTAGTACCCAAACTCGTCGTATTTGGCCCGGTCATCGTCAGAGCCTAGCGGGAACCCGCACTCTTGCAAGATGGTGCCTATGCCGTGATGCATCACCTTGTTCTTGACCTCCAGGTCCTTCATCGTGAACAGCCCCATGAATCCCAGGCTATTCTGCCACACCCCGTCGAAAAACGCGTGGCTCCGCGGAATAATCATCATCCAGTCCTCCATCATCAGAAAGTTGTAGCTGATCTTGGTCGAGTCCAGGCCTTGCTCTTTGAACACGTTCAATACCCGCTTGAATAAATACATGTACATCATGGCCAGACTCGTGCTCTGTTCCTCTTCGGACGCAAACTTGCGTGGCAGCTTGAGCACAAAGTGCTTGAACGTGAGCTGTTTGTTCATCAACGGCTGCTCAGACCCGTCCAGCTCTCTGGGAATGAAAAACTCGCTCCCGGCAACCAGCGCGTCCTGGTAAACCTCGAAATTCGGCGGCAGCTTCATGAACTGGATGTGCTTGTGGAATTGAGAGTACCCGGACTCTGGGCCCGAGTTGAAAAAAGCGAAAAACCTCGACTGCGACGTATTGAGCTGTCCCAGAATTGTATGCATTAATTGGAGCTCCACCGGCTTCAGAAGCGTGTCCTGCTGAACAAACTCCTTCGTCACCATCAGAAAGTGCTCCTCAATGTTGGGAAACTTGTTGAGAATCAGCCGGTACTCGCCAACAAGGTCCTGAATAACCGTCAGCTCGGGCTCTGGCTTCATGAACGGGTTCTTCTTCTTCACCTGTTCCAGCTTGTCGCTCGAAATCTTCTCGTCCGATCCGGGCTGCGTCGGCCTGTTGATCGGCCGCTTCGACAGCCCTTCCACAATCATCAGCTCGCACCGCATCCCAGTAGCCTCGTCTGTGTATTGCTCGTGCTTGCTAGGAGCAAAAACGAGCTGGCCATTTTTCAAAGCAGCGGAGAACTTCTCCCGCACAGCTTCGGCCAGTCCAAAAGTCTCCAGTTCCTCCAGAGTCTTGATAGTCGCCATTTGCCAAAGATTCGTGCCACGTGAAAACGAACCGCCTGTAAACACCTCAATATTTTTTTTCGCGAACTCGTCCCTTAAATTGCGTTCTCGTCGTTCACATACGTAAATCCACGGAACATCTCTTGCATCGACGGAGAAAGAACACTGTTCACCGGAGTCAGCTTGGCGGCCTGCGACGTGAATTCCTCGTCGAAGCACTCAGGTTTGCGCGGATCCTTGATCTCTGGAATGAAAGGCGGAGTCACCCGAAGGTTGATGATGTCATCAAAGTTGATGTTGGCAAAGTATGGATGAGCCATGATCTCAAGAGCATCGGCCTCGCCAGATCCAAGACGCTGGGCAGGGTCTCTCGTCAACAGTCTTTGCAGGATGTCAACGGCCTCCTTCGACATGTTGATCGGATACAATGGCTCGTCTGTCAAAATGGCGTTGAAAACTTCGTCCTCGTCTTCTCCCTTGAACGGAGACTTGGTCAGCAGCATCTGGTACAAAAGCACACCGAACGCCCACCAGTCAACCGCCTTGTCGTAGCCTTGCTCCTTCAGGATCTCGGGAGCCATCAGCTCAGGAGTACCACAGAAAGTAGACGTCTTCTCACCATACCACATGTTCTCCTTGCATAATCCATAGTCACCAAGCTTGATGTGACCCGTCTCGCTCAACATAATGTTATCCAGCTTCAAGTCACGGTAAATGACACCGTTCTCGTGCAAAAACTTCAGACATAGAAGAACCTCGGCAGCATAGAACTGTGCTCTCTTGAGCGAGAATCGTTTCTGTTGAACGTGCCACATCAAATCTCCACCTGTGATGTACTCCATCACAAAGTAGACCCGGTTCTCGGTCTGGAAACACTGGTGCAGGTTCAACAGGAACGGATGTTTACCCTTGTTGGCAATCAAGAACACACGTTTCTCAGACTTGGTGCTCTCGACTTCGTCGTTCTGGATGATAAAATCTTTCTTCAACACTTTGATAGCACACAACTTCTTGGTGTGAACGCTCTCGGCCAACATAACTTTACCAAAATTACCCTTTCCGAGAACAGCAACAAAGTTGAAGTCGTCAAGTCCGTATCTGTGACGGTGACGGCGCTGTTTGGAGCGGTGGTGAGCAACAGCACCGTCCTTGGTAGACGGCCGTTTTTCTGTGACAGGCTCGGTCGCAATTGGCAACGGTGGAACCTCTTTGTTTTGCTTAGTCTCTGCTGCTGGGGCAGGGATCTCTGGAAGCTGTCTATCTTCGTATTTGTCTGGAACAACGTTCTTTTGCTGTTTCTGGTAGGCCTGCTTCGTGACAGCAACATCTGGATATGAATGTTGCGATGGAGCAGACTCGACTTTTGTTTGTTCAGACGTCAACGAAGGAGTAACTTTGCTTGAAACGGTAGCCAACGTGGCAGAAGATTTATTAGTGACGGCTTTTGGTTTTGGAGTCTTGCCAACCTGGGTGGACTTGATGGCAGAAAGAATCTGGCTGGCTTTCTCAATGGACATACCACAGAAGTCCGGCACAAGATGCGAACATGTAGCATGACAGAAAATACCACACTCGGAACACTTTCTGATATTCTTTCTACCCCATGGAAGAATGTAACCACAGTGACAACACCACTTGGTACCTCTGTTGGCAACTGGCTCAAATCTATGAGGAATTCTGTGGTTGAGTTTGGTTTCTTCTGAAGCAGCATCGGCACTGGTTCTAGAAATACATTTATTAATGACATTCTTGTAGCACTTCTTATGGCACAGGAAACGGCAGTCTTCACATTGGAATCCAGTATATCTGAGGAAATCGCCGCAAACGGCACAGCACATGATGTTGTAGAATTGTTTTTGAACGAACTTGTGGCCGTGATATTCGAAGATCTCCTCTTTTCTTTGACGAATAGCACCATGACGGCCCAATCCGCCACCAAAGGCGTATCTCTCACCCTTTTGGTGTTCGTTTGCTTTAGTGAATCCAATTGTCACCAATATCTGTCCTGTTGGCTCCAACTCGAACCAACAGGTGGAAGAAACAACTTTAGTGTCTGTAGTTGAATCCTCTGTAGACTCGTTGGCAGAAGCGGAAGGATCTCCTTGGGAATCGGACTTCCCGCTCAAATTGGAGGTGGAAGAGCTGACTTGGCTCTTTGGACCTTGCTGTAAAGCAGACCCAATCATCCAGTCGCCACCGCCCCTTTCTTGAGTGACCTTCTTCCGACGGATCTCCTCTGCAATGTCGGAAAGAGGCAGCCATGCGAGCCCAACAGGAACGAGATGGTCTCCCGACTTGTCGTAGACTGTGATTGCCGCCTCGTTGGCTTTTTCGACGTCGATCTCAAACGTCTCGTTCCAGCGGTCGTTTCTTGATCCCTTGGTACGACCACGCTCGACATCGTCGATCTTGATCGAAACAATGGACTCCGGGTTTCTGGTAAACATCGGCGAGGCCATGTGGTCGACATTACGCACAGTAGACACGGTGATTGACAAAACGCCGGTCAGCGGGTTTTTTCTGAAAGCGTTGATGACGGCGTTTTCACGCGCCACGTCGTCGATGTCAATGTACATCGACTGGTACTGTTTGAGCGCCTTACGCATCAGCTGAAGCTTGCGCTCACCCTCGATGCGGCCGTCCGCGGCGGCGGCAATACTGCGGCGGTCTCCTTCCAACTGATACAATTTGTAGATCTTTTCGTTTGCTTCTCTGTACTGCTCTTCAACCTGGATCTTGAACTCAAGCTGCTGCAACATGTACTGTATTCTGTGGCCGAGCGACGGACACTCGTATTTCAGCAAATCCAACACAGTAAACGTTGGTTTGTGGATTTGGGGTTTATTTTGAACGACATCACCGCTCGCGGGAACAGCGCTCTCCGCAGAAACAGACTTGGCGGACGCCACAGACGTGTCGTTGTCACTAGCAACGTTCTTCTGAATCCGCAGTTTCTTGAGCGTTTGTTCCAAATATTCAATGTTTTTCTGGGCCTCTCTGATGGAGGTGTTGCATTTCTGAATCACCAGCGCATTGGACGTCTCTTTGCGCAAATTGCTAGCTCCAAGGGCAATGTTTCTCTCTCTCTCAATCTTGCGCAAAATATCCGTAATCACGGGATCCTTTCCGTCTGACATGGTGAAACGCCAACTCTTGTTGATCTAGATCACCGTAAATCAAGAACGGTAAATATTAATGTAAATGGTTCTGATTCGTCGAATCCAGAGAGAAATCCAAATAGCCGCTGTTCAAATCAGCGAGATCAGCAACTATCAACGATTTAAGGCGCAATATTCGGGCAATTTATTGTTCCCCTTGTTTTCGTTTATATTACGATAAATAAAAAAAAAACGCTTTCAACCCCCTTCGGCTGAAATATTGTGTTTTCATCTATGTATAAAAATAACAAAAACAGGGAAATCTAGAAATTTTCAGCCAGACCCTTTTGCACATCCGTACACCGTAAATAATTCTTGAAATCGCTTCACTTACTGTTGCAACGACAGTCGCATTCGGGTACTGGGCACACGAAATGCTTCGAGAACCACTCCTCGGCGTGGCCCGCATGCATTCCGTGGTTGCATGACAAACAAAAACTGAACCACTCTTTGAACTGGGTCTCCAGTGTGAGGTTATCGTTAGCGGTGCCATTGTCGACTCTGGTAACCTCCTTAGGGATGGCTATTCCCTGAGTAATCAGACAGATAGCGCATCGAGGTAAGGGATGCCCACAGTGGGGACATGTGTGAAGCGGTAACTCCTTTTGTAATGCCATTCCGCTTTTGAAATTCGGAACAGGTTTTCTTTTCTGTGAAATGTTCTTATGACAGTTGGTGCATTGCAAAAACACCTGGCGAGCAACAGGCTTCGTCTGTACCTGGCCATTCATCCGTTTAGACAGTTTCGTCCTTGCCACGTCGAATTTAGCACGAACATGGAACAAGTTCCAGCTGTTGAGCAAGTATCTGTAGCTTTCCACCCAATCTTCCACTCGCTGATCATTGAAGTATTTCGGACAGCCGTATGATGCAATCAGACAGGCGCTTTGGACGTCGCTCGTCCGGTCGACAAAAGATTGCAACAAATCAATTCCTTTAGCTGTGACACCTGTTAATATTATTCCTTCAATCTCTCCCCGATTAATCACACTTTCAGCGAGTCTGGTGAGGTAAATGTCCAGCTCATTATCTGGAAGAAACCGAAGTGCAACTCCTAGTTTCTCTCTCAAAGGCAAAAACGTGTCGTCCAACACGTCCCACCAATTACCATCGGCAACGTATGCAAAAATCACCCGCAAATACGGGTCTTCGAGGTCGGAAGCCAGTTTGCGGCACTGGTCTTTCCATGTTGTGTTCATTTGCGAGTCCTTGAATGCAAAGTATCCGGCAATGGCTGTCGACATGATCCGATACGATTCCTTTTTGGAGCTTCCAAGGATCTCTATGGCACGGCCAATATCGCCGTGGAAAACGGCCCAGCCAGCCGCGCGCTCGTAGTGCTCTTTGGCAATCAGACTCTCATACTTGTTTTCCAGCTCTGACGCACTAAAGTCCCAGCCGATCACGTGCATCGCCAGTCGTCTGTGGATCTCTTTGCGGTTTCCTCCCTCAAACCCAATTAATGGAGCAGCCAGTGTCTTTGTTTCTAGGTTCCGTCTGTTAATCATGTTTTTAGCAGCAGTGAACAACTCTTTGGAAGTGAAATTGCCAGTGCCGTTGTATCTGTTTTGTTCTGAAAAGCCTTCCTCCATGTGCCAGATACCCAGAATTCCCAGATATCCAAAGTCGAAGTTTCCAGAGATCATCTTTCCCGACGAAACAAGGTCGTACGAGATCGAGATCCACTTCCAGGCGTTCCTTAGCTGTAAAGTGGTCTCCAGCCAGCTCATATTCTCCAAAATGGTGATGTTACTGTCTGCGTCGGCCCCATAGTTCAGCAACGCGCGTCGTCTGATAGTGGAACAGATGTCGTTCTCCAAGAGTGTTTCTGACTTGAGTCCCATACTGTCTCTGATATCCTCGAACGGCGACTCGTCGTCATCTTCGTCCTCGGGCTCGTCATCCTTGTCGCTCTGGTCTTCGCTGGTAGATTCAGACGAATCCGGCGAGTCCACCGACTTGTCCTTCGAGTTTCGTCTCACTTGGGGCTCCTCGTCAACAATGTCTTGCACCATTTTCGAACATGTGCCCTGCGGACCACTGAAGGTGAGATCGTTGAAAGAGTCAAAATCTGTGCTGGTGAAACTCTCCACAACATTCATCATGTAGAGACTTCCAGATTGTCTCATACAAACGAGATCGATTCCCTGGGGTGAGTCCAAGCTTGGACTGTAATCAAACGATATCACACGCTCGTACTTGGTACGCACATCGTTCACACGCGAAATGAACAAAGAGTCGGACGGTTTGGCAACGGCTGCAACCAACGTTCCCTCAGATCGACTTCTTGCCACCATGCTCTCGAAACGTGCAACCTCCGACTCCAATGGCGGAACCAGTCCAATCTTCCATCTTCTGACAAGATCTCCGTCAAATAGTGCTCCCAGCTCGCCCTGGTTTACAGTGGAGTATCTGTACGGAGAGCCGCCCGACTTGCGCTGGTCACTCAACAGCTTGTTGAACATCAACAATGGACCCTCGTTTATGGACCCCATGCCTTGGATCTGCGGGACCTGCGACATTTCGCCCAGCTTTCTGCGGTCCCAAATGGCCAACGAGCCGTCCTCGCTGGCAGAAGCGAAAAAGTGGGGGTTGAATGGATCAACGTTCACATGAAGCGTGCATTTGGTTCCGAGCTGGTAAACAGGCTGGTTTGACCGAACATCAAACTCCCGTAGCAGCTTGTAACTGCCAGAAATGATATTGTTGTTTCCACAGAAACTGAGCGACGAGACACTCTCGTTCGGCACAAACGAATTGATAGGCTGTCCAACGTCATTCTTTCCTGTTCTGGAATAGCTCTGGAGATCCCAGATTTGCACAGAATGATCCTGACGGCCCCGATCGTAGCCCAAAGCCACCAGGCCGTTCTCTCCAAACGATATAGCATTACAGGACCGAGACTGGCGCGGTTTCAGTGTCACAACCGAGCTCTGCGGCATAGTGATATCGAAAACGTGCGCAGACCCGTCCAATTGGCCAATTCCTGTAAGTCCTGGCGTCTCCTTGGAATATTGCAAACACTGGATGGTATCAAACCCTCCTCTATCATAGACCTTTTTTATCTCGTCCTCGGCGGATTCGGCATCCTTATTGGTCTGGTAAATGGCCACTGTCTCTCCCGTCGGTGAGACTCCCAGAAACCGCTCCTCGGCGCCAACGTTCCATCCCACTGCCCGAACAACACACCCAGACATTAAACAATACAGAAATAAAGTTCAAAAAATTACCTAGATTATCTAATCAACTTTTATCTTGAGATGCTCTCTTTGGAGATGTTGGTGTTTAAGCGAAATCAATTGGCCGTCATAACCGGTCATCTCATCAAAAATGGCACCCCATTCGTATTCTCCCTTTTCCAGGAAAACCACCCCGAGAATCAGCTCGCGGGACTCGTTTGGCTGGATCGGCTCGTGAATGCTAAATTGCAACACTCCATTGTACAGGATCTTCTTTTCAATGGAAGCAGAAGACGACCGACAAATCGGAACGTGACGTAGCATTCCTGAAATAGGGTCCAGATTTCTGTTGATGATTTTCAATCGAATTGAATAAAACTCGTTCAGTTCAAGAGACTCAGGATCGACCTTTTTGTCTTGAGTGTCTAAAATGTCCAGCACCAATCCGATCTTCTCAACTTCCAGTCCGCTCACCATCTTGGAAGAGAACCGGATACTCCGCAGATCGATGATTCCAGCGCGCCCGGCGTAGATCGAATTGTTGTTCGTCTCGGAAATCTGCCACCGAGCACGTAAACGTTGCAGTAGCTCGTTTCTGTACCAAAAAGCGTGCTTCACAAACCTCTGTTCCTGCTCTGGCGTCTTGGTATCCAGGATAAACTGCTTGTTGCGCAAACTTGGGATCCGTTGCTCCAAATACTCAAAGCTGAAGTTGATCCGTTTGATAGGAATCAGAATCCGCGCGTTCTTCTTGTTCGAAAGCGCAATCTTGGTGCAATATGTATCTTCAGGCGGATCTTCAATAGCATCGTTCGATTGCTGGAACTCTTGGTCATCAGACCCTTCAATCAAACACTGGAAAACAACCTCCATTTCCTCGGTCCAGGAGTTCATCAGGTCCAATGCCAGCAGACAAAACTCCGACATCTGATGACCCTTGGCCACCATCTTCTCCAAATACTTCCAGGTATCGCCCTGGTTGTTTTCAGAAATTTTGGTGCTCGAAGAAAGCGGGATAATGTCGCATCCAACAAGCTCGATACTAGGATAAACCGTCACATTAACCGGGATGACCAGCTTGCGGAAAAACGTGGTTGGAAGGGCAGGCTTTCTATGCGAGTACTCAAAGATCAGTTGCGCTTCCTTGACTCCACGCTTACCCCAAATCTCCATCTGAAGTTTAAACTCGCTGTGTGCTTCGATTTGGACCAGATCGGCCTTGTTGAGAATCTTGAACGGCTTTTTCTTGATGAGATAGTACTCGATCTCGTACACTTCGTTTGGAGGCAGACCTTTGTTTAACAAAAGCTGGTTCAGCGGCTCAATGGTGGAGTCCAAGAACTTGGTGGTGAGCTGGTTGAGCTCAACATTGGAAGCATTCTTTAAAACAATCTCGAATCGCTTGCACTCTCCTTCCAGTAGCATAATCCATCTGTTAGGCAGTTTCACGTCTATGAGGCTGAGAAGTGGCTGCTCGTAGAGAACTGGAACAGTCAGATCCCTGGTTTTGTACTGAGCCAGCTGATTTTTGTTTGTTGCAGGTATTTTCTCGTACCATTTGAACGTCTGTTGGTTGCAATTACCAATCACCGCAGAAACCCCGGTGATTTTCAAATCTCCATGGTTCAAAGGCACGATAAAAACGGAAACAGAGGTATGACTGCGCGGTTTGAGAATGATCGATGTATTTGATGCGCTTGTTCCTCTGGTTTTATAGTTTAACTGTGTTTTAACCGGGAAGTTGTCTGTTGCAATTTGAATGCTTTTAACTTCAATTTCGAACGAATGCACGTTCCGCAAAGTAATAACCGCTTCGCATAGCTCGTCCTGAATCAATTTGTCTTTTTGGTGAAGATCGATGTTCTGAACAAGATAAATGTCCCAAAACTCGTAGCTTTCTTTTGCTTGGCACAAAATACCAAAAATGTGGGTTTGTTCCGGCTCTGTCATCATTGAATGGAAGTCTCTGAGCAGAATCGAGCCGTACTTGGTTGCCTGGACCATGTTTCCGATATGATGAGAGAAATTGAAGATGGATAGTAACACTTTCTTTTGGATCAGATTGGGAACGGACTGTTTGCCAATTCCATAAACCTGGGCCACAGAGTCGAACAATTCGTTCAAATCTCCATCATATGTTCCGAATTTCACCATCTTGTGCGTGAGAACGAGGTCCAGAAGTTTTGTGACCAGGAAAGCACGTTTTCTGTTCATGTTGAGCTCGCCGTACACGTGGATCATCGAGTTGTAGATCTGAAGCTGCTCAATTGGCGAGAATCGTTCAAACTTGTCGTCGAAGATCTCACTGGCAATGCTGCAGATCAACTCGCTGCTATCCTTCACGCTTGTAGAGCTCAGATAGTCGATGTATCGAAGGTTGGACTCGCACAGAACAATATGGGGAGCATAGTCCTGCGGCAGGGTGAGGCTTCGTTTATAATATGCAAATGATTTGTTGATAGCCCTGACTATCAGTCCATGCACGAAATCCACCGAGTACACGGCGGTCATCGGCTGGAGTGCGTTGAAATTCGCCGACTGGAAGGACGGACGAGGAGATGCAATTGGCGACGGCGAGGCTTCCTTCGTTGATTCCAGCAGGTTCTGGATCTCCGGGGGCAGCTGGAACGCGGCGTCAAGCTCGATGAAAATGGCCATGCACAGAGCAAGGCCTTCCAGAGCAGATGCAAGCCATAAATAATCATTGGCATAACGCAGGTTGTTGATGCTCTCGCAGAACTCTGCCAGGGCACTTTTCAAGTTACCAGCAAGCAGATAGAAGTTTGCGGTGAGTTTTTGTCTTCGGCCTTTTGCTCTGTGGTTTTTGATCTTATCCTGTAAATCGAACGAGCTGGAAACACGTCTTTTCGACGACCCGTTCACGTTACTGCCGCTGTTCAGTGCCGGCGACCGCAGTGTCACGTGTTGGTATGCAGCGACATGGACCGACAGGTTGCCTAGAAACAGCGACGTGAGGTCGCAAATCACGGTTTCTATGTTGTCCATATTCTCGTCCACCACAAAGATCCCCTCCGGTTGGCTTGCCAGGTGCTTAGGGCCGCCGAAAATGATCAGATATTGTGATAAAATGATCGGATAGCTCGACTTTAGCGTGTTCCGCAGACTCTGGACGTCCTGGTCGGCGTCTGTCCACTTGACAACACCAATGGCACAAAATACCTTGCGGAACGGCTCAAAGTCCAGCAGAAACAATTGGGACGGATCCTGGTCCTGCGTGGTAAAGTCGTACACCAGTCTTCCCTGCGGGTATGCTTGCGGGTTAAATATGCCGGCACAGGGCATCACATCAACAAGTCTGATTTCCGCGACTCGTCGCAGATAGGATAAACAATGCTCAAAGTCAGACTTGTCGATGTCGCCCATTGGAACCACCTGTGCCTTGATCCGTGCGGGTACGGTGAAGGAGTAGGCGTTCATGGGTAGTGTCCGGGGATGCACGCGGTATGAAGGAATGGAGGTAAGAACAGAGAATAATTAAAAAAACCGTTTTGCACCAGCCTGGAAAACTGGTTACCAAAAAAATGGACGAGTTGGGAGTCGAACCCAAGACCTTTCGCATGCTAAGCGAACGCGCTACCAACTACGCCACACGCCCAATATAACGGGGGAAAAGAGCCCAAGAGAGTTTCGTAATTGTGTGTGAGATATGGACGAACGTTCCCGGCAACGACCGTTGGTGCTACTGAGGATTTAGGGGTGAACTTTACAGGTTAGACATCACCAAAAACATGTTCCATCAACAATTCTCGGTTACGACTCAATCGCCGTACCCAGACAGATCAGTCCCCTTTTTTCTCAATTATCAACAAAATTTAATTTCGATCTATTTTTTATTCACCAATGGACCTCAACATCGACTCTCTGGTGACTGTCTTGACCGTAGCCGCCGGAAAGGAGCGCGGAGCCAACCAAAAGGCATCAGAGAACCAGCTCAAGCAGTGGGAAACGGTCTCCGGGTACCATTTTTTGCTCCAATCGGTTTACCTCAACGTTGAGTACCCTCTGCAAATTCGCTGGCTGGCGGTGATCTGTCTGAAAAACGGCGTGGAAAAGTACTGGCGGTCGACACGAGTGAACGCCATCTCGAAAGAGGAGAAGTTCGAGATTAAACGGCATTTTTTCAACCTGTTGGACGAGTCCAACGACCAGCTGGCGATCCAGAATGCCCACGCTTTGGCGCGTGTTTGTCGGTTCGACTTCCCCGCCGAGTGGCCGACGCTGTTCGAGGAGATTGCCGGGCTTCTGGAATCAAACTCGAGGAATATTGTCAAACTGCACAACCTGTTGCTAATGACGAACCAGATCCTCAAGACACTGGCATCTATCCGGATCGGCCGGGCAAGGGCAGCCATGCAGAACAAGGTCACAGTGGTTGTTCCGCACCTGGTGCAACTGTACAAGGGCTTCTTCAACCACTGGACCTCGGATGGTAGCTTCAACACCGCCGTGATGGAGGTCGGGTATCTGTGTCTTAAGAACCTGAGACGGGCCATTGTTGACGGGTACGAGTATCCGCACCGCGACGCTGTGGTTGTCGAGTTTTTCCAGCTGTCGTTACAGCATTTCCAGAAACTGCTGCTGTTGCACGAGAGTTCGCAGCTGCCGTTGCTGGAACGGTACTTGAAAGCGTATGTGAAGCTGTACACGAACCTGGTTAACGACAACGTTGTTGCTTTCGTGATGATGCCCGACTCGTACCAGATTTTCATGACGATGCTGTCGTTGCTGGAGTCGAAGGCCAGCGAGATCTACAACAGCGAGGAAAACGAGTTCTGGGAGCAGCTGGCCATCAAGATGGTGTCGAACCTCAAGAAACTGACCGCGTTCGGGTACAAGAAGGGTGCGGTCATGCTAAAACAGCGCAACGACCAGTCAGAGGTGCGCGGCGCGGCAGAAATGGTGGCCACGCAGTTCTTCAACCTGCAGCTCGTGGAACACCTGGTGGACCTGCTCATCACGTGGTACATGAAGCTCCGTGCATCGGACCTGGAGTCGTGGTCGATCGAGCCCGAGGAATGGGTCAACGAGCAGCTCCAGGTGAGCTGGGAGTACCAGATCCGGCCGTGTGCAGAAAACTACTTCCAGGACCTCGTGAGCTACTTCAAGCCGCAGCTCAGCGGGTTTATTCTCAGAAAGATCGAGAGCGTGCTTTCGGACGACTCTGCAGACATACTGACGAAGGACTCGGTTCTGGCGGTGTTCCAGCTGAGCGCGAACGCCATCAGCGAGAGTTGCAACTTTGACCAGCTGTTCCGGAACTTCTTTCTGCCCGAGGCTCTCAAGGACGTTCCGTTGGAGAACAAGCTGGTGAAACGCCGCATCTGCTTGATTGCCAGCGAATGGATCCCGATCCAGGGCTCCAAAGAGACCCGGCTCGAGATGTACCAGCTGATCATTCAGTTTCTAAAAGAGTCACCCATCAACGACAGAGTGGTCAAGCTGACGGCGGTCCAGACTCTCCAGCATCTTATCGACGACTGGGAATTCAGAAAGTATCAGTTCCAGCCGTTTCTTACCGAAACCGTGGCTGGGCTGCTAGGACTGCTGAAAGGCCTCGAGTTCACCGAGTCCAAGATCTTTGTGCTGAAGGTGCTATCGGTGCTGATTGAGAGGACCAACCCGCTGGTTTCGGAACAGGAACTGCTGCAGATCATGACGATGATCCCGGCCATGTGGGACGAGTCCAACAACGCGAACGAGATGATCGTGAAGAACTCGTTGATGCGCGTGCTACGCGACCTCACTATAGCTCTCAACAGCAACAGCAACAAGACCTATCCGATAGTGCTACCGTTGATCGAACTGTGCTGCACTCCGGGCTCAGACCTGTACGCGTTGCTGTGCGAGGACGGCCTGGAGCTCTGGGGAGCCGTGCTGAAACATCTGCCAACCACGGTAGCAGTTCCGGACCAGATCATCAACCTGTTCCCGTTGACGGTGTCTGCGCTGTCGAACTGGACAGAAATCCTGCCTACGGTGCTACAACTGGTGCGGTCGTATGCGATGTTGGATTTCAAACTATACGAAACGGAAAAGGGTCTCGAGATCCTCAAGATCCTGGGCGGATACCTAACCTCCATGAGAGACGACTCGATCTATCTCACATCGTCTCTGATCGAAACACTGGTACTTCAAAACCAGGACTCGGCCCAGGTGGTGGAAAACATCACCGAAAGCGGCCTGTTTGCCGAAATGGTGCAATATCTCACCAGAGAATCGCAAACCCCCAACTGCGAAATCAAAATGTCATTGCCCCTGCTTAGACTGGTGCACAAAAACCCGGTCCAGTTTCTGGGCCTGTTGACCAGAGTCACAGACACAAATCTGGCCACCAAGCTCAACTCGCTGATCGAGTCGCTCATTAACTTGCTGAAACTCGTTTACGACTCAAAGATCCGTAAACTGTTTGTTCTTGCTCTGTTTTCGTTCTATGACCCAGCCATCTTCAAGGAATATTTGCCAAAAGACCAAAACTCAGACCTTGACTACCAGATTCAGAACATGTCGCCAGAGTCGGCAGTTTCTTTGGTGCTGTCGACAAACTTTAGCAACATCCTGTTCCTGGCCACCCATCTTTTGGAAGAGGTGAACGAAAACGAGCAAGGCGACTGCGAAGCATATCACAAGCCGTCGTCTTACGAAGACGACGACCTCACCCTGATCGAACAGGACCAGGACGAGACCAACGAATACGCGCTTGAGTACAAGCTGCCTCCGTCTGCAGAGAAACTGCGCTATAACGAGCTGATATTCAAACTAGATCCGGTGCACAGGATCAACACCAAAGGTCTGATCAAGTACAAGATGGATAGCCTGTCGGGAATTAAAGGGTATCAGGGGTTGTTGGCGTCTGTGGACGGCGAAACGCTGGAACAGCTGCAGATGATGATCAATAAATAGCGCAACTAATAGACTAATTCTCGCTTTCTGACGACGTGTTGGACGGCCGGCTGTATGGATGTGTTCTGATTGGCCTGGACGAGCTGTTGCGTGTAGGCCCCCCGGAGCCGGTCCGTTCTGACGTTGGCGGAGTCTGCTGTGGTGCGGGCGACGGAGAGGCTGCTGCTGCTGCTGCTGCTCTTGTTGGGTCCTCGGGACCGGTACGTCTTCCCATAGAGAAGCCTTCTCCCTCTGTTGGGAAGTTTATGGCGGGGTCGTCCAGAGCGTAACCCATTCTGACGGGACCAGACCAGCTGATCGGCACAAAAACTTCGGTCAGTGCTATCGGATAGAACACTAAGTTGGAGTCCGGGCCCGAGGACTCGGTCATTTCCGGAGCGATCTCGCGACGACACAGCGGACACGACACGTTGCTCTTGAGCCACTCGGTGACACACGATTTGCCGAAGATGTGGCCACATTGGTTCAATTTGACAGCATAGTGTGCGTTTTCGGAGCTCGGGTCCTGTGCCGCGTGTTTGTGCTCGATCTCCTCGCCCGGATGGTATGTGATATGATTGGTGCCTGTTTGATCTGTCGGGAAAGGCACATCAGGGTCCGAATTGTCGTAGCCGTCAAACATACGGGGCAGATCAGAGTCCGACAACTCTGGCTGGTCTGGCACTTTCTGTTCGTCCAGGTCCTCAAACTGGTCGAAACAGATCGGACACTGTCGTTCTGATTCCGGCAATTGTGACAGCGGGATCGGCTTGAGCGAAGCAATGGCGTCTTTGGAAGCATGTTTGTGTTTAGAAGGTCTGTTAAGGATCTCAACGAAATTGCGCATCATAACGGCGATTGGCGACTCTGAAGAGCCGGAAAAAGGCCCTGTTCTGTTGGAATCGGACGGAAACACATCAAAGGCAAAGGAAAGCCCCGGAGTGCCGCCCAAAAACTGTGGGGGAGGAATATTGTCAGGATTCATTAAATCACAAAGAATTATTTATCTTAGTAATTCAGTTTGATTTCTAAATATTTAGTAGTGTCGACGACTATTCTAGAAAAAAAATGGAACCTGCTCCGGTCGAGAGAAATAATAAGTGGTGTCGACGCGTCGACAGCAGCAATAGGAAGTATGGCCTACCATAGCTGTATTAACTAAATAGTTGCGAAGGAGTCGGCGAATGGCAGAGGCGAGGAGCAAACTATAAGTATTGAGCTCTGATCTGGTTGGCCATGACACGCTCATTATCGGGCAAAATGTCGATTTGCTGCGGAGTCAGCTTCAAAACCTGGACAATCAAACTGGCCTCCTGCTCGTTAATATGCATTAATTTGTTAATGGTCTCGCGAGGTAAACCAAGCCAATCCGGGTTGATTTTCTCCGGATTGATAGGAGACGGAGTGGTTGCAGGAGCTTGCTGAGTGGACACAGGAGATGGAGTGGACTGGTGCGAGGTGGGGTTGAACGGAGAAAACGTAGCCGGCATGGCAACCGGCTCGCGCGCAGGCACAGAAGCCTGTGATGGCGCTGCTGGAGTAGCAGCGGCAGCAGCAGTACCGGCCTGCGGTTGGGCAGACATCGATTGGTTGATCACGTCGAGATCAACCACACCCATCAGTAGCAAGGACTGTGCAGCAGCCACGGCCAACTTTGGGTTGGAGTGCAAGATCTGGGCAGCCTCGGTGTAGTTTGGCGAAGGTCCAGACACGATGAGTTTCAATTTCGCCAACAGTTCGATCAAAATTCCGGGTGGAATAGTAGCCAGGATTTCAGAAACCTTGTCCTTGGCGTAGATCGGCTGCTGAGACTGTTGCGGAAGAGGCAGGAATTGGGATGCCATCGACAGGTTGGTAGGCATAAATTGCGAAGATCCGTTAGACTGGGATCCGGAGCCTGATTGTTGTCTGTTGAACTGCTGGACAACGTTTCCGATCTGAGTCATGTCCATTCCGTTGGAGATCATTTGGCTCACCATTTGCTGGAGTTGCGGGTTCGAAGAAATGGTGGCCAACATGTCGCTGTTCTGGCCTGCAAATCTGCTTCCAAACGGATTATTAGCCGAGGCGGAAGGAGTCGAGGCAGAGGAGGAGGACGAGGCACCAGAAGACGGAACAGGTTGCTGGTAAGTGTTGTACTGAGGCGGCAGATTTGGGTTGGCAGTCAGCATCTCTTGCGGTAAAATCACATTAGAAGGAAGGAAATTCCGGGAGAGCTGGAGCTCTGGCTTTTGTCCCGGAACAGGGTTTCTGAGTCCCTCTTTAGAGAGTTCGATCCTCAGTTTTTTGCGGCCCTCGATCTTGATTTTCGACAAGATCTGCAGAGCCCGAGTAGCGGCGTCTGGGGTGGCGTACTCAACGAAACAAAATCCCTTGTTTTTCGAAGCGTTGTCCATCATACAACGAACATCAACAACAGGACCCGATCCACAGACAACAGACTTGATGATTTCAACATCCCAGTTATATGGAATAGCGCCCAAATACAACACGCACGAGCTGTTGTTGGAAACTTGAGGTTGGGGCTTGGTCGACATGGTGAAGGCTGGCTCTATGTACAAATTGGCCCGCCAAGGATCCCCTCGCAAAAAAGTATCCGCGTTTGCAATGATTTCTATGTGTTTTTATGTGTAATTACTAGTGCGTAGTGTTGGATGTCAGTACAGGTAAATGTAAACTTTTGTTTCCTAATTATACATCTCCTTTTGGGTTCTGACCTTCAAACTCTTGTCACTGGTATTTGTTTAACTGAAAAATTTTTTCGACTGAAAAATTTAGCGAGCTTTTGCGCGTGGACCCGCCGAAACGCAACCCGCAACAAAGTGACTGTCATAGATTTTTCGTTATATGCTACAAATACATTTTATACCGGTTCTGGATTTCGCGGTATAATTGCTGCTGGTCCGGGGCCACCTGCTGGATATCGGCCTCGGACATTGCACAGATCGTCCGGATCGCCTGTAGCTGGTCCGGGTCCAGCGCGGCCAGCGGGTTGTCTGCTCCGGTATCGGTCGTGGTGGGGGCAGCTGCCGGAGCCGAATCTGGCTCTTTTTTCGTCTCCACAAGCAGCTCTTTAATCTGTTCCGTCGAGCTCAGCCCAAGACTCATGGACGTCTGCACCAGCGCAAACAATAACTGTGGATGTTTCTCGAGCAAAAGCCCCATCAGTTGCGGATTGTTCTCAGACATAATCTGGGCATCTCTAAGTAGGTTGCGTAGTCGTGTTGGCTCCAGAGTGCCCAGAGCAGCGTTGATCTGGTTGTTCAGACTCTCCATGCTGCCGTTTGCCATGATCATCCCCGGAGGCAAAGGCGGGATCTGTTTCTCCAGCTCGGCCAGCTCGCTAGATCCCTGTGTCTTGAACGTGTTGATCACCGCCTGCTCGCTCGAAAAATTGCACTTCAAATACCTGTTGCCTATCGCATAGTTGTTGAGGTTTCGCACGGCCGATCTCGCGGTCTCTAGGTCTTGGTACTCGATGAAGGCATACCCTTTGGACTTGCCTGTTTCTCGGTCAAAAAGAAGCTTTGACGAAACAACAGGCCCCACTGACCGCGCAATGTCCAAAATCTGGTCCTCCGTCTGGTCAAATGGAATCCCCCCGATGTAAATCACCCGACTCGGCTCGATCCCCGAGTAGTTCTCCGCCATAGACATCCACTGTTCAAACACTCTGGTAAAAAAAACTGCAAATAAAACTCTCTCCACACACACCCTTGCACCGTACCTCACCAAGTTTGTTTATGTTCTATTTCCTCAAATCAACGAGTCTCCTCATTTAATTTTACACATGTCATTTGCCGTTTCTCAAGTAGCAACCAAGCCGTTCACCGACCAGAAGCCTGGAACCTCTGGGCTCCGGAAGAAAGTGAAGGTGTTTCAGCAGGAAAATTACACCGAGAACTTCATCCAAGCAGTGTTCGATGCCATTCCAGAAGGCGCTGAGGGCTCCACGTTGGTTGTTGGAGGAGACGGAAGATACTACAATGACCACATTGTCCAGGTGATTGCCAAGATCGGTGCCGCTAACAAAGTCAAGAAGCTGATCATTGGTCAGAACGGTATTCTGTCCACTCCCGCTGCCTCTTTGATCATCAGAACATACGCTCAGGGAATCACTGGAGGTATCATTTTGACCGCCTCCCACAATCCAGGTGGACCAAACCACGATTGCGGAATTAAGTATAATCTCGGAAATGGAGGCCCTGCTCCGGAGTCCGTCACCAATAAGATTTACGAGGCCTCTTTGAAGCTCGAGTCCTACAAGATCATCAAGGATCTGCCCGAGGTCGATCTGGCCCAAATTGGAACCAAGTCGTACGGTCCTTTGGAGGTGGAAATCATCGACTCCACGGCTGCTTATGTCACCATGATCAAGGAGATCTTTGATCTCGACTTGATCAAGTCATTTATTGCCAAGAAATCTCCTCAAGGATTCAAGATTCTGTTTGATGCATTGAACGGCGTGACTGGTCCGTACGGAAAGGCTATTTTTGTCGACGAGCTTGGTCTACCATTATCTTCGATCCAGAACTACGTCAACAAGCCCGACTTTGGTGGATTGCACCCAGACCCTAATCTCACGTACGCCAAGACTTTGGTGGACAGAGTCGACTCGGAGAACATTGCCTTTGGCGCAGCCTCGGACGGTGACGGAGACAGAAACATGATCTACGGCGCGGGAGCCTTTGTCTCGCCTGGAGACAGTGTGGCAATCATTGCCGAGCACGCCAAGAGCATTCCGTATTTCAGAAAGAACGGTGTGCACGGACTTGCCAGATCGATGCCAACGTCCGGTGCACTGGACCTGGTCGCCAAGGCCCAAGGCTTGAACGTGTACGAGGTTCCAACGGGGTGGAAGTTCTTCTGTGCTCTGTTTGATGCCAAGAAGCTGTCCATTTGCGGAGAAGAGTCGTTTGGCACTGGATCCGACCACATCCGGGAGAAAGACGGGTTGTGGGCCATTGTTGCATGGCTGAACGTTCTGGCTGCGTTTGAGAAAGAACACCCAGACGTGGACCCTTCCATCGCCAACATCCAGACCTCATTCTGGAAGAAGTACGGAAGAACGTTCTTCACCAGATATGACTACGAGGACTGCGACAGCGCGGACGCTTCGAAGGTGATTGACTTTTTGCAGGCCAAGGTGGACGAAGGAGCCGCTTTCGTGGGCACCCAAATCGGTTCGTCTGGCAAGGTTGTCGAGTCAGCCAACTTCTCGTACACCGACCTGGACGGCTCTGTTTCGAGCAAACAGGGGCTCTACGTCAAACTGGACTCTGGTCTTCGGTTCGTGGTAAGATTGTCTGGAACTGGTTCGTCCGGAGCCACCATCAGACTGTATTTGGAGAAACACTCGTCGGACATCTCCGATTCGAACCTGGCCAAGTCCGCGTCCGAGTTCCTGGGCCCAGACGTGACCAGCGTGGTCAAGTTCCTCAAGTTCCAAGAATACATCGGCAAGGAAGAGCCAGACGTCAGAACATGACCCCTGTTATATAGTGCAGAGAATTATATTGGCTATATTATTACGATGCTCAGTCGGTCCAGAGTCTGGCCTTGTGGTCTGCTCCCGCGGTGAAGAGCCATGCTTGCGACGGATGCCAGCACACGTTCAGAACTCCCAAACTGTTGATCACCTTGTGGCCGGTCAGTTTCTTCAAAGGAACCAGCAACGGGTTGTTCATCAGGTCGTCGTAGACGGTGCCGTGGAAAACGTGCACGGTTCCGTCGTCGGCAGCAGAACAGAACAGCGGCAGACCGCCCTTGTGGTAGGCCACCGCACGCACAGCCTTGTCGTGGTACCGCAGGGTCTTATAAGGCGTGGAGCTGAGATCCAAATCGTGCCACAGAACACGCTTGTCGTACGAACCGGCCAGAATATGGTCACCGCCGCGCGGATGGATATCCATGCACGAAAGCCATCTGGCGCCCGGAAGCAGCTTCTTCTCCAGCTGCTGCTGCTGCAGATTGTAAATTCTAATGTACCGTTGCGACATCACCACCAAAATCGGCTTGGAAGGATGGAACTTAGCGTCCATCACGATTCCCTTGCTCTTGTTGAATGGCGACTGCGACGCGTGACGCGAGAGCTGGTGGATCAGAACAGACGTCTTGTGGCCTCCTTCGGGCGAAACAGTGACGAAATAGTCGCCACGACGGTGCCAGGACACCCGCTTGAACGTTCCTGCAGAGGAACCTCCCTTGGAAACACGGATGACGGCACAGACGCCGTTTCCGACCTGCTCGGAGCTGGGCTTGTGCCACACGGCCGCCGCGGTCTTGCCCGTGTTCTCACCGTCCTCGCCCTCGACGGTGTCGCTGCCGGTCTTGGCGTAACCCCAACCGTCCTCCACTAGCAACTTGGACCGGTTTTCTGTCTCGAAACCGAAAACTGGTGGCACAACTAGGAAAATGGTAGCACCGCAAGTGATGGCCAGCAAACCAACGTCCGATTGCGGATTCCACTCGAGGGCCTCCACATGGTCCTCCTCGTCCTCAATGATCTCGTACTTGTACAATTCGCGTCCAGTGAGCACCTCCCAAACACGCACAGTGCCGTCGTCAGATCCGGTTGCCAGCCAGTTTCCGCTAGGATGGACGGAAATTGCCCGAATCCGGCCCGTGTGGCCCTCGTAAACGGTCGACGTGCGCACAGGGAATGGTCTCAGGTCCTTTGGCGATGGAAGCTCCGGGATCAACGACTCAGGATCAATGTCCAGTTTCTGCTTCCGCACACGAGGCGCAAGATACAGGTCCAAACACCGCTCGAACCGCTCCCGCACACTCTCCTGGTAGCCAGGAACCTTACGCAGGGCCCCGTACTTCTGTGGAACAAAGTTCTTCTCTCTCTCGCTAGGATCCATCTCCTCCCACTTTTTGCGCTCCTCCTCGCTCATCAAATACTCTTCTGGCGGGTTGTAACTCTCCTCGTTTGTTGGTGGGGACAGCTTCGGCGCACGCAACGTCATCACGTGATCCTGGGTGTTATCGATGTCTGCTCCCCAAAGGTCGAAGTTGAGTTCCTCCTCCTCGTCATGCTGCTTCTTGAGATGCGGAGGAACAATGCGGCCCTCTCTGATAGCCTTGACGATCTTCATGATCCGTTTGGCCTCGTGCTTGGACGGAACGAACCGTCTCTTTGGCTCGGGAACAGCCGTCAGCGGCATGACCTCCGTCTTGCTAGTGAACCACTCGATGGTTGGCTCGTAGGGGTTGATGGTGTCGTCTGTGTTCTCGTTCTTTTCGATTTTTCTGATCAGCTCAAGCTCGTCGGCAGTGATATTAAGCGACGAGCCTGTTTCTTTGTCGAGCAAACCGGTCCACCCTTCGGGCAAATCGATGTTCTCCAGTAGCTGATCCAGAGCAGACCCTTGGGCCGGTCTCATGATTCTCTTTCCGTTGATGTCGTATCCAATGTGTGGGTACTCGTCGTACGCAGAAATGGGCACGTTTCCAATTGTGTTGCTCTCCTCTCTATCAGAGTCGTCAGAGTCGTACACCGGATTGATTTCCGGTCTGAGTATCCGCTCCGAACCATCGTGATATTTACTGCGCACTTCCCCGTTCGAGCTCGTCGAGCTCAGCGTCCGAATCTTGATCCCCGAGAGTTTGTCTGTGATGGACGGCTCCTTTGGCTCGTCCTCGTCCTCGTCACCGCTCGAACCCTCCGCCAAAATTCTGTTGAACTCTGCGTCAGAGTCTTCTTCCTCTTCTGGCTCCTCGTCAGCGCTCTCAAACTCGTCGCTTTCGGAGTCGTCCAAGAGTCCATCCACCTGGATATCGTCTTCGGACGAGGAGTCTTCAAATTCCTCCTGCTCCTGCTTGCGCGACTCGATCTGTTCGCTCTTTCTCTTCACCATGCTAAGATCGAATTTAAAAAAAAAAAATTTTGAAAAATATAACTGTTATGCATGCAGGAGCACATAATCAGAAAATTGAAAAAAATAAGCCCAACGCGGGGCTCGAACCCGCAGCCTTGTGATTAAGAGTCACACGCTCTACCGATTGAGCTAGCCAGGCTTAATACATTGGTGTTAGTGCCCCGGTTGGATATGTGGTGAGTAATGTATAACTTGCACAATGTAGCTATGGTTCACCACACTGCAAAACTTGCAGAACGAGGAGAAGTTATACCACAAGACATTACAGGTCGTACCCACAGTTATACACTTCCTGTGCATAAGTCCACCCTCCCTGCTCTGCACATAAGTAGCTTCTCGCGAGTGAAAAAAAAATATGTTTCGGATTCCCAAGACTGTGTTTCGCCGGTTTGCCAGTTTCCAGGCCGGCCAGCCAATCCACGAGACCAGGCCGCACCTTGTCCGGTCTGGCGAGCTGACCACCGGAATCAGTGCCATGGAGTATTTCAACAGACGGCACAGACTCGCAGAGCAGATGCCCGCACAGTCCTTGGCCATCCTCCCAGGAAACACCGTCAAGTACGCTTCCGGGGCCGTGTTTTACCATTTCCAGCAGAACAACGATCTATTTTATCTGTCAGGATGGCAGGAGCCGGATTCAGTGCTGTTGTTGGAGAAACCCAACGATAACCCAGATTCGGTTATCTTCCACATGATTGTTCCTCCCAAGGACGCCAATGCAGAGTTATGGGAAGGTACACGTACCGGGGTGGACGGCGTGCAGGAGATATTTAATGCTGATCGTGCTACAGATAACCGCAACCTACACAGCTATTTGCGCCCGTTATTGAATAACTACAGCAAAGTGTTATACGATTTCGACTCCCAGAAAAAGTCGTTGTTCAACAGGGTGTTCAGCTCAAGAGATAAGCCGCCGCCAAGCAGAGAGACAATAGAGACTCTTCTGCGTGAAGCAAACTGCCAGATTAGTTCGCTGTCCAAATACGTTACAGAGATGCGGAAAGTGAAGTCGAATGCTGAACTTAGAGTTATGCGTATGGCAGGTAAGATCTCTGGAAGAGCGTATAACCAGGCGTATGCTAAACGGTTCCGCAGCGAAAAGGGTCTGCATGCGTATCTGGAATACCGGTTCATTTCCGGCGGGTGCGACAAGAGCGCATACATCCCGGTGGTAGCAGGAGGCACCAATGCCCTGTGCATCCACTATACGCGGAACGACCAGCTGTTCAAAGGCGACGAGCTCGTGCTGGTGGACGCTGCCGGCAGTCTGGGCGGCTACTGCGCGGACATCTCGCGGACGTGGCCCGTGAGCGGAAAGTTCACTCCTGCACAGGCAGAGTTATACCAGGCCGTTTTGAACGTCGAACGCAAGTGCATCGAGCTGTGCACACAGCGACAGGGTTTGGGGATGTCTGATCTGCACGACGAGAGCGTGCGGTTCATGACTGCGGAGCTGCGAAACTGCGGCTTCCACGGTGTTTCCAGTTATGAGGTTATGCGCCACCTTTATCCTCACTATATTGGCCACAATCTGGGGCTAGATGTGCACGACGTGCCGGGCCACGCCCGCGGAGCGTCGTTCGTGAAGGGCCAGGTGGTCACCGTCGAGCCCGGCGTGTACGTGCCGGACGACCCGCGCTGGCCTAAACACTTTCGTGGTCTGGGTATCAGGGTCGAGGACGACGTGGCCGTTGGCGACGACAACTACGTCGTGCTGACCGCAGAAGCCGCCAAGGAGATCGTCGACATCGAGACGATCGCCGAGCACGGCGTCACCACAAAGCTCGAGGACGAGGTGGTGGACGTGTGGGCATTGTAAATAGTAATCATTCAAAAGCTTCCCGGACCATTTTGTTCACCTCGAGCGCGCGCATTTCCGCGACGACCGACTCATTCAGCGCGTTCACGTGCTGCAGGACGTCCTGCTGGTCGTTGGCCGGAAAGAACTCGATCACGTTGCACGACTCGTCGATCTTGACGCGAAGCTTAAAGAGCATAACCAGTTTCACCAGCTCCTGCTTCGACGTACCGAGAACCTGCTCTATGTGGTCGAAACTCACTCGTTTCATCATCGACAGGTAGAACAGGTCGATCTTGTGGTGGAACGTTTGTCGCCAGAACCGGAACCCTTGCGACAGCTGTTCGTCGTGGTCGAACTCGTTCTGGAATGTGTCCAGGGTGGTTTTGAGTTGTTTAAACCGGCATTTCTTGTAGTCATTGACCAAAGTTTTCAGCTGTATGTCTGCGGCAAGCGTCTCTTTGAGCAGTTCTGTCCACCGCGAGTCCAGATCCTGAATCTTTTCCACCATCAGAATCGAAAAACACACCGTTCGAAGCAGATAGTCCTTGAAAACCAGCTCGTTACTATAGCTGTTTCTCAACACGTCCTTGGCACACACCCCGCTGATCGCCGGTTCCTGCTCCAGGCGGAAATACTCCTCCGCAACGCCCTGGTAATCGCTCCCCAGGAAATTAGCGTACAGCAGGTACCAGCGACAGTTCCAGTACGCTATGGCTTCTTCCGGGTCCAGAACACGCTCGTCCACAGCCATCTTGTCGTCCTCATCGCTCTCGTCGTCCCTCTCGAACTCCAGCGCCTGTTGCAACTTGCGACGCAGAAACAGCCCGCACGTTGCCAAGCTGCCGTCGTACGCCTTGTAAATAATGAACTTTTGCAGCTCGCGCAGCGACCATTTCTTCGACAGCGACGATAACTCGGGCCCCAGACTGTAGTAGAAGGCGGCGTTGTCGCTGACGGAGTCGCTGGAGCCGGTTTTCATGAGGATATCCACGGTCCGTCTGTGGAGCAGGTCGAGGATCTGCTCGAAGACGGCATCTGAGGGGTCGTGTTTGGCGATCTGGGCGATCTGGTCGTCGTAGGCAACGCTGTTTCCCTGTTCCAGTGAGTATTTGGCGCGAACAGACTCTGGCAAGAGGGCAACAAGCGATGGGGTATCCTTATAATTCTGGTACGGAGAGTCTGGTTTGCGGATCAATTCCAGCAGATCCTCAATAACTTTCTGGGTTATGTCGAAATTCTGACAAATATACGCCAATCGTTTGATATAAAGCGGACCAACCTCGTATTCAGTGACATAACGGTCAATGCACATGATTTAAAAAAATTGAAGCCAAAGAAAAAAAAATATAGTGAAAAAAACATGTTTCCACCTTTCAAAGGAACGCTTGTTCTTTTTGCCAGCAAAACGAAGAACCGGCTGGCGTTTGCGGTGAACGCCAACAAAGTGCCGCTGGACCGCGCGAGGCTTGAACGGGCGCAGATGCTGCGATTGCGGGAGAAAAACCAGACCCCTGTCTCTAACGACGCTGCCAGAAAACTGGTTGCCAAAGTGCTGGAGAAACCCGTTGCCGAGAACGTGCGGATCTCCGCAACGACGCCGTTCACTGAGCACGAGATTGAGAAGCTGTTTCGCGTGCCCAACGAGCGGTTCAAGTACAACATTTTGGGAATCAACGGCAACCAGCTGTCGAACTCTGTCACGGTGAATAAAAAGACAGAAGCACTGCTGGAAAACGGCGACCTACCGCGCGCGATCGAGCTCGCCCGGCTTGCGCGAAACCAGGGCATCTTCTCCTTCGGCACGATCTTCCACTACCTCGCCAACCGGGGCAAACTGAATAGGTTGTGGGACTTATTCAATAAGGTGAAAAAATGGGGGCAGCGTCCGGACGGCAGGATGTTGGCGGTTTTATTTGCCGCACACGCCAACGCAAAACACCCCAAGTCGTCCAAGGCGCTCGTTACCAAAGCACAGGCCATACGCATACGCGATTTCCTTGAGTACGAGGCGGCCAAGCAGAAAAACACCGTCGATATCAGACACGTGAACTCGGTGCTCAAAGCATTGCGGCTGGCTGGCTGTTCCGACGAGGCCGTCGCGCTGTTTGAGAAAGTGCCCGCCATGAAGATGCGCTACGACTCGTTCACATACACAGAGTACTTCAGCGCGCTGCGACACACAGAGGACTACACCGCTGCCATAACCAAGGCAGAGACGCAGTTCAGCCGGCTGCAGACCCAGAAGACGAACGTGGACGAACGGCTGGTGCAGGCGTACTCTGCGCTGTTTGTGTTTGCGGACGACGTGCGGCTGCGCGAGCGCGGACTGCTCATCCTGCGCAAGTGGTTCAACCTGTGCGACGAGTCTGCGATCGAGTTTGAGGCCGGTCACGTGACGGACCCGTCCGCGCTGGCAAGCAACAACAGCCACCCGCGCGTGGTTTCGCCTGAAGTCGATCTGGACACCGTTCTGCTGGCCAAGTCCGACATCAACAAGCGCGGCGTGCGCATGAACCCGTCTCCGCAGACAGTCAAGCGCCACGGCATCCTCTGTAAATATTTCGAGCTCTCCTAATAAATAATAGCCGCACGGCCACGGTTTTGGAAATTGTGTGCCCCGGAATAGGCACATAGTAAAAGGCAAGTTGCTGCCGATTACAATTAACATGATTTTCCCCCTGCTGGTGTTTTTGACGGTTTCCGCAGCGTTCCCGCTGCTTGGCACCGAGTCCCGGCTGATATCCACCTGTCCCAACGAGGTGGTCAAGGTCAGCACCCACGGCTGGTGGAGTTTGAAGCTAAACGATATTCCGTTTATTGATCTGACAGAACAGTATCCGGAGGTATATGAGCATCTGGAGCACGGCGAGACAATTCCGCTCGATCTGGAGAAACCGCACAAGGAATATGAGTACCCGCAAGTTTCCGAGTTCCATTCCAAGGAGGTGGCCAAATTGGTGGCAGAGATCGACTCCGCCAAGATATACACCGTTTTGAGCGAGTTCAGCTCGTTCCGGTCCCGGTTCTACAAGTCCGAGCTCAACATGGAGTCTTCTGCGTGGCTGTACGACCAGCTGATTGGCTACGCAGCCAAACACGATAATTACAACCTCGTTACGGTGAACCATCCCAGCTGGCCACAGCCGTCGTACATTTTGGAGATCCACGGCTCGGGGAACCAGAGCACCCGAGCCACAGCCATTCTGGGCGCCCATCACGACTCCACAAACCTGCACCTTCCCTACTTGTTGCCTGCTCCGGGCGCCGACGACGATGGTTCCGGAGTGGCTACGCTCCTTGAAACAGTGCGCGTGCTATCTGAAAATGACATTACTTTTGCTAACGACATTGAGTTCCATTTCTACGCCGCAGAGGAAGGTGGACTGCTTGGCTCGGGCGCCATTTTCAGCCAGTACCGTGCTCTGAACGAGAAGAAGGTGGTCGCCATGTTGCAACAAGACATGACTGGCCACACGTCCACCTCGCTCGAGAAAGGCTACCCGGAGCATTTTGGGATTCTCACCGACTCCACCTCGCCGAAACTCACCGAGTTCTTGAAAACCGTCATCGACCAGTACACCAGCATCCCTGTGTTTGAAACGTCCTGTGGGTTCGGGTGTTCCGATCATTACAGCGCTTTCCTGAACGGCTATCCAAGTGCAATGGTGGCAGAGGCCAAACGGGAGTTCTGGAACCCGCACGCCCATACGATCAGAGATACCATCGACAAACTCAGCGTGCTGCACATGGCCGAACACGTGAAACTGTCGCTCGGGTATGCGTTCGAGCTCGGCCAGTACTCGTTCGACGACCAATAAAAATATCGTACTGTTTGGTCATTCCACCAATGTCAAGGATTCTTCTTTATCTTCGTTGTAGAGCTGTGTGTTGGTTTTCACCTGGTAGCTGAGAATCAGCGCCCCGATGCAGATGATTCCGCCGAGTCTGAAGATCCAGCCGAGCGAGTTGTCAAAGGCGTCTTTATCGTCGCTCTGGAACAGTTTGAACACCAGCGATGAGCCCAACGACGAAACCATCTGCGGTGCCGAGACAAAGACGTTGTGGATCGCCAGCAGAATTCCCGAGTCATACACCACATGGTCGTATTTGGCCACCATGATCCGCGACGTGTAGAAATCGGAGTCTGGGTCGAACAAAGTTCGGTCCGAGTCGGCGGAAACTGGTCTGTTTTGCTTGCGTTGTTCGTCGTAGATTTGAATAGCTTTAATGTCCTTGATTCTTGCAATCTCCTCGCTGATCAGCGCAAACGGAATCCACACCGCACAGCCCCAAGGAATGCCCAAAAAGCCGAACAGCACGATTGCCTGGACCGAGGTCGAGATGAAGAACGTGGAGAGCGTAGACACGATAAACACCACGTGCGAGTAGATCCACAGCTGGCGCATGTTGATGAACCGGTGGTTTTTCAGTTTTTCCACCAAGGTCGGCAGCACAAGGTCCACGGCGAGCGTCACAACGGCGTGCACCAGCAGCGCGAGAGTCCCGCGGCGAACTCCTTCGTCGAGCAGCTTTTGTCGTTCGTCCGGAGGCAGGTTCAACGGGTTGTTATACCCGTTTTCGTAAAGATACAGTTCACCAACGTAGGTGGAGGTGTAGAAAAGCATGGGGAAGTAGCCGATCCAGGCGAAAAACTCGGCATAGCACACGATCTTGACCTGCTGTGGCAGTCGTCTGATCGACCGCAGAACCTGCCAGAAGAACGACTTGACTGCGGTGAAAATGGTGGCATGTTCCTGGTCCACGCCCATGTCCTTGAGTCTGCGTTCTGTCTTTTTGCGCTCGAGCCGGATGGCCACGTCGTAGCGCGGGTTCTTTTCCTTGATCACAAACACCGAAATGGAGGTCAATGCGAGCATGATGATGGCCACGAGCCAACTGAGCACTTTAAACTGAGAATTCCCGAGCCAGGGGAACAGCGAGCTCAGTTCCAAAGTTCCGAGCCAGAAGCCAACAATGTTGAACCCGCCGATCATACGCGCAGCCCAGGCGTTGGCGATCTGTTGCTGGACGCTCGGAACCACGTCGACGATCAAGGCACGGCATGAGGCCTGGATCACGGCTATGGAGAAATCCAGCACGTATATTCCGGCTGCGGCAAACGGGACCGTGTACCCGTTGATCACGTCCGGGTCCTTATCCTTGACGAACCAGCCAATGATGTTTGTGGAATGTGACAAATACAGCAGAGACACGATTGTTGCTAAGCAACCACCCATGATAAACGGTCTTCTTCTACCCCAATTGACGTTACATTGATCGCTCAAAAGACCCACAATTGGCTGGCCAAAAGTGCCCGAGAGCGGGCCAGCAAGCCAAATAAGCGCCAAAGAGTGTTTCGAAACCCCCAACGACAACAAAAATGGTGTGGCTTCGCTGAATTCCGTAGACCAGGCCAGTTGTAGGGCTCCGACAATCAACGTCAGCAGCATGATGTACCCGGTTGACCGGATCGGATTGTAAAGGTCAGACATCTCTTGTTCGTATTCGGGATCCAAAGTCAGCGATAACGACTGGTCTAGCAGGTTTTCGTTATCAATTGGTCCTTCTGTGCTTTGTTCTGTCATAGCAAAAAATAACCATTTCAAGTAAACTTTACACCAGAACAAATATTTTATAAATACGCGTATGGTCGATAGAAAGAGGACCAGAAGTGAGGAGTTTGCCGATGAATTTGACGATTACCGCGCAGCAACAGACCAGTTCTGTACACAGACGCGATTTCAGGACTATTGCGACGCGAAAAAGGTCCAACTTCGTCGGATCACGTCGGAACTACATGGTAAGTACTGCTGTTGATCTGGACTAACAAGCAGACAAGACCGTGAGCATGATGATGGACGCTAGTCGTCGACTGGCCAGAACTGAGCTGGACTCGATAAAATCCACGTGTGACGAGCCAACAGGGTCCGCTGACATGACCGACTCTGCACAAAGCTACTCAGACACCTCGTTCCACCAGCGGCCGTACTGGCCACAGCCGGCCCGTCTGGCGAAAACATGACTTGCCGCCAGTCTCACACGCCATCCACCACAAAGACCGCCATTGTGCGTCAATCGCAGATCCATAGCCTGGCTCCCACACCGCTGCTGCCTTTTGGGCACATAACCAAAAAAATAAGCTTGTTTTTATTTTATCAGCCGGAATCTTATCCCGTTACCATGACGACCTACGAGAAGATAGTGAAGGGCGCCACGAAGATCAAGCTGGCTCCGCCGAAGCCGAAGTACATCGAGCCGATCTTGATGGCCACCGCAGAGGGCCAGAAGTCCGAGAAGTTTCGGGTTATCATGCGCACCTTGGCACTCCGCCTGGATGATACTGCGTGGTCCATTGTGTACAAGGCGTTGATTGTGGCACATATCATGATCCGCGAGGGCGACGAGGACACCACGATCTCGTACCTGGCGAAAAACCCAGACATGCTGGAGTGCAGGAACATTGCAAAGTCCGGAACGTACATTTCGAACGGAGGAGACCTGAAAACGTTGAAGAACTACTCTAAATATCTCACCACCAGGGCCAAGGAGTATGCCAACGTGAGAATTGATTACATCAAGCAGATCAAGAAGCCGGCCACCTCGTGGTCGTCCAAGGAAACCGGCTCGAGACTCAGAGCATTGAGCGTTGATAAAGGGCTGCTTCGGGAGGTGGAAAGTGTCCAGAAACAGGTGGACGCTCTTGTCCGGTGTCGGTTCGAGGAACGGGAGGTGAACAACGATGTGGTGATTTTGAGTTTTAGAATGCTCGTCAACGACCTGCTTTCCTTGTACCAGGTGCTGAACGAAGGTGTGGTGAACATCCTGGAACATTTCTTCGAACTGAGCAAGTACGACGCAGACAGAGCGTTCGAGATCTACAAGCATTTCACTAAGGAAACAGAACAGGTTGTTGGCTTTCTAAGAGTGGCCAAACATCTAGAACATATTACCAAGTTACATATTCCTGTTATCCGCCATGCGCAAACCGGATTGACCGATTCTTTGGAGGAGTATCTGAACGATCCTAATTTCGTCTCTAATAGAAGACAATATTTGGCTGAAAAGGAGGCCAAGCAGAACGGTCAGCCGGTTCCAACTCCAAAACAGTCTCCCGTCAAGCAGCAACCAGCACCTGTACCAGCACCAGCACCAGCACCGCAACCAGAACAGCCTGTTTTCCAGCAGCCTGTTCCAGCGCAAACCATCACACAAAGCCCTACAGAGGGCTTGGTTTTCCAGCAAACAGGCTTCAACCCGTTTGCTACAGGTTTCGTTCCAATGCCAACTGGGTTCTCCAGTCAGCCGGTTAATGGCAACTTCTACGGACAGACTCCGTCTCCAGTTGTTCCACAGCACACTATCCAGCATCACACTACCCTGCAGCAAATCCCAGAGGTCCAGCCTGCTCCTAGCTACTCCCAGTTCCAGCCGCAGCAGGGTCCTTCTGTCAGCAGCGTGCCTCCGCCAACGGTTGGCCCAGAAACGCCAATCACTCCGCAATTGACCTCGTCGTTCACTGGAGCGGGTTTTGGAGGATACACCAGACAGTCTCCGATCAAGCCCCAGACCACGTCGTCACTGAAGGGCAATCTGAACCGCCAGTCGACGAATCCGTTCTCTGTGGAGCGTTCGAGCTCGAGCAACAATCCGTTCGCCGTCAAGCCTGACACCGATAAACTGACTCCTACAGAGACGGGCACGAATCCGTTCCGGGCGCCAATGGCGTCGCTGCAGCAGCCGCTTAAAAGCCAGCCCACCGCGGGCGGACTCGAGAACCTGCCGACGATCCCTGTGTTCAACGAGACCAAACAGGAATACCAGAGACAGCAGGTGCACCAGAAAGCGGCGTACGACCTCCAGCAGGCGGCACTACAAAAGGCGCAGCAGACTGGTGTGCAGACCCAACTGACCGGTTTCCAACAGCAGCCAACGGGTTTCCAGCAGCAACAGACGGGTTTCCAGCAAACGCCAACTGGCTTCCAACAAAACGGTCAACAAACGGGCTACCAACAACCTAACGGCTACCAACAACCTAACGGCTACCAGCAGCTCCAACAGCCCCAACTCCAACAACAACACACCTACAATCCGTTTCAGCAGACCCAGACCGGTCAAACCTACAACCCGTTCGGTAGCGGAGTCTACAATGGCCCAAACCTAATATAAGTCATTCAACATAGATTTGCGAGTCTGAATAATTTGATTATGCGTTTTGGACGTTCGGGGTGTACTCGCGAGCATTGCCCGAGCCTGTCTCCAAATATCTCTTGATCAGCTTGTCCTGCTTCTCGTTCGGAGTGTAATAGTCGGTCTTATAGTTGTGTTGTCTCTGTGCCTCTATACGCTCCTGGTCCAACTTGGACTTGATGGCGTTGGCAAAGGTCGGTCTTGCAACCACTCCGCTGATTGCCAATGGAACTGCAACCAGTGAAACACCGCCCAGAAATTGTAATGGAGTAACTGCCATGTTAATTATATGTAATGATACTTGAGTCGTTGGAATTGTACTTCTACAACCAGTTTACCGCCTCTATTTATATTACTCCCCGATCGGGGATTGTTTGTAGTGGTGATGGGAATTGGTGGCCCCACCAGATGACCGCAATTTTGGTCAGGAGATTTTTCCGTGGGTGTGATCACGGGTGGTGTGTTTTTCGCCGGAAAAAACCGTTATTTTTTTTCCTCACGCCAAGGTAGTGTACACCCTTTTTCTAGACTTATCTGTGGACTCGGCGACCGACTCCGTAAAGTCGTGACTGTGATGATTACTCCACTGGGTCTTGAGGTACGTCAGGCCGCTGATGTTGTACCCCACCTCTGCGGTTGTCACACGCAGCATTCTGCGCAGCTGTTGGCGGAGCTGGTCCAGGTCTTGGCGCAACTCCTGGTCTTTCTGACTGATCAGCTCCATGGAGTTGGACCGGATCAGAAAGAACAGCGTGCGGCAGATGACTGAAATCGAGGTCAGGTTCTTGTTGAAGTTGGCGCCGGAGGTCCACGTGCGGATGAACCGCAGCAGCTGCACCGTGTAGAAAAATGGTAGCACCACCAAGGCGTCCTCCAATTGCGACGCCTTGATCTTCAAAAGCACGTCCAGAACATAGTCCTCCGCAGAAACGTTCAAAGCCTGCAAAACAGGGTTCACAGAAGGCTCCACGGGCTTCTGCGCAGATCGTTTCAGCTTGAACGCCTGCAATTCGCGCTCGTACTGCTGCTTCTCCTCCAGACTCTTTCCAGCAAGGTCCAGAGCCTCCATCAGCTTCTCGCCCGCCTTGAGCGTCTCCATGGTCTGGTTCGACACCTTCGCAGCCCCGTCCTCCTCGTCCTTCACAGGCTCGTCCCCGTCCAAAGAGGCCAGCAACTCGTCTTGGTACTGCTCGTCCATCTCCTTTTCGCGCTCCTCCTCGATAAACACCTGGTCGTCCGTCTCTTCCCAGATCCTGATACTGTGGTCGTGCGAAACAGATACCATAAACTCGCCCGAATTGCTCACCGCCAGACTCCACACCTCCGAGTGGTGGGCCGCCAGCTTCTGCACGTTCTCGAACTTGATTCCGTCCCAGTACTTGATCAGACCGTCTTTGGAACAACTGAAGAAGTTCTTGGACTCTGGAACAAACTTCACCTTCATAATTGAGTCCTGGTGTCCAAAGATCGACTTGTGACAGTCTCCGAAGTCCAGTCCCCAGATTCTGATGTTCTTATCGGCAGAAGAGGTGATGATCAGCTTGGAGTCGAATGAAATGTCAATCGACAAAACGGGAAGCTTGTGTCCGTACAAACTCAGGAAAAACTTGAGCGTGTCAAAGAAAAACACCTTGACGGTGTTGTCCAACAGCGAAACAGCAAGATACTTGGAGTCTGGAGAAACCTTAACACTTAGAACGTCGTCGCTGACCTCCAATGTTCTGGTATGGTTCAATTGCAGAATATTGGTGTATCTGTTCTCAGTTCCCGGAACAAGCTCCTTTTCCACTTGAATTTCCCAGAACTTGACCGTCTTGTCGGCAGAACCAGTGATGATGGTTTTTCCGTCAGGAGTAAGGTCAATTGCCCAAACAGCTTTGCTATCATGAACATCGTCCAACGAATGGAGAACAGACGACGTGGCCAGATCCAGCAACTTCAAGGACCCCTCCTTGGTTCCAATGACAACCAACGAGCCTCCAGGAAGAAACCGTGCAGACAAAATATACCCAACTTTGTCAAAAGACCGAATACATGACTTGTTCTTGATATTCCAGACCTTCAGCTCGTTGTTGGATCCCGTCACCAACAGCTTGTCGTCGTCGGAAATGTCAACAGCACGAATATCTTGTCTGTGTCCCAAGTTGAACAGCGAGTACTTGTCTTCGGAAATCTTATCAACAGGCTTGTGTTTGCGAACAACCTCAGGAATAGGAACGGTGTGATAAACCACGGCATTATTAGTCAGAGTCGTCACCACATCAATCTTCCGGTTGTTGGTGATACCCCACGTACAAGAACGGACTTTGAATCTGTCAGAATGGATCGTAGTGAAAGGTGCAACCAACATGTCGATCTTAGCATCGTCCATAGCGCGCTGGATATCCTCAGGACTCATACCTTTTTCTTTCAAACGGGCTTCTCTTCTAGAAGAAGCCTTGCTGATCTCTTTTTCTGATCTGAAACGGAAAATTTCAACCGTTCTGTCGGTGTTGGAAGCGTAGAAGAACTCGCCCTGGTTGGTCATGGTGAAATCAATGTCTGTGCACCGGCTCTTGCTCTGTTTTGTAACATTGCCCTGTTCAACCAGCTTTCTGTCGGGGCTGGTCAAGTTGATCGTCCACACCTTCAACTGAGTGTCCATGCCAGAAGTAACACAAAGCTCCTTGGTCGAGCTCAACCCCAATGCCCAGCACTCTCCAGTATGAGCAACGTGTGTCTCGATGCACTGCTGAGACTTCAAGTCCCACAGCTTAATCAGCCCATCCTTCGACGTGCTCACAAGCCAGTCTTCCATCTCGTCGGTGTCTGTGTTGTCTTCATCTATCAATAATGCAATTCCTGTAATCTGATCCTTGTGGCCTTTCAACTTGAAAAGTCCAGTCTCGCCAACAAGGTCCCATATAATGATCGTGGTGTCTCTTGATCCAGAAACAAGCCGTGTACCGGACCGATCAAATTGGAGCATTGTGATGGCACTCTTATGTCCCGAAAACTTGATAATCACTGACCCAGACGTCATGTCCCAAATCTTGATAGAACCGTCGCTGTAACCGGCAGCCAGAATATTCGAACGGGGCTCGTGCTCGAGTCGAACAACATACGGTGGCGCAGATTGTGTTGAGGAGTCCAAAGACCCCGGAGTCGTTCCGTCCTGGAGACGTTTGACCAACTCTCCGGTCTTGATATCCCAGATGAGAATGTCTTCTAAACCGCCTGTGACGACCTCCCCGGTAAACCTCTTGGACGTCTCGTTCCCGATGAACACCGAGTTGGATTCGGATGCAATCACACCCATCCAACCGGCTTGCTCGTACCTCTGATACGACTTCACCATATTTAATCTGATCAATATTTTTTTCAAATTTTTTTTTCACTATGCGTGAAGACATCCGTGCACCACAAGACACCTTCAGGAGTCGGTGAGCCATTCGTGGAACTCGTCCATGAGCACGGGCCACGACTGCATTTCGTCGTAGTTGGACAGTTTAGGATCTTCGTGGTATGTTTTAAGGAAAGGATACAGCATGTTCCATTGGTCTTTGGTGATTCCCTTGTGGTCTTTGATTTCAAGGAACTTGATAAAAGTGTCGAGTTCTTTCTTGTACTCTTCAGGGATCATGAGGTTCCAGTACTCGATCGCAGACTCGGTTGGAACGTTTCTTTGGTTCTTTTCCAGAATGAATTTGTAAGTGAATTGGTACACTTTCTTGAAGTAGCTCTCTTCTGCCAGTTTGACTGCGAGTTCGTTTTCAATGTAATCGTGCATTTTCTCAATCGAGTTGGCGCCCACTCGCGACCAGTTGATCAAAAACGGGTCTTCTTTGAAGATCCCCACCGATGGTGACTCTAGAAACTCGGCCAAGGCAAGAATCACTAAATCCTCCGGCTCGTATCCCAGGTCGGCAATATACCGCACGGTTCCATCAATTCCAATATACGGTTTCCCCAACACATCCAAACTGTCCTCCTTGTACTTATTAAACACACTCTTGACCTTGCTGTCAACCTTGATCTTTGCGTTTTCCTTCACCTTTTTAAAACCCTCAGCCAACTCTGGACGGGTGAAAAAGTCGTTGATCGCGTACGTCACGTTCTGCTGGTTTCTTCCCAGAAAGAACGACGCCATGTCCTCAGACTCGGTTCCTGTGATTTCAAGAAACTTCTTAACTTTAGCCGACTTGACAGACATAATATCCTATTTAGATAAATTATTTTGTTTATTTATTTATCATGTCTTTGTCTTTAGATGCCCAGAACTTCTTTGAAGTTTTCGCTTCTAACGCAGTGAGTTTTGTTCCGCACGAGCAGGACGATCCGTCTTCGAACGTTTCGTTGGTGCTGGACTGGATTGGCGAGTTTCTGAGCGTTCAATCGTCGGATCCTGTTGAACCACCGCTGAGGATCAGAAATGCCCTTAAAAACGTTGGGGCCGGCAACGAGCATCTTTTTGATGGATTCTTGAGACTTGTGAGATCGATATTAAACAAACAAGGCCGGGAGATTGCAAAGACTATCGACTCGTCTCCAGAGCCGGTCTCGGGTCTGCCCCATTTGTTTGAGTGGATCGTCTCTACAAACCAGAAAACGCTCTATTGCACATCGCTGATCAACCTGGTGTCCGACCAGATCAAACTCGTCACACGCTGCTCAAACGCCGTGTTTCGCAAAACAGCGTTGGACCCTTCAGTCTGGCGAAACGTACAGACTTGGTACAGAGACGGTCTGTTTGGTAAATCGAGCCCGATCCGCCGCGAAGACTTAATCCAGACCACACAGATCCTCAACAGAATATACCTCGGGGACGAGATGAGCCAGTTGGTGACAGAACTGTTCAAGTGCGAAATCAAGTCACACATCGGAACGCAATGCTCTTTGGTCTGGAACAAGCCGCTCCTGACAGATCTGTCTCATTACACACACCAGATTCTCACTCCAAAATTTGTTGATCTTCTTCCACCCTCAGACGCCGACTGTCTGACAGAGCTAGTGAAGAACGAGCTGGTTAGACTTAGAATCAAAGAGATCTTTGATATCGTGGTTGACTATCCCGACTCGACTTTTGCATTACAAGAGCTACGCGAGTGCATGACAACAGCCAGCCAGCAGACACAGCTCGTCAACACATTCATCCATCTTGCTGAGAAACGGCTGCTCCATGCCGGCGTGAGCACCATCGACATCATCAAATGCTACATATCGACTATCCGTTCATTCCTAATCATTGACCATCGCGGTGTTCTTCTGGACAAGGTTTGCAGACCAATTCGGTCTTATCTGAAAGAGAGAGAAGACACTATTGAGAGAATAGTGTTTGCATTACTAGACACATCGTCCGAGAACAAGTTGATCGAGCTTGCCATTGAATTGCGACAGTCAGGCACCAAACGACAACTCACGCACGAATTGGAAAGAGATCTCAACTGGACGCCCGATCCGGTGGACGCGTTACCCGATTTCCGTAAAGGGGTTGTTGAGGACGTTGTTGAGTCGCTGATCTCCATCTTTGACACCAAGGATGTGTTTATGAGCGAGCTGACCAAGGTTTTCTCAGAGCAACTGCTAAAGATCACCAATTACGATGTGCGGGAGGTTTACACGAAACTACAGCTACTTAAGTCGAGATTTGGCAACTCAGAGTTTGGGTCATTGGACGTGATGATGAAGGATATCATACTGAGTCGCAAGCTGGACAAGGCAATCAGTTCTGCACACGTCCACTCCTCGATCATTTCGCATCTTTACTGGCCCGAGCTGCCGAAACAGGAGTTCAAGCTTCCTGAAAGCATACAGCAAAGCCTGAAGAACTATGAGGCGCAATACAGAAACCACAAGAAGGGCCGCAAGCTCGACATTTTTCCTGCGCTCAGCACAGTGGATATGGACGTAGAGATTGGCGGTACTACAACGAACTTCAAAGTTTCTGCCGATAAAGCATCTATTCTCTATTCATTTTTGGATATGCCGCCAGGGAGCGAAGTGAAACTGGCTATTATTTGCATGAAGCTGCAGATGCCGCTGAAATTGGCCAACGACGGGTTGGCGTTCTGGGTGAAGAACGGGGTGCTAGTCTCCTGCGGATTGAACACATACAAGATTAATGAGTGATCATTTGATTTCCACAGCTATGATCTTCTGAACGGTGTTCAACACGTCGTCGGTGGACTCGTCCATGTGGTCATAGTTAGGAGTGGAGAACCGTTCGTTCAATGCCTCATCCAGCAGGTGTCTGAGTTTTGTAATTAGAACACCGTTTTTGCACCATGTTCGAATTGGCAGCCAGCCTCCCATCACTACTCCAGGAGACGAGTTACCCGAGGAGCTTGTGGTAAGGTCGTATGTGAGGGAGCCACCAAACAGGAGGACGGCAATGATAGAGACTGGAGTGACGTCTCTAAGGTACAGTTTAGTGGTTGTTTGGGAAGCACCGTATGCGACAAAGTGCGAAGACAGGTTGTTGGACTCGCTAGCTGTGAACACAACGTTTCCGTTCTCGTCCTCCACGAGCGGTTCCTGGACATTGGAGCTCGAGTTCTTGATATGGAACAAGGTCGATGACGGGTGCAGGAACGCTCTGGTTGCCGGAAGCTGGTCCTGGTGGTTTCCCTTGACGAACTGTTCGTTTCTGATCCAGAACTTGATGTTTTTTGCGTCTGGGTCCAGCGAAATGGATCCAGAAACGCTGGAGATGTACTTTGGATCGGGATACTGCACTCTGGCGATCTGCGGGTACGAGGACGAGCACACCAGGGCGGTGATGATCTGGTAATTGGTAGCGTTCCTGTTCAAAGGTTTGAAAGCAGCTGGAGACTTGTGGTAGTCCAAAGGAATGAATCCCAGGTCCTGCAACGCAGCGATGTATTGAGCTCTTGTGGACTGGATCTCGTTCATGGTCATGTAAGAGAGATAGTTTCTTTCCAGCCACGAACGGGCTTCCTTTGGTTTTAATTCCTGGTACTCGTTGAACGCGTTGAGAATGGCAATATGGTCGCCGTGGCCGCTAGCAAACTTGTTCTGGACCCGTTTGACCTCGTCTCTGTTCTCCATCTTGACCATGAACGGATTACCGGTGACTCCAACGGCAGCCAGCGTCAAACAGCTATCCAGACACTTGAACAGGACTCCAAATAGCAACAGTTTACCAGACTTGAGGTCTGTTGGTAATGTTGACAGATACGACCCCAATTTGGTGAGATTGTCGTTGTGGAGTGCTCCCATTTCTGTGAGCAGCTGTTTGGAGCTTTCGATGTTTTCCTTTTCTGGTGGGTCGAGACCTAACTGCAAAAACTCGTGGACATTGCCAACACCCATTGATTTCACCACCAGGTACAGATTTTCAAGCCTGGTACGTTTAATTTCGGGGATTGGCTGTTTCCTCATCAGTTTGGTCTCTGTGTCCTTGGTGAACAGCTTGTAGCACAAGCCGGCTTGAATACGACCAGCTCTTCCTCGTCTCTGTTTGCATTCTGCCTGGGACGCCCAGGATTCCACGAGCTTGCTGGAGTTGGACCCGGAATCGAAGTGGACGCTCTTGACTCTGCCGGTGTCGATGACCACGACTGCGTCCGGGATGGTGATGGAGGTCTCTGCGACGTTGGTGGAGGCGACCACTTTACGCTGGCCAGAAGGAGGGTTTCTAAAGATGCGTTTCTGGTCCTTGGAGCTGAGGGCAGAGTGCAACGGCAGGGCCCAGAACGGTCCTTTGATTTTGGCCAGACACTTGTTGATTTCCATCACTCCCGGAAGAAAGATCAGGATGGATCCCTTGTTGCCCTGTCTGGTGAGGTCCTGGTCGACTTTCTCCACCAGAGCAGCAATGAGGTCGTAATTGATATTTCCGAGCTCGAAATATTTCGAGTCGGCTTTTGGCTGGATCTCCTCGCCGTTGCGCATGGTCACTGTGAATTGCAGCGAGTCCAGAACGTTATCGAGGTAGAAGTCCTGGATGGGGAACGTTCTTCCCTCGATGTGGACGTGCGACACGCCTGAATGGAAGTATTTTTCAAAAATGGAGATGTCTATGGTAGCAGACATTAGAACCACTTTTAGTTTTGGATACAGCGTCAACACCTTCTTCAGCACAATTAGCAAGAAGTCGCCATCGACAGACCGCTCGTGCACCTCATCCACGAAGATGTAGCCGAGATTCTCGAAGAAGCTGTTATTTGGCTGGCTGTTCCCTATAACTCCCTGGATCATCCGTAGTAGAACTCCCGTAGTGGCAAACGTGATCCGTGTGTTTTTAGACGTTTTGTTCTCTCCACGGATGATGTACCCGATCTCGTCGCCGCAGGTGGACACTCTTTCGTCGGAGATCCGATCTGCCAGTCCAATGGTGGATATTCTTCGTGGCTGAGTGCAAACAATGTTGGTGTTGAAATCGTTCTGTTTGTTGAGCTCGTCCAGAATGAACTGGACAATCTGGGTGGACTTTCCAGACCCTGTTTCTCCTGTGATAAGACAGATTCGGTTGCTGTTGATGACCGAAACCAATTGGTCTTTTTTGCTCCATGCGGGCAGTTTGGTCCGTTTTGCAACCATCTCCTTAAACCCAGAACCAGCAACTTTCGACTTGTACACGCCGGCGAGCTCGTCCAGGTCGCGTTTCTGTTTCGCACGGCCGCGTTTGGCCGGCCTATGACTCTCAGAATGCTCGTGGTACTGGAACTGTTTTCTGACAAACGGTTTCACCAACGAGCCCGGATTCTCCACAATCGACAGGATATTATTCTCCAGCCAATCAACACAGCTGAATATCAACGGCATCCCCAGCAATCTATCTTCAACGACATGGAGCAGCAGCTTGGAAACAATTGCAATCTTCAGATAGTTGGCCAGCTTGTAAGATGAATCCTTGACTATCAGATGGAGACCAGGCAACGACTGTGGGTAGTTGGTGCTTCTATAAACTTTCAACGCCAACAGTCCCTGGTTGATTCCTTCAGGGTTCAGCGAGATCTCTGCGATGTCCTGCTTGACGGCCACTTTGTCCTCGCCGTAAATGGCAGTCAGACTTTCGAGCTCCTCGTTCCAGATCTGTTCCGACTCGTCTTCTGTTTCTGTTTCTGGCGCATCAAAGTCGATCAACGTTGACGTCAAGTAGACACCGAGCTGGACTTCGTCGTAGCCACAAATAGAGATGGCCGTCTCCACCTCGTTCGAACTAAATCCACCTTCTCTAAGTCGTTTGACCATGTTCTCTTTCTTGAAGTCCTTGCTGATAGTAAGTTCCACGTTCGAGTCCTTGCTGTTCTTCGCAAACAACGGCGGCAAATCGTCCTCGGGAACGTGGAAAATCAGCCATTCCAGAGCATCCGTGAACGTTCCGGTGTATTTGAACGCTTCCTCAACATGCGGCTTTCTAAAGCCAAGACTAATCAGCGACTGGATATCTCTGTCCACATCCGCTGCCTCGATTTTCTGCTCGGACCACTCAACATGGTGTCGAATAGAGTTCTCGATCAAAACACGCGTTTCTGGTTTCAGATCAATAAACACAGTGCTATCCCAGACTTTTCGAGGAAACTTGACCTGGTCCTTAACAACCACCTCGGACCGAACTTCCTTGGGCTTTGGCCGTTTAACTCCAATGGAAATCATTGGTTTTTTCGTCCGCAGCTCGGCATCCTTCTTCGCTTGCTCCTCCTTCTGTTTCTTTTCCTGTTGCTTACGTCTCTCTAGCACAACATTAAACGGATCAGAACAGTACTCTTCCTTGGCTTTGCCAGGATTACTCTTGACCAATGCCTTTCTCTCTGCCTCCAGATCCGACCACAGCTGCTTGTGGTTCGTGGGAAGCACCATGTGCAAGTTTTTGTCCGAAGCTATGCGATGAAGAGCGTACGTTGCTGCATAATGCCGGGCCTCCAACGCTGTTTCCTGAGGCTTGATCAACGGACTCGGATGCATGCGAACTTCAATCACTTCCTGTGTCTTTGGGTTCTTCCAGCCAAGTCTGGCAATTCCGATAAACCCATCCTTGGTCTTCTTCATGTCGTACTCCACCTTCTGCCACTTCTGCTTCTGACAGTGCTCGTGGAGAAGCGATCCAGGAAGCTTGCCTGTCCAGCTCGCAGACTGCGCAACAGAGGTGCGTCCGGCCTTTCTGGTGGCCGCATCCAGTGGCGCCCGCTTGCCAGAAGCGGCCGGTTCCGGTTTTGCAGCCACAGGCTCCTCCTGCTTCGATTTCTTCTTGGCCATATGCTGAATCTCAAGGTGTAAGGAGTGTTTTCTTCTGGCTGAAAAATAAAATCGTTTCGGTTGGTTCTGGATATTACGTCATAGTTTGGATAATACTGTCAAATTTCAAAAATCAGGGCTCAGATGGCGGTAGCCAATTAACTAGAAGCCCCACGACCACGGTTCGAGTCCGTAAAACACTGGATATTTTTGCTCTCCATACCAGCAACCCAGATCGCGCCCTCGTGCGCGTATCGCCACATTCTGCGTTTCAGCCAAGACATGCTATCTGCCCAGGCATTAAAAACGCCAGCGCTCGTAACCCTCCCCGAATTAATAGATAATGCTTTTATTCTCTAGAATATAGATTCAAAATTATAAGCAATCTTTCTTTTCTACAATAACCATGGTCTGGGAGCACATAAATCCAGACAAGGTACATGTGGCGTATGCAGTTATAGCTGTGTTTTCGTCGCTATTCTCGCTCTGTTCGCTGTTTATAAAAGAGAAACTCTACATTGGAGAGGCCTCTGTGGCAACCATTTTCGGCCTGATTGTGGGGCCGCATTGTTTGAAATGGTTCGATCCCGGGTCCTGGGGAAACGAGGACTACATCACACTAGAAATCAGTCGAGTCATTCTGTGTATCGAAATTGTGGCCGTCGCCGTCGAGCTTCCAAAGAAATACATCTGGAAGCATTGGCTCGGAGTGTTTTTGTTATTGATTCCGGTGATGACCATTGGCTGGTTGGTTATCGGGCTGTTCATCTGGGCAATCTTACCTGATCTCCATTATGGCCACGGCCTTTTGATCGCCGCATGCATCACCGCCACAGATCCGGTTTTGGCTCAGGCCGTTGTCGGTAAGGGAAAATTCGCCAGAAGGGTCCCTGCGCATCTTCGGAATTTGTTGACCGCCGAATCCGCATGTAACGACGGAGTTTCAGTTCCATTCGTTTACCTAGCCATCAACATCATCGTCCACAAGTCTAATGCCAAGGAGATTGCGCGCGACTGGATCACAACCACCGTTTTGTACGAGTGTATGTTCGGCTGCGTCTTGGGTATAGTTATTGGATTTTTGGGACGCAAAGCCATCCAATTTGCCGAGGAGAAGGACCTCATCGATAGAGAGTCATTCCTGGCGTTCTACGTGATGCTTGCATTACTGTGCTGTGGATTCGGGTCGATTCTTGGAGTAGACGACTTGCTCGCTTCTTTTGCAGCAGGTGCCACTTTTGCTTGGGATGGCCGGTTTACAGAGAGAACTGAGGAGTCGCACGTTTCCTCTGTCATCGACTTGCTGTTGAACTTGGCCTATTTTGTCTACTTTGGCTCCATTATCCCATGGGAGCAGTTCAACAACAAAGAATTGGGACTCAATTGGTGGAGACTCGTGTGTATCGCGCTGACGGTTATTTTTCTTCGGCGAATACCTGCAGTTCTCGCCATCAAGCCCTTCAACCCCGATATCAAGAACTGGAAAGAGGCGCTGTTCGTGGGTCACTTCGGGCCAATAGGAGTCGGCGCAGTTTTTGCATCGATCTTGGCAGTTGGAGATTTAGAAGCGCACGTTCTGCACATCGAGCACGGCCCAACGACAACTTATCCGAACGTCGAGGAGTACCACCAGCTTATCAGAATTATCTGGCCGACGGTGTCGTTCCTTGTGCTGACCAGTATCATTGTGCATGGATCGTCGGTTGCTGTGCTGACCCTTGGTCGTCATTTGCAAACCATGACTTTCACTATGACAATGACCAAGGTCGAGACAGAGGGAGGCGGATGGACCTCGCGTCTTCCAAAACTCGAGAAGAGCGGTACATCGTTCTCGCTCAAGCGGATCGATACTATGGCTCCATCAGATTCCAGCCAGGACAACAAACTGTTGGAGAAACAATACACTGATGAGTCGGCACAGTTAGAGGACCAGGACGCTGCTGCGTCAGCCAAGCCTGCAGGAATCGCCAGAAGAAGAAAGCAGAAGAGACGGATGCACAAGAAGATTAGAGAGAAGCGCAAGGAGCCTCCTGCTCTGGAGACTTTGGATTTGAGAAAAAACAACCAGGCTTCCACGAGTAAGGAGAATTCTGACGGCAGTTCGTCGACGCCGATTGCTGAGGACACTCACACGGCGGGCGAGTCGACTCCCGACCACGAGGAGGACGATATTGGTGCTCCATTGATGCGTATCACCTCGACACACATGAGAGAGCTGAAGGAAGATTTCAATATTGATGAGGACAGTCTGAAGCCTGTTTTCCAGGACGGCGAGCTCAAGATCCCAACTAATGGATACAGAGACGGTGACCAGCTGATCATCGAGGACCAGCACGGAGAGATCCTGCACACGCTCGAGGCGGTGAACTCGCCAAGCGACGACGGCAAGAGTATCCATAGTCTAACGTCTCTCAAGGGCCGGTTCAAGGAGTTCCAGAAGAAGGATCGGATCCGCACTAAGGACAACGAGGAGATCCAGATGGCCGACGCAAGCAAGCCGGAAGAGAAGATCGACGAGCTGATCAACAAGACCAGTCCAAAGCACAAGATCTTACTAGGACAGAAAATCAAACATGGCAGCGACAACAAGCTGCACACATCGCAGAAGTATCACGGATTCCGTATAGACGACAACATCATCATTGAGAATGCGGATGGAGAGGTGGTTGGTCGGTACAGAATCAACCAGAAGAAGCTTCCTGCCGAGAAGACAGACACATTGAACAAGGCTCTCAAGATGGTTGGGCTCCGCAAAGAAAAGGAGCCGGACGAGGAAAGCAGCCAGCAGACGAACGACGACTTGATTCCTTCCTCTGCTGCTGCGCAAGACAAACGGATGGAGAGCAAGATCAAGAAGCTGCTGAGAGCGGACTCGCGCAAGGTGAGTGTTAGCGAGCCATCGTCGCCAACTTTGGAAGCCAGTGAGGATTCCGATCTTTCGCCTGTTGTGAGTTCAGGCAACCCGGACGAGTCCGAGTTTGAGCGTGCCCGGCGGCTCGCGGCACTGGCCTCATCCACAAGAGACCCCGACGACGAGGAGGACCAGCCTGCTCCAAACGCATGACCCGAGTTAGCATTAATTTGGTTACCTAATATATTACCTAAAGTATCCACCACGGTGATGAAAGTTTTTCCATTCATGAGTGAAAAAAAATGAATGGCGGTGCAGCTGCGCATAACCAGCACAGTAGAATAAAACAGTGCTATATGAACGCAGATCCTTGCCATTAATTACTCATTAGCGAAATGGATTTCTGGAAGCGAGACGATGACGCTTGTGTGTCTGACAATGATTACGATGGAGAACATTTTGGGGCTCGTGTGAGTGCAGTGTTTGTGGTCTTGGTAGCTTCGTTCTTTGGAGCTTACTTCCCTATCCTGTCCTCTAGATACTCCTTTATTAGACTGCCACCATGGTGTTTCTTCATTGCCAAGTTCTTTGGATCTGGAGTTATTGTGGCTACTGCTTTTATCCATTTGTTGGAGCCTGCTAGTGATGCCTTGGGTGAAGAGTGTTTGGGAGCACCATTCACAGAGTATCCTTTGGCCTTTGGTATCTGTCTTATCACGCTTATGGTGATGTTCTTTGCCGAGTTGCTTGTCTACAAATGGATGGAGAACAAGTTTGAAGGAACCAGCCAAGGCGGAGAGCACATGCACTCTCATTTCGGCGAGACTGACCTGTTTGTGAAAAAAGAAAAGGAAGACGACGAGGTCAAGAGTGAAAGCGACCATGACTACGTGCGCGAAGCCGAGGTCGACTCCCCCGTCAACGACAACCGTTCTGAGAACAAGTCTACTAATTTATTTGATTCTAGTCACCACTTTGACCACAAGAATCACCACCAAGACCCAGAGGTTATTGGTACTCTTGCTCAAGACTCTGAGAAAGAGTCTTACTATGGACAATTATTGAACGTTTTCATTCTGGAATTCGGTGTGATCTTCCACTCCGTCTTCGTTGGTCTGACTCTGTCCGTTTCCGGAGACGAGTTTGTCAATCTGTACATTGTTATTGTGTTCCACCAGCTTTTTGAAGGTCTTGGTCTCGGAACTAGAATCGCCATGATTAATTGGGATAAGAACAGAAGATTCACTCCATGGATCCTTGCTGCTGCTTACGGTGTCTGTACCCCGATCGCTATTGCCATTGGTCTGGGTGTGCGTAAGACCTATCCTCCAAACTCCCGTACTGCTCTCATCACCAACGGAGTGTTCGACTCCATCTCGGCCGGTATTCTGGTGTACACCGGACTGATCGAGCTGATGGCCCACGAGTTCCTGTTCAGCGACGAGTTCAAGGGCAAGGAGAATATGAAGAAGATGGTCCTCGCTTACGTGGTGATGTGCACAGGCGCAGGCCTGATGGCTCTTCTTGGTAAATGGGCCTAAGTACACTCAGAACACTATATTCTTGAGAAATCTAATAATCTAGGTTAATACGTAAAATACACAAAGTACACAACTTTTGTGGACACGATCAAGTGTTCATGTAGGTGGATGGATCAACTCCCTCGGCCGGGAACTCCTGGATCTTGACATCGAATCTTTCCTGGATCTTGTTCAAGATCTCCTGGTCCTGTTCGTTGGACACAAACGACACAGAAAGTCCCTTGGTACCGAATCTACCTGCTCTTCCGACTCTGTGCAAGTACTGGTCGGCCTCGCTAGGAAGATCGTAGTTGATGGCCAGGTTGATTCTCTCGATATCGATACCTCTTCCAAACACGTCGGTAGAGACACATATTCTCTTGTTGTACTCCTTGAACAGCTTGTATCTGGCGATTCTCTCCTCCTGTGGAATACCGGAGTGCACCACGATGGATGGGAAGTTGGAGTCGCACAACAGCTTGTTCAATGCAGTGGCTCTTTTGGTCGACTTGACAAAGATGATCACCTGGTTGAACTCCAACGAGTCCAACAGCTCTGCAAGCTTCAAGTTCTTCTTCTCCTCTGGCAAGTTGATGTAGTATTGTTGCAAACCGTGCAGAGTGAGCTTCTTCTCGTCGTCAACGTAGATCTCCAATGGGTTCTTCATGAACTTCTTGCAGATAGGTCTGATTTCCTGGGAAAGCGTGGCAGAGAACATCATCACCTGTTTCTGGAATGGAGTGGCTCTGAACACCTCCTGGACGTCTCTTCTCATGTCGACCTGCTCAAGAACCTGGTCACACTCGTCAATCACAAAGTTCTTCACGTTGTTGAGTCTGATCAGCTTGTCTCTCACAAGGGCGTTCAATCTACCCGGAGTACCGACCACAATGTGTGGACAAGTATCCTTATTCTTGAGTTTCTCGGCGTCTTGCTTGATGTTGACACCTCCGTAAAACACCTCAGTCTTCACCTCTGGCATGTACTTGGAGAATCTAGCGTACTCGTTCTTAATCTGGTAGGCCAATTCTCTGGTATGACAAATCACGATGGTGGAAATCTCGCCTGGAGTTGGATCCAGCTGTTGCAGGGTCGACAACACGAAAACCGCAGTCTTACCAAGACCAGACTTGGCTTGACAAAGAACATCGTTACCCAAGATGGATTGTGGGATACAGGCCTGTTGGACTGATCAATGTTAGTCAAATTGGAGCACAGTAGTACTTACCTTCCGATGGGTGCTCGAAACCGCAGTCAGCAATGGCTCTAAGCAATTCAGGCTTGAGCAAGAAGTCTCTGAAACCGGTGGTGTGAATTCCCACGTAGGAACCCTTTTTGTCGGTTTCCTCCTTGCCATCTTCGCCAGCAGCAGCCTGTTGGGTTGGAGCGACGTTGATTTCTTCGGAATCGGAGTAATCCAATAATTCTTCTTCTCCCTCGGCGGACATGTTGTAAGGTTTTTTACCAACTGGTTTTGCCATTTAGTGTTCGTCGACCAAATTGGAAAAACCTGGGCAGGGTAACACAGACACGTTAAAAGTGAGAGTTTTTGATTTCTTTCCTGTGCCAACATGTCCACCGAATACGAGAAAATATACTTGAACCAGTCCAAGCAGGCGGGCAGAATGCGTATTGCCGACTCGGGGCTCGGCTGGAAGGCCCAGGCGGTTCCTGGGGCCACGGCGAAGTCGAATCCGTTTCTTCTGCCCAGCGAGGAGATCTCCAGTGCCCATTGGTCTAGAGGCTCGCGTGGATGGGAATTGCGCATAGACACCAAGAACAAGGGCGTTGTGATGCTGGATGGGTTTGATCAGCAGGATCTGAACGGTCTCAAGAACGAATTGCAGAGAAATTTCAGTGTTCCTTTGGAAGTGAGAGAACACTCATTGCGTGGATGGAACTGGGGAAAGACCCAGCTGACCAGAAACGAGCTCACTTTCAACATCAACAATAGACCGGCGTTTGAGATCCCGTACTCGGATATCACCAATACGAATTTGAGCAGAAAGAACGAAATCACTGTTGAGTTGAACTCGACAGAGCAAACAGACCCTGAAAGGACCGGAGACGAGCTTGTGGAGATGAAACTGTACATTCCGGGCACTGTGGAGGCCGATGAGGATGAAGGTGAAGAAGAAGACAAGGAGGAAGCTCCAGAACAAAAATCGTTGGCCCAAATCTTCAGCGATCAACTCAAGGAGAAAGCAGACATCGGACAGGTCACCGGCGAGGCAATCGTGTCATTCGAGGAGATTTTGTTCCTCACGCCAAGAGGTCGTTACGACGTGGACTTCTACGACACTTTCATGCGTCTTCGTGGAAAAACTTACGACTACAAGCTGCAATACTCCCAAATCCAGAGAATCTTTTCTTTGCCTAAACTATATCAATTGAACCACCTGATTGTGCTTCAAGTTGACCCTCCATTAAGACAGGGGCAAACCAGATACTCGTTCTTGACAGTCCAGGTCTCGTCTGAAGAGGAGATCGAGGTGGACTTGAACTTGGACGACGAGGAGTACGAAAGCACCTACAAAGAAAGACTCAACAAAACGTACAATAACAACACATATATGGTTTTATCGAGCATTCTGAAGGGATTTACCGAAAGACGTGTTGTTGTGCCGGGCAGCTTCCTGTCGAAGGACTCGCAGGTTGCCATTTCTTGCTCGTTGAAGGCCAACGAGGGACAATTGTATCCATTAGAAAAATGTTTGCTGTTTGTCACCAAGCCGACGGTTCTTATTCCGTACTCAGAGGTGACTAACATTGTGTTTTCCAGAATCGGTTCTGGCACCGGCGCGTCGAGAACCTTCGACATGGAGGTGAATATGAGAAACGGAGCACGCTCGCACAGTTTTGGAAACATGGACAGAGGAGAGCAAACGTTGCTTGAAAATTTCTTGAAGAGCAAGAACGTTAAGGTCAGAAACGACGAGAAGGTTGCGCAGGAGATGCTTGCCAATGCAATGGCCGATTCCGACGGAGATAGCGATATGGACATGGGTTCTGCAGACGACGACGAGTCGCCTGACGAGGACTTTGACGGCGGCGACGCGTCCGACGACGACGTGGCCGAGGAGTTCGACTCCGACGCCAGCGGCAGCGGCAGCGAAGACTCGGAGGACGACGAGCCTCAAAAGAAGAAACCTAAAAACGAGTAAAGATGGTATAATATTAATCGAAGCTCTTTACAAAACAGACTTGCTCACTTCTCCCCGGACGTTGAGCTCGAACTCGATTTCTTGGAGTAGCGCCTTGTTGTTGAGTTTACGGATCACCAGCGACTTGCGTGTTCCTGGCGTGTAGTCTGAGTTCTGCTCGAACTTGAGCACTAGACCGGTTATGCGTCCAACGTCTGGGAACGTGCGATTCTGGAGCCGGTTCTTGATGGAGATCAGCTCGATAGTGGACAGCACACGCAGGTCGCGCTGGTCAACTGCACGGTTGTAAGTTGGATCGAGCGACGGGATCGGGATTGGTATTGGGATCGAGCTCGCTGACCGGCTACCACTTGAAGCCGTCGTGTGACTCGTGTCATGTGACCGGGTGCGTTGCAAGGAGCTGGTTTCGCTTTTGTCTGATTCCTCGGAGATGGGGGTCAAAGGAGTGTGCTGGTGTACCGAGGAGTGGCGTCTCTTGGACTTTTGGGACTTCCGTGGCTGTTTTGGGGCCGGTTTCTTATCTTGGCTCGCCAAGTTGGAGACGCTTGGCAGCTTGTATATTTTCTTTAACAGTTCGTATTTGTGCTGATTCTGCTCCATTTTCTTGAGTTTAGGCCGGATTTCTTTCTCGAGCTCCTTGATGACCGCTTTGACTAGCAACTTATCGCGATATTCCAAGGCTTTCGCCATTTGATGGTACAACGCGTCAAGATCGGAAGATTTCTCTGTAGAGTCTGAGAAACCGACAAACGAGTAGTCTCCGAGCTCGAGGCCCTCTGAAGACCGGTCGTACAGCTGTTCTACCTTTCCGCCAAACTCTGAGTCTGTTTCGTCGTCGTCGATGTCCGGAAGGTCGAACTCGTCGATCATGGACGACTGGAAGTCGTTCTTGAGACTCTCGCTGGACAGAGACACGGTGAGACTCTTGAACACAGGCCGGTCGGGCTCAGATGGGGGTTGTTTCGCAGGAGGACCAGACATGAGAACTACAAGATACCATACGCATGATGAGGGGATTTATACAGGGCGGTTGATTCGAAAACCTGCTTGTAAATACGACGAGTCAGAATGTGCTACCAAATGGAAAAAAAAAAAAATAGACGCCCCTTGTGGCACCGGCTGAATTTTTTATTGCCGGAAAAGGCTCTCGTGTGACCGAATCCGTGCGGCCTCCCTGCAGGATGTTGCCGGTGCAAAAAAATATGCAATTACCGGAGGATAATTTTAGGGTCGATAAGAAAACAGAGCTGGATGGAGTAACTAGCTAGAGAGGTTAGTAGTTGGTTGTTGAGTTTAAAAACCAAGTCGAGGTAGAAAGATTGGTTTTTCGGACCACTAAGGCCCTTTGGAATATGTGTAGCACACCCACGTGGCTGCGGAAATTGACATTCATAGAAAACGGGGAAATAGCTTCACAGAGAAGGAAAAAACAATAGCTCGCGACATGGATATTTTATTGTTCAATAAAACCTGCGTAGAAGCGGCCTACCGAAAATTAACTCAACTAAACCTATTACCCTCGCACGGTGTGAATAGTAGCACCAGGAACTTAAATAGCTAGCAAGTCGCAGTGCTGTTTTCCAGCTGTTAAGTCAAACTTGAAATTCTGCCACCCTCTTTTGCAACCCCTGCACCGGCTGCTGCAATTATTTTTGTTTCTGTCAAGAGTACAAGTCATTAGCTAATTTAACTACCCATTCGGAGTCGCGGATGAAGTTCGGCGACGAGTTCAACGACAGATCGATCTCCAGATGGAGGAATTACAACATCGACTACAACGACATCAAACATAAGATCAAGGAGGCAACTACCGCGCTCAAAGACTCGAATTCCAGTTACTCTGATAAGTCAAATGACACCCACGATACAGACAACTCCAAGTCGTCCAGGTCCTCGCGCTCGTCTATAGAATATGCCCAGGACAGAGTCACCAGAAAACACCTAAGGAAGCTGTTCAAGGTGTTTAAGGAACAGATTGAGTTTGCGTCTTTATTTGTGAACTCAAAGTACGGAGAGATCTCCAGACGTATCCTTACCACCAAGAACCAGCTCAACATGTTCATCAACTCTACTCTGGAAGCTCCACAGGAACAGAGCGGGATCCAACAACGGCTTCAAAGAAGAAAACTAGCCACCATCCAAAAGGAACTTGAGTTCATATCGGCTGATTTGCAAGATCTGTCCCGTTTCATCCTGCTCCAAAAGATCGCCCTCAAGAAACTGTTCAAGAAATTCATCAAACACAGCGATTACCAGTATAAACACGAGCTTGTCAACAAGATCACCGCAGAGTGTCTTAACGGTGACCCAAACTCGTTTGTCAATCTGTACTTGAACGATGCGGCTTTGGAGCTGACTTTAATGTTCGATGTGATCAACAACTACAACGCCACACGGACGGCTCAGCCCGTCGCCCACGACACCCGCAGGCAGTCTGTGATCTCCGCAGAGTCCCTCACGTTTGCTGACTTCCGTCCCAACGAGTTTGCACCATCGAGATCCACCACGTTCGATCTCATCTCGCACAAAAAGGGGTCCGTCTGCCAGCGGTTCTGGGTCCACAACGACAACGTTGACGAGACGAAACTCAAACTTCTCAGCCAGTTCAAACTGATTTCGGACGATACAGGACTCGTGGACGACGATGTCCATCCAAAAACCGTGAAAAAATACCAGCAGCCAGGCCCAACTCAAACCCCGCCACGACAGCTCAAACAGACAAAGTCGGCGGTCGACTTGACCAAGCAGAACACGCAGGACGACTCTACCTTCCGTCCAGACACCAAGATCGTGAAGCTCTGGCTCAACAACTTGGATGATCCTCTCGTGACCTCTCAAGAAGGCTTGTCGTTCTTGTCGTCATCGGACACCGTCTTGTCTGCGGGACTCGTTGCACAGATCCACAACACACAGTACTTCAACTCGCGGCGTGCAGAGAAACCATTGTTGATCTCTCCGATCGGAGGCCTTCATCAATTTGCAGCTACAAGCGTCACCGAGAAGCTCATCCAGTCCCTATTTTCTCCTTCTAAACTACCTGTGGAGGTATTCAAGAACAAGATCCTCAAGGACTGGTGCGATTCTGGACTCGTTGGCAACCCAAAGATGGCCCAGTTGTCCTTGGACTGGTGTATTGACAAGAAAATGGCTCCTTTAGCCAAAGTTTCGGTGAACAGACTCAGATTCATCAGTCTGAGCCAGGAAGGCTCGCAACCAAAAATCGACTGCTACCTGACCTTGGACAGCGACGTCCAGGTCCACAAGATCGACTCAAATTCGGATTTGAGTTTCAACTTCCCTGAAGACAGCGTTCCTTTCGACCATTCGATTCTGGAAGTCAGATACGACACGCCGCTGAAAGTTCTGCCGCCGGCAGTCCAGTCACTAATCAACTCGCATCTTGTCTACCGTGTGGACAATCTAAACTTTTCTCTCAACAACTATCTCCTCTGGAGATTCTACCAGAATTCTCTCACGGACGAAGCAATGCTGCAATACATTGCACCGTGGTTCGAAGTCCTGCAAAATCAGGATATTCGCAAGCTTCCATCCATCACCAAGAAGCCGTCAGAAGAAGCTGTCAAGTCACAGGCTCCAAAAGGAATTCTCCTCAACAGGAACGAGCCATCGGATGCCCAAAAACAATTACAGGAAGGAAAACGGTACTGGAACGAGTTTGACGACGGAAGCGACCAGGAATACGATCAAGGGTACTACGTTGATGACGACGACTACGACTATTCGGACTCAAGGATGTTATTTGGCAATTTCGCCGGACTAGGGTTTCTCACTTCGGGCAGAATTGATGCTATATTACAATACTCTAACAAAATCTCCAACAAGCTGTCGAGCTTGCTGCATATTAGACCGGCTCGAGCAGAGGCCTCTCCGTTGCTGCCTTCACACCACAATGGTCAGCATTTATACAAGTCATTAATCAACGGGGCTGGTCCAACTGAGGACGAGTCTGAGTCCGACACGGACAACAGCGAGAACAGATCGCTGCTGAACCGGCTGAAACGTTCGCCAAACAACGGCGAGCATTTCCACCAGCGCCAAATGTCTCTGGTGAACGGCCAGTCCAAGTCAAACGAGATGGTGGCACAGATAAACCACGACCGCATCCTGTGTTTCCTTTACCTGACGTCTATGTTGGTTTCTTTCCTGACCACGGGAGTTGGTCTTGGAGTGATCTACTCCACGCTGCAGACCAGTGACGACGTGACAGAGACCAGTGGAGCCATATTGCTGCTGTGCTTTGGTCTCGGTTGCTTGGTGTTGAGTCTGCTTCTCAGCGGCGCAGCGGTGTGTCTGCTAATGGCTCGATACAGTTGGCCTCCAATGTGGCACCAGGTGCTGGTGTGGTCGAGTCTGCTTCTCATCTCCGTCCTCTTTATCATCTCTTTGGTGTCATGTTTCTAGAATAATAGATTATCTCATAAGCTTATGACCAAACTTCTCTTGCGTATATTCGGGGCCAAAGTCGTGGTACTCTTGTTTCGACACGGCGACACTTTCGAAACCGCCTTTGGCAAAGAACTGTTTGGCTGCGTGCCAGCCGAAATCCGCGTAGTTCCCGTCCCATTCGAACACCTTCACCTCGTCGTCAACAGGAATCTCTTTATTGAGCTCACTAATCAGTCTTTCCTTCAAGCCTGGCAAATTGCATGTACCGCCTGCCAAAACGACATTGGCACACAGCAATGGCCGCAACAGTTCAGGAACGGACTGCAGAGACTCCTGTATCGTCTTGACAAGACCGGCTTTGTGCACTCCGCTGATTTCTGGCTGGAAAAGCACCTCGGGAACTGCAAACCGTTCGTCGAACAGCTTAAGAACCTGCTGGTTCTCGCGCACACTGGACGACAGGTCCTGGTCAGAAATTGCATAGCCCGTCATTGTTGTTTTAAAGTCCGGAAGCACGTAATTTGTGGAGATATTACCCGGGTCGCTTAAGAGCTGTTTTGGCTTGAGCTTTTTCAGTCTCTCCACCTTTGCCAGCGCGGCATAATAGTCATTGGTCACATAGCAGGCCGACTCCTTGATGTTGTTGACCAGAATGGGCTCGTCTGTGACGTTATAATGGCGGAAAGAGATCACCTCACGCAAATATCCGTTGATAAACCGACCGGCGATTGACATTTTTTTCACGGCCTTCCAGTAAGGTAGACCATTAATCATCGGCACGACATAAGTAGCGTCGTATCCGCTATCAATGACCAGCTGGAAATCATTGTATCCCTCTGGTTTAGTGATCCATGGGGCCACGGTGGCCACCGACCCGCGGTACAACGCCCCAACGCCATACTCCTCAAACAGCACCTGGTCTGTGTTATTCTGAAACTTGGAGTATGTGACCGGGGTTTCGCAATAAACAACGTTGGCGCCGTTCAACAGGTCCTCATCTTTATAGTGTTTAACAAACGCAGAGTCCCAGATCTGTCGCTCTATGGTCCACTGGTATAACTGGCCATGTTCGATAGGTCTTTTGAATTGCAAGCCAGACAGTTCAATGGACCCAACACTGTTGAGGATGTCTCCCAAATAGAGGCCCTTATCGTTGGATCGAACCAGACAATTCGGAACATGAACAGGCGAATCGTCCGTGGTGCGTCCTAATTTGATATCATACGACCCATTGTCTATTATAAAGTTCATCGGGGAAAGAAATAGGATAAATTTTATTTATTTATTTTGTTTCTCAAGAGCATGTTGAAAAAGGGACACAAACCTGTTTCGAGAGCGTGTTTGGAATGTCGGCAGCGACATCTGAAATGCGACGGAGTGGAACCCGTGTGCACGCGCTGTAAGAAGCTGGGGAAGGAGTGTTTTTTTGTGAAGAGCAACAGAGGAGGATCTAGAAAGAAAGGAGTCAGTATGAAGCGTCAGAAAAAGGAGCTGAAACCCGAGTTTGATATGCTGCTTCCATGCGGAAAGTTCTCCACGGAACTCGACTGCGATAAAAGTTGTCTATCAAATAATGACGGTACTCAGTTACCGTGCGCCAAACATCAGACGGTCAACTTTTATCCGACATTTAATGCCTCTAAAGACAAGACCATTCTTGACGCTATTTTTGATGATGAATATCTCAAGCGCCCTAACGAATACTATATCAGCGCTGTTCTGGTCAAGGATCTGGATCTAGACTCGATCGTCCAGAACTACTATGGCCAGTTCCACAATTGTCATCCCTTTATGCCGCAAAAGCACGAGATATGGGACTATCTCGATAGCATTCCCCACAAGTACGATCTTTTGCTGGCCATGAAACTCATGGGAGATGGCCAAACGAAAACAGTCTACGCCAGAGACGTCGAAACCGTCAATTATCTGGTAAACTCTATTTTAAGCTATTCACGGCAGGTTGGCAAAGATTTGGTTTCTTTGCAGGCCCTTCTCCTGGCAGCCATGGCCGCACATATCTCGTCCTTGCACGATGTCAGCCAGAGCCTTCGGCAATGTGTGGTGTCGCTTGCCCTGGAGATGGAGCTCAACCTGGTCGATCAGGCACAGGTTCCTGATATATTTATGGATGTGAATGGTTTTGTGACAACAAGAACCAAAAACACCCCCAAAACAGTGGACACCGTTGACAAGCTGTTGCTATCCCCACGTACATCTCAAGTTCCCCGCGAAATCCTTGAAAACACCGCCCGTCGAACACTGTGGGAGCTATATTTTTTCGACACGCTTAGCGGTACCGCATCCGGCCAGGCTACTTCAGATCTCGCTATCAAAAAAATCCTAACTTTGTATCCAAAGGACATCCCGCAATCCGTTTTCGACTTCAAGAGTCGTGCAGAATGCTGCAAACTGGTGAACGATTCTATAAAACTGAACGTGGCTATCCAGGACAATCAGCATTACCAGAAACATCTCCAACATCTAAAGGCTGCCATTGGCAACTGGGATCTCCGCATAGACGATCCCGACGCGTACCATTCGCCGTACCTGGTGAATTCCAGTGGTTTTGTCAACGAAGGTGTGCAGCAGGCCGTGATACTGGTCAACTACTCCAAAATCTTCATGCACAGGCCGTTCTCATATTTATGGAGACCAGACGTTTCCAAACACCCAGATCTTTCTGATGGCAGCAAGACGAAGGATGCCAAGTCGCCAGAGAAGCAGGAGGCAGATTCTCGCAAGATCATCGAGACTCGACGGACCATTGACTCTGCCTCCTCGGTAGTCAAACTGCTACTCGACACAAACCCCACTAAGATCCTGGACAGAACGCCATTTTTCGCCTGTTCACTGGCGTTCTCGTGCCTGGTGCATCTGAGTGCTTACTCGTGGGTCGAGAGCAGTCTCACTGTTCTTGACGATTCGTCTAGCGAGCTGTCGTCGTTGCGAGACAGCATCAGCTCGGAAGAACTCGAAACTTACACGGAGTACATCAAGCTGGAGCTCGGAGGTATCTTCCAGATATCGAGACATTGGGCCTTGTCGGCGAAGTTGGTGCAGCACATCAAGGAGACATTGAAGAAGGTGTCGCCAAAGCTGTTTGCCAAAGTCCAGGCAAGCATACCTGAGTCCCAAAACTATGTGGAGGTGGACTCTTCAGAGCCATCCTTGGACAAAATGAGTACCTCCACAGAAAGCAGTTTCCCAACAGCACCGTCCTATGACCTGCCAGTCACCGAGATCGACTTCAACGAATACGAGCCCGACATCGTGGGAATGTCATTGGACCCTCAGGATAGCGACACGGGATGTGACTGGGTCGACAGAAACGTCTTTGAGTTTGAGGATTTTCTATAGTTCTGTTCATAGCGGAGAATCCTGTACGTACATAGCACTAATTAGTTGCGTTTTGAAAGCGGAGCCACCAGATCCAGAGATCTGTTCAGAATTCCTTCTATTCTTCCTCGTAATGCGCCCGAGGAACATTGCACTTCAAATGTCTGGTAGTCGATCTTGGCTTCGTTCTTGCCGATCTTGACCACTCCGCAGTTCTCCTCTCTGTTACTTTGGAACGAGTCGCCAAACTGCACGCCCAGAAGCTTGAGGATCTTGTCGAGACGAGCGTCGGCAGAGAACTCGTCCTCAGGCTCTTCTTCCTCCTTAATGTCATGTTCGTGATCGTGATCGTGGTCGTGGGGTTTTGATGATATCTTGACCGACGCTGGGGAGGAATCGCAGCTCATCAAGATCGCAAGAACAGAATCCGCAATTGTATCGTCCACCATTCCAGAGTTCCATTCAACAGTCACCACCGAGTGATTGCTCTCCAATGTGATTTTCACCGTGTTCATCACCTCTGCAACGTACTCCTCTTCGTCGTCAACAAGTTCTTTGATGTAACCAAACATTTGGGTCAATTGCCATTTGATTAATGTCTTTGTAGCAGTACACCGTAGCGACTGTCTTTGTCTCACCACAGTGGTGGTTAGACCTGCAAACTCTCTCAGATCGTCGATCTTCAAAAGACTCAGATCAAAGTTCTTTTGCACAAGCACTCCGTTGACAATGTCGTGCTCTTTTGGCAGCTCGACGGCCAATTGGCCCATCACTTTGGCGACCTTGATACCTTCAAAGGTGAGGGAAAGCTTCGAACTGTTGCGCGGATTGTAGACCTTGACTTCGTTTTCGGTGTTTTTGAACTTTTGGTATTTGGACAGTAAAGCAGACTTGAGTCTTCCCATCTGGTTGGTCTCACCGTGGACCAAAATAATGGCCTTTGGATTAACCAGCTCAATGAAGCTCGAATTCTGTTCGTAATCAACATGTGCAGCAAACGAGATCTCCTCAATGTTGATTTTCCGCGGAATCATCACATCCGGGTTAATTATAGAAGGAATTTCGCTAGGTTCTGTGAGAAGAGACTTGGCCATTGTTCCTTCGACGGAGTAACCAGTCAGAATACACGAGTTGCGTGGGTCAGGACACCATTTCTCGAGGATTTTCCGCGAAATACCGTTCTGAAGCATTCCGGGAGATGCAATTAAAACAGACGAGTCTAGATCGTTGATTTTTTCAATGTTTGTAATGTTTTTGATGTATTTGAAATGGAATGGATTTTGGTTTGTTTCTGTGAATTTCTTTCTGATGCTATCGTTCATCATGTTGACATACCGTTGGTAGACGGCCATACATTTTTTTGCCAAGTCGGAAGCATAGTAGATCGGAACCCGTTGGAGTTCTGGATTGTTAGCCCAGTATTCGTCCAAGATCAATAAGATTTCCTGAGCACGTCCCAGAGCGAACACTGGCAATAGACATCTTCCTCCCTGTTGGATTGTGGAATGAATAACGTGGGTCAGTTTGGCCTCTCTTTCGACTCGTGGGACGTGAGTGGCAGTTCCAAAAGTAGACTCTGTGATGAGCAGGTCTGGTCTCGAAGGAGGGAGCTCCGCCGAACTCAAGTGTCTGTCCTCTTCCCGCGAGTAATCACCTGTAAAGAGAAACTTGAGGCCTCCGAGCTCGACAAAGAACATTGCGGCTCCCAGCACATGGCCGGCATGGTATGCGGTAAATCTGATACCCTCCACCTCGATGGTGGAATGATAGTCGATGGTTTCAATTCTGTCGAGCGACTCGTTGAGGTCCTCGTCGGTGTAGAGGAAATTGGCCGAGTTTTCGTCGTTGTCGTCGGCAATGCTTGTAACTCTGACAAAGTCGTTCAACAGCCATTTATAGATTGCCTTTGTGGGATACGTCATGAACACTCTACCTTTAAAGTTTGTGTGCTGCATCACGTATGGCAGCGAGGCCGCGTGGTCGAGGTGGAAATGACTAATCAACAAGACGTCTACTTTGGAGAGGTCGAAGTCGTCGTAGAAGGGCAACGACTCTGCCCCAGAAAACGCCGGGTGAACGCCCGCGTCCAGCATCACCACCTTTCCCTTATACTCGACAATGTGGCAGGAGCGGCCGACTTCGTTTCCTCCGCCCAAACAGTAAAAGTTCAACTCTTCGGACATGGTTGAAAACAAAGAGAGTTGAGAAATATTCCCACGAAAAAAAATATCTTTTATTTTATTTATGAATCGCCAATGAGTGAGTCTAATTCAGCATCTTCCGAGCCTTTAGACCTCATCAAACTGTGTTTGGATGAGCAAATTTTTGTGAAATTGAGAGGAAGCAGAGAAATGGTGGGGAAACTCCATGTAAGTATCAAATTGCTATCTGTCACTAACTCCAGGCCTACGACATGCATTGCAATATGGTGTTGAGTGACGCTACAGAGACCATTTTCTACGTCGACCAAGGCTCTTCCGATATACAATCCAAAACAAAGAAGACCGATATGGTTTTCGTGAGAGGAGATTCTGTGATTCTTGTCTCGGACGCTGCCAATATCTGATAAAATAGTGTATGAATTTTAATTATTGTTGGAAATTAATAGCGTAGTGTAGTTTATTATTATATGGAGTTTCTTCTTTGAAGAGTTGGATTTCTGTTCAGTTCTCGCCGTTTGGTCTTGAACTGAGGCAGTTCTCCACTTTCTTCCAGCTTGTTCAAGCTCGTTGTGGCGTACCGCGACCCCACCTTATAGATCTCGTCGAATTTCGAAAAATCTAGCGTAGCATAACCTTCGATTGGCGGACGCAGATAAACGCAGTCCTTGGCGTTCTTGGACTTCTCCAGTGCAATCACAGAGGCAACGTACGCCAGTCGGATCTGAATATCCGTCATCGTAGGCACATTAGGATGGATAGAGAACGGATTCAGTCTGTTCAGAAGTACCCATAGTCCGCTTAGAGACTCGCCGTAGTACATCTTGGAACGGTCGTCCTCCGATCCCACGTCACAGGCAATGATGGCATTGGCTCCACGACGTTTCATCTCCTGTACAGGCAAGTTGTCGATATATCCACCGTCAAGAAGCATGTTTCCGTTATCTGTCAAAGGAGGAAGCAGAGCAGCAAGCGACATCGACGCACGAACGTACCGCCACGCGTATCCGGAACTGTGAATCTCCATCACCGATTCGGTGATGTTGGTGGAATTGCAATAGAACTTGATCCAGAAGTCTTCAATTCTCGAATCTCCAAAGGCCTTCCAAATACCACGGTTGAATTCATGGCCGGTGGTATAGGAGGTAAGTGGGATAGTGAGATCGAGAAGAGACCGCCATATGGAGCCCATCCGTCCGGAGAACGTCTTAGCACGGCCATAGACAGGCACGAGGTCATATTCGCGAGCATACAGAGCACCAACAAATGCTCCAATAGAGGTACCTCCAACAAAGTCCACAGGGATTCCTTTTTCTTCCAAAGCTGCAATCACACCAATGTGACTGATGCCACGAGCACCCCCTCCGCCAAGAACCAGTCCAATTGCCTGGCCCGTCAGAATTCTGGCTAGGCGCATAAAATCGTCTTTATGCTCTTGCATCGGCCGATAATACTTCTTCGACTTGAACGATTCACGGGTCTGTTTGATCAGCTGTATGAACTCGTTGCTATTGAGGATGTTTTTCAGATTGGCAGATAATTTGGCAGTGGTGGATGATAGAAGCTTCGAAGTATTGAGAGATTTAGGTATCTCTTCGTACTCCACTTGCGGTTGCACAGCATTTGTATCATAGGACAGCTGAACATGATGATGCGAATGAACCCAGATTCTGTTTTTCAGCCAGCTGTTAGTGAGTCCTGGTTCCACGTACCTTTGAGGATGAAGCAGAATGAGTTCTGTTCTGGCAGAGATATTGTTCTTGACCAACAGTCGCTCAAACTCTCCAATATCAGGAGGACGTTGCGAGTCGGCCAGCAACAAAATGCAGTCACCTTGTTGAATACAGGTTTTGGTCCACGACGAGTTCACAGGAGTATCGACCAAATACGTGACAATGTCGTATTTGTCTTCCAGTTCGGAAAAGTATCCGCTTTGCTTCAGTTTCGCCAAATGGTCAAAAGCGTGTTTTCCAAGACGGCTCAACGCTGTTGACTGGGTGAGCATCTTGGTGGACTTGTTCACATTTTCCAAAGCGGTAGCGAGTCTCTCACCAAATTCCAGCACGGGAAGACCATAGGTGACAGGAAGAATGGTGATTGTTCTGTAATTGTTGAAGTTCTTGATGAAATGATCTTCTTTGATAGGAGCCGTTCCACCGGTAGACTCGTACCCCAATTCCTGCTCTTTTGACGTGATAAACCTATTTGCGACAATCCGTGTCACTTTGACCATGATCGATGGATTGCTCAATGCGATCATCTCAAACAGACTTCTTGGGATTCTAGCCAACTCTGAGTCACGGATTGCAACCACGGTAGAGCTCCGCTTGATTTTGGTCAGAACCTCAACTTCTCCCAGCGACTCTCCCTGACCATGTTCCGAAGCGATGATTGGCTGGTCATTGTTGTCCAATGTCTTTAGAGACCTGAACCGACCGTTCAAGACAATGTAGATACCATTGGCAGGATCCCCCTGAGAGTACAGAGAGTCTCCGGCAGAAGTATGGACCCATTCCATTGCATAGTCAGCCAACAGGAGTCTTCTGTCTAGAATACGCAAGAGATTCTTGGCAATAGCCAGTTGCAAGTACGGGAATCGTTCGTTCAAAATTTCAAACACCTCCCTTTGCACAAACGCAACATAGCATCCAGTTTGTGCCGTAATATCGACAAATGACTTCGAACCGATCAGAGTTCCAAGATATCCTGCTATTCCACCTTCTTTGATATCGTAGATGAATTCCTCAGTTGGCTCCGAATCGGTGTTTTTGTTCATATAAGTCACTCTCAAGCATCCTTCAATCACGTAGTAGATTCCCGGAGTGTGCTCGTTAGCCTCGATAATTTTAGTTCCAGCTGGGATCTGTTTCAGATTAATAGCATTGGCAATGTCACCCTTGATATTCTCAAAGTCCATGTAGCTTTTGCGGCTGGACTCTATGGACTCCAATCCATTGTCCAGCGCATCAGAACGGTTCTGAGTGGACGAGAACGTACGGATCTTGGAGTTCGGGGCCCCCTTGCTTATCTTGGGATCTGGCTTCACAATGCTCATAGCTGTTATCAACGGAGAGCTCAGCACTGACGACGAGAAAGAACGTCTACCTGGAGACGAGAAGGACAACAGCCCACGGTCCACACCGATGGTTTCACAGATACTGGAAGCAATTGTAGCCCGAACAATAGACTCCTGATCGGTGACAGAGCCGTTGTTGGAGACTTTATCTCGTAGGAACAGAATATCCTTGTCTTCGATGTTATCAACTTTATCCATTTGAGACAGAGGTGCGTTTGTGAGCAGATCTCCTGGATTGGTGGAATTTCTGGCCAGGAGCGTGAACTGACGAGCAGACTTTGGACGGCTCATACGTTGGCCATTCATCTTTGTGAGACTCTTGCGCGAGCGGTGCAGCGGTAACATGTCGTCGCTCTGGTTGCTATCGTCGGCATCTGAGCTGAACGAGTCTATCATTTTAGCTGACGGAGTTTTGTAAGACCCGGATGCTCTTGGGGAGTTTGATCTGGAGACAGGGTTCGAATGCGCCGACTCTGATCTTGGAAACCTGGACCGCGAGCTAAGAGTCTTTCTTGACATTGAGGCAGACTCATTCAAAGTGCTGTAAGAAGAAAGTCTTGGCTGGAAGTGCTCGACAACATCCTCACGCAAATACGGCGGCAGAACATTAGTGTAGCGTTCGTTCAGGTTGATCTCTGTGCGCATGATGTCAGGGGTCAGCCCGAGATAATCGTGGGCTGTTTGGAACGTGACCCGGTACAGTTTTGTGAGGATCATCTGGACAATATGAGAGGTGGCCTTGGGATACTTGTAAGCAAGTCTAGCAAACGATTCTTTGGGGATGATGGATATGGTGCAGTTGTTCTTTGGAATAGCAATTAGTGGAGACGGTTCTTTGGCCGACTGAACAGGCGGGACTGGAGACTCTGGAACTTTTCTATTGTCAAGAGCAAAGTCAGAAGGAACCGGGAGTCCACCCTCGGAGTTGGAGCGTTCTGTTCTAGAAGGTGGATCTGAAGAAGTTAACAAGTTAAGCACACTGGTCAGGGAAGACAGCGGAGCGCCGCTTTTCACGTTGTTCAGCAACCTGTACTTGACATTGTCCACAATGACGTAGTTCTTGGACGATTCGTTGATGAAAATGGCGTTCTCGTCGCTTGAACTGCCTATCTTGCAGAACACCTCGATCTCTCCTTCAACACAGATAGTAAAGCCCGAATCCTCGTCCATCAAGACGATCTCTCCGGAATCAAGTTTCTGGGTCTGCATGCTCTTTGTCAGCTCATTGAACACTTGTGATTCCAAGTATCCAAAGATCTTGATCGCAGAAAGGAACTCATCCAGATAATTAAGCCTTGATTTATGCTCGGCGCCAGCATTCTCCAGAAATGTATCGATCAAAGGCTCCTGCCGCTTCGGATCCTCTGGAAGCCGCGAGTACACCGTCAGGTACTTGTAATGGATATACGCATAAGTAGCCAGCGAGACCAGAACGGCAACTATCAGGACCGTGGAGAACGAAAGAGCAATCTGCATAATATACGAGACAATCGAGTACAAAGTCCAGGACAGGAGGGACACGCACGATGCAAGCAAGGAGAAAACCTTGACGACCATCTGTTGCGAAAGGTCCACCACGAAGTCAGACATTTGTGTTAGTCCGCCAGTATATCAAATAGGGCTGTGCACAAGAAGAATATATTGAAAGATGTGTGCAATTACGAAAAAATTAGGGGTCCCTGGAAACGTGGCTGTGTTTGGCGAAATTAAGAAATGCGAGAATAACACAATTTCTGGCTGTGTAGGGCCAAAGAAAAAAAAATGAAACGGCGCGTAAAAGTTTCACAACGCGCCACGTTACCCTGCTCTCAACAAAATTCCCAATCCCAACAGTCTTGTTGGGCCAACTAGTAATTATCAGTAATTTTTTTCTCGAGCACAGCCCTTCTTTTTTTTGTTGACGAGACGTGGTGTACATAAACTTTGATTACTACTGTACTAACAGCTTTTTTTCATACTAGCTGTTGTCATGTCAGTGAACAGACCGCTAGCGATTACCCACGGCGGAATCGAGACCACCATCTTGACTCCGCCTTCTAATTACTTACTCTACCAACATTTGACCACAGGCTTCTACAAGTCCCTGCCCGACGTTACTGAAGGTTACGCCGGTGACGATGAGCCAGCTTCCAAAGCCGAACTCCTGCTGATGTTCTTGGGCTACATCGTTCGCTCAGATGTGATTGAATCAGAGAAGCACGACGCCATTTCACTCGTTGTGAACGAATTTGATACGAGATTTTTGTCAAAGAAAGACCTCCACTCTTTCGCTGCCGAATGTCTTGCATCTGAGGCCCACCCAACCACGTTGGAGAAGGTCAAGACTCACATTTTGAAGAATTACTATGCCGGTAAGCTTTACCTCGACAAGGACTTTGGATTGACTCCTGAACCAATCCAATCCGCCCTGTTTCAAGCTGCCAAGGCCAAAAAGGCGTCCGTTTATATGATCTTCGGTGGACAGGGAAGCGCCGAAGACTACTTCGAGGAATTGAGAGAGATCTACGATCTGTACAACCCACTGGTGGCTCCATTCTTGTACACCGTGCAATCAAAATTGCAATCTCTTATATCCTCCACCTCCGACCTCGACAGAATTTTCACGCATGGTTTCGATCTTATTAGCTGGCTTGAGAAGCCAGAACAGACTCCAAACACAGACCACCTGCTTTCGATCCCAATCTCGTGTCCATTGATCTGTGTCATCCAGTTGTGTCACTACATTATTACCTGCAGAATTTTGGGTATCACACCTGGCCAACTCAACGAGCTGTCGAGCGGATCGACTGGTCACTCCCAAGGTTTACCAACCGCTGTTGCTATTGCATCTGCTGGCTCCTGGGAGTCCTTCGAGGTCCAAGCTTTGAAAGCTGTCGAGTTCCTCTTCTACCTTGGTGTCAGATGTCTCCAAGCTTACCCATCTACATCTCTGGCCCCAAGCTCTGTGAAGGATTCCGAGGAGAACGGAGAAGGTACTCCAGGTCCTATGCTTTCTGTTAGAGACCTCACATACGATCAAGTCACAAAGTTCGTGGACGAGACAAATCAGCATTTGCCAGATGCCAAGAAGATCAGCATCTCCTTGGTCAACGGTGCCAGAAACTTGGTCGTGACTGGTCCTCCAGAATCTCTTTACGGTCTTAACCTGAACTTGAGAAAGGCAAAGGCTCCATCTGGATTGGAGCAATCCCGTATCCCATACAGCGAAAGAAAGCTCAAGTTCTCTTCTAGATTCCTGCCAATCCTCTCTCCATTCCACTCTCACCTGCTTGCTCCAGCATCTGACAGAATCAAGGAGGACCTCAAGAAGAGTGGTCTCGAGTTCAAGGCTGAGGACTTGAAAATTCCAGTTTACGATACCTACGACGGATCTGACCTCAGAAATTACACCGGTTCTATTTCCTCGAGACTTATTGAACTTATCACTCTCTTGGCCGTCAACTGGGAAACCGCTACCAACTTTGAGGCTACCCACATTGTTGACTTCGGTCCTGGTGTTGGTTCTGGTTTCCTTACTCACAGAAACAAAGAAGGAACTGGTGCAAGAATCATCATGGCTGGTGAATTGAACGTTCCTGATGAAGACTCTGATTTTGGTTACAAGCAAGAACTCTTTGACGTGAATTCATCTTCGCTCATCTACGCTCAAAACTGGGTCAAGAACTTCCAACCAAAGTTGGTCAAGACTTCCGAGGGAAAGGTCTACGTGGACACCAAGTTCTCTAGATTGTTAGGAAAGGCTCCACTGATGGTCCCAGGTATGACTCCAAGTACCGTTTCTCCAGAATTCGTTGCTGCCACTATCGAGGCCGGATACCATATCGAAATTGCTGGCGGTGGTTACTTCAACCCAGAAATGATGACCAAGGCTTTGACCCAAGTTGCCGAGAACATCACTCCAGGTTCTGGAATCGGTATTAATTTAATTTATGTCAGCCCAAGAATGCTCCAGTGGGGTATTCCATTGATCAAGGATCTGAGAGCCAAGGGATTCCCTATCCAATCTTTGTCTATTGGAGCTGGTGTTCCATCTCTCGAAGTTGCTTCCGAATACATTGAGACTCTGGGCTTGACCCACTTGGGACTGAAGCCAGGTTCTGTTGACGCCATCAGCCAATGTATCAACATTGCTAAGGCCCACCCTAACTTCCCGATTGTTGTGCAATGGACTGGTGGAAGAGGTGGTGGTCACCACTCTTTCGAGGACTTCCATCAACCAGTCTTGCAGATGTACTCCAAGATCAGAAGATATCCAAACATCATTCTTGTTGCAGGTTCTGGATTCGGTTCTGCTGAGGACACTTATCCATACCTGACTGGTGCTTGGTCCACCAAGTTCAACTACCCACCAATGCCTTTCGATGGTGTTCTGTTCGGTTCCAGAGTTATGGTTGCCAAGGAGTGTAAGACCTCCCCAGACGCCAAGAAAGCCATTGCTGCCTGCGCCGGTGTTCCTGACTCCAAATGGGAGCAGACATACAAGAAACCAGCTGGAGGTATCTTGACTGTCAAGTCCGAGATGGGTGAACCAATCCACAAGATTGCTACCAGAGCAGTTATCTTCTGGAAGGAGATGGACGACACTGTGTTCTCTCTTCCAAAAGCAAAGATGCTTGATGCTTTGGAGAAGAAGCGTGACTACATCATCAAGAAGCTCAACGCCGACTTCCAAAAGCCATGGTTTGGAAAGAACGAAGACGGTGTTTGCGACATTCAAGACATGACTTACGAACAAGTTGCCAAGAGATGTGTTGAGCTCATGTACGTCAGAAAGTCCAAGAGATGGATCGACTTCACTCTGAGAAACTTTGTTGGAAAGTTCTTGAGAAGAGTTGAGGAACGTTTCTCTGCTAGCGAGACCAACTCTTTGATCCAGAGCTTCAGCTTGCTGGAGACTCCAGATCCAGTGTTGGAGACCGTTTTCAACGCTTACCCAGAAGCTAAGGTTCAACTGATCAATGCTGAGGATTGCGACTATTTCCTTGCTATGTGCTCCAACCCAGGCCAAAAGCCAGTTCCTTTCGTTCCAATTCTCGATGAGAGATTCGAAGTCTTCTTCAAGAAGGATTCTTTGTGGCAATCCGAAGACCTCGAAGCTGTTGTTGACGAGGACGTCCAAAGAACATGTATCTTGCACGGTCCTGTTGCTGCTCAATTCACCAACAAGGTCGATGAACCAATCAAGGAGATTCTTGACAATGTCCATGAAGGACACATTGAGAGACTTTTGAAGGACGTCTATGGTGGAGATGCCTCCAAGATCCCAGTTGTCGAGTACTTCACTGGCAAGAGCCATGCTGAGTTGGACTCGATCCCAGGTGTTGAAGTTACTAAGTCTGCTGACTCCGTCGAGTACGCTATTGGTTCCACTTTGCCTGACACTGAGGCTTGGTTCGAGCTTTTAGCCGGTTCTGAATTGAACTGGAGACACGCCTTCATCTCTGCTGACAGATCTGTTCAAGGTTACAACTTTGTTGAGAACCCTGTCAAGAAGGTGTTGGCTCCTTCTGAGCATTACAAGGTCAGAGTCTTCCATCCAGATACCCCATCTAAGACCGTCATTTCCCTGTTTGGTCAAATCAAGGGTAAGGAAAAGGAGATTGTCAGAATCTCTGCTGCCGACTCTCTGATCAAGATGGAATTGATTGAACACAGAACCGCTGATGGCACCCCAGTTGCTTTGGAGTTGCTCTACACCTACAAGAAATCTGACGGTTTCGCTCCTATCCAGGAAGTTACCAAGGGTAGAAACAATAGAATCAAGGAGTTCTACTGGAAGGTGTGGTTCGGTTCCAAGGTTCCTGTTGACCTTGACTTCGACGTTAGCTCTAAAATCGATGGTGGTTTGACCAAGATCACTCCGCTCTCTATTGCAGAGCTCACTCATGCTGTCGGTAACTCTTGTGAATTCTTCGTTCCAAGAGTTGGAAGAGACCAATTGGCCCCAATGGATTTCGCCATTGTTGTTGGTTGGAGAGCCATCATGAAGGCTATCTTCCCTAAAACTGTTGATGGAGACATTCTTAAGTTGGTTCACTTGTCCAACGCTTACAGTATGAAGCCAGGTGCTGAATTGCTCAAGGCTGGTGATGAGGTTTCTTCCGATGCTGAAATTGTTTCTGTTGTCAACGGTCCTACCGGTAAGACTGTCCAGGTTGTTGGTACCATCTACAGAGCTGGCAAGGCCATCATGGAGGTGACCTCCGCTTTCTTCTACAGAGGTTCTTACACCGACTTCGAAAACACTTTCGAGAAGATTACCGAGACTCCAATGGAGGTTCGTCTTGAGAGCGACAAGGACGTTGCTGTTCTGCAATCGAAGGAGTGGTTCCACCTTGGCTCCGAGCCAATTGACCTCTTGGGTAAGACTTTGACTTTCAGATGCAAGTCTGTCTACTACTTCAAGAACCAAAATGTCTACTCTTCTGTTAAGACCACTGGTGCGGTTTACTACGAGATGCCATCTAAGGAGATCAAGCAAGTTGCTGAGATCTCTTACAGAGCCGGTGTTTCTCACGGAAACCCTGTTGTCGACTACTTGAGCAGAAACGGTAGCCCAATCGAGCAACCTGTCCAGCTTCCTAACCCTGTTCCATTGTCTGGAGCATTGGTTACCAAAGCACCAGGTTCTAACGAGATTTACGCCGCTGTTTCTGGTGACTTCAACCCTATCCACGTTTCTAAGGTGTTTGCTTCCTACGCTAACTTGCCTGGTACCATCACCCACGGTATGTTCTCCTCTGCCTCAGTCAGATCTTTGGTTGAGATGTACGCTGCCAACGGTGTTGCTTCTAGAATGAGAGCTTACAAGGCCAACTTTGTCGGTATGGTTCTTCCTAACGATGAGTTGACCACTCAGCTCGAGCACGTTGCTATGATCAACGGTAGAAAGATCATCAAGATCGAGACTAGAAAGGTTGAGACCGATGAAGTCGTCTTGACTGGAGAGGCCGAGATCGACCAACCAGTTTCTACCTTTGTGTTCACTGGTCAAGGTTCCCAGGAACAAGGTATGGGTATGGATCTGTACAACTCCTCTGAGGTTGCCAAGGAGGTGTGGGACAGAGCCGACCAGCACTTCATCAACAACTACGGTTTCTCTATTTTGGACATCGTGAAGAACAACCCTAACGAGTTGACCGTCTACTTTGGAGGTCCAAAGGGTAGAGCCATTAGAGAGAACTACATTACCATGATGTTTGAAACTATTGACGAAGATGGAAAACTCAGATCTGAAAAGATCTTTAAGGATATCGACGAGAACACTACCACCTTCACCTTCAGATCGCCAACTGGATTGCTTTCAGCCACCCAATTCACACAGCCAGCCCTTACTCTTATGGAGAAGGCTACATTTGAAGACATGAAGTCCAAGGGACTTGTTCCTAGCGAGTCTATGTTCGCCGGACACTCTCTTGGTGAGTATTCTGCCCTTTCTTCCTTGGCCGATGTTATGCCTATCGAGTCCTTGGTTGACGTTGTTTTCTACAGAGGTATGACCATGCAGGTGGCCGTTCCTAGAGACGCCTTGGGCAGATCGAACTATGGTATGTGTGCCGTTAACCCATCCAGAATTTCAGCTACTTTCAACGACTCTGCCCTGAGATTCGTTGTTGAGCACATCAGCAAACAGACCGGCTGGTTGTTGGAGATTGTCAACTTCAACGTGGAGAACCAGCAATACGTTGCCGCTGGTGACTTGAGAGCTCTTGACTCTTTGACCAACACATTGAATGTGTTTAAGGTGCAAAAGATCGACATTGTCAAATTGCAGGAGATGATGTCGCTCGAGAAGGTTGCCGAGCATTTGAGTGAGATTGTGGACGAGGTCTCCAAGAAGTCCTTGGCCAAGCCACAGCCTATCGACTTGGAGAGAGGATTCGCATGTATTCCATTGAAGGGAATCTCTGTTCCTTTCCACTCTTCTTATCTGAGATCTGGTGTTAAGCCTTTCCAGAGATTCTTGGTGAAGAAGATTCCAAAGTCTGCTGTTAAGCCAGCCAGCTTGATTGGCAAGTACATCCCTAACTTGACCGCCAAGCCGTTCGAGTTGACCAAGGAGTACTTTGAGGATGTTTACAAGCTCACTGGCTCTGAGAAGATCAAGGCCATTTTGGACAACTGGGAGCATTACGAGTCCGCATAACTGTATAGAAAGATAATTTAATTGATCATTGGAGAGACACTTAAAATTTAAGTCGCGTCGCGAAACTTGATTTTGCAATTTATATGTTTGTTAGACTAAGTACTAATATTATGAAGAGTACTCAGAAACAACAAACGCTTGCTCGATTCTTTGGCAGCCAGAGCAGCCAGTCTACTGCAGCGAAGAAACGGTCGAGGAGTCCGACTCCTGAATCGTCCAACAAGGTCTTGAAGAGCGACGATACCCCGAAGACCAGTGCAGACGAGCTGGAGGACGCAAAGGAGCTGCTCAAGATGGAGCCCGATGTGAAGGTTCCTGATCTGCCTGTGGGCAAGCCGATCCCGTACAGCAAGCTATGTGAGGTTTTTGAGGCCCTCGAAAACGAGCCCGGCAGACTCAAGTGCATTGAGATTGCTTCAGAGCTGTTCACCCACGTCCTAAGCATTTCCGAGACACAGGAGGACCAGATCCGCAACCTTGTCGAGGTCAATTATCTCACGATCAACCGGGTGAGTCCCGACTACGAGGGACTGGAACTGGGATTGGGCGAGACTCTGCTGATGAAGGCCCTTGCCTCTGGCACAGGACGTTCGATGCAGCAGTTGAAAGAGGACATGGGCGAATACGGAGACATTGGTCTCGTTGCGCAAAAGTCGCGTTCCAAACAGAGTCTGATGTTTAAACCCAAACCTCTCACTGTGAGCCAGGTGTTTAACAACCTGAAGCAGATCGCTGGGCTTTCGGGCTCGTCCTCGCAGAACAAGAAGCTGGCCATGATCAACAAGATGCTCACATCGTGCGACTCCCGCGAGGCCAAGTTCCTCATGAGATCGCTCGAAGGATCGCTGCGTATCCAGTTTGCAGAAAAGTCTGTGGTGGTGGCTCTGGCCAAAGCTCTTGCAGAGAACGAGATGAGACAGAAGGGCAAGAAGATCAATCCCGACGTGCTCGCCCAGGCCGATGAGCAGATCAAAGAGGCGTTCTCGCAAGTGCCGAACCACGAGCTTATCATCGAGACAGCCATCAAATACGGCGTTCTCAACCTGATGGATCACTGTACATTAAAACCCGGCATTCCTGTCAAACCGATGCTTGCCAAGCCTACCAAGTCGATCACCGAGATTCTGGACCAGTTCGAAAACCAGGAGTTCACGTGCGAGTATAAGTACGACGGAGAAAGAGCACAGGTGCACTTGCTACCGGACGGAACGCTAAGAGTCTACTCGAGAAGCTCAGAGAACATGACCCAGCGATATCCCGACCTGATTCCGGTGGTGGAGGAGCTCAAGCGTCTGAATCCTGGTGTCGAGTCGTTTATTCTGGACTGCGAGTGTGTTGCTTGGGATAAGAAGCAGGAGAAAATTCTACCTTTCCAGATCTTGTCTACACGGAAAAGGAAAGACGTTAAGGAGGAAGACATCACCGTTCAGGTTTGTCTGTTTGCGTTTGACATTCTGTTGTACAATGGCGAGTCGCTAATCAAAATGTCTCTCAAGGAGCGCCGGGAGTACATGTACGACAACCTGAAGGTGATTCCTGGCAAGTTCAGGTTTTCTGAGAAGTTGGATTCCTCTGATTTGGACGTGATCACCAAGTTCTTGGACCAGTCTGTGAAAGACGCCTGTGAGGGACTCATGATCAAAACTCTTAATGGACAGGACAGTTTATACGAGCCTTCCAAACGGTCGCGCAACTGGCTGAAGCTCAAGAAAGATTACTTGGAAGGTGTTGGAGACTCTTTGGATTTGGTGGTGATTGGAGCCTATGTTGGAAAAGGAAAGAGGACAGGAGGATACGGAGGGTTTCTTCTTGCGAGCTACAACACCGACACAGGAGAATACGAGGCCATTTGCAAGATCGGAACAGGTTTCAGCGACGAGATGTTTGCAACGTTGACCGAGAAACTGAAACCCACGGAGGTTGCCGAGCCAAAGGGGTCCATCATATACGACAAAACAAGCTCCAGAGGTGCTCCGGAGATTTGGTTTGAGCCCACAATGCTTTTCGAGGTGAAGGTGGCAGATTTCACAGAAAGTCCCGTGTACAAAGCAGGTGCCAGTCTGTTGGGTGACGGGTCCAAGGGCGTTTCTTTGCGGTTCCCGCGGTTTATCCGCATCAGAGACGACAAGGCGCTCGAGGACGCCACTTCCAGCGAGCAGATCGTGGAGCTGTACGAGAAACAGGCCAACCTTAATTAGACGATGCTTTCGTAATCAACAAATATTTTTCAGCCGCAAACCTATCTAGGTAAATAGTAAACATAATATTGGTGAGAAAAAACAGATTGATAAAGTTGGTAATTTATCGAATGAAGCGGTTGGATCATTTCAACGACGCTAGCAAGCGTGTCCGGGAATTGAGGGCCGACAAGCTTTCTCGGTTTGACCGCCAAGCCCTTGACGCTGCTATCAATGATATCCATGTTTTTCTGCAAGAGTTCCTGGTGCTCGACGCCGCCTTGACGAGTCTGAGTGCTGTGGCCGAAAATAAAGATACAGTGATCAATGCGCAGAAGTGTTTGGACTCGATAGACGCTCTGCTGCCTGAACTGATTGGCACGGTGGAGGCCAAGCTCGAGTCAGACCCAGAGCTCGAATCCACCGTTGGCCGGCTTGAACCGCTATGCGAGACGCTTCTGGAAGCTAAGAGATACAGTTTGGCATACCGCGAGACACTGCCCGTGGCCGTGAGGTACATGGAGCTCGATAGAGTGGTTCTCGGGTCGATCAGCGACGAAATCTCCAACTGTTTCAAAGACCTCCGAACACTGCAGGAAATGCTCCATACCAGTCCCGTCAAGAAGCTCATGCCGCTCGACGTTTCCGAAATCACAGGCAAAATCAAAAACAGCACCGAAATCAAGTCGTGCATGCCGACTTTCAGCTCGCTGGATGAGCGACTACTGGGACTGTACCACCAGCTGGAGAGCAAGCTGGAACCAATCCAGGCGTCGATTCTGATCGTGCCACAGGCCCTCGAATACTACAGTGACGTGGCCATCGCAAAACACTCCAAGTCGCTGATGAAACTGATCGCCAAATACGAAGACCTGGTCCACCATCTCCACGAGCTGCGAGCCGGAGTGAAAGGCATGTCACGTGACCTCATCGACCGACGCTGGGAGCATATATTTTTGACGTTGATGAAGGAAGCCGAGAGACGGTTGGAGGAGCTCGAGGACGAAATAGAGCTTAAAGGCCAGCTTGGCGGATCGAGTTTGCGCGGACTCGAATCGATTGGAGAGTCGGTTGATATATTGAAACGAGCAGTGGGGGAGAAGCTGCTGACCGAGGATCATATGATTCGACGCAAAGACGCGGTCGATTACAAGTACATCAAGATCCAGGAACTGCATTTTAAGTCGCAGAGACAAAACGTTCCAGAGACAAACATGGAGCCTGCTCGCTCGAGAGGATCGTTGTTTGATGCTCTCCAGTTGAAACCCGTGATGATCGAGTACAATCCAACGTCTGCTAAAAAGAAGAGTCCATTAGAGTTTGAGATTCTTGAAGACGACGAGTCAGAGGTTTCTTTCCGCACGGAGTCCAGCAAGTCGCTTCTCAACCGGCTGATGGGCGAGCTCGAAGATAAGGAGAACGAGTCGGCTGACAAATCTGAGCAGGATCTTGTTTTGAACATGGATCAGATGACCATCAATGAACATTCACCAAAAGCAAGCAAAAGGCTTTCACAGTCCGATCCTTTCATTACCCCGAATGCAAAGCTGTACAAAACTAGTTCCCAGAAACCAGCTGAGAAGTCTACGAAACTGCTCAAGTACGTGCCACTGCCGGTTCCAGACCCAAACAACAAAGACCACCGACCAAAACGAACACTCGAGTTTGCACAAGCCTCCATCACACAGATTCCTCTGCCTATATCGCAAAAGTCCCGAATCAGTCTTCTCACCTCCACCATCAGAGGAACAAGCTACACAAAACCACAATTGGGCCATGGAAGTAAGATTCCAAGGTCGACTTTGGTGAAAAGAGTCGAGCTCACCCCACAGAAACCACCACAGCGACCATACACGGCTCTTGACACTCGGCGGTCTCCAACCATGTTGGTTGAGCCAACGCCTCTCCGTGTGATCAAGCAACGTGCCCGGGCAACGTCTTCGCTAGGAACCGCCCAAGCACGACGAGTCGCATCCTACGATAATGACCGTATTTAATGTATAATAGGGATTCCCCTGTATTTGGTAGCAGGTGCATGCACAGCCCTTTAAAAAAATATTTTTCAGATATCGAGTAAAAAAATTTAAATTAGTGTACATAATGCCGAAAGCTGGTAAGAAACAGTTTGCAAACAAGCCTGCGCCAACCGGCGACCAGATGAACAAGGTGTTCAAGTTCAACACCGATCTAGGACAGCATATTTTGAAAAATCCGCTTATAGCGCAAGGGATCGTCGACAAAGCAGAAATCAGACCGTCTGATGTGGTGCTGGAAATCGGTCCTGGTACCGGTAACCTGACGATGCGGATTCTGGAAAAAGCACGCAAGGTCATCGCGTCGGAGGTCGACCCGAAGATGGCCGCCGAGCTGACAAAGAGAGTCCATGGAACGCCTTACGAGAAGAAGTTGGAGATCATCATGGGAGATTTTATGAAGCTGGACAACCTGCCGTACTTTGACGTCTGTGTTTCGAACACGCCGTACCAAATTTCGTCTGGTATTGTTTTCAAGCTTCTGAGCATGCCTAGACCGCCAAGAATCGCCGTTTTGATGTTCCAACGAGAGTTCGCCATGAACCTGACCGCCCGGCCTGGAGACTCTCTTTATAATAGACTGAGTGCCAACGCGCAGATGTGGGCGAACGTGAAGCACGTGATGAAGGTGGGTAAGAACAATTTCCGTCCTCCGCCAAAGGTCGAGTCGTCGGTGGTTAAGGTGGAACCCAAGAACCCACGGCCTAACCTGGATTATAACGAATGGGACGGGCTGCTACGATTTTGCTTCAACAGAAAAAACAAGACTTTGAACGCTACATTCAGGAATAGCAAGATCCTGGAAATCCTCGAGACAAACTACAAAGCGTTCCTTGCGGTTCTGAGCGAGCAGAACGGCGAGATGATGGTGGATGCCAAGGCCGACTTTGCTGCTCTCGTGAAAGAGAACGTCACCAAAGTGCTCAACGAAACCGGCTACGGCGAGCAGAGACCAGCCAAAATGGACCAGACCGACTTCCTCAAACTCCTCTATGCTTTCCACCAGGTTGGAATCCATTTTGCGTAATGTATTAATATATGCATCTATCTTCTCTTCTGTCCCTTGGAGAAATCTTTCTCTATGACATCAGTAACTCCGCTCTCCTCAAGACTGTCCTCCTCTATCTGCACAGCCTCTCTTCTCTCCCACCATCTGGTCTCGCACAGCTCGAACGACTTGGTCTTCAAGTGCTTTCCACGAGTATGCGGGTTCTGGCTGATAGCCCAGGTGAGGAAGTCGGCTCCAGTACGCAGGTAGAACGCTCTCAGGGACTCGAACGCCTTTGGATGAGGGAGCCATGGATGCTCATCTGGAATCTCTGGCTCCTCGTCCGCCTCTTCTTCGTCTTCTTCTTCTTCTTCTGCCACCAAAACTTCTCTGGTCTGCTCCTCTTCGTCGTCGTCTTCATCATCATCATCGTCATCGTCGTCATCATCCTCACTGTCCTCAGCGTCCTTCCGCTCCAACTCAGACAGATCTTCCCAGAAAACCTTGACTCCATCCAGTTTCGACAAGTCAACAGAATAAAACGAGTCCAAATTATACTCTTGCTCCCCGGCCTCGTACATTCCTCCGTAAATGTACAGGTTGTCGTCCAAGACGCAGGTCAGCGCGTTGAATCTCGCATGCGGCATCTGGTTGCGCACCTCGAGCGTCTCCTCTTCCTCCTCTTCCTCATCTTCCTGCTCTGGCTTCTCTTCGTCGTCGTCATCTGCCAAATTGTTCTTTGCCAAAATCGAGTTCAGCATATCCTCGAGCTCCCGGTCTCTATTAACTTTCTCCTTCTTCACTATCGTCTTTTTCTTTGCCGAGCGCAAGCTCAACGTGTACCATCTGTTGGTCTCAATATTATAGGACAGCAGCGAGTTGTAGAACTCCGAGTCCAAAGTTTCTTCTGTCTCTTCGTAGTCAAACACACCTCCAAATAACAAACCACGGCCCTTGTGGTGCTGCATAGAACACCCAACACGTGGCGAGGGCTGGAATCCCTGTTTACGACGACGCTCAAACCGGCTCTGAGCAGGATCGCTCTTCATGTTCAAGGCCCAGCAATCAGTCAAAATTTTTCCTTTCTGCAACCCTTTTCCAGCCTTCACTTTACAGTAACCACCATAGATGATGGCTCCAAACTCAGTGGGAAGAAATGAATGTCCGGAACGTGCATCAGGAACGGTGTGTGACGTTGGAAACTCGACCTGCTTCCATTTGTAGGTGGTAATATCAAATAGCCACAGATCGTTCAGATATGTGGTATGGGAGCCAAGATCACGGAACCCTCCATAGAGCATCACATAGTTCTTCCAGCATGCCATTCTATGTCCACTACGGGTCGGCGGTCCCTTGACGTCGACCTTAGCCCACTCCTTGGTCTGGGAGTCCAGAATCCATGTATCTGAGTAGTGGTGGAAAGTGGACTGTTTTGGCGACGAGAACTCACCACCGTGCATCACGAAAATTCCCGACGGATGATAGCACATTGCGTGCGACGATCTGGGAAGCGGCGCATTCTTCGAAACGTAACGTCTCCATGTTTTCGAGTCCACAGAGAAAACGTTCAGATCATTGAAGAAATGAACGGTCTGCCCCGTGTTCACCTCTCCACCAAACAACACAAGCTCACGACGGCCGTTGGTGTTACTGGCCACAAGTGTAGCATTCAGTCGTTTGAGAGGTTTGTCAACCACATCGACGTGGATCTCCTCGAACTTCTCCTGTTCCAGAGCCAACTGCTTGAGCAGCTCGTCCAGATCCATATCGTCCTCCAGGTCATCACCCGCCTTCTTGGACAGTTTCTTCAGCTTCTCGTCGGCCTTCTTGTTGTTTTTCTCGTTTTTCTGGGCCATCCGGGCCTTCTTGGCCTCCTTGCTCTTCTTGTCTTTCTTAGCCATAGTAACAAAGTTTTTTTTCCAATCTTTATAGATTTTAAAACCCTAGCGGTGCGGCTCATCTACAACCCGTAATCGAAACACAATCATTATAGCTATTATATGAATCCCACGTTGAGTCTATTTGGACGTATCCTCGCCGTAATCCTCGCTCATTTCGACCTCTTCGTCGTCGATGAAGCTTTGGTCGTCCTCATCAATCTCGTCGTCCTCGTCGTCCTCGTCTTCTTCGTCCTGGTAGAACCATTCGTCTTCGTAATCATCGGCCTGAGCGCGCGCGTTGGCATCTGGAATCTCGAAATCGTCAGGAATGGCCTCCTTGGACCGCTCCACGTCTTTGGCGACAATGTCGTAATAATCGTCCTTGTGGTCTCTGAACATCTTGCTGGCGTCCACGTTGGCGGGCGAGTTAATATTTGGGTCGTCAAGAAGCGAGATGATCGACACCAGCACAGACTCCACACATTGCGCAGGACTCCACGTTTCGTTGGATGGCTCGCCACTGAAGGCATCGCCTGCCTCATGCAAGATTGAAATGCAAACACGTCCGTCTTTATAAACATTAGGGTGGAACACCGGTGGCGTGAAGCGGAACGCTGGCGGAGAAAATGGGTAGTTATTAGGGAATCTCATCTGGCATTTCAAGTAAGCGCCATTATACTTGGAGTCTGGGTTCGGAATATACATCCCAATATCCCAAAGGAAGATGTTATCAGAATCCAGTTCAATCCGGAACGAAGGCTGTGACTTGGTGAGCTCTTTGAGCTCCTTTTGAAGAATCGCTGCTGCACTCATACCGACTGGCGTTATGCTATTTACGGTATCCAGTCAACACAAACACCACAGTTGTCTAAATGAAAACACAATCAAGTTTTTTTTGGCCATCACTTTCTTTTTTCCTTTGCCAGCCGGGCGCAACGACAGATCGTCCGGTTACTTTCTTTTTTGCCAGCGTCGATCGACGCCAATTAGGAAGAAAAGTCGGAATCAATTTAATCTATCTATATGTCATTAGTCGTGTAGTAGAGGTCACCGCTAGCTGAGGCTCTTCTGTTCGTTGTGTTCTTTGAAGTCGTCACGCAGAACAGGGTTTCGTTTGATAAACGCCGTTTTCAGAACGTCTTCCGAAGAAGCTTCCACTTCCTCCTTCTCTGCTGCTCCGTCTTCCTCTTCAGGCTCTTCTTGGGCTTCTGAGGCCTGCTTCTTTGGCTTCTGCGTCTCGTTCAAAAGCTTGTACAGCATACTATCGTGGTTTGCATACAGCTCCTTGAACTTTCCTTCTTCCGCCACACGGCCGTCGTAGCCCAAAACTAACACCTCGTCGCACTTCTCGATCGTGGAGAGTCTGTGCGCAATAGAAATAGTGGTGATGCTCTGGTCACGCATCAGGTTGGAAATTGTCAGATTGATAGCGTTCTCAGACTTCGAATCCAGGGCAGATGTGGCCTCGTCCAGAATCAGAATCGGTGGATTTTTTATCAAGGACCGAGCAATGGCAATCTTCTGTTTCTGGCCTCCAGACAGCTGAGACCCTTTAGGCCCGATATCTGTGGCAAACTTGTCTGGGAAATGCTGGACAAAGTCGCAATTTGCCTTTGCTGCGGCCCATTCGATCATGTCTGCCGTCACCTTGACGTTCTGCGGTAAGCCATATTTGATGTTTTCTGCCAAAGTTCCAGGAATCAGAACAGGTTCCTGCTGCACGTATCCGAGAAGTTGACGCAGCGAGTGCACAGAGTACTTGGTAATATCCACACCGTCAATCAAAATCTGGCCCGAAAGCGGCTGGTAGAAACGAAGCAGCAACGAAGCAATGGTGGACTTTCCCTTACCTGAAGGGCCCACTATACACACGTTAGAGCCCGCTTTGATCTCGAAAGACAGGTTGTCAAACACGATGTTGTCTGGCCGTGTAGGATAGGCAAAGGTGACATTCTTGAACTCGATGTGACCTTTGGAATTAAAAATTTTGGGGCCGGGGATCTGGTTGATATGAGGCTGTTGATCTTGGATCTCAAACAGTCTGGAAGCTGCTCCTGCTCCTTTGAAAAGCTCTGTATAGAAAGTAGCCACTCCGAAAGTGGCATTTCCACAGTAATCGGTGTACATCATGTATGCTGCCAAATCTCCAACAGTCATACTTCCACTAAACACCAAGTTGGTACCTAGTCCCAGAGTGAGAAGGAAAGTGGCATGACCCAGAACACCAGTGGAAACGAAGAATGACGCGTTGGTCAAGGCGTCTTTATAACTGATCTTGTACACCTCTTTGATTTGCTGGTCGTATCTGTGGAGCTCCTTCGTCTCTGCTGTGAACGACTGGATGGTTTTGATGTTGTTTAGTTGTTCCTCAGCCACCTTCGTGAGACCACCTGTTGCCTTTTGCAACCGTCTACTCAACGACTTGATCATCATTCCGTAAATGTAAGAGGCAAGAAGTAGAGGTGGACCAAAGGCAAACATGATCATCGACAGAGTTGGCGAAATGTAGAACATCATTCCAATAGACGTGCCTCCCACGATGGAATGTTTGATACCGTCAGACATGTTCTGTGTGACAGAGCGCGAGACAACGTACGCATCACTCGAAAGACGCGAGATGAGGTCTCCCACCTTGTTTTTGTCGAAGAACTCCATATCCTGGCGAAGCACGTTTCTCATGATTGTGGAACGTAGTCTGGCTACCAATTTTTCACCCAGCACTCGAAGAATGATGATTCTGCCAAAAGTAGCTGCTGTGTAGACACCCAACAGCACACCAACAGCAGCCAAAAGTTCGTAGAGCGTCAAACCGTAGTAACGTGCCTCTTCTAAACTGGAAAAATGCCGGGTCGAATCAAGAATCTGGCCGGTGACTTTGGGCAGGGCCATCACAATGAACGCGCTGATGAAGAGCAGGAAAATAGCCACTGAAAATAGCTTGATATCCTTTCGCGCAAGCTTGAGCAGTCTTCGCACTTCCGAAAAGCCCGCCTCGCTCTGATCCTCTTCCACCACTCCAAAATAGCGTTCTTTCCAGTGTTTGGGCTTCTTTGTCTCTGGCTGTTTCTCGGGCACGATAGGCTTTTCAAACTTGACTCTGGACACACTGAAACACCGGTGCGCAAAAGATATACGTGCCTGATGATCCAGGGTCTGTCTGATGTCCAGATTTGGCCGGGGTGCTGCGAACGTACTAACAAGACAACGAGGTTGAAATAACCCGGTTCTCAAGATGGGCCGCATGGACACCCGGGTCATAAGACCACGTGGAAACAAAATCATCTGTATATAGACTTTATACCGCTTGTTGTCCCTCAACAACTGAATAATATAGAAGGAAATGCTAACACGGATGGATAATTTCGTGGAGACTGGAAATACATCTACATCTTTACACCGCCTGATTTCGTTCAAACGGAACGTACCGTATTTACGGATACTACAAAAGCATCGGTACACTCTTGATCACTTGCCAAACCATTGCCATGTGATGTAGAGACCACATTCCGTGCTTATCCGAATCGAAATCCGCTAAGGTCTCGGAACAGTGGCCAAAACATTGTGCAATGGAACACGAGTTCTTCATCATGCCGATACCTCCAGTTTGAGAATATCATATCTGATTCATGTCTATCTAAGCAGTCTTGTTGACACCCAAGTCGGTGGTGGACACAATGTTTCCCTTCTCGAGTTTTTGGACCTTAGCTTCGGAAACGTATCTTTTCTCAGCAGCCACCTTGAACTCATTTTTCAGCGACTTTTGGACAGTTCTGGCAGCAATTGCCAAGTACTTGTTGAAGGAGATTCCAGCCTTTTGCCACGCAGACATTTCTATGTTGATATATTGCAATTGAGCTTTAAAGGTAAAAACACTTGTTTAGTCCAATAACGAAAAGCTTTTTCGACAAATTTCCTGGCTGCGTAACCTTTTTCGACGCTTGGTTGTGCCAAAACACTCTGCGTCGATCGACGATATTTTTTTTCGTCAACATTTTATATCTTGTTTAGAGGACTTGATATGGCGGTTTCCAGGGACCATTACTACCGGTTGGCGTCTGATCTTGAAGACGAGCGGATTTCTGCTGCATCTGATCTGATCACAGAACTTCGAGAAGCCGATTCGGCAAAAGAGTGGGATTACGCTTTGGACAGACTGATCAAAGGTCTTTCTTCTTCAAGAGCCAGTGCTAGACTTGGATTTTCGCTTTGTTTGAGCGAGGTTCTATTTGAGCTGATTGAAAAACAGGCAAAGTACACCGTTGACAAGTTTGTTACCGATTTATCCCAAAAACTTGCCAGTTCTGTCAGTAACAGGAACACTGGTAAAAACGCCAGAAGCGTGCTATTCGGCGAGCTTTTCGGCTTGCAATCGATCCTGAACTCGGGAGTCATCGCAGAGGATCTTAGTTCTGGAAAGTCTCAAAGTTACGGCAAGGTCACCGATAAATTAGTGGATTTATCTCTATTCAAGCCATGGATTAGAGAAGCATGTTTTGCAACGATCTTCAAATCACTTTTGACGTTCCAGATCTCGTCAAGTTCCAAACTCACAGATACCCTTGTGCACCTTCTTCAAAAGATCGACTCCAGTGGTCTCACTTTGACCACCGAAGGACTTTTAATTGCATTGAGCATTCCCGTTGAAAAACGTCAAACAGTCTTCAGTCTCGCTGAAATCGACAAATGGCAGAACGGAAACCCTCTCTCGAAAGGTAATTTACCGACATTGGCTAAAATCATGAAAGACGTGGATGTTATCTCTGACGAAGAGGAAGAGACCAAGAAAAAGGGAGGATGGTCCAGAAGCGTGCATTTTGTTTGGACTCCGTTGTTGAACGAACTGATTCAAAACTCCGATAGAACCACTCCGGAGTTGAAGGAGCGCAAGTCCAAGAAACAGAAAACAGAAACAAAATACATCAAGCTTTCTGAGTTCTGGAAAACGTGTATTGACGAGCAGTTCTTCTCCCAGTCCTCATCCCCTGAACGCAAATATAATGGTCTGGAAATTTTCAACATGATTTTGGACAACAGTGCACTTTCTGGATCACAAATGGAGTACATTTTGTCGCCAAACCTCATGCGCACTTTGATCAACCAGAGCTCCAACCCTGATAGATTATTGAACAAACTGGCCCGGAAGACACTGTCTCATTTGTCAGCTACCTCGATCTCTCATCAGGATAGACTTTTGCCAACTTTAAAGACGATTCTGGGTGTGTCGTTGCACTTTGACCGTCTTACAAAATCGAAAATCACCAATGATCTGATAACGTCTGCTCAAACAGACGAGACTTTGGTCCAAATCGTGGACTTTTTGATTTCTTTGGAATATTCCGTTGAAGAAGACATCATCAAGTACCAGCTTTTTGCGCTTGACTCGTTGTTGACTCTTGTGAGGGCTAAGAAGTCTGCTATTAAGGATAAGGATATTTATGAACGCATTTTGGATTACCTGATCAAACATGCCTATGTCAAATTAGAGGACGGTACCAGATATACCGACAGAATGGCCCAGTCTTCGCTGGAGAGACTGTACTCTATATTATTGGAAATCATGTCTGGTGGATTGGAGCAAGGCAAACTCACATGGCCATACTACGCAGTGACCAAATTGATCGAGAAAGACACTGATTTCACCGAGTCTGAGTTTGTTCTCCGTCAAGAGTTCGAGGACGACCTCAAAGACTTGAAAGTCGACTGTGTGCGGATTCTGCAGTCGATCGGCGAATTGAAGGAGTCTGACGACTCAAAGCTGCTTGAATCTTTTGAGCTGCTGCTCTCTGTTGGATTGCTGCAACTCTACTCTGGAGACGAGGAGTCTGGATCGATTTTGACCGATTTGAAGTCGGCCTTTGATAGCTACACCGATTCCAGTGCACAAGACATGTTGGTGGACACGCTTGTTGATTTGGTTCTATCTTATTTAACACTGAAATTGTCATTGATGAAGAAAGTGGCAGCCAGTGTTTGGCAGAACCTCGTTCCGTTGGTTGGAAAGCCGCAACTCGACCGTTTGTTTGAGGTTGTCTTGACCAAGGAGAACAAGGAGGGACGTGAAAAGCTGTTCAACGAGGCAGTTGACGAGGAAGACGACTCTGAGGAAGTGCAAGGGTCAGACTCTGATTCTGTTGATGTCAGCATGGACGACTCTGAGGATCCACTAGAGCTTGAGGACGTGGACCGCAAGACCAGCAGCGAGCTTGCTCAGGCACTTGGTGTTGAAAACAACGAGGATTTGTCCGAAGAGGCGTCGGACTCGTCTGAGGAGTCTGAGTCCGACGTGGAAAGTATGTCTGATGAGCAAATGATGGCCATTGACTCGACACTGTCCCGGATCTTCAAACAAAGACAGGACGCCTTAAACAATATGGAAAGTAAGTCTGGTAACCAGCGGAAACAGGAGGTCCAGGATGCACGTGAGTTGATGGTCTTTTTCAAAAACAGAGTGTTGGACCTGCTGGAGCTGTTCGTCAACAAACGCTCTACCGACAAACTCAAAATGGACGTTGCTGTTGTTCTTCTGGATGTTATGGGACTCACTTTGGAGAAACAGCTCGGCGAAAAAGCTCATAAGCTCATTAAACTAATTACAAAGAGTCCTATCCAAGTGTCTATACAGAATAAGTCCGAGCTGTTTGAGAATCTGAAGGATATCCAAACTAGAGCTGCCACCAAGTCTAAGTTCCGCGCTCACTCGTTAGCCTGCAACCAGGTTTCGCTCTATATTGTCCGCAGTCTGGTGAATTTCGACAAAAGTCTGATCCCAGACCTGCTGGACGTGTATTTGGAAAGCATCAAGAACTGGGCAACAGATCCCGCAGACAAAACCACAACCGGCATGTACATCGATTTGATCAACTGGCTCAACGATAGAAGAGGTGTTTAGCTAGAAGATTTTGAAAATTAATTATGTTTCTTTGCGTCCTTGTAATTTTGGTCCTGTCTGTGTTCGACTCTTGAGAGAAAGTCCTGCTGGTCCAAATATCCTCCCTTATTTTTAAATTTCAGCTCGTCTCCAATCTTCGACTTGTCCACGTACGAAGCCCAGTCGAGTCGCGACTTCTCCAATGTGGAAAGTTTGGTGCTGGAAGCGTTGTTGATCACGTCATCCAGCAAACTTGCCCGCTTCCGTTTTGGGGCCTTTTTCTTAGGCAGAGGCTGAACCGGCGTTGACTCCTTTGATTCCTTGAGTTTCGTGGAGTTGAAGTGCGCACGGGCCTCTTCCGAGTTCGCGTCCACCCATTTCTCCTCCGTCACGGTCTCGCCCGCAAACTCGTACGTTCTGGTGATCTTGATCTTTTCGGTATCTGTGGAGTCTGTAGGCTGGGACAGGGGTTTTGGTTCTGGCGACGATTTGGGCTTGGACTGATTAAGCTCCTTCCAAATGGAATCCACATCCACTGAGGACTCCTTGGGCTTCTCATACGACTTCTCGTGTTTCTCCTCCAGCCTCTGTCTCCTGGTACGGATCAATCCGCCAGACTCGAGGTTATCGTACCTGGGGAGGTCTTTATCGTCGTCTTCGTCGTCGTCGTTTTCTTCCTTGGCATCTGGATCATAATCATCGTCCTCCGACTCCTGGTAGTCGGCCACCGACTCTTCCAGCGTCTTTTTCTCTTCCTCCGTCATGGACCCCAGTTGCACAAAATGTTTAGTTTTCTGGTCGTGGCCCTGCGAGATTTCATCGACGAAAAAATTGTGGGAGATTAAAGATTACCGTCTCCAGCATGCTGAAACGGAAAAACGAGGGAGGAGAGGAAAACACCGTCAAGCGCGTGGCCCGCGACAACGAGACTCCCACGCCGAGTGACTCGGATAAAGAAGAAGGCCATTCCGGTCCTTCTGGGGCCGGATCCGGCAACATAGAACATTCTGTGGAGGAAAACAAGGGACCTCAAGAGCAGCCGCCTCCCGCGGATAGCGGCGCCAATTCGTCGCAGCAACGGCCTCCAGCAGACGAGCCAATGTACGTGCACTTCCGAATGCTGTGCTCGATCAACGAGACGGCCGCAATTGTTGGAAAAGGTGGAGACACCATCAACAAGATCAAGGAGCAGTCCAACGCCCGAGTCAATGTGAGTGAAAACTTGAAAGGAATCCCCGAGCGCGTGATTACCGTGCGTGGGGCGGCCGAATACGTGGCCAAGGCTTTCGGACTCATCACGAGAGCCATTATGGACGAACCGTTCAACCAGGCTTCCACCGTCGACTCGAAACAGATAAATCTCAAGCTTCTGTTCCCTCACACGATAATTGGCTACATCATAGGCAAAAAGGGTGCTAGATTTAGAGAGATCGAGGACAACTCGGCGGCAGCGTTGAAGGCCAGCGATCAGATCCTCCCTGCCTCCACAGACAGAATACTCCACATCACGGGAGTCGCCGATGCTATTCACATAGCCACGTATTACGTGGCCCAGACGGTGCTGGACCACAAGCAGCACCTTGCGAACGCGATTTTCTATAACCCGGCAAACTACGGGCAGCCAAGCAGACCGGTGAACGGCGCTGCCGCGGCTCCTCCTCCACAGCAGATCCCATATGGGGGAGGATACCCACCGCAGATGATGCCGATGGTGCAACCCGGATACATGGGCCAACCTGTGCCCCAGCAGTACGGACAGTACGTTCCTAGCGCAGTTCCGCCGCCTGCAGGGGGCGCTGGTGCTGGCCAGGAGAAGATGAGCCAAGACATTTACGTTCCCCAGATGCACATCGGGCTGGTGATTGGCAAGGGAGGCAAAAACCTCAAGGATATCCGTACCATCACAGGCTGCTACGTCAAGGTTAACGACGAGGTTCCTGGGGCCACTGAGCGGAAGCTGACTTTGATGAGCTCCAGTCCGTTTGCCATTCAGCAGGCCATCATGTTGATCAACAACAAAATCGAGAACGAGAAACAAAGACAGAGAAGAGACCACAGAGAAGATTAAGTGTATATTAGGAATACAAGATGCGGAGAGCTGGGGCTATTGGATTCTGCTCCGCTCCCATAATTTTTCAAGACTCTTTTTAAACACCAAGACGTTATGGTCGATTACGGCCAAAGCATTTGCGTCGTTTTCGTCTTCGAGTCTCGTCACTGCAACCAGTGCCAGGCCACGGATCATCTGCTGTAGATAAAGCACCGACCCGCTTTGGAGCTTGGAAACGCATCTGGTTGGTTGCGGGTTGGTGTTTGGCTCTGCGTCGGACCCTGACTCGTACAGACCGTCCAGGTCGATCGTCACGTCGATGAATTCGGCACAAACCTCATAAGTCTGGATATCCACGGGCGACGAGTCAGTTGCCACGTAGATCTTGGAGTTCACGTCGAAGAGAAACACTTTGTCCAGAGTGCTGTACTGCATCAGCAAGTCGAGCAGGTTTTCCAAAGCTGGCAGCTCAAAGATGAGTTTCTGCACAATTCGTGAGAACGCCTCGTAAATAGAGTGGTCGAAAATCGACGTGAGGTAGAACGAGATCTGCACTCCGTCGAGTCCGTAGTCGAGCAAATCGTCGCCGACCCGTTGCATTATATCTCTCTGTGTTTCTAAACGGAAGTCTTCCGAAAGACCGTCGATCTTGTGTATGAGGACCTCAATGTGCAGATTCGAGTTGACGCTGCATGCGTACTTGATGATCACGGCCAGGTTCTGCAGAGCGCTGAGATACTCGTCCTGGCTGTCTATAACGTAAACCAGTGCGCCAATGGACGAAAACAGCTTTTCCGAGTCGTACAACGACGGCTCAAACAGGTTTAATTGACCAGGAAGCTCCATGACCGCTAGGTCGATCAACGACCGGAAATTCTCCGTGGTGGGCTTGGTGGTGCTCTCAAGATAAAGTGTATCTAATGGCTGCATGTCATGGAAAACAACCTTGCAAATTGACGACTTTCCCGACCTTTCCGGTTAGCAATACATCATCCGCAAACAAAAACTTACCGTCTGAGACCCATCAGCAGCACAGTGGCATTGTTATACTTGTTTAGTACCGCCTCCACATCCATCGTTAGATATTATTTGGTTCTAATAAAAAATCGGCACAGCCAGCTTCTATATAAAACAGAGTATATTGTACATTATCTAGGTTGACGATAAAGTTTTAGACTTTAGCGCGCTTGGACTCGGACGACGACTGGGAGGCCTTGCGCTTGCGCTTCTCTTCCAGTTTCGACAGATATTTGGCCATGTACTCCTTCACGAAATGCTTGACCTTGGCCTTTTTCTCCTCGCTTAGCTCGTCTGGAGGAGTCTCGTCGGCGTGTCTCTTGAACTCCTTCTGTGCAAGCGTGTGCACCACGTCTCGAGCACACGTCTTGAGCCCGTCACGGCCAATCTCAGACTGGTATTTCTTCATCATGTTGGGCACAGCAGCAGCAAACAGCTTGGTCCACTGCTTCTCCACAGAGCTCACGTGATCCGTCTCTTTCTTGACCACAGGCGAGGCAGGTCTTTCGAGCGAGGCCTCTGCAATGATCGAAGACAACATGCTCATCCGTTTTTCCTCGGTTTCAAGCTCCTTCTGTCGAGCCATTTGCCGTTCTCTCTCCAGCCTCTTGAGCTTGGCCTCTTCTTTCTGTCTTTCCTTCTCGCGTCTCCGTTTTCTCTCCTCCTCGTCCGTGACTTTGCTTGGCATGGCGATCTGCTTTGGCTTCTCCCACTGAGTGATGTTTTTCGTCCTGTTATAGTAGTAAATCGCCTTGGTGGACGGGTCCTCTGCCCACTCCCAGCCTGGTGGTAGAGCAACACCATCGATCTTGGTGTTGACCGGCTCCGGAGTTTCTGCAGCCGGAGCAGAAGTGGATCGTGTTCTTCTGTCGTCCAGGTTGGTCGAGGTGTTGGCAGCATCACCAAGATCGCTCTTCTTGGGGATCCGGTAAACAAGCTCCAGATCTTTCCAGCCATTCAATAACTGGTCGATTTGGGTCTTGGTCTCCTGGTTGTTGCTCTTGCCTCGCACTTCAAGTAAGAGCTCGTCGATCTTGCAGTTTGCAATGGAGTTCCTGGCACGCAGAGTAGGCCAGTGCAGGAGGATGTTGATTATGTAGCTGAACAGCTCTTCTTCTTTGATCGATAGTTTGGAGCCCGTTGGTTTCAAAACAGTCTTGATTGCAGTGCTCAGAGCTTGCATTCCATGTAAACGACAAAACCGTTCCACAATCTCGTCGTAATTTTCACACAGCGTGAATCTCTCGATGACACGCGAAATGACTATGAAATCAAGATCCGGTTGCAACAAACAACTCACCACTTTCGAGACGTCGCCCAAAGTCAAAGGATCCAAGATCAAAGACTTGACAAACTCCGCATTCACGTTCGAGTCGATATTGTCCTGGGTAACCTTAATTCCATTCTTCTTTTGGTCCTTGATCCATTTTTTCTCAACATTTGCGCGGACTCCCAGGGCTTCGGAGATTGTATGAGGCAACAGTCTGGCACTCTCGGACTGGGTCTTACCACCCATAACACCCAAACAGTTTGCCGCACCGCAGTAGCATTTCTGTGGCTCGGCACCGTATCTGTCGACGTTGTAATCAAAAGTGATCTCTTCGCCTTTGAGAATTTTGCGTTTGGCAAAGATGCCCATACGGAACCGTTTATTCACCACCCATTTCTCCACAAATGCGTTTGGATCGCACGAGTGGTTGCAAAACCGCCCAATACTGGCCTTCTTAGTGGCGTCGATGATCTCGTTATCCTGGATCATCATGAAGTAGAAGTGTTTGATGCCCTCGTTGGAGTATTTCTCTTTGTTCTCTTTGTACAGCTCGTTATCGACGATCTCTCCCTTATACTCCACAATGAATGTTTGTGCTGGAATATCTTTGTCGGCTCTCATACCGAACCCTTTATGCTGAGTTTTGAAGATCGAGACTGGAGCGATCTCGTTCTTTTGAAAACGTTGGTTCTGACAATCGTCTCCGCAGGTTTGGCACTGTCCATCAACACATTCGATATTTGTCAGTCTGTTGATACAGTCAGAGTCCGGGCCACACGCGTGATTCTCACCGTCAGAGCCAATGTCCTCGGTACAGTCACAAGTCATAAACTCGTCAGCTGCTGAATAAACGTCCTTGATGCTATCGCAATAGACATTGTTCTTCAGGTTGACAAAAGTGCTCAGCGCCTCTTCTGTAGCATCGGGCTCGGTGTCGTATAGCACCAGGTTCCCGTTTTCCAAAGGAGGAGTGATTGAACTTGAATTATCCCTGGACTTGGACATCCTATACAAAACACTTGTGAAAAGTTTGTGTATATTTTTTTAAGGGCAAGAGTATTTGTTTGATTCCCCTTATTGTATGGATAATATACCAACTGAAGAGCCCGGGAAAAATGATAATTTGTCTACTGTTCCGGCCCGTTGGGTGACAAATAGTCTCCTGAATGAGTCATTGATGGAGAAACAGGTTTCGCATTACGACAAGATCGAAAAACATTTAACAAAGCTTCCTCAATTCAAAGATAGCGAGGAGTTCTTTGAATGTCTGGCTCATTTCACCGATGAAGCTGCAGAATTGACCGATCTGAGTCGATTCGAGGACCAGTTTACCGCAGAGTCGGAATCGCACAAGTACGAGGTCATCATAGAGAATCAACGAGGAGCCACCATGTTGGGTATTCCAATGTACAGCAAGGAATCGCTGTTGTATCCTCTGGACCCGCCCAAATTCCAAACCCTTAAGGGCCACGCTATCACAAGTTTGAACCTTTATCCTTTGCCGAGTAAGAGCTGGAAATGGAGCTGGAATCACTGGTACATTCTAATGATTAAAGACGTGGATCAAGAGGGATGGGTTTATTCGCATATCAGGTTTGGAAGTCGCAAGTGGAAGGGGATAGGTCGTTTTGGGAATTTTGTTCGCAGGCGCGTTTGGGTGCGGAAGCGGGAAATGGTGCCGGATCTGGAACAGTATTCTCTGCATCTACCAACATCCTTGACTCTCGACGGGAAGCACATCGAAGAAGAGTTTGAGGAACAACAAGAAATTATCGAGGAACAACCAGAAAAACTGCAGATCCCGGTGATTGTCGAGTCGAACGATCCGTCCGAATCCTCTTCAACGTTCCTCGAGTACGATCTGCTCTCTTTATTTTCAAAGCTGAACGAGCTCAAGATCGACAGACTGAAAATCGAGGAGATCTTACGGTTCCTGTTCAATTCCACGCCAGAAACTCTCAGTGCATTAATCGCTAACTACAACGGCTCAGACGAAACGTCTTGGCTGCTCAAAATGATGTCACAGCTCCAATTCAACCAGTCTAAAAAAACGTTTCTGCAAAAGTTCGAAAGCAAGCTCGATTTCCCAAGCGATACGTCTTCAAAATTGTACGAAATCTACAGGATCTGTGAAATGATTCTTACAGACAGCTTCTATGACTCGCAAAGACGTCAAATGATACCCAAAGAAATATAATACATGCTATAAACAAGTTTTTACAAATGCCTTTTAATTTCCACCTCTTCTATGCTTTCAATCACATCGCCCACTTCATAGGAGATATCTCCATCCAGAGATAATCCACACTCCATTCCGTTTCTGACCTCTGCCACATCGTCTTTCTCGTGCTTTAATTGCTTAATCTTTCCACGGAATATTTCATCTCCCTTTCTCATCACTCTGACAACACTGCTTCTCTTCAAAACACCGTTCGTCACACGACATCCTGCGATAGTCATCTTGTTTTTGTTCTTGAGTGTGATTTCAAATAGCTGTTTCACCGAGGTGGTTGACAACACTTTAGTTTCGAACTTCTTAGGCAGTTTCGACGTGAGAGTTTCCAGAACGTCCTCGATCAGATGGTAGATCACCTTGAACTCTCTGATTTCCACGCCGGCTAGAGAAGCGCTGTTGATGATGTTCTTGGGGACTTTCACGTTGAACGCAAGGATTTGTGCTCCAGCAATTTTGGCCCTTTCGATGTCGCTCTCGGTTGGAGCTCCAACTTCTTCATACAAGATAGACGACTGCACCTCGTCATTACCCAGACCGGTGATACTTTGAGCAATAGCTTCTGCAGATCCACTAACATCTGCTTTGATGACATAGGGAACCACAATCTGTTTCTCTGCTTCAAGATCAAACAATTCCGGCTCAAGCTCCTTGATATCGTCAATAGTCAGTCCTTCCTGTTGGTACTCGCGGATCTTCTCCTCACGACGAGAAGCCTCGATTCTCTCCTTCATTCGCTTGTTCATCTCTTCAATCTGAGAGGCTTCTTCCAATAGAAGCTTTCTCTTTTCTCTATTCGTAATCACCTTCTTTGCAAGAGCTTCAGTTGGTGCCTCGAGACCCATTTCACCAGCATCGGGGATATCCTTCCATCCAGAGATCTCAACAGGAGTGGCCGGACCGGCAACTTTCAATGGCTTTCCGAACTCGTCCTTCATCACCCGCACTTTACACCATGTCTGGCCAGCAACGATAATTGCTCCTGGTTTCAATTTTCCCTTCATGACAAGAAAAGTGGCCACAATTCCAAGCCCTTTCTTCACCTCCGACTCCAAAACCCATCCCTCCACAGGCGTTTTATCTTCCTGTGTCTTGAGATCGAGCAAATCTGCCACCGTCACGATGGTTTCCTCCAGATCGGCCATTCCCAGACCTGTTTTTCCCGAAACACGAACAGTTGGCACCTCTCCACCATAATCTTCAACCTCGACTCCGTGGCCAGATAGGTCGGCCACCACTTTGTCCGGGTTGGCGTCAGGCTTGTCGCACTTGTTGATCGCAACCACCATTGGCACACCTGCATTTCTGGCGTGTCTAAGCGCCTCTTTAGTCTGGGGCATCACCGAGTCCTCAGCTGCAACCACTAAAACAACCACATCGGTGATATTGGCTCCTCGTTCTCTCATATTCAGAAACGCAGCGTGGCCTGGAGTGTCAAGGAACGTGATTGTTTTCTTGGAAACCGGGGTTTTCACCACAAATGCACCGATGTGCTGCGTGATACCCCCATGTTCGCCGTCCACAATCGACGATTTGCGCAAATAGTCTAGAATAGTTGTCTTCCCGTGATCCACATGTCCCATGATCGTCACTATGGGAGCACGCGGTTTGAGCAGCTTCTCGTCCTTTGGTTCTGGGGCCGGGAACAGATCTGCACCAAGGTCGTCGTTAGTATTGACTTCGAACCCGTACTCGTCGGCAATGAGAGAAGCGGTCTCGAAATCAAGAATAAAGTCATTTGTCATGTCCTCGAAACCGAGACCCGCCATCTTCTGAAGCAGCTCCGGCACTCTCACACGGAGGATCTGCGCAAAGTTGGCAACCGTAAGGAAACTAGGAACGTCCAGCTTGGGCCGATTCGTGGCAGCATCCTGTTTCTGTTTCGGCTTCGCTTTCACCTTCACCGACGCCTTTTGGGGCTGGGTGGGTTGGCTGGTCCGGGCAGCTGGTTTCTTATCCTGTTTCTTGCGTGGCTCCTGTTTCTGCTGCCGTGGAATTTGCTGTTCGGTCTTCTTTTTCGGAGCAGTGGCCGGCTTTGTAGCAATTGGCTTATTATCTGGCTTGGGCGAGTTCTTTGGTGTTGAAGAGGCCATCGGCTGTTCTGGTTGCGGTTTCGGCACGGGCTTTTTGAACCGCGAACGGCGAACATCGTCAGAGGCATACCGCACAAGTCGCGACGAAAACACCGTGCTGGGTCTCACGCACCTCACACCGTAACTTCTTAAATACATCCCCGGTGATAAATTTCTACGAATTTTTCAATATTTTTTTTCTAATATACAAGAGTCGATTCATTATTCATCGTGCGGATTTTTTATCTGGGCCAAAGTCGTCCACTTCGTCGGTGGAGCTCTGTGTCCGAGAAAGATCAAACAGCGTGTCTGTGTCTTCGTCCTGGGTAGGTTCATCGTGTGTAATATACTCGCTCTCTTCAAGAACAAACCTGTCCTCGTCGCTTGGCTCCGGATCATCTGGTGTCGGCACCTGTTCTAAAGCTGTAGGGATCGCAGACTCTGCCTGGTAATCGTGGTCGATCAGTGGACCGTGGAAATTATAGCGGCCCCAGAAATAGTAGAGCACCGCAATAAGGATGCTGAAAAGTCCAAACACTGCAACCGCATAGTTCATGGTTGCAATGTTGATGTAGCGCGACGGAGGCATGCACAGTACCACAATCGTTAGCAGGATGAAAATCACACTCAGTCCGTTGATCAGGTATCCAAGCTTGCGTAGCTTGAATGTAGAACCTCTGATTTTGCGCCGTTTGTTGAGCATGGACGAGAGAATCGGGATGCCATTCGCAGCGTTCAGGGCAACAACAGCACAGCCGACAAACGCATTGAATGCGGTTCCTGAAACCATCGAAAACGATCCCAACATGAACGAAACACCCACAGACAACAGGAGAGCGTTTTTCGGGACGATCTCCTCGTCGGCCATGGTATCGACCTGTTCCCAGAGCTGGTTGAAAGGGAGTCCTCTATCTCTTCCCAAAGCATACACAGTTCTGGAGGCTGTAGTGAGAGAGCCGATAGTAGCAAATGTAGAGGATCCGACAATCAAAATGACCAACACAAACGAAACCAAGAACGATTTTGTGGACAGCTTGAAAGCAATGTCGATAGGGAAGATGTCTGGGTTGTCGTCCAGAAGCAGCTGCAGATCGGGCAGGATACTCAAGATCGGGATGATAAAAATGAGACCGGTCAGACTGCTAACGAGAACGGAAACCAGCAGACCCTGAGGAATCGTTTTTTCTGGGGTTTTGACTTCCTCACTCATCGAAACGATCATTCCATATCCGTTGAAGGTGAGCGAGGAGAACTGGATTCCTCCGATGAAGAATGCGAGCACCGCAGGCCAGCCGCTGCGGGATGCGTCAAAGTTGGTGAGGATGTGTTTGATATCGTGGAAGTCGGAGCTGAATAGCATCAGCAGAAAATCCATCACTAGCACTGTATAGATGGTCCAGTAAATACACAGCTTGTTGATTCTTTCGAGATGTTTCTGGAACTTCAGGTTGACCAGTGCACTGAAAATGATGATAGCAAAATAGAGCAGCAACACAAACAGATCATCGTGCTTGTAATCGCTGCTTTTAAGCCCAAATATCGACAAAATGAATTGACTCCCACCAAATGCATAGGAAATGAACATGAGCCAGTTTCCCAAAACAAGGTACCAACCAGTGAACCATGAACTAACGAGAGAGTACTTTTCGTTGGCCAAGATGCTGCTGAAATGGTAAACTCCTCCCGAACTCGGGAACTTGCCTGAAATTTCTCCCAAGGACAGCGAAATAAGTAGGGTGAAAAAGGAGAACAGAACCCATCCCCATAAAATGGTGAAACTAGATCCACAAACGAGTCCAATTGCCAACGTGGACGAGATTCCAAATGGAACGTTCATCAACGAGAATCCCAGACCAATGATGGACCCAAAGGAAAAGGTCTTCTTGAGTTCCTGTTTGTACTTGAAATGCTCAATTTGCTCGGTGAGGTCGTCGTCCTGCCAGATATCGTTGAGGTCATGAAGCACATGTTCCCTGATGTTTCGCAACCTCTCGGAATTGGGCAGCAGCGAATAAATCACCGGCTCAGGATTTTGCATAATAAGCTCGAGTAAAATATGTGTTTTCTTTGTCTGAGAAGGCTTGGGAATAAATTTATTTATTTAGAAAATATCTTCACCATGTCGGAAGAGTTGTATGACGAGTTTGGAAACCTGATTGGTGTTCCAGACACCGACGTTTCTAGCGATGAAGAAATGGATGATCAACAAACCAAACTGGTGGTTCGCCAGCCGGGACTCCAGGAGGTGTTTGGTGCCGATGTCGAGACAGTGATAGCCACTACCGATGCAAAGGATATTAGTGAGCCCATTGTTGAGCCCGAAGTTGAGCGTAATTTCAAGATCGAGGAGACTGAACTACCAGAGACATTCTACTCGAAGGATTACATGTGGAAGCTGTCATATCTGCCCGAGAGGGTGCGAAATATAGCCTTGGTAGGAGGCCTTCATTCTGGGAAAACCGCTTTTCTAGACATGTTGGTCCATGAAACGCATAACTTGGATACGCCATTTGCCAAGGACTTCAAACCCATGAGATACACAGACAACCATACCATAGAGATCAAAAGAGGACTGTCCATCAAGACGTCCAGTATAACATTATTAATGCCCGATTTCAAACAAACCTCCAGAGTGGTGAACATCTTGGACGCTCCGGGCCACGTGAACTTTGTGGACGAGATGGCCGTTGCCATAAGACTCGCAGATACAGCCATGCTTGTTGTGGATTCGGTGGAAGGTATGACTAGAGGACTGCAACTGGCTATCGATCATTGTCTGCTAACCAATACACCTATGAGTTTGAACATTTCCAAAATCGACAGATTGATTCTGGAGCTACGGCTCCCACCATTGGATGCATATTATAGACTTCGGGCCGTCATCCACGAGATCAACCAATACATTGCATCATCTGAACTTGTTCAGAACTCCAAGTACTCCAGACCCACAAAACTGTCTCCAGAGCTGAATAACGTTTGTTTCAGCTCGCACACCCTTAATTTCTGTTTCACGCTTCGCAGCTTTGCGCAAAAATACGTCACCAATTCCAAACTCGACGTGGATTCGTTTGCTTCCAAACTTTGGGGAGATATTTATTATGCTGATAAGAAGTTCACTATTCGTCCGGAGAACAAAGCAGGTGCGGCTAACAATAGAACATTTGTGTCATTTGTTTTGAATCCGATCTACAAACTGACAACTACGACGCTCACAAAGACTCCAAAACAGCTCCAGTCGTACTTGGAGTCAGTCCATGGAATCACGTCGATTCACCGTTCCAAGTACCAGCTAGACGTTCAGCTACTTCTGAAGGAAGTCTTTTTTGCGTACTTTGGCACAGTATCTACACCATTTGTGGATTTGGTGCAGTACGCGCTGTCTCCCGTTGAGAACAATCCCCACAAGTTTAACCTACTTTACAAGAGCACCGCTCCGGAAACCATTGCTAACGAGATCTCCAAGTGCGATCCTGATGGACCGCTTATTGCATATGTTGCGAAACTTGTTGATTCTGTGGACGCCAACCGCTTTTACGCTCAGGTTCGTGTTCTCTCGGGAACTCTGAAAGCTGGTAGCTCTGTGCTTCTTCTTGGAGAAAACTACAGTCCTGAATTCACCGACGATATCAAGGTCCAGGACGTTCGTAGGACGTTCATTGGGTGCTCCCGCTACCGTATCAACGTTGAAGGCATCCCTGCCGGGTCGATTGGTCTGATATCTGGCCATGACATTGACTCATTCATCACCAAAACTGCAACAATCTTTGACACCAAATTCAAATCCGAATCTCTCGACATCTTCAAACCATTGGATATGATATCTAAGCCAGTTTTCAAGATCCCAGTGCAACCGGCTGTTCCCTCGGAACTGTCGAAGTTTATCGATGGATTGAAGAAGCTCAACAGATCGTACATTGGTTGCGAGGTGAAGGTTGAAGAAGGCGGCGAGCACATCATTCTGGGTTACGGAGAGTTGTATCTTGATTGTCTTTTGCATGACCTGCGTTTGCTATATGCCGGTGTCGATCTAAAAGTTGGCGATCCAACCTCGAGATTCGCTGAAACGTGTTTGGACATGTCCAAGGTGAAGATCGTGAGCGAATCCACCAACAAGAAAAACAGCATCACTGTGATTGCAGAACCACTTGAAGAGCAGATAACCAAGGACATTGACTCTGGTGTTCTGGTGACCAACGTTCCTCAAAGAGTACTGGCCAAAGAGTTAAGAACCAAGTACGGGTGGGATTCTCTGGCTGCCAGATCGATATGGACGTTTGGGCCAGATGAAACAGGAACGTGTGTTTTGAACGACGATACACTTCCCGAAGAGACGGATAAGGCAAGATTGAGCAGTTTGAGAGACCTGATAGTGCAGGGATTCAAATGGTCAACCAGGGAAGGCCCGCTGTGCGATGAGCCTGTCAAGAGTGTCAAGTTCCGTATTATCGAGGCTTCACTCTCTTCGAACTTCCTCGAAGCGAATGGAGCTCAAATTATTCAAATGGTTCGCAAAGCCTGCTACACTGCAATGATGACGGCTACTCCTCGACTGTTAGAGCCGATCTACGAGATTGAAATTCTATGTTTTTCCTCGGTCGTTCCAGCTTTGAACAAGCTTTTGGATAAGAGAAGAGGAACAATCACCAAAGACCTCCCTGTGGAAGGAACTCCCTTGTACAAAGTCTACGGGTACATTCCCGTCATTGAGTCGATTGGACTGGAAACAGATATTAGAATGTACACCCGAGGCCAGGCCATGTGTCAGCTTGTGTTCAGCCATTGGAACGTTGTTCCTGGTGATCCACTGGACGAGGACTGCTACATTCCTGTTTTGAAACCAGCTCCTATCAACTCTTTGTCCCGAGACTTTACTTTGAAGACCAGAAAGATGAAGGGAATAGAAGACGTCCCTTCATTGAAGAAATACGTCGACACAGACATTTACGAAAAGCTGCAAACAGCAGGTATTGTATAGAAAACGATGATTAATGATAGCGTAATTAGTTACCTCTTCTATGTCTCTTGCTCTTTCCAGGACGTTGAGGCTTCTTGCGGTTCAACTTCGACTCGACCCGCTGTTTCTTGCTTCCTCTGCGTCCTCTATCCGAAGCATCGCCTGCAGCCTCTTCCACGGCGATATTGAATTCGTCGTCACCAATCTCATTATTCTGTCTCTTACGCTTGAGCGATTTGATCTTTGCCAGAGCATCGCTCTTTTCCTTCTGTCTCTTTTGCAACGTCTCGTGTTGAACCTGTTTTCCGAATTTCTTGAGTTGCCTCTGTCTTCTGGCCTCCTCTCTAGCCTTCTTTTCGGTAGCCTCGGTGACCAGCTTGGCCTTCAACTTGTCCATATGTGAATCGTCCTTGAGCATCTCTGCAAAGTAGTCCTTTGGTCTAGTAAATGGCACCTTCAAAGCCAGAAGCTTCTTGCGTCCCTCGACAGCAGCCTCCAGTCCCTGTTTATAAAAAGCAAGCTCGCGTTCTGTGTCGTCGTCAACGTCCTTAATCTTGGGAGCAACTGCCTCGGACGAGGTCACCGTCTGGTGCTCGTTGAACTTGAGCTTGTCCCAAGGGTACGCGAAAGTGGCCAGCGACTGCTTCAAGGCTGTCAATTTGTTCACAGTCAGCTTGGTGTGTGGAACAACGTCGTCGTCAGAACCGATCTCTGCATCAGAAAGAGGAATGTCAGACTCCTGATCCAGTTCCAACTCATCTTCGTCGGCGCTCTCGTTCAGCTTCTCCAAATCCAGCTGTTCTTCTTCCTCCTCATCATCAGAAGCAGTTTCAAGCAACATCTTCTTGAGCTTGCGCTGCTCCTTTTTGCTCAGAGCAGTGCTTTCGTATTCCTGTGCCATGCTAGATAAATATTTTTTTTTCACATAAATTTTTTCACCCTTACCTTTTTAGTGCTCTCTCGTTCTTTCAATTATTTAAACGACTAATATAAACCATGGACAAAACACAATCAAGAACAAAGTTTTTGGCCGTCTTCCCAGACTTGGTCGACGACCTCGTTGCGGTTACCAAGCAATATGGAATGCCGGAAGATGCCATTGAATGGTTCAAGGGCAGTTTGAACTACAACACCCCTGGTGGGAAACTCAACAGAGGGTTGTCGGTGGTGGACACTTATGCGCTTTTGAAAGGTTACAAGTCGCTCGATGACTTCAGCGAGGAGGAGTACAAGAAGACTGCAATTCTCGGCTGGTGTATCGAGTTGTTGCAGGCCTACTTCCTTGTTGCCGATGACATGATGGACAAGTCTATCACCAGAAGAGGTCAACCCTGCTGGTACAGAGTCGAAGGTGTCAATGAGATCGCCATCAACGACTCGTTCATGCTCGAAGGTGCCTTGTACGTGTTGCTCAAGAAATACTTCAGAGAGGACTCCTATTACGTCAACCTGTTGGAACTGTTCCATGACGTGACTTTCCAAACCGAGTTGGGACAATTGTTGGATCTGATCACCGCTCCAGAGGACTCTGTCGACCTTTCCAAGTTCTCCTTGAGCAAGCACTCCTTCATCGTCATCTACAAAACTGCATACTACTCGTTCTACCTGCCCGTGGCTCTTGCCATGTATATGGCTGGTGTTGCCGACGATGCTGACCTCAAGCAGGCCCACGACGTTTTGATCCCATTGGGTGAGTACTTCCAGATCCAGGACGACTATCTCGACTGTTTTGGAAAACCAGAGGACATTGGTAAGGTTGGAACCGACATTTTGGACAACAAGTGTTCGTGGGTGATCAACACGGCCCTCCAGATCTGCACCCCAGAGCAAAGAGCTTTGTTGGACGAGAACTATGGCCGCAAAGACGCAGCCAAGGAGGCCAAGTGCAAGCAGCTCTTCAACGAGCTCAAGATCGACCAATTGTACCAGGAGTACGAGGAGAAGATCACCACTGAACTGCGTGCCAAGATCGCCAAGGTCGACGAGTCCAGAGGGTTCAAGGGACAGGTTTTGACCGCTTTCCTTGACAAGATCTATAAGAGAAAGAAATAGAGTGTGTATTGAACTATGCCTTAATACCTTCGCCTGCCCGAGGAGGATATTCCTTTGGGAAATCGTCGTCTTTATGTTTGCAGGTGCACCACGTCTCAGCAGCAGACTGACTCATTGCTCTCGGAATGTGCAGACCACAGCCAACCCAGGCCGTTCTGGAACACAGTGGACATTCAGCAGGACGACACATTGCTCAGATAAGATGCGGTGAAATTATAATTATAGTTTCACCGCCACATTCCGGCGGTCATGTGTATTTCGCTCACCTGACAAAAAATAAACAAGTTAGAATTAGGTTTAGTTACCATGTCCAGCGAAGAGGAACAAAAGGTGAAACGCGTCAAGATTGAAAACACGCAGCCAGAACAACCGTCGGAGTCCATCTCTGGCCTGGAGAAGTCTACCAGGCCGCAGATTCCAACCATGACTGTTCCGCAAAGCACAACGTTGCCATTGGAGCCAACTTTGAAACCGACAGCCGGGTCCGAGGAATGGCATACCTGGCGCAAGAACAACCACAAGGAAGTCGAGAAGAGAAGAAGAGAGACCATCAACCAAGGAATAAAAGAACTACAAGAATTGCTACCAACGCAGGATCATAACAAGTCTCAGATTCTTAAGCGTGCCGTCGAGTATATCAAAAGACTGAAGGAGAACGAGGACTCCAACATTGAGAAGTGGACTTTGGAGAAGTTGATCACCGACCAGGCTGTGAGCGAGCTTGCAAATTCTAATGAAAAGCTGAAGGCCGAGCTGGAAAAAACTTATCGTGAAGCCGAAGGTTGGCGGAGAGCTTATAACCAGTCTCAGGAGGAGCTTGCGGAGTTGAAGAAACGGCTGAAGAAATAAAGCGCTTCCATCATAGCTCCACGTCTCTAACCAGAACACCTTCCACGCCTTGTCCCAGGCTTCCCAGAACGTCCAGATCCACCCCATCCTCGTAAAGCTCGCCATTAAATTGGTAGATGGACGACGATCCAGCGTACATGAGCTCGGTCTCGACACCCGACCTGTTGCAGATTGCCACGGCCATCTTCCTGTGTCTGTTGGCAAACAGTGGTTGGAACCTGATCAGCCAGTACCTTGCGGTTTCTTTATCTGGTAAAGTGCGATCATATGGAACTTCTGTTGGATCCAAGATGGACGATTCGGAAGCCGGGTCTGTGTTAATCTCAAATGGCACTTTTTGTTCGAATAGCTTTGTATAATTATCTTGATCTTTCCAGTCTTCGCTCCAGCTTGTACTCATCCATGCCGTTGGCACCAGCACCAGTTGCACCTGATTCTGGAGACAGAAGTTGGCAAACTCGAAAGCCTGGAACGGAGCCTCAAACTTGTACGGGTTGAGGTCCATGCAAATGCCGATCGTCGACTTGATCTTATGTCCGTTGTGCTCGAACTCGAACGCCTCAAACCCCGCAGGCGACTCTTTGGCGCCCCATGTCTCGTCCGTTTTGTACAGGAACGTTTTTCTATAGTTGTGCACAACTGCTCCTTCCGGCGAGATCAGCACAGCAGAGTTATAGATTGACGAGAGGTGTTTTTCAGGGTATCCCAACAACGTATGGCAATTTAGCGTTTTTGAAACCAGCTGTCCAAACTCAAATGACCGCCCTGAACCAAGAGGCTCCAGGAATGGCTCGATGTGACTAGGACTTGTAAAGTTGTACCCCGTCAGTGCCAATTCGGGGAATATCACAATATCCGGTTTCTTGCTCTTCACTGCTTCAACCAGCTTGCTAGCCGTCCGCACATTCTCCTCGATCTTCCCCAACAACGGGTTCAGCTGGATGGCTGCTATTCTAAGACGCATCAAGAAAATAATGTTTCGTTAATTTTTTCCGCCTCAATGACTGTCCCCGATCTTTTACTGGACTCGGCGCTCAAATTATGGGTGCTCCTACCAATCTCCGTGGTGATGGTGCTTGTGGGTATTCTGCGATCGTACATCTCCGTTTTGCTGCAACCGAAGCTCAAATTGCAAGATTATAAACTACTTAGAGAACAACAACACTTGACCAGACTGAAGACTTATCGCCGCAACTTCTCCGTGTTTTGGTACAAACAAGAGCTTTCTAACCGAATTGAGTATTTTGCCACCGCATACAGCGGCACAAAGTATCTTAAGGAGCCACCATCGACCAACCCAAACGAGGTGAAAAATCCGCTCGCCGACGCAAACTCCTCGGATTTCTTGTTCCAGATGTTGAAAGGTAACATTGCCAACTACGTGCCGCAAACCCTCATTATGTGGTGGGTTAACTACTTCTTCAAAGGATACGTCGTGATGCGTCTGCCGTTCAACCTGACCGGAAACTTCAAAAGCATGCTCCAACAGAGTATCGACACCCCAGATCTGGACGTTACTTATGTGAGTGCTATTTCATGGTACTTTGTCAACCTCATGGGTTTGCGCAGTATATACTCGTTGATCCTCGACGATGGAGAACTGGTCAACCAACTGATGGCCCAACAGCAGCAGCAGCCGGTGATGCCATCTCTAGCTGGCGCAGGTCCGTCAGTTGAGAAGCAGTTCAAGTCTGAAATTGAAAATTTACGGATTGTTCCCTTCAAGAGCTGTTTAGAGGGAGTGGAGGACCGGTTTGTGGAGAAATGGGCCAATCTATGAGCCATTTATCGAGTCTATGAACAAATCTATATGCTGTTTGTCGGCTATCGAGGAATCTGGTCTGGTTTTCGAGATCTCGTCAACAAGGAACCGTTTTTCTTCGCTAGTCAACGGAGTTTCAAGTTGCTGCAGCCACATCTGTGCGGCAACCGGCGATTGGTACTGACAATACAGCGTCAGCACTGCTTTCTTGAAGCTGTCGTCGAACGGAGCAAAATTATAGTGTTTGAGATGTCCGATCAGAGACGTTAGCGAAACAGCGTTCTGCATAGAAGAACCGTCTGCGTTCAATCTGGAGAAGTGTGTCACTGCTATGTTGTTGATCTCTTCGGCTTTAGCACGCACACGGTGGAAGTACTCGAGTCCCCAGAACAGTTCCTGCTCGTTGAACCAGCTAAAGATGGACTCGACAGAAACTGCCGAGATTGGCTCGTGTTGGAACTTGAACGCAGATCCAAGAGGTTTCATAAACGCCATGAAAACCAGTTTCCTGCTCTCAAAGTCTGCTTGGATTGCGTTTGCCGTGTTATTAATGAGCGAAATATAACTTTCCACAACAGCACTGGACGGAACCAGGTCTCTTTCCAGAAGCGATACCAGGAGTTGAGCAGCAAGACGAAAGTCGTTGTGAAAAATGGCAAACTCCAACAGCTGGGATTGCAACTGCAACGGGCATTCGCTTGTGAAGCTCTGTGTCGGGTTGGATTGGTTGAGCTGGTCAATAACTTGTTGGATGTAGCTGTGCTTGTTTAGATTCATTAATGCATTGAAAATATTGGTTAGTTCGGCATTGTCGTAGAATTCCAGCGATTGGCAGCAGACGCTAACCACTTTCTGCTCAAACTCGGGACTTATCTGCTCGCTGAGTGTCAGGAGACCACAGACAAGCGTTGCGTGGGTGTATCGGTCGAGCGTTGAGGTGAGGAACTCTAGGATTTCCGGGACATCGACCCTGGACGACATCTCGACGACTTTGTCGCGGATCTCCGATGGTAACTGGGTCTGTTGGTGCAAAGCTGTGCTCGGAACAGTGTCCAATGCTTTTCCTGCGATTCTGCCTGTCTTTGAAGCCACCATCTGCAGAACACCCAGATTGGTGAACTTGGGACTTCTGGAGACCTTGTCCTTAACGGTCACGAGGTCGTAGTAGGATGATCTATGTTTTTTCGAATCCAGAGCAACGTTCAAGGTGTCGTTAAGTCGAAACCATACAAACGGGTTCCTGTAGTTTTCTCTCTCTTCGATCGAGCTGGGCAGAGCGATTTTATTGGGTATCGAGGGGACTGTTGACGGAGACTTCAAGTACGACACCAGTTTCAGCATGGAGTCGGACCTAGCGTCGCTGGCCAACCGTCGTTGAAGCCAGAACACCGTCTGTGTCTGGTGTCTCATCGACGTATATTTATTCATGGAAAAATTGAAAAATATACCGGTTTTTTTTTTCCGGCCATATTTTCTTTTACATCTAATTGATTTCAGATCATTGCAATTTGAGTTGAGATGATGCTGTTGAAGCTTCCAGGTAAAATCGTCAAGAAGTTTGTTTGCAGTTTGTTTATGTGGGCGATTCTGTCGACGGTGGTGACTGAATGGCTCGGTGCGCAAAAATACCGCTCTTCTCCATACTCTCAACTTTACCACCTTAACCAAGATACCATACAAAGAAACTCGTTAACCGATGCGGATGTGATATTTGTGACTGCGCATCCAGACGACGAGTCCATGTTCTTCAGCCCAACGATCGTCGAGCTGGCCAAACCAGACTACAACAACGCGCTCCACCTGGTTTGTTTTTCAAACGGCAATTATGATGGCTTAGGATCCATTAGAGAACACGAACTCACACGTGCAGCGCAAATTTTGGGATTCCAGAGTTTCGAGATCCTCGACTACACCGACGACATCACCAAAGGTTGGGACTCTACGGCCATAGCGTCCAGTCTGGTGAGCCAGCTCAAGAGCCTTCCTTTGTCTAAGCCTAAAAAGATACTCATCACATTTGACGAGGAAGGAGTCTCGGGCCATATTAACCACAAGTCGCTGTTTGATGGCGTGGAAGCGTACTCGAGAAAACACAGCATTCGCTCGTTTAAACTGAGATCGTGGTCCGTGTTCACCAAATACAGTTTTTTCATCGTCACGAATCTGGAACTTGTGGCCAGATTCATTAAAAAAAGTGCATTGACGTTGAAATATCTGCCGCAGCTGACCAAAGTGCTTCCTAACGAGGAGTCCACCATTAAAATATACGCAAACTTCAACTCGTGGTTCCTCAACCTTGCTACCATGACCTATGCTCATTACTCCCAAATCGTGTGGTACAGATGGCTATGGATATTCTTCAGCAGATACATGAACTGCAACGAGCTCGAGATAGTTACATAAAATTACTTACCATATACCAAACCCGTCATCATCATCATCGTCAATAATCTTCTGTTGCACCTTCTCGATATTGGATCTCAAATACAGCTGTTGTGACCGTCTCAGACGAGCCAACAGTTCAGACTCCATGTTTTTGCTCACCGCGAACCGCTTGATCACCTGCTCGGCTTCGTAGTACTTGTGTAGCTGCTGTAGTTTGATCCGACAGGTGTTGAGGTACCTCGTCAAGATGCTTTCGTTGTAGATTGCCTCGCTGGCCGTTCCGTTGTTCGTCTCGTTTAATGCCATGGAATGCACCTGAGGCAGATCTTTCATTAACGAGTCCAGACTCGAGTACTGAAGTCTGATCTTGATCATCTCCTTGGACGGGGAACCAACCATGCCAATGGCATTCGTCCACAGCAAGTCCATCATCTCGTGCTGGAGCTCGAACTCCTTTTGGTTGTAAACCTCCTCGTCGGCACCTTGCTCCCAAAGTGCATGCTGGAGATCTCTTTGGATATTTTTCGTGGTAATACCACACGAACGAAGAGACCCGGTCCAGAACCGCCGGGCAGAGTTGGAATCTAACTTGTACTTTTGAATCAGATTCATGCAAACAACAAGTCCCTTGAGGAACTGTCCGTTATAAGTGAATGCAACAAGGATTTTCTCCAAAAAGTCGGAAGTCGGATAGAGCACCTGGCCAGGATGGAACAGAGGCTCACTGTCTGAGCTGATGCCCCAGACCCTGTCAAGAAGAGACTGGAGAAACTCGATATCGCCGCTTCTTCCAAGACACAGCGCAATCGTCTGGTATATTTCCATGTTGGGAAGCACTCCAGAAGCCTCGTACTCTGCGAGAAGCTCCTGCACCGTCGAACCATGGTGAGGGTACTTATATTTCCGTGGAATGGTCTCCACTTCGGCCTGTTTGTAGGAGAACCGATTCAGTTTCCAGAGTTTTTCGTCTCCGTGACCCAGAAGCTTGAGCTTGTTATTCCAGAGAGATCTGGTGAAGTACAGTTTTTCGTTGCCAGACTTTATATTCTGCTCCAGTTCTGCAATCATCTCAATTGCCGACTTGTATCGGAGGTTATTCACGTAGAAATCAACAATCTTCTCGTAGTCGATGGTGGAAAATTGGTGGCTCTTGCCCAGGTTGCGCAGGATCTTCGAGATTCCTGTAAAAGTCTCGGATTTTGTGCGAAGAACACGGTTCATGTCCGAATCGTTTGTCACCCGTGAGATGTACTGCAGTTCAGAGATGTGCCACTTTATCACGTTTTTCATCAGATCGGTCAGCTTGCGAACGATTAGTGAGACTTCCAGAGGAGATAAATGCCCAAAGACTAAAATAGCGTCCTTGGACCAAAGTTCTCGACGGAGATACCCATACAAGAACGTTTCGTCTCGAGACTGTAATGCTGCTCTTAACTTCTGTAGCGACTGCCGCGTCCTGGCTGGCTGGCTGTCAACTTTGTGTTCGGCTGGCTGCGGATTCTCGTACAGGGCCAATGAATCGTACATTTCCTTGACGAGATTCTGACCCGTGAACTTGAAGCTGAGATCACCTCGTGTTCGCTGCGGTTTGAGAAGATTCAGGTCCAGCCGCTGCAAATACGACCTCAGCGAGCTCACGTCGTCGTAGTTCACAACAGGAACCTTCTTGTCGTTTCCTGATCGCACAAGCTTGACGGCCCGGGCATAATGCCGCACATGGCCCAGTTTCTGTGGGAACATCGGTTACTGGAAATACTGGAAAATATTTGAACTTGGTGGACGATTTATTGAGGGTGGAAAAAACTCGGGGTCGATCGTCGCGCCGAGAACATTAGAACTCGTCAATAACGATACCCAGTCCTTGCGACTTGGCCGTCTCCAAAACGTAGTGGCCCACAGAAACATCCATGATGGACAGTCCGACGATCTTGGAAATCACGATTTTGGACTCGTCCATTTTCTTCAGCTGTTCCTTACCTGCGGGCGTTTCCATGTACAGCTCAGACACCTCGATCAGAGAGGAAGCTCCAATGTCGTTCTGGATAAACTCTCCGGCCTCATCCAGACAGTGGCTGATGGAGTCGACCACAATCTTGGTGTCCTTGGCCAACGACTCCTTGAGCAGGTCTCCTTCGATCTCGATCATGTGTGGCTTGTAAGAGCCAATAGCTCCGATAAAAACCTTTTCGACAGAGTTGTTGACAACATAGTCAGCCAAAATGGTTGCCTCAGTACTCGGCACACAGCCAAAGACACAGGATGCTTTTTCGAAGTAGAATTTCAAATCTTTGTCAGCAGTTGCAACCGCTTTGAATTCGATCGCGGAAACTTCCTTTTTGAAGTCATCGGCTAGAGCTTCTGCTTTTTCAACGGATCTGTTGACGATGATGACTTGGTCGAAACGCTGAGGGTACAGAATGAGAGCCAGTCTGATATGCCATTGAGCTTGAGCTCCCACACCGAAACACACCAATGTTTCCTTGGATTTACCAACAGACCCGATAGGAAGAGCTTTAACCAGGGTCAGGGTGGTACAGAGAGCTGTTCTGAACGCCGTGAGAGTGGCAGCGTTGAGAATTCCAATTGGGAACCCGACCTCCTTGTCCAGAATCGTGGTTACTCCGGTAAATCCTTGTTTGGACCCGGTAAGAGCCTTCATTCCAACGGTCTCACCGGTGGAAGCCATGAAGAGGTGCGTGGCATACGGCGTGGTGGTAACGATTCTCGAAGGAATTAACGAGTGGTCTTTGTGATAGGCAATCAGAGCAGTCTGGAGAACTTTCTGGAACTGTTTCAATTGGGCAAGGTTCAACGAACCAAGTAGCCCTTTGATTATCTTATCGCTGAGAATAAGCATTTCGGATAAAAAAATCACGAACTTTTTTTCAGTAGTATATAATAATCAGGAACTATTTTCCTGCCCCGTAGCTTCTTTTCACGGGGGGAATGCGGAGCGATCTCGAATCCTTGCGAGAAGTACAGTTTTTGTGCGCGCTGGTTTTCCCCGAAGACAGTCAATGACAGCCCGTATATTTTCCCGAAGCGCGTGGTGAACTTGTCGACGGAGCTGGCCAGAACGGCTGTGTCGTTTACCAAATGCAGCAGCTTGGTGCCCAGCCCCATTCCGCGGAAGTTCTCCGAAACCTGTAGCTCGTAGATATAAATCACGTGGGTACTATTGTCTTCCAGGGCCTTCATGGAAACGAATCCCACAAACGTGGAGCCGTGGTAGAGAAGCAGATAGATCAGGCCGGAATCGCGCATCTCCTCGACTTTTTCCACTTTCCAGTCGCGTCCAATGACATTGGTGTATATTCTTCCCAGGTTTGCGTCTAGCAGGTCAAGACACGCGGTTTCCTGGCTCTTTGTAAGCGAGTTCACAAACACTGGCACAACATCGATGCTGAAACTATCCTCATCCCGTTCAATCTGAATCGGCTTGGACAACGAGTCCTTAGCCAACTCAAAAAGCTCCTTCCCCTCAACGTGTTCCTGATCCAATCCCATTTCCGTCACAGACTCGGCCACACTCGAAACGATCTGCTTAATCCAGTCCATACAATTCAATTTTTTCACGGCAGTGTGCACGCACCCTTGAAATATCTTATCCGTTTTTTCTGACTCACCATCATTATGTTTGATATCACCAAAATCGCCCGGCCCAATATCCTCACGTTGGAGCCTTATAGATGTGCTAGAGATGACTTCAAGGAAGGTGTTCTACTGGACGCTAACGAGAACACCCACGGACCGTCGATCCCAAATATCACTGCTGAAGAAACAGCTCTGGAGCTTAACAGATACCCAGACCCCCACCAACAGGAATTGAAGCAGCAGATTTGCGACTTCCGTAACTCTGAGGCCTCTTTGGAATCTGCTATTGCAAAGATCCCTATTGTTGATGGAAAGCCTGCCTCTCTAACCACCGAGAACCTGTGTCTTGGTGTTGGCTCTGACGAGTCGATCGACTCTCTCATCAGATGTATGGTTGCTCCAGGGAAGGAAAAGATGCTCATTTGTCCTCCAACCTACGGAATGTACAACATCTGTGCCGTGGTGAACGATGTTGAGGTTGTCAAGGTGCCGTTGGACTTGAAAACGTTCCAGATCCAACCAGATGCTATCATTGAAAAACTAAAGGCAGACTCTTCAATCAAGCTTGTCTACGTGACGTCTCCAGGTAACCCAACTGCCGCACAGATCAAACTCGACCTGGTTGAGGATCTTTTGAAAAAGGTTGAGAATGCTGAGTGGAACGGATTGGTCATTATAGATGAGGCATATGTCGACTTCTGCAAAGTCGGAAGCTCTGTTTCCGTTCTGGTGAACAAGTATCCGAACCTTGTTGTTTTGCAAACCTTGTCCAAGGCGTTTGGACTCGCTGGGATTCGGCTGGGAATCTGCTTTTCGACCCCAGCAGTCTCTTTGCTGCTAAACTCTATGAAGTATCCATACAACATTAGCAACCTGACCAGTGACGTTGCTCTGAGAGCTACCACCAAACCTGCTTTGGCCCAGATGAGACAAAGAGTGAACACCATCCTGGAGCAAAGAGCTATTTTGCTGGACCGTCTCACTAAGCTTCCTGGAATAGGAAGAAATATCGGTGGTTTGGACTCGAACTTCGTGCTCGTTGAAATCCTCAACAAAGAAGGAGTTCCCGACAACGAGGTCGCCAACAAGGTTTACTTAACTCTTGCAGAGCAAAGAAACGTCGTGGTCAGATTTAGAGGTAAGGAGCTTGGATGTACAGGCTGTGTCAGAATTACCATCGGTACCAAGGAAGAGAACAAGACTTTGCTCGAAGAATTCGAGAAAGTATTGAAGGAAGTTAGAAATTAGGCTTCAAAGTTGATAATCTACGGACTGTGTCTATTTCTCTTAATTCAGAGCGTCTCTAGCGAAACTTGGGAGCACAAAAGCAGCCTTGTGAATGTCGCTGCTGTAGTACTTGTAAAGCTTTCTTTCGGTTGCGTCGTCAACAGACCGCAGTGGCTTGGTAACATCGGCCTTGGCGTCCTTGGAACACACCATGAATCCAATCTGGCCGGATGGGTAGGTTGGAATGGTGCAGTAACCGTACTCTGCAACCGGGAAAACATCCTTACATGCCTTTTGCAAGTCCTTGATGATGTTGAGGTGCAACCAGATGCTCTCTGCTTGAGTGGTGATGACACCTTTCTCGGTGAGAGCGTTGTTAAGAAGCTGGAAGTATGGTTTCTGGAACAGAGACTCTGCAGGACCTTCTGGGTCCGAGGAGTCGGTGATGATCACGTCAAAACAATTCTTGTAGTCGTCCAAGAACTTGAAACCGTCTCCGATATGGACTCTGACCTTTGGGTGGGAGTAAGATTTGGACATCTCTGGGAGGTATTTTTTGGAAACGGCAATGACGTCCTCGTCAATGTCACACAGAACGGCTTCCTCGACACACTCGTGCTTGACGACTTCTCTAAGGACACCACCATCTCCTCCTCCAATGACCAGCACCTTCTTAGGGTTTGGATGGGAGTTCAGAGCAAGATGGGCAATCATCTCCTGGTAGGCAAACTCGTCTCTTTCGGTGGCCTGGATGACTCCGTCCAGAACCAAGACGTTACCATAGTTAGAGGACTCGAACACCAGCACATCTTGGTACTTGGACTTCTTGGAGTACAAAACCTTGTTCACCTTGAGCGACATGGCCTCGCCGGGCCACATGGTGTCGCTAACCTCGGCGAACCAGCCGTCCTTGATCATTGGGTGCGAAAGCTCAGACATTGGAAAAAATTTACAAAATTACATGGGCACGAGCTCCTTTATATAGCACCACCATGAAAAGCGGGAAAGCTGAATTTCGACAATTCGTCGAAGACTACTGTAGTTTGAAGATCTAGGAAGTGTTTGCTCGTGTAGCTGACCTGTGACTAGGGTCCACCTTGTGCCCCGAACCCTGATCAGACACTCTGAAAAAATTGCTCGTCACCGCGGCAATCTACTAACAAAATCCCAAAACGGTAATTCAAAGCTTGTTTGGTCGGAGGTGTGGATGACTACTCGAATGGTAAACGTCAAAGTGTCCAGGCAAAAAGAGCGAGTACAACCATTGTGAGCGGCCCGAAAGCATAGGACGTACGGTCGATCGGATCACTGAAACACATTGTTCCAATTGTTATTGGACAAGGTCGCTATTTTCTTATCTTGGCGGAATATTTCGTGGAATGCCATGGAAAGCTTGCTTGCATAAAGTTCGAGTATCAAAAAAATTTTCATCTTATCTTGTTTGTCCCAACCTTCAATCTTGTCGTATGCCTGAGGAAGTCGCGTTCAGATTCAACAGACCAGCTAAACCCAGATAACACGAATAGTATTGGATTTTAATTTTGTTTGGGTTTCCCTAGTTCATCATATATCATGGCACCATCACAAATCTTTGACTTCATCAACCACGAGGTTTCGGTCTCGCTGGACTCGACCAACGCTTTTGAAGGTCCAGAAAAGCTTCTGGAGATCTGGTTTGCCGACTCTGAGACTTGTACGGACTCGGTTTTCTCCAAAGGAACCCTCCGGGATATTCCTTTGCCAGAGATTGAATCGATGCTTGATCTTGTTAGTTGCAAGATTATGTCGAAGATTTCCAGCAAGGAAATGGATGCGTATCTTTTGTCCGAATCCTCGCTGTTTGTTTTCCCTCATAAGATGATTCTCAAGACCTGCGGAACCACCGCGACCCTTCTTTGCTTGTCCAAAGTGCTGGAGCTGGTTGTGGAATATTGCGGATACGTTTACTCCAACCTGGAGAACATCCACAAGATCTTCTATTCGAGAAGAAGCTTCATGTTCCCTCATAAGCAGAACGAGATCCACCGGTGTTGGGACAACGAGCTCGGGTGGCTCAACAAATATTTCCCTCCGGAGCAGTCAAAGGCTTACATTGTCGGAGACCTGTCAAAAGATCATTGGTATCTGTACCTCAATGGCAACGGCACCGTGGAGCAGTCGCCTAGAGTTCCGAAGGCCGGATCTCAGGTCGGTTATCCATTGTCGCCTGTCATAAGTAATGGTGCATGTTCGGCTAATGACGAAACTTTTGAGATGCTCATGACAGAGCTGGACCCAACAGCCAGCGAGATGTTCCAGCTGTCAAAACACCTAAACGAGTTCCCGGATATGGACCCGGAGACCGAGGATTACGGGCATCTTTTGGGACAAAAAATGATCTCCAAGAGTGGCCTTGACAGCGTTTTGGATGGATATGCGCGTATCAAACATGATGCGTATGCATTTACTCCGTGCGGATTTTCGTCAAACAGCATCATGGATGATAAGTTTTATTGCACGTTACATATTACCCCTGAGACAGGATGGTCGTATGCGTCTTTTGAGACTAATTATCCTAGTGCATCCAAAACAGACGTGCTATGCAACGTGGTGAACATTCTCAAGCCCGGTAAATTCTGCGTTGTTCATGTTCAGGAGGCTATCAACGAGAAAAACTCTGCAGTTGACTCTTTGAGAAACGTCTGTGTGGCTGGCTACAAGCGGGTGGACCAGATCTTGTACGATCTCAAGTTTGACTACTCCCTGCTGTACATGTATTTTGAGAAAGAGTTATAGCATTGTAATAAACACCTGCCACCATTTTGAAACTATGTTTTTTGGATTTTTCTTGTTCTGCTGCGTTGTTCCCGCGCGCGCGCGCACGGGCTGCCCCTCGGGGCACGGGCGGTGCAAAAAACTCACAGCACTGGGGAGGCTCGTGGTGGTGGGAAAAAGATTCACTCCTCGCACCAGCCTCCTCTGGCAAACGAAATTGAGCAATCAGCGACGAGTCGTGCGCGGGCCTAAAACATGGGCTGACGACAGGCCAGTGGCAAAGACGGTCAAGTCAACGAGCGCAAGCCAAGCCAATCCAGGTAGATTTCCCCACAGAGTTTCCTTACAGCATCGTAATCATATAATAAACACTTCCACGTCGAAACGCGTTCTCTTAACTAGTGCCCACATACTCCTACATACGTCTGCATGCAGAGCGTAAAGTCGAAAAGTGCATACGCATACTTTATATTAATTCTTCCAGCAGAAAAATATTGAAAACAAAGTCGTTCCAAGCGTACGAGACCAAGCCTCATGTCGTCAGATTCTCATAACATCTCGTCCTCGACCCCGACGAATCACCAATCGTCCTCGGCTCCTCAGCATGCCAACATAATCCCGTCAATTTCGTCCAACTCCAATACACCCCAAACAGTGCCTTCGCAGTACTCCCAGTACTCCGTCCCCCACTATCAGTACTCCCAGTACTCGGGCTATTCGCAACCGCAATCCCAATCATCCAGACCGTATGACTACTCAATGACCAATTCTGGTTACACGCAAGGGCAATCCACCCAGTCGACTGCTTCGCAACAACAACAATACGGGTTGCCTTTGTATCCTAACTCCCAGTTTTCCTATTCTCACCATCCTCAGGATAATGATTACCACCAGACAGGTCACCAGCAGGCCCAGCAGGCCCAGCAGTACGTGCAGCCATTCTCCTCGTCGTCTTATTCCAGCTACTATCCGCAACAGGGTTACCAGTCTCAGCCACAGGCCACAAATTCTGCGCAGCAGCCTGCTTACGCTTCAGCCTACAGAAACTACCCTTCGTCCTCTGCTTATCCGTTGTACTCCGGTTACCAACGACCGGGGTCTACCACCTCTTCGCTGCCTCTACCACCTGCCTCGAGTATCAACCCGTCGTCCAAGCCTAGTGTCAGCTCAAGCACCGGCTCCCATTCGAGAAATAGCTCGGTGAATTATCCTCCTGTGAGTCCGTCCGTGGGACAGGTGCAGCCGCCAGGAATCCGTCCCAAGATCACAACCACCATGTGGGAGGACGAGAAGACCTTATGTTATCAGGTCGAGGCCAATGGCGTCAGTGTTGTCCGTAGAGCCGACAACAGCATGATCAACGGTACCAAGCTGCTCAATGTGGCCAAGATGACCAGAGGTAGAAGAGACGGTATCTTGAAGTCGGAGAAGACTAGACACGTGGTGAAGATTGGCTCAATGCATCTGAAAGGAGTTTGGATCCCGTTCGAAAGAGCACTAGCTATGGCTGAGAGAGAAGGAATTGTCGACCTTTTGTATCCATTGTTTGTGAAAGACATTGAAAAAGTCATCCAACAGGGCACTCCAACCAGCCAGGTTGGCCAACTCTCGCTCTCCTCAAAGCCTTCGCTCTCTGCTGCTCCTACCTCTCATACATCTGCTGCCGGAATCTCAGCTGCCAGCCAGTCTGGCTACTCTTATCCAACTTCGACTCCTCAGCAACCGGGATCTAGCTATTACTATAACGGCTACTACGGCCAGCAACAACCACAGTCAAACTCTGTGGCCGCCCCACAGTCTCAGTACCAGACCAGCTACCACTACGCGGGAGCAACGTCGGGTCAAGGCGCGGACGAAAAATAAATTGGTTTCTATGTTACTTCCTTTTTCTTATCTAGCTGTGAAAGATAGATTGTATTATCACTTGACTGGTGCTCAACCGTACAGACTCTGCTGGTGCAGAAGAACGCAGTCTCCGCCACGCTCGGGGTCAAGCCCAAACTTGTAGAAGAAGCCTTCGCTAGTAATCACCATGATGTGTACCAATTTTTTGTTCACCAGGTCCTCTGACGTTTCCGGAATGGAACTGGTCTCGTCCTTCAAGTACACGTTGGAAATCAGCTCGTCCCATGCCTTACCACCAACACCAACAACAGTCTTGGTCTCCTTAGTGGCAGGAACCTTCAACGAAGCAAAATGTCTGTTTGGTTCCAAAATGGAGGAGAATCTAGGCGGAAGGTATGTGCCCATCTTCTCTGCAGCTTTCCTTCCGAGGCTTTGAGACGTTCTGCGCAGCATTCTGGCCACGCTCTTGCGTGAGTTGTCGACCAACGGCTCTCTCAGTCTGTCTGAGTTCGACTCTGCGCTATGGTAAGAACCAGCTGAGGAAGAAGAGCGACCCCGTTGCAAGCTGTTCGGTATCTGAGCGTCAACGTCCAAGTCGTCGTCGTCATCATCATCATCAAGTCCCTCTTCGTCGTTCAAGTCGTCGTCGTCGTCTTCTTCATCCGAACTAGTATGCTGATTGTGAGGATAAATATCAGGCGAAACTTCTAGCGGATTTGATGGCAGTGTCTTGGAAAGACGAGCCTTTCTGTTGGCTGACTTAATGGTGTTTGCAGCCTCCTCTTCACCCAAACGGAAAATATGAACGGTCTCGGTTGCAGAACTGGCAATGACAAATTTGTTATCTGGACTGAAAGCTAAAGAGTAGATCCGGGTCGGATACGTTCCTCTCCTAAACTGGTACAACTTGATACCTGTAGCAACAGAAAACACTCTAATAATGGTACCTTTGTCACTAGCGGTTGCCAGTAACAAGCCATCTTTACTCAGTGCGATAGCAGCCAGCGACGTGCGGTGAGCCTCGATGACACTCGTTGGTTGAAGCGTTTTGGCGTCGAAAATAATAACGTCCCCGTTTCTGACATTCTGCCCGTTGGCATGCGGAGCCGTTTCCGACTGTGGATTTGGGGCGAGTTTTTGTGGCGACGGATAAGCCAAATAATTGTTTTCGGTGGATGGAGATAATGCTAGTAAACCATTTGGATTTGCGGGTATTTCGATCGTGTGCAGTAGGCGCATGTTGTTAATGTCGTAAATGTAGATCGTTTCTTCTAAGAGGACCACCAGCCTTTCTCGATTCATCTTAACGGCTAGAATGGCACCTGGGAAAGTTAATTCACAAATCACCGTTTGCCTCTTGGTGTTTAAAATCTTCAACCTTCGAGGAGACAAAGGCGGTTGCTCACCTATTCCTACTATTGCTAGTAGCGAGGATGAAAATAGCATTTCAACTATGCCTATGCTGCCATCCAGTTTTGAAAAGCACTGACCAAACGGTTCACAATTGTAAATCTTGTAGCCGTTAGCATATCCCACAGAAATGCATGAGAAGTCTTGGTTGAAGTTCGCAAAGTTGATACCGTCGTCTTTCGAGGTCCGGTGTTTGGTCACGTAGTTCGCAGCCACCTCGTTTGCAGCCGTCGCGGCCTCAAATGCTAAGGGATTCAAAGTGCTCATTAGCAAGACAAACTCTTATAAGAAACAATTGAAAATCTGTATGTGCTTTTATGTCTCAATCTAATTGATTCTTGTCACTTACAAAGGATCCAATTAACCCTTTCAGCTGATCTTTTGTTAATGCTGGAGTTGTTCTTTTGTTATTAATGTTTTTATTTTGGTGCGAGGAGGGAATTTTTTAAAACGGCACTAAAAACAATATCAGTTGGATTACCTGATGTATTACTATTTGGTTGGTGGGCACGGTACATGTGATGATTTTTAACGTTGATGGTTTTTGCGTTTGATCCTGTTGAATCGGTGAAGAAGCCTGTAAATCATGGGCCGTCTCCGAAGTTTCTGGATTTGGTTACAAATCTGTTTGTTCCCCTGAACGAGCCAAGACAAGGGCATTTGGCCAAATACCACAACAAGATTGTCATTGAAAAGTATCTCAGGCACTATAAGCTTTCTGTGGGGAAAGACTTTCTGCCTGTGGCAAAATTGGTCTTGCCGGCCAGAGACAAGGCCAGGGTTTACATGACCAAAGAGATAAGACTTGCCATGATGATCTGTCGAATATTGCACATATCCAAGGAGAACGAGGATTACAACAAGCTGATGGGATGGAAGAAGATGAATTTCAACCGAATCCAGTCGTCCTTAAAGTTTGCAGACCTGCTCACAAACATAGCAAGTAAACGTCGTGTTGATAAGCCTGGTGGAGAACTGTCTGTTGACCAGGTCAATTCCTATCTCGACACTCTGCGTGATCTTGCAGATTCCAACACAGATGAGAAGGTGAAGGTTTTCGAAGAAGTCATGGATAAAATGGCAAATATTGAGTTGCGCTTCTTCTTCAGAATAGTGCTCAAGATTAATCCAATTCGTTCAGATAAACTGTTCCTATACATGTGGCACCCAAATTCGCTGGATGTTTATGATCTTACACACGATCTAGAGGCCGTGTTCTGGGGACTTTCTGATCCAACGGTTAGATTGGACTCTAACGAGAAGCATTCTCGTCCAATGTATCCATTTACGCCCCAGAGATCTAAGCGGATTCGTTCTGACTACAATTCTATTGCTGAACGGTTTCCTAGTGGGTTTGTGGTTGAGGAGAAGTATAACGGCGAGCGCATTCAGTTGCACGTGGAGAAATCAGATCAGGGATACAAGTATCGCTTCTTCAGCAGAAACGCAATGGACTACTCCAACATTTATGGAAGCTCGTCAGATGCCGGATCGTTAGGCTGTATTGGCCCCTTCGTGGAAGAAGCTCTGGTAGATGGCATTCAGAGCTGTATTCTGGACGGGGAGATGGTGAGTTACGACCCGATCAAGAATGCTACACTACCGTTTTCTACACTTAAGCCTACAGCGCTGAAAGATCTGAGCACACAAAACAAAGACGACCCCAGACCTGTTTATATGGTGTTTGATATTTTGCACCTGAACGGGTCCTCTTTGGAGGATTATGTGCTCTTGGATAGGAAAAAGGCTCTCAAAAGAGTTGTAACATCCGTTCCACACCGAATCGAGGTTGCTCCGTTTGAAATCAAAACCACAGGTCAAGAGATTGAAGATTCGCTCACTAATGCAATTGAAAAAGATCTCGAAGGACTCATTATTAAAGATCCAGCAGCGCATTACGAGATTGGAAACTTTATAAGCGAAAGCTGGATCAAGATCAAGCCCGAGTATCTGCATGAGTTTGGTGAGAATCTCGATCTAGTCATTGTTGGTCAGATTCCGGCTTCGAAGACAACTTACATCTGTGCTTTGCGAGAATCGCAAACGAGTGACAAGTTTCTTACCCTTTGCGGTGTATCTAACGGATTCTCCATTGACGACTACCGCCGGATTCAGCAGTTGACAGCTGGCAAATGGCGACAATGGTCTGCAGAGCGGCCTGAGAATGTTGTGTTTGGAAAGAAAACTCCAGCCATGTGGATCGATCCCAAAGAGTCTGTTGTCATTGAGGTTAAAGCAAGTTCTATCAGCGTTCTTTCAGAGAACAACTATGCCACTGGCTCGACACTGTATGCTGCATATTGTATACGCATCAGAGACGACAAAAACTGGGAAACTACAGACACATTGGATGAGTTCCAGGAGTCGAGCAAAGCTCACGATTATGGATCTAAACACACGCTTGCCAAGAAACGAAGATTTAAATCCAGCAAGAGAGAACGAATCATGCGTCGGCTCAATGATGGAGCCCCGCATACGGAGTCAACTGGCCGTCTATTTGAAAACTACGTGATTTGCATCATGACGGACTGCATCTTCCAAGGAAAACTGACCACTGTGAGCGAACTGGGCCAGATTCTTCGGGGATACGGTGCGACAGTAGTTAGGAATCATGGTGCGATCGTCGAAGAGGACCAGCTGTTCTTGATTCTGGCTGACAAGATCACCATGGACATTGCCGAACTTCAGCAGACGTACAACATCTTCAAAGCCAAATGGTGTGAGGACTGTATACTGATGAACAAACTGGTGAACCTTGAACCGTCGCATATAACTGCTTGTGAAGAACGTCTGATTGAACAAAGTCAGTTCAATGTTGACTCTTATGGGAACAGTCTGGAGGTTGATTTGACTGCATATCAATTTGAAAAGCTCGTGGAGCAGAATTATCGGCAGGAAAATCACGAAGTTACGGTGGAGGATAACTCGAGCATATGGAATCTGTTCATATTCCACGGACTACAATTTCATGTGCTATCCTCGCAGCGTAACCAGTTTGAGATGGTTCGCAGCATGATCGAGGCGGCTGGCGGAATAGTGTCCGACACCCCAGACGGTTGCGGATATATCGTAGTACTAGCTTCGACAATTGACGAGCTGGAACGGCACATCCAAAACGCATCCATCAGCAACACCCATGTCCAAATCGTTTCTTCCTCCTTTGTCGTTGATTCGTTCACGCAAGGCGTCCTGCTGGATGCGTCTAATTACAAAGTTACCATTCCAACGACACCTCGCACCGATGTTTAAATCGCAAATATTTTGGTCAAATCGAGAAATGATTGGAGAACAACAAATGGTGAAAAGCTACGCAATTGCCAATAAGTGTGTGCGGTTGCAAGCACGGCGGTGGATATCTATCCAGCCTGTGTCGAAAGTTGTTGTTGATGCAAAGAAGGCGGATGTTGTTCCGGTTTCCGAGAACGTTCCCGACTTGAACTCGGAAAGCCACGAAATCCCAACCGAGGTCGTCTTCGAAACCATTGGCCAGTCTCAGTCCACGTTGTCGTTGACTGTTCCGCCTTCTGTGCCAATACACTTGAAACGCGGCTCGTTGATGTCGCTGTTCACGGCGTCAGAGACAAAGTCCAGCTTGAAAGATGTCGTTCAGTCGTCTTTACAATTACAAGAACCGTTCAAAAGGCTGGTGTATGGCGGCCACGCGTCGCTATACCAACGCTTGGTCTCGACTGTGCCGCTGGCGTTGCTTGTTTCTGCATATAACCCCAAGTCACTTTTCCGCACGTCGCAGACTTCCAAAACGTTCTGCAATATCACTTTGGACGGCACGATCGACTGGGCGTTGTTTAAAACGGACTCGTTGCAAGCGTACGGAGGCAACTCTTTGGTGATCAGTTCCCAGAGACTTCCGCAGACAGTGTCGAGATCTGGAATCCAAGCGTTTGGACTTCCAAAAGGTTCTGTTCCGGGGCTTTCCAAGAGACCGTTTTCCGGGTTCGAGCACGTTGCGGGACGTGGATTTGTGTCGTTGGTCGGCGAAGGTTCGATCTTCAAACTGAACTTGGAAGAGGACGAGGAGATTCTGATCAGAAGAGATAACCTGTTTGCTGCTTCGATCAAACAGAAACAAGACCTGCAGGATGGGTATTTTGTTCTACAGACACTTACCAGACATCTGGAGACCGGAGAACGGGAGATTGTGATTGATTCGGAGGGGAAGAAGACGTTCTTCGTCAAGGCTGGAGATTACGTGCTGGATCTGTTGAAGGCGTTCAAGGAGAAGAGACAGTCCTGGTTCGAGAACGTGATTGGCAACGGAAGTTACATCAACGTCAAGGGACCTCGCATCTTGCTAATACAGGCCAACACTGGCTCCGACAAGTTTTCTCTTGGACAGAACTACAACGTTTCCAAGATCGAAAAGTACATCAAAAAGGACGAATTCCAGCAGCCAAAGTTGGTCCCATCATCAGACACTAAAGCTTGAACCAAACATAAACATTATAGCTGGGCCCAATAAACGTCTGCCCCCAAGGCTGTGTAATATATTTAGATAAAGGCGAAAAATAACGTACAGTAAAAAATAAGATAGAGTTAGATGTCAGGATTGGAGAGTAAGTGGTGGGATCGAATGAAAAACTAACTAATAGAATCTCTTTTTCAGCTGAAATTCACTGCCAAGCAGTTGAACAGACAGTCGATCAAGACAGGCAAGGAAGAACAGGCCGAGAAGAACAAGGTGAAGAAAGCACTCATACAAGGAAACAACGACATTGCCCAAGTGTATGCGCAGAATGCCATTCGCAAAAGCCAGGAGAAAATCAACCTGCTACGACTCGCATCCAGAATAGATGCTGTGGCCTCGAGGATCCAGACGGCCGTTACTATGCGGTCTGTGACAAGCAACATGTCGCAGGTTGTTAGAGGTATGGACAAAGCAATGGAAACTATGAACCTGGAGAGAATTACCATGGTGATGGACAAATTCGAAGAACAGTTTGAGGACTTGGAAAGTAGTACGAATTACTATGAAAACGTTTCGAACGATATGAATGCTGTGAGCCAGCCACAGGAACAGGTTGATCAATTGATGAACCAAATTGCAGACGAGGCAGGTTTGGAGTTGAAACACAAGATCGGCGACGCCAACGTCGACGTTGCGGCCTCGCTTCCTGCACAGGAGACTCCTGCCGAGGAGGACAAGTTGTCGGAGAGACTGCGCGCGTTGAGAAACTAGGCCAATTGGTCAATCTTCCACTGCCAGTATCTTTTTCTGATACCATCCATATCTTGCAGCAAAGTGTATAATTCGACTGCTTTTTCCGATTTGTGCTGTTTGACAGAGATCTCTGCCAGGAGTTCAAATGCAAACAGCGAGTAGATAGCCTTGAGGTCGGTGTATGTGGTTGCCAAGGGCTCGAGGTTCGAGATGTCCATTCCCAGCTTAAAATAGATGCCTTTGATGTAATTCCAAGACGAGGGGTTTGTAGGGGCCAATCGGATTTTGTCCTGAACAAACTCCAGCTCCTTATTGAGCAAATTATCGGGTAAACCCTTCTTGTTGCCAAGCAAGACGTAAAAACGGTGGTTCCAGGCCGAGTTGTTTCTCACGTCTGCGGCCAGCATTTCCTCGGTGTAGGACAGTTCCGAGTCCGTTCGGAACAAATCAAACTTCTCCACGAGCCAGCGACGGTACGACCACACGTGGTAGTTCTTTGAGTCCTGGTCCAACATTTGTTTCAAGATGGAGTACTCGTTTTCCAAAGGGATCGTTCCCTTTCTTTTGAGAATCAATTCGATGATGAGCGACCGGTAGTGCCAGATCTGGTAGTTTTTCGGGTTGTTGAGGGCGATCTGTGCACACCAGTCCAGCTCTTTCTGAAGATCAAACCCTTCTAGGTCCTGCACGATGTTGAACCGGTAGCTCCAGATGGTATAATGGGCTGCGACCTTTTTGATCACTCTTTCTGTCAATGCCAATGCCCGCTCAGAATGTTCGTCTTTCTGCATCAAACCTTTGGCAATAGAGATCAGTTCCTTGAATTCGTCCGTGTACAAGATCTGGCACACGGGAGACGGCCTCAGAGGCTCGTCCACCATAACGTCGGAATAATCATACATGTTTCAGAAACAAGAAAAATTAATTAGACAAAAAACATTTACCAGATGCCGGGCAGACGACGTTCAAGCGTCTTTCGCCGGATGTCGGTCAGCTCTCAACTGGATGAGATCAAGTTGGAGGTGCCAGAAATCAACGGCGGCACTCAGAAGGCCAGCATTACAGACTTTGACCCGTTAAAAGTCCTTGGACAAGGAGCATATGGTAAAGTATTGTTGGTCAAGAATAAGCAAACGGGACGGCTGTTTGCGCAAAAGGAGCTGAAGAAAGCTTCGATCAGTGTCAACTCGAAAACTTACGAAAGAACGTTCTCGGAAAGAACAATTTTGGCCTCTGTTTCGTCCCACCCAAATATAGTCAAACTGTTCTACGCTCTACATGACGACGAGAAATTGTACCTGATGCTCGAATACATCCCTGGCGGGGAATTGTTCCAGCACCTGGCGCAACGCAAGTTTCTCGACGAGAAGTGCACCTCGTTCTATGTTGCCCAAATGGCCCTGGCTTTGCGTCATCTGCACAAGACAGGAACCGTGTACCGCGACCTGAAGCCGGAAAACTGTTTGCTCGACAAGGACGGGTACCTTGTTTTGACCGATTTCGGACTGGCGAAACAGCCGCTCGACCACGACTCGGATAACTGGTGCCACTCGATCATCGGAACCCCAGAATACTGCTCCCCGGAGGTGCTCCGTGGGGAAGAATACGGAACAAAAACAGACTGGTGGTCTTTGGGATGTGTGATGTTTGACCTACTAACGGGCGCACCACCTTTCACAGGAAACAACCATAAGACCATCATTGATCGGATACTCAAACAGAAACCCAAATACCCATTCTATCTAACCTCGGACTCGAAAGATCTGCTTGCCAAGCTTTTGAACAAAAACTCGTCCAAGCGGCTCGACGTGGACTCCGACTGGACCAAGTTCTCGAAACACCGGGTGTTCCGATACTACGACTGGAAAGACTTGGAAAACCGCGCGGTTGCTGCGCCGATCATCCCCACCATCACCGACCCAGAAATGGCTGAGAACTTCGACGACAAGTTCACCAGCCAGAGGTTCACAGCATGCGAGACCAAACCCATCGACATTGTCCAAAGCCCGCAGGCGGAGCCGGACCATTTCAAGGGGTTCTCCTTCACTGCAAGCGATACCGTGTTGCAGCCGTACCTGGCCCCCAGTCTATAATTCATAGACCGTGCACGGTACCCCGACGGCTGTGAGCGCGCGCTCGGTCAGCGACCAGGGGACCCCGAAGATCCCCGCGTTGATTTTCGGCATGGCCAGCACGTACTGGGTGGTGGTCTGGGACAACTGGGTTTTAAGGTCCTGCATTGCCAGCTCGGTGTACTTTGCAATCTCCTCAGGCGACTCGCCGCCCATCACGCTTGTGAACAAACATACGACCGACAGTTTATCTCCTGTGCCAGAAACGTATCCGGAGTCCTTCCTGTCGGCTGGAATAATAAGGGCTGTGCCCAACAGCTCGCTTGGATCAGACTTGTATTTCAGACAGTGCTCGTGGTAAACCTTGTAGGTAGACTGAAACTGGCGTCTAAACTCGGCTGCTATGCCGCCGCCCCACACACCAAGGCAATTGCATGCATGTGCGAGATAGACGGGCTCGGTGGCCGGTTTCGCTGCGAGCCTGAATAAATTCCCCTTGACGTAATTAATAGACATTAAAAGATGAAATATTTTTGTGAAAAACTTGATGAATGTGGATGCAGACAAGGAGTTCAACCAGATAAGCAAAATTCTCAGGAAAGAGCACCGGTCGACGCGAAATCGTATCCATTCGATTCTGTACGACTCGGAGTTTGTGGTAAATGTTGCCAACAGGTATCCATACCCGGTGGTAGCTAACGAGCGCTGTGGATCATGGTACGTCCGTCCAGACGATCTGGACGAGACGTGCTACTTTAAGTCCACCGATGGACACACTGATAACTGGGACTTTAGCACGCGACGTTTGAATTTCCATCTTTTGCCCATCATAGCTGAAAATCACGGAATCATCATAGTCGACTCCACGAGACGGGGCAAGAAAATCCCCGACTCCCAAAGCAAGACGATCCCGATCTGGTGTGCTGTGTTGAACGCCATCCGTGAGAATTCGACGGAAGGCGAGCTGTTCACTCCATTGAAAACTGTGGCTCGTTCAGAACATATACGAATCACACAACTGCTCCCGTCTTTAATACAAAAGGTCGCCAGTCTGGACATCATCAGCTCCGAATACCTGCGCAGTCTGTTCCCCAAGCCTCTTAAACCGGTTTGGATCACGCCGAGCTCGAAAGTGTTGCCTCCTCTTGAGACACCAGATCAGCTACCCTACATCCCTGTGATCTTGGTGACGGCCAGTTTCCGATGTCAGGACGGGACCCGCCCCATGGACGGCTACCTCTACGTCCAGGGAGCAGCCGACGACCATGAGCTCTGGTCCAGCGGGCTCACACCGGCTATGCTATGGCAGCACCTGGACTATTTTGAAAATAAAGAGCACACAGAAACCCAGCTGCAGGAGTACATCGCCAGCATCAAACCGACTGCCGCTCCTTCCACTTCGATCTTTGACAATCTGGTTCAAATCACGCCGCTGCTGGCCAAGGGAAAACTCTCGTCCATGCACATCTCGTCTTTTCCGCAGTTTGACTACCTTGTCGTACTAGACCAGGCCGTGACTTTCAAGTCACGTGAACATAATTGCAACCCGAAACTTCTCCATCTCCCGCTGGACTCGCAGTCCAAGAAGTCGGGCAAGGACCTGCGGAACAGACTCCCTGGTATTGTCCCAGAGCTGGTGAAGGCACTCTCCGACTCAAAATCGGTTCTGGTGCTCTGCAAAACAGGAACAGACCTGGCTGTTGGAGTGGTGCTATGTCTGCTCTGCACGCTCGACAACCACCAGATAGACAAGGCCATCATCAGAAAACATCTCGTACGCATTATCGACTTGGACAAGGCCGTGAACCCAAGTCGCGCTACACTTAATTCGGTAAACAGTTACTTAATGTCATAATACATTATTACGGTCTATTTAGTCCTGGACAGCTTCCTCACGAAAAGAACCGTCAGAGTGATCCAGCTCTTCTTCTTCGTGGCCCTCCATGAAAAAATCAGCCTGTGGATACCCATAGTTGTAATAATCGGGATAATTATAATAAACCGGCTGGTGGCCAGCCGGACGCATTCCCTGTTGCATGTATACGTACTGGCCCGATGCTGGAGAAGCAGGCTCGTGGTGCAACGTCTTGCGCGAGTTGGTTCTCGAAATTCTCGGGTGTCCTTGAATTTGGGCCTGCGAATACGGGTATGCGTATGTTTTTTGGTACATTGGAGATGCCTGCTGGTACACCGGATGGTACTGAACAGCTTGCTGCGGAGCATAGTGGTCGGCGTGGTTGAAGTAGTTAATCGAGTTGGTTGACGACGAGCGCGAGAAGCTGGTTGGCAGTCGAGGCCGCTGCTGTGGATGGCCTGTCTTGCGCGTCATTCTCGGCGAGCTCTTGGGGATATCGTCTGAAGAAGAGTACGAAATGTCGCTTTCGGGAATAGACACTGGCGGCTTGACGCTAGGTTCCTCAACACTCAGCGCACTAACTTCGCGAACCAGCGGTTTCAACTCCTTGTCCATAACATCAGTAGAACTGTCCTCGCCCGTAATCTTCTCCGTAACAGGTAAAACACTGGAACGTTTTTCCTCGTACATTTTGGAAGAGATACCGATGCTCTTCAACGCGGGGACTTTCAACAGGGTGTCAGTGTCCGGAACAGCGGTTCCTTCGGACGACGCCTTGACGTTCTTACTTGGCTCCTCGGCCTCTCTCCGTTTTTTGTTTCTTCTTTTCTGGTGCTTCTTCGTTTTCGGTGGATTCGCACAGCGGTCTTTGCCAAACGAAATCTTGAACGGCTTGTACTTGTTCTCGAATGAAGTGTGCACCGCGTCGCTTCCTGGTCCATTGAAATCCTCCACCGCGTTGATACACGACATGATGTTCAAGAAGTTCACAAACGCACATTGTCCGTCTCTGAAGAAGTTGATCTGCTCCACCTCGCCAAAGATCGAGAAATCCTTGCGCAGCGTGTCTGCGTCTGGAATGACTGGACGGTCTGTCAGATCTTCTTCGTCACCTTCCGGACGAGGCTCGGTTCCGATATACAGGTTTCTGGAAGCCCCATGCTTCTCGATCGCGTCTGCAATCTCTGGGTCCAGCGGACCAGAATGCTTTCCCCAGTCAACCTTGACTCTTCTCCCGTGAATTGTAACCTTGTCCTTGGTCCCTGCAGCAAAGAACTGCGCAGCAGATGCAGAGTCGGCAAATGTCAAAAAGCATATCCGCTTGTCAGGAATAAGTTTAACAGACTCCAGAAGTCCTCCTCTGGCAGTGTTGCACACCTCCTCTGCGGTGGTTTCCGGATGGATATTGCCGAGATACACGGTTCTGTTGCCAAAATTCGACTGGCGTAGCTGCGGTCTGGAAATCACTGACAAAGTGTCCATGGTATCATTGAGAGGTGGAGAGTACGTTCCAGCCGATCCGTTCGAATAGACTGTGGATTCTCCCAATGACGGGTGTGAGTACATCATACCACCATAAGAGTCAACCGCCTCATTCTGCGGAGGATACGACGAGTGCAGCACTGGAGTGTGGTATTGGTGGACGTATTGGTGGCTATAACTGGAAGAAGTGTCATTTAACTGGCGAGACGACGACTTGTGGATCTGAACTCCAGAGTTTTGAGGCGATGACATTGATGTGGAAGGAGTCGAGTAGAAATCCGAGTACTGGTTAGGGTCCTCGTACTCGAGATCGAGCGTAGAATTCCCGTTGGACTGGCTAGGAGTGGCATTTTTCTCCTTGCTGTAAAACACTTTACAGGTTGACAAAATGGACTCGCTGAGAGCCAGTTGCTCCACGCACTTGATGGCAGTCGAGATGGATGTGAAGTGCACAAACGCTGCGTACTTGTTTGGGATGTACTTGATCTGCTCAACAGGGCCAATCTGTTCGAGCTCCTGAGAGATCATTTTCAGTGGAAGCCCAGGCTGAATATTAGTGAGACAAACGGCCCTGGTGGCGCCGTCGTTCTCGATTGCCCATTCGACAGCAGGCAATAATGGCATGGCTTTTGCGTACACGATCTCCATGTCGGGAGACTCCAGCACGCTTCGCAACTCGTCGATGATCGAGTTCAGTTTCACATAACATTTTTTGGCAGTTTCGGTCTCCACAAACGACAAAATCACAGATTTCGAAGACGTGGACTGTTTGGGTAATTCAAACGAGCAATTTTCGATCGGACCGTACTCAATAAGGTCCAGGAAGTCCGGGAGCTCGAAGTCGGGCCGCAAATTAATGAATCTGAGCGACCTTGTTTCAGGCTCGGAAGGTTCAATTTCCAGCGACTCAGACTCGGAAAGCACTTTTGGAGCTTTATTAACGTTCGAGAGCTTGGACTTGAGAAGTTTGGAGAACGAGCTCCTTCGCTGGCCGCCCTTCTGGGGACTTCTGGTGTAGTATTGGTCTGCATTGACTAGCTGTGTGTGTCTTTGTAACATTCTCTCACCGTTTGGTGTTTGAGGAGCATTCTGGGTGTGAGGGGTACTAGCGGGTCCCATTGGCGACTGGATGAAGGGAGAGCTTATCAAAAGCTGGCGTGGGAGCATTCCCTTGGCATAGTTGACGTCGAACGGCGTCGTGGGAGACAGTGGGACTTGTTGGGGCATAGGAACATTAATTATTTGAGCTCCGTTGGGAAGCTGGGAATAAGAATGGTACTGCGGAGGATAAATAGCCGGTAGCATCGGGACCTGGTTTTGTGCGGTTGAGAGGTTCAGCGAAGGATGCCGTGACAACTGTCGCGGATGCGGTGGTCTGTGTGCTTGATCTTGCAACATAGGCGATAGATGTAACCTTGATGTTTTAATGTTGTAGCAAGACTGACATTATCCACCTATGGTGGTGTTTTGAAGTAGATGACTTGTGGAAGGATAAAAGAGTGACGTTAAAGCACGAAACCTTAAGCTCAAGTGGTTATTAGAAATTGGGTGATATGAAGTAAAAATTAGTATTTCTAAGTATGGGATAAAGACAGATTTCAGTATGCTACCTGAAACGCGCGCAAGAGAAAAATTTCACCGAATATGGGCCAGCCACTTTACGGGGGTTATTGTTTAGAGAAAATTCGCGACTAATGGTGTGAAGAGCCATTAGTTTCAAGGCAATGAACTAACTGCTACGGTCTGGTTTTTGCTATGTAATCTTGAGCCAGCTGTCCTAAATGCCAGCGTGTTCGGACAAATCAATATTTTAGCGATGGGACCTAGATCTTCTCGATTTCAGAATTCGGAATGCGGCTCTGAAAATAGCATAGTCTCAGATTCTGTTTTTAGAAAAAATCACATAACTGGGCCTTTTTATACGAGAGTACAATTGCGCACCACATGGATTGCATCGCCCATTTTCTACATGGCCCAATTCCCGAACAGCCTGCGGTGCACTCAATGTGTGCCGAGCGCGAAATTTTTACTGATGCAAAACCCTTACATTACAAACGTATAATTTAAGGAGGTCGATATGTTTCTTATTAATGAGTCACGTAATCTGCATTTCTCAAGCTATAAAACCATTTCTGATTGTAGGAGTCTAATTACTCGCACAATCCCTTATTTAAGACGAAGCCTTGGCAACGTGTTCAAGCAAGTCGACAACTCTGGTGGAGTAACCGTACTCGTTGTCGTACCAGGAGATAAGCTTGACGAAGGTTGGGGTCAGCAAGATACCAGCCTTAGCGTCGAAAACAGAGGATCTGCTGTCGGTAACGAAGTCGGAGGAAACAACATCCTCGTCAGTGTAACCGAGAATTCCAGAAAGTGGACCCTCAGAAGCCTTCTTGATGGTAGCGCAGATGTCCTCGTAAGTGGCTGGCTTCTCCAAGTTGACGGTCAGGTCAACAACGGAAACGTCGGTGGTTGGCACTCTCAAAGACATACCGGTCAACTTACCGGCAAGAGAAGGGAGAACCTTACCGACGGCCTTGGCGGCACCGGTGGAGGATGGAATGATGTTGCCAGAAGCAGTTCTTCCTCCTCTCCAGTCCTTGTGAGATGGACCGTCGACGGTCTTTTGGGTAGCGGTGATGGAGTGAATGGTGGTCATCAAACCATCCTTGATTCCGTAAGCATCGTCGATGACCTTAGCCAATGTAGCCAAACAGTTTGTAGTACAAGAAGCATTCGAGAGGATCTTGACGTCTGGAGTGTACTTGTCCTCATTCACACCCATCACGAACATTGGGGCGTCCTTGGATGGAGCAGTGATGATAACCTTCTTGGCACCGGCATCAATGTGCTTTTGAGCGCCCTCCAAAGTGGTGAACACTCCGGTGGAGTCCAAGACGTAGTCAACGCCCTCCTTACCCCATGGGATGTTAGCTGGGTCTCTCTCCTGGAAAACCTCAATCTTGTGACCGTCAATCACAAGGTACTTTCCCTCGGAAGTAACCTTACCCTTGTAGTGACCGTGGGTAGAATCGTACTTGAACATGTAAGCGGCGTAGTCTGGAGCAATGAATGGATCATTGATGGCGACCACGGTGATGTCCTTTCTTGTCAAGGCAATTCTCAAAACGAGTCTGCCAATTCTTCCGAAACCATTAATACCAACTTTGTAAGTCATCTTATTTCAATGTTACCTTTGTATAAAGAGCAATGAGTATTTAGCAAGAAAAAGCTGACCTTATATACCATTTGCAGCACATCCTCCCGAAACTTCGAAAAAGTCGTGCGTTTCCTGTTTTTATCACGCCAAAATTCTTCATGTATGACTACTCCGGGTGGGTGTTGACCATTCATCAAGAAAATCGTGCTTCTTTGTCTTTCGATTTCAACAAAGCGCTCAATTGGATCTCGTGACCCATTTGCAAACGGTTCTTACTAATTTCATAGCTCTTATTGGGAAATCAGACATAGATCAATGTGTCGGCGTTTTTATCCCACGGGCCGCCTCCGGAATAAATTCTTCCGTGCAAGGTTGTAGAAAGAGTAAGGTGATCTCCCCGAGACGGCTTAAAGGGACACAGCTTCCATGTTTACCAAACAACCTCGGTGGTTTTGCGCGCGCGTGCGTTCAATAATTCTCGGTCCCGGACCCCGGAGTTGCAGTTTCTCCTCTTTGCCCCCTCATCGATGCCGGCCATCTACTGTCCAGCAATTTCACTCCGGTAATGTCGTAATCGATTGTCAATCACACTATTGTCCGTGGTGTAAGGGGTTGGAGCGAGGTGATGACTAAAAAACCGAGATGGTTTTACGTAATTATATCCGAGTTTTGGTAGCATTTATCAGCACCGGGGCCAGTCTGACTAATTTAGATGTTGGAAAGGGTTTCTTTTTCACGCAAGTGTATTTGTACACGTTGATATCCTTTCTGACGACAACATAACGAGCCTTAATCGTACCGTTAACCTTCAATTCCCCGCTCCAAGCATGAGGCCATATTTTGTTGGTGGGGTGTGAGGGGGTGTTTAAACCAATAAGTAATTGTTTTACGGTTTCCCTACTGTAGAGACCCCTAGTTTTCTACATATCTGAAGCAGTCTCAAGCTTTGATTGACAATGCCTATTCCAAAGACCTCTTCCGGGATCCCGAAACTCGCCTTTGGGTGTGGAACTTACTACTACAAGTATGGCAACAACACTGTTGACGAGAAGTTGGTTGCAATGATTAAAGCAACTTTGGCAAAAGGTGTTGTACACATAGATTCTGCCGAGGTCTATAACGTTGACAAAGAATTGGGTCTTGCATTGGCCGAATCCCACCTGCCTAGGGAAGATTATTTCATCACCGACAAGTATTTCGCAGGTACCAGCTCGTATGATGCCAGATCAAAGGAAGCTAACCCATATTTGCATCTGAAGGCCTTTCTGGAAAGAGTGAATATTCCATACGTTGACCTTTACTTGTTGCACTCGCCGTTTATCAAGAAGGAGACCCATGGTTTCAGCCTGAGCGAGTCCTGGAAGTTCATGGAGCAATGTAAAAGGGAAGGATTGGCTAAACGAATCGGTGTTTCGAACTTTGCTATAGAGCATCTGGAGGAAATCTTGAAAGTTGCCAATGAAAAGCCAGAAGTGAATCAAATCGAGTACAACGCGTACTTGCAAAACCAGAGTCCGGGCATTGTTGAGTTCAGTCAGAAGAACGGAATATTACTCGAGGCCTACTCTCCTCTAGGGCCAATCACCAAAGGTGACAAGACCAGTGGTGTCGGGAAGGAGTTTGACGATTACCTCACGTCGTTGGAGTCCAAATATGGCAAAACCAAGACTCAGATTCTGCTCAATTGGGTCGAGAAGAAAGGAATCATTCCAATCACCACGACTTCAAAGGAATCCAGACTGGACGAGTTCCTAGACGTTTTTAGTTTCGACCTGACTCCGGAAGAGGTTGAGACCATCACCAAGATCGGTGCCCAGTACAAGCCCCCACTCAGACAACATTGGGTCCCAGAGTACGGAAAGTACGACAAGTAGGCAGTTAGTTGATTATATATTTATTCGAAATCATTTCCACAAGTCTTCTTCCGCGCTTGAGAAATCTTGTACATTGGATGTTGTAGCGCTGGAATCTCTTCTCTGTTTCTTCTGCCAGTTTTCGTCAAACTCAAAATCCAACAACGACAGACCAAGAGAAGCGTCGACTCCAAAGTCGTTCAACATCATCAGATCCGTGTACGACCTCTGCTCTGGCTGTGGATAGGCAGGACGTATTGATTGCTGAACTTGCGGCTGGGGCTGCATGTTCATCATCGGATACTGTTGGTAGGGCTGCTGTTGCTGTTGTTGCTGTTCTGGCGGAGTGGTGAACTGAGGTGGGAGTGGAGACGGATGGCGCATCTGATCTTGTAACGTTTGGTACTGGAAGGAGGACGGTCTGACGATTTGAGGAGGTGATTGCGAAGAAAATATATCGTTGATCGCAGGTTCCTCCTCTTCGACCTTGACAGGGGTGGAGAGCATGGTTCTGAGAGTAGAGCTCTTCTTCTTGTCCTTCTTTGGAGTCTCCGCAGACTGTTGAGAAGGAGGAGAGTTGACCTTTGGAGCAGTCAGTATTGTATCTATGGCTATCTCCAGGTGCTCCACGCAGGACTTGGATAAACATCCAAGGAACGAGATGTCAGTCTCCAGCTTTAAGTCTCCAATCACCGAGCTGAGCAGCGACTTGGAGTCCTGGAATAGAGCACCACCTCTGGTGTATTCGAGGGCTCCTTTAGCGGCCAAAAGAGCAAACCTTGCTTTTTGGCGAGAAGTGTTGATCGGCAACGGGAGATGGTAAAAGTGGAACTTGGCTGTGTTCAGCAGCTTGGAAATGGCAAGAATGGCCGTGGACGATTGCTGGATCGCAATATACGAAGCAGAGTTCTTCGAGTTGGTGGTTTCTGTGGCCATTAATGGCATGTAAATCAGAGCCTTTGCCTGATGGTAGAGGAAGAGCAATGTGATTTGCGCCTCAGTGAGCTTCTCCATCTCTGCTGCTCCAATGTCACTGTCGAACCTTAAAGACGACGGCAGGTCTTTGCGCCACGACTCTAGCAGATGCTCCAACATGAGAGTGGATGACTCGTCGATGTTGGTCTTCTTGATCTCGTTGTTGCTTCTTTTGAAGATGGCATCAACACAGGTACCCAACACTTTGGCAAACCGCATGACACTCAACGCCTGGTCGCTGACTTTACCCACAAGAGACAGTTGCGTGTTGTTGAAGGTGATGAGGTTGATATCTGTTCCGTCAGATGACGAGGAGGACGGCAAAGCACATTCCACTTCGTAATCTTTAAGCAATCTGGGAACTCCCAGTATGAGAGCACTAAATGTGTCTAATGTGTAGATACACCAGAACAAGATTCTCCGCTCTCCCTGTTGCAATTTCGACACTTTGGATCCGTTCTGGCCCAGAACTGCAGCTGGACATCTGTGTAGCCTCAGTTGCTGGGTCATGGTGATCAGTTTACCACGCAGTTCGTAACTGGTGTTCAAATCGGCTGTGGTGAGACAATAGAGCAGTTCGAGCGTTGTCAGTTGTAATGATGTGATCGAACAGATCGAGTTCATGCTTGAGCCAATAAATTGCTTGATAAGGTGATCGTAAAATTGCAGTAACTCTCCGTGACTGGCAGACTTTTCCTTGTTGTGGGCATACAAGTTGTTGCGTTCCTGAGCGAGCATAACCAAGGTGGTGATGATAATCAACATTTCTCCGAATTTTTCCATTCCGTACATGGCCCCGTCTTCAAAATTGGTTTCTCTGGATTTGTTGAATTTCAGATAGTTGGCCATGAAGATCTCTTTATTAAGCACAGGTGTCACCTGGTTCCACGTATCGAAAAACAAGGAGATACAAAGGTCTAAATTCACATGGTTTGGCAGACTAAGGGTCTGGAAGAACGCTTTTGACTCGTCTGCAGACAATTCATTGAATTTGGTGTTTTCGAAGCTGATTGGAAATTGCGAGTATCGACTGTCCTCATTGTATGCTTCTTTAAGCAAAGCAATGGATTTGGACGTCAGGTAAGGAGCTTTGGAGTTAAATCCATGAACGCTCACGACTTTAGCCAACAAAGAAGGTATGAATAAGGTTTCTTCGGTTGATCGGGGAATAGCTGTTGCAATGAGGTTTGCCAAGCTCATAAAATGTTTAGTTCGTAACTTGTTTTGCAAAGAAACAGCGGCAGCAGCTCCTGGAGCGTTGACCTGTTCAAATGAATTATAACCATATCTGTTTCTCAGATCATCTGCGTTCTGTGTGAAGTGGTAGTTGGAGCCCATGGAGGCTGAGTACAACGAGATATCGTCGTCGCTGAGGTCACCTTTGTCGATATCCACCGATCCTGCGATCGAAACTGGTCTATTGTGCACGGCATGTGGGAAATTGCCACAGTTGCATGTTTCGTCGTGTAAGTGTTCCTCCATGGACTTGAACTCCTTCTGATTGTTGAGCAGAGACAGATTTTCGTCGTTGAGCAAAGAGGGCGGTTTCTGGTCGTCCACGGGACCATCCGAAAGCTCAGAGGTGTCTGCCTTCAAGTTCAACAGTTTCTGAAGCTTTCTATTTTCAAACTCCAATTCTCGCACCCGCTCTTCTAAGGACTCCGTGTAACCTCTTGGAAACGCTTTTCTTGCTAGTTTATCGGTGAAAATACATTCGAGACCCACGCCTTTGCAATTCGCACATTGGGCGCGGCCGTTTGGGTCGATCTCGTCGCCTTCATCGTAGAAACACTTAATCTTCTTCTTTCGACAACGGTCACACGCAACAGAGACTCTGATAGTATTTGATCCCGGGGCTTTGATAACTTTAGGCTTTGAGCCGGGCAAAGACGATGGAGGCATTTTTTAGCAAAACACCCACTCCAATAGCGTCTAGGAAGCGGTTTAACTAATTAACGTAATGGACACTGTTTTGTGAGCGATTAGTAGAGGATGTTTTTTTTGGTGAGCAACTCGGGGTTTGTGGTGCGAGGGGGAAAATTAGATCTGGGGAACCGGGTGGGGGGACAGATTAGGAAACGTTAAAAAAAGTGACTCATGACGTAAAACAGGGTGCGAAAAAAGCAACAGAAAGCGAAACCACCCAACCAGTATGCTTAATTCTGATTGGCCGATGCTACTGATAATGCGGTTGGCCAAGCTTGTTGGGTCTTCGATTACATCATTTTACGGGTTCGGTGCTTATTGTTTGTTGGTTTAGGCTCATTAATTTTTTCTCAGCATGAAAAATTTTATCCAACACGTTTAATGTGTAAGTATAACTTTATGATGAGCATTGCAACGAATTTCTTCAACCGAATCTCATGAGGAAAGAAAACTTTGACAGAGCTTTTTAACACTGAGAGTTGTACTAACTTGGTAGGTTTTTGGGTGGTTTTTTGATGTTTTTGCTAGAAATTGATCTGGCCGGAGTTCCAAATAGTGTGTTAATGTAACGATTTATGAGTTCATGATATTGATAAAATGAAGGTATATCCAATGTAGTTGTAATAGTTATGTTCCGTGCAGTTGATTTAGGTTGTTGCTGTACATTTGATGTTGTCTGATTTAAAATCTTTTATTTTTTAATATTATGTCTTATAACGACGACGAGACTCCTGCCGTTTGCGAGGCATGTTTGGGCTCCAATCCGTACATCGAGATGTCCAGAGAGAAGAAAGGAGCAGAATGCAAGTTATGTACGCGCCCGTTCACCGTGTTTCGCTGGTCTGTTAAGAAAGGCGATCGGTTCAAGAAAACCCTGTGTTGTTTGACATGTGCCAGGGCAAAGAACTGTTGTCAATCATGCATGTTGGATCTGACGTTTGGAATCGATCTTAGAACAAGAGACCAGCTGCTCAAGCTCACAGAACAGAGCAACGTGTTGGACCTGGGTCCAGCTAACCAAATGTCTAAAATCTACGCCGCCACCCAGCTCGAGAAAAAATTCAAGAGTGGAGGCCAGGATTCCATCGAATCAGTTGAACAGAAGCGCCAGAACGCCTACAAGATGTTGGACTCGCTATCGAACGCGGTGAAAAACAAAAAGATCGCCAAAGAAACAGAGCCTGAGGATGAAAAAGTGAGTAAAGAAGAGCTGATCAAGCTGTGCAAACATTTGCCGTTCAACGGAACGCTTGATCCTCCGAAAAGTAGCAAGATCAAGTCGTTTTTCCTGTTTGGGTTTGGCGAGAAGCTAGCTGAGTACCGCGTTCAGAGCTATTTCGAAGATTTACTGGGTGACAAGAAAGTTGATGCTGTTTCATTAAATCATAGAGGACGGTTTGGGTTTGTGGAGTTTTCGTCTCGAACAGTTGCAGAAAGAGCTGCCACGCTACTTGCAGATGGCCCCAAAACACCAAGGTTGGTTGTGATCGACACAGATGCTCTCAGAGTGTGCTGGGCAGGCAAGTCCACCACTCCTTCCTTTTCGATCAGCGAAGCTGCACAAGTGCGAACTATTGTGAAACGGCAGATGATCAAGTACGCTGGGAAGGAGCAACAGGGACACAAACGCGTGCACGACACGGCCGAGCAACCAGAGCCAAAGAAACAAAAACCCGAGACCAAACCGTCTAAATACTCCAGTCTTGGCCAAGACTTGGAGATCTAATGCTGTATATTAAACCAAAATGCCATGGTATTCGCATCGTTTATACTTCTTGGCGAGGGACTCCCATTGGACGAGAATTCTATCGGAAATTGGCAGTATGAGCCAGCCCGTGAGACTCAGCTGCTTGACTCTAGCAAGACTTTCCACGTAAATGATCTTTGTATGGCACAGACCTAGAAATTTGAAGAAAAACAGCACATACGCGATTGGAATGGCTGTACCGGGCCCATTGCAAAGAAACACGTCTGGATAAGTTTTGAGGGTGGCGAATGTGCGGAACGTTGCGATAAAAGACTTGAGTGATCTGATTATGGCGGAAACTTTATTTTCACCAACGTTGCGAGCTCTTGGCAGAATGATGGTCGACGGCGACTTCTCGATGGCTTGCAGGCTTGCCAGCGAGGTCTTATCGGAGTCGGAAATAGCGTAGGTGCGTTTTAGCAATCCAAAATGCTCAAACTGTTTCAAAACCCGTATCATCTCTCCGGTGTGTCCCCCAGAACCCAGCAGGATAAGCACGGATTTCGGGGTTGTGGAGATAGATTTTGGACCGGGAGCAAACTTACGGCAGCTTGGCAGCACAAACACTAACCGGAGAGTCGCCAAAAGCATAGGGACCAGCACGAGAGTGGCCAGAATGGTAAAGAGCTGTTCGTTCATGGTTCAAGAAATTGTGGTTAGAATATATTTTCAAGGCTGTGGAGTTTCTAAAAGTATGGGCCGTTTGAGCAATAGGCTGGTAGCATGTTGATAATCCCTGACAAACTTGCCAATCGGCTCAACCACGGGCGTCAATTTAAACCTTGGCAAATCTAGATCACTATTACACAAAAAGCCGCTTCTGTTCGGCGCCCAAATCTATTTAATTAACATTGTATTCCGCAATTTGTAATCTATACAATCACCGATATCTCAGATCACTTGAAAGGGAAAAAAAAAATAATCTTGGATCCGTAACTGATTTTCACGTCTGATCAATGAGACTCATTTCTTGGTTTTCGATCTGGGTTCTCGCCGTTGGTGGATTGGCGTTGAGCCAGAAAGATTCAATTCTATTCACATGTATATTACAGGCCGTCAACTTGGAGTTTGATTACACAGTTCCTGATGGTAAGAGCAGTTTCTGGAATCCGTTCTGCGAGTACGAGCCCGCGTTGGGGACCGTTCTGATCTGTTTCCATGAACTGACCTCCAACAGAACGTCCGGAGAGGCAGCTTTGCAAACCACTTTGTCTTTACTGGTCGATAATTGTTCCAAACGAGGAAACTTCAAATTGGACGAGTCTGAGCTTCACGAACGCTATCTAAATGCTTCTAGATTGGCAATTCCAGAGGAAAAGTTTATGAAGAAGAACGCGACTCTTCCTATCCATAATCCGGTCAGACTGAACGTGACGTCGTTGCTCTTGTACGCCGACTCGTACACGCTTTTTGCCAAAAACTTCGTCTGGACAAACAACTTCTGTCAGCTGGTCTGTTTGTTTTGGATCGTTTCGCTTGGTTTAGTTGGATTGTTCAACTTTTTCAAGAGATTCCGTTGGAACAGCAAGCTTAAAGGTCCTTTCATCAACAAATTCAGGGGCTACATCGCTTTGCCTACTTTTACAGGAGGAAAACATTTCCAACCGTGGAACATCTTTGGCTCGCTTGGAAAATGGTTACCTTTCTCTTTACTTGACTGCTTGGTTCCCACCACCCAAGAGTCCCTAATTGTTTTCATTTATTGCACTCTGAACATAATATTCGCTTCAGTTGGATACCATATTGAAGATCAAAATTTACTTCTTGGTTCGAGAGACGAACAGTTTTGGCGGTATGTGGCCGACAGAACAGGAATTCTGGCATTTGCTCAGCTTCCTGCGCTCTTCTTGTTTGGTGGGAGAAACAACATCCTCATTAATTTGACCGGCTTCCAGTTCAACTCGTTCATTATCTTCCATAAATGGATCTCCAGAAACATGGTCATTTTAGCCGCAGTTCATGCGTACGCATATCGCGAGTTATGCATCTTGCACGGAAGTTACGACCGAATCTCTCAAGAGACATTGTGGATATATGGGAGAAGAGCATTTGTTGCAGGCGGTTTGCTGATTTTACAGGCCATCTATTATTTCCGCAGCAGATGGTACGAGCTGTTTTTAGCTGTGCACATCTTACTGGCCCTTGTCTTCATTGTCGGGGCATATGTTCATTGCAAGGAAATCGGCTACCTCGAGTGGACGTACGCCAGTATGCTTTTCTGGGCTCTCGACAGGGTCTGGAGAATAGGAAAAATGTACAGATTTGGGCTACCAAAAGCCCATTTCAAGCTGCATTTCGAAACAATCGTTGTCACCATACCAAAACCGGCCAATTGGAAGCCATACCCGGGTTGTTTCGTTTATTTATACATTATAGCACCTTCCGTGTCTTGGAAGGTCTGGGAAAGTCATCCGTTTACAATCTACTCTGTTGGAGATGAGATCAGAATCTACATCAAACGCAAAGACGGCATGACTCAAAAGTTATATGACTTTTTAACTGTTGCTGGCGAGTCTGAGCTCACCGTGTCGGTTGAAGGACCGTATGGCCATGCTGGGGAACTTGACAGCTACGATAATATTCTACTTTTGGCCGGAGGAAATGGTGTTCCAGGACCATACTATCATTGCATGCACCAACTAGACCAGGCACCACTTAATCGATGGAAGCGCAAGATCCATTTCGTTTGGATCTCTCCATACTTTACTGCTCTGAGATGGTTTGGGCGCGAACTGCTTGATCTCCAAACCAAAGATAAACATAATTTTGTGAGCAAAAGCATTTATCTGACTCGAGAAAAGCAGCTAACCAAACGGCCAGCCAACGAATCCGGCGAGGCCGACTCCAGAACGCCGCTTATCTCGATCAGTTCGGAAGAACTGATGGCCAGAGTGATGGGCCAGTTGTCGGAAGAACATTTGGCCGACTACGTGGTGCACAAAAGACGGCCGGACGTTGCCAAACTCATCATGTCCACCATAGAGGAAGCTACTTTTGAAGGAAACCACAACGGAATTGCGATTGTTGTTTGCGGGTCCGATATCCTTGCCGACTCCATCCGCGATGTGGTGGCAGGAATTGTGGCTAACGGAAGCCATACAATGAGGATTGATTTGTTTGAGGAGTTACAGGTGTGGTAGACCTGACCGACGCGACGATAAAATGGTAGTTTTTCAAACTTTTTTTTGCCCTGGAAAATGTTTATAATAAAAATCGATCACACGCTCAAATCGGCAAGATCTGTGGTTTTGCCCCAAAAATCTTGGTTGAGTCTCTGAAATTGCACGGCAAGCGCCCATAGTAAGAGACGGAGTAGCGAACATCATAATGGCAACAACTCAGGCAGCGGCTAAGAGGTTATGGCGAGAGTATAAGGACATATCGAACCCACGAACCGGATTAAAACAAGTCCATGTTGAAATAGACGATGATAACATTTTTCTATGGAAGGTGGCATTAATAGTGGTCGATAAGGACGCCGACTACAACGGAGCTTACTTGAAAGGTCAACTGAAGTTTCCGTCCAACTACCCATTTTCTCCACCGGGATTCAAATTCACACCTCCGATTTACCACCCGAATGTTTATAACGACGGCCGACTGTGTATTTCCATTTTACACGAGTCTGGAAACGACCAGAACGATGAGCCCGACAACGAGACGTGGTCTCCGGCCCAGAGCGTGGAGTCCGTGTTGCTGTCGATCATCTCTTTGCTAGAAGACCCAAACATATCCAGTCCGGCAAACGTGGACGCTGCCATTTCATTCAAAAAGCATCGCGAGGAATACCGCAAGCGCATATCGGTAGAGGTTGCTAGATCACAGTCGAACATCCCTGAGGGATTTGTGATGCCCAAAGTCGAGGACTTCAAGCACGATCCCAAAGAAGAAGACGAGCGCCAGGAAGACGACGAGTGGTGGGAGGATAATTACTACGAAGGTGAGGACGACTTTGGCGAAGAGGAAGACGACGACGTGATGGATGACGTGGAGGACGACGATTACGACCAATATCCGGACTCAGACGAATAGAGTGGTGTATCTTAGCATAACATTATGTTCCAATAGAAACGAGTTAAATGGTAGATAGTGTATCAACTGTCTTTCACAGCTCCTTTCTCATGTATTCGCTCAATTTTTCCAGCTTTTTGATGGCCAGCACCTTCGGATACTGCAGGTCGCAGCAGAGCATCACCAAGTACTCTTGGTTAATTTTGTACAGATATATCAGATATGAGTTGAACCGTATCACGAGCCAGTCTTGTTCGGGGTCCGGCTTTTCATTCCACAAACGCAGACTGATCAGCGACAGAATGCGAATGTTTTCAGATGGAGCGATGTTGGCGTCGATGTAGTTATCTGAAGACCCGTTGGTTTCCTTTCTGGTTGTGTTCTGGAAGCAAGATACAAGTGGTTGTTTGGTGCTCACAGACAGCAAGGAAATCGAATATGGTTGAAGACTCGTGATCTCCGGAGCCGGTTTCAGCACCTGCGACAGCACGCTCGATATGTTTCTAGAGTTGAGCATGTTATCCGTTGATAGAATATATATTTTATTGGTCTTGCTCAGAAAAACGAACAACTCCTTACACCGCTACTGAAGGGGAAAAAAAAATACACACACGAAATGCGTGTTTCCGTCTTTGTTTATTGAACGTGTATCAAAACAAGTCATTTTTTTCAGTCAGAACGGGAAGATACGCTCAACTGTGATCTTCTGGATTGATACACTGCGAAACTATCCATTGCATACTTTCCCCGGAAAGAAAACGCTTATTTTGAAGTGAAACTCCTGCCATTAATGAATAAACAAGGTTGATTACTAGCCCCAATAACCAGCATTTCAAATTGTATTAGCATCCGCATCCGTGTGTTTCAATAATCAGCATATCCAGATCATGAGCAATCCATCAGATCTACGTGTACCCTCCAAGCGGGTTCCGCTAAAGGAGTCGTCTAAATCCGCGCTCAACTCGAACACAGCACCCAAGAAATCGTTGCTTGATCAAAAACTCGACCTTACTAATCCGTCCCTTGGGGAGTCGATCAAGAGTCTTGCGGCGCCTTCCGTGGCCGCCAAGAAACAGTCCAATAGAATGACCGGCGCAGAGCTCAGAGACTGGCAACAAAGCTGGAGAAAGATCCTCAAGGCCAGTGTTGTTTACTTCGAGAACGACGAAGGGAGAAACGAGAGAGAGAAAGAACGTGCCAAACTGTCTCTACAGTCGCTGGGAGCCTCAATCGAGAGATTCTTTAGTGAAAACGTCACAATTATTGTGTCTCGAAGACCTTACAACAAGAACGCCGAATATCCAATGGGAGATATCTTCCGTATTGCGAAAAGAAACGAACTCAAGGTATGGACGTATGACAAAGTGTTTAGGTTCATGAACCACCTTGGCGAACCAATTCCAGAAGATGAGTCCTCACTCAAGAAGAAATTGTCCTCTTTGCTCAAGAACGAGAAGCTATTTGGTCCGAACGATAGAGACCCAAACGCGAAAAGAGACGACATCAAATACTTTACTGGTTACTACTTTTACGTTTATGATTTACGACAACAGACTAGGCCAATTGTAATCAAGGAGTGGCCTACAAATTCCGTGGATTTCCCAAAACTTACAAAGTCGACCAACGGAAGATCACTGTTCATAGAAGACACCCTCACAGGAAATCTTGAAAAGAGGCACAAAAGACGTCTTCAGTACCTTGAAGAAACAAAAGAATACAGACAAAAAATCATAGAATCATCTCACTTAGCTAACGAGCCTATTTTGACATACGAACAGCGAGCGGAATATAAACGACTATGGGAAGAATCTTACTATGGGAAACCAGCTGAGGAGCCGCAATTGAAGAGAAGAAGACTTGAGGAACTCACTGAGGACGACGGAAACCAGGAGACTGTGCAGGAAATGGCTCCTCCGGCCAAGCTTAATCGCGAAGATTCCACGATGGAGGCCATGCAAAATAAGATAGGCAATGAGTATGGAGAGATTGAGGCGTCTGGAGTTGTTCAAACCCAATCTGGATCGAACTTCCAGTCGGGCCAAGGCTCAGTTAATGGCATTGGCAACGGTCTTGGTCCTTCGCACTCTTTGGTTTTTAATAAAAAGATTGCCAGCGAGAAGAGAAAGATGATGACTTTCTCACCGGTTCAGGCTACAGAAAAGAGAGATGTGTCCATGAAGATGTTCAAGGTGAGAAAGGAGGACAGAATGGTCCGTGTTGTGAACGTGAAGCGGGACTCAAAGTTTATCAGTTCTGAAGAGGCCAAGAAACAGTCTGTTCAAAACAAGGAAAACGAAGATCCTTTGGAACCCAAAACTCCTATAAACAAGGTGAGCATGGAGACTCAGAATGGGCCACTGAGCGACGAGGATTTGAAGCCAATCGACCAGGAGGCCGTTTTCAAGCCGGAGTGCACTCCACGGCCACACGCCGCGCAGAACCGTGGAGAAATTTCGCTTGACAAACTGAAGCTTCCAGAGCACAAGGATTTGGAAGCCACCGCCAGCAAACAGTTCTTCCAGCAGTCACTGCAATCCAAGAAACTGAAAATGAAGGAAGTCTCCAGCATGCCTCCTGTTCGCAAGCCCAAGACAGAGGTGAAACCAGGATACTGTGAGAACTGCCGTGTGAAGTACGACGACTTTGACGAACATATTCTCATGGACAAGCACCGCCATTTTGCGAAGAACGACTCAAATTTCAAAGATATCGATCGTTTGATTGAGGACATCAAGATGACTAGATTAATGGGATTATAAATATTTAATTTAGTTTGAGCTCCTCTTCCCACTGAACACCACACCACTCTTCCACGTATCCGACGTGGTTTTCATCAATGAGATGTTCCGGAACAAAATCCTTTGCGTCTGTTCCGACCATGATGGTTCCCCATTCCATGCCGTTAATGATATCGTCGCTATCTGCTTCCAGATCTATGATGGCCTTTGGCATGAGTTGCAGCTCAAACCGTCTTTCCGAGGATGGGTTGTACGGAGGGTTTGGAATCAGATGCTGCGGACGCAGTCTTCCGTTGGAATCATAGAACAGTTTGGCCACGTCGTCCTTGGACGAATACAGCAGAGGCGAGCCGTTCAGGTCGTATCTGAGGACCTGTGCTGTGTTGTAAGAAACGATATCGGAGAAGTTCTGGAACGTCGGGTCGTCCACGATCTTGGAGATGTTTTCGTCATGTGCTGGGATCTTGGAAGGGTTTGACGCAGACGGCTGTGCTGCTGTTTCTGAGGAGCCTTCCTCGACCTTTGGCAACGGAGGAAGCGACTGGTTCTTTGGGTCCAGTATTTCCTGATCCACGTACAGAATATAACCAGGGTATGAAGGCAGATCGACGGGGTCCTGATGTTTCTTGGGAGCCGGTTTCTGCTCTGGCTTGGCTATCTGTGCGTATGTTGGTTTTTCAGGCTGCAACTGCTGTGGTTTTGCAAACGGGTTGCTGGACTCTGCCGCAAACGGGTTTGCGAACGGGTTCTGGCTGTCTGAAGAAGATGTATTAAATAGAGAATTCGCAATGGATTCGAGCTTTTGCTTATTCTGCTGTTCTTTCTGCTGAGCCTTGTCTTTCTTGTCCTGGATGTCCTGTAGCTCTTTTTCTCTTTGGGCGATGATAGCTGGGTCTTTCGAGACTGCTCTGATAGCTCTGACGGAGCCCTTCTTGCGGCGACACTTGGGGTCGTTACATCCAAATATGTAGATTACCCGATCGTATAAGGTGTCGGCGAGGTTGGCGTAGCATTGGAGCAACAGATGCATTGGCTTGTTGCAGCTTAAACACTGCACTAGCTCGTTTGGAGGAGGAGATTTCGGGTGCAACCAAATCGGCGTGCCGCCAATAAACGTGTCTTCAATTTCTGGCTGCTCTTTGGAAGAGATCGCCACATCCACAAACCCCAAAAACGTCTTGGAGTCGCCGAGTTCGTCCTCAAAGTCGGATTCAGACATCATGGAAAAATTGAAAAAAAATAATTACATGCAATTAATTCCAAAATTCGATCTAATTTCTTATTTTTACTATTTAACAATGTTTACGCCAACAGAATCAATTATCGGGGCCGTGCTGATCCATTTTGCTACAACAAGCTATCTTGTCACAGAGGGCAAAATCATCGGGTTCTCGAGCTGTTTGTACAGCGTGCTGAGCCTCCAAAAGACGTACAACTGGTTTCTGATTGCCGGGCTTCTGGTGGCAGCTGGATTCTCGAAACTGTTTCTGGGCGAGTTCTACGTGGACCAGCCAGAGTTGGGGCTCACCACGTCGATAGTGAGCGGACTGTTGGTTGGATTCGGAACGTCCAAAGGTTGCGGGTGCACGTCGGGCCACATGCTTGGTGGACTAAGCAGATTGCGCTGGAGGAGTTTCGTTGCTACGTGCGTTTTCAGCGCGTCGGCCATAGCAACGGCCACTGTGCTACAGAGAGGACAGCCGTGCGACGGACCCTGCTACAAAACAGTAGACGCTGCGGCAGCGTCTTTCAACAAATCGTACCCGGACTTGGTTCGTGTTCTATTATGCTGTGTGTCTAGTAGTGTTGTTCTCCCGGTCCTGGCTCTGAGGATCAAAAACTCAACAGATAAGACCCTCCTCACAGTCGTCCACGCATTGACATACTTCAACGCCGGGTTCGTGTTTGGACTCGGTTTATTTGTCGCTGGAATGGTGCAACCGTCCAAGGTGCTCGGGTTCCTGTCCATCCTGACCCCTGAGAAGTTCGACCCTTCCTTGCTCATGATTCCGCTCTTCACCATCGTCCCAAACATCATCATCTGGAAACTCCTCGCCCCACAACACCCGCTCGACCAGAAAAAACCATTCCTTTCAAAAGACTTTTCTCTCAACTTTAGCAACGAGACCCCAAAACCGTTCATCTTCGGAAACCTCCTTTTTGGAGTCGGCTGGGGACTTGCCGGGATCTGCCCCGGCCCAGGTATCATGTCCACTGTTCTGAACCCTGCAGTCGGACTGCCGTGGGTTGCAGCGTTCTTTGTTGGATATCGCGCTGCCAAAGCTCCTGTACTTAGTAAGTCTCATAAATAAACGATCTCACCTCGTAATTCTCGTTCGCGTTCTCGATGTCCTCCCAGTTGCCAATAAAGTCGTCTTTGCCTCTGACAATACCAGGCAGAGTCTTGCCCCCACTGTATCTCTTCCAAATCTTTTTGGCTTGCTCGTCAGTACCAAGATCCTTGAATCCAAACTTGACCCTGTTTGCAGTCAAAATTGTCTGCAGACGGTTCGTGCGAGTAGCAATCTGGAATCCACCGGCAAGAGACGTGTAGATATACACGGGCTCGTCCTCAAACGCCATTTTCGTTTCCCGTGGAACGTACACAGATCCAGCCTGAGGTGCGGCCTTAGCCGACTGCTCTTTTTCAGCAGCCTTCAAAAGCTCGTCAATATCATCATCCGATTCCTCGGTGCTTTTGAGGTTCAGCTCCTTGGTCTGCGCAGAAAGCTTTCCCACTGGACTGGCTGCAGAAACTGGCTCTTCTGAAGCTCCCTCAGAATCGCTGACAACTTCCTTTTCGGACGTTGGAACAGCAGACTTTGGCTCACTCTCGGGCTCCTCAGAAGACTCAGAGTCATCATTCTCCGACTCCTTGGTCTCTTCGGCCTCTGCAGGCTCCTCTTCCTTCTGTTCCTCTGGCGCCTCCTCGGATTCTTCTTCAGGCTCCTCAACAGGAGCCTCTTCCTTAACAGGCTCCTTCGACTCCTCCTCATGCTCTCCAGAGACACTCTCGGTGTCAATGTCTTTCTTGGTGAGTTGTATCTGGTCCTCGTCAACCGTGGACTTCTTGCTGGCACTAACGATCTCTGTCTCTGGCGAGGTCTCTGTATTTTCAACCAATGGAATCTCAACAGATTCTTCATCAACTGGGTGGCCTTCATCAGCCTTCACCTCTTTAGCTACTGGCTGGATCTGGTTGGTCTTTTCCTTCAGAACATCTCTGTCTTCGTCCTCCTCCTTCACCTGATCCAAATCATGCGGACTCACGGAACTGTGCAGGTCACTGAGAATGTTCTCCTTCTGTCTGCCAAACTTGCTTCCGTCTTTGACACTTTTCGTATTCTCAACAATGTTCAAAGCATTGCTTATCGCGTCCTCAAGGTCGGCCATCTGCGAGAAATCACCATCATGCATCAACACACCGCCTTGCTTCAGCTCCTCCTGATCCATACCACGGTCTTTTCCAATAGCATCTCTATCGTTGGCAACTCTGGATCTGGATCTGGAAATCGAACGTAAATAGTTCAACGACGACGAGTTCGAAATACGAACAGATCCCGGATCGTGTCTTGGCTTTCTCTCTGTAGCCAGATGCTCCGTGTCCGTGGATCCTACACTGTAGTCGTCATTAGAGACACCACTGTGGTAAGACTCTCCCTTCGCCAAGTGAGGTCTGAACATACCAACTCCTTCTCTGAATGGGGATTCACCATGGCGCTCCGCACGCGAACGCGATCTTGGGTTGTCTCTGAGGAGCTTGGAATTTGAGCCCTCTCTCATACTGGCTGGCGCAGTGAATTCCTGGTCGACGTCTATCGAGTGGTCCGGAACTTCAGGTTCTTTCACGTTTTTCTCCTCCAGCCTGACGTCTGTCGATTCGTCTTCACTGGCCAGATCCTTGCTGCCTTGGTTGATTTTTTCCAGAATGTCGTCGACGGTAGTAATCTTCTGGGGCTCAATTAGCTCGGGCTCCTTCTCTTCAACGGCAGGCGTCTCAACAGCAGGGGATTTGTACTTGAAATCGGACAGATCACTTGAGCTTGCAGCAGCAGGCGCCAAAAACTTTCCTGCATCACCACCAAAGATCTCTGGGTGCTCTTTATCCTCAGCAGGGTCCACTGGCAGATCATGATGAAGATGGCTCTTATGGGTGACCTGCTCTTCTTCCTCGTGCTGGCGCTCTTTGAATTGCAATGCGTCCTCTTTAAAATGACCCTCGTCGTCCAAAATCGAATCCAAAACCTCTCCCTCCTCGTCGTTGATCAAACCGCCTTCAGCCTTTAGATCCTCCACAGAAATAAACCCCAGATGAGAGGTGGAAGGGTTTGATTTAACAACAGGCCGGGAACTAGACCGAGCGCGATCCAGAATGATCGATTCCGGCTCATCCTTGTCCAGGTCTCCACTGGGAGTACTGGAGTTTCTGATAGAGGATCCAATCAAAGAAGGTGTATTTTTCTTCTGGAACCCTTCGAATTCGGTTTCCATGTCCATCTTGACAAGATATGTAGACAATCGTTTAGTTTGACAGGTGTGTTTTTACCAATGGGAAATGACTTTTTTATGATTACACTTTCTAATTTTTGCTACTTATAAAAAGCCAGGTCGATCGACCGGCATTGTTTTTCCCCAACTTTTGTCAATGGACATTCTAGCTTACCAATTTCTGGATTGCGGCCTTGGCCTTCTCCACATTTTGCGGTGATCCACGAACAACAACGTCGTCCGACTGTTGGTCGATTTTCGGAACGTTGACCCGCACATGGTGCTCTAACTCTAAAGCTCTTCTCACTGTACCTCCAGGTCCAATGATTAAACTATGCTTCTTTTTTGGAACAGAAACAGTCTCGCTGGTCACGTTCTCCAAATCGAAAATAATCTTGTTCACCTGCTGTATTATCTTCTCAACAACAACCCTGTTTCCTTGACAAACAATCTTAGTCGAGTTCGATCCAGCAGCAGGAACTTGTAACAGTCTTCTGAAATCAGCCTCGTCGTTTGGTCCGCACGCATTCAAAATGATCTCGGTCTTCTTCGAGGCACCAGGACCAACAAGATGCTTGTGCCATTTGGTATCAACTTCAATGGTCTCTGTCACCTCGTTTTGAATACGATCCACAATCGAATTGATCTTCTTCACAGCTGCTCTGATCGACTCCTTGGTACCAGTAATCTCGAACTCGGCCGTCTCGTCGTTGCTTTTTTCTCTCAAACGCTTGATGTCGGCACCAGTCTCGATAGACAGGTCTTTCACCTGTTCGCCAGACTTTCCAATCAACCGTGGCAGAATACTGTTTGGAATCTTCAAGGTCTCACGGAAACCATTGTCCTTTTCGTATTGCCAAAGCTCCCGCAATTCTTCCTCAGCTTTGGAGACACCCTTCGAAGGACCTGTAATGACAACCTCGTCCTGGTGACCCGTGGCATTCTCGAATGGGAACTTGATGTTGACGTTGTACTTCTTGTTGAGTCTGTGGACGTAAACTCCAGAAGGTCCGATGAGTTTACGGTGGTATTTCTTCTCAATCTTCAAAACAACAGTCTTTTCGTCCACCCATTTCTTTGCAAGCTGGCTCAGTTTCTTTTCACACTCGTCGACATTGCTCTTCAATCCTGTCAGCTTGACTTGAGTCTTATCGCCAACAGCGGCATCTTCACCTTTGAAGACGTCGATCTTGATATTGAACTGGTCTTGCAAGCCTTGAAGATGTCCTCCCTTTTGACCAATAAGTCTAGAGAGTTGGCTGGTTGGGAACTCAATTGTGTGGTTGTACTTGGAGGCAGTCTCGTAGTTCTTGATTTCGTCAATTGCTTGTTTCAACTCGTCAACAACCTTGGAGATCTCGTTCTTGTAGCCAACAACAAGGAGCTCATCAGCACTGGATTCCTCACTGTTCTGGTGAAGTTTGATATTAATGGAGGACCCATATTTTGAAAGAATGACGTTCAAACTGTTTGCTGCCAAAAGCTCTTGGTCGGCTGAAGCCATTGGCAAAACCTGGTGAGACAGGTCCTGACTGAGAGTTCTCAAGTTGTCTAAAGAGTGGTCCACAGCATCCAAGGTTTCATTAGTTTCTTTCAAAGAAGGTAAGAACTCTTCATCACTTGGTTGGTATAGAAGAATGATTTTGTTGGTAAGTCCGGCAAGTTTTCCAAGTGGAACAATCTTGACGTTTTTCTCGTCGGCAACAGTGGTATCCAAGCTGTCCAAGACAAAAGAGTCGATATCGGTGACAACACGAACGAACGAAGGAGTTGTTTTATTCACCATCTCGACAATCTCTCTTCTGACAGACTTCAAAGAGTCTTTGGCATCCTTGTGACACACAAACTCGAGGTTGACGCTCTTCTGAGTATCATCAGCAAGAGAAGCATAAGTTGGGGCCTTGATCTTGACATCTGTTTTAGAGGACAGAGAGTCAAATAATCCAGTATAGATAAAAAATGCAGTCAATGCTTTGGCATGCAGATAGTTTCCGCCATGTGATCTGGCCAAATCTAGAGAGTCGATAGCATAATCTTGAGAAAGCTGCTTACCGAAGCTGATGGCCTTTGGAATGTTATCTTTGAGACCAATAAATTTGACAACTGTGGTCGAAGAGTCTTCCGCCGGAACGTCCACCAACACGCCCGTGTTGCTGAAGATCTTGTCCTTGTCCAGGAACTGGTGAATAGATTTCGGAACCGTGCGTTCCTCAGTGACAATTCTTGTTCCCAGGAAATTAATGATCGTGTTTGCAGCATCTTTGGCCTCAAGAACGGATTCTCTTGGTCCGGACAAGTACAATGCAGATGACTTGGAATCTTCGAGTGGCAGATCGACTTCCACGTCCAAAGGCAGCTGTTGTTTCAACTCCAAGTTGACGAATCGTTTCAGAGTCTCGCTGACCGGAACTTTCACGGTCAGGTTTTGGGTATGTTCGTTGACTATGGCCATGATCTTTTGTTGGGCTTGTTTGCAGCTGTCCAAGTCACCTTCGATAACCACTGTGCTCAAGTTTCCAAAGATGTCGTCGTCATCTGACGACTCGTTGTTGCCTGTTCGTGCAATGTCTATCTTCACTCCTGTCGATTCCAAGATTGGCTTCAAAGTTCTTCCCTGTGACCCAATCACAGTTGATATAAGCTTGAACGGTATGCCGAACTCGATCTTGACGGGTTTTGTAAGCTGCTTGATTAGGTCTTTTTTAGCCTTCTGGATCGTGGAAGCGGGTCCAGATAAAAGGAACGTTCTTTTGTTGGTAGCGGCGGAGAATGTTGACTCAACCTTCACATCGTAGGATGATTTGATCTTGGAGATGATCTTAAACATATCGTTTTTAGAGACAGGCAGCTGCTCCGCAGCGTCCACAATGAACGTCAATTGGGTGGTGGATGACTTGACTGCCGGCTTAAAAGACGACTGGGTGATTGGCCCCGATTTGCGTCCATTCGACAGAAAAGGCCCCCATTTCCCCGGAGTGGCTCCAACAGACACGCCCAAGGCCGGGAAAAACGTCTCGTCGTCAATGGAGATCTTCTTCATGGCTCCGTTGGGTGCGGAATCTTCGTCGGTGTCGAACTCCTGCGTCGAAGGTTCAGACGGAGCGGACGACGGAGCGGAAGATTCGGTGGCCGAAACTATGGGAGTCTCTGGCTCCTCGGAAAATGCACTGTGTTTTTGCGCAAGCAATTCTGCTGGGGTCGGCATTGTCGCAGAAAATGTGATTTTTCGGAACAAGCTCCGTGATCTTTACGAAGCTCTTGTTCGGTGAAATATATCGAAAAAATAATAAAAGAGGGTAACACATGGGCTGATCTTTTTTCCGTGTTAGTGGTAGCTATAAAGTAAAAAGACCAGTCCGTTTCTTTCCCAATGGGTAAACGACCAATGTGGCCATAAATAGTCCGATACTAATTCCCAATGCAACCTGGATCATAACCATACCAAAACTGATGGACGATGTAGACGAATCGGTAGACGATGAGGTTCCATTCACCAGATTATTAGCACTGTCAACTCCAACAAGTAGAGATCCCTGCGAGGCGATTCCCGACGGCACTTGCACAAACACGGCAGGCAGCATGATCGACACCGTCATAAACGATCCTTTGGAAAAAATCTTGTTGAACGACTTGAGTAAACGGGTGTATGCGTTACTGACGAGCCCAATAATGAAGCATCCCAATGTAGCGTTGAATTCGGTTTGTAACTTGAAATGTAGACCTGAAAAGTACGTCACCACGTATCCAGACCCGGAGATAAACACCATGATCGGCAATTGGCTCCATGACGACTGGTTAATCAGTGCAAGACCGATGGTGAATAGCGGAACCAGCAGAATTCTCCATGCAGGCTGGACATTGGACGTGCAACTGGTATGGGAAACAGCCCCACGGTCGATCCATCCGTACAATGCTGCACCCAACGTGATTCCAAACGACATCATCAATGAGTAGATGAATGCGTAAAACATCCGAACACTGCCTGCCACCAAATTTCTGCTCTGCAGCTCCAACGAGCCACAGAGAATAATGTAGCCGGGGAGAATCAGTGCCAGCGAGCCTTGAACGATGGCCGCAAAGCAGAAAGTGTCACCGCCGTTGATCGATCCAATTGCCCGGCCAATGAAACTGGCCACGATACAGGAACTCACCTCGAACACCGAAGAGTACAGCACAGATCTCGGACTGATGAAGAATTGCAAAAAGCCAATCAGCAGACCAATTCCAAATGAGATCGGCATATCGATCCACGAGCCCCCGAATCCCCACGGAGTAACCATGGCCGACGAGAACGCGTACAGAAGCACACATATCCATTTGTTGAACCTTGGCTTTCTTCCAAGGATCTCGTCCAAATTTCCGCTTGCTTCCTCAACGCCAATACGGTCGTGCACAACGGCCTTGTAGATATCGTGGGTCTCATCCAGCTTTCCCAGGTCAAGTCCCTGAGCACACCGAACAAGCTTCATATCGGATGTGTGCGTTGCGGCATCACCGAACGACACAATCATACATCCTGGGAAATAGATGAACGAGCCATCTATCTCGAGAACACGCGCCGTCATCGACATGTACTCCTCCAACCGGTGTGTTGGTGCCCCATATAACATAAAGGCCTTGCAAAGAGTCAGAATAAACCGCTGCCGCTGCAAAACATCGGCAATGTGAACAGTGATCCGTGCTCTCTGCTCGCTCTTGAACTTTCTCTTGAGCTTCTTGCGCTTCTGCGACTTGAAGTTGCTTTCGAAACCGGCCATCATATGGGCCTTCTTCTTCTCCTGCTGTTTAGGTTTCGCAAACGAGGGCATATCGATTCTATCCCCGTTAGCCTGTTTCGGCTCTTCTTTCTTCGACCCTTTAAACATGTGAGACAACGATGAGGCGGATCTGGATCCTCGTTTGTGTTTGTGTAGAAAGTTGTCGCCAAATCCTTTGGGCCGCAGAGACTCTGTTGGAAGCGAGCTCATCGACGGACTGCTCAAACTGTAAGTATCGTCTGTCTGGACTTTTCTGAGCTTGTTCTCAAGACCGTCCAGACTCAACCGCGTCTCCATATCAGAGTACTCGCTTCTTGGTGTCTGTGCTCCTGAATGTTCCGACGGCGCATAGGCTGATGAGTTGTGAGGGTTGTACAATGCTAGTAAACTGGAAACAACACCTTTTCTCACCCGACGTGGACGATCGACAATCGACTCTGCCGGGTCGAACTGAGCGTAATCGTCGTTGTTGAGGTCGTCAAAGTCGCCAATAACGATCTCCGGATTAGGGGCCATGAACACCCCGCTATTGTTTGGATGCAAAGTGGACGCGGACGATAGGTACTCCTCGCGACCGTCCCTGAAATGCTGGTTGACCAGACCGTTTGCCTCGAACTTGAGCTGGTCTGCATCGAATGTCTTTAGTGGGATATCGTTGCCTATTTTCTCCTCCTCGTCTTCTTCACGTTCCGGCGACGATCTCGTGGCTCCGGGAGTCAACCCCCCTCCCATCTGAGGACCATGTCCACCAAAGATACGCGAGATCAACGTGTCTGTACGTTTCCGGCGCGGCGAGCCTTTCTGGGATTGATCGTCTGTGGGATTCAGAGAAATGCTTCTCTTGATGCGCGTTTTCGACGAAGTGGGAGAGCCCTGGGCTCGCGAAGGAGGAGCTTGCTCTGACTCTTCCTGGGACGAGAGATCTTCATCCGTAGAGACGTCTTCAGACGAGTCCTCGTCAAATGCAACTGTGGGGGGATTCTTGGGACGCTGGACAGGCGTGGGCGACTGGATATCCTTTGTATCGCGGTAAAAGTCCTGGTCAAAATCTTCATCTATCTCTCTTCGAAGATCGTCTGGTTCCGATTTACCTGAGTCCGGCGACTTATCTTTAGGCGAAACCACTGGGGGATTATTGAATGTTGGAAACAAAGGCCCAACGTCCTCGTTTTCTGTTTCATCATCCTCTAATATGGGCATGTCATTCATGGGGGTGCCTACATATTGGCCTCTGTGTTCTTCAGAAATGCTTCTAGCAGAGCCCGATTTGCTCTGTTTCTTGGATTTTCCAAATGAGGGCAACATGATTAGTACAAATGCAATGAGCTAGAACGCAGATTATATCAAAATTGAGCAAACTTAACAGTTCTTCATCCCCTGAGAATCAAATAAATTATTTTTATCCGTTTCCTTAGTTCGCTTAGGAACGCGCAATCCTACACCGCCTCGAATCAAACATATAAATCAACTTATTAGCAATATACAGGAAGATATGAATAAAGAAGAGCCCCCAAACTGTTGAACCATTAATCATTAAGTGCACCAGAAAACATTTCTATCATATAAGGCCAAACAATGACAAAATGCTAATAAATGAATTGAATGTACAACGATCACAAACTTTGTTGATAATCAAAAATCGGTCCAGCGCACAAATGAATAGTATATCGAATTTTTCCCGCTTTGTGGAATGTGAATAAAGGACCATGAGAAATGTTGTCCCTTGAAGTTGTCTAATTTTCTGTATTCTTTTTAGATTTTCTTCACAAAGCAATCGGACTAAATAAAATCAGACATACCTGTGTTTCTCGTCTCCTGCTTTTATTTTCTCATCCTCCTTTATAAACTTACCACCATTGAGATGATGAAGATGATGCCGATGCAGCGGAGCTACCGTAGTTGTTGTATCCTCCTCCGCTTCCATAACTGTTGTTGTATCCCCCTCCGTAATTTGATCTGCCTCCGTAACCGTTACCGTAGCCACCGGAGCTTCCTCCGCCGCCGTACTTTCTGAAGTCTCTGGTTTGGTTTCTTCCACCTCTTCCACGGCCTCTGCCCATAGAGTTCTCTCTGGCAATGACAGTCAAGAAGTCTGGAACCTCTTGGTTGGCCTCGCTCAAGATCTCAATAAGATCCTTCACAACATTCTTGTTACCTCTGTTGACGAATGCAGTAGCAACACCAGTGTTTCCTGCTCTTCCAGTTCTACCAATACGGTGAACGTAGTCGTCAATGTCATTTGGCAAATCGTAATTGATGACGTGGGTCACGTTTGGAATGTCCAAACCTCTGGCAGCAACAGCAGTGGCAACCAAAATCGGCGTTCTTCCGCTTCTGAAGCTCTCCAAAGCTCTCTCTCTCTCGTATTGGGATCTGTCACCGTGAATCGAGGTAGCAGGGAAGTCCTGGTTGATCAAGAAGTCAGACAAGATGTCAGCCATCTTCTTGGTTTCGACGAAAATCAGAGTCAGTCCGTTGGACATAGTTTCTTCAGTAGCTGTGAGGATATCAAGCAAACTAGACTTCTTTTCGTCATCTTCAACGTAGAGAATTCTCTGAGTGATGTTCTCGGAAGTAGATCCAACTCTACCCACCGACAAGAAGATATAGTTGTGCAAAAAGTCCTTGGCCATCATTTGAATTTCCTTAGGGAAGGTGGCAGAGAACATCAATGTTTGTCTTTCAGCTGGAGGTGGCATGTCACAACCTTGGATGATGTTTCTGATCTGGATCTCGAATCCCATGTCCAACATTCTGTCGGCCTCATCGAGAACAAGATATTTGATGTTTTTGAGAGATATTTTGCCTCTCTCCAAAAGATCGTTCAATCTTCCTGGAGTGGCGACTAAAAGATCACAACCTTGTTTAAGTTGTTCCATCTGGGCGTACACCTCGGAACCACCGTAAACAACAACTGGTCTGACCCAGGATCTGTAGGCGAATTTTCTGGCCTCCTCGTAAATTTGAGAGACCAACTCTCTTGTTGGGGCAAGAACCAAGGCGGTTGGATGAGCCTTTCTTCTATCGAAGGTGTTCTCTGCTTGAGAGTTTTGCACAGGACCGTGTTTGTAAGACTCGGACAAGACAGGGAACAAGAATCCACCAGTCTTACCGGAACCGGTCTGAGCACAGGCCATCAAATCTCTACCATTTGCCACAATAGGAACGGAATATTTTTGAACTGGGGTTGGCTTGTTGAATCTTGCCAGCTTGATATTTTCAACTAACAGTGGATCCAATGGAGGCGAAGTGAACTCGGAAATTGGCTCAGGAACATCCTCTCCAGAAGCCTCAACTGGGATCTCATCGTAGTTGTCGAAGTTGATACCGGAAGATTGGAATTGCGCGTCACCTGGCTTGCCATAAAGTTCCAACTCAAGCCTCTCATTGTGTTCTGCTGGCTTGTGTTCACCGTCAGTCCACGAACCCAGACCTGGTTGGAATCTAGAACCGTGTCCTCCTCTACCTCCTCTGTGGGAATCGTTGCCTCTGCCGAAACCTGAGCCTCCAAATGCTCTGTTTCCTCCTCCTGAGCCTCTATTGAAGCCTCCTCTCGATGAAAATCCTCCTCTTCCTGAGAAACCGCCTCTGCTGGACGAATTTCCCGTGTCTCTTGGAACGTAATCTCCTCTTGATCTGTGTGGCGGGACGTATGCCATGTTTAATTTATCTATAAAGAAATTTATTAGTCTTGTGGGAACACTAACCTTTTTATTCTTTTAGGTCTCACGTTGCTTTTCGCTAGCGAAGGAAAAAAAAATTTTCACTAGGGATACTGAAAAAAACGGGTGGAAAAACCAGATATGAGTTACCCGGCTGTGTTCGGTGATTTACTCAAGTTTGAAGGAAGATGATATCACTAGTGTATAACAACTATCTATACAATTAGTTCTCAAGGTCCTTCTTGAGGGTGCCCAAGAAAGCGTGCTTCTCAGCTGGGGTCTGGAATCTACCCTTACCGAACTTGGAAGCAGTGTCAATCCACTTGAGGTTGACGGCCTCCAAAGCTCTTCTGTTGGTTGGGTTGTAAAGAGACTTTCTCAAAGTGATAACTCTCTTAACTGGACCTGGAATGGAACCCTTCAACAACAAGAAATCGTTGTTGACAGCACCGTATCTGACGAAACCACCCATTGGGGTGATGGTCTTCTTGGATCTGTCGAACTCGGTGGATCCAGAACCTTCGTCACCGGCCTTTCCAACTCTGTAAACCTTGTGGTTAATAGAGGTTCTGTGGTGGTAACCTCTTTGACCAGCTCTGGCAACAGTCCATTGGACGTGGGATGGATGCCAAGCACCAATACAAGCAACCTTTCTGGTACCTCTGTGGGTCTTTCTTGGAAGCTTCTTGGTACCCCATCTGTGAGTAACACCCTCGAAACCGTGACCCTTGGTAACGGCAATGACGTCGATCATCTCGTTTTGCTCAAAGACAGAGTCAACAGAGACGGTCTTCTCGAAGTGCTCCTTAGCCCAGTTAACCTTGTCGGAAACAGAACCACCGTTGATTTGAATCTCAGCCAAGTGAGCCTTCTTTTGGGACAATGGGGTCTTTCTGATTTGGGTGTGGACAAGAACTCTCACAACGGAACAGTACTTGGTGATTCTAGCAAGCTCCTTCTCGATCTCAGTAGCGTTGTTAGCGTACTTCTCGGAGTATTTGGTGAAAGCTCTCTTCTTAGACTTGTACCAGTTCTTGTAGAATCTTCTCTTGATTTCGTCAGAAAGGTGCTCAGCCCAGACGGTGGTCAAGGATCTAAGACCTCTTGGGGTCTCGACGTAACCAACAACACCGACAACAACAAGCTCTGGAGTGTCGACGACGGTAGCAGCCTCGACGATCTCTCTCTTGTGCATCTTAGAACCTGGTCTGTCCAAGTCTCTGACGATGGTGGTCATACCAGCCTTGTAACCAAGGAAAGCAGTCAAAGCAACTGGCTTAGACTTGACATCCTTAGGGAAAGCCTTACATCTACCTCTTTGCTTGACAGCTCTCTTTCTTGGGAGGAAACCCAGGGATCCGTGTCTTGGTTCTTCGTACTTTCTGTGCGACATTGTATTAGTGAAAAGTTAATGGGGAGAAAATTTTTGTTCGAGCTTGTGAAAAATTTGGGTGAAAAAAAAAAAGAGTGGTGGTGTTTGACCGGGTAACTTGGACCGGTTGGGAGCCATCGTTAAATTTCTGATTTTTCTGGTCAGCGTTCCCAATTTGGCAACGCGGTAATTGCACAAAAAATTTTCACGATCTCTACCAAACTTGACTGACTCACCATGTTTAGAAGCTTTACCAAGTTGGCCTCGCCAATGGCCAGATGGACGTCGATCAGAATGTCGTCTACCAAGACGCTTGACCGGGCCACGTTGACAATCAGAGATGGTCCTATTTTCAGTGGCTACTCTTTTGGAGCAGACAAAAATGTCAGTGGAGAAGCAGTTTTCACCACCTCTTTGGTTGGATATCCTGAATCAATGACTGATCCTTCGTATAGAGGACAGATCTTGGTGTTCACACAGCCTCTGATTGGTAACTATGGTGTCCCATCCGGAACTGCCAGAGATGAGTTCAACCTCCTCAAGTACTTCGAGTCGCCTCACATCCAGTGTATTGGAATTGTTGTTAGTGACGTTGCTTTGCAATACTCCCATTGGACTGCTGTTGAAAGTTTGAGTCAATGGTGTAAGCGTGAAGGAGTGGCAGCTATCACTGGTGTCGATACCAGAGAGCTGGTTTCGTATTTGAGAGAACAGGGTTCGAGTCTGGCCAAGCTGAGTATTGGCGAGACCTATGACGCAGATGAAGACGCTGCGTTTGACGATCCAAGTGCTGTCAACCTTGTGCACAAGGTGACAACCAAAGCTCCTTTCCATGTTTCTTCTCCTAACGCTAAATACCATGTTGCTGTTCTTGATTGCGGTGTCAAGGAAAATATCTTGCGGTCTCTGGTGTCTCGTGGAGCATCCATCACCGTTTTGCCTTATAACTACCCTGTGCAGAACATTGCCGACAAGTTCGACGGAGTTTTCATCTCGAACGGACCGGGAGACCCTACTCACTGCTCTGCTACCGTGGAAAACCTGAGACAGACTATGGACAAGTACCCAGAGCTTCCTATCTTTGGAATCTGTCTGGGTCACCAGCTGCTGGCTCTGGCCTCTGGTGCCAAGACCATCAAGCTCAAGTACGGAAACAGAGCACACAACATCCCAGCTTTGGACCTGGTCTCTGGAAAATGTCACATCACCTCCCAAAACCACGGATACGCAGTTGATGCCACCACATTGCACCCAGACTTCAAAGAGTACTTCATCAACCTGAACGATCTGTCCAACGAGGGAATGATCCACAAAACAAGACCGATTTTCTCTACACAGTTCCACCCAGAAGCCAAGGGTGGTCCATTGGACTCGTCCTACTTATTTGACAACTACTTTGAACTTCTCAAGGAGTACAAGAAGTCCACCAACAAATTGAACCCGGACGATTTGCTGATCGATATTTTGCCAAAAGAGCGGGTGATATGATTCAGCACATTAAATCGACACTTTTAATGAAGACGTATAGAAAATAGTCATTGTACACGTAATTTCATTGGTAACTAAAGGTTTTTAGCCAAGCTTTTTTTTTCCACACTTATAATGCACGTTCTTTTAACTAATGACGACGGTGCTCCCCACGACACCGCAAGTCCGTACGTGAAGTACCTGGTGGAAGCCATCGAGAAGCACACTAACTGGGACCTTACCATCTGTGTGCCCTCGATGCAAAAATCGTGGATCGGTAAGGCCCATTTTGCAGGTAAGACCATCACCGCTTCGTACGTTTACTCCGCAATCAACAAGCCAGAGGACAACTCGTTCCACGGCCCATTTGGAAGTCCAAATCCAGACTATGCAAACAACCCAGAATACAAGGAATGGTGTCTTCTGGATGGAACCCCTGCCACCTGCGCTGACATCGGAGTAAACTACATTGCAAAGAAACCGGTCGATCTCGTGATCAGCGGCCCGAACGTGGGAAGAAACTCCTCCGCATTGTACTCGCTTTCCAGTGGAACTATCGGCGGCGCAATGGAAGGTTTCCAGCACGGTAAAAAGTCTATCGCTATCTCCTACGCTTACGACACTGAATCTGCAAGTACTCCTGACAGACTGACAGAAGCCTCGTTGATTGCTGTCAAGCTTGTGGAAAAGCTTCTGAGTGTGTGGGACAAGCGGATCGACCTCTACACCGTCAATATTCCATTGACGGAAGAACTGAAGCTTGGATCCACCAAATGTGTGTTTGCCCCACTTTTGGAGAACAAGTGGACCAGATCGCTTTATACCCCGTCCAGCCATACTGAACAGAAGGAGTCACAGGATATCGTTGACCAGACCGTCACTCAGGGCCAGACGTTCCAATGGACTCCTGATTTCAACTCTGTTCACAAAAATCTGGGACCAGAAGACGTTCTGACCGACGCCAGGGCCCTGAAAAAGGGTTACATCAGCGTCACAGGACTGCGGGCCGCATTCGAAACTGTTCCTGAACTGAACTCGGGAGAGATAGATTTGAAGTAAGTTTTATTGTGTTGTTTTCTAACGTATAGCAATACAGTGGAAAGTAGCTCTAGCTCTGTATTCATTGGCTATCCGGCCTCTGCGTATGTCTACGAGCCATTGACAAAGTCTGTGAAGAACCATCTGGAAGATATTGAGTCTAGCAAACAGTTTGTATTTGCAGAGTACGAGGACTTGGACCACGAGAGAATGATGACGGATCCGAATTATATGGCCAATTCCTATATCTATCGAAAAGCACTGATCCGCAAACATTATCTGGCCAATACAATTGCAATGTACACTGCCAAGAACCCAGATAGTGTCCTCAAGAAAGCATTTCCGGAATCGTTTCAGTTGGAGCTGGATTATGCCGAGTTTCTAGACGACTCTTTAGACGAAAGCTACGATCTTCGACAAGAGCTCGAGGCCAACGAGTCAGAACTTCCCAACACGTACATCCTGAAACCAAGCATGAGCGACAAAGGTCAGGGTATCCGTGTTTTTCAGACCATTGACCAGTTGCAGGAGATCTTCAACTCTTTTGAAGAGTCCGAGGAAAACGAGGACGAAAACGCAGTCATTACGTCGCAGCTTCGGCATTTCATCGTTCAACGGTACATTGCTAATCCACTTCTGCTTAAAGAATACGAAAACAGAAAGTTTCACATCCGCACCTACGTGCTATGTGTGGGAAAACTAAAGGTGTTTGTCTACCAACGAATGCTTATGCTCTTCAGCGAACATCCTTACCATAATGACTATACTAATATCGAAGGTCATTTAACTAATACATGTCTCCAGGGAGATACCGACAAGTTGGTGGTTGTGGAACTGGCAGCAAGCGTTCTTCCAGAGGCGTCAAAAATTACAATTCGTGAGTCTATAAATTCGATTGTGAGCGAGCTATTCAAAGCTGCTTCCAACGAAAAAATCAACTTCCAACCATTACCCAATTGTTTCGAGATATTTGGTGTGGACTTCGTCGTGGATGACCAGCTAAACGTCAGTTTGCTCGAGGTGAACTCGTATCCCGACTTCAAGCAGACGGGAGATGATCTAAAGGGTCTGGTCGACGAGCTCCTGGACGGAGTTGTACAGAAAGCAGTGTCGCCGTTCTATGGCAAACAACCGGGAGACGTTGCCAATTTGGAGAAAGTGTTGGAACTCAACTGATCATTCCTCACTTTCCTCGCTCTCCTCGTAGTTTTCCTCGGCCATCTCTTTGCTCCACTTGTGGATATTATTCTTAATTCTGTTGGCCCTAATAAATCCATTGCGTATAGTTGTCAGAGACCTGATGAATTCCTCGTTTCTTTGCAGCGCTATCTGAATTAATTGGCGTGACTCTTCCGCGTCCTCGACTTTGCTGATTCCGAAATTGAAATCCCGTTTGTACGTAGGAAGCTGTAGAAATGGGTCCTTGATAAAGGCGTTCATCTTGTTCACATCCTGAGCCTCTCCGTTGGTATTCTCTGTCTCGTCCTCTTCTTGCGTGGCGTCCATGTCCTTGGCGGTGCCGTTTTCGTCTGTAGTTGCAAGTTGCTTGTCCAAGTCCAGATTATGGTCGTACGGTGGAAGCTTCAGGTTGTCGGCAAGCAGATCTTCCGGACAATCGCCAAGAAACACGCTCATCAGCTTGCTGAGCTGGATCACGTTGTCCTGCTCTTTTTCTATGAGACGAATCGTTTCCTCAGCGAGATCCTCCAGGTGCGTGCTTTTGTATATGTCGTTCAGACTCTTGCGCTGGGCAATGTCTGCGGGGTGTGTGATTGGAGCCAAGATCCCCGCCACATCGACAGAATCAAATAGCCCGTTCACGGAATCGAAGTCTGTTCTGTAGTTCTCCTCTTCGTCAACCTGGCCGAATTCCTCGTCAAGTTGGCGTTGGATGATATCGTCGACCGACTGAGTCTTGCTCCGTATCACAAGTCGCGCTCTTTTCTCACCGGTTTCTGGGTCCAGCTCGTCAACATTCACGAGACCCAAATCGTCTCTATGCGCATTCAATCTGGTGTAGTCAACTCCTTCTGAACTGTACAGAAGCTTGTTTCCCCTATTGGAGTAAATAGACACGTCTCCGTCCGGAGCCCCAAGAATCGAGTCCTTGGACGTAAATTCCGGTGAGTTCAGAACAGCAAGCTTGAATCGAAGCAGGTCCTGTTGAATCGCAACGCTGTTCTTCATGAATGGTGGGATGGTACTATACAAATTAAGAAAAAATATGAATTCCCGGCAGCCTTTAATTTGTCGCGAAAATATGATTAGGTAACCAAATATAAATATACTAGATACTAGGACTTTGGTCCATAGTATCTATTTAGTTTGGTGATGTTACAGAGTCTGGCTGTTCGCGAACCACAATTGTCTCGCAGTCCTGGGTGTCGTCTTCTGTTCCAGACATGCTTGTTCCTTCCTTTTTCTCGATTGGGGTCACATACGTGATGTTCTTCAGCTTGCTGATAAGATGAGCAGCTTGTTGGCTCTGTTTCGACAGATTCCATGTTTCTGCTTTGTCGAGGTTGTCGTTGCAAAACCGGATAATCTTGTTGATCATATCGAGACTCTCCTGAGCTAGAATCAGGACCTTGCCGTTGTGATCGTTGAGAATCTGGTCGCGAATAGACTTCTTGAACCAGTTGTTAGGCTGTTGATTGTTCTGCGACGTCTTGTTGCGGTATTTGAACAAATTGGCAAGCAGTTGCTGTGTGAGTGACTTAGAAGTGCGTTTTGGATTCTCCTTTGTCTGGTCGGGATACTCCACCGAGTCCTCGTAAATGGACTGTGTCTCTGCGTCAGAGTCAATTTCATCATCTGTTTCAGACATGTTTTGCTCCAGAGACATGGCCCAGTTAGCAGGAAGTTTCAAGAGCATCTCGCGCACGTTCGACCTGGCCGGCTCGGGCAGCGAGTTCGCAGACACCTTCGAAACAACGTTCACAATCTTCTTTACAGTGCCCACGATATCGTGCTTGAGCTGGTGAACAAACTCGTCAAACTCTGGGTTCGACATGCGGTCTTTTTCGTTGATAAGGCTCGCCAACGAAACTGTGCTGCTCGCCGTGGTAGATGGAGGCAGCGACGGAGCAGGAGTAGGCACAGAATTCTCCTCAGGACTGGCAGAACGCGCGCTCTTCTTCTCCTGTTCGGCACTCAGTGCATTAAGTAGGTTTTCAATACGTTCGCTCAGCTGCGTATTGCCAATCTTTAGAAAGTTGATCAGCATAGTCAGTCGCCGACGACTTTCAATGTTGAGATTCAGAACACTCAGCTCAGTCAGATCCTGTAAACCTTTCTGTGTGGAGATGGCCGACGAGATGGTCACCTGCTGGCGTAAATTGGAGTTCGCTCGAGCAAATCGGGGTTGAGTTGGCGGTGGTAGTCTGTTGCTCAGCTGAGATCCAGATGCAGATTTTTCAAGTCTCGGTCTTTTGTGTAATGTTCCTGTTTCTGTTTGAGTTTTCTCGTCAGAGACCTCATCTGAGCTCTGTTCGTACCTGGCCCGTTTCGTTTTCTCGTCTGCCAACAACACTATGTTGCTGGAAGTGTTGATGGTTTTTTCCAGCATGTAGTTGATGGGGTTTGAGATCAGAGGATGAGAAGCCATTTTGTCCAAGATTGTGGTCTTTGGCTGCTCAGAACCGTTCTTGAGTGCTCCAAGCGCCTCGGCAGCGATCAAAAGCTCAGGGGATCTGGTGTCGTCAGACTCATCTTCCTTATCAATTAATTCCCCGATTTTCAACGGCCTCGACCGCAAATGTGAACTATCATCAGACATGAAGAGAATTGAATAACTTAAAAGACTTTGTAAAGAACAAGTCTGAGTATTAATGAGCCTATGTGACTCTCAAGAAACTGGGGTAAATGATAATCAGCTAGTAATAACTTACCACCTAAAGAGTTTTCTTTTTTTTGTTGAGCGACGCGTCGATCGACCGATAAAGTGTGGAGAGAGCATATGAAACTAGTTAGCAATCGATCAAAATAACTACCTAATACGGATCTACACATGGTTTGCGGGAAAGGATTCCTTATTTGGGAATCATGAATGTGATTTTGTGTCGATATGTTGGGGAAAGCAGCTAATGAATAGGGGCACAGATGACCTATTGGTTGCTGTATTGACGGCTGCCTTGAACGGAGTGTCAATTTTGGGAAACCGATCAACCATATTTCGCGCATGTGACTTTCGCGTTTGGAAACTAGCTCTTGTGATAATGGCGACTCTTGACTTCAAGTTCTGCAGACCATTCGTCGATCTGATCCACCAGAACTGCAAGTTTCTGTACACGAGCCTCCAACGTGTCCAATTGGGGCTTGCTTCTATGTAACTCGCGGTCCAGAGCGCTGATATGAGCAGTGTCTGTCTCGAGACCGTCCAGGTACGTCTCTATTTCCTTGTACTTCAAAATCGCCGAATTATTGAGCGATTCCATCAGATTTAGTTGTGCTAATGTCGACTGCGTGTCAATCTCCAAAATGCGGCGCAAACATTCGTAGGAAGTTCGTATCAGCGTTCGCGAGTCGTTCGAACTGCTCATTCTATCGATAACTAATTGCACTAAAATACACAGCCCAATTACTCTATATTCGGAGAAACACCATGAGCTGCACAGCCCGGAAAAGTTTGGAAGCAGGCCAGCTAACCGCCAGAATTAACGGGCCACGAGGTTGGGTACAGCGGTTAGCAAACCGATAAATACGTTGGAATCGCCCGTTGGAGGATACTCAGACAATTTTAATCCCAATTTACGATGGTCAGAATCAACGCTTTGTGCTCCAATAAATACTGGGCTCTCTATGCCCTTGCGGCCCATATGGCTCAAACAGCCACAGTCAACGCAGTTTCCGTCCAATACCGGGCGCAGTCACTTGTTCCACAGATTGCGGGTGCCGAAGAGGGGCAGCACGCTTTCGTTCCGGCGCAAAGCGTGCTCTCGAAACGCGAAACAGAGCAGGAACTTGAGGTGGAGGCCGAGGAGTTCGAGGAAGAGGAAGTTGCCACCGAGGAGTACGTTGATGAGGAAGACATTGAGACTGTGAGTGAGTCTGTTGAGGCTCCAGAAGCCGAGGCGCTCGAGCAAGAAGAAGAGGCCGCATCCTCGGGTTCTAGCACGGAAGACGTTAAGGACATGATCGACTTGTATGTTACCATGGGGAAGGAGAAGTTTGCAGGGTTCCTTGCCACCTGTTCGCCAAACCACTTTAGAGAGGCGGTCAAGGCGTTGACCGCCGATGCCACGTCGAAAAAGGAGGTTGGTAGCATGGGACGTTTGAGTAGATTTTTGGAGACTACCGACGATTACCTCAAACACAACGCTGCCACCGATCTGTTCAGAAACACCTTCAAAGGTAAAGAGGACGTTGAGAAATTCAGACAATTAGAGAAAGCCGACAGCTACTGTGCGATGAACGAGGAGGAGTGCAACGAGGAGATCCAGTTCCAGCAACAGAACGTTGAGAACTCATCGTTTGCTAACGAGTACAAGTCGCAAGCCAGAAGAAGATCCAAGTTGATCCAACTGCTGTTGAAAGACGCTGAAGAAGGAAAAGATATGCCGGTGACCGCTGCCGAATTCCAATATAGAGAAGGAAACATCTTCCTTGATCAGGACGATAACGAGTACCGCGATCTTTCTGACGAGTGTGAGAGCGATGCCAGCCACTTGCACTCCAGATTATCAACACTTGTTGCATTCTTCATGGTGGTGCTACTTATTTAAGAACTATCGAGAGACATTTTATACAGTTTATATGGTGCAAAGATTTCAAGTTACGAAAATATTCTACTATATGGTTGAACCGGGAGTAGAGCTGTGTTTTCGGACCCCGCTGATATCGCCGACGTCTAATGCGCTGCGAGGCTGCTTTGTGGGGTCGGTATGGCTTATTTTCAGTGCGACTTTTGCCGTATTGATCTCACAACAGCTGTTTTTCGGGGGCGTTCTACCTTCCAAATGGATTGACAAATGGTCCATTTATCAGAGAAGCAAGCTCAACCTGGTACTTCTGTACTGTGCGTTGTATGTTTTTGTGTTTTTTCCTGCTGAAGGGATCTCCTCAGAGTCGTTGATCTACGTTTTACACTCAATTACACTGGTTCTGGTGACTTTGCTGCATGCCGTCGAGACTTCTCGGTTCCTTGTTCAGCCCGGCTCTCTGATGTTCTTCTGGCCAATCCAGACGATCCTGCTTGTGGCAATGAGTATCCAGCAGGATTTCAGCGAGCACAAACTCGTTCAGTTCACTGTTCCTCTGAACATCCTCTCGGTCTTGAGTTTCGGGATTTGCGTGGCAGAATACTGGAAGTTCCCTGTCTCGCCCAATTTGATCACCTACTGTCTGGACAACGACATAGAGACAGCACAGAACAACATCATCTCGGAAATCACGTTCTACTGGATGAACGACCTGATTATGACCGGATATCGCAAGCAAAGCTTGGATTACAGTGACTTGCCACCAGCTCCGGTGATAACAACCACGGTGTATGCGGCGCCAAAGTTGTCAGTGCAGTGGAAGAAGGAGCTCACTAGTCGCCGTCCGTCGCTGTTGATGGCCTTGATCAAAGCGTTTGGATACCCCGTGTTTGTGTCGTTGATCTACGACATGGCTAATAGCTTCGCGTCGTTCGTGCAACCGCAGCTCCTTAAACAACTCATCAAGTTCTTTGGCCGCGAAGACGACCCGCCAACCATCATTGGGTTTGCTATCGCTGTTGGAATGTTCTCCGTGTCGCTGTTCACCGCGTTGCTCTACAACCAGTATTTCATCAAGACCGTGGAAGCCTCTATGGGCACAAAGGCTGGTCTGATGAACCTGATCTACGAGAAGTCGATGAACCTGTCTCCAGAGAGTCGTATGACCAGATCCACCGGAGACATCATCAATCTGATGGCCGTGGACGTCAACAGACTGCAAGATCTGACTTCGTACGTACAAACTCTGTTCAGCGCACCAGTGAGACTGGTTCTGTGTCTGATCTCGCTCCATGCACTTCTTGGAAATGCCACATGGGCAGGAATTGCCACCATGGTGATCATGATGCCAATAAATGCGTACTTGGTTCGTTCGTTGAGAAAGTTCCACCGTGAACAAATGACACTCAAAGACGCACGGACCTCGCTGGTTGCCGAATTGTTCCAGAACGTCAAGTCCATCAAACTGTATGCGTGGGAACAACCGATGCTCAAACGTCTATCTGAGGCCAGAAACGACAAGGAGCTTGCCAATTTGAACAAGATCGGAATACTGTCTGCAGTTGTCAATTTTGCTTGGACCTGTGTTCCATTTTTTGTTTCATGCTCCACCTTTGCCATTTTCGCATACACTTCCAAGACGCCACTGACTCCAGAGATTGTGTTCCCAGCACTTTCTCTATTTGATCTGCTTTCGGACCCGATATTTGCCATTCCGGCTCTTATGACCGCCCTGATCGAGTCGGGTGTTTCTTTGAAGAGACTGACAGATTTCTTGCTCGCTGACGAGATCGACGATAGTTTGTTCGAAAGACTTCCAAAAAGACTCAATCCCGGAGAGACCGCCGTTCGTGTCGACAATTGCACTTTCCTCTGGTCCAAGCTGGACTTTAAATACCAGGACAACTACGACGAGGAACGTAGTTTAGACCAATCCAAGGTCGCACTGAAAAATGTCAATTTCACCGCTGGAAAAGGAAGCTTGACCTGTGTGGTTGGTCGTGTTGGTTCAGGAAAATCTACTTTCTTGCAATGTGTTCTTGGAGAACTATTCTCTGTTCCAACAGATCCGACTCTTCCAAAAAAGATTCAGGTCCACGGATCAATTGCCTATTGCTCCCAAGTCCCCTGGATCTTGAACGCATCCGTTAAAGATAACATTCTCTTTGGTCACAGATTCGAGCCCGATTTCTATGAGAAAACCATCGAGGCGTGCCAGTTGCTACCAGACCTGGAGATCCTCCCGGACGGTGACGAAACCATTGTCGGAGAAAAAGGTATCAGTCTTTCTGGAGGACAGAAAGCAAGACTCGCGTTGGCAAGAGCAGTTTACATGCGGGCAGACGTTTATTTGCTCGACGACGTGTTGAGCGCTGTCGATGTCCATGTTGGACAGAAGCTGATCAAAAACGTTCTGGGACGGAATGGTATTCTACATTCAAAAACAAAAATTCTTGCAACCAACAACATCAAGGTCCTTGATCAAGCAGAGAAGGTCTGTTTGATTTCCAACAACGAGATTTCCGAGTCCGGTTCGCTGGACCAGGTGGTAGCAGCCAAGAGCAAGTTGTTTGAACTTGTTAACGAATACGGCCAAAGTTCAGACGAGCAAGATTCCACTCCGTTGGTTGGATCCTCTTCGACATCTTTGGCTGAAATAGAGCAGGATATCGAGCAAGGAGGATTCGAGTACGCTGGAGTTGAGCCTGCGGACCTAGTGAAAGTCCAGTCCCGCAAGTCTGTTGGTGCAGCCAGCTTGCTACCGTTAGACCACAGACAATCGGTCACCAAGATCAACAGAAAGACCGCACAGAAGGAGGAAACGAAGGAAAAAGGACATGTGAGCATATCTGTTTATTCTAGCTACGCCCGTGCGTGCAGCTACGTCGGAATCTTCACCGTTTGTGGCCTAATTCTCCTGACTGTTGGACTGTCTGTTTCTGGTGACTATTGGCTAAAACACTGGGGAGAACAAAACGGAAAGAACGGCCAGAACACCAATGTCGGGATGTACGTTGGTGTTTATGCTCTGTTTGGAATTGGATCCGGCCTATTTACCTTGATCAGAGCCATGACCATGTGGAGCTGGTGTTCGATTCGGGCCTCCAAAAAACTACATAACGATATGGCCAGTGCTGTTTTGGCATCTCCGATGTCCTTCTTCGAAACCACCCCGCTTGGACGAGTCATCAACAGATTTAGCCAGGATATGGCCAAGATCGACTCTGCTCTTCCCCGTGTGTTTGCGGCCGTGTTCAACTCTGTGATCAAGACTACGTTCACTTTGGTTATTATCGGAACCACCATGCCTCCATTCTTACTCATTATCGCCTCGTTGTCGGTGGTGTATCTCTACTACCGGAAATACTACATCATCATCTCCAGAGACCTCAAGAGAATTGTTTCTGTTACAAAAAGTCCAATTTTTGCCCACATCCAGGAATCGCTCGCTGGAGCAGACACCATTCGTGCGTACGACCAAGAGGCCAAGTTTTTGCACCAGCATTGTGCCAATATCGACGAAAACCAGCTCTCTGCTTACTGTTTGAAATCTGTCAACAGATGGCTTGCTGCCAGACTCCAGTTTATTGGATCTGTGGTGATCTTCTCAGCTTCCGGTCTGGCTTTAATGTCTTTGCACAGTAGCCATCCAATGAGCGCAGGATTGCTGGGTCTGGTGATGAGCTACGCACTCAGAGTGACAAGCTCGTTAAGTTTCATCATCAAGAGATCGGTGGAAATCGAGTCTGATGTCGTTTGCTGTGAGCGCGTATTCGAATACTGCCGACTGGAACCAGAAGAGAAACTCAAGGACCCGTTGCCGCCACCAGCAGATTGGCCCCGGGCAGGTGCTATTGAGTACAAGAACTACGCTACTCGCTACAGAGCAAACCTCGACCCTATTCTCCGGAACATCAACCTGAGCATCCAACCGAGCGAAAAGATCGGCATTGTGGGCCGTACAGGCTCAGGTAAGTCGTCATTGATGCTGTCGCTGTTCCGCATTATCGAACCTATCGAAGGACATATAGAGGTGGACGGCATCAACACGAGCACGCTGAGTTTGCACGACGTGCGGAGCAACCTGGCGATCATCCCTCAGGACGCGCAATGCATCAACGGAACCGTGCGCTACAATCTGGATCCGCTGGGCGAACATACCGATGAGGAGATTTGGAAATGTCTCGAGCTGGCCGGACTTTCTGATCACGTGACCCGTATGGGGAAAGACCAAGAGAAAGAAAACGGACTGGACAGTTTGGTGAGCGAGAGCGGGATGAATTTGAGCGTGGGGCAGCGGCAGCTGATGTGTCTTGGTCGTGTGCTGCTGCGATCTCAGAAACTGCCGAATGGGGGTGGCCACCGGGTGAAGATCTTAGTTTTGGACGAGGCCACTTCGAGCGTTGACGCAGAAACCGACCGGATCATCCAGCAGACTATCCGGACTGAATTCAAAGATCTCACGATTCTCACCATTGCGCACCGCTTGGACACGATCATGGACAATGACCGGGTGCTTGTTTTGGAAAATGGAGAGATCAGGGAGTTTGCTAGTCCGCGGGCTTTGATGGAACAGCCAGAGTCACACTTTTACAAGCTGTGTGTGGACGGAGGGTACATAAAGAAAGAATGAAGCTGGAGCGCAATGACGTTATTTTTTCCGGACAGTCGTTAACCAGTGCATGAGGTCCGGAAAATCATGCGGCACGGTTCCCTAAAAAAGGCTTGAGGATTGTATGAAATTTTATTGTCCTGTTACCAAAAGAGTAGATTCTCTATACCAGCCAGCAATCGGGAGACTTTTTTATTGTTGCATGATAATGTCTGCAACCCCCCACTGAATACCCCGCTACGTGTCCATAGTGGAACGGAGCGGAGTCGCGTGGAGTTTGCTGGAGAAAAAGTTCAGCCTAGTGGTGTGCTGTTCAAAAACTTTTTCCGATAAACCAAGATAATCCGGGAGTCAGGATATAAAAAAAAGTGCGTTTCCAGTAGAAAACAAATATACTCCTCTTTTATCCATTTTAAATATTATGAGTGTCGATTCAAAAGCGCTTCCTGCCGACTTGGCCAAGGAGATCGAAGTCTACAAGAATCAGTTCTGGGTGCCTACCGAGACCTTGAACAAAATCATCGAGTACTTCATTTCCGAGCTCGACAGAGGTAATGCCGACGGTACTGATCCAACTGGTATTCCTATGAACGCTGCTTGGGTTCTGGACTACCCAGATGGGTCCGAAACCGGTGACTATTTGGCCATCGACTTGGGCGGAACTAACTTGCGTGTCGTTCTTGTCCATCTCCTTGGAAACCACAAGTTCACCACCGAACAATCGAAATATCACATCCCAACAAAGATGAGAACCACACAACACAGAGAAGAGTTGTTTGGTTTCATCGCCGAATGTCTCGAGGACTTCCTCAAGCAACAGCATCCTGAAGGCATTCCAACCGGCAAACTGTTCCCGTTGGGATTCACCTTCTCGTACCCAGCTTCCCAGAACAGTATCACCGAGGGTGTTCTGCAGAGATGGACCAAAGGTTTCGACATTCCAAATGTCGAGGGCCACGACGTTGTGCCTCTGTTGATGGAGCAGGTGGAGAAAAAAGGCCTTCCAATTAAAATTGACGCCTTGATCAACGACACCAGTGGAACTTTGGTTGCATCTAGATACACCGACGAACTCACCGAGATGGGCTGCATCTTTGGAACAGGTGTCAACGGTGCGTACTACGACCGCATCAAGAACATTCCAAAACTCCAAGGCAAATTGGAAGCCGACATCGCTCCAGACTCGCCAATGTTGATCAACTGTGAGTATGGATCTTTCGACAACGCCCACAAAGTTCTTCCAAGAACCAAATTCGACATCCAAATCGATAACGAGTCTCCAAGACCAGGCCAGCAAGCTTTCGAGAAGATGACCTCCGGTTACTACTTGGGAGAGCTCATCAGACTCATCATGTTGGAGACCTACGAGAAAGGACTTATCTTCAAGAGCTACACTAAGAGCTGCGAGCAGATCAAGAACTTGCAAACTCCATACTTCCTCGACACCTCTTTCCTGTCGATCATCGAGGCCGATGACACCGCCGACTTGAGCGTGACCTCCAACGAGTTCTCGTCCAAGCTGTTTATCGACACCACTTTCGAGGAGAGACTGTTTGCTAGAAAGCTTTCGCAGTTCATCGGTACCAGAGCCGCCAGATTGTCGATCTGTGGTATTTCTGCTGTCTGCAAGAAGATGGACCACAAGGTTGCCCACATTGCTGCCGACGGATCTGTCTTCCTCAAGTATCCATACTTCCCAGAGAGAGCTGCCCAAGGTTTGAGTGATGTGTTTGGATGGGAGGGTATCGACATGAAAGACCACCCTATTCAGATCAAGCACGCCGAGGACGGTTCTGGAGTTGGAGCCGCCATCATTGCTGCTCTTTCCCACGCAAGAAAGGAGAAAGGTTTGTCTTTGGGAGTCAAATTATAATTAATAGATCTATCTGGCTGTGTAAATAAACTAAAATAAATTGGTGAGCTTGCATATTTATTTAATCTTGATGAACATTCTATCCTTTTCGTCGCATGTTGTTCATGGGACCGTTGGCAATCGAGCCATTCAATTTCCGTTGAATCTTCGTGGCTGGAACGTTGATTGTATCAACACCACGAATCTTTCGAACCATCCGGGTTTCAAAACGTTCAAGGGCTCCAAGACCGACTCTTCAACCATCTCGCAAGTTTACCAGGGATTGGTCGAGATTGGGCTGAAATACGACGCTGTCATCGTCGGGTACGTTGCCAGCGTTGCGAATTTGCAAAGTATCTACGAAATACTGCGCAATCTCAAGTACAAGCCACTGGTTGTTCTAGACCCGATTCTCGGAGACAACGACCAGCTTTACGTTGACAAGGCCCTGATTCCTGTTTACAAGCAGATTCTGCAGGACCCTTTGAACTTGGTCACATTGACCACGCCAAATCAGTTTGAGATCGAAACTCTAACAGACTCCAAGATCTCGGACCAAAACTCGTTGGATGCCACCATTGCCAAGTTCTACAAACTGTACAATGTCAAGTACGTGGTGATCACGTCCGTCAAGCTGAACGACGAGATGTACTGCGTGGGCTGTCTGGATAAAGAGCACACGTTTTCCGTGAAAGTGGACCAGGTTCCGGCTGTTTTTTCCGGCTCGGGAGACCTGTTTCTCGGTCTTTTAACAGACTCTTTCCATAAAACAGGAGACCTGGAGAAATCGCTTAAAAATACCGTCCAAGTGGTGCAGAAAGTGCTCAGTCGTACTCTCGAACTCAGCACAACAGATAGAACGATCGGAGATCTGCCGTACATCCCTTCATTGAAACTGGTCGAGTCTAAAGATATAATAGAATGACTCTATATTATAATATTTATTCGGTATCTTTATTTGTGGTTATTCGCTTCATGTTGGCCTTGGCCTGCTTGATAAGGTCTTCGTACTCTGACTTGTACTTTTTGCGCCATTGTGACCCCTCTTGGTCGTCGTCTTTGGACGTTGCTTCCAAAGAGTACGTTCCTTCCCATTTGAGTAGCCGGTTGGTCAGAACACGGTCGTCCACCGGATTCACAGAGTCAAGGTTAGCGTTGTACATGTTGATGAACTCCTTCATTCGCGTGTTCATCTGGTGTCGTGTTCCTGTAGTTGGCAGGTTCCAGTGATTGAGCTTCTCCTTGAGCTTGCTCGTGGAGATGGTTGGGTCCAAGTTGGAGATCTTGGACTTCTTCTTGACGAAGTCGGGCTGTGTCTGTGGGGTTCTTTCCTTCTTGAAAAAGTTCGATATGGTGGGGCGTGTTGGAGCCGGTTTGGCCTTCTTGGACAGACAGGTATCTATATGAGACGTCTGGAGCTCGTCGGCGGACATGAACGTCGAACACACAGGACACTCGACTAGCGCCTCGTCTGCGGTTCTCTTTTTGCGGGACTCGTATCTAATCGGTTCTTTGGGCTTCTCTGGCTCCACAGGGGCCGTAGGGGCCACCACGGGCGCGGGCTGGCTGTTTGGCTTGTGTTTATCGAGCAAGTCTGGTCTATTGCGCAAGAACCAGGTCGAAATCTCGTCCAGCAACAGTACTTTGCGCAGATTGCTCTCAAATGTCTCCTCCGAACACAAGGGACATTTGTTCTTTAGATCCAAACTGCGTCTGATACAAACAGAGCAAAAGATGTGATCACAGGACGTCAGCACCGGAGCTTTCAGAAAATCCTTACAAATATGGCATCGTAGCAACGAGTCGAGCTTGGAGAAGTTTGGGTACTCCGTTTGTGCCCAATCGCTGGGATCTGTGATAGAATCAAGCGGATCACCAAAAGACGCCATCAAGGATTTATTTGAATATTTTTCAATTGCGCGACGCATCGTTTTTTTTTATATACATAAGCTAAAATTTGGCCCAGTCTGGTAGCTCGGCGGTATACTTCCAACTTCCCTCGACAGAATACTCCTGGGCGTGCAAATAAATGACCAGGTCTTCGGGGCGTGGATCGACGTGGTTTGGGAACCCACAAACTGCACATTCGCCCGGCGACGTCAGGTCCTTTAGCTCGCGTTCTGCTCTCTCTCTGATTTTGGCAAACCACGCAGAATCAGGACGCGACTTAATGGCCTCCCCAAGTATCTGCGACTCTCCATACAACGGGTCGTTCACGATCGGATGCCCCAGATTGCGCAGATGGACGCGGATCTGGTGTCTGCGGCCGGTATCCAGCTCACAGATCACAAGACTCTCGTCCAGCTCGGGACTGTACGACAGCCGAGAAAATTTAGTATGCGCGGTTTTGGCATGCGAAACTCCACCCAGCCTGTAATGTTTCTGCGGGTCAATCTCAACCACATCGTCGTTGCACTCGCACTCGTCTGGGAACTTGCCTCGAACACGCGCAACGTACTTTTTCAAAACGCCTTTTTTCGACTCGATCTGTCTGAGTAGCTGTTTGTAGCTGGCTCTCGTCTTGGCCATTATCAACACTCCAGAAACAGCCTTGTCCAGACGGTACATCAGATGCAGCGAGCTCAGACCTTTCTGAGACCGCACCATCTCCACTATGGTGTTTTTCACGTGCCCTGGGTTCGGATGAACAGGAATACCAGCCGGCTTGTCAACCACCAAAACCCGGTCGTCCTCGAAAATGGTGTTGATCGGAGCTGCTCGCACGGGTTTTTCGTGCTGGTGCATGCTATTACTTACTCTGTCACCATCACGCAGTTTCTCGAACTCCATGGGTGGCCCTCGCACCTGCACCGTGCGATTTTTCACCCGTCTCCAAATGTACATGTCTCCAGACTGGACCATTTGTTTCAGTCTATTGATGTCCCGTCCTCGGAAATCTGTCATCATCACCTCCAGAAACGTCTTCCCAACCCACCGCGGCCGAGTAACCGCTGTCACCCGCCGCATGTACGGCGTCACAAACCGAAGACCGTCCTTCACATACACCTTTGGTGACATTTGAAGTTTTTCATATCCTGGCACAGCCCGGAACTTATCAGGTGTCGACAGAACGCTCAACAGGGCGGCCGTTCGACCGGTAAGAAAGCACGATCTTGTCGGTTTTGATGGTTTTTATGTGGTCAAACTCAATGATCCCGCGGAACGCGATCTGGGCGAGTCCCGAGTCGACCTCATCGGAAACGCCGTCCAACGGACACCGTGCCTCGACCACGCCAGAAACAATAATATTGTAATCTCGCACGTTGCCACCGTAGTGGTTCTCGACAGAATCGAGTCCCAGCGCACCGTCTGGCGTCAGCGGCTCCAGAAGTCCGTTGAGGTTATCCTTAAACTTGGGAATCACCTGTTTGTGGGTCCATCTGATCTCTGGCGGGAACCATCTTTTGGTGAAGTCGAGCTCCACACCTTCAAACACTTTGTTTGCATACTCAATGCTCACATCGAACTTGTCGAAATCGCCCAGCTGCAACGGTAATCCCAATGTTTCCCTGATGGTACGATTCATGGAAAGCTTCGAAAGCAGGGCCTCTTTGCTGTGTTGTTTCAATTTGTCTGTGTCAATGATCTTGTGGTCCTCCGATCTGTAGAAAGGCACCTTGTTGGAGTAGATCAGTGGGAAAAATGCCGGCTTTGATTGGTACGTGTTGAAGGAGACATAGCCCGTGACCAAGATCAGTGCTGGGATCGCAACTTTGGCCACCGTCAAACCCATAGTTGTCTTTGGGGGTGAATATTTGGCCTTCACGGCCCTTTCAACCTCCTCAACAAGCGGATTGACCGCTCTTCTAACAGACTTGTGGAAAAACCTTCTAAACATTATGTGCAAGATTAATTCCCCGGATTAGATTTGAAGCCTGTGCTTATCTAAGCGAAGAAATAATAATTTTTGCAACTTGAAATAGAACCTGCTTCTTAATGACGACCAAAGCTCCTTTGGCCTCTCGCTGGGCAGACGACAGCGATGCGGTTGTGGCTGCGGTCAAGCAGGATAAGAAGATTCCCAAGCATCGATTTGCGCAGAAACCTGTCTCCAGGGAAACAAACAGCCGTGAGAGCGAAAATACGCAGTTTTCAGACCAGGACGTTGAAGAGGTGAGCGACTCGGATTGGGAGGACCATGTTCCCGTTAAAAGCGATAAGTTATCAAAAGACGCCCACAGATTGTTTCCTGTTGGGCCAGCAGCGAAAAAGGACACTAAAGACACAGATAAACGGAGAGATAGACGCAAGTCTTCTAGCACTGCCGAGCTGGTTGAGTCGACTAGACCAAAGGCTAGAGAGTCGCCAAAAAAGAAGCATAGAGAGCTTCCCAAAGAGCTTCCCAAAGGTCCTGCCTCTTCAAACTCAAACAACCCGCTGATGTCCCGGATCGACTCGAAATGGAAGGCTGCTCCATTGCAAAGCAAATACGCAGAGCCTGTGCAGAGCAAGCACGCTGACCCTAAACCCAGCCACAAACACCAGCCTCTGCCAAAGCACAAGGATAGACCACGCTCCGACAGAGCCAAGAAGGAACCTCCTCTTGACCCGTCGTTTATACAGAAACAGAACGCTTTGGAGTTTGAAAAGTCTCTTGACAAGCTCAAGCTCGAATCCCAAACAGGAAACTGGGCCGACGACCTGGATTGGTATTAATCTACGACTCGTGTTTATATGTTGATATAATGGTGATATATACAATAATTAATATTCATTTCTTTCCGAACCTCTGGAACCATTTCTTTGGCTTCTCTTCTTCTTCTTCTTCCTCTTCCTCAACGTAGAAGGTCTCGTCCTCCACTCTGTTGCTCTTCTTAGGAACACGGTAGACGTAGTAGAAAATAAAGATAAAGATGATGTTGAAGCCAGTGTAGGCACACATGATTCCAAAGTTTCTCCAACCATATTGAGTCTGCATGTGTCTGCTCTCCAAGAACGCGTTGGAGTTGGCCATGGAGCAGAATTGACAAGAATCTGTTGCGTTCTCATCGACCAGGTAGCCACCAAGCTCGCTGATGTACTTGCTCAGGTACTGGCCGCAGGTTTGACCAGAAACTGGTGTGATGGTCACCAATTCAATGTCAGAGCAAACGATTCTAGTGTCACGAATACCAGCGGAAACAATACCGGAAATCCACCATGTTAATGGCGAAACGTGGTACAACCAGGTCCAGAAACCAGTTGGGTACTTCAGAACACCAGAGAAATTCATCGAAAGCATGAAAATGATGAACGCGTTGTTCATACCCTTGGCCATCACAGCAAATCCGACCGAGGTAAAATAACCCAAGGTGATGGAGTAAATGTAGAACACACATAGCAACAACCAGATGAGTGCTGCACGGTCGCTCACGGTATGAGTTTGTTCTGCGTCCTTGTACAGACCAATTGGCAAGTACCAGCAGACGAAACTCAAGGTACCGGTAAGAAATCCCCATGGCAGCTCAGCAAGCAAAGAACCAGAAATAAAGGCGTACCAGCTGTATGCCTTAGAAGGTCTTTCACGGACCTCGTAAACATCTCTGTATGCAGTGAAAAGTGGAAGCAATTGCTGGAAATAAACCATACCAGGCATACACATCAAGTAGATGGAAAGCATCTGGTTTTGCAGTCCTTGCTTAGACCTTTTAGCATGGAAGAAAGTGAAACCGTTGAACAGGGACACAGCAATGGCCATCAAAAACTTACTCCACAAGTAAGATGGAGTTCTGAGGTATTGTTGAAGGTTACGCCTAGTAACCATCTTCAACTGGAACAGGAAGGAGGTTGCAAACTCGCTGTCTTTTGCCTTTTCAGCAGCGTCCGGAGCCACAGCATTCTCTTCAAGTGCACGCAGTTCCTCCAAAACGGCAGCTCTTTCTGGAGACTTGAGCCAAACATCGTGGTAGTCTATCTTGGAATGGAATCCTGGCGCAGCACCAATGACTTCCAGCATCCACTCGGCAGGGTTGGCGTTTGCTGGACATGGCTCGGCGCCGTTCTTTTCAAAGTAGTCAATCAAAGTCTGGGAATGTGGACCAAGGTCCCCAAAGTAAACGGTCTTACCACCTCTAGCAAGGAAGAGTAGACGGTCGAACTCTTGAATAAGACGGGCAGAAGGCTGATGGATAGTACACAAGATAGCTTGTCCGTTGTTTGAAAGCTTTCTCATCAGTTGACACACAGACCAGGCAGTTTGGGAGTCCAATCCCGAAGTTGGTTCGTCCAAAAACAAAAGCAATTGAGGCTTGGCAACCAACTCAAGACCAATGGTGAGTCTCTTACGTTGTTCAATGTTCAAACCTTCACCAGGCTCACCAATGATAGCATCCGAATACTGGTCCATCTCCAGAATGCTGATGATTTCCTCAACGTAGTCATCCTTTTCCTTCTTGGGAACGCTAGCGTCTTGACGCAAGTAAGCACTGAACCGCAAAGCTTCACGAACAGTGGCTGTCACCAGGTGGACATCCTGTTGTTGGGCGTAACCGGTGAATCTCTGGAAAGACTGGTCTCTCAAATTACCGTTGACCATGATTGATCCGGTAACAACACCAATAGTAACTCTGTTGGCTAAGACATCCAAAAGCGTGGTCTTACCTGCTCCAGAAACACCCATTAATGCTGTCAAAGTACCAGGCTTGACCCAACCGTCAATGTGATCCAAAATTCTCTTTGGCTTCTTTCCAACCTTGATATCGTAGGTGACGTCTCTCCAGTGGAAAACACCTTTACTCTCAAGGATACGGCCAGATTCTTCCGAAGAACCAGCCTCGTCTTTCAAGAATTCGGGCTTCTCGTCGCTCGATCCGGTCTCGATATCTTGCTTGGCAACAGTCTTCTTCTTGCTCTTTCCAAAGTGGTGCAGGAAAAGCACAACGTCTCCCTTTTGCAAAGCACTCTTGGAGTACTCAACCATGTAGAGATAGACAAACAGGAAGAAAATCACAAATCCCATGTTGATACCCCAGTTTCTCCACTTGTGCTTAGCATAGTAGTTGTAAGACAGGCGAATAAAGTCGGTTCCGGAAACAGAAGAAGCGCCTGGAACAGCAGCAACGGTGTTGCAGATCTTGTTGGCCATGGAAATTCCGGGATAGTTTGGAATGTAATCGTCGCAATCGAAATGTCTTCCGTGGAACTCGTTAGCCATCAAAGCCTCGAAAGAGTATCCGATTGGATCCAAATAGTTGATCCAACGAGACCATCCGTGCATGTTCTTGACAGGGATAGCAAAACCTGTGTACAGAACCAAACAACTAATCACAAACATGGTTGGTGTCATGGCCTCAGAAAGAGTCCGGAAACCAGAAGCAAGCGATCTCATCATATGAGACAACACAAAAGTACTGGTGAGGTTCATCAACAAGTAGAAGAAGAACGAACCAGGATTTCTGCGGAAGTTGACCATGAAATAGAAAATCAGGTTGAAGCATGCACTGATCAACACCTTATTAGGAGCCTCAATGACAATGGAAGCGAGAGCATCTGTTGATGGGTGGTACAATGCGTACTTCTTGTGTTTTTCTGCAATGGCTCTGGCTTCGAAACAAGAAAGAACTTCCATAACCGAAGCCATGGCGTTGAACATGGTAGCAAAGAACATAGCAGCTCCACGGTAGTAAAAGTAGGACGTGGTTGTTTTCAGGTTGTAGTAAAGCGAAGAAATGACCAATCCCATGATAATTCTCGAGATGACCATGAAAATCAGGTTACCTGGATCACCTTTGGTCTTCCACCAGTAACGACGCATATTCTCTCTCACTTGGGTGAGATACGTACTGGTGTATGAAGACTTTGGACGAGCACCTTTCTCCTGTCTGGCGATATGTGCTTCTCTGAACTCGGCACGGTGATCCTCATCGAGAGACTTCTGGATGTAGGCGTCGGTAGCAGCCACAAGATCGATGTGCTCCTGAGAGTTCATCCAGTACTCGTAGAACTCCTGAGGAGTCTGTGGGACTTTGCGCTCCATTCCTGGCTTGGCGACTCTCTCTGAAGGAGAAGTCAACGAGGTCAAAAAGTCGGCCGTGGTTTGTCTTGGAGGACATTCGTATCCCATGGTCTCGAAAAATTGTTTGGCCTTGGTGGCTGGACCAAAATAAATTTGGTAGCCTTCGTAAAGCAACATGACGTTATCAAACAGGTCGTAGGAGTCCTCCGAGCACTGGTAAACAGAAGTGAGGGGCGTAGTGTTCATCACGGTGGCAGATGTCTTCAAGGCTCTCAAAAATTCCAAAGCAGTGGCGGAATCCAAACCTCTGGTGGAATTATCCCAACATTGGATTTTGGATCCGCACAACGAGAGCTCGGCAGTGGAAACACGCTTACGCTCACCACCAGAAACACCCTTGATGAAGTTGTTACCGACCTTGGTGTCGAAAGTGTGCGAAAGACCGTATGTGGCCATATAAACCTTGGCCATGTGGATGGCATAGTCGTCGGCAGACACACCCTCCGGTCTGTTCTTTGGGGTCTTCAACCTAGCAGCAAACTCCAAGGTCTGACCAACAGTAAGCTGAGGGTAGTGCTCGTCGTTTTCGGCCGAAAACGTGACTTCTCCCTTGTAGTGCTTGATGATATCTTTTGGAGTGAAGCCGTTGTAGGAGATGACACTTTCGGGAGCAACTTTGAAACCAAAAGTCTGCGAAGCGATGGTTTTCAGGAAGGTGGAACATCCTGCACCAGGACGACCCAAAACAAGTGTGAAGGTTCCAGGAAGCAGCAGTCCGTCCATTGGTTTCAGAATATCAAAATACCGCGACTCGACCTTGCTTCTGAAAGTGTTATTAAAGGTCTCCATGACGAACTTGAGCGGGGCCGTGACAAAGGTGGTTTGGTAGTCCTCGCCGGAAACGACACCACGAGCGCGAAGGTTACGGAAGGCGACAGCGAGCGTGGCCGGCTTGTAGTAATCGGGATCAGAGTCCATCAGCACACGCATGTTCTGGATCCATAGCTTGGAGTCGAAATCGTCCGAGTCTGGGTCCAGTCTGGAGTCCACGCCGTCCTTTACAAACGGGTTAACGCCTGGAACCTGGGAGTATGTTGTCAAAGTGCGTATCAAAGACTTGGCATCTGTATCGCGAGTCTTATCAGTTTGATGTAAAGAGGTTTGGGTCAGCTCTCTTGCCAAGTCACGAACCTGGTTTTCTGCGTTCGAGTCGAAGCCCTCGTAAGCGGACTCGCCCGACTTCACAGAGATGGTTTCTGTCATTGGTAGAGGTGTAAATTGCGTCTTTGCTACCAAACTTAAAAGCGATATATACAATATTTATATCTTCCGGTTTTAGTTCGGTCATGCCCGAACTAAAACCGAGTTTCTGCGGACATTAGTTAAAAGCATTTAGCCGCTCGGTGCGGGCTTGGGAGAATTACCAAGCTCCGAATTCCTTGTGTTCTTAAATCCGGAGGTCTGATACAGCCGATAAAGACAGTTTCGTGGATTTCTTGTCACCAAAACGCACACTTATTCACCGGCATAAAATAATTCGGACACAAGGCGGAGGAAAAAAAGCCCAAACTCCTACTTTTGCTCCCGATTTATATTTCCGAGAATTTTGCCCAGACATTCTGCCTCCAGGTACATTTCGCGAAGCGTAGTTCCCGAAAAGTTTAAATTTTTCAGCCATTGGAATTCGACGCGTCGATGAACGTGGAAATTGAAAACAGGAAAAATCGTCCCACTCACTCACCGGTCGCTCACCTTTTTTAATTTGAAAATTATTATTGGTTAAAAAAACTTAAAAAACAACCATGGCCAACAAAGTGATTGAGTTGCAAAAGTTCTACCAAACTACCAAGAAGCCTATCTACCTTGCCCACCCAAGAAGCAAGTACTACTTGATTCCTTACGGTGCCGGTTTGGTTCTTTCCGTGGGTGCTTCTCTGTACTACACTGCCAGAGCTGCCTACGGACTCAAGGGCGACCAATAAGCTAGAAAATGAACGTTGGAGGCTCCAAGGGAGCACATCATGTGGCCTTTGAAACTTCCACACTCACAACTATTAAATACATCCAATAAAGAACACCATTTATTACTATACACCTGTTTTTTTCAACCCCTATAACTCAAGGTTTCCGAGTACGCCATCGTCATGTCGTTTTCAGCAGTGGCTATTCTGCCGTACCTATGAGCCAAGTTGTCAAGTAAATCGCTTACTTGGGCGGACTGATGGAGGTCGAGCCCCATCATTATTTTTGCGCTGTAGACGATGATCAAATGCATCTGATCGGACAGAAATGCAAAGTACGAGTCGTCTTTGATCGAAATCGCGAGTGATAGGATCTGTGTCGCGTGGAAATTCACCGACTGTAGCACCTCCGGGTCTCTTTTCACGTCGTGCAAGAAGAACCGTTTTTTCCACAGCATCAGAAGCATCTCTGTGAAATGGTAGTCGATCTCCACAAACTCGTTAGCAGAGCTCGTGAAGAGCTCCTCCCACTCCGATAACCAGTCTTTCATGTCGTTCTGGACCGTCTCAAAATCCTCGTCCATGTGTAGATACCGGTACGCAAAGAGATACACTTCCATTTCGGCAATCACACGGTAGTCGAAGTTAGTGGACAACGGGTTGTCGTAGAACTTGCGAGGTTGCAAAGTCTTGAGAGAGTAGAAAGACTGTTTTCCCGTTAACAAACAGTACGCCATATGGATCAGTACCAGAGTGTTGTAAGTTCTGTATGCCGTGAGCTCGTTGAAGTCGTCTCCGCCAAAATTCACATCGTACAGGTTGTCCATGAGTCCGAAGTTGTTCAATTGCATGAACAGATCGATCCCCAGGTGAGAAAGATACCATCCGTCCAGTCTCAGTCCGGCAGACTCTTGACTCAAACTAACACTGTAGATAGACAAAATGGTCAGACACTGGATGAACTCCAAGTTACGCGGCATGTTGATAAGGTTGGCCTCGAGGTCTGTCTTGATCACAATCAGCATCTGGTCGTAAACAAGTTCTTTAAGCTTTGGATCTCCGTATCTCAACGACAGAGCACAGACAACAGTCAGTAGCAGGGGACATTTGGCACGGAAATGCTCCAGCAAATTGGCTGTTGGCAACTCTTCAGGATACGAAATCCACCTTCCGTATCTATCGCGGAAAATATCGAGTAACTTGACTGCTTCGTCGATACCCAAAAACCCCTGTGAAATAATATCTGTCTGAGGAGTGATGACAGGCAGCAAATGAAGCTGAGACAGAATTGTTGGCGGAAAGCTGGCGTTTGGCGGCCTGGTGCTTGCTAAATATAACAATGGAGACCCACTGCTGGTCAGGAACGGCTTATGGGTCAAATTGAGCTTGAAATCCTCGGCCACATACGGGCTAGGTTCAGGTAAGTATGGATTTTTCAGGACCCTGAGAACTTCGCGGACATCGGCAGAAATGGACGCAAGACTGTACCCAACGGAAATCTGCTCTAATTCCTGATTATGAGTCTCGGGAACAGAGGGAGAGATCGGTTCCGAAGCAAGCGAACATGGCTTTTCAAGAGCCAGGCACCTGAAACAGCTAGATGAGGAACCAGACTTCAAACAACGGGTCTTCTGTCTATGACAAAGCTCACAAGCCTTGGTAGTTCTGGTGTGTCGCTCTTTCGCTTCTTTTGTCTCTTTCGTTTTGACTCGAGGCATTAGCGTCTAGTTGGTGACGACCGATGATTTATATGGCATTTGAATATTGCAGCCGCGGCTAGAGATCGATGAAAAAATTATTTTTGTCAGGCGCGAGGAGTGACTCCTATCACCTGGATCGGCATCGGAAATGCGCTCTGTTAACGGCAACTCGTGGAGACGGGGGCTGTAGAGCGGTTAACTTTAAAAACGGGAAACGCCGTGACAATTACCACATGGTGCAACATTTACAGTAAAGTAACAACATAACGTTCTTGGTAAATTATTTTTACACTATAATTAAAAATGGTAGCCGATTCTAAAATTCTACACAGTTAGTACTCAGACTGACATGCAAATCGTAAAGTTTTTGCTATCACGAATCAAGCAAAGCTTACTTCATCACTATACTTACTACTCAATGCCGCGTTTCAGGTGCACGGCTTGTCAAAGCCGAAATATCATCACTTGCCGAAGCAACAGTTGACCGTCGTGAGAAAGTGCAATCATCATATACGCCGGCATCTGACCAAAAACATCGACTGATGTATTCAGCCAGAACGAGCAGACTATCAGACCCAAGGGTGTCTTCAGAAGTCAGACATATGCTTGTCATTTTTGGTTTGGTATCATCCTGTAGTCTCCATATATATAATTTTCGCCATTTTTCCAATGTCTAGTTATGTTAGTACCTCAGAAAAGCATGAATGGTAAATAAAAGAAAAGTCTCGTCAACGTGAATCACGAATCCGACTCGTCATCAAAAAATCATCACCGTACTCACTTTTTACGTCCATAAACCTTTATGGACATAACAAACATCTATTACGAAAGATAGCTGGCTCCTCAGTAACAGCGGGTTTCTGAGGCCCGCCTTTAAGCATTGTCACTCATATATTTGTCGGTGCCCAGTGCATGATTCCTCATCGAGCCAACAATAGGTTCTCGTAAAACCCTTTTTTCCAAAAACCTATGGTCTATACTTGTTAGCGATCATCTTTCAGTCTTGGTGCAAAAACTTATCAACACGGATATTCAGCCAGTAATTCCAGCTTTGTTTTTGTAAAATCATCAGGAAGACTCACCACTTCTCAGTCGTTAAGATAAAATCATGGCAATCATAAACTCTAGTTTGATTGGTTTGGATCCTCATCGAAGTGTAAAATTTTTCAGTGTCGAAATGCCTTTTATGGTGCTGCTGACATAAGCGTTCCCGTTTAGGGTCTGTTGGGAGCTGACACCGTGAAGCGTGGCCAGGAGACCGACTGGGCCAGGAGGAGGCCACAAAAACAGATATTTGAAGGTGTTTGAATCACTACAAGCCGCTGCCACGTTTTTGTCCGTTTATCTCGACCTCAGCCAGCAGATGCACCACCCCGTTAAATCACTGCCAAATTTTACCTCGCAAATATTTATTTACCTTATTGTCGTATAATGAGTTCCACCTCTCTTGTGGAAATCGCGGTCCAGGCGGACCTAGAACCATCCATATTGGCTCTTCCCCGTTCGATCAACAAGACGATCAAGCATCTGCCTCTTTCCAATTCGGATTTCCCCCAAATCCCCACTCTTCAGTTCGAACAGAGTCTTGCTGAAGTTGGCTCGTTTGTGCATTTCAAGGCCTCATCGGCCATTTTCACCACGATATCATACAAATTGATTGACAGCGGTCGCATTTTGGTTCTAAATCCGCTTCTTGTGAACAATTCGTTGAGCTTGAGCCTCAAATCGCTCTCGTTTGTTTTACCACAACAGGCCAAACCAAACTGCATCACAGTCTTGGACGTGGGCTCTACCGTTTTGGTCGAGATCCTCACAACGGAAAACATATTAATCTCGCTCAATTTGCCGTTGACTTCGTTCTTGCAACAGGAGACTTTGTCACTTGCCAAATTTTATAGCTGGTGCAACTACAGCGCGCCATACTCGTTCGATGTGCGAGCCCCGCTGTTCATGAGAGCCATCGAACCATACACAATCATTGTGGCTCTACGCGACGGCGGTCTGCTGAAGATGTCGAAGGAAAACCCAAGTGATAACTATCTGGTTGTTCCATTCAACGACGCATCGTATGTTAACCAGTTTAAACTGCCATTTTTCAGATCCAAAAAGGACCAGACGGAAACCATCACTATCAACAACGTTCAGGTTTCCACTACGGCCGTTTTGGACTTCGTCGTGAAAGATAATTCTCTCATTACGTTGAGTGTCGACAAAATAATCAGATTTTGGTCTCTCGAGACCGGTGCTATGGAAAGGCAAATCGGGGCCAACGAGTACATCGCTCCAGAGCTGCAATCTGTGTCTATTACAACAGGTCCAACACAGTTACTGAACCTCACAGACAATTATTTGTGGGTGTTTGTTCCTATTGGCGAGACCAGCTTGAAACTGTTCAGTATCGACTCGAGCGATTCGCCGGTCTTGTTGGTCGACTACAATCTTCCTGATATTGGAAACTGGCTTTTCCACAGTGTGAAGGTCACCAAGGTGGACTCGAAATACCAGATCCATATTCTTTGGACACTCCACGGTGCTAAATGGATGCTTTTGGGAGAACTGAGCGACAATCTCACCATCACTTGGTCTCAAAGCAGTCCTGAACCGCAGTACAATTTGGGTCAGTCAATTGTGTTTTACGAAGACGCCGAGTCTTTGAATAGCCACTGTTTGCAGCTGTTGCAAGTGTACAACGAAAGAGTTGTGGAAAAAGTGCTTGAACTATTTGTGAGCAAACATAATCTGCAAACTTCCACCCTGCCATTGCAACAGAAGTTGCTGCAAGTGATCACCTACAATTTGGACGAAACAGAGTATCTCCAGAACCTCAAGAAGCAATGGGTCAAGTTTGATAACGCCTGCAAGGAACTATCCAAACAGCTGGAGCCTGCTTTAAGTTTTGACTTTGTTGATGCGTTCTTGGTGATCTCGAAAAGTAGCGGCTACACTGTTCTCGCTAAAGCTCCACCTGTTTTGTTGCTGAGCTCTAAAGACACTGTTTCAAGCGAAGACTTACAGTTCCCAAATATCGACGTGAAGGAGCTGCAACCACTCACCAAGTATGTGCTTTCATTTAGCGAGAAGTTCCCGCAGGAGGTGGTTTACAACGTCGAGCGTCGTGTTCTCGAACACAGAAACTCTCCAGAGGCACAAATGAAGACCATCTTTGAGGAGAACTTGTCTTCCTTTGTCGACGAGGCAATGGTGACGGAACTGCTGACTGCATTGAACGCGTCGCAAAACACAATGAGTCTTTTTGAGTTCCTCATCAGTTTGCCAACTCTGGACAATGTTGGATATTCTCCGGTGAAGAAAGTTCCGTTTGGAAACCTGGGTAGCTCGTTGTTGAGCTCAGTGCTAAAGAGCGACCTGGTTCTCCAAAAACGTTTGGTTTTGGGAATGCTTCTTATTGTTCTGACTGTCGACATCAACCCGCAGATGATTTCCTACTACACAGAACTCTCCAAGCTGTACAAGCATCTGGATTTCCCGTTGCAAGTTTCCTCAGACGTTGTCTTGAAATATCTCGAGGAGGTTTACGAAGGGGGAGCGTTGATTAGACAAAACAGCCTGAACTTCCTGGTTTCGCACAGTTTTGGATATCTCACAGATAAGCCATTTGTTTACTCGGTGCTGGCACAGCTTGTTAGCAGGGAAGAGACTATTGATACACGGTTGATCGACTTTTTACCGGAAACAGGTGTTTCGAGTGTACTGAAAGGAATTGCTCTTCTCAACACCGGCCACGGAGACGAGGCGTTTGAGATGTTCAGCAGCAAAGCCGACGAGATTACCGGGGCTGGGAAATCGGTTTCCTTTGCCGAGAAGAAAGCGTTGCAACCAATTGCCGACTACACGAACTTGATTTTGGTGGAATCCAAGCCGGACTACTACTACGACTTGAGCACGCTTTTCCAGTCGAAACAGCACGACCAGTACGCGTTGAAGTTTGCATTGAAGGCGCTCGCAACCAAGACAGAGATCAAGGACACTTCTGACGACCAGGCCATTTTGCTCAAGATCTTCCAGCTGGCTCTAAAATTACAGGAGTTTGAGCTTGCCCACGACACCATTTTGAAGATGGAGAGGAAGTTCAGAAAACACCCAATTAAGCAGTTCGTGTACAAGTTGTTCCAACTGAGCCAGATCTCCAAAATTCTTGACTATCCGTTTAACGAGGATGCAGACAAGGTAGACGACCTGATCTACAGCCTGGGCGAGTCGAGTGCTCTGAACAGTGACGTCACCAACTCGCTCAAGTACTACCGCATTTGTTACACGCTGAGACTCAAACAGGGCGACTATAGAGCCGCCGTGGAGGCGTTGTACCGGTTCAACTGCATTGCTCTGGAACTGAAGAAACAGAACAAGTTTTCCGGTTACAAGCTTCTGAGCGACAACTACCTCACGATCCTGAACCTGCTCAACACGCTGGAGAAAGACGACCAATGGATCATCAGACAGCCTGTGCAGCTTGTGCAGACGTCGCAGTCTGAGACTCCTGCTGCAACACAGAAAAACGTCGTGGTGTACTCCTCAGACCTTGAGAAAGAACTCGAGGCCCTGATGACATAATCTTACTTAAATATTAACTAGACTCGAAAAAACGCACCTCCAATAGAACAACACGCAATTATAAGTTGGCGAAATGTCGATTGTTCCGCAGAAAGGCAAGGTTGCAGTGATTGGCGGTGGAATTTCCGGCCTCACGTACGCCTATTTCCTCGGAAAACTGCGTCCAGATTTGCAAATCCAGCTGTATGAAAAATCTGACCGTCTGGGTGGATACATTCGATCCAAGAAGCTGTTCACCACGGAGTACGACTCCAGGGCCAGTCAGGACTATACGATTCTCGAGAAAGGGCCACGGACCGTTCGTGGTGGCAGCAGCGGAATTATTCTGCTGCTGGACCTGCTATTCAAGTTCAAGGCCCAGAACGATCTTCTGGGGATCTCGGGCACCTCTTTGGCCAACAGACGGTACCTGGTGAGTCCGTACGTGGACACAGAAGGCCACTCGGGCAAATTGACTCCTGTTCCGTACTCTGTGCCCTCGTTCTTGCGGTTCCTGTTCGACCCTCTAGGCCGCGGGCTGGTGTACGGGTTACTCAAGGAGCCGTTTGTGAGAAGCAAGATGGCCAACGACGAGACGGTGGAGCAGTTTGTGACGCGTCGGTTCAACAAGTCTGTTTCGGACAACGTTGTGAGTGCCATCATGCACGGGGTGTATGCTGGGGATGCAGGCAAGCTGAGTGCGAAAAGCGTTCTGCCCCAATTGGTGGACATCGAGGCCAAACACGGGTCTATTGTGCGCTACTACTTGTCGCAGTTGATCCAGACTTTGCAAAAGAAGAAACCAGAGGACAAGTTGCCTGCGGACGTGGCGAAATACGCCGAGGTGTTCAAGCCATCGTTCAATTTGGAGAAAACCACCCGGTTTTTGCGCAGGTTCCCAGTGTTGACCATCCGCGACGGATTGGAGACTCTGGTGACGCTCTTGCACCGGAACCTGCCCGAGAACGTGACTGTGAAGCTCAACACGGGCGTGACGAGCGTTTCCTCTGCCGACAACGGTCTGGAACTGGAACTGTCTTCGGGAGATAAAATACTTGTTGATAACGTTGAGAGCACTGTTTCCGGGGCCAGTGTGGCCAGTTTCATCAACAACCCGGAACTGAGCTCGCTGCTCGGCCAGATCAAGTACTCCAGCGTGTTGGTGGTGAACGTTTACCTGCCTGCGTTCAAGCTGCTGTCGCACAGCGGGTTTGGGTTTCTGGTGCCAAAATCGATGCAGGACGAGACACAATTGTTGGGCGTGATTTTCGACAGCGAGATTGAGCAGAACTCGAGACGGCTGTTGTTTTACAACGACGTGAGTACCGAACTTACAAGTCCGCAACCAGTTTCGGATGAAAACCTGGGGAAATTGGTGCAGGCAGTTTCCAAAAGAGGATCGGTGATCACGAATTCGTACACCAAGCTGACGTTGATGATTGGAGGCCACCAATTCAAAAGTAACGACGATCTCCCAACCAAGTCCAGAGTCAACAAGATTGTGCGTGACGTGCTATTGAGCAAGTTGCACATCGACCTGGACAAGTGCAACGGCACGGAGGAGGTGGAGGTTGAGTATGTGGTTGATGGTATTCCACAGTACGAGGTTGGTCATTCCGACCGGAAACACAAGATCTTGGAGGTGTCGGAGAAAGAGTTTCAGGGGAAGCTTGTGTTGGGAGGAACAAGCGTTGGAGACGGGGTGGGAGTTCCCGATTGCATTGTAAAGGCCTTTAAAGACGCATACAAAGTTTCCGGCCACGGGAATTAGTATAGGCTAAAATTGCCGAGTGACCAAGGCTTCTGCGGCATGGTCGGGAAATATACCCAAAAGTCCGGTTTCTTTGAATGCCGGAGATTAAACCACTAGTCATAAAATCGATATGCACATACTTTCCGTAACTTTTCCCCGGACTTGGGACGTTGAGTTGGAAAATATTTATCTGCAGCCCAACAACAAATGTTTTAGGAGTCCGAACATGGCGAATTTTTTAGAAAAAGATTATACGGGGTGACGCGAAAGGACGTCAGCCCGCATGCGGCTGGGTGGCAGGAGGATATCTAATAAAAATTTGCCAGTAGAATAAATTACGGCAACCCCTTAGTTTCCTGTTTATTGATATTAAATCGAGCGCCAACATGTCGGATGAAGTGGTATCACTCTCCTCCAATTATCCGTGGGATCCGAAATTGAGCGCCAGCGACCAACAGTTGTTTGGCCTCGATCAGACCGACCCAGACAAGGATTCGGACATGGGGCAAGAGCAAGTGCCGATACCCAAGAAATCGGCACTGATTAAAACTGATAGGCCTCGGCCACACATCTGTGCCACGTGTACTCGTGCCTTTGCCCGTCTGGAACACCTCAAACGACACGAAAGAAGTCATACCAACGAGAAACCGTTCCAATGTGCCGCATGTGGCCGTTGTTTCGCACGGAGGGATTTGGTGTTAAGACATCAACAAAAACTCCATTCCTCATTGCCTACAAACAACAGAACCAAGGTCGCTCGCAAAGGAAGAGGTACCAAGAGTGCTTCCCCGCGCGAAGGCGAGGTTGTGAGCGATTACTTGAACGATAACATCAACATTGTCAGAAACAACACACATGCCAAATTACCGTTACCTGGGAAGTCGAGTTCGTCGCCTATTGAGGACGAATTCGGAGGATCCGAACAAAGTAGCGCCGTCAATCCACAGGAGCAATACACACACTCGATGGCTCCGGCGTACACGACACCGCATTCGATATCCTCATCGAGCGCCGCTTACTCTCCACAGAAACAGCCGAGAACAACTAAGCAAAAAAGTACCCCAACCAGGGGTGTGGCACCATCGAAAGACCCTGTGAAATCTGAAAAAGGTGGGTTTAGAGACCAACGGCACGCCTCCTTCTCGGCAGCAACAGCCAACTCGTACACCGGCTTTGACAACGAAATTCCGACACAAGTGCAATTCAGCTCGCCGCAGTTCAATTACGAAAACGGAGAGGTTTTGTATCTCGACCTGGACAGCCTGGACCTTCAAGGACTCAACGAGCAGTCGTCCAGCCACAACCAGTCCACCAGCTCGTCTGTTCCGCTGGTTGTCCAGAACAAACTCCAGTCGCAAGCGTTCGACTTCACTCCCGAAAGTAGCATTTTTAGCAACAACTCGGTCACAAGTCCAGACAAGAGAGACTCAAAGGGCCCGACGGCAGAAAACCACAACGTTAACGAGGACTGGCTGTTTGAGTTCATGAACGCACCGATCGAAAAGGAGTTCCCTACGGTTTCCAACCACATTGGTTTCACCGACTCGCCCGGAACAAACAACTCGAACCATTCACCGCTCTCTGACGACTCGCCAACCAATGACCTGTCGCAATTCTTTCGCTCGAGACAGCTGGACCTGTTCAAGAAGATCCCGATCTCGCAAAGCCAAAAACACTCCACAATCCCTGGCCGTTGTTCGGAGTTTGTGCGCAACCATATTATGACCAAATACAACCTGAAGGTGTCGCAGTTCCCGCAATTGGACGACCTGAACCATTATCTTGCGCTGTACGAGATCGAGTTCAACAGATACTTCCCGTTCGTGCACATCCCAACACTCAATGTTGAGAAGAACTTGGAACAGATCCCGCTTTTATTGTCCATGGCTGCCATTGGTGCGCTGTACTCGTTCCACGCTCGCAACTCTTCCACATTGTTCAACTTCTCGAGATTCTTGATCCACAACTTTCTCGAAAGCCAGCTTGCAAAGAACAAGTTCAACGAAGTCCCATTGCACATCACGCAGGCTCTATTGCTTCACATGTTTTTGGGTATGTTCCACAACGACGTGGAGGTGACCAAGCTGACGTCTCGTCAGCTAACCTCGCTTGTTTCGCTGGTGAAGACCACCAAGCTTGACATGCCAATAGAAACTTTCCAGCTCCCGCCAGCAATCAACAGCGAGATCTCCGGAAACGATGCTCTGGTCAAGAGCTGCTACGAATATTTTGTTCTCGCGCAAAGCAGAATCAGGACAGTGCACTGTCTTCACTATTTATGTGTTCTTTTTGGATCTCTGATCGGATCGCAAATCGAACTTACTCCAGAAGACATCCGGTGTGGGTTACCTTGCCACATCGAGAAATTATGGACATGTCGATCCGAAACCGAATGGATCTCTATTATTCACGAAAATAAGATCATTATCGATTCCAAGTTCTCCCTTATCCAGCTGGGCAACGGAACAAAATCGTACACCGATTTATGGCACGACCTGAATAACCACACCTTGGACACCGATATTGGACTTCGTTGTTTGCTCTCGCTGTTGATGTCTTTGAACGGGGATATTCACAACCAACGGCAGATTCTTTCGAATTCTGACCGGAGCTTGGGAGCCAACATTGCCGAATGGCGACTCGAGATCAGACCGCACTTGGAGTCGATTATCAAGTCCTGGGAAACGTGTTTTATCCGGAACGGAGGACCTATTGTGCCGCAGGGCCAAAATCTCCATACCATTAGTCAGAGTGCCGTGTTGAAACTGATTTTGCCGCTCCTGTCGTTTGCCAAAATCCGCAAGTGTGTGTACATTTCGCCAATTTTGCAACGAGTCTGGCACCGGGACTGGGACGGAATGAACTCCGAGATCAAGCATCTCACCAACGACCCGGAGGCTCTGAGAGACTCAATCAGCTACTCGCTAGATATCATTAACCTGTGGATCGAGATCATGTCGATAAACAACGATGCGGAAAAGACGTCGGTCAGGACCCCGATCTTCTTCCTCACCTGTTTGTTCACGGCTGCTCTCTTGATCTCGGAGTATTTGTTCACCACGGAAGAATGGGCCATCAACTATCTCTCATCTCCAGAGAAGTTCAACCACTTGACTACTGCAGACCGCGTTCTCTGGTTGCGTACTGAAACCATTTTCAAAAAGGTGGAGAGAAACCTGCTTCCTAAAGGGTCAAACAACTCGTCTTACTCTGAGTTTCTACGGATCCAGGCCAACGGGGCTCTGGACGTGGATATTCTGGATGACGAGATCGCGAGACTGGCTCTCGAGCCCGGCGACCTGCGTCCAATCGCACAGATCATGATCAGTGCCCGGTTGAGCTCGCGGTGTCTTTCTCTAGGTGTGCGGATCCTGGCCGACGCCCCAGTTTGGCCGATCGCCTTGGTGTTTGCGGAAGCGCTCAAGGCCCGTGCCACCGCCATTCACCACACACAGTCTCGGTTCAGTCCGGCTGCGTCTAGGGATACTTAATGATTTAATGTTCTTTGCATGTACGGTAAAAAAATTTGAAAAAAAAAATCGTTAAAAAAACGGTTTATTTATGGGTTCTGTGTTACGGTCTATTTTGAACATGACAAAGACCAAAATGACCGGAAAAGAGCTCTACGAGAAGCTGGGCCGTCCGAAGAAAGTGGTGGCACCTATGGTGGACGGGTCAGAGCTCGCATGGCGAATGATTTCCAGAAAATACGGCGCTGATTTGTGTTACTCGCCCATGCTGCACTCCAGACTGTTTGCTACAGACGACAAGTACCGCGAGAAGATGTTTGGGCCGATGGACGGTGACGAGAAAGTCGACAGGCCGCTGATTGTGCAATTTTGTGCCAACGACCCGGAGTATTTGCTCCAGGCCGCAAAACACGTTGAGGACCGCTGTGACGCCGTGGACCTAAACCTCGGATGTCCGCAGGGCATCGCTCGTAAGGGCCACTACGGGTCGTTCCTGATGGAGGACTGGGACCTGATCTCGAAACTGATCAACAACTTGCACAGAAACCTTAATGTTCCGGTGACGGCGAAAATTCGGGTCTACGACGACTGGGAGAAGAGTCTCAACTACGCCAAGATGTGTTTGGATGCAGGAGCACAGTTCATCACTGTTCACGGCCGCACGCGGGAGATGAAGGGCCAGAAGACCGGGTTTGCCAACTGGAAGCTCGTCAAGTATCTGAGAGACAACCTGCCTCCAGACACCGTTTTTCTCAGCAACGGCAACATTCTGTATCCAGAAGACATTGACAGATGCATTGGAGAGGTTGGCTGCGACGCCGTGATGTCTGCGGAGGGAAACCTGTACAACCCGGGCATTTTCTGGACAGAGTCAGACGACATTGAGAAACGGTTCCCGCGGATCGACAGGTTTGTGCGGGAGTACTACGAGGTGGTGGCCCAGTGCGAGGGGCTGGAGAGCAAGCGGTGTTTCAAGTCGCACCTGTTCAAATCGTTGCGCAACTTTTTGAGCGTGCACACCGACGTGCGGGCGGAGATCGCGAAACTGAGCCGGCACTCGTCTTCGGAGGAGTTTGAGAAGGTCGTCCAGCTCGTTGAAGAGACCGTCGCCAAGATATACAAGCAGGAGAACATCCAGGAACTCGACAGGGTTAAGGTTGGCGAGCTGGAAGACTGGGGCGGACGGTACTGGGACGTGCCGTACTGGCGTCTGCAGCCGTACTTCAGAAGAGTCGACGGCAAGGATGGCAAGGAGGTCATCCAAGAAAGCATGAAACGCGTGATGGAGAGCGACGAGCCGGCAAAACGACAGCACGTTGCAACCACTCCTCGCGCCTGACGGATTTTGTAGATTTAGAAATAATTTGAAAAATATTTACTTTAGTCGATAAATATGTCCTTGGTGCGGTTTTTCTCCACGTCGCGGCCGCGAAATGCGTTTCCGTCGGCGATTCGCAACCTCCTGAGCCAGCACTCTATAAACGTGCGGCCCGAGGAGTTTGAGCAGGACGCCCAGCAACCGATACTCGAGCATCTAAAGAAACGGAGACTTATAGAAACAATTGTCAATGAGCCGGAGCTTTCACGGCTGGCGGCTGAGAAACAGCTCGGATTGTACTGTGGAGCCGACCCGACAGCGAGATCTTTGCATCTGGGCAACCTGCTGCCGTTGATGGTGCTGTTGCACTTCAATTTGCGCGGCCATCGAGTGACCCCACTGGTTGGCGGGGCCACAGGAACGGTGGGGGACCCGTCTGGACGCAGCACAGAGCGCCAGCAGATGGAGCAGACCGAGCGGCTGGACAACGTTGCGCGGATCCAGGCCCAGTTCGTGCAGTTCTTCAACCACGGAAAGCTGTACGCTGACAGCAGAGCCTCGAGCCAGCTGGAGCCCGGCCAAGTGCAGGTGCGCAACAACTATGACTGGTGGAAAGATATGGGCTTTCTGGAGTTTCTGGCAAAGTACGGACGCCATATCCGCGTGAATCAGATGCTGGCAAGAGACTCTGTCAAGAGCAGATTGGAGTCGGAACAGGGTATTGGGTACAACGAGTTCACCTACCAGCTGTTGCAGGCATACGACTTCTACCATCTGAAACACCACCACCAGGTGGATATCCAGGTCGGCGGCAACGACCAGTACGGAAACATCGTTGCTGGACTGGATCTGATCGACCGGCTGACTCCAGGAAAGAAAAGTTCTGCTTTTGGAATCACTGTTCCTCTGCTCACCACGGCGAACGGAGTCAAATTTGGGAAGAGCGCAGGGAACGCTGTGTTCATCGACAAGAACTTCACGTCCTCGTTCAACATGTACCAATTTCTGTACAACACTTTGGACGCTGACGTTTCCAACTTACTGTACAAATTCTCTCTGCTTCCAACGGGACTGATAGCGCGGATCTGCGAGTTCCATGAGCAAAATAAGTCCCTGCGGCTGGGACAGCGAATTCTGGCGGTTGAGATGTGCGATCTGATCCATGGTGAGGGCGAAGGAGAGGCCAATCTTCTGATCAGCGATGCGTTGTACGAGGATAAAGATTTTGATGTTGACCGGGTGCTGGACGCTTTCAGACGCCAGAAAATGCTGACCGTTGTTTCCAAAGACGATCTGGCATGCGCAGGAGCGCTGCTGCAAAAGTCCATGGCCAACGTGTCCAAAAAGGAGATCAAACGGCTGATTTCTGGCGGAGCCGTTTCTGCTGGAAGAGAGAAGCTGAAAGTCGGCAAATGGGAGGACCCGATCGACGCGCAAACGGTCCTGGCCGACAAACTGCTGCTTCTTCGTGTCGGGAAACAGTTTCATGTGTACCAAGTCGTGTAAATAGCGTGTAAATAGTACTAGCCACTTCCCTTGCTATGTCTGAAAAGTTTCATGCTTATCCAAGAAACAACGCACCAGATCCACAGAATGACGAAATTCAGCGCAAATGCAAACAAATAGTAACTGTCTATGATTTCGTCGCCCTCGCTGTCGACCACTTTGGAGCTCGCAACCCAGGGGGCCATTAGAGGCCTGGAAAACACCCATTTCCAGGCGCCAAGCATGGTGCCAACGGTGACCACAAACACAGTCGCACTTAGCGCCAGAATCAGATACCCGTACGAGCGCAGCTTAAACGCCAATTGGTCTTTGGCCACCGCCGTCTGGCTGTTGTAGTGGACCGAGTGGGTGTTTCTGTGTTTGGGTCGATGCATCTAGATGGAATAAAATAAAGCTAAAAAAAAATTAGGCTTAAATGATAATCAGCGAAGTAGCCAAATATTACAAAGACCAGTACGCCGAGTCTCAACGAGAACACATACGACGTCTTCTTCAGGAGAAACGGCCGAGCAATGGCCCGTTTGCCAGACAGGTGGCTGCCGTGAGCCATCTGATGGACAAGTATATGGATTCGGACGCCCAATCGGCCGCGTTGGACGTGGTGTTAGAGTCTGGGATCTACGACAAGCTCGAGCCGTTTGCCGACGAGCCAGATTACATTGACAGACTTGTCAAGTCGCTGCTTGAGTGGTACAAGAACGAGTTTTTCCAGTGGATCAACAAACCGGCGTGCGAGTGCGGCAATAGCGACCAGAACCAGATCCAGCCTCTGCAGCCGATGCGGCCGTACACTCGGGCCCATTTCGAAGGCCAGGCTGGCATTGTTGAACGGTACAAGTGCGGAAAGTGCTCGAAAACCATCGAGTTCCCCAGATACAACAACCCAAAGACCCTGCTATCGTTCCGCAAGGGCAGATGCGGCGAGTGGAACAACTGCTTTATTTTGATTCTGTGTTCTCTGGGACTTAACGTAAGGTATGTTTGGAACGCCGAGGATCACGTGTGGTGCGAGTTCTTCTCAAAGAACCTCAATCGATGGATCCATCTCGACAGCTGCGAAAACCAGTTTGACAACCCAACGCTCTACTGCACCGGATGGGGCAAGAAGATGTCGTATGTGTTTGCAATTCACAGAAACTACATCGCAGATGTTTCTGCCAAATACATCAAGAAAAACCAGCTGCCAAGAGATAAGATCTCGGAGCAACAGCTTGCAGACACCATGGCATACATTAACCTCACCAAATGGCTCACTCTGGACACAGAAGACTTGCTGACGACTCTCGCAGACTTCATGAACGACTCCCGAACACGCACATTGGCCCCAACGCCGTCGCCCGCTAAACAGCTCCCGCGCCAGAGCGGTGCTCCCGAATGGACAGCCACTCGCGGCGAGGCTGGATCACGTAATCAATAGCGATTCGGGCTGTGTAAAGGTAAAAAAAAAATTTAGGAAAAATATTTCAGTATACACTCTGGAAGAACAGTGAGAGAATCAGTCAACATGTCGTATTCGCTTGTTATTGATTTCCAGAAGTACTTCCAGATCTATAAAGATGTCCGGGGACGAGTTTGTTCCAACAGAATCCCCGAGCCATTTTTGTTTGACAAGAGTGTTTCCAACTCTGCCAATTTATCTAATCTTGCATTAAGTCTATTGACCAATGAGGCTATCGAGCCGTACATTTGCTCGCTTCGACCACTGATGGTTGAGCTTGCCTCGAGACTTGTTACCAACGACGAGATCGAGAAAACATATTTGAAACTCGCACAGAAACCCGTCAATGTGGCTGGATCCGTGTCTTTGAGCAGTCTGACCAAAATTGGAACTAGTTGTCCCGAGATCCTCACGATCATCGAATATTATCTTCAGAAGAAACAGTTCTGGACAATGATCCATCCAGAAACCATCGATCAGCACGAAATGCATTGGATTTTACTCTCCTTTTATAGACTCGTCAGAACCAACTGTGAAAAATTCAGTCGATACATTGACTCTGCATTACTTTACACCATCATCAGTTCCGACCGCACCACTGGCGTGAACAAGTATTTGGCCATTCGGATACTGGCCGTCTGTTTGTTTCTTTCGGAGAAAGTCGCTTTGGAAATGGTCTCGAGAATCCCCAAAGACCAGCTATTTGGAGTCTACGAATACACAGACAGCGTTGATTACCAGTTCTTGGATCTCTACGAAGCGAAAAGACTGGAAACTATTCAAAATTCTATTCATTTGAGTCCTGCTGCCTCAGAAAACAAATATACCATTAAGTTCCAGCAGACAGACTTCTCTTTGGGAGCCACCATTGTTGCTGATGTTGTGATTCCTAACATTTCGAGTTTGGTTCAGGGAGTGAAGGCAAGTCCATCTGGTACTGATTTCGTGCCGATTCAGAAATCCACCGTTGCTTTGAACAAGCTGGCCCAGAGCATTCAAAAATCAGAGCCAGTTTTACTGGTTGGCCGTTCAGGAACGGGTAAAACGTTCCTTATCAACGAGGTGGCCAAACAACTGCAGCTGGATACCATGGTGAAGATCCATCTTAATCAGCAGACCGACTCCAAGCTGCTTCTGGGAACGTATTCCTCGGGAGCCACTCCGGGAACGTTTGAGTGGAAAAACGGCGTGCTCACCACTGCTGTGAAAGAAGGCCGTTGGGTTCTGGTTGAGGACATCGACAAGGCTCCGAACGAGGTTCTCTCCATTTTGCTTAGTTTGCTCGAGAAAAGAGAGCTCACTATTCCTTCCAGAGGAGAGGTCATCAAGGCCGCTAATGGATTCCAATTAATTTCGTCTCTTCGATTAGCCGGAGACTCGCGCAACCACACGCTTCCCCAGATGATTGGACAACGGCTCTGGAACGTTGTTGAGCTCGAGGAGCTGGAAACCAAGGAACTCAAGCTGATTCTGTCCACCAAGTTCCCGTTGCTTGTCAACTTCACATCCATGTTCATCAAATGTTTCCAGAACGTTAAGGAACTTTACGACTCGCGCAAGTTTTTGACGATGAACAGAGGAGCTCAGCCTAGAGCTCTTACTATCAGAGACCTAATGAAGCTATGCAAGCGTTGCAACAAGATTCTCACAGATAATAACGTCGCCAGCTCGCACGACATGCTGACCGAAGAGGTATTTGACCTGATCTTCCAGGAGACAGTTGACTGTTTCACCAGTTCGATCGTGGAAAGAGCTCCTATTGAGGCCGTCGTGAAGGAGATTGGTGTGTGTTTGGAAGTTCCTACTTCGCGTGCTACCGTTTACCTAAGCAAGCACATTCCGTCGTTCCAGGAATTTGAGGACTCTGTTTCTGTTGGAAGAGCACATTTGACCAAGAAAGCTGTTGCTGGACTCAAACCTGTCAGAAAACAGACGTCCTTTGCAAAGACAAACCACTGTTTGCGTTTGATGGAGAAGATCGGTGTTGGTATTTCTCTCTGTGAGCCATTGCTCATGGTTGGAGAAACAGGTACTGGTAAGACCACCATTGTGCAAGAGGTTGCCAGACTGTTGAACAAGAAACTGACTGTGATCAACGTGTCTCAGCAAACAGAGGTCGGTGATCTGCTTGGTGGCTTCAAGCCGGTCACCACCAAAAGTCTGGCTATTCCGTTGGAGGAGGACTTTGAAGAGCTTTTCAAACGGTCGTTCTCGGTAAAGAAAAACGAACAGTTCATGAAACTTCTGGCCAAGATGTTTAACAAGTCTCAGTGGAAAGGTGTGATCCGTCTATGGCGCGAGGCTTTCAAGATGGCCGAGAATCTGTTTGCCAAACAGGACGACGACTCTACAAAGAAACGGAAGCTGAACGATACCGACAAGGCAGAGCTCATGGCCGAATGGCGCCGTTTGTACGCGCGGATCCAGGAGTTTGAGAAACAGGGCAGCTCCGCGGAGAAGTCTTTGGTTTTCAAGTTCGTGGAAGGATCGCTTGTGCATGCTGTGCGGAACGGTGACTGGGTTTTGCTGGATGAAATGAACCTGGCAGCTCCAGAGACTTTGGACAGCGTTTCGGAGCTCTTGAACGAGGAAGGAGCACAGAGAAACCTGCTGCTTTCTGAAAAGGGTGACGTCGAGAGTATCAAGGCCCATCCTGATTTCAGAATCTTTGGATGTATGAATCCGGCTACCGATGTTGGTAAGAAAGATCTTCCCGAAGGAATTCGGTCAAGATTCACGGAAATATATGTCCATTCGCCAGACCAGGACATCGCCGATCTTTTAATGATTATCGACAGTTACATTGGAAGATACTCGTTATCTGACGAATGGGTTGGGAACGACGTGGCAGAACTGTATCTATCTGCCAAAAGACTCGCCGATGCAAACGAACTCGCCGACGGTAGCAACCAAAAACCCCATTTCAGTGTCAGAACACTGACGCGTACTCTTCAGTACGTGCGTGACATTCTTCCGATCTACGGCCTCAGACGCTCGCTGTACGAAGGATTCTGCATGTCTTTCCTGACTCTGCTGGACGCCAGCTCCGAAACCAAACTCAGACCGCTCATTGAAAAATACACAATCCAACGACTAAAGAACGCCAAGTCTGTCATTTCGCAGATCCCATCGAACCCGTCTTCTGAGGCTCAACAGTACGTCCAGTTCAGACACTACTGGATGCGTAGTGGTCCTCTGGAGCCAGAAGAACAGCCCCATTACATCATGACTCCGTTTGTCGAGAAGAATTTGATGAATCTGGTTCGTGCATCCAGTGGCCGGTTCCCTGTTCTGATCCAAGGTCCAACGTCGTCTGGTAAAACGTCGATGATCAACTATCTTGCCAAGATCACCGGTCACACGTTTGTGAGAATCAACAACCACGAACACACAGACTTACAGGAGTATTTGGGAACGTATGTTTCCGACGACACTGGTAAATTGGTGTTCCGAGAGGGTGTTTTGGTGGACGCTTTGCGCAAAGGTCACTGGATCGTTCTTGACGAGTTGAACTTGGCACCAACAGACGTTTTAGAGGCATTGAACAGACTTTTGGACGACAACAGAGAGCTATTCATTCCAGAGACTCAAGAAGTCGTGACCCCTCATCCGGACTTTATGCTTTTTGCAACCCAGAACCCGCCAGGACTTTATGGAGGCAGAAAGATCCTGTCCAAGGCTTTCAGAAACAGATTCCTGGAGCTGCATTTCGACGATATTCCTCAAGACGAGCTCGAGATCATTTTGCGTGAACGGTGTCAAATAGCTCCGTCGTACGCCCAGAAGATTGTTGAGGTCTACAAAGAGCTGACTGTCCAGAGACAGAGCACGCGTCTTTTTGAAAAGAAAGACTCGTTTGCTACTCTTCGTGATCTTTTCCGTTGGGCGTTGCGTGAAGCCGTTGGATACGAGCAACTGGCCGCTAACGGGTACATGTTGCTTGCCGAGCGGGTGAGACGTCCCGAGGAAAAGGTGGTGGTGAAACAGGCATTGGAGAAGGTGATGCGCGTGAAACTGGATATCGATACCTACTACCAGCAGCTGGAGATTCCTGAATTGCTGCAACTTCCAAGCTCCATCGTCTGGACCAAGGCCATGCGTCGTTTGGCAGTTTTAGTGGCTACTTCCATCAAGTACAAGGAGCCTTTGCTTTTGGTTGGAGAGACTGGTTGCGGAAAGACCACCGTTTGTCAGCTGATTGCTCAGTTCTACGGAAAACAGCTGGTTACCGTTAATGCTCACCAAAATACAGAAACAGGAGACCTACTTGGATCTCAGAGACCGGTCAGAAACAGACAGAAGCTGAAGGACAACTTGGAGGCTGGTCTGAAACAGGTTTTGACCAATCACAACGTCCCGGTGTCTACGGTGACTGCCATGATGGAGGAGTACGAGAGTTTGAAGAAACAGGGAGTTTTGGAGGAATCTGAGAAACAGCTGGTTGAACAGCTTATTTCTGCTTCCAAAGTCCTGTTTGAGTGGTTTGACGGTCCATTAGTCTGTTCCATGAAAGACGGCAGTTTCTTTCTGCTCGACGAAATATCGCTGGCCGACGACTCTGTGTTGGAGCGTCTCAATTCCGTTTTGGAGCCGGAGCGGAGTTTGTTGCTTGCAGAGAAGGGAAGTGAGGACGCTGCAGTGACTGCTGCGGACAGTTTCCAGTTCTTTGCAACCATGAACCCCGGCGGCGACTACGGTAAGAAGGAGCTGTCTCCAGCGTTGAGAAACAGATTCACCGAGATCTGGGTTCCTTCGATGGAGGACTTCGACGATGTTCGTCAAATTGTCGAGTCTCAGCTTAACCAAAAGGCACACGGTCTTATTGACAGCGTTGTTCAGTTTTCGCAGTGGTACGGCCACAAGCTCGGCGATGGGTCTGCCTCGAGTGGAGTGATCTCTCTGCGTGACATTCTCGCCTGGGTCTCGTTCATCAACAACGCTGTCGAGAACGGAATTCGTCCCCATATGGCTCTTTTGCACGGAGCTTGCATGGTTTTCATTGACGCTCTGGGAACCAACAACACAGCGTTCTTGGCCGACAACGAAGAGCGCCTGCGACAGTTCAAGCTGGAATTTGTGGACAAGCTTGCCGAGATCTCCAAAACCGACTTGCGGACACCATACTTGGCAACATACCAAGTCCAAGTGTCTGATACGTATCTTCAATGCGGTGACTTCAAAATCGATAGAGTCCATCCAGACAACAAAACGTCGTTCAACTTGGACGCTCCAACGACTGCTCTGAACGCCATGCGTGTGATCCGTGCCTTGCAAGTTCACAAGCCTATTTTGCTGGAAGGAAGTCCTGGTGTTGGAAAAACAAGTTTGGTGTCTGCTCTTGCGGCAGCTGTTGGTAAAGACCTCACCAGAATCAATCTCTCTGAGCAAACGGACTTGATTGACCTGTTTGGATCGGACTCGCCAGTGGAGGAAGGAGAAACAGGAGAGTTTAGATGGAGAGACGCTCCGTTCCTGCGTGCTATGAAGCGGGGAGAATGGGTCCTATTGGACGAAATGAACCTGGCTTCGCAGTCCGTCTTGGAAGGACTCAACGCCTGTTTGGACCACCGTGGTGAAGCGTACATTCCTGAACTGGACAGAAGCTTCCGCGGCCATCCTGACTTTTTGGTTTTTGCAGCTCAAAACCCGCAACACCAGGGTGGTGGCAGAAAAGGATTACCGAAATCGTTTGTGAACCGGTTTACCGTCGTTTACGTCGATATGTTGACGGAAACAGATTTGAAGATGATCGCCAACCACCTGTATCCTGCTCTGGAGAAAGACGTTTCTGACAAGTTGATCGACTTTGTCTCTGAGCTAGAGAAGGAGGTTGTGATTCACCGCCAATGGGGTGCGACTGGTGGACCTTGGGAGTTCAACTTGAGAGACACGCTTCGTTGGCTGTCTTTGTTAAACAGCCCTAGTCTTCTGGACTCACCTTGTGCTGGTGATTTCTTTGAGATGATTGTTCAACAACGGTTCCGTACTCCAAACGACAGACTTCGTGCTCAACAGCTTTACGAACAGATCTTTGGTGCAAGAAAGCCATCTGCTCCATACTACCAGCTGAATGTTGATTACGTTCAGTGTCAAGCGGAAGTTGTTCCCAGGAACTTTCTGATTCAGCACATTGTTGATGACAAGCTGAGCTCGTTGCAATGTAACTACTCTGTCTTGGAAACTCTTCTTCGTTGTGTCAAAAAACAATGGCCATTAATTCTTGTTGGACCTTCCAATTCGGGGAAAACAGAGCTGATCAGATTCGCTTCGGGAATTCTGGGTACCAAGCTGTACGAGTTCTCCATGAACAGCGATATTGACAGTATGGACATTCTTGGTGGATACGAACAGGACGATTTGTCCAGAGAAATTTCTGAGTTTGCCAAAGATCTAAAAGAATTGCTCATGGAACTGGCAGCGTACAATCTGCTCACCAACAGTGGAGATAGCTCTGTTTTGAAGCACACTTTGAGATTTATTGACTTCCTATCCAATGCCGAGTTCTCAAAACAGCAGTTTGGTCAGTTGGAATCGTTCTTTGATGTTCTGCAACAATCAATGTCCAACGACAAGTTCGACCAGCTCAAAGAACAGTACTCCGTTTTGGCTCACAAACTGAACCAAGGAGACAAGATCAAGTTCCGCTGGTTCGACAGTCTTCTGGTCCAGGCAGTGGAGAAGGGATACTGGCTTGTTCTGGACAACGCCAACCTCTGTAGTCCAAGTGTTCTGGATAGATTGAATTCTCTTCTGGAGATGGACGGTTCGCTGATCATCAACGAATGCACAGACGCTGACGGAAATCCAAGACACCTGAAGCCTCATCCGAACTTTAGACTGTTCCTCACTGCTGATCCAGCATATGGAGAGCTTTCTAGAGCCATGAGAAACAGAGGTATCGAGATCTTCATGAACCCTATCGAATCACGTGCTTCTGACTTTGACCGCCTAGTTCTGCAGAAAAACAGCACATCAAGCTTTGTTGGCTCGTTCAACTCGTCTTTCGCCCCATTGGCCGTGCTGTTAGATGCACTGAAAGCTCCAAATGGACAAACTCCAGACATACTTTCTAACGTGCTCCCAATACGGTCCGGTCACGTGATCAAGGATTTGGTGCCAAACGTGTACAAGGTGTCTGGATTTGAGTCCGTTGTTTCCCCGTTGGAGGCGATTGCCGGACGAATTGAGTTCTACGAGAGCTTAGGGCTTCCTAGAAAGCTTGAGCAGGCGTACAACAGGGCACAGAAGGGAGCCGAGGTGGCTGTTTTGGCCAAATCGCAGGCTCTGCAACCGTTGATCAACACATACATTCTTGGGAAGCTCTCGGAGGAGTACGCTCCTACCGAAGAGGCCCATTACCTGTTCCATGTTTTGGGAATGGTTTACGAGGCACAAAGGTATCTGACGAAGCTGGAAAAACGCGTTGAGAGTGCCAAAGTGACAGAGTTGACGTATTTGGAGAAATCTGCTGCGCATGCAAGCGGCAGAGCTTTGAAGAGCGTTCCTAAACTGAATCTCTACGGTTTGGTCACCAAGATCGTTGACTTTGTCAAGAACGAGGTCAGCTCGATGGATGAGCTGTGGCAGATTTCTGGCAAGTACAAGTCGCTGTTCAAGTTGATGTTCATCTGGCAAAACATTATTGAGTGTTCCAAAGTTCAGCACGAGACGAAGCTCAGAATCTACCAGGACAAAATCCTGGACTGGCTCGACGACTACAGCGGCGAAGGTTCTGGTCTACGCCAGGTTGTTGACTCGTTCTCGAAACAGTTGCAGTTGACCCAGGGCTACTCTATGACTCTCATCTGGGAGAAGAGCAAGGATCTGTATCCGAGCACTCCAGAAGGATGGAGCAACTACCACCAGCTGATGGATGTTGCAGTGGAGTTTGACGAGATCTGCATGGAGCAGTACTCAGAGAACTTTGAGATGGTGACCAGTCTCAGACAGGTGTTTGTTGCACTGTTTGAGGACTGTGTGAACGGTGGCTTAATTGAACATCTGGAAGAGTTGAAGCAGAAAATTACAGCGCTGAGAGATATTTCGGGAACTTTCCTCAACCAACGCAAACACCCATACACTCACATCTTTGATCTGGTGCTCAACTTTGCTGATCTGCTGAGCTGCTCGTTGGGAGCAGGATTGGAGAAATCAAGGGAGAATTACAGGTTTGCTCTTCTGGCAGCTAGATCAACTAGCTCCCTTACTAAATGGAGTCAGGACCGGTTCAAGCCTTATCCAAGAATCTTCGACCAACTGTGGACATCTAAAGGCGAACCGAAGGTGGTTGACTTGTTGAACCAGACTTTGGTGGAAGATCTTGTTGCTGCTGGTTCTGGAATGAAACAGCTTTCTGGATCGAGCATTGACGAGGCACTTGTTGATGCCAGGTTCATGCTCCAAATGGCTATCAAGAACAGCGCAGCTTTCAGCTCTCCTCTGGAGAACATACAGTCGTTGCTGGTGCAGTGGATTCTGTACATCTGTGGATTCCATACTGGAGAGTCGCTGGAGTTCCTTAATCTCCAGCAAAATATCACCAGCGAAACTGTTTCCAGCTACCAAAAATCTCTGGATCAGCTACCAAACTTCCAGCAAGTGTTCAGTGTGTTTTTCGTTCCTGCCTTGCTCTCGACACCATCGAGAAAGTCTGTGGGCAGCTCGTGGGTGCTGTTTGCGTGCGGGATGATCATGCTGTTTGTTCCAAACCACGCGTACGACCCAGCCATCGTGGACCATGTGGCCTACGACGACTACGCCAAGCTCGAGTCGCTGATTGGCGAGATCAAAGACGCGTGGGTGTCGTTTAGACGTGTTCAGTTCGGTGACCAGGAAACGTACGCGGAGTCTGTGCTTCCACAAGTGGAAGAGACAGCTCCAAGTGCTCCAAAGGTGTTCCGTTCAGGAGAACCAATTGACACCCTGTTTGAGGAGTGGACTATTTTCCTCGACTCGACGATGAAAGCAAAGACCGAGGGATTGATTGGAGTGGCCGAGACTATCATGGCAAAGAGCTCGCTGGAGGTAGAGAATCTCCACCGGAACTCGACGCAGCTGTTTTTGCGTCTGAAACAAAACTTCGCTGAGTTTTCCGATCTCAACGACGTTCTTGGCGGGTTCATCTACTCACTTAGACTTGGTCTGGACTTGCTGGACGAGAACCGTACATGCGAGTCAAAATTATGGAGTGTTGATCCGTCAGTTCTTGGAAACGCCGACAAGACCAAAGAAATATACTCCGGTCTGGAGAAGACAATTAAAAAACAATCTATTGACCATGAGGATGTTGAGAAACTTGCTATTTTCAACATGAAGGTCTTGAAATTCCAAAAGGCTTACGCAGACACAGAGGAGATGTTCCAGAAGTCGCTAATGACGGTCTACTACAGATGGACTGCCAGAAGGCTTAAACAGGACGAGCAGGAGTCTTTGCAACAAGGTGTGTTCCAATTCTCCGACCCTACATTGGATGCTGAGAAGGAATTCCAACAGCTTTTCCCTGATGCCGATATAGAACTTACCGGTGACGGATCCAACATCAACTGGGATCATATCTACTCCCAGATTGCTTCCTCCTACTGCAACTACTTCCTCGGAGAAGCACAGAGTCTGGAAACAGTTGTTTTGGACGGAACAGACGTTCTTGACAGTGTTGATAAACTGGTCAAGCACCCTAGCGGAGCACAAAACACAGAATCGCTGCTTTCGAGTACAATCTACCAGATTGTCACGTCGATGAACAAGTTCTCGTCGAACCAGGGCCAGACCATCGACTTCTACCGCGACTACAGTCCGTACGAAACACGCAGATCGGGCAAGATCGTGCTGGCTCTGCAAGGTCACGTGAACGAGCTGCTGAAGCAGTGGCCCGAGCACGCTACTTTGCAGCAACTTTTCCGGATTTGTCAGGAGTACGTCGACTTCCGCGTGGACACTCCGGTTTACCGGCTGTTGGCCAAGATCGAGCAGATCTACACGTTTGTCAGCGAATGGGAGAAGTATGCACATTCGGGTGTTTCCTTGCAGAGACACGGCCAGAGTCTTGCTGACCTGATTGTTTCCTGGAGAAGACTCGAGTTGAATTCCTGGAAGGAGGTCTTGGCGAACGAGGAGAAGGCCGTTGAACAGGCCGTCGGAAAATGGTGGTTCCATCTGTTTGAGAGCATTGTTGTTTCGGAAGAGCAGGACGTGCTCAAATTGGTTGCAGCTGTGAATGTGTTTATTTCCAGAGGAACTAAGGGTGACTTGAAGCACCGGTTTAGACTCGTTCGTGCGTTCAGCGAACAGGTCAAACACGATAAGACGATCTACAGTGCTCTGATGAACATTCTGGACTTTTTCCAGCCGTTCCTAACCATTGTTGAGCAAGCTGTTTCGAACGAGAAAAAGACTTTGGAGAAACAGGTGAAGGAAGTCATTCTTCTTGCCAGCTGGAAAGACGTCAACATCGACGCTTTGAAACAGAGTTCGCGCAAATCGCATCAGAGCTTGTACAAGCTTGTGAGAAAGTACAGAGACCTTTTGAACAGCACCATCACCGAGATGGTCGAGTCGGGACTCGGATCGACTCCCGTGGTGATTAACCAAAAGACCATCGGTATGGTTCCTGTTTCGCTTGGAGAACTTGGCTCGTCTGAGGTTTCTCTTTTCAACAACATCAAAACGATCCACCATAACATGCAGGTTTATCTCGGGGACCTTTCTTCTGAATCTTTTGGAGGCTTCTACGAGTACTGCGAAGAAATTGTTGCTGCTGCTAGGAAACTCCGCGAAGAAACACCAAAGACATTGACCGACGAGAATAAGAAACTGGTTGCAAGTCTGAAACAGGAGAAACGTAAACTGCTCAGTGACACGTTGAAGGAGCTGCGTCGCAGTGGTATCAAGTTACAAACAACCACAAAGACCCAGGCTCTGCTTGCGTCGACAACGACTATTCTTGCTAACTCCAACACTTTGAGAAACGGACCCTTGGAAGGAGCAGACGTGTACTTTTTCCGGGTTCTTGAGCTGCTTCCAAGACTGCGTGCTGCCGTGAGCAACTGTCATGCGGAGGTTCCTATTACCGATATCCAAAGGGCACTGGCTGCTGTCGAGAACGTGCTTGTTTCTCTGATAACCACGCGTCACAAGATTGCCGATGTTTCGGTGCTACATGTGACGGTCGAAAATGTTTTGAAGAGCTTCAAGGTTGCAAATTCGGGCAAACCTGTTGCTATTGACCCGCAAACACACGAAATTGTCCATGTTGTCCAGAAGCTGCCAGAAATCGTTTCATTCTCTGGTAAAGTGACTGAAATCATCTCTGAGCTTGGAATCAGTGCTACTTTGAAGCTGGAGACGCCAAGACTTGATATTGACACCAAGTTGTTCACCGAAACTGAACAGAGCATGGTAGCTGATGCCAGAAATGGCCTGGACAAGATGAAGACCCAGTTGTACCGTTGGAAGGCCGACAACCCGACCGTCAAGTTTGTTGCTGAAACTGTCCTGGACTGGCTGGATGTGCCTGTTTCCATTAATACTCTTTCCTTGTCCAAGTCTGACGACGATGTTGAGGAGGTTGGAAGCAAACTATTTGGCTCTATTTTGGTTTCTATCCAGAAACTTCGCCAGTTGCAAACCACTCCGTTAGAGGCTGACGAGGACAACTGGTTGGTGGATAGTCAGCGTCGTTTGGTGAAGTACATCGATCTTCTTTATGGAGAGGTGATGCAAGAACGCATTGTTGGGTTCCTGAATCTGCTGGAAAATATCCAATACGATGAGGAGACCAGCGCCGAGGTGAAATCTGTTCTTGGGTACGTTGTTCCGCTGTTGGAACACTATCTGAACGCCGTGAGCATCATTGTTTCCAAGATCCAGGACAACTATGTTGGAACGTCCAAGGGACTCTACGAGCTGTGCACGCTGCTTTTGACTGTTGCCACCGACGGATTCTGTTCTCCAGAAGGGTCTCAGGAAGAAGAGTCTGGCCAGGACCAGAACGGAACGGGACTTGGAGACGGAGAAGGAGCCACAAATAATTCTAAGGACGTTGAAGAAGACGAGAATTTGGAAGACTACGTTGGGGGCGAGCAGGACGGTGAGAAGGAACAGCGGGAGGACGAGAACGATGATGCGGTGGATGTTGAAGGAGATATGAAAGGTGACCTTGAAGAGATGGAAGGCAAGGACGAGGAAGGAGAAGACGGCGACGAAGAAGAGGCCGACGAGGAAGTTGGCGACGTGGACGATTTGGATCCAAACGCTGTTGACGAGAAGATGTGGGACGAAGAGGCCACCAGCGAGAAGGAGAAGGAGAAGGACGACCTCAAAGGAAAACAGGGCGAGGACATGGAAGCTGTTGATGAAGATGAGAAAGAAGGTGATGGAGATCAGGGAGAGCAGGAGAAGACCGAGGAAGGAGACGAAGGAGAGGAGGAGGATGTTGCAGAGCAGGAAGATGAGGTCCGCAATGATGGTGAGGACGGAATGGAGATGGACGCCGAGCAGGGCGAAGCTTTGGAGCTCGAAGACGACATTAATCTTGATGGAGACGAAGAAGGAGACGAAGAGGAAGAAGAAGAAGGTGACATGGACATTGACATGGAGGAGGAGTCTGAGATGAAGGACGAGCAGGAGGATGCTGGAGAGGATGCTGAGGCCGACCAGGAGAACGTTGACGGTCAAGAGGCTTCGGAAGAGGAGGCCGAGGACGGCGAAGAAAACAACGACGCCGAGCCTGGTCAGGACGACGGATTGGACGAGGAGATGGAAGCCGGCGAGGAGCAGGTCAATGACGAGGGAGAGAATGAGAATCCATCTGAATCTGAAGAACTGGCCGGCGAGAACGCCAAGGAGAACGAGGAGCAAGAAGACATGGACGGTGCGGAAGGAGGAGCTGAAAACGCTCCGGACACGATGATGAACGCCGATTCTGCTGCTTCTGCCAACGAGGGTGCACAGGCCGAAGGCGCCAGTGCTGCCGCAGACAACGAGCAAGATAGCGTGGGAGCCAGTGGAGCAGCCCAGGCACAAGAGGCAGCCGAACAAACTGACTCGTCGCGTGAAAACGCATCAAACACTCTGAAACAGATGGGTGACGCTCTCAAGGAGTTCTACAAGCGGCACCAGGACATTCTGGAGACCGATGTGGAGGCTGCGGAACAGAAGGGCGAGAACCCTGACGAATTCCAGCATCTGGACGGTGACAACGCCGACACAGACACGCAGGCCGTGGGAGCTGCTTCCGAGGACCAGGCCATGAAGCTCGACGACGACATGGAGATCGATGAGGCCGAGATTCCACAGGAACACAACCAGGATGAGTCTGTGAAGCAGGAAGGTGCGGCCGACGGAGGCGAGGCCGGCGAGCTGGAAGAAACCGACGAACCAGCCGACGAAAAAGAGCTGGGCGGCCGCGTCAAGCGCGAGCACGACGGCATTCCGCAGCTCGACGACCTCGACTCCGACGAGGAAATGGACTCTGACGCCCAGTCGCAGCCAGAAACCGCGACCGCACTGTCGTCCCTGCGTTCCTGGGACGAGGCACGTGACCTGTGGCAGCACGCGGACGAAGCTACACGGGAGTTCACTGCCGGGCTTTGCGAGCAGCTGCGGCTGATCCTGGAGCCCACCGTGGCCACCAAGCTGCGTGGAGACTACAAGACCGGAAAACGGCTCAACATGAAGAAGATCATCCCGTACATCGCGTCGCAGTTCCGCAAGGACAAGATCTGGATGCGCAGAACAAAGCCTAACAAGAGACAGTACCAGATCATGATTTCTGTGGACGACTCAAAGTCGATGGCCGAGTCCAAGGCAGTCGAGATCGCGTTCCAGTCGATCGCGCTGGTTTCTAAGGCCCTGACCCAATTGGAGTCTGGCCAGCTGTCTGTGGTGAAGTTTGGAGAGACTACCAATGTGGTGCATCCATTCGAGTCGCAGTTCAGCGCCGAGGCCGGAGCGAAAGTGTTCCGCAACTTCACGTTCGAGCAAACACGCACAGATGTGCGGAAACTCGTGGAAACGTCGCTCGACCTGTTTGCAGCTACCAAACCGGCATCAGAGAACCTGTGGCAGCTGGAGATCGTGCTTTCCGACGGAGTCTGCGAGGACCACGACACCATTCGCCGTCTGGTGCGTCGCGCACGCGAAAACCATATCATGCTGGTGTTTGTGGTGATCGATGGAATCGCCAACACCGAAAGCATCCTGCAAATGAGCCAGGCCAAATACGTGCCTGACGCGTCTGGAGAGCTCAAACTCCAGGTCGACAAGTACCTGGACACGTTCCCATTCGAGTACTACGTTGTTGTGAGCGAGATCGAGGAGCTTCCAGAAATGCTTGCCTCCATTTTGCGCCAGTTCTTTGCCGAGACTGGCGACCGCTAGTCCATCTATGATGACGTAATTTAAGTATTAGAGAATATGAAATTTTTCAGGTTATAAATTTTTTTTTTATCTCGGCTTCTCCTTCCCTCGCGTTCTCTTTCCCCCCTATCTTGTATATAGACTCTTCCCCATACAAACGCAAAATTTTACCACTTTCTCTTCATGACTAACTACAGAGAGTACCAGAAGGTGCTCAAGTTGAGCTTCTCGGACCATCCGGCCACTGTGACGCCTCCAGCGTCTTCGCCAGAATCGTCGCCGCACCTGGCTCCTCGAAATCTGTCTCCGGAGCCCAAAAAAAAGATCACCAGAACGAAAACCGGATGTTTCTGCTGTCGAAGACGCAAGAAGAAGTGCGACGAGCGCAAACCCGCCTGTTCCGGCTGTATTCGCAACATGCTCACGTGTGTGTATCCCGACGAGTCGCAGATCTCGAAACCAAAAAGACAACCCAAATCGCAGCCGGCTGAGCACCAACACATCCAATTCACGCCGCTCTCTCCTATTTGCTCGCCAGAAGTCAAGGAACGAGAATACACGATGGAAAGACGCGAGATTGCGCCCCAATCAGTCACTCCGAAAGTGTGCTCCCCGCCAAAATTCAGATACCCCTCTGGCATCAGTATCAAAAGTTTACTGAATTAGCTAATGCATTCGAGTATGTAGAGCGCAACATATTACTTATTCGTTTTTCACTTGACTCCAAGCTTTTCTCCCTTGGATTTCTTCTTGTAGTCTGCAAGACTGAATTTCTTGACGATCTTTGGTTTTTCTTCCTCTTTGGCCTCCACCAGCTCCACCTTGGACGGCTCCTTCGCAGCAACAGCGACCGGGATGTATAGTTTGTCCGAGGCTTCCAGAGGCTCTTGCTTTGGTTCCTGTAAATACTTCTTGATGATTTGGTATTTCGGTGGTAGCACCGTTGGGTCGATCGTCATCTGTGTCTCTGTCTCGAACTTGTTCAGACTCTTGTCCTCGCTGGTGGTCTCGCCCAGCGACTCAAAGATGATCCGTTCCCGGTTTTGCTCGCGCGACCCAATAGAGTAGTACTCCTGTGCCAGATCGGCCAAAAGGGCCTGTTTTCGACTGTTCCGACTGTACATCTTCTTCACCTTGTTGAGCAGACAGTCGCCGGAGTTGGATGCGCATCCACACTCGGTCAGGTCCAAAATAGCCTGCACAGAGGCAACCAGCCGTGCACGCTCGGTGCTATCCAGGTCGTCCAGTGCAGATTCCTTCAGCTTCAGGATTGGGTGCGACTCGTCCCATTCCCAGGGCAGCGTCAGCTCTGTATCCTGCTCGACGTATTGCGTGGTGGCAAGACAAAAATACACCTGGTCGCCAATGAAAACCGTGCGGATGTCGCAGTTTGGAGAACACGACTTGCGCACAAACCGCGTGAGGTTGCCCAGTCCGCGCTCGTCGATCACAAGCGGCAGATCAGGGTGGAAAAACGTCTTTGGTTTCGCGCATCCCAGCAGCCAGTACTGGTTCCATTTCTCCTCAATGTAGTTGTTTTTCAAGTCAACTTCACCAACAATCTCGCTAACCAGCTGGTCTGCCTCCAGCTCGACATTGGTGGACAAATACAACTTCGACAATCCGTTAAAGCGTGCCTTGGAGTTTTCGGGTAGGGATTTCACCTCCAGCTTTGACCTGTCCAGTAGAACGTCTCTGAAAGCCTTCTCTTTGTCAAATCTAATAGGATTGGCGTCGCGGTCTGCAACCAGTTTCGGTAGCTTCTTGATAAGTGATCGCACAGAGCTTGTTTTGTACTCCACGGCCTTGATCTCAAAGTAGAGTGTCTGGTAGCGTTCAACCGCGCCTCCGGAATTGTCGTCGTCCTCAGGGGCTTCTGCGGAACCGGACTTGCGTTTCTTGTTGGCACTGGAATTGGGAGGCTTGGAATCCACAAGCTCGCGGCGAGACTGTGTGCTTCCGGTCAATGAGGTGTTGTTTGGGCGGCGTCGTTTTGGCTGCAGCCGCACGGCCTGCAATTGACGGGCTTTTTCAGCACTAACCACCAGTGTCGGGTCACACAGGTAGCACAGGTAGGTTTCGGGCACCTCGTCGATGTCGTCGATACCCATACAAACTGCGTGTTGCCACCGGAAACAGCGGTCACACTGGATAGTGAATCCGTCGTCGTGCTCGTAGCCGCAAATACAGCCTATCTCGCCGCTATCTGGGTCGACAGCATAGGCAACAATTGAGTCTGAGTGTTTTTCTTCTTTGACCTGTTCTTCCTCCTCCTTTTCCCTTGTTAAGAGAGGCAGAGGTGTGGCCGCGGCCGCCGCAAGAGCAGCCGCGGCAACCATTGCCTTGTTGTTGGACGAACCCTTTGCCAAAGCGGCCGCAGCAGGGCCTGGCGACCTCGCCACTTTTTGATCAAGAGGACGAACTGACGAGTTTTTCGGGTCCTGTCCCGCCACATCGGGCGTTGGGGACGGCGACTTCTGAGCCTCCTCGCCAGTACCAACGTTTAGACGCTGCGACTGGTGCGAAAAAAGCATCAACAGCCCAGCAGCCTCTGTGTCTGGCAGTTCTGGATGGCTTGTCATATGAAGAAATAATTTTAACTTCAGCCTTACTTAAGAGGGAAGGTCGATCGTCCCGACTTAGGCGCAAAAATTCAAGTGCAAATTTCTTCGTCATCAATGGCTCACAGATTACTGGTGCAAGTGGTGTTTACGGGCGCGCGGGTGTTCGGACGTGCGTTCACAGAGGCTTACCGGCAGGCTGCTGCCGCCACGACGGCTCAACAAACAACAAACGGGGCTCAACAGCCAGCTAGCTCAAGAGATACAGACATCTCTCTGGACGAGGCATGCAAGATCCTGGACGTCCAGCCAAGCGGACTGAGTCTGGAGTCGGTGAAGGGCAAGTACGACTACTTGTTCGACGTGAACTCGAAGGAAAAGGGAGGCTCGTTCTACGTCCAGTCAAAGGTCTTCCGTGCCATGGAAAGAATCAAAAACGAACTAGACCATCTGGAAGAGACCCAGCGAGCGCAAAAATGATCTTGTGTATATAGGAATTACAATGTCAAAACACCATAGTGGATGAAACAACAGCCGCAATAATGTAGCATGCTCCATCGTCTATCTAACGCATCTTGTTTATTCTAAGGACCTGAACGGAGTGACTACCGTGGCTTTGTTGTTAGCAAAGTCGGTACAGACACTTAGCTGATCTCAAACCCACACAACTGCCACCATCGCAGCTGCTAGGGATTGAATGGCCCTATGGTAATAATATACTAGTTTAGTATACCTACTGATGTGAAGAAAATTTTAAGCTCTGTAAAAACTTTTTATAGCGCCCTCTCCGCACCACTCCAGAGACCGCACTCCAGAGACCGACCAACACCCTTAGATCCCAAGCCCAAGAAGCATCTCCTCTGCGTCCTCTCCAAACTGCACAACACCGCCAGAAACAACCTTTTCTGGCGCACCGTTCTCGTCCAAATGGCCCACATACTTTGGCTTGTTCCACCGCTTCGCCTCGTTCTCGTAGTCCCAGATGTTCTGGGAGTTCTTTTCCAGCTGTTGCAAACCCTGCACGTTCATCTCGTTCTCCAGTTTCTCGATCTCGCCGTCAGACTCCAGCTCCACGTCCACCTCGTTCATCACCACCTTCCCGTCCTTGATGCTCATATCTATCATTTTCTGGCCGCGTCCTGTTCGTTTTTTCTCCTCCTGTTCCAGACGTTTCATTTCCTGCTGCTGTTTCTTCAACTGGAGTGCTCGTTCCACAGGAGTGGCCCAGGGACTCAGATTATTCGCAGGGACCTCGAAATCGGACGCCTGGTCGATAATTTTCGTTCTTTGCGATCCGCTGGCCTGGAAATTCAGCAGTGTGTCCAGTCTTTGCTCGGCCTTGAGCAGCTCGGCGTCCTTATCCTTGGTGGCTTCCATGTACTCGATCTTCTTGACCGCCTGCTCGAGCTCTTCTTTCTCCTTTCTGTTTTTCTCGAGCGTCTCGCGCTCCAGCTCCTTCCGTTTCTCGATCCGCTTGAAAAGCTGGTCTTGCACTTTGAAGTTGTTCTGTCCAGCAGAGCTCACCGAAATGGTAATTTTATTCTTCTTGGGTTTAACCTTCTCCACCACCACCGGCCGCTTGACCCCGTTAATCTCGTCCTTCTCCTTGAGCAGCACCGCGGCAATCTGCCGACGCTCCTCCGTCGTGAGCAGGTCTTTCCCGCAGAACGAGCACGGTTGCAGTCCTTCCTTCACACAGATGATCTTGCCGCAGTTCAGACAGTTGGGGAACATTTCGAACAAGGGGTGTCTTGTGGCGTTGCAGTTGCACACGCGTCCGCCCTGTTGTGACTCGAGCTCGACCAGCGCGTCGTCCAGCTCCTTTAAATTGTCCAGCTTGACGTTCTTGTGCGATTTGGAGAATGACTCAGCAGCAGGAGACGACGGTTTGGCCGGCTTGGAGGTATGTCGCACGATCTTGATGGTGTTTTTCTTTGTCTGTGGCTGTGGCTTGCTTTGCTTGGGCTTTGCTGGCGACTCTTTCTTTTTCTCTGTCTCCTTGGGACCTGTCGCCTTGATGAAGTCTGTGATAAAGTCCAAAGCATCGGGACTTTCTCCGAGCAAATTGGTGAAATGCGAGGTGATTTGTTCAGGGGTCTTCAATTCCTTTGCGGCGTAGTCAACCATTTGGCGCAAAGTGTCCTCGTCTAGCGGCAATAGCCGAACAAGCTTCTTTACAAGAGAATCAGACATTGAAATATTTTCTCCAACTTATTTTTTACCTTGTTTTATTTAATGTCTGAAAGCCAGAAGCTCGAAGAGCGGCTTCGGATTCTGGAAAACGACCTCAAGCTCCAGAAATCGCAGCTTGTTGACCAGCTCGTGCGTAAAAAGGGCCTAATTGCCCCGAAAACGCTGGTCAAGGACCGCAAGTTCGACCCCGACTATGCTCGCAAACTCAAGGCATACAAGCAGCTCATACGACTCAAGAAACGCCTCCACAAACATATCCGATCTAACCAGTTCAAGTACGCATACAAAAACAGAATCACCATAAACAGACTCAATTTTGTCTCCATACACAAAGATACAAAGCTCGCCCTCGTATCTACAAAATATCTCGACACAAACAAGGAGATTGCTTCTTTGGACGATTTGAAAACAACCTTGGTCCACAATGAACACAAGTTTATCAAAACCTTGGAAGGCGATTACATCATGCAAAACCCGCAGTACTCCACAGAAAAAGAATACTGTCTCTATTACACGAGATCAGGAACTTGCTCTAATAATAAATGTTCCTTCGTTCACTCGCCAAACCACGTCGCTTTGTGTCCAAACGTGATCCAGAACAAAGACCGCACATGCACCAAACAGAAATGTACATACTCGCACACCCCGTCGCAGTTCAACGCCCCGTCTTGCAAGTTCTTCCAGTCGCAAAACTGCACCAACGAAAACTGCGTCTTCTCGCACAAACTGGAGGCCAAGGACGCTAAAATATGCCGCGAATTCGCATTGAACGGCTATTGCGACAACGGTCGTAGCTGCTCTCTGGCACACTACTTCGAATGTCCCGACTTGGACGAACTGGGCTACTGTCCAAGAGGAAGTATGTGCAAACTGGTTCACAAATCAAAACTGCCCCCAATCAATCATAAGGCAACTAGAAACATGGATAACGACGATATCCCGAAAACAGAATACCTACTCATCTCAGACTCAGACGAGTCCGACATCGAGCAAGTCCTCGACCAGGACCTCGACATGAACCACGATTACGTCGAGCTCGCTTAATGTTTGACATTTCTTTCGCTAGCCATTTTATAAATGAACGACGCTAGGAGGCCGGCTCACTTGCGTTCCATGAACATGAAACCATGTCATTATAATCACCCAGCTCCTCATCAAGAGCATAATCAACAAACTGGTCCTCGCCACACTCGTCGCCACGAACAATTCACACCTGCGAATCAAACGACGCTTCAATATTGGCAGGTAGAACTTTTTCGGAAGGATGCTTGTTGTCGAGCGGGATCAGCTGGTACGAGTCAGAAATGTACAGTGGCTCGACCAGCCCAGTCTCGCCAGCATAGACTTCATCTCCGTAATCAGACTCGTCATCGTCGTCGTCGTCGAATCCCCAGTCCTGTTGGGCATTCGCAGGCTCTATCAACGAGATCTTCGGCTTCTCGGGAACAGATTGGTACTCCAGCTTAGGAACCTCCTCGTTGTGCTTGATGTTTTCCTTCAGACTGCCAACAAATGAGAGGTTGTCCTGGGGGTTGGTCTTGTCTGTCTTTGCAAATTTGAACATGTTAAGGTGCGGCACCTTACGAAGACGGTGGGTGGACGTTTCGTTGACATTTTCGTCGTTAACAAGGGTGGGGGTGCTTTTTGTTAGCCAGGTATAGTTCTCGGTGACAGATTTGGCTATCTTCTTTTGCACCGGAGTAGAAACGTTCTCCGACTCCTCAGAAAGCATCTGGTTGAAATAACTCATCTGACACAGTTGGTAAACGTCGGTACGTTTACTTGGGTCCCAGACAAGGCACGCCTTCACAACCTCACAGAGGTCTTTTCTGTCCTTCTCCGGAAGGTCGACTCTTGGTATCAGTTCCTCGATAGAGGCTCCTGGAAGCTTTGGCAAGTGGAATCCGAGGTTACTGGACAGTTTTTGTGCGTCGTCCCAAAATCCACCTAATGGAACTTTGTCACTCTTTTCAGGACAGCCAAGCACTTCCAGAACTCTCCATGTTTGATCTAACTCGTTGCTTCCTGGGAAAAGAGGCAAGAAGATTGCACTTTCGACAACAACACAGCCAAACGCCCAGATATCAACTGGGTATGAGTATTGTTTCTGTCTTAGCAAGATCTCTGGTGATCTGTACCATCTGGTAGAGACGTAAGCTGTGTATGGTCTTGTATTTTCTGCCTGTCTAGCAAGACCGTAATCTGCTAGTTTGATCACATAAGCCTGGTTCTTTTTGTCCTCGGGTATATTTTCCTTGGATCCATAGAAGTTTGAGGATTGCATGATGAGGACATTTTCTGGTTTGACGTCTCTGTGGTAGTAGCCGTGTTTGTGGATGTGACGAATTCCTGCGAGGATCTGCGACAGGATGGATTTCAAGGTATATGGGGAGAAGAGACAGTTTTTCCTGTACTTCATAAGCTGGTATAAGTTTTGATCCATGGATTCCATGACTATGTGGAGTTTGAACGATTCTTTGTCTATGAAGATATCATAGATTTGGACCAACGAGGGGTGTGACGAGATGGCCAGGATGAATCTGACTTCTTTGACCTTCGAATAGTCTTCCAAGTTGGGCAGTCTGCGAGTCATGGTTTTAATAGCCACCACGTCGACCTTTGCTCTGTGGACGTTCTTCAGCGGTTCCAACAAGGTTCCAGGACACGATCTCATATCTTCAAAGATACCGCTGAGTGCGTTTGAGCGCACTTTGGCCAGAGTAACCGTTCCAAAACTTCCTGAGCCTAGGTTTCCCACGGTTCGATAGCGCTGGACCAGCGACTTTAAGGGGATGATAGATTTTGCCGATCTGGCCTGATCTTTTTGCTTGATTGGCGTCATACTTGACTGAAGGAACTCCTTGAGAGAGATTGGCTGTTCTAAGGCCGACGAATGGGCGTTGAGCATAACAAACTGTTCAGATCAGAAAGAAAAAGATCGAGCGTTTAGTGGGCTGGAATTTTTCCCTTTTTATGGGACAAGCGGAGATTTCACGGCATTTCTACCAAACCCGCAGTGTGGACTGAAAAGTACGTAGCAAGTAAGGGAATAACGTATTATAAGAAGAGAGATTGTAGAGAATACAAAGATAGGTTAGAGGAGATTAAGAGAAGGGGGTTGGACCCCTTACAACAAAGGGATCTGTTGTATCATTAGAAGATGACAATACCAAACCAACTTTCAAAGAGAACAATCAACCAAACGCACTTGATTGTTCTATTTCCAATCAAATTTCATCTGATTCCGATCATTGGCTTATCAGATGTCCAATCCAACTGATGGAAACTATGGGGGGTTCTTGTTCTTAATGTGGCGGTGTAAAGATGAATATTTTAGCACGGGATTTATTATTGTTTAATTAATTGAATGAAGGACTTCAAGGAAGCGCCTTTGATTTTGAACCAATCCACGCTGGAAGAGCTGCAGAAACAGGACGATAAGGTTTCAAGGCTCTCGCAGTTGAAAGAATTTTATTACAATGGGTTTTACTCCGATTTTGAACTCACAATATTGAAACACAAGCCAAATGATTGTCCTATTGTTCAGAAATACTCCAAATTGGAGACTTTCCAGTACAACAGCAAGTCTGTCACGCTGAACACCTTCTACAGTGAACATCCGCTTAGAGAATACCAGAAAAGAACCGCAAACGGACTCAAAGCTGACGACTTCCAGAAAATTGACTCATTGCCAGTGCTTATCTTTATTCATGGCCTGGGAGGCCAATTGTCGCAATTCGAGCCGGTTTTGCAGGAGTTCAGAAACTGTGCCGATGTTTTTGGAGTCGATTTGCCAGGATTCGGCAACTCCAAACCCAACATGCTGAAAAATGGCAAGTTCAAGCTTTCTGAGTATTCTGATCAAGATATTAATAAACTGGACACAGATCTTGCAAATCTCACTCTTGAAGACTATACAAGCGAAAGCATTGCCAGTTTGCTGCTTGCAATTTTACAAACCAAGTTTCCCAACCGGAAGTTCATCCTAATAGCCCATTCTATGGGTACTCATCTCGCCGTTAGACTGACTAATCTGCTCCCAGAAAATCGGGTCGAATCGCTGGTGCTTCTTGCACCTCCCAAACTGGCTCCTATGAACCTACCTTTTGCCATGAAAATTGCCCTTGGACTGTTCACCTACGTCCCCCGCCTGTTCGATCTCTACAGATACACCGACCGTTCGGGCGGGTTGAACTCGCCGTCGGTTGTCAAGTTCATATATCCGGAGCAGGACGACCTGCTCAAACGCGTGACCCAGTTCAGATGGAATCTCGACACAGAGTCTGAGACTTTCCTGAACTATCTTAACGGGTTCCATCTAATATCAGCAGAGGACCTTGTTTCTGCGGCCACCAAGGTCATCAACTCCAAAAACGAGACTCGTATTTTGATATGCTGTGGTGACTCTGATAAGGTGACGCCGTACGGAGTCAGTTTGGCGATGAAGAACGTGCTTGAGTCGAGCCAGATCCCTGTCCAGTTGGAGAAGATCGAAAAGGCCAACCACTCGCTGTTTCTTGACCGCCCGCACTATCTCACAGGTGTGATCTACCAGTTCGTCGAGGCTCTCGGTCTCAACATCAACTGCACCTGGGTGTTACAGATCAAGGCCCAAATCAGTGGGGATAAGTGGGGGCTCAAGAACAAAGAGAAATGGGACAAGGTGGTGACACTATCTACGCCCATGCAGGCCGCGGGTAAGCCAGTGTCGCCGTTGCTGGGGATGAAAACGTTGCGCCAAACAGATTCTGTGCATAACCCCAGTGTTTTCGAGGAAAGCCATCCCGAGATTGCTGCCATCATCGATATAGGCTCAGATACGCCGGCGTACGACCCTGCCGCGTTCAAACGGATCGAATACGTCAAGTTCAAGACCGAGTCGAAGGTGACCCCGGATAACGTGACTATTGTGAGATTCATCGGTAAGGCTGACAAATTGGTGCAGAAACTGGCCGCGGGGCAATTCATAGCCGTTCACTGCCACTACGGGCAAAACAGAACCGGGTTCTTTATTTGCTGCTACTTGGTGGAGAAGCTTGGATGGAGCGTGAAGGAGGCCCTGGACGCTTTCGAGAAAGCCAAACCTCCAGGAATCCGCCACGAGCACTTCAAAAACGCGCTATATCTCCGATACGGTGAGTAGCAAAACATATGATCCATTAGTAATACCCTATAAGTTAATCCCCATGGCACGCCGGCCTGATTATATTTTGAATGCGTTCCGGGTGTTGAAGTGACCGTAAACCTCCTTGGACTTGTCAGCCGACAGCGAATATCTAAATGGCAACACAAACGGTAGCACCAGGCCAACCGACACATACGCCATTGCCAGACCTTTATGGGCCCGCGACACAAACGGACGATGGTAGTGGTACAAACGATACAGATTCATCAAGTTGTACAGAATACGACAGGTTTGCGTCTATTTATTCACTTTCAACAGAAAATCGTACCATTAGTGATAGATACTTTTGCACAGCCATTTCCTAAAACAGAAAGCCCTCAACATGTCGGAACGACTCGTTTATGTCGTTCCAAAAAAAAAACCACCACCGCTCACGTAAGCTTACTTAATTCGTTGGTGAGCTGCTGCCTCAGCCTCTGTTTTTCCTCCTTGTTAAGTCCGTTTTCTTCCAGGTTGCGTTCGAGGCGCTGGCGCAGGTGCTCGAAGCTGCGGTCGATCGAGGTGCGCGTGTTGTCCAGGTACCGGTTTTTGAACTCGGCCAGGTACCGGTACACCGCCTTGGAAATGTTATTTGACGAGATTGCGAAACTGAAAACCACAATTGCCACAGCGGTGTCCACAGAAATGTAGTCGATCACGTGACCCACGGAGCAGACCGCGAAAACGGGCAGGTTGATAGCCGCGAGGTTATGTAGCACCGTGCGGCTGACCTGGTTCTGCAGTGCGGGCAGGTCCGAGTTGATCACCTTGTGTTTGAGGATCGACAGCGGGCTGGCCAATGGCTCTGGTTCCTGTGTAGATGGAGGCAGCAGCAGGTCCACCTTTCCCTCCAAGTAGTTGAGTTTGGCCGTCGATTCCAGTAGCGATCCGTGGCATTTGACCGGCGTGAAGTTGAACATGCTCTTCTGGATGTACGTCTCGTCGTCAAACAGGTATTTCGACAGCACCAGGTCGAAATCGTCGATGTTGGGGACGATCTGGGCCACTTTGCTAAATCTCTGGATCAGCACGTCGTTCAGGTACGGTGCGATCTTGGACTGCAGCTCAAAGTGCGACAGCTGGGCCCACGAGTCGATCTCTTTCTTCAACGAGTCCACTTCTCTGACGATGTCTGGTTTCTGTTCAAACTTGAGCTGTTGGTCGATGTCTGAGAGAAGAGACTGCAGCAGCAGCACGAACGGCTTGTCACCGCTTGTTTCGCGACTCAACGTGAACAGCAGCGAGGTGATGCGCGAGTTTTTGACAAGCTCGAGGTATTTCGACACGTTATTCGGAGACTCCAGTAGCAGTTTGTTGGCTAGATTGGCCTTTTCGAGGTCCACCACTAAATCATCGTGCGTCTGTGATTGGAACGAAGCTCCGTGTTCCTGGATGCTCGTGTTGAGAACCGTCAAAGACGGGTAGTCTCCAACCTCCAATGGCTCTCCGGGACGTGATTTCACGTATATGTACAAATGGCAGTCTGTTGGCACGGAATTCTGCACCGTGGACGTTGTTTCCGAGACCTGAGAGCCGGACTGATGCAATAAGTCGGGTTGGTTGATTTCCAGGAACTCGATGTTTCTAAACAGCTCTCTATGAAGCTCGTTTTTCGACGAGTTATCTCCGACCGTTTCGTTTTGGATAACTCGCAGGTCGCGGCTCAGAATCGGGGACTTGACTCCGTTCTCGCCGTACCTAACCCAGAAGTTGTCCTTCTTGGTGGTCCGCCGCTGCCGGAGCTGTTCAAACCAAGACTGATCAGGATCCAAAGGGTCGCAAAGCAGCACGTCTAAAAATAAGCCAGGGGTAATTGATGGTGACTGGACCACGCCAATCTTGATGGGCAACAAGTCGGGCCTCGAACCGGCTCCCAATTCGACCAATTGGCGGGCCTTCTTGGTGATGATGCGGTTGGTAGGAAATATCGCTTTGGTGCGTTCTAGTAGGTCATCTAGACTCGGGGTCTTTCCGGAACTCTCCGTGTATGTTCGACGCTGGGGCAACGTGAATGCTGATTTCCAACGGCAGTTCGCCAGCTGTCGCACAAACGCCCCGGAGGGACTCCCTTTCAGATACATGGTGTTTATATTTTTCGCCGAAAAAATTATTGAGTGGGTTGAGGTGTGGTTAGTTCTAGAGGGTGTTGCCAGCAGGCGCCAACAAGTGCTTCAAACGGTGGAATAATGAGCATTCCCAAGGAACTGCATTAAACAGTACCGTCTACACTTACCTGGATGCTGTTGCGTGCCCTTCCAAGGCCCCGATTCGGTTCTGGGACTGCACCGTAGCGTATCTTCTCCACGGCAACATGCACGTGAACGTATCATTCAAGAAGTGCGTTGGCCCTCGATACGCGTGCTTCAGAACAGAATGCAAGAATACGGGAAACTTCAAATGCTTTAGTAGCACAAAAAATTTGGTTAGAGAGAATGGGCTGGTGAGTGGACCGGAGGCGGGAAGAGTGTGTGCACACATAGGGGAGTCGAACAACAGTCTCAGTACTACTAGCAACTTATATCCCATCTGTGCGACCGCCCGTGATGCTCTTGCCTTACGACGATATTACTCCATGCGGCGATGCGGCGCGCTTTTCGCTCAGCGCTACGGTACAAAACAACGTTCTGTAAAAGAGATGGATTCCTATTTAACTTCACACAGACTTTGTTTTACGCTACACCATTGCTAACCACACATCCGCACACAGACACTCGCACAATAAATTAACACAACAACATTACATGAAGTGGTGGACTTTGACCTTATTAGCGTCAGCCCTGGCCAACTCGGCAATCGACACAGTCGACATGAAGATCCAGAATCGCGTCTTTGACATCATCGAGCAGTACAATGATCTCGAGGGTGCTGACGTCCAGTTTGAAGAGTGGATTTCGCCCGAAAACGAGGTGTACATCGTTCCAAAAATCAGCACTGGCTTGGAGACAACCTATGGATACGGGTACCAGTACTTTGACAACTCCGACGACCAGGTCAACACTTTCTCAGAGGAGTCCAGTCCTGAAACCTCCTTGATCAAGGAGCAGGATATTTCTGCCTTGGGATTCCCTAATTTGTGGCACAAAATTGCAGATCTTCTTCATGATGACTGTGAGGAAGAGCCAGTGGAGGAAGAGCCAGATATTGACAGTCAATTCCCTTATGGGGCCAGAAAGTTCCTGCTGATCGGGGTCAAGAAGAAGTCAGTTGAGCTGGGCTCAGACGACCAAGCTATGGCAGAAGACGCAGATCTGGAGCTGCTCCAAGAAGATGCGGAGGTTGAGCAGTACGTTGCAGAACACGAAGAAGTTTCTGCAGACTGGCTTCCATGGAAAAAGAAGAAGGAGGACGATTGTGGAGAGGAGGAAGAAGAGACCAAGAAACCTTTTGGAGCAGACAAGTTCCTATTTATCGGAATTGGATCTGTTGACAACTCGACTGCCCCTGTCAGACCTGCCTCCGACGCAGACCTGTCTCCACTGGCTCCGCTTTCGTACGCTTCAACAGCCAAGGCTGTTGCCATGAACGAGGCTGCCGATCAACTACCGGCCAGTGAGTCAACAACTCTGCAAACGAGCTTCCAAAACACAGCCACTCACACAGCAAACAGCTCTTTTTCCGAGGCCGAGAACGTTTACATCAGCGTGGACGAGCTATTCCACCAGTTCCAAAACAAGAGCAACATCCAGATTAGTAACGAGGCCACACGTGCCGCAGGCCACACCTTGTCGCTTCTGGGAGCACTGGTTCTTATTGGTTCTTCTGTTTTATTGTTTTAGAGCAGCCATAATAATTCTATCACTCAGCTTTGTAGACAAATGCTCATTGTAGCGCGCTCAGTCGTTGTCTCATATTGGCCAGCAGCTCGTCGTCCACCTCCTCTGTTTCTTCGGGCTCTTCGTGTGCGACCGTGTCTGGTAGTTGGACCTCTGGCTTTGGTTTCTCTTCCAAAACAGATTTCAAAACCTCTTCCACGTCTTCGTCCTCTTCGTCCTCGTAGATATCCGACGAGTCCAGAATGTCGTCCATCATCTCGTCAATAATGCCGCTCTTTGTCAGCTCTTTGCTCAGTTCTTGCACGGTACGACCGATCTGCGGCAGATGGACCAGCTGGTTCATGTCTCTCATAATCTCGGCCGACTTGTGCATGGACCCTGTGAGTTTGATCATTTGTTGCTGTTCGGTCAGTTTCATGCCGATCGACTCCAAAGTCGCTCTGGAAACGGTTATGCGCTCGATCGTCTTGGAAACGTTTTTGTATTCCCGCGCATACAGCTTGGCTGTCTTGAGGTCGTTCTTTTTGACTGCTGCTTTTATCAGCGACTTTGTTTTCTTCTCGACAGCATCCAGGTCATGTAGTTGTCTGTCTATCTGTCTCTTGTTCTTACGCAAAGCGCTCTGACACCGTCTGTACTGTTCTTTAGGGTCCGGGCCCCAAATTGCCTTCTTGATAATATCCATAAAGAAATTAAGAAAAGGTCGATCGGCCAAAATACGCTGGGGCTGGCGCGACGATTTGCAAACCTGGTTTTATTTCGCGTGGTGTTGAAATTTTGTCGCGTTTTAAATTATCTGCACGCGTTATGTTACAAGGAAAATTCGAGGAAGCTTCGCTGTTGAAGAAAGTAAGTATCGCATTGTGCAACAACTAACAGTGTCAGGTCATTGAGTCCATCAAGGATTCCGTCAAACTCTGTAACTTCAACTGTTCTCAGAGCCAGGGTATCACTGTCCAGGCAATCGACGACTCCAGAGTGCTGCTGATCGCTCTTAAGATCGACGCGGGCTCGTTCCAGGAGTTCCGTTGCGACAAGGACTTGGTTCTGGGTCTGGACCTGGAATCGTTGTCCAAGATCCTCAAACAGGGTAACAATGAGGAGTATCTAACTCTCATGGCTGAGGACTCTCCAGACAACCTGATGGCCGTGTTCGAGGACAAGAAAAAGGACAGAATCTCCGAGTTCTCGCTCAAGCTCATGGACATCGACTCGGACGTGCTCACGATCGACGACATGGAGACCGACTGCACCATCACCCTGCCTGCTTACGAATTTGCAAAGATCGCCAAGGACATGAAGACTCTGAGTGAGTCTTTGAAGATCGTTGTTACTAAGGACTCTGTCAAATTCAACGCGGAGGGCCAGATCGGAACCGGTTCGGTCATCTTGAAACCTCACACAGACATGGACAAGCCAGAGGAGAGCGTCAAGATCGAGTTGAACTCGCCAGTGGCTCTTACTTTTGGTGCCAAGTACCTTAATGACATTGTGAAAGCCACTTCTCTGTCTTCCACCGTCACTATTAAGCTCACAGACAAGTCGCCTGCTTTGTTCGAGTACAAGCTTCCTAGCGGTTACCTGAGATACTACTTGGCTCCAAAGTTCGACGACGAAGAGTGAAAAAGTTACATATAACATTATCGTTAGCCTGCTATATACCATCTAATATTTTTGGCTCTTTAGTATTTGGACTCCATGCTATTTTCCAGCTTTGGGAGGAACGTTGACCGGATAGTGCTTTTCTCGCTCACAGGCAGTATCAGTCGCAATGCGTCGTGTTTGTTCAAGTAGTATCTGAACAGCCGTTTCACCCGCAAGAACCCGAAATTCTCGTAAAGTCGCAAAGCTGCTTTGTTGACCACCTCTGTTTCCAAAATGATCTCGTCACATTTGTAATTATCGATCATCGAGTCCAAACTCCGCGAAATCAGCTCCTTGGCTATTCCCTGGCCCCTGTACTCGTTGTCCACGGCCAACATTCCAATGTATCCGCGTATTCGAGAGTCTCTATGAGGCTCCACCTTGGATATAATACACCCAATCACCTTGCCCTGGTGCTTGGCCATAATGGTGAGGTTGGGCCAGTTGTTCAAGAAGAACCGGTAAACATAGATCGAGTATGGCTCGCTCAAATGCTCATCCACAAGCCGTCGCACCTGCTCGATGTTGAAATCCACAAGTTCTCGGCCAACCTCCGAGATGTCCAGACTTAATGGTTCGTAGTCTATCCCGGACATAAAAAATTAATAAATCTATCTTTTTCCCCATTTTTACCCTCTCTTGTGACTGATCACCATAAGCAAATAAGGGCAAATCCGTTCATATCTTGTTCCAGTATTGATCATGAACGTCTCTATCATCCAGAATAACAACCCTTTGTCGATGATGTCGTCGATATATCGACAAAATCCATCTAGGGACACTCACTTGCCCTCTGCATTATCCATCTATAACTCCTTGACAGGTGACAAGTCTGTTGCCAGTGCCTACCAATTTAGCAATTTGGAGGCTTTGAAACAGTTCATCAGCTCGTCGTTCAATATTGCCGTGGAAAACCTGTTCTTGTTGACCCCCTTTGGCATCAAACTCAAGTTCTCAATGGTGGTTCACGAGGAAATCGCAGAAATATACGTCTTTGATAGACGCTACTTCAACGTCAACAACATCGAGTCCTCGGATAACTTGTCCGGGTTGAAAGATCTGGTCCAGGAATTGAACCAGACAAATCTGATCAATATGATCAAACCCCTATCTTCCCCCATTCTTTCTGATGAACTGGCTATATTTGTGGAGAAACTGTCCCTGGTGCTCGAAAACACTCGAAATATCAAAGCTGTCGATATCAACCTCAACAACTTGCGGCTGCTTCTGAACTCGCTCAAGCGGAACTCGGGTTGGGCATCTGCTCTTTTATCAGATTTCAAAAAAACAGTCGCATTCGATGAAAGCACGCCTGAAGACGACGACCTCGAGGTGATTCTCACATCGCTGAACGTTCTGATCCAGTACGTCGGTCTGGTGTTCAAGTCGCTCGAGAAAAAGTTCAACGACTCAATTGACACCCTGCTTTTGCTCCAAACCAACACACTGGTGGATCAATGGGAAGACCAGTACAGAAACCTCCAAAAGATCAGTTTTGGATTCAAGACTACCTCCAACACCCGCGAAAAACTTACTCTCAGTCAGCTGGTCAATGAGTCCCATCTGAAAACAAGTGCTTCCGAATCTCGCAAACTCAACAAAGCTATCAACGAAAGACTGATTCTGCTACGCGGCAAGATCGAGAGCGAGATCATTGTCCCACGGCAGGATCTTTCTAAGGAATATGACGAATACGTTGCCCAGTACATGCGGCCAGAAACAGACACAACGAGCAAGTCTAAGAAAATTGAGGATTGCAAACGCATCTTGGCAGAACTTGAGACTTACGTTAGCAGACTCATAAACGCATCGTCTTCGTTACCATCCTTTGAAGAACTCATTACAACGTCCAGCCAGACCTCGGCAAATTTGTCAACTGCGTCTGTCACGAACATCAAGAAACTCATTGAGCTCTACCGATTCCATCAGACAGACCTCGTTCCTCAAATTTCGAATCTGGCTGACCGGTTGTACCAGATCCAAGTCAACAAGCTCAACTCGAGGAAAGAGTTGCAGACGAAGCTGATTTCCTCCACTTTGATCACAGTCACGAAAATACAACTGAACATCATGAAACTCACCAGCGTTTTGAACACAGACATATCAAAAACCATTGGAAGCATCAAAGACCACGAGCTCCAACTATCTGTTGTCACAGACCTACCACTGATATTTGGAATTTACGCCATTGCTAACCTCAACAATCTCAAGTATGGTATCTCGCTCAAAACGTTGGTGAAGAGAGCCAATGAGATCTTTGAGATGTTGCGGTTCATGGAGTCCAAGAACAGGGCAAGGTGGCTGCGTGAGTTTCTGGCCAGCAGTGGAGGAGAGAAACTCGAATTTTTGAGCATGGATGAAGAAGAGAAGAAACGGTTTATTTATGATAATCTGTTTGCATATAAGCTGGAGCCTGTGGAAACTGCTCCGCGCAGAGAAACGAGTCCCCCTGCTAACCAGCAACAACCCTTGAGTCCAGTGAGTCCTCACGAGAATAATTACCTGACTTCGATTAACAAGCTCCTTCACAACATCAACGGTTTCCCAATAACATCAAAGCCAATTGCTACTGATCTTCCAAAGCAGAGAGAGACAAACATTTTTATCAACCTGTCAAAATATGTGACTGTGAACGATATTATTGATTACATCTCTTCACTAAAGAGTGCTGGAATTGACCCGAACATTATCAATAAACTGGAGGAGTGTTTGAGAGATTTCGGTTTAACGTACAACGAGTCCGGCAAGAAGACTATCAGCACCGAGGACGGTGAGGAAGTTGTCGTTAAAGGTGGAAATATGGGAGACTTGGGCACTTTTGATGCGTCTGATGTGAGTTTCATGCGATTGTTCAAGAAGTTTATCAAGAACTTTGAGTCGGAAGGAATCGAGATCAGTATCGGGTCAAGGAAGGAAGATTCGTCTGCAAATGAAGAGCTGATCAAAGGGTACGAAAGAAGAATCAAGAAGCTGGAGAATTTGCTTCATGCGCGTAATTTCCAGCAATTCAACGACCAATGGTCTCATCGGAACCGACCAGTTCACACGCTTCCAAATCCAGTTAGTCGTCGCCAGTCGGACTCTTCACCAGATCCTGTTGGACAAGACAATACGATTCTGTTTGATGATAATGTTAGGCTTGGAAGAAAGATGATTGAAATTCCACCAAGCCACTACGGCGAGCGAATTGAAAAGTTGGAGAAAGAGCGCGACGAGCTCAAGAAGGAGCTGGAGGCCTACAAGAGTGGCTCTGAAGCTTCTGAGGTGGAGAAGCTCAAGAAGGAGCTGGACGAACTGAAGCAGGCTAGTGCTAAAAAGGATGCAAAGATTGAGTCTCTGGAGAAGGAAAACACAGAGTTCAAGGAATCGAACGAGAAACTCACCAAGTCCAACAAGAAGTTGGAGACTCTGTGCTCCGAGCTGAAAAACATGAAGTCTGATCTTCTTGAAAACATGTCGCAAAAAGAGACAGAGTTCACAAAGGAATCGAGAGTGAATCAAGAGGAGCTGAACGAGCTGAGATTGAAGGTTGAGGAGCTTGAAGAAGATGAGTCAAATCTTGTGAATGTAAACAAGTCGCTAAACGAGAGACTCATTTCGAAAGACCAGTTGCTTTGCGGTCTGTACGAGCTTATCCAAGCGTCATACAACAAGCTGAACCAATTGAGCGGAGAGATCTTTGGCAACCTCACAAGAGTGTGTTTGTTACTGGAGTCTATTGGGCTATTGCTGGTCAGAGAAACCACATCGGTGGAGGACCAGCCAGGTCTTCTGACGATTAAAAGAGTGAAAGGTCTAAGAAGTCGCAAGAGACAGATCAAACAGTCCAACGACTCGACCAACAACAATCTCAGTCTGATCAACGATACTCTGGAAGACACTGATCAGATCGATAATGCGCTGATGGAGGTTGTTTCGAGCGAGGTTGTTCCTGAGGCAGAGCAGTATCTCCACTGGGTGGATATGAATGTCTTGAATTACACCATTTCTTCTGATTTGGGCATCGACGAGGAGATTGTCAGCACCAAGAAAGAGGACGGGTCTGTGATTGACATGAGTCTTTGCGAGGAGAGCTCAATTGAGAAAAAGGTGAAGAAGCTGATCAGCAACTACGAGAGCTTGAACATTGAAAAAGGATTCCAGAACTTTTTGCGGTTCAACCACATCGATAGCGAACTGGTCGTTGAACGAGTGTATCGTCGGTTCAACGACGTGGAGACCCTCGCAAGGAAATTGCAAAAGGACAAGAATCAGCAGAAACAGGAGCTGAAGGCGCTGACGACCGAACTGGACGGCAAGATTGCGTTCCGCAACTTTAAAGTTGGGGATCTTGTTCTCTTCCTTAAAACACTTACGCCAGCCAGCGAGGAAACAAATGGCGACGAAGAACAGCCGTGGGCTGCATTCAACTTTGGCAGCCCGAACTACTATCTGAAGAACAGCAAGGACGGCGACGGGTACATCGACTTGAGCGACCGGGACTGGCTTGTTGGACGGATTTCGCGGATCGAGTCGAAAGTCGTCAACGACCAGAACTTTGGCGACAAGAGCAGCAATCCGTTCAAGCTGGCGCGGTCCACGGCGTGGTATTATGTGGAGGCACGTGAGGTGAAGGAATGAGGAACACGAACGTAACGGCTTCAAAGGTTAACGACGGGTATCGCGGGTAAATACGGTTAGTATCGGTACGGTAATGAAAAATATCGGTGCAAAAAAAGGGCCCTCCACCACCAGTAGCCGACAGCGGTATATAAGCAAGAGGTCTGCCCCTATTCCACCTCTTGTAAATCATAGAATGGCGCCTGTTGCACAAACCGATTCGTCAAGTAGCGAGTATTACCAGCTTGTGAATAGTATCAAGCCTGATTACATAACCATCTCGGAGTATATCTTCTTGCGGATATACCAGCTCGGAATCAGGTCGGTGTTTGGCGTGCCCGGCGACTTCAATCTGAACTTTCTGGAGCATCTGTATGATGTGGAAGGTTTGGACTGGGTTGGCTGTTGCAATGAACTGAATTCGGCGTATGCTTGTGACGGCTACACCAAGACCTGCGACAAAATGTCTGTCATGGTGACAACGTATGGAGTTGGCGAGCTTTCTGCTCTGGCTGGTGTCGCTGGAATGTACTCGGAGTACTCTCCGATGCTCCACATTGTTGGAACGTCTGCCTTGTCGATGAAAAACTCCAACAAACGAATGCATCATTTGCTAAGTGGTAGCAACACCTATGGATCGCCTGACCACTTTGTGTACGAGGAGACAGCAACCAAATACAGCTGTGTGCAAGGATCTATTCGGGATGATGCGATGGAGGCATGTGATACCGTGGACCATGTAATTCGCGAGATCCATCGTCATTTGCGGCCAGGTTACTTATTTTTGCCCTGTGATTTGACGGAGATGCGTGTGCCTGTTTCGAGGCTCGACGAGCCGCTCGGTTCCGAGTATGAGCCCCAGAACTTTGTCAAGGCCGGCACGGTTGTGGACACTATTCTGCAGCGAGTGTATGCAAGCCAGAACATGGCGGTTTTGGTCGACTATTTTACCGGGCGGTGCAAGATGACGGGAGCTCTTGGCGTGCTGCTAGACAAGCTGGCGGGCAAGACGAACGTGTTTGACACGTTCATGGGCAAGGGAATTGTGAGCGAGGACGTTTCCGGGTATGTGGGAACGTACCAGGCAGGAATGGATAACGAGCAATTGGCCGGTGTTTTGGAGGATGCCGATCTGGTGCTCCATTTGGGAGCCTTTGACGTGGAGATGAACAGCGGGCTATTTACGAGCAAGCTGGCCACCGAGCGGGTGATTTCGATGAACATCGACAGCGTGGTGGTTTGCGGCGAGATTTACACGGACCTGAACATGAGAGATGTGTTTGAGCAGCTGGTTGCACGGTTGGAGGGTGAGAGAGTGGCAGCAAGCAAGAAATACGCCGTGGAACCTTACTTGCGGTCTTCGGGAGCCAACGCGCTAAACCTGGTGGACCTGTCGAACAAGCTGGAGTCGACGCTGACGGCAGACGACGTGCTGATTGTCGATACCGGCTCGTTCATGTTCGGCATGGGCACACTCAAGCTGCACGGAGCACGGTTTGTGAACCAGTGTTTGTGGGCTGCGATTGGGTTTGCCATTCCTGCGACACTCGGCGCGTGTATAGCGAAGCGGGAAATGGGATCCAACGGTCGCGTGATCACCGTTGAAGGAGACGGAGCAGCAGAGATGACGCTCCAGGAACTGGCGTCGCTGGTGCGGTACGGCCTGGACCCGGTGGTTTACATCTTGAACAACGACGGATACACCATCGAGCGGGTTATTAAAGGCCCATACCGGTCGTACAACGACATAGCTACCAATTGGAACTGGACACAGATGGTGACGTGCTTTGGTGGAGAAAAACCGGGCACAAGAATTAGTAATCGCCAAGATCTGGCGCAGCTGCAGTATCAGCGCGGGCTGCATCTGGTGGAGCTGATAGTGCCGAAATTTGACGTGCCGCAAAGTTTGTCAAATATGGTCATACGCTCTAAATCGAAATCTTAATAATTGCCGAGCTCCACATCGGTGAATTTCTTATATTACTTATCATGCTTAGTCATTATGTCAAATAACGTTTAACACTAATGTTTTATAAAACATAGACTATTTAGCTGTATGTTGCACTGTAATGGACTCGGATATGGAATTGCACGAATCGATAGAGGAGAAGGACGATAACAAACCCGATTCTTGTGCCCCAGAGGGCGGCTGGGCCGGCTGGATGGCCTGCAGCGCTGGTGCTACCGTCATGGCTATGTCTTTTGGCATGGTCAACTCGTTCGGCGTCTACCAGAGCTACTATGAGGCCCGATACCCAGACATCAGCTCCAATACAATTTCTGTGGTTGGCTCGTTGCAAGGATTCATGACATTTGCCGGGGCACTGCCCTCAACCGTCGGCATGTACTATCTTGGATCACAAGCCATGGTTGCCATTGGCGGGTTCATTGCATGTCTCTCGTACATGTTTCTGTCGATCACCAACGCACCGTGGCAGATATTCGTGGTACAGGGTGTCATGTATGGATTAGGCTCTGGCCTCATGTACGTGCAATGTTCTGCAGTGGTGTTCCAGTACTTTGATAAGCGTAAGGCTGCTGCATCCGGAATCATCACCGCAGGGGCCAGCGTTGCGGGTGTGTACTGGCCCATTGGAATCCGTGGACTCATTAACAACGTCGGGTTCGGCTGGGGAAACAGAGTCGTCGGGTTTCTGTACGTGCCTATGGTGGTATTCTCGGCTATTTTCCTTAAACCTCGCTTAAAGCCACCAAAGAGAAAACCGGGGCAAAACATCCTCAGAATCAACTTCCGCGTGCTCCTCAACTGGAGATTCCAATTGGTCAACATTTCGTTTGCGCTTTGCGTCTTCGGCCTCTTCCCCGGCCTTTTTTACATGGATCTATTCTGTCGAAGATCAAACGTCAACCAGGCTGTTAAAGACTACAATGTGGCCATCATCAACGCCTCTGCGCTCCTGGGAAGAGTCTCTGCGGGCTATATCGGTGATAGGATCGGCCGCTTCAACGTGGTGATCCCCGCAATGGTTGCAAGCGGCGTGCTACCAATTGCTCTGTGGATGCAGGCGGAATCGACCGCAGCCGTGGTGGTGTTCTGCGTTCTGTGGGGAATCGCATCGGGCATGTTCGTCAGCGTGGGTCCGGCTCTCGTGGGTCAGCTGTTCTCGGACGACCTGCCCTCGTACCTGGGAACGTTCTTCCCAACATCAAGCGTGACTGCGCTGGTAGGCCCCATCATCGGGGGCATATTCATCCCCCAGGGCGACGACTCCGGCACCAAGGGGTTCAACAAATTGTGCATCTTTGTGGGCGTGGTGTTCCTATGCTCGTCGGTCACCTACTCGATCGCCAGGTTCTCTTACCAGCCCCGGTTGTTTGCCATCATGTAACACTAGATCTGCTTATGTAATCAGAATATCAAGTAGCGACACACGAAAAAAAATGGTGGAAAAAAAGCTTGACCAAATCACCATGCAAGCTCCTGTTGTGTTTATGAACACGTCTGCCCAAAGACAGACGGGCCGCGAAGCACAGATACAGAACATCACCGCGGCAAAGGCCGTGGCAGATATCATCAGAACGTGTCTGGGACCAAAGGCCATGCTCAAGATGTTGCTGGACCCGATGGGGGGCATTGTGTTGACCAACGACGGACACGCGATTTTGCGGGAGATCGACGTGGCACACCCGGCCGCCAAGTCGATGATCGAGCTCAGTCGCACGCAAGACGAAGAGGTTGGCGATGGAACCACGTCGGTGATTATCCTTGCGGGCGAGGTTCTTGCACAGACGTTTCCTTACATAGACAAGAACATCCATCCTGTTGTGATTATCCAGGCTTTGAAACAGGCGTTGAAGGACGCGTTGGAGATTATTCACGAGGTGAGTATTCCTGTTGACCTGGAAAACGAAGAGGCCATGGTGAAACTGATCAGTGCCGCCATTGGTACCAAGTATGTGGCGAAATGGTCGCAGTTGATGTGTCAATTGGCGCTCACAGCTGTGAAAACCGTGGTTGTTCAGGACGGAGAGCACAAGGAGATCGATATCAAGAGATACGTGCGTGTGGAGAAGATCCCTGGTGGCGAGATCGAGGACTCTGAGGTTCTGGACGGTGTGTTGCTCAACAAGGACGTTGTGCATCCTAAAATGAAGAGACTGATCGAGAACCCTCGTGTGGTGCTTCTGGACTGTCCGTTGGAGTACAAGAAGGGCGAGAGTCAAACTAATGTGGAGATCACCAAGGAAGAGGACTGGGCCAGATTGCTGCAGATCGAGGAGGAACAGGTCAAGCTGATGTGCGAGCAGATTCTCGCCGTGAAGCCGGACCTGGTGATCACAGAAAAGGGTGTTTCAGACCTTGCACAGCACTACTTGCTCAAGGGAGGCTGCTCGGTGTTGAGAAGAGTGAAAAAGAGTGATAATAACAGAATCTCCAGATCCACAGGCGCCACCATCGTGAACCGCGTGGAGGACCTGAAGGAGTCGGACGTGGGCACCAAGTGCGGTCTGTTCGAGGTGAAACTGATTGGAGACGAGTACTTCACGTTCCTGGTGAAATGTAAAGACCCAGGAGCATGTACCGTGCTGTTGCGCGGACCGTCCAAGGACGTTTTGAACGAGATCGACAGAAACCTGCAGGACGCCATGGCGGTGACTAGAAACGTGTTTTTCGAGCCGTCGCTGGCCCCTGGTGGAGGTGCTACCGAGATGGCTGTCAGTGTTGGTTTGGCCGAGAGAGCCAAGAAGATCGAGGGCGTGCAACAATGGCCGTACCAGGCTGTGGCCGACGCGTTCGAGGTGATTCCAAGAACGCTGGTGCAGAACTGCGGAGGCAACCCGATCAGGGTGTTGTCGCAGCTCAGAGCCAAACACGCTATTGGAGAACACACCTGGGGTATTGACGGCGAAAGCGGCAAGATCGTGGACATGAACGAGTACGGCATTTGGGAACCAGAGGTCATCAAGCAGCAGAGCGCCAAGACGGCCATCGAGTCCGCAAGCATGCTTCTGAGGGTCGACGACATCGTTTCTGGTGTCCGCAAGGAGGAGAAGTGAGGTCTGTGCTAGTGGTGCAAGGATGTCCCCCTATTATTTGTATAGTTTTAAATCTGGAAAACCCAAGACAAACAAAAGATATTCGAATTGTGTTTGATTGATCCTGGAATTATACAATGTTCTCGGAAGAATCGTCGCTGACGCGATCACGAAGCAACAGCGAGTCTCAGTTCAAGTCGACACGCGCCGAGAAACGGCTTGGGCGGCTGTTCAAGCAGCCTTCCACCTCGACACCCAGCTCCAAGATGAACGCTCCTGGAGCAGGCAGCTCGTCGACGAGCTTGGTGACGGCTGGTTCTGGTGCCAGCTCGAGGCCCGAGGGTAAACAGACGGCCGTGGACGATACGAAGCTGCAAGCAGGCCGAGGTCTACGAAGTCTTAGTCAAAGTGCCATTCCTACCACATCCACGTCCTCCTTAGCGCCCACGCATTCGAACAACACGTCGGTGTCTTCGATGAATTCCGGGGCTCCGCGAAAAACGTCGTTGGTTTCGCAATCGAACGGCGCCGACCCGAAACTGTCCACCCTCAAGGAGGTGCACGCCGCAGGGGGTACAGGGATCCTTGATTTAACAGACGTGATGAAACTGGCACGCAAAACAAGATACGTTTACATGGAGTTCCTGACAGTGTTGAAGCATCTGGGGATCACCGTCAACACGTCGTCGAGTCTGTTCAACAGCTTTTCAAACCTGTTTGAGTTCCTCGGCCGAAGACTGCAGGAGGGAGACCGAGAATACATCCAAGACAGTTTCCGTGTTCAACTTGTTGCACAAACGCTGGAAGTTCTGAAAGACTTGCGCAAAGTGACAGAACATCTGAGTTTCCCCAGTCAGCTCATATCGTCGACGGCAGAAGAGTCCATCCGAATGGCCTACTTTTCTGTGTTCTCGTTGGTTGTGGAACTAACGGGTGCATGCAAGATTCTTGTTCCTAGCTTTGCTCCTAAAACACACGCTAGAAATGGCCGGTCCATCCAATTATCTGCTGCTCCATTGGTGACTCCAAAACTACGGTCGCAGCCACCAAAAGTCAATAGAGCTCCGCCGGCAAACCCACAGCATCCACAGACCATCCCTGTTCCGGCCAGACAGCCCTCGATCCACCGGCCGCCAGTCAAGCTCGACACGAGCGTCTCGTCGCTCTCTCGTCAAGATTCGGACTTAAGTTTGGTGAGCAGCGTAGAGCACTCAACAGACAATGAGAAGTTGTACGAGATCATCAACTTCACCACGCAAGCAGCACAGGGTGTTTTCACGCACCTGAATGATGCTCTCGCGAAAAGCGCAATATCCACCGCCCAGAACACGCAAAACGCCCCTCCCGACGACCAGGACCTGCCAAACTTTGCTCGCAAGGTGAAAGAACTCACCACCCAGTGTATGAGTTCCATGGAGCAGACGAAACGCATCAAGGGAGTGCTGAATAGTATTCGTGCGTCTCCCCGGTTGGACGAAGATCAGCAGAAGAAATTGTACGAGGAGACCAATTTCTTCCTCAAGTCCATCATCAGTTTCCTGGCTGCTACCAAAGGTGCTTTGCAAGATATACCGGCGTTGAACGAAGTGCGTGGAGCTCTGTCGAACTTGACAAGAGCCACCAAAGAGTTGACGATCCGTTTGGAAACGAGCGTGTTGAAACAGTCGGTCACAAATGCCACAGAACAGCCTCCATTGTCGTCGATTCCGTCTGTGGCCAACTTCCAGAACACGCATGCCGCACAGGAGCTCAACACGCGAACGGTGGGCTCGCCGTCGCTGGCTGACGCAGCAGAGTTCCCGCAGCAGGGTGTCAAGAGTCTCCAGACGTCTGGGCTCGACCACGTTGCTCCTTTGCCGGTGACGACGCCGCTTGTTGCGTCGATCGGGCCAACAGCCGCCTCGGTGGTTCTGCCGCTGACGTCGCCGCGCGGAGCCAGCGTTGGCCACCCGGAACACAATCCGTTTGACAAGCTAGGCGAGCTCGACCCAAAACGGGTTACGTAAGCCGTTTGCACTGCTGAAAAACCAGCAAGTGATTATTTCAAAAGATAAGCATGAGTGTTTTACTGAAGGGCGAGACAGGGTACGGGCTGATGTCGCTGACATGGCGGCCGACGCCTGTGCCGCGCGAGCAGGCGTTTGCGACGATCAACAATGCCATTTCTGAGGGCATTGAGGTATTCAACAGCGGCGAGTTTTACGGCAATTTTCCAAACGACAAGCATGCGAATTTGGAGCTTTTGAAGGCGTATTTTGAAGAGTACCCGGACTCGAGGTCCAAGATGGTAATTTCCGTGAAAGGTTGTATTGACATACCCAATCCTCCGGACAATTCTCCGGAGAACGTTGCCAAGTCGATCCGCAACATTGCGTCGTATTTCCCCGGCAAAAAGTTTGACATTTTCGAGCCAGCGCGGATGGACACGAAGCATGCCGTCGAGGACGTGGTCAAGAGCATTATTCCGTTCGTGGAGGACGGCACGATCCGCGGGATCTCGCTTAGCGAGGTTGGAGCGGACACAATTCGCCGTGCTGCCAAAGTGCACCCCATCTCGTGCGTGGAGGTGGAGTTCTCGCTGTGGACGCGGGACATTTTGACCAACGGCGTGATGGATACGTGCCGCGAGCTAGGGATCCCGGTCGTGGCGTACTCGCCGCTCGGGCGCGGGTACCTAACGGGCCAGATCAAGTCTGTGAAGGATATTCCAGCGGGCGACATACGGCACCATTTGGACCGGTTTGCCTCGGAGGAGGCTCTCGCACGTAACATGGGCATGGTGAAGCTGGTGGAGCAGCTGGCCGCACAGAAGAAGTGCACGCCCGCCCAGATCGCGCTGGCGTGGGTCCGCAAACACAGCGAGTTCCCTGAGAAGTACGCACGGGTGATTCCGATCCCGTCCTCGTCCACGCCCGAACGCAACCACGAGAACAACACCCTGGTGAAACTGACCGACGGCGAGTTTGCTACGCTGAACGAGCAGCTCGCGAAGATCACCGTGTCGGGCCTGCGGTACAACGCCCACGCAGAGGCGTTCCTCGAAAAATAGACGGAATATGTTGACGTATATCAAATTAAACATTACCTTGCACCCGGTGGTACGGGTTTCTGAACCGGTCGGCCCACCTCCCCCACCTGAACCCCCACGTTCTGGTGGCCGACCTATTAATCTCCATCTTGGTAGCATCCATCGCGGTCAGCACACTGTCGTCGGCCCAGTCAAGGCTTTCCTCGGAGAGCACGGGCGACGTGAGCACGGGCATTTTCCAGTCCTTCAGCCGCAGAGAGTTGAGTACCACGCTGACAGACGAGCACGCCATGGCGGCCGACGCAAACATCGGGTTCATTGTGATATTGAACGGGATGATCAAAAATCCCATCGCGATTGGTAGCATCACCAGGTTGTACACCACGGCCAGCACAAAGTTGGTCTTAATGCTGCGGAAGGTCTTCTGCGAGATGTCCAGCGCGCCAAACACGCCGGCGGTGCCGTCCTGGCGGCCAAAGTCGTTCAGCTGCACCTCGTCGGCGGCCTCGGGCTGTGCAGACGAGAGCATCACCACGTCGGCGGCCTCGATCGCGATGTCTGTGCCTGATGCGATGGCAATGCCCAGGTCGGCCTGGATCAGAGCCGGGGCGTCGTTGATGCCGTCGCCTACAAACGCCACCTTCAGGCCGCGCTGCTGCATCTGGTCCACGACACGTAGCTTGTCGTCCGGTCTGGCCTGTGCGAAAACGTTGCTCAACGGAATCCCCACCGCACGCGACACCGTGCGCGCCGTATTGGCGTTGTCTCCCGTCACCATCGACACCGTGTAGCCCGCATCGAGCAGCGCGCCGATAGTGCTGGCAGCGTCCGTTTTCAGCGAGTCTGCCAGCTCCACGTACCCAACGTAGCGGTCGTTGATCAGAATGTGCGAGAACTGCGAGATCTCGTGCGTCTGTGTGCGTTTGCACGAGTCCTCAAAGTCTTTGGCGTTGTCCACCTTGCTTCTGTCGATGAGCTGCTTGTTTCCAATGGCAACGCTGAAAATAGACCCGTCCAGCTTGATCTGGGCCTCGACGCCGAACCCGACCGCAGTGCTCACACTGACGATCTCGACAGCCTGTTCTTTAGCCAGTGGGAGAGCTCCTGCGGCCAGAGCCTTACCAACAGGATGCTCACTCGTTGCCTCCACGGCATGGATAATGCTCCATAGAGAGGAAGCTTCTAAATCTCCAAGAAAATGGTGGCTCACCACACGCATGCGACCAGAAGTGATGGTCCCCGTTTTGTCAAACACCACGCAGTCGATCCCGTTGGCCTTTTCCAGAATGTCGGCTCCCTTGATCAAAATCCCGTTGGTAGCACCAACACCGGTTCCAACCATCACGGCAGTGGGGGCAGCCAATCCGAGCGCACAGGGACAGGCCACCACGACCACGGAAATGGCCACCTGCAAGATGCGCGAGAAAATGACCCGGCCGGTGTCCTTGTCGACGAAAAATGATGGCACGTTGTCTGCTGAGTGGCAGTAGACGTACATCGACCAGAAACCAAGAGTGGCCACCGACAGCACAAGGATGGTAACCACAAACTTGCCGGCTATCACGTCGGCAAACTTCTGTACCGGAGCCTTGGTGATCTGGGCGTCCTTGACAAGCTTGACGATCTTGGAAAGCTGTGTTTGTTCTCCCAAAACGTCCACACGCATGTAAATCGGTGAGGCAACATTGATGGAGCCTCCAAACAGCTTGGAGCCCGGTTTCTTCACCACGGGCAACGATTCTCCTGTGAGAAGCGACTCGTCCACCTCAGAAGACCCGAAAACGCACTCGCCGTCCGCTGGGATCTTGGATCCTGGTGGTAACACCACTGTGTCGTTTTTCTGGAGCAGATCAATGACGATCTCCCGCTGCGACGAGCCAAAGTCTGTTGGGTCTTCCAAGATCAGACAGTTTGGCGGCGTGAGCGAAAGAAGCTTGGACAGCGCAGTGGAAGTGTTTCCTTTGGCCTTGGACTCTATCCATTTTCCAAGACTCACAAAGACGAAAAGCATGGCGGACGTGTCGAACAAAACATGAGGCGGGTTTTCTGAGCTGTGGTACATCGAGATGAGAATCGAAAGTGCTGAATAGATGTAGATGACTGTTGTTGAAACACAGATCAGCAGGTCCATTGTTCCGTTTTTGTGTTTGATGGCTTTGAACGAGTTGACGTAGAACCGGTGGGCGAGCCAGAACTGGATGTAGGTTGCCAACGCTAGCTCCAAGATGGACTCGAGAAACACCCCGTGGAACAGGGCGACTTTCTTCCAGTGGATATTAAATATGAGGGCCACGATTGGCCAGATATGGTGTCTGAAGAAAATGGGGGCCCCGAATATGATCATTCGCACAAAGATCTGACGCCAGTACGCAATGTCCTTGACTTTGAGCAGCAGATCCAGCTGTGAGGCAGTGTCTAGTTTTGAGTTGAGCAGAGCGTCGAACCCGCAATCCTCGATGGTTTCCATAATCTTACGGATGCCCGTTCTGCTATTGTCGTAGGTTATATGGGCCTCTTCGGTGGCCAAAGCCACCTGACAGCTTACCACACCGTCCAATGCAGAGACTGTTTGTTCTATCGAGGCCGAACAGTTGGCACAGGTCATTCCAAACACCTTAAGGACCACCGACTCCAAATCCGGAGCTGTTTGGCCATTTTTGGTTTCCACAAGAGTGGCCTCGAACCCACAGTCTTCGACCGCCTCGCACAGTTTCTGTGCTGACCCCGTGTGTTTCACAACTGCCTGTTCCGTGAGCAACGACACCTGCACGTCCTGGACCCCATGCACTGCCCTGATTGCGTCTGTCACGGCGCCCACACAGGAGCTACAAGTCATGCCCCCGATGGTCAAAATGGATGTCTCGGTCGATCCGGCAGCACCGTCGGCCGCACCGGACTGTTCTATGGTGGCCCCAAACCCAGCCGAGTCCACGGCATCAGCCAATGCGTCTGCCGAGACGGTGGGCGAATGGGTCACGAGGGCTTGTTCCGTCAACAGGGCCACCTTCACGTCGTCCACGCCGTCCAACTCACGCAGACTGGCCTCCACGGCCGACGTACACGCCGAACAGGTCATTCCCTCCACTCGTAGCGTCGTTTGCATTATGGAGAAGAACAAGACGTTAAGTCCGAATAATATTAAAAAAATTAATTATTTATTTCTATAAGGCTCGGCTAGTGGCTATTTCCGGCTAACCGTGGAGTGTAATTTATATTCGCGAACAGCGAGAATGGACAGGAACCCAAATAGACTGGCCACCAGGGCGTACAGGAAAGTGGACCAGCAACCAACATTGTAGCCGTTGACGAGCGTTGCAACGGCCCATTCGGGAGCACTGTGGATGTAGGTGGCACTGTGGAGAGCCTTATCGATGATGTAGAGAGTCTCTTCTTTGGAGACGTTTTCCGGGGCGTGTTGGAACAATCTGGTTTTCAGGAAGTGTCCGAGATTCCACTGGAATAGCAGCGACGCCAGCGACGTGCCCAGAGTGGAGCCTGTGGAACGGAAAGCGTATTGCACAGAAGTGACGGCAGATTGGTGTTCCTGCGGAACAGAAGCTATCAGCGACAACAGCGTGGTGGTCAGCATCGACACGTACGAGCAGTACGGCACGATCGGCATGATCATCAACAGAACGTCGGGTAGCAGAGTGGCCACGGGTTTGGGACGGGTGGTGAGCACCAGCACCAAAATACTAATCAGCCCTAGAAGAGCCACGACAATGGAAAAGTTGCGATATTTTCCAGTCACCTTCATATAGTAGCCAGACCCGATGGAGGCGAAAGAGGACACCACGATGGCCGGGACCAGACGGTTGCCGACCTGGCCTGTGTCGAACCCGTAGACAGTGGTCAGATAGGCCGGATAGTAGAACGTGACGCAGCACAGGTACATTGTTCCAAACCAGTTGGCGAGCGAGGAGCCCAAGATGGAGCGGTTTTTCAGCAGTTCTGGCGGCACGATGGGGTCAATGGCCGTGTTCTCGATGTAAATAAACAGTCCCAGAGACACAAACAAAACCACACAGCCTGCGATCAGCAGACTCATGGACGGCCATTCGAATGAGGTGACCACCACGAAAACGAACAAGGTGAACGCCAGACTCAGGATTCCCAGCACATCGACTCTCTTGAGCTTCTGTTTCCAGGTGAGCGTCGTGGTGGACACGCTAGGCAGTTTGAGGTTGAACAGACACAAGAAGAAACAGCTCACGCCAACAGGCACCTGGATCCAGAACACGAATCTCCAGCCGTACTTTTTGGCGAGCTGGCCGCCCAGGGTTCCGAACGCCGAGCCTGTTCCGTAGCACAGGTTGGCAAGACCCTGGTAGACTCCTCTTTTGCGCAACGGAACCAGGTCACTCATGGTGATGCTTCCCAAAGTGTTGAGACCAGAAGCGAAACCAGACAAGAACCGGCCAATGACAAACGACCAGGCTGTGGTGGCCGTGGCACATTGCAAGCATCCGATCGTGAAGATAGTGATACAGCCCAGAATCATTGGTCTGCGGCCAAAAATGTCCGACAACTTGCCCAACGGCTGGACGATTGACGAGGCAAGCAGATAAGACGTTGCAATCCACGAAAGATAAGGAATCGCGTTCAAATCGGACGCAATCTCCGTCATGATCGTGGACAAGATGGTGGTGTCCAGAGACGCCAGAAACGTGAGCGAGAAAATGCACCCGAGAATCACGTACATCTGTCTTGGGGGAACAAGGAACTCGTCGTCGTTGGTCTCGGCCGAGCTCTGTTCCTGGGCAATCGAGCCGTATCCGGGCTCCAGCTCCTCGCCGATCTCGTCAGCAACGTATCCAGGCAACGACGTCGACGCGTCGGTCAATAAGGGCGATTTCGGGGTCGTCATCGCAAAACAAACAAAATAAATAATCAACAACAGGCTTTATCTAGATAATGAGAGATTATTACAGATTAATTATTGTACACAGCCTGGAAAATGTTTTCGTTCAGGACCCGTTCACGGGTTCGGGCTTGACCTCTGGCGGGACGGATTCCTGTTTGTGTTCCTCTGGCTCCTGTTCTTCCTCCGGCTCGCTCTCGTAGTCGTCTGCCCAGTGCTCGTCCGGCGCAACCTTGAGGTCCAGCCAGTTCTTCAATATGGTGGCTATTTTCCGGGCCACCTTAAGCTTGGCGAACTCCGGTTTCTTGAGAATCAGAACAAGCACCTTGGCGATGTTGGTGGACTTCAGCACAGCCCGCGAAACGGTCTTCTGGCCCGCCAGCTTGTTCACGGCCGGCTCCAGCTGCTTGTTGGCAGACGAGTAGTCAACCTCGCCGTCTGCAGGAAAAGCCACTTTTTGGATCTGCACACGGATATCGCTTAGGAACTTGGTGCTTTTCTTCACGTCCTCCACCAGATCGTGCGCCTTGACCGGCTCGATATCCAGTCCGGCGTCCTCAACGCCGGAATCCAGCCCCCAGTCACTATCTCCTGACTCGTCGTCGCTCTCGTCGTCGCTTTCATCAACTTTGCGTCTTTTCCGCGACTGCGCCGTCCCGTTCGACCGTTTGCGACCAGACTTGCCGTAACTGGCCTCCTCCTCGTCGCTCTCGTCGTCGCTCTCTTCGCCTTCTTCATCTTCGTCTTCTTCTTCCTCCTCGTCGTCCTCCTCCTCTTCGTACTCGTCCTCGTCCTCCTCGTAGTCCTCGTCGTCCTCCCCAACCTTGCCGTAGCTGCCGTACAGCGCAAAGTCCTCTGCAGAGACGTCCTTGTTGTTGGCACACAGATACGCGTTGGTCAGACTGCTCACTTTTGACGCGCGCTTAACACGGAAGTTGCCGTCCACATCGGGCAATTCGCCCTTCTTGACAAGATAGCTGGTCACCGCGTCGTCGTCCAGCGGCTTTAAATCCTTCTCAGAACACCAGAAGTACTCGTCGTCCCCGTAGAACTTGACACACACGGACCGCGTGTCGGAGTCGCCGCGCCGACGCCTTCTGCCGGCCGCCGAGGCCGGACGTATCTTCTGAATCTTCTCGGGCAACTGCTCGTAGTCAATAACCCGCGAGGGCCACTCGGGGAACCCTTTGATCTTTGTGAGCACAAGCGAGCCTGGCGAAAACATCGGATGGAATTTCATGGTGTAGAGATGCGTTTATTTCAGCAGCACAAGGACGAAGATGCGAGGGATCGACGCGTCGCCCAAATTAGACCGCACCTCATTGGACCGGTTTTTTTTTGTTTTCATTCTTGGCATTTTCAGGTACACCACCCACCAGTCGGCGAACATGAGCCGGTGCAATGTTTATTATGTCTCGGGAACGGTGGGAACCGGAAAAAAAATTGCCTCAGCAAGATAATTCTAAATAATAGAAAAGACCGGAAACGTAAGGTCTTGGAAACCGGGGAGCTATGGATAAGTGCACGGATATGCCGGAAACTGGGAGGCAGCACTAATCTTTTCGGTATTGATGTCACCCTAAAATGGAAGCACCGGAAACCGCCATCTCCCAAGAATCGACATTGGCCAACCAGCTTGCCAGCTGTGCAAACCAGCTTCTTAGGGCACACCGCCCGCCATCCCACCTCCCAAGCCCGCCCTTTGTTCTGCTGTAACCGGCCTATCTGAAAATTCCGGACCCCCCGGAAAGGAAAACAATCGCACACTGTAAGTTTCTGGTAAGCAGCAAAATTGTGCTCAAGGTGCATAATATATATACCGAAACGGAAACTCGTCTAGGAAAAAGTTTGTTTTCCAATTAATCTTCTAGCTCTTCTTCTACAAGTTGCTACCTAATTGCCAACCAGATACCAATAATTAATTGAGATGCTACCAGCCGGTGTTATCCTTGTTTTCTGCTTGCTCTTCGTCATTGGTAAGTGATCGAAATCCCGCTTGTTTTTACTAACTTTTCAGCTGTGACCGTTTTCATCCTCTTCTTGGTTAAGAAGTACAAGAAATAAGCTATGGTGTGTCGTATAAGTGCTAAAGCATGGCTGTCATGTGTGTTTAATTGATAGACCTAATAATGATCAGTGCAGTCGAATATTTACAACATCCCGCTAGTCGGTGCTCGGTAGACGGTGGTGGCCGTGCGACCCAACAGGTCGCATTCAGCAGGCAATTGTTGAACGGTCAGCTCCCGAATGTAATTGTAGAAAGAATCGTGGTGGTTTCGAGACTCGTCGACTTACCAGCTCTCTATGGGCTCGGTTCGGAGTCTCATTAGACTTTTCGGTATCGTCATTGGGGAAGAGTCGGCAGTTTGTCGGTGTACGGATGTGGTTTGCCAAATAGGGAAACAATAGGTGGATGGCCAAAATTTGAACTTTACACATCATCTTTTCCGAGTTTGGTGGTTTTTCTTCTTTCATAAACCTATAAACACACTTCTCCTTTTAGTAATTGTGAGAAAGCTCTTCCTCTTACGGATAATCAATCGATAAGTTAAAAGTATGTCCACATATTTGCAAACTAACCCTCAGTGTCTGAACTGGCCAATCTTAAGCAGGAGTCCCAGGCTTCGGAGCAGCCCGACCTCAACTTGCAGCCACAAAACCCAGAGTTGGACGACGAAGACGATGAAGACACCAAGCCAAACAAGAGAGAACGCAGAAAGATCGAGATCCGCTTTATCCAGGAGAAGTCCAGAAGACACATCACTTTCTCCAAGCGGAAGGCCGGTATTATGAAGAAGGCGTACGAACTTTCTGTTTTGACCGGCACCCAGGTGTTACTTCTTGTTGTTTCCGAAACGGGACTTGTTTACACCTTCACGACTCCCAAGTTGCAGCCGCTGGTGACCAAGCCCGAGGGAAAGAACCTGATTCAGGCGTGTTTGAACGCCCCGGAGGAGCCTGCCAACGACGAGGAGGACGACCAAGGCGGAGTTGCAGACTCGCATCCTGGACAGCCCCATCCTGCTGCCCAGCACCTGCACCCCCAGATGCAGCCCCAGCCAACCCAACAACCTCTTCCTCCTCCTCCACAGGGCCAGCCCCAGCCAGACCCTTCGCAAGCGGGGCAACCTCCATACCACATGCCCCAGATGGGCAACAACTATCTCAACCCGGACCAAAGCAACTACTATATGGGTTTCAACGGTAACCAGGGTTACAATTAGGACATTCCGTTTCCACAAGTATAATTAGAGACAATGTCTGTGTAGTTTATATGATATTATTGCTTTCTGCAAAAAAAGGTGGGTTTACCCTTGTATTATTACTATATATCGTGGCTAAACAAGAAAAAAAAAAACTTAATGAACAATACTATATCCAACCTTTCTGCTGGGCTCAGAAACGTCCGTATCAACCAGCCGATCAACCATACAAGCATCCAGAATGAGTACGAGTCACAGACAAATCAGACGCTCGACTCGGAGTCTGTTTCGAGACTGAAGGAGTTTTTCTCGCAGGGGGCTCCAAACGAAGGATATACCTTGGTGAGCCACAGGTCTGCGCCGAACGGGTTCAAGATCGCCATTATTTTGTCCGAGTTGGAGCTCAACTACAGCACGATTCTGCTCGACTTCAACAAGGGCGAGCAGCGCACACCGGAGTTCCTTGCCATCAACCCCAACGGGCGGGTTCCTGCGCTCATAGACCACACCAACCAGGACCAACAGGTATCTATTTGGGAAAGCGGGGCCATCATCTTGTATTTGGTGGAAAAGAAACTGAAGGAGGAAGGCTCGTGTTCCATCTGGAGCGATAATCTGATCGAACAGAGCCACATTTTGAGTTGGTTATTCTTCCAGACCTCGGGCCATTCCCCGATGATCGGACAGGCGTTGCATTTCAAGTACTTCCATTCCACAAACGTGGCCTCGGCCATCGACAGATACTCGGACGAGGTGCGTCGAGTCTACGGAGTGTTGGAAATGGCACTTGCCGAACGCAGAGAGGCCCTGATCATGGAACTTGACGCAGAAAATGCCGCGTCCTACTCGGCAGGCCTCACCCCGCTGTCCCAGAGCAGATACTTTGACTACCCCGTCTGGCTGGTCGGGGATCGCGTCACCATTGCCGATCTCTGTTTCGTCACATGGAACTACGTTGTCGACCGCATTGGAATCGACCTCAAGGCGGAATTCCCTGAAGTTTACAAATGGACCAAACACATGATGAGACGACCTGCTGTGATGCGGGCGTTGAAAGGTAACGAATAGTAACGATTTAACTTAAAGTATGAAAAAATTCGGAAAAATTTAATTAGACACTGTATATTCACCATGGCCATCGAAAACCCGGCTTTACAGATGCTGGGCATCAGACGGCTCAAGCTACCTTCGCGCAACTGGATGATCTTCTGGACCGTGGTTTCTGCCGTTGGTGGAGGCGTCGCCTACGATAAGTACCAGCAGTCTGTTTTACGGACGCAGTACATGGAAAAGGCCAAATATCTCGGAGAACGGCCGTTCCAGCCAAACGAGCTGCCACGAAAGCTGCGGATCTACGTTGCACCGCCACCCAACGACTTTTTGAGCGAGGGATTGAAGTATTTGCGTCGGTTCTGCAAACCTATTCTTAATTCAGCATCGATTGACTTTGACATCTACACGGCAGAACGTCAGGGAGACATCCGTCATGCGGTGGCCGAGGAGATCCGTCAGCTCAGACGGGCCGCCGTGGCCAAACCAGAGCAGCCCTCGGCCGCTAATGGGGCCTCAGAAGACCCAGAAGAAACTAAGCCGTTAAAAGAGCTGTACCAGCCGTCCGACGTTTTGGGCATCTCCAAATGCATCAAGCCGCAGCCGCTCGTGTTTGAGGACGCCAACGTGCCTCCCGAACAGGCCGGCGGAATCATCACCATTGGCAGAGGTGCCTACAAGGAGTACATTAACGGCGTGCACGAAGGATTACTTGGTCCGCTCGAAAAGCCTGAAAAACCAGAGCAGGAAAAGAAAGAGGCGTTCCCTGAGGAAAACCAGTCGGCAGAAGACACCGAGCCAAAGAAGGAAGCGCCTCCAGTGATCGACTCGTACGTTGACACCAAGCTGTACTCGTCACTGCCTCTGGCCCCGGAACTGGACATAAATAACCTCAGAGATGCAAACGGAGTGCCGTTTTTCTTTACACAGCCCGTGCTACCCTTGCAAAACTACAATGTGGCCGGATTCACCAAGCAGCCCGAGCGTCTGTACCGCTTCTACACGAAAAGACACCAACTGGTCGAGTACAACGAGCAGCTGTGGGGATTGATCACCAAAAACTCCCGTCCGTTCACAGAATCCGATCTGGGACTCCTGCAGGACGAGGAGAACGACTGGCCCAAGCGATTTGTGAAAGAGTCCCGCGAAAAGGGCACCGAGTGGACACAGCCGTTTGTGGGCGACCCGCGGGTGCTGGAACTGCTCAGAGTGTACGAGAAACCGAGTGATGTAAATAGTGCTTGATATATAAAAAAAAAACTTTGCTGACTCTGAGGATCGAACTCAGGACCTCCAGATCTTCAGTCTGACGCTCTCCCAACTGAGCTAAGTCAGCAAAATCAACGGTTGTTAACCCGTTCGCGTTTATGCCGCGTCTATTTAGTGTCGGGCAGCCTCGTTCGGGTCCACTTTGAAAATCTTGTCCGGGTTGAACAGCAGATCTGGGTCCAATGCCAGCTTGAGCCGTCTCATGGTGTTGACGGCGTCGAGTCCAAGCTCCTGCTCCAAGAACTCGCGCTTGCCAATGCCCACGCCGTGCTCGCCCGAAACCGTTCCCTCGTTGGCAATTGCCCGAGCCACCATGTTGTGCACCACCTTCTCGGCAACTTCCCGCTTCTCAGGCGGAAAGATCACGAGCGCGTGGATGTTGCCGTCTCCAACATGGCCCACCACGGTGGTCAGCAGCCCGTTCGACTCGATATCGTGTACAGTCTGCTCGATCACCGCGGGCAGCTTCGAGATCGGCACAGCCACATCTGTGGGCCATGCCTGAGCGTTGGGGATCAGACGTCTTGCCCAGTCGATCGACGTCCACAGCTGCGTCTTGCGCGCCTGCCAGATATCGTCCTTGTCGGCATCTTTGGTGGCGATCTCCATGTTAAAGCCGCCGTTCTGCTTGCAGATCTGCTTGACCGTGTTGATCTGGTCCTTCATGGTGTTTTTCGAGCCACCCAGCTTGAAAAGCAGCAGGTTCTTGTCCGACCACTTTCTGCCGTCGCCGGTGCCCATTTCGGAGAAACACCGCATCTGACGGTCGTCCATGAGTTCCACCGCGTTCAAGGGCAGTCCGCGGCGGAAAATCTCCGTCACCGTGCGTGCTGCCTCCGACAATGTGTTGAAGTTCACCATGGCAACCACCTCATTCTCCGGCTGCACCGCCACTTTCAAAGTGGCCTCGACAATGATGCCCAAAGTGCCCTCGCTGCCCACAAACAGCCCCGTGAGGTTGTAGCCGGCACTCGACTTGCGCGGCCGGTTCTTGGTTTTGATCACCGTCCCGTCAGAAAGCACCACCTTCAGCCCAATCACGTTGTCCTTCATGGTCCCGTACCGTGTGGCGCGCGTACCTGAGCAGTTGGTAGCCACCATCCCGCCAATGCACGCCCCAGGCCCCGGGTCGGGACCAAACATCAGCCCGTGCGGGTCCAGGTACGCGTTCAGCTCCTGCCACCCGATCCCGGGCTCCACCACCACGTCCAGGTCGTCCTCGTGCAGTTCCACCACCTTGCTCATGCGGCTGACGTCGATGCACACCCCACGCCTAGTTGGGATGAAATGGCCCTCGATCGAGGTTCCGCCAGAGTACGGAATCATGGGGATCTTGTATTTGGAGCAGATTTTCACCACGGCAACCACCTCGTCCACAGACTCCGGGAACACAACAAGGTCGGGCCGCTCGTGCTCGGACGGCTTGTGGAAATTCGATGAGTTGTCCGAATGGACGCTTCTTTCACCGTCCGAGGAAGAAGTTTGGTCTGGCCGTAGCAGCCGGCCAATTTCCCCGACCGCCACCTCTAGATCACCCCCACTCACATACACAGGTGACCGGGACAGATCCTGCAGCGCGGTGGTGGCCCCCTTGGGGAATACGTCCGGTGGTGGATACTTTCTCAAGTACTCGTAAGTAGCGTATGAGGCGGCCAATCCGGTCCCCAGAAAGGCCAGACCGCTTCTCACAGCGCGGTTGCCGCCAGAATACGTCTTTTGCGAATAAAATCGCCGAACTCCACGCCAAACTCCCGTTCGTTGTGCTCTGATAAACATGCTCGTGCTGATAAGAAATTTCAGGGCTGTGCTCCTTTTCTTTGCAAGAGCGGTGATTTTTTCGAGCTTTTTTCTCCAAATACAGTAAGTCCCGAGAAATGAGCGTTGTGAAGCCCTTCAAGCAGTTTGTGAGCCAGTTCCCACTCGTGGTGTATCCGTCGCAGTCGGCGGACGTGCCGCTGCCGGCGTCTCGCTTTTCGTTTCGGAACAGCCCGCAAACAGCCGACTCGTTCAATCTTGGAGTGTACAACGTTGTGTCGCTGTCGTTCGACAACCGCGTCGCTGCCTCGCTCGACCCGGTGTGTTTCTACTGCATGATCTTGCTCGCCTACAAAAACGGGTACAAATTGCCGCTGTTGGACGGAGAATCGGCCGGAAACTGCGTTTCTGTGCTCAGCTTCCATAGCTCGACAGACGGCCATTTGCCGGTCCTTATCGAAGACGAGGACGACAAGAAGGCTCGCCGTCTCATGCGCAAAGTGCGTTCCGCCGCTACAATCGAGAAGTTCAACCTATCGGCCGTCACAAACCCAAAAGAACTCATGTATATTCAATTAGTCGACACGCGGCTGTACGACTACTTCACCCTGCGCGTGCTGCAGACGTCCGCGATCAGCGTCTACTGTCCCGCAGGTGAGCTGTTCAGCCGCTCTATGGAGTGTTTTGTCACGCGCAACAACTTTCACCTGCGCAACCCGGCCATCGCGGCTCATGCTACCAGCACGTTCCAGGTCTCGCTCAAGCACTCTGTCCAGGCCGCGCAACAGGAGTCGGACAGATGCGCCAGCGAGGGAAAACAGCTGCTTGCATGGCTCGAGGACCTGCTCGAGGACGAGGTGTTTTTCGAAAAGCCAGGGGTGCTGGACTTCAAATTGGCCGCATACGTTTATGCGCTCATGAACATCGAGGACGTCGAGCTCGGCTACCCTAAACTCAAGGCGCACTGTCGTCGGATCATTGCCGGTGCTATTTGAGCTCATTTCCACGGATTGTCGTCCTCCGACTCCCACGTTTTGTATGCTATGGACGTCGGAACAGCCAATTCTTTGAACAGGTCTGTTCCGTGCGCTTCCTGCTGCGACGACTCGAGTGCCTGCTCCTCGTGGTCGGTGTACTTATCATAGATGTCTTCGAGATCGTCGATGATCTCAATCGGCAGGTTTGGTTGGTAAAGCTTGATTTTCTTCTGGTCCGACCCGTACTGGTGCAACAGCTCTGCTTTTCGACACAGAACAACAGGGAAGACCTGTGCCGGGTTCAAAAACAGCTTTTCGGAGCCCGTGTAGAACACTTTCTGTCGACACGGAGTAGAGCTCTGTTTCAGATGGTTCTTGAGCGTCTTGGGGAACTTCTGCTCTGTGATCTCGTATCTATAAACCTTAATGACATGAAGCAATTGTTCGGAATTTAGCACGTCAAATCTGTTCATCACTTCTTTCAAGGTTCCAAGATCGTCTGCTGTGAGTCCGCTCATCACTTGTAGCCATTCCAACAGCTCGATCAACGGCATCAGATGGTACTGGCCAATTTTGTACAGCGGATTGTAGTAGAAAGTTCCGTCCATTGGGTCCTGTGGATGGTTGTGGAACCGTGCAACGTTGTTGAACTTGGTTTGCTGGCCAACAATGCTTTCTGGATAACTATCGTCTTTGAAATCGAGCGATTCTGGACGGAACGGAATCAGATTGTTGGTTCGTAGCCAGTCCTGGATATACGACAAATTAAGTCTTATTTGCAACGCCTTGACTCTGGTGCTGTATTTTTTGTTTGCAAGCACTCTGTTAAATACAGAAGCTCCAAACCAGTAGAACACCGCAGAGAAGCACTGTTGTTTTAAAATGTCGTTCACGTGATGGAGCTCCAGAACGTAAACCAAAGCACCGAGAGTCTGGATGATCTTCAACGGCGACGGTTTCATCTGGTCTGCCAGCGACGGAGGATACAGCATCTCCAAGATCTCGTCGTATGTGGACTTTAATGCAACTTTATGCTTGAACATCCGCCATTGAGCCTTATAAACAGTGTCGAGGTCAGGGACGCTGGAGTAGTCCAGAACACACGGTTCCAGAAGCGGCTCGAGTTTGGCGTCCATAGCGAACGCCAGCTGGAAAATCAGGCTCTGGAGCGTCAAAATGAGATCCTGCACCGTTTTCGAGCTCTTGGAGAAAAACGGACATGCTGTATCTCTGGAGAAAAAGTATTGTAAATGGTTCAAACATGAGATCCAGTACCCCAACAGAACTATGTCTGTTCCGGACCCAGAAACAAGCTGGACCACTCCGCTTTTGGTGTTGGTGACGCTTCGGACCCGGGTCAGAAACAGGTCCACAAACGATTCTGCAAGTTCCATACTCTCGAGCTTCCCGCTGATGTACCGCACCGACTGGAACACCACGGCTGCGGGATAGATGGCCCGGTGCTGGTATTTGGAGCTGAGAGAGAAAATGTAGTCTATGGTGGCCGAAATGCTGTCGTCGCTGACCTTCACGAACTGGCGCGGCAACAAATGGCCGAAATCAAAGCTGTCTGTGTAAAACGAGTCGTTAGCGTCGACAATGTCGTCGTCGTCGTCCACAAACTTGGTTCCCTTGTACAGCTCTGCAGAAGCGGGTTTTTCGTCCGACTCGACGGTCAGAGCTTTCAGCCGCGTCTCGAACTGGTCGTCCGTAGGAAGCAGCGGGTCTTTCTTGTAGAAAGTGTCTTCGTCGGGCTGTGTCTTTGTTTGGTCCAAATAGTTATGTGTTTTGTAGAACTGGTACACTTCGGAGTCCAATTTGGCCAGGTCCAAAGCGTTCTGGTTCGACCGTTTGCTGCGGAGATACGGATCAGCATCGTTAGCCAATAACAGCTCCACTATCGATACGTTTTCCAAATAAGTGGCCCACATCACCGGAGTCCATTGGAGCAGGGAATCGCACTCGTTAACGTCCACCAACGAAACCAGCACGGAAACACATTCCAGCGAGTTAAAACAAACAGAGTAGATCAACGGACTGAGTCCATTTCCGTCGAGCTGGTTCAACTGTTTGAGTTTTTCTGGCCCAGCAGAGCTCACAAACTGCGACAACTGGAAATGGTCGTTGGATGTGCACGCCAAACACAGCTGCGCGAACGGATTGGAGTCTGCAACAGCCTCCAGCGCCTTCTTAGCCGCCAGAACTTTGGTCCAGTTCGTATCCGAGGACAGCACGGCGGAAATTGTGGCCTTCCAGGGATCAAGCGACATGTCTTGTGTGATTTGGAGATTTTAATGATTTTTGTCCTTTTAGTGTAAGTGGCGCAGGAGGCGGTGAACCTAAATAAATATCATTTATAGTTACTCTTGGACAAATCAATGGCGTTCAATCTGGACTTGCGGCTCGAGTCGCGAGTAGCTGGTCGGCACGGCCACAAATTGGCTTGTGAAGAGTCCTCCGACTGGGTTTCCTCTGCCGATAATGTCAAACTGCCCGGAAATACAGACCCTATCCAATTTGTCACCCTCAAGAAAATAACAGCCAGACTGCTCGAATCGCCACAACAAATCGACAAGTACGGCTTGCCCGTGTGCATTGGTTCCTGTGCCAAGTATCTGGCGCTTGGAACTGCCAGAGGACACATTTTCGTGTTTGATTACCAGCAGGACCTGGAGGCTGTGATCAGCCCCGGCCACTCGGTCACGGCGTTGGCGTTTTCGCTCGACTCTGAGTCGCTTGCATCGGGTCATTCAAACGGCCAAGTGCACGTTTACACGCTCGCAAACCATCAATCCCCGGTATTTTCGTTCGACTCCCAAGACAGCCCCATTTCCTCGGTTTCCTTTGTTGGCAAGCGCCACTCGGCTTTGCTCAGCCTCACAGACGACGGGAACTTGGTTTACCACCAAGCTAGCCGGGTGTTTCTTGGGTTTGCAACCAAGTCCAGAACACTTGTCTCGAATATCCTCAGCACAGCACAATTGCCCATTGGCCCGCTCCCGTACCCAACAGACACGATGGACGTGATGGCGGTGATGAACAGCAGTGGGATTACCGTCTTGTCCACCAACTCGGCCGTCCAGGACCATTTCAGAGTTGGCCGACCAAAGATGGCTTCCAGCACCGCCACAACCGGGTGTATAGCATGGTACCCGGCAACGGAGACAGCGGGCCCTGTTTTAGCGTACTCGTGGGCCAACGTGCTGACGCTCGTGGACGTTGTTGCTGACGGCATCACAAACGAACACCACGCCGAATCCATTCTGCTGCGGTACGAGAACAAGCGGCGACACCTGTGCCAAGAACACATTGTGGCGGTGCACTGGCTGAACTCCAAAGTACTTATCGTCCTGACCGCGTCGCAGCGGTTGATCTGCTTTTCGCGCGAAACGCTATCGATCCTGAACGAGCAGGACGTCATGTCCAAGCACATCAAGTACCGGAAACTCGAGCACGCCAGGCGGGATTTCGCAGCAGCTGCCACCGTCTACCGCAGCAAGCTGTTCGTTTTGGGCAAGTACCAGGTGTTCTTTGGCGCTCCACGGAACTGGGCTGACGAGCTGTTTGGACTGTTGCAGTCGGGACAGTACATACAGGCATTGGAGACCGCATGTGCGCAATACGAGGGGAATTGCGACTTAATTCTGATCGGCCTACCAGAAGACGCTGATGAGCGCCACAGACAAATGAAACAGCACATTTTGGAGATCCTGGATGTGTCCTCGAGCTACATCTTCACAGATCAGACGGTGTTGGCATTAGACCAGGCGAAACGCAACGACACTCTCGCATTATTTCTCAACACGGCATTTAAAGTTTGTGCAAGCTTAAAGACCGACCCGCTCATTTACGACCAGCTCTACGACAAATACAGCTCACAGGGACTCGAAGGAGTGTTTTTCAATGTTCTGGAACGGTTCATCTTTAGAGAGGAGATCGTGATCCTGCCTCCTGCTGTGCTACGCAAAATGGTGGCACGGTACATTTCTGATGAACGGGGCGAGGTTCTGGAGGATCTGATTTGTTTACTGGATCTCACGCAATTGGATCTCGATCTTACTATCACCCTGTGTCGTGAGCATCATCTGAACGACTGTCTGGTGTTCATTTGGAACACCATGATGGAAGACTACATTTCGCCAATGTTTGACGCTATTCGCGCAATTAAGACCAACAGTTCCGCACAGTACTACGAGTACATTTATCCATACATCTCGTACACATTGACAGGACGTCAGTACCCAACAGAAAAGCCAATATACTACAAACAGCTGGAGACTGCTAAGAAGAACCTATACTACGTTCTTTTCAACGGGGCGGCTGTTTCGTGGCCCAAAGGGTCTGCAAAATTGCACATAGTGTCGGACGACCAGGTCGACGATGAGCCTGCATTCCCGTATCTCGTGCTGCTGCTGAAACAGGACGGGGCGCGGTTTTTCAGGGTGATGAACGAGATTTTCGAAGATATTTATTTGAACGACGATGAGGTGTTTGGGTTTTCGAGCAATTTCGACACTTACGAGCTCAAGGTGAACCGGCAGTATGTTGTCGATGTGCTGATGGGGATTTTCGGAGAAAATGAGTTTTCGCAGCTGGAGAAGACATACTTGTCCATTTTCATAGCTAGGAACTATCCAAAGTACCTGCAATTTATCCGGCTATCGAATTCAACTCTCGAGAAGGTTATCAGAGATCTGTGTGCGTACCCGAACGACGAACTCAAGGACGAGTGCGAGTTGAGTCTGCAGAGTCTGCTTTCTGTGTACCGGCCAAATAACTCGATAGTGCCGCTTCTGGAGTCTGTTGGGTTCTACAACGCGCTCGTGAGCATCTACAACTCCGAGCACCGTGCGCTCAAGCTTCTGGAGCTGTGGTGCGAGCAGGATAGTCGCACAGACGCTGCAGATATCGTGGAACGGTGTTTCCGACTCGTTGGTAGCAACCCGGGCGAGAAGCACGACATTGAGCAGTTTCTGGCGGCGCATTTTGCCGAGTTTTGCGTGGAACCATGCTCCATTGCAGTCACGTTCTCCAGACACTGTCCGGAACTCAACAGTCACGTGTTGGAGCTGGAAGACAGCCGCAAAAAATACGAGTACTTGCGCACGCTGTTTGAGCTCAGGACGCAAGAGGAGGTGGCCACGACGCCGGCAATGGAATTGGAGTATGCCGAGTGTCTTTTTGAGTTTGATCACGATAAATTGAAACCGTTCGTTCTGGAGAGCACCGTTGATGAGAAGATGATGCGCTTTTTGCAACAGAACGGAGAAATAGAGACCATCGTGGAGATCCACCGACAACGCGGCCAGATCGAAGACGCCGTCGACGTTGTTGTTCAGGGTCTCGTTTCGACGGCCCAGCGGTTGCAACCCGGAGACAATTCCCAGGACCTGTGGAAATACCTCCATCTCGGCTTCAAAGTGATCAAGGAGACAGACCCGACCAGATCTACAGAGCTCCAACAGGACGAAAAGCTTTATCTGCGGTTGCTCGAGACGTCGGTGAGCTTTTTCGTAACAGAAGAAGGTCCTTTATTGGATATTTACAAACGACTAGTTCAGGACGCCTTCACGAGCTTGATCAACATCAAGCGCGACTACTCCGAGTCGTTTTTCCGCATCTTCAACACTTTTCTGAGCCGGTCTTCGGCGAAACTCACCACGCTCGAAGAGGTGCGGCCCGTGCTCAGCGAAATCTTCCAGGCATACTCGCATGAAAAGCTGATCTATGAGATCGTTCTCAAACTCGTCAATCACGATATCTTCCAGGAACTCCATGTCCTGGACGCGAAAAGAGCAGGCGGATGGTCGCTCGCCAACCTAGAGTGCGAGGTCTGCGGCAAGCCGATCTGGGGTCCCAAGATCGGGTCCCAGATCTACGACGTCTGGCAGACATACAAAATATCGGGAACGGTGCCAACGTCGCCTGAACTGCAGATCGTGGTGTTCCAGTGTCGCCACGGCTACCACACCAAATGTCTAAACAATCTCGGCGTGAATAACGAGTGCATCCTGTGCAGAGATCATTGAAGCAATTAGGCCTTGGCCTCGTCCATCCAGTCGAGCGTGTACTTGATTCCGTCCGCAATGGACACCCGAGGCTTGTACCCAAGAAGCTCTTTGGCCTTAGAGATGTTGTGGTATCTGTTTGCACAGGCAACCTTGACTCTGAACGGCGTGAGTCCCGCTTCCTTTCCGATCAGAGCACACACTTTCTCCGACACGTATCCGATGGCAATGGCCACAGACCGACTCAGAACAATGTTTCTCTTGTCAATGTGGCCGTCGGCTTTCCAAACGGTTCTGGCCAGAGTCCAGAAGTACGTTGGCGAGTCGTTGGTGATGAAAAAGGTTTCTCCGCCAATTAGTTCGCGCGACTTGGCTTCCTGAAGTTTCTGTGCTGCGAAAACGTGTGCATCAGCAACGTTACCGGCATATGTCCAGTCAAATAGGTTATTGTTATCTCCGACCTGGAACTTGGACTGGCCATTTTTAAGCACCTGTCTCAGACCAGGCACCAATTGACGGTCTCCCGGACCGAAGATCCCTGCGGGTCTCAAACTGACTGTGTAAAAGTTATCCTTTGGAGAATTTGCTTCCATCACCATTTTCTCGGCCGTAGCCTTTGTTTCGTTGTAGCCGTCCATTGGGATTTCCGGGATCGGCCATCTTTCGTCTGCGTTGTAGATATCCTGGCCGTTGAAAATCACACCAGCGGACGAGGTGTACACAAGAGACTGAATTTTCATTTCTCTGGAACATTTGATCAGATTGGCTGTTCCCTGGACGTTGACTTTTTCGTATATTTCCTGGGCCAGTCCGTGCATTGGAGAAGCCGAATGGACAATGACGTCTGGTCTAAACTTTTCGATGGCATCTTTCACGTCCTTTTCGGAAGTGAGGTCGCCCACAAACACGTCGATCTGGGCCGGGTCAAACGAGAAATACGACGAGATTTTCTCCGGCAATGGGCGAACGTCAAACACGCTGATCTTCGGGCAGTTATCTAAACGCCAGAACTGCTCGATCAGGTGCAGTCCAAGAAAACCAGCGCCTCCAACTAAAATGACAGAATCAATTGACATGACAAGAGGGAAAGAAATATAAATAACTAAAAAAATGGCCGGCAAAAGTTTGTCACAAACGTTTTAGGTAATTGGTTTTTTTCCGCGTTGCACTGAAAAATTGTTTGTTCATTATTTGCAAATGACTGAAAAACCATCAGAATCAAGACTTTGGGGCGGCCGGTTCACGGGAGCATCCGACCCGCTCATGGACCTGTACAACGCTTCGTTGCCGTATGACCAGAAGATGTACGGTGCTGATTTGGAAGGAACAAGAGTGTACACTGAAGGTTTGAGCAAGCTGGGGCTTTTGACCAGCGACGAGCTGTCTGAGATCCACAGGGGTTTGAAGATCATTGGCGAGGAGTGGGCCCACGGCACGTTTGTCGAGAAGCCCGGTGACGAGGATATTCACACCGCCAACGAGAGAAGACTCGGCGAGATCATCGGCAAGAACATTGCTGGCAAAGTCCACACCGGCCGGTCCAGAAACGACCAGGTGGCCACAGATATGCGGATTTTCGTCAGACAGGAGCTCAAGAAGCTGCTCAAGCTGCTCAAGTCGCTGATCCAGGTCATGACCACCCGCGCAGAGAAGGAGATCGACGTGCTGATGCCTGGATACACTCATTTGCAGAAAGCACAGCCGATCAGATGGGCCCATTGGGTCAGCATGTACGCCACGTACTTCACCGAGGACTACAAGCGTCTGCAGCAGCTAATTGAGCGGGTCAATGTTTCTCCGCTCGGGTGTGGTGCCCTGGCCGGCCATCCTTACGGAATCAACAGAGAGTTTTTGGCCGAGGGACTGGGATTCAACGGAGTGATTGGTAACTCGCTCGTGGCCGTCAGCGACAGAGACTTTGTGGTGGAGACGATGTTCTGGTCGTCGTTGTTCATGAACCACATTTCCAGATTCAGTGAGGATCTGATTATCTATTCTACAGGAGAGTTTGGGTTTATCAAGCTTGCGGACGCATATTCCACTGGATCTTCACTGATGCCGCAGAAGAAGAACCCAGACTCGCTGGAGCTGCTGCGTGGTAAGTCGGGCCGGGTGTTCGGCTCGCTGGCCGGGTTCATGATGTCCATCAAGTCGATTCCGTCCACTTACAACAAGGACATGCAGGAGGACAAGGAGCCGTTGTTTGACAGCTTGTTGACGGTGGAGCACTCGATTCTGATTGCCACGGGTGTCGTTTCGACGTTGAGCATTGACGCGGCCAAAATGAAGGCCGCCTTGACCATGGACATGCTTGCTACCGACCTGGCAGATTATTTGGTTAGAAAAGGTGTTCCGTTCAGAGAAACACACCACATTTCCGGTGAGTGTGTGCGCAAGGCAGAGGAGGAAGGCTACAGCGGCATCGACAAGTTGACCTTGGCACAGTTCCAGGAGATCGACTCGAGATTCGAGGAAAACGTTTTCGAGACGTTCGACTTCGAAGCAAGCGTCGAAAGAAGAACGGCTACAGGAGGCACGGCCAAGAGCGCTGTTTTGAAGCAACTGGCCAGTCTCAAGACTCTGTTAGAGTAGAATGTACGTGATTTATTAAGACATAGAATCTAGCTCATATTATCCACGTCGTCTAGATCGATGAGTTCTTTTGGTATCTTGACCTGTTTTGGTCTCTGTCCGAAGCTGAAGCTGTCGAGGCGGTGTTTCTCGTCGTCCAGCAACGGAGAGTAGGCGTTTTCGTCGGTCATGGCGGGCTCGAGTTTTGGTGACGACTGCACAGAGCTGATCGGGGACCGGAGGGTGGAATTAGACGACCCCGACAACCCAGCCAGGTCGTCCTGGATCATGGAGCCTGTGAGGCTGAACGAGCGCCGGTGTGTTCTTCGCGGCGAAGAGGCCGAGTCTGCGGCGGAGACCCGGCGCGGAGAAGCTGTCGGGGAGGCCTGATGCTTAAGATGCGGTCTTTGCGAAAGATCTGAGGAGGAGCCCGAAGCGTTTGACAGCGACACCGTGCGGGGTTGGTGGTATTGGTTGTAGATTAGTTTTTTGCGGCCCGAGTCCTTTCGAAGCGGAGTGCTCTGCGACTGCCAGAGGTCACCTGTTTCGCTCTCCGATTCCTGGATCGTTGGTGTTTTCGGGGAGGTGACATAGTTGAAGTTTCTGCGCTCCTTTTGCGGCGATTTATCCTGTTTTGGGAAAGAGTATGACATTAAAGACTGTTCACACTCTTCCCAATCGTAAACCAAAGTAGTGAAGGAAGAGTCCATAAATGATTTGATCTGGGGCCATCAGTTTTTTTATACTCAAGAGCGGGAAACTTGTGCAACCAACCGAATGTATGCGCCTGTCATTTGGACTAAACAGTAGTGGGGGACAGGTCAGGGCTGCACGATTTCTTTTCTGGGGCCTGAAATCAGAGGATTACGTGTTTCTTCTGCAGGTAAAACAGCATCACTTTAGCGTCTGGGCGTTGGGGAGTATTGTTGAATCGCGCTCGCTTATTAGAAGCGTATGCAGAGAAAACGCTATGCTATAATTTTAAAGCGTCTTTTTTTTGCTATGTGCAGCATAGAAACCTGTTCTTGCTATTTCTGGCTCTGCACGGCAGGAATTTACTGCCTTTTTGTCAGGAGTACTGAACAGTTTGTCGGAGAACTGCGTAGTCCGTGATCATCTGGCTCGATAAAAGAAACAAATTACGCCAGTACTGGTTGCTACAGAACGTCAAGGCTACATGGTATTAACTATCTCGCATCGCCTTTTCGGCACTAAAAACGCACTGGAAAGTCCCGATCTTTTCGTCAGTTATGAGGGTATGGTCTCGTCATGATTTTGAGTACATCCGATTGGTGCACAGCATCTCATTGTCATCACTCGAAAGATCGCGGTCTTTCAAAAACACCTTCTTTCTCAAAAGAAAGAGTCTTTGGTAGTCCGATGAAAGAAAACTTTTCAACCTCTGGCAAACTTTTATTTTGCGGTCGTGTACCGCGTCCCAAAGATGAAGCACCACTTCTAAATCTAGACCCCCCGACTAATGATAAGCTCGTATAGGAACTTTGTTCGGCAGCTCGAGCTACACGCTTAGTTTTTCGGCTTTTGCAGCAGCTGTTTCAGCAAGAATGCAATAACGTCTGGATCATCGAAATATTGGATATGGGAGCCTATGGCATTGATCAGATCAATGTCAAAGTAGCCCTGTGGTAGCGAATAGTCCACCCGACCAGTTCTATTGAGCGATTGTAATAGTTTCTTCACATGCTCTGGCACCTTGTCTAAATTGTCAGCACCCCGCTTGTAGCACTTGCTGTCCTGCGGCTTGTAGTCGCCTAATCCTGCAAAATTGATGGCTCGCTTGAAATACCGATTGTTTATCAGGTTGTTAGGCAGCTCTGCAAGAGATTTTAGCTGCGAATTGATGTTCTCGTCAGAAAAAGAAATCATCTCTGGCTTGATATCTGCAAGCAACGGATGCACAAGTGGCTCAACACGGTATGCCACCGGATCTGTAGGATAGAAGATGTTGTAGTAGTTGTCGACTTTTGGTGAGCTGGTGGTTTCTGGATCGTTGGTTTCCGTCGACCCGCGTGGCCAGATGTTGTGGCGTTCGATCAGCTTGAAAACCCCGTTTGGAGAGCCTAGTCCGAAAAAGTTCTCTACACGGAACTTGAGGTGTTTCTTCGGGTCTATTGCCGAACTTTCATCCGGTTGCGCGCATAGAATGTCCAGACAAATTGCAGATCCCAAAGAGTGGCCCAAAAGCGACACCTTGCCGTTGAAATTCGGGTGTCGTTCTAGATACTTGTCGTAAATGGAATTTGCGGACTTCACCACGCTTGACAGGATCTGCTCTTTGAATTTCGGCTCGTAAAACAGCAAAATGTCCATCACCACGTCCGCTGCTAGGTGTCGTAGCGGCGTGATGGAGTCAATGTTCACCTGCTCCAAAGTGGGCAGTCTGGGGTACCCATCTTTGTCGTACTCTTCGAAAACCTTGTTAAGCGAGAAATCCACGTCAAACCGCCAAATGATCGGCAAAACCTGCACCTTGCAGTTGGTCAGCTTCTTCTGATTATCCTGGTCATGCAATTCCTGTTCTGAGTACGCCATCTCTGCGTATTTCGGGTATTTCACAAAAATCTGCTTAAACTGTCTTCTCATGTTATTGCAGTCATGTGCAAAGTTGACGGTCGAGAACTTGGCACTCAACGACTGGCCTATTCCGTGGATACACAGAATCAGGTGGTCCACCTCTCTTTCACCGGAATTGGCGTGGTGTTTTGGGTTTGTATAATCTGCCTCCATATCTTTCTGGAACCGTTCGTTGCTCGACTCGGCTGTCCAGCTCTTCATCAACGACGTGAAGAAGTCGGTTTCTTCCTCCATCTTCTCGTCAGACGCGGTTTCCGGCTCCTTGTTGCGAACTCGCTCGTATCCGCGAGTCACGGTGCTAGACCCCAAAACCTGCTGTCCCGGCAGTTTTTCGATATTGTTGATCTGCAACTGGCCAAACTTCGACTCCTTGTCTATCAGAACAGCCTCTCGTTCGTCCTTAAACACTGCCAGCTTGTCCTTCTTTTCGAAATCGGTTGCTTCCTTGAACGGCCATTTCTTCCCGTCTTTCTCGCACAACGACACTTCCGACAAAATCTCAATTGGACCCTGTTGTTTCGTTTCTGACTTCTTTTTGAACTCGCTATAATGTTTCTCCAGCTGATCCGAGATCGCAGACGACAACGGCGTGTTATCTTTGTACCACAGGCCTCTTCTGATCTCATAAACAGGCCCGTCCCAGTATACCGGACGCATCACCATCTTGGCAATGTCACAATCAAACAGCTGGTCTTCGTTCACGGGCACCGGTTTGGGCTCTTGTCCTTGTTTCTTCCAGCTCTGATAAACAGTCTCAAGACTGTCAGAATCCTTGCTAGCAAACGGGATGAACTTTTGCGGTCGCTCGGTCTGTTTATAGTTGAACCCGATCGGTTTCGAAACCGGAATGTCCGTGGAATAGAACCAGCGGATCTTCGGCACCCCCGTCGAGTACAATCTCACTGTACGCCAGACGTTCATGGAAATAGAGATAATTAAAATAATTCAGAAATTTCAATTAATTTAATTATTCCTTTGTTCCTTGATGTTTAATCCGCTGCAGTTTCGCCGGAGACTGTCGAACGACGAGTCCAGCGACGACAGTTCAGACGAGCGGCCGGGAATTGGCGGTCTGGGGGGGCCGCGAACCGAGACACCGGACCATGATATGGATAGACAGTATGGAGTGGGTGCCATGTTGTTGCGACAGATGGGGTACGTTGACGGCAAGGGATTGGGAAAAGACCAGCAGGGAATCACTGCGCCTATTGAGACGAAGCTCAGGCCGCGCGGGCTCGGCGTTGGTGGTGTTGAGGAGCAGGAAGAGAAGGACTCGTCTGAGGACGAGAAAATGGGCTCTGACGAGCCGGTCAGTTCTGTGCCCGAACTATTCGCACTAATCCAGCAGTTTGAGAATTTTGGTCTTGTTGTTCCTGTTCAGATCAAAGAACTGAGCGACGAAGGGTCAGGGTCGCTTGAACTGCGATCATCGATGGCGGATCTGCTTTTGCGGCTGAAAGACCTCAGGGCCAAGATCGAGTACGCCAACTACGAGTTAAAGCAGCAGGAAGGAGTGGAGAAGACGTCCAGAGCGCGTTGGACAGCATTGCAGGAGGTCTATGACGGAAAAGACACAAAAATCGACGACCCTGAAGACAGAGAGCTGGTGGAGAAAGTGGTTCTTTCTCGCGTGGAGCCGCTTGTTCGCCAGGCCATGAACACGTGGGACCCAAAGGACCTGGACTCAGATGTGAGTGACCGCATTTTTGAGTGGAAAAAGCAATACACTCCCGCCGAGGCAGAGCTGGAGGCAGATCCGTTCCAAGTTCTTGTTGGACAGCTTTGGGAGCAGAAAACTGCTCGGTTTTTCGAGCAAGAATGGTCTGTTTGGCAGCCAAACTTGGGGATAGCCATTTTCGAGGAGTTCCAGGGCCTCGTTGCGCCCAGTTTCTTCACCAAAATGTTTGAGAAGGTCCTGCTACCATTATTCAAAGAGGAACTGGAAAGATGGACTATTGGGACCCCTGGCCCAGAAATTTGGCTGGCCGATTGGCTCAATGTGATGGATGAGGCCCAGGTCGATCAGCTGGTGGAGGAGATTGTTCGCAAGTACTGCGACTGGATTGTTGCTAAATGGGACTACTCTCAGGTCCAAGTTCCAGCCAAAGAGATCCATCTGAGTTTGTGGCTGGACCTGTACGGCACCGAGAAGCTGGCAAAGTCTGTGGAGATGGCGGTGATTAGACGCAGTTTGAACGAGCTACGCAAAAAACGGCCGTCTGCATCGGAAGTTCTGCTGTTTGTGCAAGTTTTGCAGAAAAATGGTGTCAGATACGACAAGATCGACTATCTTCTGGAAAATGAGGTCATCTACACCTGGATGGACCAGTTCCTATCTCTGGAAGATGAGGAACGTCGGTTCAAGTACGTGGAGTCGTTTCTAGTACAGATCCTCACCCATCTGTTACCGAGCTACCATTTCCCCAGACTGGGCAAGATTGTGCTTCTGGCCCTAAACCAGCTGGAATCAGATACCTACACGGCTGTTTCGCCGGCACAACGACTAAACGTTGTACCGCGAGCCAACTTTTCCACGTTCAAACAGAACTCCATCCCCGAACTCATCGCAGCCACCGAGAAACTCACGTTCAAGCCGGAGAAAAAAATCACCGTCACTTTCAAACAGCTCGTGGACGAGTACTGCCAGGAAAACGACCTGTTTGTGCTGCCGGAACCGGGGCTTGTCACGGGAAAAGCACTCTATCGCATCAGTCGCGACATGAAAACAGGTGTCCTGGTGTACCTGGACGACGACGTTTTATGGGCACAGCTGGACGAAGACCAGCCAGACGGCTTTGAGCCGATTGCATTCGATCAACTCGAAAACTATGTACATTAATATTTACACTTATTTGGTAACGGTTTCTAGTGTCTCCTCGATGATTTCTGCTGGAACTCCGGTGGCACTCTCGACGGCCTCGGCGACCTGTTCCTCCTCGGCAACGTCTTGCGACTGTGTCACAGTGACAACCTCGACAACTTCCTCGGTAGCAGAAGCTTCCGGAACCTGGCCATACTCATCGTCTTCTCTAAGTTCCTCAGCGTAAACCTCTGGATACTTCTTGAAACACTCCTGCATGCCCTTGAACTTCTCCACACAGTCTATTCCCTTTGGTTCCTCCTTCGAGTAAACAAAACAGGAGAACGCAGCCTTGAACTCTTCACCACATGGACCGTGGGCCATTCCTCCCAAACAAGGACAGTCCCAGTTGATCTCGCCTGTTTCTGGGTCGTAGGCGCCCTTCTCCTCGTCTGGCTCGGTCTTGTCGACCGGTTTCTCGGCCTTTTCTGCCAACTTGTCGGCGCTGACTGGGGAATCCATCAAGATCGGGGTGGCAAGAGAATAGCCAACCAGACCGGCAAACGAGACTGCCAACAGCGGCTTGGCCACGGAAAACCGCAACCCGCCACGGCGCGAAGCAGAAGACATCTGCCGGGCCATTATTCTGGAGCTCTGGAGAGCAGGACGACAAAGCACGGAATACATCGCTTGCTTACAAAGAATTTTTTCATCTCTTATTAAATAACCAAATACTCATTTTAGGTCTTCCTTGGTGGTTATGAGCCATGGGACGGGTTGGAGCGGGCTGGGGTGCTGGACAATACGCGCCTGTTAGACAATGATACAGCAACTGTTGGTCTTCTTGGCCTGTTTGTAGAACGTTCTGGAGCTGGCGGTCAATGCCTCCGACTTGTCCACCAACGAGTCCAATTGCTCGCCTCTTTGCAACACAGACTCGATACTTTTCTGTAGCACGATCTTTGTCTCGTCAAGTTCTTGTTGCACCTTCATGATTGCGTCGGCCTCGGCTGGGTTCTGGTACTTGGCCAGGTACGCCTCTAAATTATCAAAGGCCAGCTCTGGTGTTTTCTCTGTGACGGAGGCCCATTGGTTCGGTGGATGGATGGAGATGTACTCATCAAGGATCTTGTTGAGAAGCGTGTATGCTGGCCGGATAGGATAGTCTTTATCGGATATTATAACGCCTGACACGCCCTCTGCACGGGTGTAGACGTGGCCAACGTAGTTGCCTTCTTCCACCGACTGTCTTTGTCCTGGTGTTGTTCTTTCGGCGATGGTTTCTGCAAAGAAGGTCATGAACTGGCCCACGGAGGACCGCTGGAAGAACGAGAACGACGACAGGTCCTTTGCCTCGGACAGTTCCAACGTTTTAGCGCCATTTTGGCCTGGTCTGACGACTCCTAGATAAAAGAGATGCATGGGCAAGAAAGATTGCTTTGGTGGGGGGTGTAAAAAACCAGATAAACACAGCGTGGCAGAATTTGGAGCGAGGGGGGGAGGGGGGTGGCACTGTGGTGCTTTGATAGAATGGACAGACGGGAGCACTACAGGTCGCTACACACCGCTAGTGATGGTTTTCTCGTCCACAAGACCCACATTGCCCTTCCCCCGCTGTTTCAGGTCGGCCCCCTTGAAACACAACGCCTCTCCACAGCTTACCCGGCCAAGCACATATAAAGATTTTCCCTCCTCCAAAATAACTATCATGTCCGAAGACTGGAAATCCAACCTCAATCTTCCGAAAAAGGACGGGCGGCCCCAAACCGACGACGTGCTGTCCACCAAGGGCAACACGTTCGAGTCGTTCCACCTTAAAAGAGAACTTTTAATGGGAATTTTCGAGGCTGGCTTCGAAAAACCGTCTCCCATCCAAGAAGAGGCAATCCCCGTGGCCCTCATGGGAAGAGACATTCTCGCGAGAGCAAAGAATGGAACAGGTAAAACCGCGGCGTTTGTGATCCCTACTCTGGAGAAATTGAAGCCAAAGGTCAACAAAATACAGGCCCTGATTCTTGTTCCTACCAGAGAACTGGCCCTCCAAACATCACAGGTGGTGAAGACTCTGGGTGCCCATTTGGGAATCCAGGTCATGGTCACCACGGGAGGAACCTCGTTGAGAGACGATATCATGAGACTCCATGACCCGGTGCATGTTCTTGTTGGTACGCCCGGTAGAGTTTTGGACCTTGCCTCGAGAAAACTGGCTGAGTTTGACGAATGTCGCATGTTTGTCATGGACGAGGCCGACAAGATGCTTTCGCGTGAGTTCAAGAACATCATTGTGCAGATCCTGAAGTTCTTCCCGCGCTCCTCGAGCGATGGTAACGGGTACCAGTCGCTGCTGTTTAGTGCCACGTTCCCATTGGCCGTCAAGTCGTTCATGGAGGAACACCTGTACAAGCCCTACGAGATCAATCTGATGGACGAGCTGACTTTGAAGGGTATCACGCAATACTACGCGTTCGTGGAGGAGAAACAGAAACTTCACTGTCTCAACACGCTGTTCTCGAAACTGCAAATCAACCAGTCCATCATCTTCTGTAACTCCACCAACAGAGTGGAGCTTCTCTCCAAGAAAATCACAGAGCTGGACTACTCGTGCTACTACTCGCATGCCAAGATGCCTCAGGCCGCCAGAAATAAGGTCTTCCACGAGTTCAGACAGGGCAAGGTCAGAAACCTGGTGTGTTCCGACCTCCTCACCAGAGGTATCGATATCCAGGCCGTCAACGTGGTGGTGAACTTTGACTTCCCAAAAACAGCAGAAACATACCTTCACAGAATCGGCAGATCGGGAAGATTCGGCCACTTTGGTATCGCCATCAACCTCATCAACTGGAACGACCGGTTCAACCTGTACAAAATCGAGCAGGAGCTCGGCACAGAGATCAAGCCTATCCCGGCCGAGATCGACAAATCTCTTTATGTTGTTGGCCAGCCAGACAACATCCCAAGACCATTCAAACTGGACCAACTGCCAAACGGAAACGAGCGCAGTCACAACAGATACAACGGCCAGCCGGCTCAACCTCAGAGACACCAGCAGCCTGTTGAGTATTAATGAACCATGAAATCAATTTAAATTTAGAAAAAGCCAAAAAAAATCAAAAAAAATCACTAAAAACCACAAAAAATTCAACCGATCATAGATCCAAGAGAAGGTATTCCATACGGTGTCCATCAAACTGTTCATACCCGTGAAAAGATACCATCCACGCTTCATGTTTAACGATCTTTTCGCATTCTACATTTCTGCCACCATCTACACTGCTGGCTGTATCCGGTATGCTGCAACTTTTATGACCGTTTGTGGTTTACTTTTTCGCTCTTCACTTCATTCCCCGTGTACTTTATCAGACAGACGGTTGTCGCTCAATCGCCAGTCATCTACTTATATAGTGTTTTTTTAATTTTTTTTTTCACTATAGCCATTATTCAGTTGTCGACCTCCATGTAGTCTGGATTCTTCTTGAGTATCACCACTCCTTCCAGAAAACCAGTCAGTGGCAAGTATTCGTCGTTCTCGAGCTCTGCTCTCTCGCCGAATCCAAGAAGAACCGGCGTGGAATGAGTCACCCATCCGGTGATGGTCTTTGGCTTACCGGCCTGGCCAACAACGTCCACGGCCTGTCCCACGCGCACGTTCACCTTCAAAGGTTTCAGCTCCTCGTCCACAGTCACAAGCATGCGTGGCTTGATGGCAGGAGTCAGGTAGAACAGCAAGCTCGAGTTCTGGTCCAAAATGAACGAGGTTGGGTCCAAAAGAGCAATGGTCACCGTTAACAAAGACGCAAGAGAAACCTTGGAAAGAATCTGTCTTTCGGTGTTGAATGGAGACAGAGTCAAAGTACCTTTACCCAGATGCACAAGACCCTGCGAAATTCTCGTCATAAACAAGGCATTCTGGTCATTCACGTAATAAGAGGCCAATTGTCTCAAAAGCTGCGCAAGTCTGGCATTGTTGGTTCCAGCACCAACTAATCCCATACCAAATATAGAATTGTATGCCACGTCCAGATCCTGGTCGTGCGAGTATCTCGACAGAGTGTCGAACACCTTCATCTGTGCATTCGAGGACGAAACAAGTCCCATGGCCAAAGGAACAGCTCTCTTAATCAACGGCGTACCGTAATGCATTAAATGTCCAAAATGGCGCAACGACATTTCCTGTCCAATTTCCTCGCCCATCGAAATCAACGCAAGTCCCAAAACAGCGTAGCCCTGGTACGACTCGTCCTCCTGGGTGTCTGCCTCTTCCTTGGTATCTTCGGTCTTTTCTCTGTCCTCGTCCTTCTTCTCGTCCTCATCGTCTTCCTCGTCCTCGTCCTCCTTTGGTTTCACCGTGCACAGTTGCATCAACGATTGGATCTGCAAAACGTTACCTGTTCCAGCATAAGAGCAAATGTTCACCAACACTCTCAAGGTCTTGGAAATAGGATGGTCAATGGCATCAATGGTCTCGAGAACATCGTCAACTTGGTCGTATTTGCCCATGTACAGAAGTCCCAGTCCAAGAGACATGAATCTGATCCATTTCGAAGTGAGCTCCGAAGTCTCCTTCTCCAACAGTGTTTGCAAAATAGTGGATGTAATGTCACCGTTGCAAGTTCCAACGAAAACGTGACCCAAGGCCAAGGCAGAAAGAGCTTGGATCTCGATGGAAACGGAAGGCTCAGACACAAGCGGCAACAGTAGGTTCATCACCTCCTCGTTTTCGCTTCCAGCAAATGCAATTCCAATACCGGTAATGGCAGAAACAATCATCTTGGAGTCTATGTTAGAATCGCTGCTGATGTAATCCTGGAGCAACAACAAAGTAGGGTCAACCTCGTCGTGGACACTGGTGGTAGAAATACCCATTCCCAAAAGAGCACCGGCTCTGACCTCGCTTTGTTCGGAATACAAGTACTTGTCCAAAGTTTGAAGACCCTCGTTTGCGTCCCAGAGGTTGATCAAACCCAAAGATGCGGTGGTCAAAAGCATTCCTTCTCCCTTGGTTCTGTATATCCACTTCTCGTCGCTGATCAGCTTCTCTGTTCCGTAACCGGCGTTGGCAAATGCACTAACGAAAGCTGCGGCCAAGTTTTGTTTGGCACTCTCCAATCTAGAAGTGTGGCCAAATGTGGAGTTCTCAAGGTGAGTCTTGTAAATGTCATCAGGAACCTTCGGCTTCAACAAGTTGAGCTCACTAACAAGGTATTTGTAGTACTCGCTCAACTTGACGTTGGAAATACACTCTTGAACGGCCTCGTTGTCGATCTTGAAACAGGAGTTTTGTCTAGCAAGCATGAAAGCCAATTGTTTTTGCACTAACTCGTCGCTGGTGGCCTCGAAAACAGACTTGATCAAAGATTCGTCGCCCAGTCTAATTGCCAAGCTCAATGCCTGTGGGAGTTTGTCGTTGGCCAAATAGATACTGTAGGCTGTGTTTAGGAAGGCGAGATCATCTGGAGGAGCCAACAATGGAACGCACGAAACCATGTACAAACAGACTCTGTTGTATGTGTTTTTGTCGACGAATTGCGGCAACTTCTCAATCTCCTCGATTTCTAACAACAGGTCCACGGCCTCTGCCTCTGCGTTGTGTTTGAGGAAATAAGGCACGATTTCCAAACTCAATTTGATCAATTGCTGTGTGTTTGTTTCTTCTCTATTAACACCGGACTCGAGGTTATCCTGGTACTCTTCGCCGATCTCCAATGATAAGTGTCTGAGGTACTCGTGGCCCCATTCTCCTAATGTCGAGTCGATGTTGCTCAACAATCTGTATTTCAAACACTCTCTGCTATAGGATTCACCATCCTTTTCGCTGAAGGTCATTCCCAAAACAGACAAGATGTCTGCCAATTGCGACTTGAGCTTGGTATCTGTCCATTTCTCGTGGGTCTCTGTCAATGTAGAATAATGAGGTCTTAAGAACTTTAAAGGTTTTGGCACTGCGGTCATCGACGACGTGGATTCTCTAATGAACCGTTTCAGACTCTCCAATGCCGACGAATACAGCTCCTTTTTCGGCTCAGTCAGTCTATCAACAAGCATCTCCAGCTCCGACTTGAGCTGGAGATCCTCTTCGTTTAATTCCTCCTCCACGGTCTTGTCGTCCACCTTGGGCTTCGATTCGTCCTTGACAGGCTCCTTCGAAGTCTCGGTAGACGTTCTTTTGGATTCTTGTTCTTTAGCAGGTGCCATTGCAAAACAAGTTTTGTTTACAGAGAGAGTGGCAAAATCAGTGTGGAAAAAGTTGATCGAGCCTGAGGTTTCGACACGGGCGTGTAAATGGCAGATTTTTTTTTTAATCTTTAGTATACATTAGTTGTTGCACAAGAGGTCGTTGATGAGCCAATTGAGCTCGTTCGGAAGACCGATCGATGCGTCGGTGAGTCGTAAGTTGGGTGCCGAGCCCGAAGCAGCAGTTTCAGGCACAACGGGTTTCCCGTTCTGCAGTTGTGAGGAGTCTGGTCTTGGTGGCTCTTCTGCTCCGTTGGCCGGCCTTTCGCCCTGACGCGAGGGAGAAATCGCAGGCATCGACGCTGGAGCCGTGATGGTGGACGAGGACGAGGCCGGAGCAACCAGCGACTCGGTTTTCTGCGGTTTCAGCAGATACGAAATCTTGGAAAGCTTCTGTTGGGCCGAACCGCGTTGCAAGTACTGCTGTTGTTGTTGTAAAAGAGACACGTCGTCGTCGTTCTTGAGCTGGTTGTCGCTCAGACCAAATAGGGCCCCGTTGGGCTCGACCAAATGAGGAGCCATCTCCAAAGTGTCGTACAAGTCTTCGATCGTCATGGTTATTGTGCTGTTCTGTTTGGAGTTTTCTGCGTCTCTGGTTCTGTCTGGCTGTCGCAAACGAACCATGTCCATTGCTCGTTCAATGAGCAGTTTTAGATGGTATTCCAATCCAAGAGACAAAACATCAGAAACTCCTTCACCAACAGGCCCCACAAGCCCGTGTTCTCTGGCAATTCCCAAAACACGCGAGTCCAGATGTGTTTTGTCAGGTAGCTCGTAGGTCTCGGAACAGAGCGGTGTTTGGAACCCGTCCAGAACGTCCTGGGCCCATTGACTTGTATTTCCCGAAATCGAGGACTCGTTGTTCGTCACAATTGGAACCTTCGGCACAATCGCCTGTCTGGTGAGCGCTATGACCGAGTTGACCATCCCGCGCTTGCCAGACTCGCGCTTGATGCCCTTTAGTCGCCGTCTTTCTCGAATAGACAGCGAGAGAATATCTTTTTTCAGTAGCTCGTATTGCGATGATTTTGTTCCGGCCTTGCGTTTCTTGGAAAGCTGCTGGTTTCCGAAGCCTGAGTAGGATGTTCCGTCGAGCGGCTCGTCTCTCAGCGAGTTGGCCAGGTTGGTGAGTAACAGCTGATTATGGAACCTGACGGTGGTTTTATCCAAGATTTGGTCGAGCTCCTCCATCAATTCGGAGCGTGACAGCTTTCCAACAAGAAACATCGACACGGTGACCTGGTAAACGTCCCAGTTCTTGCCGAGTTTTTTCTGGAACTCCACCACAAGGTTGTCGATCTCGATTCTTCTGGAGGAACCGTTTTTTGCTTTCGGGACAAGCGACCCGTTGGCCCCCTGTGTTCCTGAGACGTTGGAGGACGGGGTGGAGGGCGGCTGGGCCTGTGCTGGCGGCGACATTGCTGTGACGGCCATTTTCACCAAACAAAGGGATTAGCGTCGAAAAAAGATAAATAATGGGGCGCAAAAGTAGCGGTTAAAACGTCGATATACGGTATCCAATGCAATAAGCTCAATAACAGCGCTGTTTGTCGCGAATTCGCACTAAAATACCCCGGTTTTCCAACCGTTCCTAGATCTTGGTCAACCTAAAGCTAATTTTCTTCAACTTTATTTTGTTAGCATGCCATGATAAAACGCGTGTCATTAAGCTCCAAATACAAAAGATATTTTTAGTATCCTTCCTTGACATTGTCCGTTTATAAAACAAGTCCCAATTGTGCGAATCGTTCTTCTTAGCCAACCGTCATATCCAGAATGGACCAGTATCATGTGTTTAGGGTTTTCCAGCAGAACTTCATTGTGGATCGCCGGTTCCAACTGATCAAAGGTCTGGGGCAAGGAGCCTATGGGATAGTTTGTTCTGCGAAATATATTGAAGCCAACGACGAAGGAGGACATGTCGCGATCAAAAAGGTCACCAACATTTTCAGTAAGAAGATCCTTTGCAAGCGGGCGTTGCGAGAAATCAAATTGCTTCGCCATTTCAGAGGCCACAAGAACATCACCTGTTTGTATGATCTGGACATTGTTCCGGACTCCAACGGAAACTTCAACGAGATTTACTTATACGAGGAATTGATGGAATGCGATATGCACCAAATCATCCGGTCCAACCAGCCGTTGACCGATTCCCATTACCAATCGTTCGTGTACCAGATTCTTTGCGGTCTCAAGTACATCCATTCGGCAGACGTTTTGCACAGAGACCTCAAACCGGGGAACTTACTGGTTAATGCCGATTGTGAGCTCAAGATCTGCGACTTCGGTCTGGCCAGAGGGTATTCGAACGACCCAGAGAAAAACCAGGGCTTTTTGACAGAGTACGTTGCTACTAGATGGTACCGTGCTCCAGAAATCATTTTGAGCTTCCAAGGTTACACAAAGGCCATCGACATGTGGTCTGTTGGATGTATATTGGCCGAGCTGCTTGGAGGATCCACCATCTTCAAAGGAAAGGACTATGTGGACCAATTGAACGAGATCCTCAAAATCATTGGAACTCCAAACGAACAGACCATGCAGAGCATCAAGTCCTCCAGAGCCCAGGCCTATGTGCGCTCGTTGCCTTACATGCCCAAGGTGCCCTTCGAGACGGTTTATCCGCACGCCAATCCGCTAGCAATCGATTTGCTCAATAGAATGTTGACTCTCAACCCGCAGGATAGAATCACCGTGGAAGAGGCCCTGGAACACCCATACCTGGAGGTGTGGCACGACCCGAACGACGAGCCCGAGTGTGCCACCAAGTTCGACTTCTCGTTCGAGGAGATCGATGACATTAACGATATGAAACAGATGATTATCGACGAAACACGCTCGTTTAGAGAATACGTTAGAAAACCACTGGAAGAACAAACCATTGTCAGCGAACAGTTTGGCGGCGGCCAGATCAACTACGAGATCGACCAGCAACAGCAACAGCAACAGCCCCAACTGAGAACGCCGTTCGAGGGAGAAATGGCCGATTACGAGCTGCCCCCAAAGCCCCAGGAAATGATGTACGACGAGAACGTGGATCTGGAAAGAGAACTGGCCTACGGACTAGACCGCTACAACTTCCAATACCATTGAATACCAAAATCGATTATTAGGTCTATATGTCTGTCCTTTAGGTCCAGTTTTTCTTGAGCCAGTTTAAAAGCTTGTCGTAAACTATCCTGTTCGCATTGTGATAGCTGATCGAGTGGTCGCTGTCTGGGAAAACATGAACGTCATAGTTCTCCAATCCTTCGAGGTCCAGCATGTCCAGGAACTTAAGCGAATTCTGGAAATGAACATTATCGTCTCCTGTTCCGTGCATCAGCAGGAACCGCTTCACTCCACTGAAGTTGGCGATCTCGTGCACGGACGAGTTGTAATATCCTGAGTTCTGTTGCGGCGTGTGCATGTATCTTTCTGTGTAAACTGAATCGTATAATCGCCAGTTAGTCACCGGAGCAACCGACATTCCATATTTGAAAATGTTTCCCTTATCTGCTTCCAGTGTCTTGAGAGTCATGTAGCCACCATACGACCATCCCCAAATCGCTGTTCTTTCCTCGTCAATGTACGGCTTCGAGACCCATTGTTTGGCGGTAGCCAGTTGGTCAATCACCTCGTAGTGTCCCAAGTTGTCGCGCACAATGTTACGGAACGCCTTACCTTTGAAGCCGGTTCCTCTTCCGTCGACGGTGACCACAACGGCGTCGAGTTCGGCGGCCACAATCGCCGAAAACGACACGGAAAACGTGTTTTGCACAAGCTGCGAGCCCGGACCTCCGTACACAAAGAACAGAAGCGGATACTTCTTGGACGGATCGAAGTTCACCGGCAGAGTCTCATGGTAGTTGAGCTTTTGCTCAACACCCACGTCGACCTCGCCAAATGTCCGACTCGGAATTGCGTACTGTTCCAACACAGATAAAAGTTTCTCGTTCGTGGTAAACGACTCCTCCGTGTTGGCATGCAAGTCCAGCAAGCGTTGGTGCGGAACACCCGGTCCATCGTAGTTCAGCAACAGGAAGCGCGAGCCAGCAGAAAACGAAACGGAATGCCAGCCTTTCTCTTCCACGTTGGTGATACTTGTTTTGTTGGAACCGTCCAGATTGATCGAGTACAAGTGTCTTTCGACAGACGACTTTTCTGTAGAAATGAAGTAAATCTTGTTGGTGACTGAGTCGAAGGCTGCTGCTCCGTCAACTACCTCCCATTCGCCGGATGTCAGCACCAGCGGAGTCTGTGTCTCTGGAGGAGAGAAGTACGCAAGATGGTCGTATCCATCCACGTCAATGATGTCAATGTACCCGTCTTCTGGCCTGGTGTCGGACTTTGGCACATACAACAGATTGTGGCTGATCTCAAACCAGGAGTTGGTGTGTCCACCGAAGTCAGACCGGCGGAGAAGGGATTCCATGGTCGAGGCGTCCACGATGAAGAATTTGAGGATGTCCGACTCTCTGTTGGTGATCTTCAGCAAGAACCGGGTGTCTCCGACCCATTTCACCTCGGTGATGAGTCTCTCGTCGTTTGGAATGTCTTCGTCATTGTAGAATGGGTCTGACGAGTCCAGACTGGTCAGTTTTGCGTTCTTGGCATCGTAAACGACAAAGTCGACCTTTGGGTTCGAATACCCCGGTTTAGGGTACTTGAGCTCGCGCAGTTCCGGATAGATGTCGTCGTCGTGCTGGACAAAGTACGGAATAGGGAATTTCGGCACAAGTGTGTCGTTGAACCGAAGAATCGTCAGAAACTCCGAGTTTGGCGACCACCACATGGACGTATCGCCTTCAAACACCTCCTCCTCATACACCCAGTCTGGTTTTCCGTAGAAGATCTCGGTTCCTCCCTCGGTAGTCACCTGGTGGACGGTTTTCGAGACGAGATCCTTGACATACACGTTATTGTCCACGATGAATGCGACACTGGACGAGTCTGGCGACCATTTGGCAAGCGCAACAAGACTGTCTCCATCGTACAAAGGCGAAGTGGTCTGCGACTCGACGTCTAGAATGAAATACGTTGCGAAAAACGAGTGTCTCCAGTTTTTGACCTTATTGCAGACAATCAGGGCATGTTTCAGGTTATCGCTGAAAACAACGTCCTCCACCTTGAAAGTTTGATCTCCATATTCCACCGATGTTCCAGAAAATAGCGAGCGTTCCTCAGAACCGGTCAGAGACTTCAAAACATAATTGCCGTCGTCAACAACAATATATTCACCAGAGTCCTCGTTCAAGGACTTATCTGTGCGTAGCCATTGGATACTCTTTCTCTCTGGAGCGAAGGTCCCATTCCGTAAAGCCTGGAATGTCAACGGAAGCTTGCCCTCTGGAACGATCGGAGAGGCTGGTTTGTGCTTAAGAGCGCCCGTGTTCTTATGGTTGTAATAAAGCTGGTTAATTTGGCCCAATAAAAGCGAAGAACCGTAAACAAGGATCAAAGAAAGCACCAAGAACGAGTTCCACAGTCTTTGGGGACGATAAACAGGGCGTTCGCCCGATTCGTAACCCCCGTTCTTGTACTCCATCATTATGTTCTATATTTAACCAAAAAGGAAATTTTCCTCTTTTTTATTGCTCATCCCTACACCGTACGATTTCTTTTTTTGGGGGGACTTTTTTTAGGGAGATGGGAAAAGGGGAAACTTTTTTTATCCACGAGACTACACGCTTTTCTGTCTAAAATGTCCAAAGACGCCCATTCGAACTTCCACGCAAACCTTCTGGCGGCTAATCAGCTGGCCGACGCGCAACGAGTCGTCGTGATCAACTGTTTCCACGGAGCTACCCTGAATAATGTTTATTTTTCAAGCGAGCCAAGAGGAAACCCTCTTGACGATAGCCAGGCCCATGTGGAGGAACAGGAAGAGCCACTGGGAATGTTCAAACACGTCCATCAATGGGATCACTCGAGAAAAAGACAGAAATCAGAAACCCACGCCGAGGAGTTCGTCGAGGAGGTAAGACAGCCCGAGCTCCCATCTGTGCACATGAACTTCCCTAACCCGTCGCCGGTGACGTTTGAACCGAAGGCAACCTCTATCAACGTTGTGGAGCCGGATATGGACGAGACACAGTTGAGAATGCTGCTAAGAGAGGAGAAAGAAGTCTATTTCAGACACACTGGGGGACAGCTGATGGAAAATGACCCGCTTTTTTATTTCAACGATACATGGCTACCAAAACTTGTGCGCGAAAACAAGTACCGGCTGATTCACTTCCAATATAAACCGCAAGAACTGATTATAGATCGGCAGTCAGAGATCCATCACAAGTGTTCTCCAGTGAATAACCCGTACGCAGTGGTGACCTATGCCCAATGCACCCAATGCTCGATGTTGCTCCAATACAAAGGAAAGCGCAACCCAAGAAAGAACGACGGTAACGCGCTAACCCACGTGAAAAGACACGAAAAAAAAGGTTATAATTGAAATGTCTAAATAAAACTCGGTCTGTTGCTCTATCAGCACTCATTCTGCGTCAACCTCCAGGGTCAACTCGTCCAGAGACTTGGAAACAATCTCAACAATTCCATCCACAACTGCTTTGTCCAGAATGTAAGCTGGACAAATAAGAGAAATGTCTCCCTTGATTCCATCAACACTGCCCTGGTTACCCATCACAGTCAACCCATTCTTGTAACAGGTGTTCATGAACCTCTTAGCAAAGGTCACAGACGGATCAAATGGAGTCTTGGTGGTTTTGTCTTTGACAAACTCGATTCCGCGGAACAATCCAGCACCCCTTAAATCTCCAACGTACTTGTGGGAACCAATTGCGGACTCCAGCTTCTCCGCAAGATACTCTCCCATCTTGAAAGAGTTCTCCACAAGACTTTGCTCCTTGACTTTCTTTTGCACTGCCAGTGCAATCCGACAGTTGAAAGAGTGGCAGTGGTACGTCTGGGCTCCAGGAATGGTTTTCGAACCAGAAGCAATGGCATTCTTGACCTTTGGAGACACCAGGACTCCTGCAATGGTGACGAACCCAGATCCAAGTGTCTTGCCGATCGTTTGGATGTCTGGATACTGACCCTCAGGCAAAAATTGTTGCCAAGCATGGTACGTGCCACATCTGCCCATACCGCACATTACCTCATCACTGATGTACAGGGCCCCGTACTTGTGGCAGATAGCACGGGCTCCTTCCAAGTATCCAGGAACAGGAGTCTGGCAAGCCAAAGAAGATCCGCTCACAGTCTCAAGGAAAGCACCTGCAACCGTTGATGGGCCGGCTTTTTGGAAAGTCTCGTCCAGCTCCTCCAACAATCTGTCCTTGTACTGCTCCAAAGTCTCTCCATTCTTCTTATTGTGGTAAGGGTTGCAAGGAGTCGCCTTTGGGACATGGTCAAGAGGCTGACAGATCGGACGATAAGGGTCGAATCTCCTGCCTCCACCAATTCCCAAACAGCCGGTGGTGAAGCCGTGGTACGACTGGTCTCTGGAGATGAACTTGACTCTGTCGGTGTCTCCCTTTTCCAAAAAGTACTGTCTTGCAATTCTCATTGCGTTTTCATTGGCCTCGGATCCGGAACCAACGAACACCGCAGCGGAGTACGCATTTTTTGGAGAGTTGTCAATGATAAACTTGGCCAAGTCTTCTGCGTAGTAGTTGCAGACAGTCGAAGGGAAGGTATACACACACTCGGTGGACGCATCAACAATCTCCTTGACGATATCGGCATCGCCGTGTCCCAATGCTCCGACAGCAGCACCCGTGCAACCATCGATTAGGGTTTTTCTGTCACCAGATCCAGGTTCCTCAATGAAGATGTTTGTTCCTTTACCACCCACAGCCATCAAGCTTCTCTGGGTGACATTGGATTGCAGAAGATACGAGTCGTTGTTTTCGGGCACAGTCATTTTACACTCTTAATTTAAAAGGGCGGAAGTTTCGTATTTATTGCGGGCTTAAAAATCCGATAAGAATCATTTTCCTTATCACTTGTCGGAAATAGTTTGGGGAAAGTTCCTGCGTGTGAAAAAAATTATTTTGCAAAAATTTAAACGGTCCCGAACAATGAGCTGGCTGTGGCTCCTCTTATTGTCTGTTAAGTTGCCAATTTTGACGGAAAATTTTATTGCTGTGGTTGGGATCTGAGTGACTGTATTTTGACTGCAATTATAGTCTAAAGCGAGTCTTTCTGATCTTGAGAAATTATGGATAAAGAGGAAGGCTCACAAATTTTTATAAGAGATCAGGGTCTGGACCAAGATTCCAGGACCGGATCCAACCTGGCTTTTGACAGCGCCAGAGCTGACTTTGATCCGAATTCGGGTTTGAAACGGGGTCTCCAGACCAGACACGTCACTTTGATGGCTTTAGGAGGCATCATTGGTCCTGGCTCTGTTGTTGGCCTCGGAGTTTATTTGCACAAGGACGGACCTGCTTCGTTACTAGTTGATTACTCCATTGTGGGATTGGTCGCATTCTCTTTGATGCAGTCGATTGGAGAACTAAACAGTTTGTTTCCTGCCACCAACGGATTCTCCAATCATATCACCAGGTTTGTGGGTGAAGCTTTTGCAGCCATGACTTCTTACAACTACGTTATTGTCTGGATTTGTGTCATGATGGCAGAGTATACAACACTCACAGCAACAATGAACTTTTGGGCCCCTGAGGTTCCTGCGTGGGGCTATTTCTTGATATTCTGGGCCTTCTTTATGTCTGTGCAATTCCTTGGTGTCACGTTGTACGGAGAAGCGGAGTTCTGGCTGGCCATTTTCAAACTCATTGGTTTGACTGCTTTTTACATTTTCACTATTATTTACATGTGTGGTGGAGTGAGAGGTACCCCCGCATTTGGCTTTCACAACTTCAAGACTCCTTGGGCCGGCCAAGCTCCTGTCAAGTCTCTAGCCAATGCGATTGTCAACTGTTCTACCGCTTACAGTGGTATTGAGCTGATGTCCCTGAACGCTGCAGAAACCAAAAACCCTATCAGAGCTATTCCTATTGCCGTCAGACAAACCTTGGTGCGTATCTTTTACGTTTATTTGGGAATCACTTTGAGTTTTGGTATCAGTGCTCCATACGACTCTCCACTGTTTTCCGAGTCCGTTTCCACTTTGCGTTCTCCGATCTACGTTGCTCTGTACAATGCTGGTTGGCATTCATCGTACCACCTGGTGAATGCGTTCATTGTCATCATCTCGCTCAGTGCCATCAACTCTGCAATCTACATCGGCACACGGACCATTGTCAACATGGCGAACGAGAAACTGGTTCCCTTCCCGAACTTCTTCAGAAGAGTCAACAGACGTGGAGTTCCCTATGTGGCAGCTGTGACGTTCCATTTGTTTGGGTTCTTGTCGCTGCTTTCTGTGGGTAGTGGTACCCAAACCGCTTATAGCTACTTTGTGAGTGTTTCTGGAGTGTCTACATTCTTCGTCTGGGGAGCCATTTCTGTGTGCCAGCTGCGGTTTAGAAGAGGATGGGTTCGTTCTGGACGCAAAGTTTCTGATCTGCCGTACCAATGTCTTGGATATCCGTTCACACCGTTGTTTTCTGTGGTCATGAACATCTTTCTGGCATTGATTCAAGGATGGATGTACTTGAAACCGTTCCAACACGAGTGGTTTATCGACGCGTACATCATGTTCCCCTTATCGCTGATTTTCCTCGTTTCCTACAAGATCTGGAAAAAGACCAAACTGGTTCCGTACGAAGAGATGGATTTTGAGACCGGTAGGAGATACGATCTCGAAGAAGAGTTCAAGCAGCTCAAAGCTCAAGAAAAACTCAATCCGTTGACACGCAAGCAGAAATTCGCCAATGTGTTCAAAGTTTGGATATAAAGATAAAAAGGGTAAAAAAAAGTTGATTATTTATTATTTATTATGCAATGAGTACACGAACTAAATTGGCTTGCAATCATTGTAGAGAGCTCAAGTTGCGATGTATCAACGAGGGCAACGACAGACTACCTTGTCAGCGGTGTCAACGGCTACAAAATCAGTGTACTTATACCCCCACGGCGTCCCAATTAAGAAAGAAGACAAGAGTGCTCCCTATTCCTTCCAAGACGGAAAAACGCCGAAATCAGGTCCCATCGCTCGTTCTGCCCGAAAAACCACTTTGGGGAAAGATCGCAGAAACGTTTTTCCATAACCAATACCAGGGAATCTTCCCCTTTGTTCATGGACCTTCGTTCAAGGAGTTTTTGGAATCACCGGATTTTTCTCCAGCCACATATTTGGCAGAGTATTCTCAGCGGGCAGACGATGAAACGATGTTGAAATGGCCCGATCCGCTTGTCTTGTTAGGGATTCTGGCTCTTTGTGCGCGGTTGGTTCCCACTTTGACCGTTCAGTACGGGGCATTTGATGAGAATAAGAGCCCAGAGAGCTTTGTTCCCGGTATCAAGTTGAACAAGTCCAGATCGGCGTCGTCGTGTGCGTCAAAATACTTTGCGTGGCACGCCAGATCGCTGCTCAAGGACGTTTTCGATCGACCGTCTGTCCAACGGGTCCAGGCACTGACCATGTTGAGTAGTCACGAATGGGGTGAGAAAAATGTGGCTCGGAGTTTCCTCTACGTTGGAATAGCGGCAAGAATGTCGCTGGTTCTTGGATTGGGCGAGATAAACTCTCTGAGCTATAAACACGAGGCTGGAGACGTCAAGACCACGTTTCTGGTCAACGAGATGAAACGCAGAACGCTGTGGTCGGTGTATATGATGGATCGGTGTATTTCCAGCGGGAGAAACAGGTCTTCGAGTATCAGAATCGACGATATCAATGTCGCCTTGCCTTGTACGGAACAGGCGTGGGTCGCTGGTCTTCCGGTCAATTGTATGACCTACCAGGAGTTGCAGAGATGTGTTGATAACGATGGAGAAATCCCCGGCCCAGAGAATCTGACTGCTTGTTGTTTCACAATCCTGGCGTTTGAGATCTGGGCCAAGATCGCCAAATGGGCCGGCGAGGGAGGCGCAAGAGCAGAATCCAAGGACCCATGGACGGAAGACTCGACGTATTTCCAATTGTCGCGCGATTTGAACAATTTGGAAGCCAATCTGCCAAGCAGTCTGAAATACGATCCGGCCAATCTGGTGACGCAAATCTCTGAGCATTCGGCTGGCTCGTTTGGGTATCTCCATTCGATCTTGTTCCTGAGCCGTGTTTTCCTGAATCGGGAGTACTTCTTCCTGAGTCCCGAGCTGCTGGCCAAAGGATGGTGGGCTGGGTCCACCAGAAAGCTGCTGGATGCGATCCGCAAGAGCTCGAGTCTCATAAACACGCTTTCGTCGCTCGGATTGATGGTTGTTGCTCCGTTCACCGGGTTCGAGATCTTCACCAACGCGGGAACAGCGCTGTATTTTGCTGCGTTCCCGCCAACGGTGCTGGAGACGCACCTGGTGTCCGAAAGCGACGCGCTGCGCGACGAGTTCAAGGAGATCAGTCTGCAGAACATCCGGCTGCTGCGCAAATGGGGCGACGTCTGGACGTTGGCCAGCAACTGGGAAGACTGGATCACCGACATGCGGGGCATTTTCGGAACACAATCGCCAGAGAGCCGGTCGTTGCGCAATGGACTGCTCGATTACGGCTCGCCCATCATCCAGGACGAAAACGAGAAGAGCGCAACCAAGAAACGCGCTGAGCGGCTACGAACACTACAGGAGCCAAGTATTGGGGACTTTGAGCTGCCCATCACGATGGAGTCATTTGAGTCGTTCGATATCGGCTCGCTACTTCCAGGCTGGTACGATGTCATGCACGTTGACCCATAGAAAGAAATATATTGTCAATGAACGAAACGGAAGTCCAAACGGCGGATTCCCAGGTCTGTTGTCGTTTCCAGGTACACTCTCTGCTCCTCGGGGGTGAGAGAGTTCCATTTGGCCTCCTTCTGACGGTTTCGAAGGATGTAATAGAACTTGGTGAAGATGGCAAACACGATGTTGAAACAGGTGATTCCCAGAATGATCTTGTTTCCCCTGTCATAGTACGGCTTGTCGCTGTCGCGGTAGATGTTGGCCGCGATGATACTCCCGATCTGGTACATCATGTTATATGTTGCGGTAGCCACGGCACGGGATCCAACGTTGTACGAGATGCGCGAGATCCATGCCGCCAGAATTGCGTGGGTATAAGGCTGGCTGGTGATTCCCGTCAGTAGCACGTACTTGACCCAGTTGTTTCCCGTGTTGGGGTAGGCTACCAGTGCCACCACGAACGGGAAAATGAAGATGTTGGACATTCCGGTGCTGATACTCTTCTCCTTGATCAGATGGCTGAATCCAACCACAAGCGGCAGGTTGATCAGGAACCAGAACTGGCCGGGGATGGCTAGCACGTTCGACAGGAACGTGGAGTACCCCATGTTCTTGAGGATCAAGGAGATGTACTGGGATACTGGTTGGAACGGAATGAAAGCCATGATTCCCTGGATCAGCAACGGCCAGTAGTCTGGCTGGCTCACGGTGAGCACGATCTGTTTCAAAGAAACGGGCTGTCTGTTGTTCATGTCTCCTTTGGTTGGGTCGTCGCGCAGAACACGGTTGACCAGGATCTTTTCCTCTCTTTCGTTGAACCACTTCTTGCGGCCCTTGAAAAACCGGTTCTGGGTCAATGTTGGGCCGCCTCGCATGAAATAGAAGCTCGGAACAGCCACGCCCAGACTCAGAAACCCTTCAATGATGAACAGATATTGCCAGCCGGCAAGGCCGTGGATTCCACGCATCTGAGTGATACCCGAAGCAAGCAACGACCCGAGAATCTGGAACAGAGGAATTGCAACCCAGAAAACGGCCAGTCTTAGTGGAAGATCGATTCCTGTGTAGAAGTACGACAGGTACAGGATCTGGTCCGGGATAAACCCGCCCTGACAGAATCCCAGCAGGGCTCTGGTGCCGATAAACTGGGCCCTGGTCTTGAGTCCGGCCTGACAAATGCAGACAATCGACCACGCGAGCATTTGGAACGGAATCACACGCTCGGGGCCAAACCGTTTGGAAACAATATTCAACGGCAACTCGGCACATAGAAACGAAACCAGATAGATCGTTTGTCCGAGGTTGTAGCCGCTATTAGACATTCCCAGGTCCTTAAGAAAGTTATCGGACACCGCCCGGGTGACGTTTCTTCTCACCAGATCCAAGGCACAGAACATGACAAACACCCACGAAAAGATCCGCAGGTCTAGCTTGCGCACGAGCCGGCGCTCCTCCTCCTTTGTCCACGTGAAATCTGGGTCGTACCAGGGCAGGTTCTCATAATTGGAAGCCTCATACACCTTTCTCCACCGTTCAGCCGCTTCAGGGTCTGCAAACGGGTTTTTTGCCTTATGCTCCGCGCCGGCCTCATAATCCTCGGAGATAGACAGCGATCTCAGAATAGAGCCGCCAAACTTCTGCGTCTCGTGCACGGTATCTGATTTCTCGCTCATTGATCAGGATCTGACTATTTATCCGGTTGCAACGGTCATTATATATACGTTGATAAGACCAGAGCCACAGCTCTGCGTCCTCGGGGGAAGCTCACAGTTTGGACGGCCTTAGACCACTGTGGAGTCTGAGGATCTGTTGTGGCAGTGGGCGTATCAGCAAACGATCGCAGCAGCACTAGGGAGAGCATCTTGTTGAAGACCAATTGGCTAAAGCATATCGGCGACCCGACCCGATCTAGGCACTGGAAATCGCGATACAAATTTTTTTTTGTTCTCACCCGACCCGAGAGCCACTCTTGGTGATTAGCTTGGTATCGTTTTCTTTTTCAATGTCTTTTCATCAGCATGGAGATGAAAACGATGGCTTGATCACGCCAGAGGCGCCAGACCAAGCGTCCTCCGCTTACGGCTCCACCAAGCTGGTCGACGAAGAGGCAGTGGTATCCAAGCCGGGACTTCCTCCAAACTTTGTGTGGATCGAGCTGTCTCTGTTTGCCAATGTCTTCCTGTCTGGCTTCGACGGGACGGTGACTGCGTCCACGTACGCGACGATCGGCAACGAGTTCAAGGCCGCCAACACTGCTTCGTGGATCACCTCGTCGTATCTGATCACCAGCACCGCGTTCCAACCTCTGTACGGTTCGTTTTCCGACGTGCTGGGCCGAAGAGCCTGTTTGATGGGGGCCACGGGCTTCTTCATCGTGGGGTGTCTCGGGTGCGGTCTGTCGTCCAGCATCCTGATGCTCGACTTTTTCCGCGCAATCACAGGTATTGGGGGTGGTGGTTTGGTCACCTTGGCTACCATCGTTAATTCAGACATCATTGCTCCGGAAAAGAGAGGAAACTGGCAGGCTTTCCAGAACCTGCTGCTTGGATTCGGATCAATCTGCGGAGCGTCGCTTGGCGGTGTTATCGCAGACACGTTTGGCTGGAGATGGTGTTTCCTGTTCCAGGTCCCAGTAGCGTTGGCTGGTATTCTTGTGGGCCACCACTTCATCCACGATCCAAAGCCCACGCATTTCCACCTCTCATCCCACGCTCTCGACAGAATCGACATCAACGGGTCCGTTACGCTGGTGCTTTCGCTGGCTGTGCAGATGGTGGTGCTTTCCTTGGGCGGAAACGAGCTTGGCTGGAACGATTACCGGCTACAACTACTGTTTATTTTGAGTCTGGCGTTGTTGGCACTGTTTGTAGCCATTGAACTCAAGACCAGCGCAGTGCCAATCATCCCACCTGTGTTGCTCCACGGAGCTTTCAGCTACATCATCCTCGGAATCGGTGTTTTGGTGGGGATCTCGAGCTACGCGTACCTGTTTATCCTTCCGTTGCTGTTCCAGATAGTGCTGGGAGACACGGCCTCGCATGCAGGTCTGCGACTCACAATTCCTTCGCTCTTTACTCCGGTTGGTGGACTGATAGCGGGATATTTCATGAGCCGCGGCAAGAACGTACTTTTTTCGTTGGTGACTGCAGGATGTGCTTTAATGTTGTTGGGCAACACATTGGCCCTGTTTATAGATACTGGGGTCAACAAGTGGCTGGTCGGGCTTTGCCTCGTGCCGGCCAACGTGGGACAGGGTATGATCTTCCCCAGCTCGCTTTTCTCGTTTATCTACAATTTTGATAAGCAAAAGCAGGCAATTTCTACCTCCACGGCTTATCTTTTTAGGAGCATTGGCTCCGTCTGGGGAGTCACCGGGTCGGCTGCCATCATCCAGCGTCTGTTTGTGCAAAAGACACAACAAGAGCTCGCGAATTTACCCGAGTTGTCAAAAAAACAGATTGCTACCATTGTCCATTCTGTCTCCAAGGACATCTCCGTGATAAGCTCCTTGCGGCCAGAAATTCGCGCGATAGTGGTTTCCGGATACAGCACCGCAATCAAGAGGGCCCAGCTGGTGTCGTGTTTGTGCTGTTTGTTGTGTCTGGTGCTGGCTGGCTTGAAAAAAGCGTTCAGGGTCCGGTCCCGGTCGTCTTACGATTAGATTCGTAATTGTGGCGGTCACCGACGCCGCAGTCCGGGTCGGGTGAAAGTTCGAGTTTCGAAAAATTATTTTAGATTGCGAGAGGTGTTGTGTATGCGGCGACGCGGCTCATAATAATACCCCTTTTAGCCACAGTGCAAGCTATATAAATTATCCATCTACACCAGATTCTTTCTCCAATGCTCTCTGCTCTTCTTTTATTCCTTCTGCCCGTGTACGCCGACTGGCAGTACCGCAGTCGGTCCGACCTGGCTCCGCCCCAGCTGAACATCACCATCTTCGACCACGACAAGGCCTCTACAGACTATCTTTTCGTGGCTCCGTTCTCTGGCTTCCCGGACAACACCCTGCACGGACCAAGACAGGCTGCTCCGTACATCTTTTCCGCCGAGGGAGACCTTGTGTGGTCTGGGTACAGCATCTTTTCGATCTGGAACGCCAATTTCCAGGCCGCCAAGTTCAACGGCCAGGACATTTTGTTTTCTTTTGAAGGAGACCACAACCCGGCCTATGGCCATGGCCACGGCCACCACACGTTCCTGAACAACCGCTACGAGCTCGTCAAGGAGCTGCGTGCCGGCAAGCACAAGCTTTCTGACAAGCACGAGTTCCACATCAAGGACGAGAAAACCGGCTTGCTTCAAGTTTACCAGCCGGTTCCCCGGGACCTTAGCGAATTTGGTGCTTCTGAGGAGCAACAATGGATTGTGAACGCCATTTTCCAGGAACTTGACCTTGAGACCGGCGAGGTGCTGTTTGAATGGGCCTCTTTGGACCACGTTTCTCCGCACGAGTCTGTGCTCCCAATTAACCCTGGTTATGCCGGTTCTGGTTATAACTCGAGCGATGCGTGGGATTACTTCCATATCAACTCGGTCGACAAGGACGAGAACGGAGACTACCTGCTCTCTGCCAGAGACGCCGCCTCGGTGTACAAGATCGACGGAAAGACAGGCGAGGTTATCTGGAAGCTGGGAGGCATTCCTGGCGAGACCAGCTCGAGCTTTGAAAACGTTGGTGGCTTTAGATTCGGCTTCCAGCACCACGCAAGGTACCTGTGGACTTCCGAGGACGGCAAGAAACAGATCATCTCGTTCTTTGACAACTCTGCCCACGGAACAGAGGACAAACACGGCCATTTGGTGAAGATCAACGAGGTTTCCAGCGGAAAAGTTGTTGAGGTGAACACCGAGACGTGGGAGGCCAAGCTGCTCAAGAACTACCAGGCCCCATACGGCCTGCTTGCCAAATCGCAGGGTTCTGCGCAGGTCTTGGAGTCGGGCAATGTGCTGGTGAACTGGGGTTCTGAGGGCGCCGTTACCGAGTACACTGCAGACGGCGAGATTGTGTTCCATGCGTTCTTGGAATCGGGAGAATTGGCCGACAAGGTCGAGAACTACCGTGCTTTCAAATACGACTGGCACGGATATCCAACCGAGGACGTTGCGGTGCTTTCTGAGATCACCGACGACGGAGAGACGCAGATCTACGTCTCGTGGAACGGAGACACCGAGACCAAGCTATGGAAATTCTATGCGGTGAAAAACGGCAGCAAGACGTATATTGGCGAGGCCAAGAGAACCGGGTTCGAGACCAAGTACAAGGTCGCCGAAACCCACGAAGCTGTTTATGCGGAAGCCCTGGACAAATCGGGCCGTATCCTGGCCTCTTCCGAACCGGCTATCGCCATCCAGCAGGTCCTACCGTTCAAAGCCGTTGCAGCACAGCCCGAAACTTTGCAACCAAATTTTTTGAACTATTTCAGCTGGAGACAACAAATCTAAATAAATATCCCGGTAAAACTACATAAATGAGTGGATCTGCCGTTTGAAAAAGTATGTTTTCTTTTTCTTTTGGTTTTCTGTATTTGGTGTTCTGGAGCGCGGCGTTCTGGCCCCCGTTTTTGTCCAATGTGCGACATAAAAGCGTCCAAGGCCTGTCGATGGACTGGGTGTGGTTCAATTTTCTCGGCTACTTGTGCTACTCCGTGTACTACGTCACGTTCCGCTTCAACCCGGTGATCCACGACGAGTACAGGCAGTTGTACAACAAATACCCTACAATCCATACAACAGACGTGCTGTTTGCGCTCCACGGGGCCACAATGAGCTTTCTGGTGCTCACTCAGGCCTACTGCTGGAATTTGCACAAAAACGCCAGCCAGTACCTTTCCGACCTGGGGAAACTGGTTATCTGGCTCAACGGTGCAGGTATTGCAGTGTTTGCGCTGGTAACCAAGTTTTACGGGCTCCATTGGCTCTATTTCCTCGAATACCTGGGGCTTTTGAAAGTCGCCGCATCCGTGTGCAAAAACGTGCCGCAAATCTTCCACATCCACCAACGCCAATCGACCGCGGGCTGGCCCGTGCTGGCAGTGTATCTGCAGTTCCTGGGCGGCGTGTTCTCGTTGCTCCAGGTCATTGTCGACTGTGTGCATGATTACACCGTGATAATTTCAAATCTTCCAAAACTTCTACTTACGCTAGAAATCCTCGGCTGTATGTCCATCATGGCTATTCAGCATCATCTTTGCTACCAAGATGCTTATGAAGCTCTCCCCTAAACATGTTCCTGCTCTTGAGTCTCACAACCAGCCATTTGGGGGCCGAGAAAACTCCAAAGAACGTGACTGCCTGGCCGGCTCCGTGGTCAGGTCCAAGAGAAACTCCCCGGCTGATCCGGTCTGTTTCTTTCCGGTACATGTTGACCTTGACGGTGAGCGGCTTGCCGTTCAAATACGAGTCCACGTTCGCGAGCAGCGCTTTAGTGCGTTCCTTCAACGGAAGAAGCGATTTGTGGAAAGTGTCGCAACAGTCGCCCGTTGCAAATATCTGCGGAACAGCCACCGATTGCAAAGTATCGTGCACTTTCACCTCGTTCTTCTCGTTCTGCAGACCCTCTATCGAGTTCTTTGGCACGTTTGGCTTGCCTCCAGTACACCATATCAGGTGGTCTGTAGGCACTTCTTTCTCGCCGAACATCACTGCGTCGCCGTTGACGGTTGCCGGTCGGCCCAAGTACAGGTTCACGTTGAGCTCCTCGAGCTGGGCCTTGGTGGAGTTCCGCACGGCTGTCAACTCGCTGTCGGTCAATGGCAGCTTCTGGGAATGGATCAGGTTGAGCGTTTTCTCGCCGGACTTGATCTCCGACTTGAACTTTGCAGCGATCTCGCCAACAAGCTCGACTCCAGACAACCCGCCACCCACAACGGTGATATTTTTGGCCTTGGCGATTTTCTCGTACCCAACCTTAAAATGTTCAACGGCCAATTTCGTTGATGCAGGCAGATCCCAAATTTCCTCCAGCTTGGACCCTGACGCAAGAACCAAGGCGTCGTACTTGAACTCACCCGAAGAAGCGGTAATCACGCGGTTCTCGTCGAACCCGATGACCTCGTCCTGGACAAACACAGACGGATCTTTCAATAACTTGGTTATCTGGGCCGACCATCCCTTCGTCGCTTTCTCGATGAACATTCTTGGCAAAGATGGAACAAAATAGACATAATCTTTGTTGGAGATCAAAACGACCTTGATGTTGGACTTCTTCTCGAACTCCATGGCTGCGACGACTCCGTAGAGTCCGCCTCCCACAATAACCACGGTAGACATTGGAGAGATAACTTGGTTATTGTGCGTCTCTATATATACACCCGGATTTAAAGTTTACTGCGCAGCATATCACCGATATTTTTCTAAGCTTATTTAATAATCAACCACCATCAACGGGCTTGGCTCGGCTTTCACAGATTAACAACCGGGCCTTCTCGGTTGAGGGCCTGAACGATTGTGATCTGCGTGCCAAACCCACCAAACGTCATAACTCAGCCATATTGGCCCCGAAACCACCCTGATTGCCAACCGTTGCTATCAAAGTTATGTTTCTTCCCAATTAGGAAATTGTTATTAGGAATTTATTTTAATTTATTTATTTTTGACCACTGATATTTGTCACATTCTCATGAATGCTTGATACCACTCCACATTCGCTCAAGTTCCGTCCCTCACGGCTCGACCTCATTGACAACAACCAGCTCACTTCGTTTCCGCTCGCCCACCCCAACGTCGCCGAAATTGGCCCCGCTGGAGAGCTGCTACTTGTCGAAGACTACATTCACTATCCCAAGGGATTCCGCAAGAAAACGTCTGTGTTTGACCTCAGACGCGCCATCGAGCACGACATCACTCCTCCCAGCGCGATTCTGCCGCTGTTGGCACGTAACCAAAGCATCAACTCCGACTCCACGCTCCAAAGTGAAACAGAGCTCTATCTCAAACAGACTCAGTCCAACCTGCGCTACTGCGTCGTGTGCGAGCGCCCGTTGTACAATCTGAGCTCACTGGATTCTCTCACGCGGTGCGCAGAGCTTGTGTGCTGTAACTGTTTCGAGGAGTACGAAACTCTCGAAAAAGCCATCAAGAAGCTCGAACCAGATATCTCGCTGGTCTCTTTGGAGTCTGTCTCCGACTCTTCTCCAGAAACAATAACGGTCGACTTCACAGACCCAGACCAGACCGTCCGCTCGGCCCACGATACCACCGCAACCATAAGAATCCATAGAGACCACGAGGTGCCCGAATCAGCCACCTTCGATGCCATAATAGCCACGCTCAAACATTTGCAGACGGTCGACAACGCCGCCAGAAACAGACCCCGCAAAAGGCTCCAGGCCATCAGCCTCAACAATCTCAACATGGCCAGCCTGTTCAGACCCAAATGATAAGAATGAATTATAATATTTCTATGTCCATTGCTGTTTCACCTTCTCCAGCTCGCCTTTGCCGTAGCTAGCAACTTTTCCTTGGAACTTGCCCTTTCCGCCGCCCTTCAAGCCGGTCAGCAGCTCCTTCAGCTTGGCGCTGACCTCTGTGGTGTTCTCGCCAAAAACAATCGCGGCTCCGCCGTCCTTGCCCTCTCCAGAAAGAAGAACAACCGTTCCCGGACTGTCCTTCAGTTCCTTGAACATCTGGTTGAGGAAATCGAGCCCCACGTCTGGCCGGTGGAAAACAACCGTCTTGCCCTCACTGAGCGTCTGCTTGAGCTCCTCAGCCGTCCTGGTGGCCAGCTCCTTCAACAATGCAGACTCTCTGCTCTGCAGCTTCTTGGACGAAACAACCAGCGCGTTCACCTTGTCAACGAGCTGTTCGGCCTGGACGCTCGTGGAAGAGCTCAAAGACCGCAGGATCTCGTGCGACGACTCCGTGTACCGGAAAATCCGGTCGCCAGCAATGAAATTCAGCCGGCTATTGGAACCTTTACCAGAAACCTGGTTCAACAAAACGATTCCCTTGATCTGGCCAGCGCTCTTCAGATGAGTCCCGCAGCACGCATTGGCATCCAGATCGCCAATATGGATGATCCGCATCACTCCCTTGACGGAGTCGACCTCTCTGTCTGGCGGAACCTCGACGGTAATTGGCAGATTAGCGGTGATCTTGGAGTTGACCTCGTTGGCAACCTCCACTTTCTCCGAGTCGGTCAGTTTCCGCGGCAGTTCCACGTAATTGATCATTTCTCCCATGTTCCATCCAAGCGTGGGCAGATCGCGCTTGTCCAAGATCGCCGACAAAAGATGCTGTCCGGTGTGTTGCTGCATGTGGTCAAACCGTTTTTCCCAATTGACGTTCAAATTGACCGTTGTTCCAAGCTCCAATGGTTTATCGACAATGTGCAACGCCTTCAGTCCGGACCGAATCACACTTTCAACGTCCAACGACTGTTCCCCCACCAAAATGCGGCCAGTGTCACTAGGCTGTCCGCCACCCTCTGGAAACAGCACCGTATCCTCCAGCTCAACCTGGTACCGGTTCCCCTGTTGATTGCACGACACAACTTTTGTCGCAAGCGATCTTAAATACGAGTCCTTTTGGCACGCCAGCGCTCCGATGATGGACATGGCCTAATAAATAAAATAAAATAAATGGGAAAAAAAATATTTGCAACTTGTCTCAGGTTTAATGATTAGAAGAGAGACGAAAAAGCCCAAGCCGTACGACAAAATTGAGCCGCGTTCGACGAGCTCGCCGGGCGTGTTTGGTCGTTTGCGGCGCATGTTTTCGCGGTCGCCGAAACCGTCAAGAAACCCGTCAACCGCAGACTTCTCGAACGTGTCGAACGTTTCGAACGTTTCGAACTTGTCGGTGCTGAGCGAGGCAAACCCAAACAAAACGCTGTCCGAGTTCTTCAAAAGCAAGGGCGACGACCCATTGAGCGACATCGAGGTCGAGGGCGTCTTGTCGCTGATCAACAAGGTCCACCAGCAGAACCAGTCGCAGCTTGAAACGTTCCGCAACTCCCAGCTGATCGACTCGCAGATTCTGTCTTCTCCCGCCACCAAGAACTCCGAGTCGAGCTTCTTTAACTCGACCACCGTGCTGAGACCGGCCTCCAAAAGCCCCGTCACAGTGGACGTCCCTACATACACACCGAAAGTGAGGACCATCTCTCGTCACGCGCAGCCGTTCCCGGCGATCAAGAAACGGGTCGTGGAGTTCTCGAGCCTTCCTTCTCCGTACAGACAGCGCATCCAGTCGCCCGTGAAGCCGCGCGTCGAAAAGAGAGAGCCCATGAGCAGGACAGCAAATAAGGTGTTGAGCATCCTGGAGCAGCCTGAGGACATAGTGGAGAGTGCGAAGGAAGTTGAGAAGGACAAGGTGAACCAGGCGAATCGGAATCTGCCTTCTGTCCAGCCGGTGAGGGCTGCTATCCCTGTTGCAGAGAAGAAACCGATTGCAAAGCCAGCTGCGGAGGAGAAACAGATTGCAAAACCGTCTATCAAACCTGTCGTCAAGCCAGCACCTGCCCCTGTTCCTGCCGCAGCTCCCGCGGCTAAGTTGCTCCCCCAGCCAGACTCGTCGGAGCCAGAGGTCATTGAGATCGACTCGGAGGACGAGTCTGTCGAGGAACCTCCTCAGCCTGCACAGCCAAAACCTATCCCTCAAGTGAAGCCAGTCGAGACTATTAAGTCTGTCGAGAAGCCTCCTGTCGCACCACCTGCAAAGCCTGCTCCGGCCGTGTCTCTTTTTAAGCCTACACCAGCCCCGGCTCCAGCTCCTCTCTTCAAGCCTACACCGGCTCCCCAGCCTGAGCCGTCCTCAAAGCCTGCTGAAAAGCCAAAATTCACCTTCAGACCCGCCGAGGCCGCACCGTTCACCCCCGCCGTGACCAAGCCTGCGCCCCTGCAGCCGTTCAAACAGCTCGAGGTGATTGAGAAATTCACATTCCCAGAGGTCGAGACCCCAGCGTCGCCAGAAACGCCTTTCCTGCCCCTGCCCTACCCAACGGTGATCGACCAGTTTGTGTTCCCCGACGTCGAGACAGCAGACTCCCAGATCCTCAACAGCATTAATCCAGAAGCTGTCAAACTATATAGCTCTGTGTTCACGTTCTGAAAAATGACAGACGTATCTATAATAATTAAAAAACTCAAATTCTTATTTATGTCTTTTAGTCTTTACAAGCAGAATGACGGAACTATTGTTAATTTGCTCTATTTGAACTTCTGCCGCGACAAGACTTTTGTTGTTGCCCATCCGTTCTCAATTGAGCTTCTGGACGAGACGGGAAAGCCGTATGACGAGGTGTCGTTTGACCACCGGATCATGGCAATTGGCCATATAAAGCCGCCTGGACTCGACCAGGAATGGCTCATTGTGCTGGATCAAACAGGCCAGTTGATGGTTCTTGGCTGGGACGGCCGGTTCGTCGTGGTGCAACAGTTCAAGATCGCCTCTGCCGCCAGTAGCGTCGAGGTTTGTCCGATCATCGACGTGGATCAATCCAACCGGTATGTTCTTGTCTACTCCACTGAGGGATACATGACGATTTTGGAGCTGAGTCCGGACAAATCAGACGTTTACGTTAATGCGTTGCACAATGATGCCCCTTCACAGGTCCAGAAACGTCCCGATGCCGCCAAGCTTCGTCACAACCGAGTATTCGAAAAACCAAAAGTTATCTATATTGGCCATGGAATAGTACATTCTGCGCTTTTTCTCCAGTCGAAACTCATCAAGCCGGACCAGGAGGGGGTCACGTTCGCCGTCATCTCCAGAGACTCGAACTTGAAGTACTCGGCGTCGTACTACTCTATTTCCAAGGAAGTTGAGCTGTCGAAGAGATTTCCGCAAATGAGTTCACCGCCCAGTTTGGCTCTCCCGCTCCCCATGGGAGCACTGCTGGTGGTTTGTGAAGACGTCCAGTACCTGTATCCTTCGCCTGGGGTGCGGAGTCTTTCGTCTGAAATTGTTAAAACCACAAGACAGTATGCATCGAAGGAGCTGGTTTCCGAAAACGACGGACGGTTGTCGAAATTTGTTTCTTGGTGCTTTGATGGCAGCGTTTTCTGGCTTTGCTCTGAGTTTGGCGACGTTTTCCGACTTCAGGTGGAGCTCAAGTCTGAGAGTTTGCAAATAGCAGAGCAACAGCTGTCGATGTCCATTGCGGAACGTCGAGCTGCCGGGCCTGTCCCGCCGATTGAGCTTGGGATAGTGGAATGGACAATCAGCCGCGTACTCAACGAGGACGTTTTCCACTGTCTGGTTTTTGCAGACAGCAAAATTGTTGGTTGCAACCATTTTGGCCAGATTTGCATTTTCAACGACCACTTCAAGAAACCCAGTCAACTCAGAAACCCTACTAATCTTCCCGTCACTGGGCTCGCTGGCGAATATGTTTCTCACGGAACACATAACTACTCCACGGTTGACCTCAACGGGACTATTCATGTTGACGGTTTGGTGAAAAGCATCGTAGAGACAAAAAAACAAGTGGTGCTGGTCGTGGAGCAACGCGAGATCAATCTCGAACGGGAAGAGATCAAGCAAACCGATCGTCTGGAGGTTTACGAGGGGACCACCAAGGTTGGCGAGCACCGGCTCGACTCAGGTATTTCGGTGCGCAAGGTGTTACCTGTTTCGAGTCTGGAGTGCCGGTTTGACGAGCGGTTTAAAGTATCCAACGAGCAGCGGTTTCTACTGGGAAACAGACTCAAAGAGAGCGTGGTTGTGGTTGTGAACGATGAGGAGGACCAAACGGGGTTGTTGCTGATGCGATTTGAGAACAACGAGTGGTACAACGAGGGGTCTGCTGTGATAAGCGGTGTGTTTGACGACATCATCCAGATTGAGGATTACGAGCTGCTTCTTATTGGCAGTCATACGGTGGCTTGGATCAGTGTCTATGCTGCTACTGAGTTTTGGTTCAGGTTGGAAGAAAGCGACTTTAAGAGCCCTATAGCGTACTTTTCAGCATGGAGCAAGCTCCGCGACGGGAATCTCATAGTTGCAGACGGGTTTTCTGGACTATATCTGATGGATGTAGATCGATCTCGCCGCAAATTAGAATGTCAATGGATTCTGCGCAACGTGATGGTGAGCGCATTTGCCATCTTTTCGGACAAACTGGTTGTTGGGGACGTTATTGGCAATGTTTTTGTTGCTTCTTTTGGAGAATCGCCCGAGCTGGTTCAACAAACGTATCTTGGAAGCGGCAGTGTCATTTGTATGGAAGCCACCGAAGAAGGTATAGTTATTGGCACGAGTGAGGGACAAATCACGATGAAACTCGACTCCGAACATTTGTCGACCCGAAAACTTCCCAACAGAGCCGTTGTTTTGGTTTCGAGCTGTCCGGAAATTGCTCTAAATCCAAACTGCAAACTTGCCATAGTTAATTAGTTTACTTAATAACTTAATTTTTTTTTGTCTTAAGGGAAATCGTTAGGATGAGCACAACAGTGAAGCAATACGGAATTACGGCGCCTATTTCCACAGCGGGTCCAACGCCAAAGGAAAACGAGCTAAACGACTCGATGATTGCAGAGCTTCGGAACCAAAAATCGTTCGAGAGCGAGTCGGAAACTCAGAAGAGGCGAGAGGTGTTGGCCACGCTCCAGAAACTGACGGAGGAGTTTGTTTACACTGTTTCAAGACGCAAGAACATGAGCGAAGGCATGGCCAAAGACGCTGGTGGTAAGATCTTTACGTTTGGCTCGTATAGACTGGGAGTGTACGGGCCAGGCTCCGATATCGACACTCTTGTTGTTGTCCCCAAACATGTCACCAGAGAGGACTTTTTCACGGTTTTCGAAGAGCTGTTGAGAGGTCGGCCTGAGCTTAACAAGATCCAGCCCGTCCCCGATGCGTTTGTGCCGATCATCAAGACGGTTTTTGACGGAGTGGACATCGACCTGATCTGTGGTCGACTGGACATCCCGCAAATCTCGACCGATTTGACCCTGGAAGACAACAACCTGCTTAGAAATATCGACGATAGAGACCTGCGTGCACTGAACGGTACAAGAGTCACCGACCAGATTCTCCAGCTGGTGCCGCAAAAGATGGTATTCCGCCACGCTTTGCGGACCATCAAGCTTTGGGCTCAACGAAGAGCCATTTATGCCAACATGTTTGGATTTCCTGGAGGTGTTGCGTGGGCCATGTTGGTTGCAAGAATCTGTCAACTATATCCGAACGCGGTCGGGGCCGTGATTGTGGCCAAGTTCTTCCAGATCTACTTGCAATGGAAATGGCCGCAGCCGGTTCTTCTCAAACCGATTGAGGATGGCCCGTTGCCCGTGAGGATCTGGAATCCAAAGCTTTATGGACAAGACAGACTGCACAGAATGCCGGTGATCACTCCAGCGTACCCGTCTATGTGTGCTACCCATAATATCACCGCATCGACCCAGAAGATCATTTTAAAGGAGATGCAACGCGGACTCGAGATCATGAACGAGATCCAGTTCGGAAAGAGAAATTGGATTGATCTGTTTGAGAAGCACGACTTTTTCTTCGCCTACAAGTTCTACTTGACGATCATCACTGCCACGAGAGATTCGTACGAGGCCCATTTGAAATGGAGCGGCATGGTGGAGTCGAAGCTGCGTCTTCTTGTGCAAAAGTTGGAAGTGATCAACGGCATTGTGCTAGCCCATCCTTATGTGAAGCCTTTCACCGCGTCGTACATCTGCGATACCGAGGAACAGGCGTTCAATATCAGAGAGCTTTATGGATCTTTGGAAGGAGAGAAATATGCCAAGGAAAACCTCAAACAGGTGGAGATCGACGACGACACAGACATGGTGAAGGTGGAGGAGGATGTAAAGAAACAGGGCAAGCACCTTGTTCATCTTCTGAAGCTGTACATTGGACTTGATCTCGATCTCAAGGGCCGGGACAAGAAAATGGATATCCAGGCTCCATGTTCCGACTTTGACTCGATTTGCCGGAACTGGGTCAGTTTCGACAAGGACGTGTACTCTTTGAGCATCAAGCATGTCAAACTGTACGACTTGCCGAACGACGTGTACACAGAAGAGGAACAGAGACCTGTCAAGAAAGAGAGCAAGAAACGCAAGGGTGACAAGAACGGGGCCAGCGCGAAGAAGCTCAAGAGCGGCGATGATTCGCAGGCAGGCTCCGTTCTGAGCAGTTCCAGCGGTAGTACCACGACAAAGCCGTTGGAAGAATCTGCCACCGCATAGCGCGATCTATAAAAATTACCATACACCATGTAAATTTGTGCCGAGGGTGCAACATAATTTTTTGTCGTGCTCATTCTGCCAGTTCCAAAACAGGGTCCATAACAATTGCCAGAGTCGTAGGCTTTGCGGAAATTGCTGGGGCATACAAAATAAATATAATTTACTACTTGTTTTACTAATATAGGGTCGATTGTGTCAAGATGCCTTCTTTTGCGTCCAAGCTTCTTGGTAAGTGTGCCAATTTCGCCATCTGGCGCGTAATTCTGCTAACGGTTAGGCAAATCCGGTTCGGATAAGGATAAACATGCCGAGAGACCAAACTCCGATGACATTGAGGACATTGACGAGGTGGACGACCAAGGCCAGTCGATTTTGATGGGGATCATCTCCCAGTTGCGGCCGGGCTCCGATTTATCCAGGATCACGCTGCCCACGTTCATTTTGGAGAGAAAGAGCATGCTGGAGCGGATCACCAACCAGTTACAACAGCCAGACATTGTTCTTGCGGCCCATTCGACCGCGGACCCTGTGGAGCGGTTTTTGCTCGTGGTGAAATGGTACATGTCGTGTTGGCATATTGCTCCTAAGGCCGTGAAGAAGCCGTTGAACCCGATTTTGGGAGAGTATTTCACGTGCTACTGGGACCTTCCTTCCGGCTCGCAGGCGTACTACGTGGCCGAACAAACGTCGCACCACCCACCAAAGTCGTCGTACTTCTACATCATTCCGGACGAAAACGTCCGCGTGGACGGAATGGTTGTTCCGAAGTCTAAGTTTCTGGGCAATTCCACGGCCGCAATCATGGAAGGAATAACCAAGCTGTCGTTCTTGGACATTGTGGACGAGGCTTCCGGGGAGCCGGAGTACTACACAATGACCCAGCCAAACATGTACGCGAGGGGAATTCTGTTTGGAGGCCTCAAGTTCGAGTTGGGCGACCATTTGATACTGCAATGTCCACACAACAATTTGGTGGCAGACATCGAGTTCAAGACCAAAGGGTTCATTTCAGGGTCCTACAACGTGATCGAGGGAGAAATCAAAGACTCCAAGACCGGCCACGTGCTGTACGAGTTGAGCGGAAAGTGGAACGAGGAGATGTACATCAAAGACACAAAGACCGGCAAAAAATCGCTGTTTTTCGACTGCGAGCACAGCACGCCGCTCAAACCAAAGGTCAGAGACATCTCTGAGCAGGGAACCTATGAAAGTAGAAGACTCTGGAACAAAGTCACCACTGCTCTGGCCAGAAGAGACCACACAACTGCCACAGACGAGAAATTCAAAATTGAAGAGGAACAGAGAACCCAGCAAAGAAAGCGCGAAGAAGAAGGTGTGGACTTCTACCCAAAGTTGTTCAGACAGATGACTGTTTCTGAAACAGCCCAGCACGGCAACGAGCACCTGGAGTTCATCATCTACAAAGACAAGGTTCTGAACAAGGACCTCATGGCCCACGACCCTGAGGTTCTTAAGAAACACATCTTTGAGATCGCTCCGTTCCTCCCTGGCCAGCACTTCAACCCCGAGTTTGAGATCCCGGCTTTTAAGAAGTCCTAGATACATTGGTGTGGGGATTCTAGACTGCAACGCTTTAATGGACCAAATTCTCTCTTTTCCGGCTGCCAGCAGCCGCACGTTTTATGTAAAGTTGTTTTCTAATGAGCATTTCTTGGAATCGGAGCTTGAGTAGTGCGTCGTTATCGAGTCGCACGGCTGTACCTTGATGAATTAATTTTTTTAGCGCAACGTCGATGAGATAGCCGTTTTCAGTCTCAAACGTTCTGAATTTCGTTTCGAACTCTGAAACAACGTCAAATTCCAGTTTCAGCCCAACTTCAAACACCACAAACAGATACGAATAGGTTCCACAGCCTATTTGGTTGCCCCAGGAACGAATTTCCTGAAACTTTGCACGTGCAAACTCGGCAGGTAGCCGATCTGTTTTCGGCCCGAGTATCCCACCCAATCTTTGAAAATCTTTCAGATGAAACCCATCATCGCCAACTAGAATCTCGTAAAGTATCAGCCACATCGAAAAGTCTCGCACATTCTTTTGACAGTGCTTCCAGACCCGTTCAAAAACCACAGGCAACATTCCCTTGTAGCGACAGATGGAGACCAAATACCGCAAATATTCACAGGCGTAGTAGTTTCGGGGGTGCATTTCAACGGAACGCAAAACGATGTCCACCAATTCGTTCAAAATCGAATCGTCAAGCTTGTTTAGTCTGGTAATTGTGCTTTTTTTAAAATAGAACCACAAGTTTGCGGACTTGTTCGTTTTGGCAATATCTGACGTCAGGTACGCATTCAAGACGTTGTAATGAAACTCAAAAATTGCCGGATCAATGGCCCCCACCTTGTTCAATGCCTCTTCATTCACCAAAATGGCCCGATGATCCTCTGGAGTCACCATTAACAGCCCAATTGAGGCATAGTAAACCTCCAAATCGTCTCTTATGCTCAAATGCTCATCAACATCCCGCTTGAACGCCCCAAACATCCCATAAACCGCCTTCTTCCAAACAAGGATCTCAAAAACCCCTGTTTCCTTGTCTTCCAAACTAACTACCGGACCGCCACTAAACAGCTCCTTGTGAATCTCAGACCCAGTAACCTGTAACCGTTTCGGAACAGACCGGTTACCAAGCAGCTTGATTAGCCAGATTCCGGTCTCTCGCCCATTTTCCATCCAAAAAAGCCAATTCTAACAATAATTATCTTATTAATGTTAAAAAAAAGTTCTATGCTAAATGATTACGTCATCAAACCAACCAGTGTCTGGTCCTATTCATCCATCTCCGACGGCTTCAACAAACCGCCAACCAAACGTGCTCTTTCAAACGCCTGCTTGTGCTTCTCAACCAGTTCCTGCTCTCTATCGTCCGCAAACAAGTAATCGGTTGGGTCTCCACCAAACTCCTTGATTTGCACCAAAAAGTCTCTCAGAATACCTCTGAACTTGTTTTGCTGGTTGTAAGAGCTGAACAGAGCCTGCATGAATGTGCTCACTTGTTCCTGGTTCAACTGAGGGAAGACTCCAATCAACATGTTCGAAATGTACTCCTTCAAATAAAGAGAGTTTGGCGTTCCCTCCGGAGCTGAATCTTTCTGGTAAATTGGCTCGGTGATCTTGTTTTCCAAAACCAGCTCAATCAACTTGGCCAGCAGTTGAGACTGGAGTCTGAAACCGGCTTTGTGGTCAGAGTCGGTAAGAACGTAAAAGATGTCGCTGATGATTGGGAAGTAGAAGTTCTTGTAGAATCCAAGAGCAAACGAGTTGGATCCCAAGTCTTCAATGTTTTTCAACAACTCAACACAAAGAGTCAGACCAGTGTTCTCGACCTCTCTGTTGTTGTGCTTGAAAGCCCACAGAATCGCATCGATAAACGATTGGAACGCCTCTGGTGGGAATTGAACAAGAGCATTGAATCCCTTCAGATCGATCTCTCTCAGCAACTTGTAAAACTCAACTCTATGTTCTGGATACTCGGTGAAATCCTTATTGATCATGTTCAAAGTAACCTCAAAAACGTTAGCAAGGATAAGAACAATCTCGTCAGGTATCAACTCGCCAACCTTGTCAACCAAGGTCGACAAACAGTTCAGAACTTCAGCGTCTCTAGCATCAGGAACGTTTGTTTTGTAGTCCTGCAAAACAGCAGAGAGCAAATTGGGGACCAAGTCACGCACAATCTCCTCTTGGTTATCTGCCTTGGAAATATATGTTTCAATCAGAATAAGAATCTCCTTCTTGATGGTTCTCCAGCCTCTGACCTTTGGTGTCTTGGTGGCAATTAAACCATCACTGGCAACGGCCTCAGAAATAAGACCACTCACCGCGTTGTATAGAGACAACATGTCAACGTATATTAATCCCAATTGCGTGTAGAATCCAGGACCCAATGGCGTGCAAACAGCCACATTGGTCTTGATGATGTTGGCAATAATTTTGACAATGTCAGAGTTGGACAACAGTTGAGGATCTTCGCCAGCCTGTTGAACAACGGTTCTCCATGCAACGTTCGGAAGATTCATCAGGTCAGACAAAAGCTTGTTTCTGGTTTGAGTAGAGTTTTGTGCGGATATTATGGTTCCACAAGCCTCGTAAAACGTGTGAACTTGTTGGGGTTGAAGGTCAGAGGTAGTCTCCTGGATGTTTCGGATGATTTCATCAATGAAAGGTCCCGTCTCACCTTGTTGTTGAACAACAAAGTGACGCTTGCACTTTTGAGTGATCTTGATAAAAGTGTCACATGCCATATCTTGAACTCCTTCGTGGGTTTCATGCATAAATTCAAACAACTTATTGACAACAGTCTTCAAGAACTTCCAGTGAGCTTTCAGGAATCTTGGGTATTGTCCAACAATGTACATGATGTTGGATGCCACAACTGCCTTGTTATCCTTACCCCGTTTCATTTCGGTCAACGACAGCAAATCTTTAATAACTGTAACCAAGAATCTTTTCTCTCTCTCTTCGTCCATAGAACCAGAGATCGAACCGATTGCCCAACACAAAGTGTTGATATTATGCCAAGACCATTCCGAACCATCGATTTGGCTAGCAAGCTTGGCAGACATGATTGCTTCTGTGTCATTGATATCCAGGTGAGTAAGGTAAACCAAAACCTCTCTCATAGACTTGTACAGCTGAATGGTGTCACTTTCCTTGACAAACTCTCTCACAATTTCTCCTTCATCATTTTCAACAACCAACACCTCTTCTGGTCTGACCATGTTTTCGATCATCACAACTCTTAATTTCGACAAAATATCACTGTAAATGTTCTTTCTGAGGTTGTAATTGCGCAGAATCTCGGGATTTGGAGCCCCACCTCTGGTGTTATATTGAAGTTGCATTAATGGTGAAGCGTCTTGCAAAGGCAAAGTTTGAATTTCCTGGTACAATCCAGACACAAGTTTGGTCCAGTAGTCAAGACAGGTCTTGAACAGTTCTCTTTCTTCAATTCTGGACAAGTTGACCAGGTACTGATGAGCAGCCAGAAGGAGCTCTCTCAAACTTGTATTCTGTTCCAAAGGTGCCAGATGGTTGGAAAGGAAGGTGACCAAGTACATGGCCAAGTCCTGCAAGAATTCTTGGTCTGAAGAGTTCGCATACTTGTATGTCTTTTTGAGGTCGATATCGATAGGGATGAACTTGATCAGGTTCTCTGTGGTGAGTCCAAACATGGTGACAAACTTCTCGTCGTATTGAGGAGCAATAAGCTGAGAGACTTCAGTAAGACATTTAAGAGTGATCGATCTGAAATCTTCAACAGGAAGGAACTTGGAAGAAAGCAGGTTCAAAAGATCTGTTTCGAAAATGTAGCCAAGAGGAATCCATGGGATGTATCTGAGTAGCGATTTGAGCGTGGCAATTATAAGAGAAGGCTTGGAAGCTTTGTCGAGCACTTCGAAACACAATTTGAAAATCTCAGAGAATTCGTCGCACATTCTTGTCTTCAAAGACTTGGCCTTGGCCTGGGTCATCTGTTCGGCAGAGAAATCGAAAATCTCCTCGGACAACAGTTTCAAGATCACCATGTTATTTTCGCAAACGTTGAAACCTGCGCGACTGGATTGAACCAGTTCGGGGATGAAATTTGGCCAGTTAGCAGGCCAATCTTGCTTGATAATCTGGACTAAGGTCAAATCACTTTTCTGAATCAAAGCCTTTTGCGAAACAAACTGGGCGTCATCTTCACACATAACAATAATCATACTGGCCACAAAGTTTCTAATTCCAAGTCGTTGATCTTCAGGCAAGGCTTTCCATTTGGTTTTGATCAAATTGTCCAGAATTGACAAGGCAATGTACTTTGCCTGTGGATCTGAAGAGAATTGAAGAATTTGATCTGCACGGGTCCAAGCATCTGGATGATTTTGGAACTTGGTGAGAATCTCCTGCGCCTGTTTCTGTGTCTCACCAGATCCACTATAAAAAGCTTGGACCACCGAATCGAGCAGCTTGACGTCCAACTCTTTGCTGAAATCCAAAATTGTCTCCATTTTGCCAGCAACAGGTGTATCGTGTACAATCGATCTGTTTTGTTGGATTCTGGACTAATACGAAAGAGAGTTTATTTGTTATTATTTATTTGCAAGGGCAAATTCTTATTCGCTGATATTTTTTCCTCTCTCTATATGGTGCAAGGATGTACAATTGAACTACACAGCCGGCAACTAGTCTCTGTCACCAGGCAAGTCCAGCTCCATGGCCATGACTCTGTCTCTTTCAGCGTCGAGGATCTCCTCAATTTGAGCAGGACTAAGGTCGCGCATCATGTCCATGTCGAAACACACCTTGTCGTGCTCGGATTTGGTGATATGCTCTTGCAACAGAATGGCAGCAGCTTTCATGTCGACTGTCGAGTTGGGCACCATATTTTTCACCTTTTTGTACTTGTTTTTCCCCGTTTTCACTTTGAAAAGGCCTCGTGACCGAGCCACGGACTCCAGCAGCCGGTTCACGTCGTTTGTCGGGGTATTGTAGAAGTCTCTGTAGAGATAGGCGTCGGGGCTCTGGATGTTGGCTAGATACAGGAAGTAGTCGATGGAGATGACGGGGTCGACAATGCGCGCATCCACGGTCCGCAAGAGACTGTGAATCAACATGCTTTTGGAGTTGGTCATGCTGGGCAGCATCACTCCGGGCGTGTCGTGGATATATATTAGCGGGTCGTTGCTTAGTTTGATCAGTTCCGAAACAGCACGGGTTGTTCCTCCGCGTCGTTCAACTCGGGCCACGTCTTTGAGGTTCCCGTTCTTGGTGTCGATCAGTTTCCGTCGCAGTCTGTTCACCAATGTCGATTTTCCAACGTTGGGCATTCCTGCAACCAAAATTTTCATCCCCAATGGAGGCAGCGGTTCCATCTCGTTGCATTTGGCTTTGATGAGTTTAACCACGTTATCCAAATGGTCTTCGCGCTTGTTATCGAAAAGCCCCCAAGTTTCGTTTTTGACGTTCCATTTGTCAAAGATCTGGCGAGACAGGATCGATTGCCGTGTCTTGGTGTACAACACGATTTTCGGTTTTCCTCGGAGAACTTTCTCGAGCAGGTAGTTTGTGGTTGTGAGAGGTGCGCGCGAGTCGCGCAACTCGATCACCAGGTCAATTTCCGGAGCCAGTTTCTTCATCCTGGTGAACGCTGCTCTGTGATGGCCCTGGAAGTCCGACAGCGGCACTCTGTAGTCGGGGAAAACCAGCCGTGGCTCGAACCCAGACACTGGCACAGCGACATGTTTTGTCAATCGCTGGAAAGTGTGCTGGACCTCTTGGACGGCCTTCAAGAGCGGAGAAGACATGCACAATTGTAGGTGAGGAAAAAATCAGAAAAAATCAGAAAAAATCAAAGAAAAATACCATCTCGAGCGTTCTCATGCCTCTTATCGTTTTTGCGGGATACCCATCGAGCGGGAAGACCACGCGGGCGACCGAACTAAAACGGCTGTTTGAGGAGAAAATTAGATCGCTGCCAAAAGGCGAGCCGGGGTCCAACTTGAAGGTGGTTCTACATAATGACGAAAGTCTGGGGATCTCTCACAACGCATACAGAGAGTCTGTCACCGAGAAAGCTGCGCGGTCGGCTCAGATTTCGGCCGTGAAACGTGACATTAGTCGGTCAACAGTGGTGATTTTGGACTCACTCGCCTACATCAAGGGCTTCAGATACCAGTTGCACTGCGAGAGCAAGGCCTTGAGCACTCCGCATTGCGTGATTCAGGTGATTACGCCTTTGCAGACTTGTTTGGAGTGGAACTCTGGCCGTCCCGAGGCCGAAAAATGGGACGAACAGGTGATGAAGGAGCTTGTTCTAAGATACGAGGAGCCAGACGGACAGAACAAATGGGACTCGCCGTTGATCCCCATTGGTTTTGACGACCCAGAGCTGCCGTTTGAAGATATCTGGGCTGATATTGCGCTCAAGAAAGGGCCCAGACCGAACCAGTCGACGGTGACGAAGCCAGCTATTGAAATCAATTATTTGCAGCAACTGGACAGACTAACGGCCAGCGTGGTGCAGGAGGTTTCACAGTTCCAGGAGATTAACGGCGTGGGCCACGAGATCCGGCTCAGCGTGGAGGGAGGCGAGTGTGTGGTGGAAATGCCTACAAGAGAGGTGTCTATTGCCCAGCTACAACGGTTCCGCAGAGCGTTTGTTGGACTGAACCGGATGCGGAACGTGGGGGTTGAACGGATCGGCCCGTTGTTCGGAGAGTATCTCTCGCGCGCGCTTAATCAGTAAAAAGTTCGGTTCTTCATTCTATTCGATTATAAAGTTTCAAGCCAGTAGAGACTGGAAGTTTCCGATGATCTGGTCGACTGCGGATTTTTGAGCGTCTGGGTCCAAGGTGAACACAGTGATGGAGGAGGCACAGCCGTTGACGACGTTGAACTCGGCAGGCAGAGACGAGTCACCTGCGGCGGCCACGTCCAAGGTTCCTGTCTCGGCGTTGGCCCAGTCCACGAGACCAGTAGACTCGTTGTAGGCAATAGCGTACGGAACATAGTCTGAACCGGTGAATCTGGACTGGTAGTATGGAGGATCCAGACAGTCGGATTCCAGGTCCGAGCCAGCAACAGGGAAGTTGACGTTCAAGCCGGTAGCCAGAGGAAGAGCTCTTGGGTTGTCACCCTGTTTCTCAAACAGCGCTTGGATAAGCTCGACAGATTTCTTGGAGTAGATGTTTGGAGCGTGATTAGGATCGGTATCTAGGTTGTCCTTGAAGAAGGAGTTGTTTGAGTTTGCTCCGGAGAAAGCAATGGCTGGGTAGCCTCTTTCCACGGCGTAGAAAGTAGCACCCTCAGTTCCGGAAAGCACAAAGTCTCTTTCTCCCAGGTTGTTACCTTCGTTAGGACCTCCAACAACCAGATCCACGCTGATGTTGTTGAAGTAGGTAGGAATGATGTAATCCAGTCCAACGGCCACACAGGCGGCAGGAGTACCGTTGTAATACCACACGTTCAGGTCGTCTTCCTCGTGTCCCCACGATGGAGAGCCTGCTGGAGGGTAGCTGAACAAAGTGTCGTATTGGAGGGTGTTGGAGGAGTCGAGCTGGAACTTTCCTCCGTAACCAGATCTCTGTTCTGCTGGGGCCACCATGATCACATCATGGCCCGCGGCCTTGAGGTCTCTGTACAGAGCTCTGATGTTGGTGGCTGCCCATCCATCGTCGTTGGTGAGCAGAATGTTTTTGGCGGAGGCAGCAACAATAGTGGTTGCAAGAGCGAAAAGAGCCTTGGATTGCATTGGATACTATACTGGCTAAGTGTATGCGGAAGTGTGTGGGTTATAAAGGATTTCGGGACGAGGAATTGGCCATATGGGCTGCGAGAATAAAGTATTAGCGGCAGGGTGTGGCGACGCGGCGGACCTTTGAAAAAAGGATAGAATGTTGAGGATTTTAGCGAGTGAGATTCGAGTATTCTACTTTGGGTTAACGCACTGGATGGAAAGGGAAGTTTTGCAACAGTGTGCTTGAATCTGGCTTAATTACTTGCGTTAAGCGCACGAGGGGGCCCGAGGTCTCGAAAACTCGAGGACGACGGTGGGCCGGGCCAAATGGGGGCCAATTGGCGGAATTTCGCACGTGCAGAACCAAATGGCCCCCGTTTTCGACCAGAACAGAACCAAGATCGCCAAGAATGATTACCACCGTCCAACCATATCTGCCCGCAGAGCAACAGAATAAGAATACCGCCTTGAAATGGGAGGTCTCACAAGACCAAAAAATTTAAGTCTCCGCGCGGCTCCCAGGGACACGTGCCTGAGACGAAACTGTTTTTATCCTAAAACGGTAACCAGCAGCCCAGATCGTTCCGGATACCACAGTCTCCAGCACGTTTTGTCAATTTCCAGCTAAGTGGGTGCAGCGTGCTCAGGTGGGTGGACGGCACAACCTGCAAAGTGCACCACCGTTATAAAGGCCCGAGATCCCGTTCTGTTGGGAGCGTAACTACTCATGAAGTTTGCTACTCTTTTCGCTCTCGCAACCTCTCTCGTTGCTGCCTCCGCCAAAAACATCCTCATCACCAACGACGATGGATGGGCAGCAACCAACATCAGAGCTTTCTACAGAGACCTCAAAGCCGCCGGCCACAACGTTGTTATGGTGGCCCCGGCCAGACAATACTCCGGTAACGGTGGAAGATTCATCATTCCAGAAACCGCCAACCTCACCGCCCCGGCCGTGTTCAACTACCCGGGACTGGGCGCCCCAGCCTGGGGCCACGAGGAAGACGACCTGAACGTGTGGTACTTTGACGGGTCTCCAGCCGCATGTGTCTCCATGGGTCTTGATTACGTCATCCCAACCTATTTCAACAACTTCACTGTGGACATTGTTCTTGGCGGTCCTAACGAGGGTGACAACCTCGGAGAAAGAGACTTTGTCATCTCCGGAACCGAAGGATCCGCCTACTACGCCGTGGAAAGAGGCTATCCGGCCATTGCCTTTTCTGGAGCCAATGGAAACAACTCCTTCTTCAAGGACAACCTAGATACCGACCCGGACCATGCTCCAAACATCTACTCGAAATACGCCGTGGAGCTGGTCAACACTCTGTTCGAGGCCCAAGGAGACGCCGACAAGCTGCTGCCACCAGCGTACGGCCTGAACGTCAACTTCCCAGCGGCAGGCTCCGACATCAACGCCAACTGCACCAGTTTGACCTGGAAACACACACGGTTCACGGGCTCGGACAGTCTGGCGTACCGCGTGGAATACGACGCTTCTGCAGAGAACCTGAAACAAACCACGATCAAGAGCGGCGCCGTGGAGGTCAACCTTGCGGGAGATCTCACTCTTCCTGGCGAGTTCACCATCATCAACAACGGGGACTGCGACGCGACGATCTCTGTGTTCACCACCGACTTGGACGCCAGCAGCGAGATCAGCGCCGAAGCCCGCACGCTGTTCGAGTCCGTCTTGGCTAATTAGACTAGTTAAATAGGAATAAAAGTATGCTAATCATTTGGAAGGGCGTTGGTATTCGAGCACTGCCCGATTAAGTAATTTTATTTTATTTCAGCAGAACCTAGTGGGCACACATCAGCAACTTTGTTAGTAGCCTACGTTTTGTGTCAGTTGAGCTGTGTCCGGGTTCGACAACATGATTCCGCAGAAAGACGGCCCCGACTCAGGCGGGTTCAAGAGCCTGTTGCAGCAGCATAGTCCGCAGTCTGCCCAGCGTGCACGGCCTGCCACTCTTCTTGCCTCCCAGCCTTCCACCCAGCAAAAGCGGCACAACTCGCAGAGTTACGTTCTGCAGAAGATGTCTAGCAAGAGAGGAGCCTTTAGCACCCCGTCCAGCAAGCCGCAGTCGCGAACCAAAGAGCATCAGACACCAACACCAACAATCGTCGCGGTGGACGTTCCAGGGTCCCCAAAGAGCAAGGTCATCGGCAAATTGATAGAGCCTGACGTGAGCATCGAGAACCTGAGCGAGCTAAACGATGCGCCCGTGACCCGTGGAAGTGACCCGCATTCGAACTCGCCAGAGTCGATTCCCGACAAAATACCTCGAAATCGCAGACCGAGTACCGACACCGTTCTGTCGCAGCCGCCAGTCACTTTGCAACAGCAGCCCCAGCGCGTCATCACCGAGGAGGAACATATCTTGGCCTCAAACCTTCAGGAAACGTACAAATCGATCCTTAAACTCGAGATTGAGACCCAGCAGGGATGTGCAGAGGTGAACGAAAGACTCATTGAAAACGACGCCAGTGTCGAGATCACGCCCCAACTGTGGCACGTGTACAAGAACATTGTCCAGCTGTTGGATCACTACTACGACTTCCTACTGTACGCGTTGTCTCCAACTTCAGCGCGGGCCGGTCGTCCATTGGTGACTAATTACCGCATTCTTCGTCGTATGTGGGTCTACGGCGTGGTTTCGTTCCTAGAGGTGCTGAAAAACGTTGCGGCCATTTTCGTCGACCATGAGGTCTGTGGCTGTTTCATAGCATATGCATTCAACATCATCAGCTGCCTAACAGACGCCCAGCTTGGTGTCGAAGGCTGGTGGGCCGAGAAACTGGGCGATCTGTCCAGAATGGCCATTGCCCTCTACCCAGCTCGCTACATGGACTGGAAGATCTCCTCTGTTTACTGGTACCAACTGGCCATGCGCACTCAATTCGGCCATGGAAAAATCTACTACCACATGTGCACCGTCGAAAGCGACAACTTGGAGGCTCTCGTGGATATCGGCAAGAGTGTCACCTGCAGAGACCCGTTTGCGCCTACATTGCAATACCTGCGACTCATCGTGGACAACGTGTGTGCGCAACGGAACATTCTTAGCTCTGTCGAGATGGCCATGATAGATTTCGTCAAGATCCACAAAATCTTGCTCATGCCAAATTACAACACAAACATCGAGATGGCCAACCTGGTGTCACACTACTCTTCGCATTTTGGGCTTGACAGCTCCAGCATCGACTATTTCCAGTTAAGAGGCGACATGAGCTCGGCTCTTTCCAGCGACAAGCTCAACTTCTGGTTCCAGAAAGGAGCCAATTTTGCACTTTGCAACATTAATCACTTGATCGGGTTTGGAGACTGCAGAAACCCGTTTGCTAAGCTCTTTGAGCTTCCCGAGGCTCTTAAACAACGCAAGGACAAGAAGGACAAACGCAGAAAGTCCAAAACAGAGACAGGAGAGGAGATGATCCGTCCAGCAGACTCAGAGGCCATTTACAATTCGACGGCCGCAGAACAGGATGAAAACTCCTGGTTCACTCTTCTGGACTTTGTCAACAAAGGTGTGATCGAACTCAGCATGAACATGTTGAAACAGTATCTTTCAGGACCGTTGCCGTCGTCGACTCAACATGTTATTGTGTGGCTTTATTTTATCGCTGCCGTTGGAAAGGCCACACAGAAATACCCAGCGTCCAAACCACTGTTCAGCTACATTCTATCGCGTTACATTCCGTGGATGAAGCTTGTTCCGTACTTGAACGACATTCTTTTCATTGTGCGGTCATCCAACGAGACACGAGCTGTTATTGAGGCACAGTCCCACCAAGGAGACATTCTAGATTACTATTCCGGAAACGAAAAGCTCTGGGAGGTTTGGAAGTGCTGGGGATCTATCTGGTTTGACCAGATCTCCATGAAAACGGACTACCAGTCTATTTTCGACACCGGTGTCACAGGCTACATTTTCGACATTCCAACGGCAGGGCTCAGATACGACCCGAAACAGGACACTATCAGATACTTGCGCATATACCACTTGGGCTCTTACATTGCCGACAACTTCCCTGAATTCGGGTTGGTCAAGGCGGGCTCAGTTTTCAAGTACAAGCTGGACCAGAACGTGGTTCACCAGGAGCAAAGCAACGCCAGTGCCGGGTACTTTTCGCAGGACGCTCGGTTGCTGAGTCTGATCGAGCCACTCAACCCAAAGATTTCTGTGGATACCCAGGAGGATCCATGGAAGGCCATCACGACGGACGAGCTTCCAAGCTGGGAGTACAACTCGCACGGGTTCATGACCGAATACGTGAACAAACAGGGCTTGGGTTCTGTTTCTGGGTCGGCATCCGACTACAGCAACTTCATTGGGATTGACGACTTGGAGGATGAGGAGTACGAGGACTCTTCAGCCGACGACAGTTCCGACAAGCCTGTTGCTCCGTACGCTCCTACGAGAGTGAGTATTGTGGGGAACCTGGGCGAGAAGATGGACACTGCCATCACCAACATTTCGCTGGACACCAACGCGTGGCTAAAGCATTGCGGCAAGATCTACAAGTGTGTGCGGTCGGAGTTGTTTTTGCTGTCGATCCCGCTAACTGTGTTCCAGGAGCTTCGGTCGCTGCGGAGATCCGCAGATAGCTCCGTGGCGGATTCTGCTACCCGGGCTGTGATTATTGTGCGTCAGCTGTACACCGATAAGCAAGTTGTTCCAATCAGGGCTGACGGTACCAAGGCGTCGTCTTTGAACGAGACGCTGGAGTTTGAGCAGAACCAGAACTGGCGCAACAACACCGACGAGATCATCATGAAGGCGGTCAAGTTGAACGACGACATGAGCAAGAGCGTGCTACTGGGGCTGGACGCGGCGGTCAACTCGGGCACCCATACCTTGGACCGACTGGAGGCAAGTGTTTTCCGCTACAATGTGCTTGTTACTGACGATCGGAACATGGCGATTCGCAGCAAAGCCATTGGGCTGTTTACGGTGACCAGTGCATGGCTCTTTGAGCAACTAGATAAGACTGCCAATGGCCGATGCACTGATTAGCGGGTGAAAAAAATGTTGGCAACTTTTCCCGCCAGGTGGTGTTATCACGAAACAGGATTCCCGAATTGGGAATATGCGAAACTTATCACTTATCGAGTTCCGGCCTATAAATAGTGAGCTAAATGTACACACCGGTAATTCAATTTGAAAATGACCGTTGACGTTGCAAGTCCGTACCCTACTCCACAGAAGAGTCTTGGCCATGTGGTGAACTATCTTTCTGGTAGTCACGACTACGACATCCCAAAGGAAACCATTGACCTTGAAATCGCCAGCTTACGTAAGAAGCTTCAGGCAAAGCCAACGTTCAACCCAAACCTGGAGTTTGACCCAAAAAAACACTTTATTTTCAAAGACGAATACTACAAGACGACCAAGCAGTGCACTTTGGAGGAGCTGAACATCAACCGGACACGTGTTCCGAAAGTTTGCGAGTTTGGCGCCGCTTTCCCGTTCCCGTTGATTTCGCAGGAGGCCGTGGACATGTTGCTTTGGGAGGCCATGTTGCCCGAAGTGATTGAGGAGTACGCTCGTTTGCCAAACTTGGCCACCAATGCCACTCGTTTGGACTTCCACATCGGCGGTCACTGCACTAAAAAGGCCCCTTTCAGCAACGCTCTGTTCACCAGTCCTGAGTTGCTCAAGATTATCGAGGGATTCACCCACGTCAAGGTCAAGCAGGTGTACAACGCCGAGTACGGCCACTTCAACGTGTCGCTGGCAAGCCAAAAGCCCGAGGATGTGGCCGCAATGGAGACCTCTAGAGAGGAGCAGCTGCGCGAGTACGAGGAGCAAAACAAAAAGTCCGGCGACAAGATTCCGTCCACTTTGGGACTGCACTACGACTCGTCTGCGTTTGCTCTGGTGATCATGCTGGACATTGGCGACAACGCGATCGGCGGCGAGACCGGAATCATCACCGGCGACAACAAGGTGTTCCGTGTCCCGGACCCAAAGATCGGCTACGCTACGCTGATCCAGGGCATGGTTCTGCGTCACGTGGCCACGAAACCGGTCACCAACTCCAACAGAATCACCGCTGTGGGTGGCTACTGTCTTGCCGGCCCAGAAAAGCTCGACAACAATCTGCTCACCACCACCAAGCCATCGATCTTGCCTCGTGCCAAGTACAACGAGTTCTACCGCGACTGGTGCGAGTTCAGACTCTCCAACCTCGAGAGCCACCTTAAGTACTACAAAGAGAAGCTGCTGGCCGAGTTCGACGCCGGCGTCCAGTTCGACCAGCCAGCTTTCATCAAGGAGTGCGTCTACATGGAGAAGTACCTCAGAAAGACCTGGGACGAAATGGAGGCGTCCCACAACCCGCCATATCCGCCTGCCCAGTTCAGTGTCAAGTACGAGGACTTGCCTGACTACGAACAAGATTAAGTATTTATGTTACTAGTAACTTATTCACAACAGACAAAGAACGTAGAATCGGTCAATTATGGACCAATTAGTAGGCCACACCGGAAGAGGTGTGCAACTGCTCAATCACAGGGTCGATCACATTGGTGTTCAAGTCCGTGTTGGTCAGTTGCAACTGCTTGTCGGTCCACAAGTTGTCCTCCCGTGGAACAGGAGAGCCAACACCACACAGACCGCCAGAACGCTCCCATTCGGGAACTCTCTTCAAACCGATCTTGCTCCAGACGTTGTCAACAGCCTCGATCAAAACGTCGGAGATGTCCTTTGAGTGGTGAGGAGACGGAGTGATTCTCAACCGCTCCTCGCCTCTAGCAACAGTAGGGAAGTTGATGGCCTGCACGTAGATCTTGTGCTGGTCCAACAGAATGTCCGAAGCCTGTTTGGCCTCGGCAGCGTTACCAACAAGCAACGGAACAATATGGGACGGATTAGGAATAACAGGAATGCCCAGATTCTCAAACTGCTGCTTCACGTATCTGACATTCTTCTGCTGGCCAATTCTGTCCTCAATGTTCTTTCTCACGATTCTGATGGAGGCGGTGGTTCCGGCCATCAGAGCAGGAGGCAGAGTCGTGGTGAAGATGAATCCTGGAGCAAACGACCGGATCCAGTCCACCATCTTACCGGAGGCTGCAACATAGCCACCAACAGTTCCAAAAGACTTACCCAGAGTACCGGTGATGATATCAATACGGTCCATCACGGTGGTGTGGTCAGGAGAAGCAATACCGGCTTTCAAGTGGGCCTCAAAGTCCAAATGTTCGGCAACACCAGCTCCATGAGGACCGTACATACCGACGGCATGGACCTCGTCCAAGAAAGTGAGAGCACCGTACTTGTCGGCCAGATCACAGATCTTCTCAATAGGAGCAACAGAACCACACATGGAGTAGACACTCTCAAACGCAATCAGTTTTGGAGTGGATTTAGGGTACTGAGCCAACATGGCCTCCAACTCCTCCAAATTGTTGTGTTTGAAGATGTGCTTTCTTGCTCTGGAGTTGCGGATTCCCACAATCATCGACGCATGGTTCAAAGCGTCCGAGAAAATGACCAGATCTTTGAATTTCTGGCCCAACAGAGAAAGAATCGCATCGTTGGCAACAAAACACGACGAGAACACCAAGGCACCCTCCTTTTTGTGCAGAGCAGCCAGCTCGGCCTCCAGAGCAATTGCATGTCTGTTATGACCAGCAATGTTCCGGGTTCCGCCGGCACCGGTACCATATTTCAACATGGTGGTGTTCATGGTTTCCAAGATCTCCTGGTTCTTACCCATTCCCAAATAATCGTTGGAACACCAGACCATCACCTTGTCGTCCTCCTTGGCCAAATGGGCCTTAGGGAACTCCTTGGCGAGTCTGTTGATGTTGTTGAAGAACCGGTACGACTTGTCCTTTCTCTTTTCGTTCACCTGCTCTTCAAAAGCCGACTCGTAGTCAAAGCCCGACTCGTTCGAAGACTTGTGGATGAAAAGCGGGTTGGCCGGCTCGGCAGAAGCAGCGGTACCTGGCAGGGCGTCGCTGGCCTGAGCGTGAAGCGGCTTAGAAGGAGTACTGTACGAACGCTTTGATTCGAGAGCAGGTCCCATAACAGGACAACCGTGCGCCTTGAGGGCAAGCGACGAGTTCTGGGCCATCTGTCTGAGAGCAGAGGCAGACTTCTGTTTCATGAAGGGGCAAACGGCCTTAGATTGGCGGGCTAGGGACTCCATGGTGAATAAGAAAATAAACGGGTATTTTTTTCTCTTTGTGACCAACTTTTTGTTTGCAGAACGCACTACTGCCTCGGATTAGGTAAGAAAAATTCAGGTTTGGTGATTGGCCAGATGCGGGTCTTGACACGCGAGAGTTGGCGGGCAGGTGAATGCGCGGAGGCCAGATTGGAAGCAGTTTATCGGTATTGGTGGAAATCCAGTCGGTGCTGATGTTCGGTGCTACTCTTTGGTAGAGAGAGAGAGACACCCCCTGCTTTTGGTATACCCGCCACACCCCGTCCAGATGCAGCTGGGCCAACCGTTGCAAAAAATCAACCACTGTGGCGGTGCAATTACTCTAGCCAATGTCGTTACTAATCACTACCGGAACTGGTCCTGTCCTGGTGTCTGAGACAGAGACCGAGTATCTCTGGACCCCACAGGAATCCACAAACACCGCTCCACCGCCAAGCCATCTTCTAAACACCCAGATCGTCGTTCTGGACTCCGTCAAGTCTGGCACCCGTGTTCCGTCGAAAGACCTATACAAACAGCTGCTCCAGCCCCTGTTTTCCTCCTGGGACCTGTCGCACCGGTACATCGCCACCACTTCTGCTAAGTCTGTTGAACAGTACGGCCACTCGCTCGGATCTGAGAAGACTCTGCTCATTGTTCTGTCTGGAGACACCACCATCTCGGAGCTCATCAACTCCGTGGCTGATTCGGTCGATGTGACCATTCTCAACGTCCCGCTCGGTACAGGCAACGCGTTTGCACACTCAATTGGTCTGTCGAACGTCGTTTCTGCTGTTTCCGCGCTTACGTCGGGCAAAATACATCCTCTGCGCACGTACCAGGCGGTGTTTGAGCCCGGCTCGCAAGTTGTCCTGCCGGACGGGCCTTCCTTCGCAGCCACCACCCTTAACTTCTTTGTCGTGGGCTCCTGGGGACTCCACGCGTGTCTGGTTGCCGACTCCGACTCGCCGGAGCTGCGCAAACTGGGAAACGAGCGGTTCAAAATAGCTGCGCAGCAGGTTTTGGAGAAAAATCCCGTTTTCCACGGCACTTTCGTTGTCGACGGCAAGCAGATCGAAGCACACGCAAGCCTCGGCTACTTTGTCGTGGCTGCCGTGCCCCTGTTCGAGAAAACGTTTGAAATCTCGCCACAATCGGACCCAGCAGAACACTCGCTACATTTGGTCTACTTCCACCATACAACACCAGAGTCTGTCGTGGAGATTATGACCAAGGCGTACCAGCAAGGAGAGCACGTGAAAGACCCGCGAGTCGGCTACTTGAAGGGCAGCGAGATCGAGCTGGAAGTCCACGAGTCCGACCCGGCTCTGCGTCGCATCTGCGTCGACGGTACCATTGTCCAGATCGCCGGCTCCAAAGTGGTGTTCCGGCCTCGAATCTTTGACGGTCTACACTACCTGTCAGTTAATTAGTACATTTATCTTTCTAACCTGTCTTGACCCGCTTTTCTGCCTCGGGAGTGTCTTCGGCCGGCCGTTTGGCTGCCTCCAGATTCTTCACCTTCTCACGTAGGGAAGCAAGCTGCTTCTTGAGGATGTTCTCCTTGAACTCGGTCTCCTTGCGTATAGCAGCAGTCGTGTCCTTCTTTAGCTGGTCCTTCTCCTGCTCAAACCGCTTTAACAGGTCCTCGGACCCTTCCTTGCCCTGCTTCGAAGCAAACTCCTTCTCGAGTTCCTCCTTTCTGGCCTTCCATCTCTGTTCAATCACCTCGTTGATCTTGGCCTGCACAGGAGCACGGATTCGTTTCTTATGAGCCTCCAGTTCTGCTTCACACTCCTCCTTGATCTTCTTTCGGATTGCCTCTTCGTCAACAGCAGGAGCAGGCGCAGACGACGCAATCTCGCCCTTCAAACGACTGATCTCCGCGTTCAGCTTGTTGAGCTTGATGTCATAGTCAACCTTTAGCTTCGAACTGGCGCTCACAGCCTGCTTCACCTTCTCCTCCAATTCCTCGCTCGACTCGGCCGGCTTTTCAGCCTCCTGCGCTTTCTTCAGCTCCTCCTCAAGTTCCTTCAACTTACTCGCAAGAGCATCCTTCTCGCTGTTGAGTTGCTGTCTGGCAACACGACTCTTGTTCAGTTTGTCCTGAGCCTCCGCACGGAGCTTGTCGTATCGCTCCTGTAACTGCTTCTCACTCTGCTGCGATTGCTCCAGCTGCTTCTGGATCTGCTCCACCTCCCCAGAGTCTGTCTGTTCAGGCTTGTCTTCGGCCCGTTTCTTCCAGTACTCCATCTGTGAAAGAACAAGCTGGTGTTGCGACTCGCGGATCTCCACCTCGCTCTTGAGCTGTGCAATCTGTTGCTCCAAAGGATTACGTCCTTGCTCCGCGCTGACAACACGCTGCTCCAGCTCTTCCAACTTGGTCTTCAATCCAGAGTTTTCGTCTCTCAACTGCTTGTTGTTCTGCTTGAACAGCTCCAACTCGTGGCCAGTGGCCTTCATCTGCTCCAGAACCTCGGTGTACTTGGCACTGGTGGCATTCTCCTCCTGCAACCGCAGAATCTCCGCCTTGGCCTCAGACGTCTCAGACTCTGCAAGAGAAACAGCCTGGCGCAAACGGTTTTCCTCCAAACGAGAGTACTCCAGCTGCTGTGCAAGAGAATCCTTCTCTCTATGAAGATAGGTGACCAGACTGGTCATATCTCCATCCTCGCCAACTTCGCCAACATTCACGCGACTCTCCAATTGGTTGATCAGAGTCCTGTTTTGAACGTCAAGCTCAGCAACACGAGACTCCTTGGAATGCAGCTCTTGCAAAATCTCAGACTTCTCCTGCTGCAACCGCTCTTCAGCAGCAGACACCTCAGCGCGTGCGCTTTCGAGCTGGCCTTCCAACGATTGGATACGTGACTTCAGATCTTCAACAGAAGACAATGCGTCCGAACGTTCGGAAACAAGCTTTTCAAACTCTCCGGTCTTTCCTTGGAACTCCTGCTGTTTCTCATTTAGAACAGCCTGCAAACTGCCGATCTCTTCGCGCAGTTTGGAAAATTGTTGTTCGTAGTCGGTCTTGACTCCTTCGAAAGAGGAAATGGTAGCATTCAGTTCTCCAACCTTGGCTTCCAAATCTCTATTTTTCGAGTCGACTTCACCAAGACGTTGTTTCAACGACTCCCGCTCTTTGTTTGCATCATCCAGCTGTGTTTGAAGAGTCTCCAGCTCGCTCGAACGAGCTCCTTGGCTCTCCTCAATCGACTTGCGGAACTTCTCGTACGTCTCGTTCAACGAAGAAAGTTCTCTCTCAGCAGCATTGGCAATCTCTTTGTACTGTTCAGCGTTCGAGTTGGCAAGCTCCAGATCTTCCAAAGTCTGGCTGAGCTCCTGTTTCAACGTCACCACGTCATCTGCAGAGTCGCCAGTCGAAGAAATTGCAGCAATGGCAGAATTCTTGCGGTTCGAGATCTCGAGGTATTTCTTATTAACAGCAGAAAGCTGTTCACTGAGTTGTTCAACGTTGCTATTCTTGGATGCGAGACTTTCTCTCAAAACAGAAATCTCCGACGAAAGGTCATCGATTCTCCGTTGGTACAGTTGAGAGTCCGAATTCTTGGAATGGAGAATTCTCTTGATTTCATCGTTAGCACTTTCAAGCTTGGCTCTCGTCTTTTGCAGCTCTGCCTCAGCGGTTTCCAAATTATGGCTAAGACGTTTGGTAGCAGCTTCGTAGTTCGTGACACGCTCGTTTTCAAGCGCCTGCATCTTGGCAATCGTGGTGGACAGTCTTGATTTCTCGTCAACCAGTCCACTTATGTCGGTACGAAGTCTGGACTCCATGTTTTGCCAGAGAGACTTCTCGGCAGTAAGTGCCTTAACGCGGGCTTCAAGACCGCTCTGAGAGCTACGGGAACTCAATAGCTCCTCTGTGAGCTCTTGGATCCGTGCTTCCAACTTGGTGAGGTTTTCTTGCAACGAAGCCGAGTTTCTCTTGAGCTCCTTGACTTCGGCCTTGGTAATCTCGTGCAAGTAAGCAGCAGACTTGTTCTGCTCCTCGAGCAGTTCGTACGATGACTTCGAGCGCGACCAATCGAGCGACAACTGGAGTTTTTCTGCAGTTAGATCGCGAACTTGGATGTTCAAGTTCTCGATCGTCACTCCAAACTCCTGTTTAAGAGACTCCATCTGTTTCTGTTGTTCTTCAGCCAGAGTTTGCAACCGCGTCACATCCACAGAAGATGTATTATGCTCCGTTTCGCGACCTTCAACCAGTTTCTGGAGCATATCTCTGCTATTAGTCACCGCCTCCAAACGAGTTTCTGTTTGTTGCAGCTGTTCTTGGAGTTTTAGAATGGCCTGCGAAGCCTTCTCCAACGCCTCGTTTTCCTCGTCGTGAGTGTCGTTTTCTCCATTTTCAAGCTCGTTGCCAAGTTTTCTGGAAACAGCCAACAATTGCTTGTTCTTTTCCAGCAACTCTGGGATGTCCTTGAACGTTGAAAGTCTCTCAGAAATTAGTTTCGCTGTATCTGTTTGTTCTGGATGTTCCACCAGGTCCCCGAGCTGCGCCTTCTCGGCCTTGGTCAATGGATCGTCTCCCATTCCACGTAGAGTCACCTGTGCAAGAAGAACACCAACCTGTCGTTTCAGGTCGGTGTTGTATTGGGACAGCTCACGGACTTGTAGTAGAGTCTCGTCCTGTTTCTTGCGCAAAGCATCATTTTGGCCAACAAGAACACTGTTCTCTTTCTTCATGGAGTCCACAATGGCGCTCAATTGCGTTTGTCTGGCTTCAAAGTCCTCACACTTGTCCTTGTACGATTGGAGCAGCGGCAATCTGGCCTCCAATTCTTTGAAAATGGTGCTCAACTCCGTCTCAACTCGAGTACGAAGACGTTTCTCTTTGGAAACTTCTTTCCGCAAACGGTTAGTCTCTGAAATCAGTTCAGTCACCGAATAGTTGTCTCCCATGCTCTTTATAACTTTTTGTGACGATGGAGTTAAAGTAATGTTATTTCCTCTACCCAGATCTCCAAGAACATTGGTGGTGTCCAGATCCGTGTAGTTGGCGACCGTGGTTTCCATTTCTCTTAATTCCAGGTCCTTAGCAGTCAATTGTCCTTGCAAAGTCTCGAACTGGTGTTTGTAGTCGGCTTCTTCACTGGCAACTTTTTCACACAGCTCAGAATACAACGTCTCGAGCTCTTCGATTCTTTGTTTGCGGTCGGCGGCCGATTTTTCCAACAGCTTGTTGAGCCGGTCTTTACTAGCCATTTCCTCTGCAAATTCCTGCTGCTGCGACGCAAGCTTGTCGGTAAGCTTCTTCACCTCGACCAATGTGCGGTTGTGTTTCACGCTGATCTCCTTCAGAGAGTCGCTAAGACTCTGCACAGAACTTTTCGCCACAGAGTGTTCCTGTTTCAGGTTCTCCAGGCCACTCTGCAAAGCCGTTTTCTCGATCCGACTCTCCTCACGCAGACGAGCCAACTCGTCAGCCTTGCGCTTCAGTTCGGCCTCGAACCACGACGACGTCTGTTTGGTCAATTGAAGTTCCTGCTCCAACCTCGTAGTCTCAAATTTGGCCTTAAGGGAGTCCGATAATGCAGTTTCTTTAGCACTTTCCGCCTCAAACACCTGGTCGCGCAGAGTCTTGTTGACCTGAGACAGCCGGCCAATCTCCTGGCCCAATTCCACCACCTCCTGCTGTTTTTTGTCGAGCAATTGGTATGCGGTGGCCTTGTTTTCTGTCTCCTGGGCGACGCGTGACTCGAGCTCGGCCAACTTCTGGTCCTTCTCCTTGTCGGCTTCGTCCGTCTGGGACTGTTCCTGTTGGACAACTTCCAGCTGTTTTCGAAGCTCCTCGGCCTCCTTAGTCTTTGTGTCAGTGTCCTGGGTGAGTTTTTCAATTTTCTTCGAAACAGAGTGTCTAAACTGCTCATAGTCGAGCTCCAACACCTGTTTCGAGGCCCCCAGCTCTTGGAACTCGTTCACTTTCGCCAACAGCTTCTCGACCACTTCGGGCTGCGAGAAAAACTGCTGGTCCAACTGGAAAAACGAACAGACAATATCCACGTCCGCTTGGGCCGGTTTTCCGGCCGGTTCTATCTCGTTGGAAGAGTCCATTGGAGAAAATTGGAAATAATAATATTTAAAATAAAATGGCTTGTCTCGGTGGGAGGTGTTCATCTTCAACAGTTTTATGGATCAAGACGGTACGTTCACACACGCGTTGATTACTGACCAAATGGTAGACCTTTCCGATCTGGAGGATAACATCCTTGACCAGCTGCACCAGATCCGTGAGCTGAAGGAGCAGAAGAAGTCGCAGGCGTTACTGGAGTCTGACGAGGAAGATCCACGCGAACGAGACCAGACTCCATATTTCCGCAAACAGCGCGCGCTCGAGACCAGAATCAGACAGAAAATCAAAGCCACACCCGTGGACACATCGTCTTTCGCGCAGCGGCTCGAGAACTTCAACCAAAAACTGTCCACGGAATCGTCCAAACGACGCCAGCTCCAGGAACAGATCCAGCAGTTGCGCGTATCGTCGTTCGACCACGAGCTGCTAGTTCAGCGCATCAGCAAGGACGTTGACGAGGTTGACGAGTTCTCGAAAAACAAACTTTCCAAACGGTACTACTCGTCCGAGTCGCTTACTGCTCTGTTTAAAGACATCCAGCCATTAAGGGTGCACCACACTCTCGCCAAGATCCACCCGCCCAATTTTGAGTCGCCCAATTACGCCAACTACGCGGTTGTCGGCGTAGTTGTTTCGAAATCAGAGGCCAAACAGACCTCCAACGACAAATCTAAGTACATGTCTGTCCAGCTGTCGAATTTCAAGCAGAACATCACACTCACTCTATTTGCCAAGGCTTTCAAGAAATACTACAAGTTGCGGCTCGGCGACGTGATAGCGGTGCTGAATCCGCAGATCTGGGTGTTTAAAGAACGGTCGGGGTTTGCCTTGTCGCTCAAAGAAGATTACGACACGATCCTGGAGATCGGCCATTCCAAGGACTTTGGACTGTGCAAGGCGCTCAAGAAAGACGGCTCGCAGTGCAACTCGCCCATCGACACAAGCAAAACGCAATACTGCGACTACCACACCGAGCTGAGTTTCAACAGAACGGCTTCCAAACGGCTCGAGCTGACGGGAAGCTCCAAGATGTTCACTCCGTCAGAGAACGGCGTCAAACAGGCCATGTACTTGTCGACAAAACAGAAGAATGGCCAGGAGGTGCTGGACGGACAGCTGGTGGACGACGCACACGCCCCGAAGGAGAACCTGGGCCGGTTGTACTTTTCGAATCCGGACGCTTCCAAGGCCTTTTTCGACGACTCTTACTCGAACCCGCGGCTAATTGCCGATATAAGCGCTGCAAAGACCAAGGTCAAGCGCGCAAAGAACGAAAGACGGCTCCGAGAAAAGCTCGCTGGCATCTCGGGCGGCGACTCGCTGAAAGACACAGGTGTCCAGTCCCCCACCACGCAAAAGGCAGTGAAAGTAGCTTTCGACCCGAAAACCATGACCAAGATCGGGTTCAACCCGACAAAACGGCTATTTGAGAAGAAAAAGGACCACGAGAAGTCGCAGCACAAGTCAGAGCTGGTTGCAGAGCTGCTCAGCACGGCTAAAACACAGAAATCGCTCGGAAGAAGCAAAGAAGATATCAAGCGACGCAAGCTCATGTTTGGCAAGAAACCCGAGCAGATGATCGAGCTCAGCAGCTCCGACGATGAATAGTGATGGTAATGTCATTCTATATCTATGTAGTCTACTCGTCGATGGTATTATGTCTCGACGGCTTTTTAAACGTTCCGGCAGCCTCGCCAAACTCCTCTGCTCCCGGACGCGGCGACAGCGACGGACAGAACTCGTGCAGTATCCGGCGCAACAAACCCCGTCCGATTGGTTTGGACAGGAATCCAGACATCCCGGCGTTGAGACAGTCTTCTTTGTTGCTCTGGTCAGCGAACGCAGTCAGAGCCACTATCGGCCCGGTGTACTTGAGCTCGTCTCTGATCACACGCGTGGCAGAGAGCCCGTCGATGTTTGGCATCTGGACGTCCATAAAGACCAGGTCGTACGTCTCGTTGTTGGCCTGGGCCTCCTTCATCAGAAGAATGGCTTCAGATCCATCGCACGCTAGTGTGGTGTCTGTAATTCCTTCCAGTCTCAACATCCGTTTGATCACCTCCTGGTTGACCAGGTTGTCCTCGGCTATCAGGAACCGCAGCGAACAGGAGCCGGTCGACGCCACACCTGAGGAGTTGGACGACGTGCCAGAACTCGTGGACGATTTCCGGTTCGAGTGCGCAGTTCCCGTGGAAGCTCTGGTGATCAGGTCTGGTTTCTGGAAGTACGAAATCTCGTTCTCGTTGGTACTCTTGAACGCTTCTTCGTCAGCAAAGCTCACCTTCTTGATCTTGTCCTCCTCTGGCTCGAACTCGCCAACCTGAGGAAGCGGAATGGTGAACGTGAATTTGGATCCCTTGCCAACCTCAGACTTCAACGTCAGAGTTCCATGCATCATCTTTGCAAACTGCTTGCAAATCGACAGTCCCAGTCCTGTTCCTCCGTAAGAACGAGAAAGCGTCTGGTCTCCTTGCACAAAGGCGTCAAAGATCTTGTCCTGCAACGACTTGTCGATTCCTGAACCGGTATCGGTGATACTCAGCTCAAACACCCACTTGACAGGTTTGGAAATGGCCATGTACTTGGAATTGTTCTTGGCAAACTCGGCAAGGACGTCGCTCTCGACACCAGACACCAGCGACTCCACGCTCGCACGCAGCTCTGTGCCATGGTTGTACGAATCCGCAAGAGCAACACGGTAGTTCGAAGAAGCCACCGTGTGAACACTCTTGGTGTCGGACTCAGAGATGTCTGCTGAAGAATAGGTAGGATTACCTTTCACATACACCGTCTCGAAATTAGCGTCTCGAGACCGTGCTTCGTCATACTCGCCCAGAATCCGCATTAAGAGAGTGATCGTTCCTTTTTCTGGCGTAAATTTGAGCGAGTTGCTCACAAGATTCATCATCACCTGGATCAGCCGGTTGGAGTCCGAATAGAACACCTGTCTGCGCAAAAAGTCAGGCCGTGTCAGAATCTTCAGGTTCACGTTCTGGTCCTTGGCACTTTTACCGAAAATGGACTGTGCTTGAGAAGCGATCTCGTAAACTTGGAATGTTCGTTTTTGTAGCTTTGATTTCTGCAACTGGTTCTTGCTGAACGTTAATAGTTGCGTTAAAATGTGCAATAAGAGCTCCCCACTGCGGAAAATTAACTCCAGCGACGATTGGATCTTCTGGGTATCCTGTTCAGCCATTGCAACAGACGTCATACCCAGGATTCCGTTCAAAGGAGTACGCAGCTCGTGAGAAATGTTAGCAATAAAGACAGTTTTGGCCTCGTTGGCGTCTTCTGCCTGTTGTCTCGCAGCATCGGCCTGAACCTTGGCCACCTCCAGCTCTTTGGTACGAGCACGGACACGATCCTCCAGATGTGTATATTGCAGGTCCAGCTCTTCTGTCATGACATTAAATGCTTCTGTAAGCTCGCTCAATTCGTCATAAAAAAGTCCTTTTCCTTGAACAATAGCAGGTGTTGGAGGCGTTCTATCGGCAATCCAGTCGGGGAACGTGTCGTTCGAGTGCGGACTAAGCATCGTGTCGCCTCCGGTGCGCGGTCTCACGTGCGAATCAAAACTTTCGTGGGCTGTGCGACGAGAGTCCCTCTGGATCTCCTCAACAGGAGAATACGGTTTCTCCTCGCTTGTATCGCTCGACTCTGTCTTGACGTGTGTAGACTCGCCAGCTTCACGTTTGGACTTGAGTCGAAGATTATTTGCTAGCAAATGCAGTCTGTTTTTGTAGGAAGCCCCGCTGGCTGGACCGTCGTGATCGTCTTTATCTTTTCGGTCGGTATGGAACAGAGCAGAGCTCTTTTTTCGGCGACGAACGTGTCGCAGACCACGACCTTCAGCAACCTGTTCGGTAGCCTTCTGCAGCTTCAAAATAGGTCGCACACCGTAATGAGCAAGCGGGAAGGTGACACAACACATGAATGCAGCTATTCCGATACAAACTCCAACAATCAGTTTAGTGAGCTTGACGGTTGGCTCCATAAACTTTCCTCGACTCTGTTCGACCGAAATGACCCAGTCAACAAACGCAAGACCGGCCGTGGCATATCCAACGGAAACTCGCTCTCCGAATGGATTTCTAAGGTCGGTATAATGGCCCTGGTCCTGGTCGTCTCGGAACACATCTTGTGCCGGGGCATAATCGCTCAAATTGTATGTTTCTGAATCGTTCTTGAACATGTACTTGAATCCAATAGATTCCGACATGTTGGTGTGCGAGTTGACTGATTTCATGCAATAAATTGCAGAATAGTCGTTTGTTGATACATTTGTTCCGACAGATTCGAGTGAGTCCACGTTGACCACGACGCTGAGATAACCACTTAAATTGGGCGTGGCTAACAAGACGGAGTTGTTAGAGTACACGGGGAGCGACAAGGACATGAAGTATTGTCCATTTTCGGAGCGCGGACCGGAAACGTAGCCTCCTTGTTCGACAAGCTGATTTGTGATGGAGCTGACGTTCTTATAACTTAAAACGTACAGTTTGTCCAGGAGGTCTTGTGAGCAGTTTGCAGAGGCATCTTTGTTTGCCACGGAGGCTATAAGCTCCAAATTAAGATCATAAAGTCTTGCGTCATTGAAGGAAGCTGATGCGTCTAAAGATTGTTTCATGGTTTCGATGGCCTCTTCACTAACCGAGTTAGAATTATTTCCCACCTTGCGCGAACTCAAAGCATTCTCAAGGGTATCTCTGGTACTCAAGAAGTAGATCTGGTAGTAGTAGTAAATAAAACTCTGTTGTATCTGGGCAGCTTTAAGTTCTGCCACGACTTGCAATTTATCCACTCTGGCAGAAGTAAACACAGAAGTGAAATAAACACCCGTGACAACCGCCAGAACAAATAGCGAGAATAGTGCTACAAACAGCACCAGCGCTATGAGTTGGGTCCGAATCGAGATTCGGATTCTATGCCATCGCATGACAACAAGAAAAACGATCGATAATAATACAAAAAAAAAAAAATAGTCAGTATCCAGCGATTACCTCATCCTGCCTAATCGGTGTTCTTACAGATCTTGGTTGAAAAATTAACTATGTGCGGGGCTGACTAAGCGTTTATTTGGGCACAATGTCGTGGGCAACAAGGTAGTCGGCAATGATCTTGATACACTCCTCGACGCCAGACTTGCTTGTGTCCAGGTGGATTTCTGGAGACTCTGGGGCCTCGTATGGGTCGTCGATTCCGGTAAAGTTCTTGATCAGTCCTTCTCTGGCCTTCTTGTAGAGTCCCTTTGGATCTCTTTGCTCAGCAACCTCTAGAGGAACGTCAACGTACACCTCAACAAACGGGAGACCGGCCTCCTCGTGCAGTTTTCTGGCCTGAGCTCTGTCAACTTTGTATGGAGAAATGAAAGAGGTAATAGCAATAGCTGAAGAATCGGCAAACAGCTTGGAAACCTCCGAAATACGACGGATGTTCTCGGCACGGTCCTTCTCGCTGAACCCAAGGTCCTTGTTCAGACCAAAACGGACGTTGTCACCATCAAGTCTGTAGGCATTGATCTTCTTGGTCAACAAAAGTCTCTCCAAGCCACATGCGATGGTACTTTTTCCGGAAGCACTGAGTCCGGTGAGCCATAAAGTGGCGCCCTTTTGGCCGGTCAAAGAGTTACGCTCCTCTCTTGTCAGATTGTGGTGCCAGGTGATGTTGGTCGACATGCTTGATTGGATTTTTTGATAATTTTTCAATCTTGATGAATCCTGCTAACGTCAAGTCACGTGAGCAGAAAAAAAGAAAGCAAATTAGTATCAACTACCAGCCAGATGAAGGATTTCGGTCAGAACCGTTGGTTTCAAGCCCTGGGATTGTGACTGTTTGGCCTCCGCAAGATCTCCGTACTGTTTCATCATCTGGGACACTCTTTGGTCTGTGGGTTTGGTCAAAATATTAGATTCTTTTGCTCTTTTCCTAATAAATTGTGCCAGTTGTAGATCACGGTTAAGTAAAGCAGCCAGGACCAGGCAGTAGACCAATTCTGACACAGCAGATGGATCGTTGTTCCATTTCGCCACAGCCTCGTTGTATTCGTCCATAGACTGGTCAAATAACCCGTTCCATGCGTAAAGAAGTATCTTGGTAGCAGACACCGGTGCGGCTGTAGCCTCGATGTCCTCTATATTGATGTCTTGATTGGACTCTAAGGCGTCGTGGATACCAAGAAGCTGCTTGAAGTATGCACCTTGGGAGCTAGTTTGGGGGCTCAGAGACTTTGAAGACGATTCTGTAACCTCTGTGTCCGGGACCTGTTCCAATTTGGCTCTGATCTCTGCCACGGTTTTTGACACATCCATCTCTGGCAAATAGCCCACCTTTTTCTCCACGAGCTTCTCGTTTTCCGAATACTTCACCGTCTCCAAGCTCGAAAGAGGCACAATGGCTTTCACAAGGCTGGATGTTGGAAGAGTTGGTGTCACAAGGCTTAAGATTTGCTTGGGCGATAACGTCTCTGTTTGCAGAATGTCTTGAGCCACGTCCAGATCGACATCGAGCTGAGGGACGTACGATTCGAGTTCTAGCCTGAAGAAAGCTTCAACAAGCAACTTCTGTGCGGCCGGATCAAGCTCCATTGTGTCCAGATCGAGCTGGATGATGCTGATTGCCTTTGAAAGCGTGATCTCCTTATCTTCAGGCTCGGTATCGACTTTCTCGCCCTCTACGAGTCTCCGCAGAACCAGTTGTCTAATTTTATCGTCTCTGGTGAGGTTTTGCACCCAAAGCTCGAAACTGGTCCATCTTCTGCCTGGATTTGCCAGAATCAGCTGGTAGATGGTGTCTTTGTCCAACGATCCCTTAATCTGCTCTATTTTTGGAGCAATACTGGAATACACTCCGAAGTCCAGCCTTGCAAACTGGCGAATAAGCTCGTTATAGTGGCTCAGCTTGGCTGTGTTGGAGATCGAGGCTCGACTGGTCAAGTCTCCGATTGTGGAGTACAGGTCTCTCAAATCCATGGTCTGTTCATCTTCCGGGCTGAGATTTCGGTGGAATCTGATGTGGTCCACGAAATATCTTGGCTCGATCTTGGCGATCGACGCGATCGACTGTTTGACCGTGGGGAGCGCAGGTCTCATTTCTCGTACTCGATACAGAGTAATTTTTTTTCTTGCAGCACCGCCTTGAACCTTTAAATAGGGTCCTATTGACAGGAGGGCTGCGGTGGGGGAGCAAAGATGGCCAATTGAGCGGGAAAGACCAGGGAAATAGACCAATTATAGAGCTGATCAAGCTCCGTGAGCGAAACAAGTCATTTTCTAGATTTTTCTGAGCATGTAGCCTGTTATCATATTGTATGGTATGACCAAAGGGATGTCCATGGAATTCTGTCTGGTGGTATGTTTTTGATCCTTAAACCACCAGTCGTTCTTTCTCCAGCACCAACTAGCTCATCAGTGTAGTTTCTCACCGTTCTGAGAAAAACCCGCAATTTGAGGGACATTTGCACCGTTCACATGTGCCCTAAAAAGAGGCATTTACACGATTCGCCAGCGAGCTATGGCAACAAGTGCCGTCAATTCGTAACACTCCTCCAATTTACAGGCAATTTGTCGCGAACTGCACCGCCGCTCTGTAAATTAAAGAATCGCCCTATTTCCCTGCTCACTTCGTTGCTTCCTTGCCCCTCAAGTTTTTAAGAAAAAGTTTCTTATACAATTATAATGGGTAACGAACCATCGAAATCGAAAAACCCGCAATTTTCCAGAACAGACACGTCGACGTCCGTCAAGAGCGGTCGCTCGATCCGGTCTCGTCGGTCTGTGAGTGAGAACGCTAGCTTTAAGACCGTTTCGTCGTCTCCGGTGATGAGCAGACGAAACTCAACAAAGAGCATGAATGAGCTGTCCGCAGACATGAACAACCTGTCGATCGATGTTCCGCCCAGCATGTTATCTGTGGCCCCCAAGTCGCCGATTTTAAGGGTGAATTCGTCCTCGTCGTTGGCCTCCGCAGTGCCCAACCAGTCGCAATCTATAGATATCCCCGACCCACAGCCGTCGCCACTGTCCACGTCTTTCAAGTCCGGCTCGTCCAGACCCGTGGAATTTGCATCTACACAGGAGTCGGTCACCCTGGACATCGAGGACCTGATCCAACGACTATTGGACGCTGGGTATTCCGGCAAGCGGACCAAGGCTATCTGCCTCAAAAACACCGAAATCCAGATGATTTGCTCCACCGCACGGGAAATCTTCCTCAGCCAACCAACACTCCTGGAATTAAGCGCCCCAGTCAAGATTGTGGGCGATATCCACGGACAATATAGCGATCTCATTAGAGTCTTCACAAAATGTGGCTTCCCGCCTGCAAGCAATTACCTGTTCCTAGGAGACTATGTCGATCGAGGCAAGCAGTCATTGGAGACCATTTTGCTTCTTTTGTGCTACAAGATCAAATACCCAGAAAACTTCTTCCTCCTAAGAGGAAATCACGAGTGTGCGCAAATTACAAGAGCCTATGGTTTTTACGACGAATGCAAGAGAAGAGCCAACTTGAAAACATGGAAGATCTTCATCGACACGTTCAACACGCTTCCGATTGCAGCATCGGTGGCCTCGCGGATATTCTGCGTCCATGGCGGCTTATCTCCGGTGCTGAACTCAATTGACGAAATAAAAATGATTAAAAGACCAACAGACGTTCCAGATTTTGGTCTCTTGAACGACCTTCTCTGGTCCGATCCTGCTGACAGTCCCAACGAATGGGAAGACAACGAACGAGGGGTGTCGTATTGTTTCAACCAGGTGGCCATCAACAAGTTCCTCAACAAGTTCCAATTCGACCTCGTGGTGCGTGCTCACATGGTTGTTGAAGATGGATACGAGTTTTTCAACGACCGATCACTGGTGACGGTCTTCTCTGCTCCGAACTACTGTGGAGAATTCGACAACTGGGGTGCCGTGATGTCTGTTTCCGAGGAGCTACTCTGTTCTTTCGAGCTGCTGGATCCGCTCGACGGCGTGGCTCTCAAACAACTCATGAAAAAAGGAAAACACGAACGTCGCACAGCCCTTAACCACGCAAGCAGTCCCAACGTGTCAATATAGTCATATAGTCATTTACCCATCATCTACACCCGTTCGACAACCACCCACCAATTATCCTTCTCATATCCGCTCTTGCTGATAATTCCACCGGCAGCCTTGCAGTCTTCTTCCAACTCTCCCCGTTTATATAAATGATAATATCTCATTCTGGTTTCTCCGTCTTTAGCCACCCACGGCACCAGCACGTCTTGTTCCATGCCTTCTTTGTAGCCTCTGCGGGACTTTTCCTGTTCCAGAGCCCAGCAGTAAACCAATGCTTGTCCACCTTTTTTCAGCACTCTGAGGATCTCCTTGATTGCAGCAACACGTCTTTCGTTTGTGCTAAAATGGTGGATCACCGCAATCGACACGGCAAAGTCAAAGCGGCCCGTTTCGTGCGGTAACAACATACCATCTGCTACCACCAAATCGTTGAGCTCTTTCTGGTGTAACTTGGCAGCCTGGTCCAGCAGTCCTGTCGAGTAGTCCGAGCCAACGATCCACAGTTTCGGGTTCACCGTCAGGTACTTCCCGTTACCACAACCCACGTCCACGCCGATGGAGTAGTCCGTCAAAGACCCAAGAAAACTGGCCACCATCGGCCACGGCTTGTACCTGGTTTGCGAGAAGTGCTGCGCTATGCTGTTGTACACATCGTGCACATAGACACTCTCCTGGAGGTCAGCAGTCGGCGTTTGTTTGAACTTGGCGAGCTCCTGCTCGATTTCCTCCTTGGACGGTTGAACTTTGCCAGACATGGAATAAGATCAATTAATTTTCACCAAATTTAAATTTTTCACTATTTAAAGTATGAACTCGTCTCTGCTGCGATCATACAAGTGCCAGGACTGGGCGTTGGGTCTGGCGCTAGTCGGGACAAACGTGTTGGCATCCACGTCCAATGGAAAAGTCTATGTTCTTAATAGGAACCTAGACAACGTGCAAACCATCACCGCTCATTCAATGTCTGTGAACAAGATCCGATCTGTTGACCAAAATACCTTTGCGACGGCCTCCAACGATTCAACGGTAAAGGTCTGGGATACGCGTCAGTCCCGAAACGTTGTTGAGGTGTCGAACGCTCGAAAACTGCCGTTCTTATCTCTGGACTTTGGCCATAACATGTTGGTAGCAGGAACAGAACTTAGCGGAACCGACTCCGAGCTGCTGCTATGGGACATCAGAAACCCGTCAAATCCTGTGCGGTCGTTCGTGGACAGCCACAACGACGACATCACCGAGGTCCGGTTCCATCCGTCCAACTCGAACCTGCTTCTTAGTGGAGCCACCGACGGGTACGTGAACCTGTACGACCTGACGATCGCCGAGGAGGACGATGCGCTGATCCAGGTGATCAACTTTGCGTCGATCCATTCGGCCAACTTCCTGTCTCCAAAACGGATCTACACGCTGTCGCACATGGAGACGTTTGCTATTCACGAGATCAACGACCAGAAAACCGAGGAGCACGTGGAGCCGAAACCGCGTGAGTTTGGCGACGTGCGCGGTGCGTGGGACTGCGACTACGTGGTGGACCTGTATGCTCCGGGCTACGTTTTCTGTGGGTCCAATTCCAAACGGGAGCTCAAAATGTACCGGTTCGACGCTTTGGCGGAGAATTTCAACTTTTCCGCACAACAGCCTACGTATTTCCCTGGAGCGCACGGCGATGAGGTGGTGAGGGACGTTCTTGTGGACGGTGGCAGGGTGTACACTGCCGGAGAAGACCATATGGTGAAGATGTGGCAGCCACCAAGTTCTGTGGCCAGCACGACGGCGCGGTTCTTCCACGAGCCGGCAGAACAACCATCGACCCCCCCACAGCCACGGGAGACGTTGTCCCGCAAAAAACACAAGAAACGCAAGCACAAGAAGGACCCGTCCAGATTCAAGCCGTACTAGGTGTTTCTGCAAAAGTCGATTTGCGCGCACGACTTTTGGTGAGGTGTTTATAAAAATAAAGCATTAACGGTAAAATAACGGTGGTTCAGGCCGAGAGGAATTTGCTTGCAATTGTATAGCGAAAGTTGTTGAAACAGCGCCGTGGAGATACTGTCAATTGGATCAGCCACATGAGCCCATTGCCAAGTAATAAAACGGAACATTGCCAAACAGAACAACTTAACTGGATATAAGCCTCTGATTGATTAATGATCGCCAATTCTCCGCCCTCGGCGTATAAACCGGGCACTGCCTTGACCGTTGGATCGCACAAGGTGATCATACAGAAGTATTTGTCGCAAGGTAAGTTCATTTGGATCTGTTTTCACTAACATTCTTAGGTGGTTTTGCCCATGTTTATACATGTACCATTAGTCCCGCTTGGAAAGATCACAAGATAGCATGTTTGAAAAGAGTGGCTGTCCCCGATAAGCCAACATTGAACGTTCTACGACAAGAAGTGGACGCCATGAGACGTCTTCAGGGCAAAAGTTGCATTGTTTCCTACATCGACTCCCATGCCGCTAGAATGAGCAATGGTTCAGGATACGAGGTTTTCTTGTTGATGGAGTACTGCTCGGGCAATGGATTGATCGATTTCATGAACTCCAGATTGGTCAACAAGCTCAAAGAACCAGAGATTCTCCAGATCATGGGAGAAATCACCGAAGGAGTTGCAAACATGCACGCTTTGAAGCCACCGTTGATCCACAAAGATATCAAGATCGAGAACGTTTTGTTGTCCGGAGATAGACACTACAAGTTGTGCGATTTCGGGTCAGCGTCTCCCCCGCTGCGTCCACCGCGGAACGTGGAAGAGTTTGAGGTCCTTCAAAATGATATCATGAAACATACTACTCCCCAGTATCGGTGTCCAGAAATGATAGACTTGTACAAAGGACAGCCGATCGACGAGAAGTCCGATATTTGGGCTCTCGGGGTGTTTTTGTACAAACTGTGCTACTACACCACACCTTTTGAAAATAATGCCATCAACGGCAACGGGAACGGCGGAGGCGGCGAGTACGCCATTCTCAACGGAACGTTCTCGTTCCCAAGGTCGCCGGTTTACAGTTCGCGGTTGAAGAACGTGATATCCAAGTGTCTGGAGGTGGATCCGAAGAAAAGACCTACTGTTTTCCAGCTTTTAGAGGAGATCTGCAAAATGAGAGGTGTTCCATACCCTGATCTGCAGACAAAGCCTACGTCTGCCGACCAGTTCAACACCCCATATCCTTCCCAGGCTCCAAGCATGCCCCGTCGTCCGGTTTCTGTGCACGAACAGCCTGTTCCTGCTCGCAGAGAAAGAACCATGGGAGACATCCCGTCGAAGTACGCTCCCAAAGACACCCCGTTGCACAAGTCGGTTTCTGAAAAGTATATGTCTGGACAGAACCACAACCAGGACTACATCAGCTCGTACGATCCGTTTGCCAATATCGACCGGTCCAAGCTTTTGGGACAGCCGAATAATAAATCTACTCCAGACATCAAGAAACCGACCCTGCGGCCGTCTTCCAAGTCGCGGCCACTCAGCATGTCTGCTGCGTCGTTCCAAATGTACTCGCAGCCGTCTGGGTCGTTGTCGCACACTGAAAACATCATCAACGGAATGACCAAAGAGGAAGTGGTTGAGCTTTCGCCAAACCACCATAATAATATCAACAGCTCTGTTGATTTCATCAAGAACACGGCTCCACAAAGAACGGGAGACAGCATCAAGTCGCGGTTTGCGAGCCTGAAGTCGTCCAACACCGGCCACCACAAGAGATCGAGCATCTCGTCAATCAAAGACCTGTTGACGGGCGGCCGGTCCAGAGAGTCAAGCAGAAACCCGTCCTATTCGTCGAGCAAGAGCAGAAACGCGTCCGGGTCGAACCAGAGCACCGACTCGCTGCACGAGTTCACCTCGATTTACCGCGCAGTGTCGGACTCCAGCTCGTCAACGTCCGAGACTTTTATTGAGGACGAGCAGCGCACGCCGCAGGCAGACAAGCCTGCTGTGCCGGAGCACCGGCCTCCCAAGCGCTCTAATTCGATCCAGCGCCGTGTGCACATGCTGTTAAACCGCAAGCAGTCTCCACCGCCATCGAAGACGGCCCAGGGCTACGGCAAGTACACCGACACGGACTCGATGCCTCCGCCGTCCAAGAACAAGATCAGCAAGATCCCTATCAACATCATCCCCACCACGCCTAGCAAACACCAGACCCCGTCGCCGCCGCCGTTCGGCACGCCGAGCTCCACGGCCACGTCGCCGTACTCGACGAACTCTGCGCAGTCGGGCTCGTCCTCGTTCCGGGACCACGGCGAGCGGCTCAACTACAACGACGCGGTGCTGAGCCGGTTCAACAGCGCAGACTCGTCCACGCCGTCGACCCCGTTGCGTGAGCAGATCAGGGCCAAGGGCAAGCCTAAAGCTCCACCGCCACGGCCCAAGAAACCACAGCACCTCAGCTCCAACAAGTCGACCCCAAAACGGGCCTCGGGCAACGGAAGAGCCAGCATGAGTGACGACGACGTTGATGCTCTAGAAAGACGGTTCTACGAAAAATTCCCCAGTGCATTATAGAGCAAAAGGCATGTTCAACTTTATTATTCGCTATCGCTATCGTAGTCCTCGAGCGAGTCCACGACAAAGTCGCACGCCTCCTCGAATCTCTCCTCCACCACGTTGTCCAGACCGTCCACGTCTGCGCGCAGCACACGGCCGTACTTTTTGCGCGGCTTCTTCAGACTGCCGTTCTTCTCCACGTCTCCCCAGCACGAGTGCTTGTATGCGGTGAACACGAGCGAGTTCTGATAGAACCAGTCCACCACCGACTCGTCGATGGCAGATACTATTGCGCGCAGCGGCGTTGGTTTGTCCAAGAAATTCACCGAACACTTCACCAAACTGCGCACATCTCTGTGGCCGCACAGATGCACCACTCCGTTGTACGCGTCACCAAAGCCCACAAACGCGATCTTGTTCACCTTGAAGTACTGCACGTAGTGGTCCCAGAAGTATAGCAGCGCGTCCTGGGCCGCGTTCACGTTGTTGTATTGCACATCCTCGGACCCAGAGATGGTTTGTGGCACGTTGATGTCCACCACGCCATACTTCTCGCCAGCGGCCCAGTCCAGGAACTTGAGCGACTGGTCCACGATCACCGCCGACGACGAGTCCAGCGTGCCCGTCACAGGGTCCCGGCGAGCCCAGATCCGCGCCGAGTCGTGCACAAGAACCACCAGCTTGTCTGCCTCGGCCACCTGCGGCGAGCACACAATCAGGTCCGTCAACGACTGCAAGTACGGCTGTTTGTCCGATAACACGGGCAGCTGCACAAATTGGCGCTTGTCGAACAGCTCCTGCTTGTGGTAAGAGCGCACCGCGTCGCTGACCTTGGAGTTCTTGGCCGCCAGTTCCTCGAAAGAAACAGTGTCCATCTTTTGTACGAGCTCGTCGTAGTCGCCCATGATGTTGGGTATCGAGAAGTCCTGACCGTCGTAGCCCGGCTTGAGAGTCTTCCAGTACTGCGACTGGATCTTGATCACGTCGTCAATTACCTCAATGGTCTCTGGTTTCGGTAGCACCTGCTTGAACTCTTCTGGTGGCTCTCCTAACAGAACCTTGGCCACACGCAGCGCGCTGTTCGCGATAGAGTCCAGGTTGTAGCCTCCTTCCAGAACAACACAAAGGTTACCCTTGGCCAGACTCTTGAGCGCGTGGGTCATGTGGCCGTACCCGGCTGGCGAAACATGGCACCCTCCAATGATATCTCCGTCAGCGGCGTCGAAGCCGGACGAAATGATCACCAAATCCGGGGCAAACTCGTGGCAGACGGGCATGATAACCCTGTTGAACGCGTAGATGTAGTCTGCATCACCCATTCCGCCCACGGGCCACGGCACGTTCAGATTAAACCCCTCCCCTGGTCCTGTTCCAACCTGGTCTGCTCCACCAGCCTTGGTGCCCGGATAGTATTTGCCCTGCTCGTATCTGTGCAGCGAGATGTACAGCACCCGCGGGTCGTCAATGAAAGCTTTCTGTGTTCCGTTTCCGTGGTGGACGTCCCAGTCCACAATCACGATTCTGCGCACCGATTCAGGGTAATTGGTGAGTATACTTTTTGCGGCAACCGCAACGTTCGAAAACAAGCAGAAGCCGCCAGGCACGTCCGGCTCCGCATGATGACCCGGCGGCCGCACCACGGCAAGGGCGTTTTTCACCCGTCCTTCCACCACGGCCCGACAGGCCTCAATGGCTCCTCCGCACGACAGCTTGGCACTCAGCAACGAGTCGTTGTTGAAGTAAACAGAGTCGCTTTTCTCGGTGAGCTCCATGAGCTGTTCCTTGGACATCTGGCGCGTGCTCTCGATGAACTGGAGGTGTTCCTCCGTATGGACCAGCAGAATCTCCTCCTTGGTAGCTTCTCGAACAGGGATCTTCACCATCAAGTCGCCGATCTGCGTCCGACCAGACAGCGTTGGGTCGTCGATCAATCCGTTCTCAGCAAGGATCTTGTATATTCTGTAGATTCGGCGCGGGTCCTCCGGATGTGGATCGATGTACTCGAAGTAGGAGGTGAAAATCTTTGCGTGGTACCGCATGCGAACGTCGTAGCAAAGACCCGTTTTCAAGGGCACGTACGCCAATTGCGGCGTCCGCGTGGGAACAATCACCGACGCGCCCTTCAGCTCGGGCTCCTCCGTCTTGATCTCCAGCGGCCGCTTTCTGTCGCCGTTCAAAGTTTCCGTCTCCATACTAAAAGAAAAATAAATACACATACATCTTGGGAATCTCGCGGTATATGGAGCCGTGTAGCACAGCCGTGGAAAAAATTATTCCAGGACGCACTAATGAAGCTCTATTACGAGGCCTCGCGGTTTCTGACCGACTCCAAGTCTGGATCTTTACAGAACCGGGTCTTTGGGTCGTATCGGGACAAGAAGATCCAGTCTGACCCAAAACACGTTTATGCTTTGGTGCTTTCGACGTTGAAATACAAGCCTTTTATTTTGGAGATCATCAAGAAGTGCAAGTTGCTGACGATCGAGAAGAAAGCCAAGCTTACCGAGCCCATGGCACTGTTGCTGGTCCACGACTTGCTGTTCTCCAAAGGAGGCAGAATCCATAGCAAACACCATCCGTTGAAAGACGCCATAGTCCGCAATAAAACTAGACTCCATGCAGAGCTGACCAAGTTGAAGCTCAAGCACGGGGTCCGTTCGCTAGAGGACCTCATAGAGGACGACGAGACGCCCGTGAGATGGTTCCGGGCAAATCGCGTGAAAACCACGGCCGCGAAAGTCGTTGAGGAACTGAGTCATCTGCGACAGGTGTTCAGCATTGAGGATATCGAGAAGGGCACCATCTACCACGACGAGTACGTGACAGACCTGTTTGGGATCCATCCGCGCGAAGATCTTGTTTCCACGCGACTGTACAAGGCGGGCGAGGTGATTATTCAGGACCGTGCGTCGTGCTTCCCTGCTTTCATTCTGAATCCACAGCCTGGAAAAGATCTAATCATTGACTCCTGTGCGGCCCCTGGCAACAAGACCACGCACTTGGCGGCCATTTTGCGCAACAGTCCAGAGTCCGTGATAGCGTTCGAGAAGAACAAAGAGCGTGCCAAGGTGCTGGAGAAGATGTGCGACAAGGCAGGAGGTTTAGGGTGTATTCGTGTGCAGCAGGGAGATTTCACAGCTACCAACCCAGAGGAATATCCACAGGTGACCGGTTTGTTAGTTGACCCGTCGTGCTCTGGAAGCGGGATCTTTGGCCGCGCGTTCGAGGAAAACGACGCCCAGGAGTACACAGAGGAACGGCTCAAGAAACTGGCCAGTTTCCAGGCCTCCATTATGAAACACGCCATGAAGTTCCCGAACGCGCGCAAGATCGTGTACTCGACGTGCTCTATCCATGCGCAGGAGAACGAGCAGGTTGTGGTGGATCTGTTGCTGGACAAGGCGGTTCAAAAGCAGGGCTGGAGAGTGTGCAACCGCAAGGACGTGATCCCCAGCTGGCCACGACGCGGTCTCGTGGAGGAGTTCAGCGCTATGGAGAACCCAGAAGCCTGTGCAGAAGGGTGTATTCGGACGATGCCAAAAGTGGAAGGAGGAATCGGTTTCTTCGCTGTAGCATTTGAAAGAGATCTGCATTAATATACGGAAACTTACAATCTTCTAATAACGTCAGAAATAACCTCTTGAGTAGAGCTCTTTCCGCCAAGATCTGGGGTCTTGATGGTGTCCTCCTTGAGGTTGGCATCGACGGCGGAGTAGATCCGGGCAGCAGCTTCTGGATAGCCCATGAACTCCAACATCAGAGCACTGGAACGGATGGTTGCAATTGGGTTGGCAATGCCCTTTCCTTCAATATCTGGGGCAGAACCGTGACATGGCTCTCCAATGGCAAAGTTGTCTCCAACGTTGGCAGAAGGAACAACACCCAACGATCCAACAAGAGCAGCAGCTCCGTCAGACAAAATGTCTCCGTAAAGGTTTGGAGCCACAACAACGTCAAAGATTTCTGGCTCACGGAACATTCTGTACACCATCGAGTCCACAATCTGCTCCTTGTACTGGACAGAAGAGTATTTCGAAGGGTTGCTGTCGTAGAGTTTTCTGACGGTCTCACGGAAAAGACCGTCGGAAACAGAAAGCACGTTACTCTTATGAGTGACAGTTAAAGTTGGTTCCGAGTGCAAGCTTTCACCGCCGAGTTTTCTGATGGCCTGTCTTTGCAAAGCAATCTCCAAAGCAATGGCACCGATTCTCGTGGTGGCCTTCTCGGTAATTCTCTTGATAGCCTCGGCAACTTTCTGTCCATCTTTCTCGTACAGTTTTTCCTCCTTGATGTACAGGTCCTCTGTGTTTTCTCTAACAATGACCATGTCGACGGGTCTACCGATACCTTCGACACTCTTGACTGGTCTGACGTTGGCGTAGAGACCAAGCTTTTTACGCAAAGCCACGATCGGAGAAGAGTAGCCTTGGACTTTGGTGGTTGGAGACGAGACTGCACCGAAAAGTGCGCCGTCGCACGAGTCCTGCAGAACCTTGACGGTTTCATCTGGAAGAGCGGTACCAGTCTGTTTGAACAGTTCGAAACCGGCCTTGAGGTCGGTGAACTCGAATTTCAGGTTCAGATCAGATGGAAGAGCTTCCAACACCTGTTTACCAGCAGGAATGACCTCTCTTCCAATTCCGTCTCCTGGAATTAAACCTGGGGGTGTTAATATGGCGTCGAAAAGTTCACCACTTACCAATTTTGAGAGTTTTGGTGGCGTAGGAACGCGCAAATTGTCTGGTGACCGATCTGGAAGCCAACATGATGAAAATTAAATTAATGTTAATTTTTCATTTCTCACTTGGAAAAAATACCCAAACCCATTGGCGATGTTTTCTTCGGTGTGTTTTGTTTTGGCGGTTGTTTTATTCGCCAACTCGGCGTATTCCTCATATCAATTCCACCAACTGGGCAACGCGCTGCCGCTGGATGTCCAGCTGGAGGCCGGGGCCGCGTGTTTGCTGGCGTTGATTGGAGGATTATTGGCAGTGCCTCGTGCCTCCATCAAGCACGATATTGTTTCCGGACACGCGGTGCCGGGATACCGTCAGGAGCCATTAAAATACATATATATGGACAAAGCAACAAGCGAGTTAGAAGCACAAGGAGTGGGATTATTTGAGGAATTAATCAATCGTCCCGGATACCTGGACCTGGACAAAAAGAGAAAGGAATTTGCCAAATGGGCGAAGCAATGACGGGCATCTGGCACACAAGCAAAGTTTCAGGAAGGCGGGGGAGGTCTAGAGATCTTTTTGGTGATCATCTGAACAGGGCCCTGATCCTGGAAAAGATACCCGATCCGTTGTGCTGCGACACCGGAAATTCGTCCTTTAACGTCACCTGGGTCGAACTGCCCAGGTCTTCTTGGTCCTGCGGGGTTTGTTCCGCGCCGACGTCCTCCGCGTCTGCTTCCTGGTCTGGGTACGAGATCGCGGTGAACTCGCTTGCTCCGTCCTCATTACCGGGATACAGAACGTTGTTGAGGTTCCCACACTCATCATACTCCTTAGCATCATGATCAGAGGTACACCAGTGGTTGTCCACCACAAACTTGAACACTGTTTTTTCGTAGGGCAAGTCGATTATTTTGGCAAACCCAGAAGAGGTCTTATCTAACTTGTGGGTTTTGGACCAGTTATCAAACGTGCCGGTCACGTAAACGTCCTTAGCGTTATTGGAAGGCCTGTAAGTTAGAAACTGGATGGAACACCAAGATCAGAAGGGATCAGCTGATCTCGGAGTTTCTTCATTTGAGGGGGACACTTAGCAATCAAGTTGCCCTTTTTGCGGATCCCGTGTTTTGAAGGTACTCACCATTCGAAACGGTATTTATAGGCAGCCATATTGCCAGTTTCAGAGAAAAACAAGTTATTTCTAATCAACCTTCTGGTTTAAACAACCGATAAATTAATGGGCTCTTGAAAATTAAAGGGAGACCCACTTTCAAAAAATTTAAATGTCTTACATGTCTATTCATTCCACGCAATAACAAACATGAACCCGATCCCGACAAAAATGAAGAAGATTTGGCCGATAAATTTGCGCAGTTCCTGGACACGAGAGGTGCCCTGTCCGAGCTCCAACAGCTCTGGAACAACGCTGAAACCAATGTAGAGGAACCCGCCTGCAGTAAATGGGAGGGTCAGATCTCCGATCTGGACAGTGGTGCCAAAAAGACCGGGCGAAACGGCGTTTTGATCCGATCCAACGGTCTCATTGGCCGTCTTGGACAGGGTCTGGATCGAGATACCGATCACAGTGCCCAAGTATGCTCCAATGGCCGTGACAAATTGCGAGCTCATGGCCTGCCATTTGGTGAAACCACCCTGAATCAACAGGGCAAAATCCCCCACTTCGTGTGGGATCTCGTGGAAAAACACCGCCAATGTTGTAGTGCAGCCGACCGTGTTGGAGATGTAGAACGAGGACGCAATGGCCAGTCCGTCGGTAATATTGTGAGTAAAGTCGGAGATCAGGTTCAAGTAAGCCGAAGTCTTGACACTGGCATTAGGATTGGCAATCACAGGCTCTGGTTTGGACTCCTTGGTCGACTTGGACTTCTTGGACTTTTTGCTCTTGGACTTTGGCCTCTCCACAGGCTCAACGTGAGAATGGGAGTGCGAATGCGACGAAGGCTCGCCAGTGTGCTCCAGAACCCGTAAACTTTTGTCAATTATGAAGAAAAACAGAAATCCCAGGAAAATACAGAACCCAAGCACGCAATTGCGTTTTCCGTCCACCAACACAAAGGATGCCTTGTGTTCGAGCGGCTCTCCCAAAAACGTCTGTGGCAGCAAGTGTAGGAACACGTCTCCGAGAAGACCACCAACGGCGAAACTCACTAACAACGATAACGACGAAACGTCGATATTGGCAGGGATCAGGGCCAGAATGAAGTTTGGAGGACCCGAAATGTATGTGGTGGCAAGCAATGCATTACCAGCAGGTCCAAATGGGAACAGTTTTGAGAACACGTACTCTGCGTAGCTGAGATCGTGGGACTCGTGTTCGAAATGGGAATTGAGTTCCTGGACAACCTGACATTGATCCAGCTTTTCGTTCAACAGGTCCAGGTCCAATGTTCCGTCTTCAAAGAACAATTGTTTTGTAGAGGCGACCGGGTTCTTGAACGAGAACGCACTGGCCACTGCCAAAATGGCAAAGATACTAAACACCTTGGAATAAAGCATTTTATAAATAAAATCAAGGCAAAAAAAACATTTCGACATTCTATATTTATATCCACCATGTTGCGCAGAGAACCAACCACAATCAAATTGACGCCCGACGATGTCAAGGAGTTCTACCGAGAACAGACGTACAACACGATTGTGGGCACCACAGAGATGGAGAACCAGAACCAGGGAGTGGAGAGAGAACAAAAGTCCATCAAGGAGAGGGTGTTGGGAGAAAGAGAACATAGTCGATAAGTTGCATTTGTCTCGATAACCGCCAAAAACCATTCTGTCCGCTACGTCTTTATATATTTATGTTTAATTAATCATTTGCACTGTTGTTGTTGTCTTGTTGCCCCAGTCTTTTATTATTTTTTCTCCAATTAATAATTTCCCTTCTTTCGCGTCATGTCAACAAGAAGATCGTCCAGACTTCAAAATCAGCCGGACAAGTCCCACAACTACTCCGTAGACCTCTCGGAGAGCGAGGGCAACGACTCAGACCAGTCGGAACACGAATACCAGCCAACTAAACGTGGTTCTCGTAAACCCACCAAATCACAACGCGCTCCAAAAAGACGCAAAACCGTGCCCAACAACATCGACCAGCTGGAAAACTTCCAGGAAAACTATCTGTTCGAGGCCTTGAGCAATGCAGAGTCCGCAGTCGCCGAGCTTGCAGCCTCTTGGCTCGACCAGTTCCAAGAAGACAAGTACGACGCGATCAAAGATATGGTCAACCTTGTGTTGAGATCCTGTGGGTGTGTGACTCTTGTTGCCCAACACGACGTTGTCAACGCAGACTCCTCCAAGGAAACTATCGCCGAGATCCAGGCAATGTTCGAAAAGCAAGTCTCCCACGAATACCCATTGGGTCTTGCCTCCAACTCGAAAAACCCAAACTGGAAAGACTACAAAAAGAGATGTCTGGAGTTTATTGACCAGGTGCTGGTTACTGCGAACGAACAAGGAGTCATTTTTGAGGACGAAGAGCTGATCGAGCTGCTGCTCACCTGGTTCGGTGCCATCACCACGTCCAATGCCAGACCATTGCGTTACTCTGCCACCGTTCTGTGTTTACAAATGGAAACCACTCTGTGTTCTTTGATGGCACAGATTTCCAACTCCATCAGCAGAACTCAAAGACAGCTCAACAACGAACAGCGCAACATCGACTCATTGGCCAAAAAAGCGCGCTCAGAGGCCAAACTTGCCGCTGCCAAAGAACGTGCTTCGCAGATCGAGCAGAACGTCCAGCTATACATGGAACACAAAAACTATCTGGAAACTTTTCTCCAGGATATCTTCAACACAACATTTGCTCACAGATATAGAGACACCGACTCGCAAATCCGCCAGGAGTGTGTCAGACAGCTTAGCAACTGGATCGACCAGTATCCGGAGTTCTTCTTTGAAAGTGTGTATATCCGGTACTTGGGATGGCTGATGACCGACCAGGAGTCTGCTGTTCGTAACGAGGTTCTTCGAGTGCTTTTGAAATTGTACCAGAGCCACTCTGCTGCCACGGCGTTGCGCCAGTTCACCAGCCATTTCAAAGATAAGTTGATGGAAATTGCGTTCTACGAGACAGACTTGAAGGTGAGATCAAGCTGTATTCAAGTTCTTACAGAGATCACACGGATGGGTTTCTTGGAGACCGAGGAGGTGGTCAAACTGTCCAGTCTGATCTTTGTCGATAACGAGGATTCTCTGTTCCCAAAGAGCAAATCTGCTGGAAGATTGTACAAAGAGTTATCCAAGCTGATTGCGGTTGCAGAGTCCGAAACGTTCACTCAGTATCTGGAATCGAATGGAGCCACAGTGGACAAAGTTGACGAGTCTATGGATCTCGACGTGAAACAGTTGCTCAAGTTCCACGGTCTTTCTCAGCTACTTGTGGAGGCTGAAGCTTACTATGTTGAGAATATTCTCTCTTCCCAACCAAAGAAATCTTCTGATAACGCCCGTGCAGCCAAACTGTCCAATATCTCGCAAAACCTGTATGCTGTTCCGCGGTACCATGGTAATAGCTCTTTGGAAGTCCTGTGCAACTATTTAACCCTGGACGTGTCTTCAAACCCAGAGCTGGACAAGATCAAGGAAAATATTGAGCTTTCATACGTACAGACAGAATTTGTCCTCAGTTTGGTCACGGCTGCCACCACTATCTATTGCGAGGCAGAAGCCAACGAGTTCCATTTGCAAATATTCCCTAAGAAACAGGAAGACGCTACTGGCGAAAAGACTTTGATTCTCGGCAAGCTTGTTGCCCAGCTGTCTGGACTGTTTGAGCTGTGCAAGAAATCACATTTGTCGGCGTTCCTGGCTCTTTTCAACCAGATCACTAAACACAACATTTGCGAGACCCTGGATCAGACGGAAACAGAAACCAAGATCAGCAAACAGTTGATCAAGTCGTTCAGAGAGTCGTCGTTGCAGTCGTTCAGCCCTGACTCTTCAGACTACTACAACTCCACCAATTACCAGTTCTTCCAGTTTTTCCAGTACTTCAAGCTGGACATCATGGAGATTTCGTTGGAGTTCGACAAGATTCTTAAGGAACTCGGCAAGGAGCTGTCTTTGGGTTTGAAGAACGTCGATTACGCGCAGACCTCTGCCACTTTAAACAAATTAATGCTACTTAAGGCTCCAGCTACCAAATTCAGACTTCTGACCGAACTTGGTCTACAGATCGACCATATCTGCTCTTCGCTGGGCTCACTTCCGATTTCCGAAGAATTAAACGACCTCACTGCCTCAAACAGACTCGTCGAGTACTTCTCGTGCATTCTGTTCTTCGTTTCTGAGAACCTCGAGATCCTCACCAACAAGCTGAAGGTGGACCCCGACACCGACGCGTTGGACGAGCTGCACCACCATCTGCTGGTTCTTGCTCCAATCAAGCGCGTTCTGGTGGAGCTTGTTGGAAAAGACTCGCTGGACATTGCGTTCTGGTACGAGGTCACCAGCGTGTATCTGGACGTGTTCACCACGCTGAATGTGCTGAAATACTACGTTGGGTCGCACAGAGACGTGCTGGAACACTTCTTCGACACAGAAATGGCCGTCGAGCCTCTGTCTGGGACACAGGAACACCTGCTACGTCTGTTCTTGGTGCTGGAAGCCGAGGTCGCTCTGGAGAAAGACGTCCAATTGGACCGCACCGAGTCCGAAGACGTTGCGTTTGAAAGACTCAAATTGCCCGACGCGGAACGCAAACTGTGCACTCTAACAGCAAAACTCGTCCTGCTGGACAAAACCGTCGGTTTGCAGTCGTTCTTAATGTCTCGAGTCAAACTGAACCGGGCGGTGCTGGGAGACCTGTTCAACCAGGTGTTGGACTACCAGCAGCCAGAGATCAAAGAAGAGACAGAAACACCGCACGAAAAGTCCCGCACTCAATCGCCCGCTCCGCAGCAAGAACAATCGGACCAGTTCTTGCACACCAACACGTCTGTGCCGGACCTGCTGCCCGAGCCGTTGCCCGACCTTGTGTTGTAATTGCTACACCTTCGTATATTGTACGCCCAGCTCGCACTGGAGTCATTAATCATATATATGCAAGTATGGTCTATTCATGCCTTGGCAGAAACTCCGATCGGCTGGTCGTCCGGGGCAATATCGTACTCCTGACGCGGCCGAGGAGACTTGATCACCTTGTTGGTAGACACCTTAGTCTTGTTGATGCTCTCTCCCTTAACCACCTTTTCCATCTCGTCCTTGGTCAACGTCTCATACTCGAGCAGTCCTTCGGCGAGTCTCTTGAGTTCGACGCGACGCTCACGCAAAAGGTTCCGGGTCCGGTTTTCCGAATCGACAAGCAACGTTCGTGTTTCTTGGTCAGCCATGTCTCTTAGCTTTGGAGACCACGATTCCCATTGGTCAGACAGCTTGACAGGACCAATTTTGTCCGACATACCGTACGATGTCACCATTGCCCGGGCAGTGCTCGTGGCAGACGACAAATCCGAGGAGCATCCACTGGTGACGTTGTTTGGTCCATACAGCATCTCCTCGGCGATCTTTCCTCCCATACACACGTCCAAGCGCGCGTAGCACTCGCTCTTGGTGATCTCGTGTTTGTCCATATCTGGGAGCTGGAACGTGACTCCCAAAGCCCGGCCCCTTGGCAAGATGGTGGCCTTGTACAAAGGAGTAGCTCCGTCGGTGAACATGGCAGCAATCGCGTGCCCAGCCTCGTGATATGCAGTGTTTCTTCTAGTCTCCTCGGTCATGACCATTGTTTTTCTCTCTCCACCCATCAACACCTTGTCCTTGGCCCATTCAAGATGGTTCATGTTGACACTCAAAGCGTTCTGGTGCGAGGCGTACAGCGCAGCCTGGTTGACCAGGTTCTTCAGAGCTGCACCAGACATTCCCGTGGTAGTTCTGGCAATAACAGAAGGGTCAACCTCTTTCGACACAGCAATGTTCTTCAGGTGGTGTCTCAAGATGGCCAGACGGCCTCTGACGTCCGGCAGGTCCACATTAACAACCTTGTCAAATCTTCCTGGTCTGGTCAAAGCCTTGTCCAACGAGTCTGGGAAGTTGGTTGCACCAATGATGATGATACCCTCAGTTTGGGAAAATCCATCCAGCTCGACCAAGAGCTGATTCAATGTCTGTTTGGCATAAGCCTGGTCCTTGCTCTTTCTTTTTCCTCCAATTGCGTCTAGCTCGTCGATGAAGATGATGGCTGGAGCTCTGGCACGGGCCTTTGAGAACAGTTCTCTGACTCTCTTGGCTCCCACACCCACATACAGCTCGTCGAACTCGGATCCCGACATGAAGAAGAACGGGACGCCAGCCTCTCCGGCAGTTGCACGGGCAAGCAGAGTCTTACCGGTACCTGGAGGGCCTGTGAGCAAAACACCCTTTGGAAGCTGACCACCAAGACCGGTGAACTTGGAAGGATCTTTCAAAAACTCAACAACTTCCTCGAGCTCGGCTCTAGCCTCGTCAACACCACAAACATCGGAGAATTTGACGGTAGATTCGCTAACTTCGACGCTCTTATCCTCGACGCTCGAACCTTTAATGATGGAACCGTTCTCAACAAGATAGTTGAACAACAAGTACGCTCCGTACGACGTAAGTCCAACAGGAATAAGCCACTTGATCCATTTGGAAATAGTTATCAACGGAGACTCTGTCACAATAACATGAACAGGATCAGTTCTGGAACCATACGCAGATTGTCCGAAACCGTAACCATTCGTGTTGGCGCCAGCATTAACGGTCATTCCCAAGGATCTTGCAACCGACTCTGCCTTCTGTGTGTCACCCATCTTATACAAAGCATCAATATACAGCTGGGAACACTCTGGCGACGTGGCAATTCCGGGAGTCTCATACCGCGAAACAACAATGTGCGGGTAGTTGGAGGATATCAAGGACTTGTAGAAAGCGGCCTGAACTGAGGGGTTGGATAGGTCGCGATTGGCAGCTTGCTCCTGAGCAGCCAAACTGGACGAAGACGTGGAGGAGTATCTGATTACGGGCCGTTGCCACAGTGGGGAACGAACGGGCCGCCTAACAACTGGCCTCAGCCACATTCTGGGTCTTATAAAAGACATGGTGGAAGAAGTGTGACTATAATTTTCGATTATTTCCAACACTTTGGTTTCTTTCTTTTGCCATCAGCGGAAACCCCGACACCCGTGCACCGGCTAATAGGCTCGAGAAACCAGACGGGTCGTTTTGAAATTTTTCGTGGCAACTACTGGGACAGACTCGGCAGAAGCCGGTGGAAAAATAAAAGAGGCTAGGGGTTTGGATCGGGTTTGGATCGGAGAAACCCGTGCACCGCAACAGATGGGGTGCCCCAACACCCGATCCCCTGGGAACCGAGGAATTACAGCAAGCAAAGATCGATCCGGAGATCCTCTACTACACAACCGAGCTCCAATAGCACGACTGGCGTACACGGATCCCCCACATATCATGGGCAGTCCCCGTGAAAAAAAATTCAGCCAATAATAACCGAGTAAATTGTCAGTTAGCAAAAAAAAAACACCGGTGCGCTACGCTACCTGACGGAAAGTACACTAGGATATATAAATATCTCAAATTTTCCAACGTTTCATTATTTCTCTTATTTATTGAAAATGCCAGCTCCATACGAAAAAGGTTCCGCTAAGAAGGGTGCTACTCTGTTCAAAACTAGATGTTTGCAATGCCACACTGTTGAGGAGGGTGGTCCTCACAAGGTTGGTCCTAACCTTCACGGAGTGTTTGGAAGACACTCTGGTCAAGCTGAGGGTTACTCTTACACCGACGCCAACAAGAGAAAGGGTGTCTTGTGGGACGAGCAAACCATGTCCGACTACTTGGAGAACCCAAAGAAATACATCCCAGGTACCAAGATGGCCTTTGGTGGTTTGAAGAAGCCAAAGGACAGAAACGACCTGGTTACCTACTTGGCTCAAGCTTGTAAATAAGGTAGGCGATGACTTATGTATAAACTAGTAATAGAGGTCATTTTGACTATTGCTTGATTATGTGGTTGTATTAATGTAGCCAATCGTAGCCAGATAATTCGACCTCTTACTGACTACCTTATTTGGGATGCGTCTATCGACGCGTCGAAACAGTGTAGATCCGCACAGAGCAGTCGCTGCTGCCAACAGCCAGGCTCAACGACTCGTCTTGGTGCATAGTTGGGTTCCAGCTCAGACGCGTGACCTTGTCGTCCGGAACAGTGGACTTATCGAACTGTTGCACGATTTCAGCCTGTCCATTGTTATCCACCGAACAAATTAAGATCTCGCCGTTCTCCATTCCGACAGCCACCAGAGAGACGCCGTCCACTGTCTGCTTATAGCAATCAAGTGCAGTGACCGGTGAGCTAAATTTCAAACTTCCTGCGGACTCCACTTTGTCGTTGTCGCCGATCCTCCACACCTGAACACGCCGATCTCTCGATCCCGTGACAAAGAAAATCCCGTGTTCCGTTTCAGGCAGCCAGCACACGTCCCAGATGATACGCGAGTGCGCTTTTTCGCGCAGTTCCACCAGCTCGTAGGTGTCGCCATGCCTTTTCCATAGCGAGTATTTCCGGTCACGTGACACACTAACGAGGTAGCCACCATTTGGAGAGAAGCGAAGTCTGGTGATTGTGAGGTCGTGACCTGCCAATGATGGGGTGATTTGGAGCCAGGAGTCAGTTCTGAACAGTCTGATCACAGCGTGGGAGGCCACGTTGGAGCGACACGCCGACGCGATGAGTTTCCCGTCTGGAGAAACGTCCAGCGTGGTGATTTCAAAGCCGTGGCCGTATAGCTTTTCGATTTCTGGCCACAGCGTGTGACGTTGCAGGATGTCTTCCATTGGAGGCGCCTGCAGTTCCGAAAGCAGTTTGGCGGATAAATTAGCAGTCAAGGCGCCGTTGTCTGCGGTCTCGCTCTCGTCCTCGGAGTCCTGTTGCACCTCGGTCTCCGCCTCAGCTTTGTTGGACAGACCCAGAACAGGGAGCGAGGCACTTTCAGGCATGGAGTTGACGTCATTTGGAGCAATTCCACAAAGTTTTTCCAGCATGGAAGCCACTGCTTTTGGCTCGTCAAAGGATCTCATGATCTTTTCGTCTCCACCGGAGATGAACCGGGAATCTGTGATCGGCTTGACACAGATCATGTCGTAACCGTGGATCTGTGGTCTGGAGAACTCATGCCAAGTATTAGTTTTGGTCCATTTGGCGAACAGTCTGGTTGTTTGGTCCAAAGAGGTAGCAAGAAGATATTTACCTGATCTTGCCCAACAAACGTCGGTGACCTCTTTCATTGGCCCTGTCAAGCACGGAACTTGGTTGTATTGGAAAGCAGGAGTCGAAGATCCGGTCCAGCATCTGAAAGAGCCTGTTTTTCCGTTAGTGATGATAGTTTCTGTGTTTCCGTTGAATATCCATAACGTGCTCCAGAACCCTCCAGACGCACCGGTTGCAGTAGAAGCACCCTTGATACTCATCTCTCCGAGTCTGACGCTAGAAATCCAGACCCCACTGCCCTGATCGGGCTCCCATAGCATGATGGATGTGTCTGCAGAGGAGGACAGAAGAACGGTTTTAGTAGGGTGCCAAACGAGACTGGAGATCCAGTCGTCGTGGCCCATAATAATGGCGTCAAAGTTGACAGAGCACTTGGTTGTGCTGTCGATGCTGAAAAGATGCTGTTTGTTCATTAAAAGACCCAATTTGTTCGAGTTGTCTGCTTTGGAGATGGCCTCGTTCACGCAGAGCTTCCAAAGTCTGATGTATCTGTCTTGGGATCCGGAAGCAACGAGAAACTCGCCGTTTCCCTGATTTTTCACCGCAATAGACTTGATCCAGTCCTCGTGACCGGGGAGGTTGGCCTGGTATTGCAGCGAGTCGGTTTTGGTGTACGAAAGAACGTGGAATTGCGGCTTGGAGCCACCGACAAAGATGACGTATTTTTCCGGCTCTATTTCCTCGATAGCGAGCGAAAGCGGCATGAAATCGGGTCCAATAGTTGTTTCAGCCACACAGACCACCTCTCCTTGGCCAGAAACGGCCCAGACCTTGATTTTCCCGTCCGCTCCACCAGTGACGAAAATATTCTTAGACACGGCCAAAGAGGTGACGCTGGCGGAATGGGCGTCCAAGCTGGCCACAAGGTCAAAACCAGACTCCCGGTTTGTGTATTTCCAGACCTTGACAGAATGGTCCTCGGCCGTAGAGACCAAGAACGACGATTCGGGGAGCCATTTGACTGCGACCACATGCGACGAGTGCGCTTTCAAAGTGGACAAAACACCAAGATGAACCTGTTCCGGACTCCACAGGGCGATAGCATTGCGCGCTCCGTACGCCACGAGCTTGTGAACAGGACTGTAGTCGCAGATTTGCAGCTCTTTATTGCATCCTACAAAGATCGTCATAGCACAGCCGTTGTGAAAATTTGATAAAATAATTATCCAGTATGGGAAAACTAAGGGATGGTAGCAGACCGGAAATGGAGGACAAATTCGATTGAAAAAATAGTGTAGATGGAACTTTGCAGCCAATCAGACGTCGTTATGTAGTTCCAAGTCCGCAGTCTAGTAATTAAGCCGTCAGCTCCTGGCATTGTAAATTCGCTCCCTTCTTGATTTTTTTTTCCTAATATTATTTATGGGTAAAATTACCAGATCCAGAAACGGGTGCTTTACGTGCAAGAAACGGCGGCGGAAGTGCGACGAGACCAAGCCGAGCTGTCTGAATTGCACGAGCTCAGGCCGCAAATGCGGCGGATACGGGTTGCGACTTGTTTTCGACGTGGATGATAGCCGTAATCAGAGCGTCGGTATCCCCACAGATTCCAAGGGACAGCCGAAATACGGGTTCCGGGGACGGCCAAGACTGAAAGACAGCGAGGAAAAGGCTATCAAGATTGAGATCGACGACGATAAGGCGCTGCTCAAGGTGGACCAGCCCAGACAGACCAGATCAGCCAAAGAGGCCGAGTCTAAGCCTGCAGAGTTGGTTGGGTCTCCAACACGGGTGTTTTCGCCAAACCTACTGTTTGACGACGCCGTTTACGATGGTCTGGACTATCTGCTGTCGACCGCAGACGATTTGAGCTTGTTCAGCTCGGAACAGGTCCACCAACAACAGCAGTACCATCTGCAACAACTAGAGCAACAGCAGGGCCAGCTCCTGCAGCAGATCGCCACGCCGCAACAAATACTCGACCCAGTTGACGATGACCGCAAACTGATTACATTTTCGTCGGATATGGACCTCAACGTATCCAATCCGCCCGAGGACAACTACATTCTTAAACATTTCTTCAACAAGACCATTTTCCTGTTGGACGCACATCCGTCTGCTCCGTGGCCCGAGCTGATGCTCCGGTTTGGCAGCATCGAGCTGGCCAAGTCGTGTTTTTTGTCCCTGAGCTCTATCCATCTGTATGTTAACAACGGACAGAACGAGTTCTACAAGAAAGGTATTCTGCACATCAATAACACCATGGAGTATTTGATCAAATACGTCCGGTCGAAAGATACTTCGCGCAAACAGTCGGAAGAAGAGCCAGAAGATTCGTCGTTGAACGTGGAAAACATCGTTATCAACTTGAAAAACGAAGAAGCCAACGACAGAAAGCAGACCAACTTCTTTGTGATTCTGCTTTTATTGTACGTCCATTTGATCTTCGCCATTCTCGAAAGCGGCCGGTCTGCCTTGTCGAGGATTTTTTTGAAACTGTTCGCGTCTATCGCCAGAGACCCCCAGTTCAAGTCTGCTTTGAGCCAGATTGACCAGTCGCAAACGCTGGTCTGTGTTTTCGCATGGTTTGACACGGTTTCCGCTATGGTTTCGCCCGACTGTCGCGTGCCGTTCTGCAGTCCCGAGTGGTACGGCACGAAAAGCGACCCGATCTCCACTGCCAAGATGAACGGGTGTCCGGGAGAGATCTTCCAGATTCTGGCCGAGATCTGCCATCTACGAAGCCAAATCCACCAGGAAACCATTCAAAAAGACGAAGTTGGCGCCGTTTTCCACGAATTGAAGCAGAAACTCGTTAATTACAGAGATCACGTCCCGCTGGAACTGCCAAACTCGTACTCTTACGAAGAGCGTTTGAAATCCGCTCAATGTTGGTCGCTTTCTGCTTTAATCAAGCTTGAGGAAATGTGCCAGATAAACAACCATTTCCAAGATACAATCGAGAGCCTGACATTGGAGTTCATCTCCACCTACGAGACATTGGACTCGGAGTCGCCGATCGTGACACAGATGGTTTGGCCCGTGTTCAACGTGGCATTGTATTGCAAAAAAGAGCTGTCCAAGCGCAAATTACGACAGTTCTCTCAAACTCTCTACAAAACGGTCAACATGGGCACAATCAAGACGGCCATGCAATTGGTGGACGAAGTGTACACGACAGGAAACAAGGTGGAAGACATTCTAAGCACCAAAGAATGGTTTGGGTCGGGAATCGACTTTCTACCATGTTGAGTAAGTCAAAATTAATATATCAGCTAGTCTACTTACAATTTTTGCATAGCAGCAACGTCAGTAGATTGGACGTAGTCCTCGAACTCCTCAATTTGGGCCTGCAGATCGTCGATGGAAACCTTCTCGTCCTCAACAACACAGTTGATTTGGAGCTTCTTGATACCGAATCCAACAGGGATCCATTGGGATCCACCCCAGGTCAGACCATCAATCTCAATACTCTTGACGGAAGACAAAAGGGCCTCGAGGTCGGTCTCGTCGTCCCATGGCTTCACCTCAAGAGTGACAATAGACTTGGAGGCTGGCTTTGGACCTTTGGCGGCCTTCTTGGCAGCGTACTCAGCCAATCTCTGTTGCTTGAGCTTCTCGGCCTCCTCGTCAACCTCCTCGTCAGAGGATCCGAAAAGGTCGACCTCGTCCTCGTCGTCCTCGGCAGCTGGAGCCTTAGCAGCAGCCTTAGCAGCAGGCAAAGAACCAAAGTGCTCGGTGTAAGAAGCAATGTGGTTGAACCATCTGGAGAAGTCTGGGTAGCTAGATTGGAAAGCCTTGTAAGCAGCAACGTCGGCTTGGGTGGCAGAAGTACTGGAAATGTTAGTAAAATGCTTGAAATTCCTTCAGTGGCCGCCCGTAGACGGATCTCGTTTCTCACTCATGCTGCGGGTCTTGAATCCGCCTCATAAACATGGACCAAAGAATATAGTTCATCAGAGGAAAGCACTTACCCTTCGATGTAGGACTTGTCAGCAAGGAACTTGTTGAGCTGGGCAACGGTCTCGATCTTGGAGAAGTCGGAGAAAGACATGATGATTTAGTGAAGAACCTTTTCGATGAATTAAAAAAAATTTACTGAGCACGCGCACGACAGGGCGTCGGGAGGGGTTACCCGGCCGACAGGAGGGTGTTGGTGGACAAGGTGGGTGTTTGCGGAGAGTAGGTGGGGATGAAGCATGGTGGATGTAATGGATCGATAGATGGAATGGTGGAGACCATGGTTATGTGTCTTTTAACGCCAATTTGTGTATTTCACCTGGTATTGTCTCACCCGTCTATTTTCCACCACTGGGTTTTCCAGACTTGTGTATTTTTTCTTCCCTGTTAACAAATGGATAGGCCGATTTTCCCCCAGGCGCTGTCAACGGCGCTGGTTGCGCGGCTGAAAAACACGCCGAACCCGTTGTTCATCGCATCGTTGCCTGCCAGAGGGTCTAAGAGGGCCGCATCGAGCCGTATTAACTACGCAGAGGATTTCGAGTTGGACTTTGAAGACGACCAGGATCAGGACTACGACGAGGACGGCGCAGCAGGCTCGCGCAACAACGCCAATGGCGCCGGTGTCAATATGACGCTGTTTAAGGGCAAAGATGCTCCGCGCGAGAAGTATAAGACCGTGTTTACAGAGGCGGAGAACCTTGCCAATTGCTCTGTCCCCGAACAAATGGTGCCCATCAAGTTGAACTTGGAAACAAGCGGCACACGGGTCAACGATTTGTTCATGTGGAACTTGAACGAGAGTTTGGTCACCCCAGAACTGTTTGCCACTATCATGTGTCAGGAACTCGATCTGCCCAAATACAGCGAGGCCACGATCTCGGGCCAGATCAGAGAACAGCTGGACGCGTACCGGGCCATCACATCGGCACCATTGCCCCAGCTGTTCCAGGAGAAGGAACTCCACGCAATCATGGACATATCGATCAGTCTAGATAACACCCTGTACGAAGACAAGATCGAGTGGGATATCCTTAATAGTGCCATAACGCCAGAAGAGTTTGCACGCACCGTGGTGGCAGACATGGGGCTCCAACGGGAGTTCCAGAACGCAATTGCTATCTCGCTGCACGACGCCATCTATAAGCTCAAGAAGGAGTTCTTGGAGAACCCGCAACAGATCCTGTTCAACAACGAGAGTCTGCCGCTGCTCAACAAGGTGTACCAGCCGCCTGCACCAGAAGCAGAAAACGGGTCGCCTGGCGTGGTTTCCCTGGAGCTGCAAGGACTGCGGTTCGACAGCAAGAAGTACGGAACAGACTTCAGTCCTCGTGTCGAAACCCTTACACCGTGGGAGATCGAGAAGAGAGAGATTGAAAGAGAACGTAATATCAGACGGCTCAAGAGAGAAACAATGCGTGTTTCCGGCATAGGCAGCTCGATGATGGCCGCCACGCCTGCCAATGACCGCAACGCCAACTCCAAGCGCAAATACGACGAGCTGGAAGGCACCTGGAAATTTGATCGATAGATTATGTAATATAAACAAAGGATATTTTTGTATTTCATGAGTATCAGTGATGTGCCTATTGTTAGGCGGCTTCGACAGTATGCTCGGTCGAATCGAAGGTCTGTGGCTGTGCTGGTGATTGTTTTGTACATAGTGCTTCAGAGTCTTTGGGGATCTGGAACCAAGTCGAGAGATCTATCTGCTATAGAGGCCAAGATTAACACGGAGGTGAATATGAACTTTTTAAAGTTTGGCCACGAATTGCGCGCTTTTAACCGCCCACCCGAACACACGGCCACCATACGGGAGAAGCTAGCCTTCTATTTCCCGTACGAGCCCGAAAAACCCGTCCCTGACACGATCTGGCAGACGTGGAAGGTGGATCTGGACGACGACAAGTTCCCGGCCAAATACAAGCGGTTCCAATCGTCTTGGGTGATCAAGAATCCAGATTACCATTACCATTTGATTCCAGACAACGTGATTGACCAGTTTGTCGAGCAGATGTACGCAAATGTGCCTGAGGTGGTGAGAGCGTATCATCTGCTCCCGAAAAACATCATGAAAGCAGACTTTTTCCGGTACCTGGTGATCCACGCTCGCGGCGGTACATACTCGGACATGGACACGATCTGTTTGAAGCCCATCAAGGACTGGGCCACGTTTAGTAAGGAAATTATCTACGTTGCAAATTTCCGGGAGTTTCAGAAAAAGATGCCTATGCCTGTTGTTGACCCGGAGTCGCGCACCACGCCTGTGGGGCTGACCATTGGTATCGAGGCAGATCCAGACAGACCCGACTGGCATGAGTGGTTTGCAAGACGGGTGCAGTTTTGTCAATGGACTATTCAGGGGAAGCCAGGACACCCGCTGCTACGGGAGCTGATTATACGGATAGTGGAGGAGACGTTCCGCAAGGAGGCGCTTGGGACGCTGAAGAAAGTTGAGGGCAAAGATTCGGGACAGGACGTGATGCAATGGACAGGACCTGGCATCTTTACCGACAACTTCTTCGACTATGTGAACAACGTCGAGAGTGACGGCAAGCTAGGCGACGGGTACGGCGTCGGGTCATCGTACTGGGTGCGCCACGAGAAGTACAAGCTCAAGAAGGTGGAGCTCAACAGCAGAGGAGAGCCGTTGCACTCGGACGACCAGCTGATCAACTGGAGAACGGTTGCCAACATGCGGAACCCGCTTCTTTTGCAGGACGTACTTGTTTTACCGATCACGAGCTTCAGCCCGAACGTGGGCCACATGGGCGCCGGGCTCAGTTCCGACCCGATAGCATATGTCGAGCATTTATTTTCTGGTAGCTGGAAAGACTAAACATTGTTCTAGAATGGCAGATGGAGATACTTCAAGTATAAGAGACAGAAGGAGGGTGAAATTTTTGTCTTTCACGTCCGGTATTACGACGACTTTTAACAAGTCCGACAGCCAGTTGGTCGACTGTGACAACCTTTTTGGAAAACTGGGATAAAATCTGCTATATCTTTGGCAACCTGTCAGGGATCAATGAGAGTCATTCAGAGATAGGAGATGATCCAAAGCTGAAGAGATTCCTAGACCAAAAGGATAAGTACACACTGGATGAACATCAAAGATGGGTGATCAAATCATTACTTGAGTTCAAACCAATGATCGAAGAATTTTTAGGATTTAACTTCATTGTGCAAAAGTTCACTGAATGGATGAAGATCTTTGAAACTGAGGGAAAGAACACCATTTTTTCTTATGCGAGAACATACATGAAGGTTCTCAAGCTGTACCGAGCAATCTCAGATATTTTACATGACGGATCTGAGATGAACGATCGTTTTGACCTATCACAAGAGCTCTTCTTCTGGCCAGATAATAACGATGCTGACACAGTTGAGTTCAAGACAAATCCCAAAAGTCTTGATTCCAAGTTTCTCGAGGCAATAGCTTCATCTTATCCAAAGTTTTCCCAGTATTTCAATTTAGCGTTCGCCGAAGAATTAATGATAGTTGGGTCATTACTGGATCTAAGCGATCGCAATGTGAAACTGTTTGCTACAATCAATTGGGATTCCGAGGATGCACGTTCTTTCTATTATAAAAAGACAACGTTTGATGACAAAACGTTCTCTGCACTTTTCAGTTTGTACCGGAAATCCTCGTATTATAAGACAAAGCTGCAAAAGCTCTTACCAGAAAATCTTTCGAAGAAATGGAGAAGACAGAGGATTTGTTGCTGAGGGCAGAAGTTATATACTTCAGGGACGAAGGAGTCAGCAAACAATTTGATATCGAATCTTTTAAGTTTTGGAGCTCAGATATGTCTATGGAATTCCCAAGACTTCGGAGTATATTTACAGTGGTGAACAGTGTTCCCATATCCAATTCTTCATTGGAGAGCTCATCCATTTTTGCTAAAAGAGTTCGAGGATTGCGCAGAGCCAACACAGATCCCAAGAAACTTTCTCAACTAATCAGTCTGCCTTCTTTTTTCAGAAAGATACCAGAAGTGAAGGACGTCTTTCCAGGGATTGATGATACTCCAGAAAAGAGTGATATCAATGACTCTTCAAACGAATCTTGTTCAAGCGAGGACGAAGCGGAAATGGTCTTCTAGACATCATTTACCAGTGCTGATGTACTTTGTAAACACAATTCAAGGCTGTGAAATCTGCAATAATCTCTGTAATGTCTGATAATTAATTTAATTATCTTTATTTAGACTTTATCTCCATGAAGCCTGATACGTATTTGAGGCTCATTGAGAGCGAGCGGACGGGCCAGGTTTTGCTTGCGGGCGATAACATCGAGGCACGCATAGCTGACAAGGACAAGTTGGAGCTCAAGAGGAAGATAGACTACCTTGTTCTGGAGTATCTTACTCACGAGGGGTATGGCGACACGGCAGTCGAGCTGGCCAAGGAAATGGAACTGGACCTGAGCCGGGGCCAATTGGGTGGAAAAACTGAATTTAGCGAGGAGACCGATCTACAGAGCGTCGAAACGCTGTTTTCGGCAGAGTCTATCAAAAGCAACCTTGAGAACGGTAGCGGGGTGGCGTCACCAGCGTTGGAGACCTGCACACAGCTCGAAAGCGCACACACACGACACCAGATTAAGGTGCACATTCTGGCGGGCCGCGTGGAGGAGGCCGTTGCTCTGGTGAACCAGGAGTACCCGAGTCTTTTTGAACAGAACCAGATAGCGTATTTCCGGCTGTTGCACCTGCAACTGATTGAGATTATCCGGGCCCAGTTTTCCGGGCCGTCGGACGGTGTGCAGGACGAGCGGGAGTTTCTGGACCGTGTGCTGGAGTTCATCTCGAGCAAGCTATCGACGCTCAAGATCCTTCAGAACAAGAAGTTTATCCAGGAGCTGGAGCTGACGATGGCTCTGCTGTGTTTTGGGAGCCGGCTGCGGGACCCCAAGCTGGAAGGGATTCCGGCCGAGCTGAAACGGCTGTTGGACGTGAAAATGCGGGGTCGGGTGGCCGATCTCGTGAACCGGTCGATACTTCTGAGTCTGAGCAACAGCGACCTGACCCCGACTCGCGATTTCACCGGCTGGTGTACGTGGCGGGTTGGGGTGCCAAAACCCGCGCTCGACCCCGACGCGGCTGAAACCGGTCCGGACGACCTGCCCCAGACCAAGTCTGCCGGGCTGTACGAGCTACTGGCGATGGTGACGTGGCTGGCCCAGGCGAACGGCGACAGCGTGGACACGCAACTGGGCGCTCTGCTAAAGTGATTTAGAAAATATTCGGCGCGAAGGAAACGTACTGACTAGAAAGGTAAAATATTGGGGTTTCCCAAGATAGTGTCACGGAAAAGTGAAAAAAAATAAAAGAAAAATTAGTAACTAGTCTTGAGGAGTCGTTTGCATGCCGGAGAAGATCGATAAACATTCGCTGGAGTACATCGTACGAAGCGGGGTGGCTGGTGGCGTGGCGGGGATCAGTGCGAAGACGCTGATAGCGCCGCTGGATAGGGTGAAGATCCTGTTCCAGACAAACAACCCGCACTACCGTCACTTGGCAGGCTCGTTTCGCGGGATGTTCAAGGCGATCCAGCTCATATACACCAACGACGGGTTCATGGGCCTGTACCAGGGCCATTCGGCCACGCTGCTGCGGATTTTCCCGTACGCGGCCATCAAGTTTGTTTGCTACGAGCAACTCCGAACGTTTCTGATTCCGCGCGACGAGTACGAGACGGCCGGGCGCAGGCTGCTGGCGGGCAGTCTGGCCGGAGTGATGAGCGTGTTTGTCACCTACCCGCTCGACCTGGTGAGAGTGCGTTTGGCGTTCGAAACATCCCACGCGCAAATAAAGCATGGACGTGGCAAGATATGGCACACCTTGAAAACTATTTATTACGAAAACCCGCGCTACCGTTTCGGCACCGGGGGCTACGTGCAGAACGAGCCGGTCATTCTGCGGTTCATCCACACCACGGTGGACCAGAACGTGCATTTTTTCCAGGCCATGTCCAATTTCTATAGAGGATTCGTGCCAACTATCATCGGGATGGTGCCGTACGCCGGGGTCAGCTTCTACTCGCACGACTTGATCCACGACATCATGCGCTCGCCGCGGCTTGCACAGTATACGGTGCTGGACCACGATACAACGCTCACGGGTCCCACCAAACTCAAATCGGAGTCGTCCTTCGACACACGCAAGCCGCTCCAAACTTGGGCCCAGCTCCTGGCCGGCGGCGGTGCAGGAATGCTGGCCCAGGCGGCAGCGTACCCGTTCGAGGTGATCCGACGGCGGATGCAGGTCGGCGGTGTGGTCAACATCGGGGGCCAGTTCTTCTCAATCGGCCACACCATCGTCATGATCTACGCAGAGCGCGGATTCAAGGGTTTCTACGTTGGATTGGGCATCGGGTTCATCAAGATCGGACCCATGTTTGCGTGCAGCTTCTACGTCTACGAGCGGTGCAAACACCTGCTCCGCATATGACGTGTTTTAGATACTTGTCCTGAATATATTGGTCTATTTGGCCCGAAGGGCCTGTTCGATCTCGGATTCGCTAATACCGCTCTTGTCGCACATAGACCGGAAGATACCGTTCGCATGGAATAGCTCCAGTGGCGGCCCAAACTCGGAAACCTCTCCCTTGTCCATGACAAGAATCCGGTCGTAGTTGATGATCGTCTTGAGACGGTGAGCAATGCACAGAATCGTGCAGTGCGCAAACTCCCGTGCGATCGTCGTCTGCACCTTGAAGTCAGTCTCGTAGTCGACGCTCGAGGTGGCCTCGTCCAGAATCAGAATCTTGCTGTCGCGCACAATGGCCCTCGTGAGCGCAAGGATCTGCCGCTGGCCCAGCGAGTAGTTGGCCCCGTTGTCCTCTACAAGCGAATCCAAATGGAACTTGTGCAACGCACCGGTTTCCTGCTTCACGGCAGCCAATTCCTCGGGCAAAATGCATCCACTCTTCACCAGAGCGTCGTACAACACGTCGTCAGAAAGCTGCGAGAAAGGGTCCAGGTTCAGACGCACGGTTCCCCGGAACAACACAGGGTCCTGCGGGATGATCGACAGCTTCGACCGCAGCTCGTGCAACCCGATCTCCTGGATATTCACTCCATCGATCTCAATCGCGCCCTCCGGCTCGCTAAGTCGGTACAAGGCCGTCATGATGGTGGACTTTCCTGCTCCCGTACGGCCACAGATACCGATCTTCTCCGACGGCTGGATCTCGATTGTGAGGTCCCGCAAAACAAGCGGCAAGAGTGGCCGGTATCTCAAGTTAACGTGGTCAAACTTGATGGCTCCCTTTTCAGGCCACGAAGCTGGCGGTTTCTTGCTTGGCTCTGAACTGAATGCTGGGGCTTCTTGTGGCATATCGATGGCATATTCACCAACACGCTCCACACTGTTCATATTCTGTTCCAGCTGGCCCATAGACCGCGACGTGGTGATCAATTGCATACTCACACTCACCAGGTACGAGATGATCAGACCTGAGCCTGCGGCACTGATCTTGAACACACGGCCCACACACATCATGGAGATGAGCAGGTTGATGAACACGGCACATCCGTGCAGCGAAATGGCCAACCATCTTTGCAAAGAGTCGGTCAGGAAGTACGACTCGTTCATGGAGTTGATCAATTTTATGTTTTTGCGCAGGTACCGGTCCACACAGTCGTAAAGACGAATGGTTTCGTTTCCTTGCAACACCTCGTCAAAGTTCGAGTACACCAAAGACCTCTGCACACCTTCGATCCGCTTCACCTCGCGCGCAGACGCTTGGTAGAACGAAAACAGCATGGCCATGGCCAGAAAAATAAACGGAACACAGATCGCAAAGTACGGCATGTAGATGATGCACATGATGTAGATACCGATCATGTTGGACATACCGAAACAGATCAACCGGAACTGTTCCGAGATTTCGTTGTCCAACACGTCTGTGTCCTTGGTGAATCTGTTGAGGATCCGGCCCATAGGACTGGTGTCAAAGAAAGACATTGGAGCACGCAGAACTTTCTCCAACGCACGCAGGTTCATCCGCGCAGACGCGTGATTTGTCACATACACAATCGTGCAGAACTGCCAGGCAGTACAAACGACGTACATTATCGCAAACATGACGTAGATTCCAATGTAGAACCCATCAGACCGGTGAGGAAACTTCTTGGTGGTCCAGAAGGATAGCCACACGTTTTGGAACAACATACAGAACGTAGAGCACGCCATACTCACGAGAATTAGCGGAATCATTCCAGAAAGCCCCAGTTTTCCGCTACCGGACTGGAAGTACTCGCGAACGAGCCTCATCGGAATGGCATCTTTCTGACGCTGTTCTTTCTCAATCAATTTTCCACGTTCTTTTTCGTACTCCCGTTGGGTGGTTTGTTTGCGGATCAGTTTGAGTTCCTGCTGCTCTTCGTCCTCTTCTTCGTGCTGTTCGTCCTCCTCGTCCTCTTTCACGCCTTCCTGCTGGAACTCCATGAGTCTTTCAAACTGCACGTTCTTTGCCAGTAGTTTTTCCGGCTCGTCAATATCGACAGATCCGTCTGGATTCATAAAGATAATCCGGTCGGCAGCTTGAATCAACGACAATTGATGTGTCGCTAACACCCTGGTTTTCTCCTTCAGAATGCCCAAAATACAGTTGTTCATGATATGACGGCCAACTTTAGCGTCGACGGCACTCAACACATCGTCCAACAAAATGATATTGTTGTTATTGCTGACCACCGTGTAAACTGCGCGAGCAAGATTGATTCTCGCTTTTTGGCCTCCAGAGAGATTGACTCCACGCTCTCCAATCTCCGTCATGTCGCCAGCCGGCAGCATGTCAAAGTCGCTCTCCAGTCCGCAACAGAACACAACCTCGTCGTACAATTGCTCGTCCAAGTCGCTACCAAACACTATATTGTCCTTGACCGTAGCGTTCTGGATCCACGGTTGTGCACAGAGCAGCAATTTACCGGCAACAGTGACGGATCCGCTTAGTCTCGGCATGACACCACTCAGAGCACAGAGTAGCGACGACTTTCCAGACCCAATAGGCCCAGTAACCACCACGAACTCGGAGTGATGCAGCGAAAACGCCAGTGGTCCCAGACCGGCCACTGGCTGGTCGGAAAGAGATGAGCTCGACTCAAGTTTCTTCTCGTACTCCACGGGGGACTCCTTATCGATACTGCCAGAGTCTGCGATGTTAGTAACGCTGTCTTCCCAGGAAAACAGAGCGTTGTCCACAGTGACAGCTTCTGGAGCCTTGTCGACACGGTGGTATTCTGGGTCAGCAGTTTCTTCGTCCGCGAGCAGATAGTCCTGCACACGCCTGAACGCAACGTACGCGTCGGACATGGTACTCAAGGCGATTGGCAAGAAGGCGACATGCGAAACAAGAATGTTGAACAGAGCCAGAGACGAGAAGACATTAGCTGCACTGCTCAAACTTCCACCATGATAGCCGTAAATGGCCAGAAACCCAATCATGGATCCGATACTAGGCAACGACACCGAGATGGCGGTTATAGTATTTCTCAGAAACTGGATTTTCAGCATGTATCCCATTTCTTGGCCTCTGATCTTGGAAACCAGGTCCAAATAGGCCTGCTCCCAAGAGTAGTATTTTATGATTTTCATGCTGTTGAGCAGTTCCTTCATGTATTTGACTCTGGAGTCGGTATAGACGTTGACACCACGGCGCAATTTCATCAGGGGGCGCGTACAATACGCGATTCCGCATAGAACAAGAATTAAAAAGCCGACACCGCCGATCGAGGGACCGCCAAGATAAACTGCAAGCAAAACAATAGTGATAGCCACGCCGACAGGCAGCGAGATAACATAGGCAAAGAAACCCGTTGCAAGGTCAATACGCGACAGGTCTGTTCCCAGCATCGACGTGATGTCGGACGGGGTGAACACCGACCGGGATGCTCTGTCTAGACGGAACGATTTATCCAGTAAAACTTTGGTGAGCAGTCCTTTCACTTCACAACCCACGAATGCAGAGTCGTGGAAGTAATGTGCGGTTCCAATGCCCATAACAAGGATAATGCCCGAAATTCCACCCGCATATCCGTATCCAGAGTTATCCACGGGCAATCCTTCCACTTTTCTATGAACATACGAGATAAGTGCTCGAAGTAGCAGTGGGTTGAGTCCCATAGCCACATCGGCCACGAGCTTGTACGCGAGCGACAACAACAGCTCTTTCTTGAACGTGGCAAAAATGGCTCCGGGCACAATCGTCTGTGGATACGAAAAATCAGGGTCGTCTTTCAATGCTCTTCTTGTCTCCTTAGTATCCGCAAGAGACTTTCGTTTTAAATAGCTGGCCTCGATTCTGTTTCTGCGCAGAGTAAAATTCTTCATGAATCGGTCAGCAGTGACCTCAATGTCCAAATTAGAGCCTTCTCGAACGGCAAACAAATCTTCTGGCTCCAACGTTCGTTTGTACCCAACTTGTAACAAGGGAAGAACCCACGTGAAAAAAAGATTGTTCAAAACGGTGGTGTTTCTAAACGGATACTGTTTACGCTGTTCATCGGAAGGCAACGGGGGAACGGTCTTGTCCCAGAGAAGGAACGAAAACAGCCGTCTCTGGGGCACCAGTTTGTCCTGAGGGGTCTCCATTGGAAAAACAAGTGAAAAAATGCACTATCTTATTTGTAATCCTAGGAACGGCTGATTGCCGCGACACGGGAAATAGCCGAGGAGTACGAGCAATTTAACTTGGTTGAGTAAATTAAAAAAAACTATATGGGATAGGGATTATCCTCGGGCGATGTTGTACAGTTTGGCTGCGATCGCGAGGGAATATCCACTAAGAAACGAAACCAATAACGTTTGTGTGTAGCTCGGCTTTGCAGGTCGTGTAGCGGGCGGAGAGATCGCCGCCAATTCTCTTATCAGTAGATCGGTATTGATTTTTGGCCTCGCTCTTTTTCGTTTGTGCACGCGGCCTACCTTCACGGCACGCAATTTGCGCTTCTTCTGCAAGGGCGAAGATATCGGTTTCACTACGGCAGACATGTACAAATCAAAGTTTGGGTACGTATTTATAAAGTTTTTAATTGTGATGCGTCAGATTAGTTGTGTCCGTGGTGCACATGGGCCGGGCTTCTTTTGAAAATATCGAGATAGCCGTCTCTCTTTGTGAACGAGCTTTTTTGTGACTGATAGTTACATCCAATATCCACATCGGAGTTTTGGACGTATGCAAAACATGTGGTACCTGCAGCGCATTGCATTTTCACCCACTTGCCAAAGTTACAGATGGCGAACGATCCGTCTGAAGAGCAAGCCGTCTCGCCCTCGATGGAACACGAGTCAGCAGACCCGGTGTACAGACCGCTGTCAAAGTTTTTGTTCAGACAGGCAGCCTTGTCCTTGCCGGAGAGGGCAGAGCAGTCAGTGAATGCAGCAGAGGCAGATGCGGTTGCAGTAGAGGATGTCGAGGTGCTTGAGCCGACTGTTAGTGTAGAGAGTGTGGTGGCAGTGAAAGTTGGTACAGTCTGGGTGGAGGAGGTTGAGCTTGTGACTTCTGGGGCCTGTTGGGTTGGCTCAGAGGCGGCAGAAGTTGGGGTTGGCACGGATGCGGCAACCGGCGTCGAGGTTGGCTCGGAGACAACTGTTGGGGCAGGCTGTTCAGAGACAACAGCTGGTGCCTGTGGGGTAGCAGTGGAGCTGGAACTGGTGGAGCTCAATGCGGTGGAGGTGGAAGAAGTGGAAGAAGTGGAAGAAGTGGTTGCCTCAATGGAGGAGCTTGCAGCTTCGGAAGCGGCAACAGACTCGGTAGAAGAAGCAGCAGTGGCCGAAGAGGAGCTCACGGTGGAAGACTCAGTAGAGGAGGTGGCAGAGGTGGAGGACTCTGCGGTTGAAGAGGATGCCTCGGTGGAGGAAACAGTGGAAGCCTCAGTGGAAGATGCGCTGGAGTATGCGCTGGAGCTAGACACAGTCGACGAAGACTCGCTCGACGCACTGATGCTCGAGAAAGTCTCCTCCAACAAGTCCTTCATGGCCTCAACATAAGTCTTTCCGTCCACCTCGTTGGAAAAGCCCTGCGAAGCGTCCCAAAGCATGATTCCACCCAAGTTGGTAGCATCGAGACTTTCAAGAGCAGACTTGACGGTATCCACATCAACGTAACCGTAGGAAGCAGCGCTGGAAGCACCAGGTAAACCGAGATACAGCTTGATGTTCTTATTAGGACTGGTGTTTTGAGCAAAATCGGCCCAGGTGTCCCAGTTGAATTGCTTATCAACGTCACAGTTGTTGTTGTAGAACTGGATGAACGCAAAGTCGATGTCGGCGTTGGCAAGCATGTCGCCGGTGTAGGAATCTGGGTAGACACATTGTGGAGCAGCAGAAATGTAGTAGTCTTTGGAAGAGTCCTGGGAGTAGTATTCTCTCAGTTTGGTAGCAAGAGCAGCGTAGCCGGTAGACTCGCCGCTTTCGATGTCAAAGTCGAAACCGTCAATGATGGCATCACCGAACGGTCTCTCGTCGGCAGACCCGCCTCCAAACATGTTCCACAGAGTGGTAGCAAAGCCTTCGGCATCAGAGTCAGAACTGAAACCGTAGCTACCAGTAGCACCGCCAAGAGAAAGGAACACTTTTTTGCCAAGACCCTGACAGGTCTGGATATCCTCGGCAATCTGGTCGCAATCAAGCAAACCGTCGGAAAACTTGCTGGTGCAAGCGTTGGCAAAGTTCAACGTAGGAAGGGTGTCTGCGTTGGAGAAACTGGTCATAAAGGAAAGAAGATAAATATCGGCAGCATCACTTTGACAATAAGTGGCCAGACTCTCCTGGGAGCCGGCAGAATTTTGTCCCCAATAAAGAGCAACGTTGGTTTGGGAACTGGCGTCGAACGCCCACACACAAGACACTAGCAGCGCAAACACTGCGTGTCTTAAAACGAATGTACTGGTCATAATGAATGAATAAGGTAAAAGAACGACTAAGGTGGGACAAGATGTGTGAAATCATCCACATCCAAATCAGGGTCCGATATATATACCACAGATGGCTACCACACTATTGCCATTTTAGTTTGTGTCTCGGTTCCAGCCTTCTACAAAGCTGTAACACTCTAAGCCCAGCCCCACGAAGATCGTGCGCGACCCAGATCGGATCTGGAAAAATCAAAAAATTAGTCCTCCAACGGTGTCCTCCTCACACCAGCCGCATCCACCGTTTGTACACCCTGCTACGGATCTCGACGGTGGACTCGTCGGTGTCGTTTTTGAAGAGCGGGCTCCATTTCTCGATCCCCTCGTCGTGCACCTCAAACCCGTACTCCTTTGCGGTCTCGAAAAAAGCCAGGTCTTCCTCCAGCAGCTTCGGCCGGTGGGGCGAAAACGGCACCAGCACCCTCCCGGTGCGAGGTGTGATAAGCTCTCTGCAGCTCCGGAGCAGCTTGGTTTGCTCTGTATGGTTGAAGATCACGTCGCTTAGGATCAGCACGTCGAAAGTTTTCGATCCGGGGGGCAGGAGTTCCAAAAGCGGCGAAGTATCGTTTCCCCAAATGTAGCCCGCCTCGACGCAGTTTGCGCTCACTGCGTTTTGCTCAATGTTGACTCTAATGTTACTTATGAGCTCTGGGTCGGGGTAATCCGTGGCAACCACTTTTCTGGCGCCTAATTTTGCACATAGCAACGACGGCAATGCTCCGCCGGCGCCAAACTCGAGCACTGTGCGGCCGGCCACGAGTTGCGGGTCATTTTCCAGCTCTTTTGCTAGCGATTGGCAAGCATTTGTGAGAATGTGTCCGTAAAGCGGCGACGAGCCAATCAGCGTGACCAGAATCGTGTTTCCGTCCTTTTGGCGGTACTCGACCGTTGTAGATGGTTTTGGCGGCTCCTCCTCAGTGGTAAACAGATCGTCAAACAGAGACATGAAAATTCCAAAAATTCAGAGATGGTCATGTGTTGCCATGTGATGCCAACTTTTGCACTACACATCACG